GATGAAAAGCATTTCTCCAAAATAAAAATAAAGAAGCTAAATAATGTATAGCGGTCACTTGCTTGATTACGAAAAGTTTCTTTCATTTATCTATTATAGATGGTCTCGTTCTTTCAGAGTATGTCTGATGACTTTTATCATGTTCAACTGTCTAAATACACGAGTCACTACAGATATTTTTTGAATTACCCATGTCACCTTCATACAAACAAGTTCAAGACAAGAACATAATTCAAAGATATTTGGAATTATTTCAAATAACTCCTTTTCATTTAAACTTTATTTGACCAGTAAACATGCCTTTGCACAAACGGTTTATTATGCATAAAGTGAAAAGTTACATGGAAAATCACTAATTATAGAAGAGCACCCTGCCAGCCAATGATATGCAGGTAGTATTAAAGGAATTTCTCCATACTTAATAATTAAATTACTTCACGATTGACAACTCACCTGGCTTTACCGCGAGAACTGGTAAAGATGGCATTTTAAAGCAATCGATGTTTTCATCATTAGTTTCGTTGCAAGCGCCAACATCTTTCGTTTTTATCAGTTTAGCCGAAAGTACTAGGGATTGCACAGTACCAGAAGCAGTCGTCGTTTTGTCAGTGAGGATAAAGAGTTTTAAACTAAAAAGCTTTTTAACATGGTGAAGTACAACCTGAATTAAGACTAGGCTTAGAAATACTTTGGTTTACATTTGCACCCAAAATATATTTGTCCCTGATCTTTCCTCCACCATGATCTCCATGAAATGTACCGATAGCAGACAAACATATTCTTGCAGCGTCATGTTCTGCATCTTTCTTTTTGGAGTGAACAGCACTTTGCTCGTAATGATAGCCATCTATTATAACTTTGGCTTGGTAACCGTCTGGAGCTGCCCATGTTTCGAAAGAGGGCGGACCAATTTTTTGTTTCTGGCAATCCTCAAACAAACAACTTTTCGCTGGTCGATGTAGTGCCATAGTTTACAACAAAAATACTGCCTCTACAACAGAGCAGATGAACACAATCAGTTTTGCTCCAAAATAGCCATAATCCTAAACAAAATTGTCGGCATCTTCATTAAATTACGTTGACACACCGGCGCTAACATCAATCCGCCAATGAAGAATTGTCACTGACTTGTATAATATACGGAGCGTTCAATTCAAATTACTTTATAGCTGCTTCTTTAGGAAGAAAACATGATGAGACTACAAACTTAGTACATTATGGATGTAGATTGGTGGTCTGACGTCTTCTAAAGAGTCTTTTGAAGTTTGAAACGCTCCTAAAATCTTTATCAATAAATCGATTAATAACAAAGAGAGGCATCTCGTAACATTTCAATAATTTGCACCAATCAAAGGAATGTATTCCACCACCATTTTGATCAACGATGCTCTTTCTCGGAAGACGGTGGAACTTATAAACTAAAACCGAATATCATTCTGGCCAGATGATATGTTAGTCTTTAAACTTTGAGTCAATGAACTTCATCTGTCCTAAAAATAATCCTTTCTCTCAAATATTTTTCAGAAACAGCATAACGAATCTAGAACCAGAAAACACTACACTGAGATAAGTAGCATGTTTATTTTGCGTTGCTTTCACTATCCTGACATTTAGTTTTAATCTGATAAACATTATAGAGGAATATATTAGTTTGTTTGGTCCAACAACAGTGCAAACTTTCAACAAGTTAAGGTTCGGCATCAGTCGCCTTTAGAACACAGTGTTGTTCACGTTCAGTGAAAAATATTCATGGAATACCTACTTTCATACTTGTTTAAAAAATAAAGCCACCAACATTTTATATTACAATTTTTATAAATTAACCTATTCTCACTGCGTGATGCTGACATTGTGCAAACTTTACAAGTAACTATCAAGATATCTTTTCTCATAAATATAGTCAAATAAAGTTTTACTGGATTTAACTGCTTCCTCACAATCCTCCTGTAGACATGATACTTTTTCCGAGGTAATAACATCAGGATCGGTTGCTCGAAATATGAGATGCTCACGTGATAAAAACCTATCTACCAATAAGCGACTACTGAAGATCTCGTCTTCATCAACCGTTTCATTAACCATCGATCTAACATCTTCGCTAAAAGCACAAAACGTGGAATAATCGTCATATTGCCAATTACCACTATCAAACACGTTATTTTCGTTAGGAGTTTTTATGATAGTTGGAAAATAAGGCGCAGACTTTTCAGTATTCAATCGACATCTTTCCAGGAAGTCTTTGTTTATTGTGAAATCGAGACGAGTGAACAATATCAATTCATTATCGTGGATTACTTTCAATACAGTTTTCAACACGGTAAGTGAGTCCAATTCCTCCTGAGTTTCGATCCAGACTGCCTTTTTTTTGTATTGCTCGGCCTCTTTCCAACTTTTATGTACGTTTTATACATTTTCGTATCATATCGAGAGGTAACGAAGAAAATACGCAAGTTCTCTTGTTGAAGTTTGTCTTGTACGTTACGAAGAAGAGATTGCAGATGTTCATGGCAATCTTGGCACAAAAGAACAATATTAATAACTTGTTCGCGGTCTTTAGGTGCCAGAAAACGTGCATGTAACTTTCCAAAGGAGTTCTTAATAAACACACGTCTTAGATGATGAAAGCTCTTTACCGTACCATTGACAACACGCTTCAATCGAGCAGTAAAATACACGACATGAACGTTGCACTTTAGGGGATTTTTCTTCATATAACCTACGTTGTACTGACCAAAATAAAATCCATGATGCAGTTGAGGTTTTTCCATCTTTATAATGCTTTCTTTTGCTTCACTCAGGATAAGATCCCATGCTTTTGTGGTAGAAGTTGTCTGTGAAGAGCCATACTCGTTCATACTATACCTAAATTTATCATGAAACATACCCCATGTTCTAATTGAGATGCTGTCGCGATTGCCTTCAGCGGGATGAAACTCATCGCATCTTATACAATGCAGGCAAGGTATCGGAGCAGAATTTTCATTATACCAAACCATTTCCTTAATATATTCCGTGTTTTTTTCTAAAGTCACGATACGGCTAAGACGCTTTCGTAGTTTTAAACTTAGAAAGTGGTAATGTAGACGATAAAGATACGCAGGATCTTTAATTGGATGGAAGCTCACAGCTTTGTTCATTGCTATCAAGTTAAGGTCTCCATGATAAGCAAGTTTTTCGTCACCGTAATCTTGTTGAAAATATTCACTTGCCTAAAGATACAACGAATTATCGAAGTCAGTTTTACAAAACTATTTCACTGAAAATCAATTGCTAAACTCCCCTTGCAATGTTTTTTTTTCAAATTGAAAAGTGCCGCACAGAAAAAAGAACTACTACTTTAATGGAATTTCAATTGTTACCTCGTAACCCCAAGGACACTGCACGCCTGCGAACATCTTTAGACAGCGGCCAATTTCACTATCCTCGTGCGCTGTAACCGTGTTATTTATGCATACATCCAAATGAGAGTGAACTTTCTTTAATACTGATTGACTCATTATTATCCCTGTACCTCCAATACAGAAGTTACTATCAATGCCAATCCCAGCTTCTTCTTCGTCGTCCAGGCCAGTACCCGGATGCCCTAGCAAAACGTCATCACTTGACGCTACACTTCTCAATAAGACACCTAAGTTTTCAGCATTTATATACACATCGTCATCGGCCCGTATAAACCATTGGAACTGATTGCCATAATTTTGCCATACATATTTGAGCATCAACATTGCTTTTTCTTGAGGAGGATAAACGCTATCTTCAACAGGAAGAACAACAACAGGAACAGACACTTTCTCTTCCACTCTATCGTTTCCAACAAAGAAAAGAACCTTACCAGGAATGATTTGAGCCCAGGTATTGTATACTGCAACTGCCCTTGAGTTGACTGTCCCATAATGCGTCATGATACTGACTAGCACTAGATCTCTAATCTTCATTTCCAACTCCACATTCAAATCGATGCTGTCATATTTCGTATTCTTTGATGGGTTAAAGCATTTGTTACGCCAGACTGTCGCAAAAGCGTAGATATTGAATAGATTGATGAAAGCAATCGACATGAGAAAGCTAACTACGACACCAAGACAGAAGAATATGTTTTGCATGATTCGTTCTTGAAGCAGGAACTCGTCATATGTAGTGGTTTACTTCCGTGGTTACCAGTCACAGTATATTGCATGATTTCACTAAAAAAAAAGGCAAGTCTACATAATCTACATAGAAATAGGTGATGGAATGCATTGAACATTGTAGAAAACAAAATCTTGATGAGCAATCGTCGTTATAACGTAATATAGAAGTTTCGACTTTGAGAAGAAGTTCCCGATTAAACGACACAACAATATATTCCTCAAAGAACAATTATTGAACGTCAACATTAACTTACTTTTCATCAACAACACCATTCCTCTCGCACATTCATGTCTTCAAATTTCCAATAAAACCAAACTGCGTTTCATGCGTTGAATTTTATGCACTTGAACCTAGCAATGTGTGTATGTTTACATGAAGCCAGTGAAACACGAAATTTATTCCATCCGTATCACCACGGGAGCAAATATCACGCAGATACAGATACTAATAATAACTTTGGAACCATAGTTCTTTAATATTTGGAACAATTACACCTTCAATTCCCCACAAACGAGGAGGACACACTATAGTATAAGTAAACACACTAAGAACGCTGCAACCACAATTTCAAAAACAAAGAAAACAAAAGCAACTGTATTTTAACTTAATGATCTTTCATTTTGAATCCTTTATTCTCATAAAGTGAAAACCATTGTAAACAACACCACGTCACTACATACAAGCTTAACATGAATTCGCACAAATCTCAACGAGAAGCCACTCACAGAAAGATGATGTAGCTATACTAGATGACATTCAAACGTCACGAGAATATCCTTGTTCAATTGCATGACGCAATGGTATCTTTTATAAGGTAAAATATTCACTGTGGCTAGTCATGCACGCAGAGACAAAAAAATTCAACAATGTTGGATTTTTAAATTTACATTTGTGAATTCACAACATTTATTAAAGATATTTTGTCGAGCACGAATAATACATCGAGAATGGTCGCAAGTCTGTTGTTGATACACAGCAGAAAACTATCAGATCCAGAACAGTGCTGTCGTGAAGGTCTGTGAGAAGTGTGAAGACGAGACGTCAAAGACGCCATTTATATCACGGGTCCATTATGATGATTAAGCATCAGTATAGAAAAGAAACCGTGCCTCCTCGAACATCAATATTTAAGTCGACGATTCTAGAAAGTATAAACACCACCCCACCTCGACTAAAACACAAAACAACACGCAAACTCAAATCCACAGGGGCATAACCCAACTCCTAAAACTTACATTCTTAAATACTTATATAAAAAAAGATTTACTAATCTTCATCTGAGTCTTCATCATAAGATCCAAGCAAAGCAAAACCAGTTGATTTTGTATTTGATTTCTTTCCAGTCACATCGTCCTTAGAATCCTCGCGTTTACGCTTAGATGATATCGCTATGACAACTGGAGAGTTGTTTCTGATACCTGAAGAAAAGCATTTGTCCAAAATGAAAATATAGAAGCTAAATTATGTATGGCAGCCACTTGCTTGATTACGAAAAGTTTCTTTCTATCTATCTATCATGGATGATCTCGTTCCTTGAGAGAATGTTTTATGACTTTTATCATGTTCAATTGTCTAAATACACGAGTCACTGCAGATATTCTTTTCATCACCCATGTCACCTTCATAAAACAAGTTTAAGACAAGAATATAATCCAAAATATTTGGGCAATGTTTCAAATAATTCCTTTTCATTTCGAACATTATTTGACCAGTAAACATGCCTTTGCACAAACGGTTTACTTTGCATAAAGTGAAAAGTTACATGGAAAATCACTAATTATAGAAGAGCACCCCTCCAGACAATGATATGCAGGTAGTATTAAAAGGAATTTCTCCATACTTAAAAATTAAATTACTACACGATTGACAACTCACCTGGCTTTACCGCGGGAACTGGTAAAGATGGCATTTTAAAGCAATCAATGTTTTCATCATTAGTTTCGTTGGAAGCACTATTATCTTTCGTTTTTATCAGTTTAGCCGAAAGTACTGGGGAATGCACAGTACCAGAGGCAGTCGTCGTTTCGTCAGTGCCAGAGGATAAAGAGTTAGTTGAGAGTTGATCTAAACTAGACACAGATCTCTGTAGGGCGTTAAATAAAATAAAGAATGCGTTGAGTAACGAGGTACATCTGGAGTTATTGGAACAGAAGATTCAACAAGCAGAGATGTACAATATTGGAAATAACCTTGTCGTGATCACGTGACGTTTCACATGCAGGAAATGAACGAGATGTCTTAGCTGGTGCCTGTTTTGGATGAAGAAGGAGAAAAAAGCCGCAAAAACAAACAAAATTGCATTAGTACATGTTGCGGAAAAAACTGAAAAATAAACACAATAAACGTGACTTAGTGTAAAAATAAGAGACAAAAAAGCAGAATGCAATGCGTGTGACGATGTCGTGCCTTACCTCGGTAAATCGTCTTTTTGCAGATTTAAGTGCTTCTTCGCTTGGTTTTATCTCAAATGTATCTGACGCTTTCACAGTTTCCCTGATAAATAACAATGTTATAGTATTGAGAGTCTGAGAGTTTTACAGCGACTTTCTCCAACCTATGACATCACGTACAGTCAGTGTAGATAAGTGAAAGTACCTCCGCCCTGTTTCTTACTCTCCTTTAACACAATATTTATAAAATTTCATTGTAAGTTTTGTTTCATACTTGCTGTTATCAGACTTTTCAGATTCTGATGTAGAACTACCATTGGATTGTTGGGAATAAGGACGAGAATCGATTTGTGTAGGTGATTCGGGTGTATATGGTGTACTTTGGGGCTTAGGTATAAACTGATCCATTAGAGCTTTTGGACCTAAAACAATTACATACGTAATAGCAACAATTCTAAATGATAAATTAAAGGATGAAATAGAGTAGTTCTATTGCATAGAGAAATATTCCTAAGAAGTGAGGGGAGATCCCACCATACCACTTATGAGTTTTTAACCTGAATCCTAAGAAGTGATAATTTAAAAAATTGATCCTATTCAACTTTACCTTCATTAAAATAAGGTGAACTAGGATAAATGATGGGAGAAGATGGTATCTGTTGATTAATGGCAACATTTGTGTTTGAGTGAGGCTAAACAGAGAAAAAAGTATTTCAATGCAATAGCTCATGTGCAAAAGACATATTTCATTTTACTTTCTTCTCACCTTCTGGGATTGATAATAAGGTTGAGGGTGTGGATTATGAGGAGAATACAGGTATGATGGATAGGAGGGAACAGGTGGACCAGAGTGTGGCGGCGGATCATATTGTGATGTTTGAGGCTAAACAAAGAAAGAGAAGTAGTACTAACATAAAATTAGGTGCTTCTATAGATTGAGTTACAACATATGACTAACCATATTACACACGTATGAAGATTGTGGTGAAGCCTTATTTTGTGTCGGATAATCTACAAGGATATAACCAAAAACATAATACTTAAACTACTTGTAAAACAGATTGGGTTTTTGAATTATGGAGTCTGATACAACCAAATGTGAGTAGTTGTAGTAGGTCAAAAAATTTACTTCAATGATCTGACTTGATCTACTACTGTTGATTAATCTTGGAGAGCAATATCAGCAGAACTGTTGACTACACACATTCCACTTTCTTAACCCTCCGGGCAAATTCATTTTCAAGTCAACTCAATGAAAATCAAGGCTAACATGGTAATTTTACCTCCATAGTTATTTGTTATCTCCACGATTTTACCTATATAGTATTTTTCTATATACCTTACCTCTGTAGTTAGTTATCTTTTGCCTCTATAGTTATTTTATCTTATTGTGATTTATTTAAATGTTTTGTAAAAATTTATGTCCCTCATGGAAATCAACCTGTGTTGATAATGAATATCAAGAAAATGAGATGTCTGTATTCAGAATCTGTTATATTTTATTCTATTTAAAATTGTCTGCTTGTACTGGTTATTGATAAGACCAGTGAATCAAAATAAAGATTTTCATTCATTCATTCATTTATGATTTTACCTCTAGAATTTAGATGATACAAGGTTTGCTGACTTTTATACTGTTGATAAGCAGTGTGTACCTAAAAAGAAAAACTCACATTAGATTTGTCTCAAAATACAATCTACAAAAGCTTGAAAGATGAACTTGAAATTGTAAGAATATTATTATTTGCTCTAGATCTTTATGCCACAGAAGTGCATGACATCCATTAACACTAATGTCCATCAAAAATTGCCTAATGTTTGTCTAACGATTTGGGGTGTGACTGCAAACACACAAGGCCACCACCACACAACACCCAACTCTCTAAATCTCCAATGACAGAACAATATGTTCTCAAAGAAAACTAGAAAATTCTTGAAACTACTTACGGTTTGGATAAGATTATCAACTAGTTTTTTAGCAGCTCCAAGACCAGAATAGTTAGAATGACTACAAATGAAAATCAAGGCATGTTTTCAAGCAAATCGTAGTTGAATTTTATCAATTGTTTGTTTTATAACATAAAACTATCGAACATTCAGTTGTAACGGTGATGCCACTGTTTGGTAATCAACATGAAACAAAACAGAACTATCAACCTAATATAAACATAGAGAGCTTCAAATGCCTCCTGTCCCGATGTAGGTTCAATAAAGCCTGAGCCCCTTCCTCGAAGCTGAACCTGCAAGGGATACAAGAATATGTGCTGTAAATCGTTTGAACCCGGGAGTATCGTTACATCTTTGTAAATGTAGATTGTCCAGGTTGGTATAGTCCTGAGAAGAGTATTTTGACTCTGAAGATGACTACCGCTAAGGTTGTAGAAACGTCAGTCAACAACAACAAAAACAGTCCTTCTCAGGACTATACCAACCTGGACGATCTACATTTACAAGCAAATATGTGCTGTCTTGGCCTTTTCAAACAGACTAAATTTTTTTCAAAAACCAATGTTAAACATTTATTCATTCCTGACCTTAGCTCCAGTTTCTTTGGTGATATGATGAAAATAACTCTCCTAAGAACAATAAAACTGAGCTAGTCATTATCAAGTAATAAACTTATCAAACTACTTCATATTTATGACTTACACCTGGTCCCAGAATTTTTTCTTTTAGGTTAAATTGAGCATCTACATCATCTAGTCCAACAAAAACCTTTTCTTGAACATAATACATCTGGAAAGGAAAAATAACAAAAACATTTTAATACTCTTTATTACATTAGTATTTAAAACTGTAAATACCCCTGATGGTATATTTGATGCTTGATTATGAGGATTTGTTTTACTTGTATCTCCAACACTTGCTAAATTAACCGGCTTTATCACACCAGCAGTAGACTTAGGAGGCTGAAAAATTTTACATAAAAGTTAATAACAAAATTAAGGGCAGCAGATAATGCTAGAGTAATATATATGTTTGATAATTCTTCCAGATTATCATTTACAAAAGTGATATTGTTGCCAGGCACTCTAGTTTTCTGTATGCAATATTAAATTCTTGGTGTTGCCCAACAACCAAAAACTCATGTCAAAATTAATACAATATTTCAAGCATATAAGTACAATGGCTAGTAACTTTTACATAGTTATTTCAACAAATAAAAGAAAGAGTGTTTTCACTTTGCAGAAGTGAAATATTTGAAATAGTAATGCTCATTCTCCAACTATTATTACCAGCATTACATATAAATTACTCTAGATTTACCAATAATGGTGGAGTTGAATTCGTGGTCAGCTTCCCCTTTGCAGCCAACATTTCATTAAGCTTTCTGGCAGCTTTTCGTGCCGCTTCTGCTGGTGAACTGGCATTTTCTGGTGGGTTATCCCACTTGCTAACACGCTTCCGACTACAAAAAAATCGATGACACATTTTGTAAAAAAAATAGTTAAATAAAAGTACTTTAACATATATGTCATAGCAAAAGGAGCCTTGGGTGAATTTAATTTAACAAAACCATAAAAAGATTTCACCTGTTTCGCTGTTGAGCAGCCGCCATTTTGACTCGTGTTTTTGCCGATGCGCGCGATGCCTGACTCAAGAACAAGAGAGAGTCGTGGGCTACACGCGGCACTTATCAACTCGTGAAGGCGGGAATATTTAAAGAGCAAACTTCAAGATGGATGAAAACAAAACATTTTCAAACAACGTTTCATGGCACAAACAAGACGATATAGGCTTCCTTTGCCACGATATAGCAGAATGGCAACCAGTTTTTGTATCAAACAATTGTGAAGACCAAAATCATCTCAGAAACTGGCAAACACAGAACGTTTCGACAGCTGGACGTTGTATTGAAAATGAGCCTAGTCATTTTTCTGCAGAGGAAAGTCAGCTTTTGACAACACGGACACAATCAGTTGAATACTCAAAAGAAGCAGAAACGTCTAGAAAAATGGCATTTTTATCAGCAATTCGCTACGCAAGGTATTGACATAGTGCCAGAGGCCTTTTTCCAAAAATTATCTTAGAAAATTCTTCCATTACAGACAATCCAAAACTGTGAAGAGAAGACAAGATCACGACAAGCACAATCAGCATACAAACGTGTGTTCTCCAAGACTCACACCATCCTTTCCTTTAGAGTTTGTTGGTCATGCATCTCGACAACTGTATGTTCATCTTCTTTTCAAACTACTTTTTTCCATACATTAACTGCATCTTTCATTAGTAGAAATACACAGGGCAAATATGTGCCTTACAACAAGTGCAACGACGAAATGGACATTGTAGCCAGGGTATGATATTTTCCTTAACGCATACAGTGTGAAATTTCAACATTTTTCATCCTTACAGTTGAATGAATCATTAATTTAGAAAGCAGATTTGCAGAAAGACATATTTCAGAAGGAACATCGTACTTCCAGGAACGAAACACCACTTCCCCCTACTAAACGAAAAAAGAAAGGATCACGAAGAAATGACAAAACTCGCTCAATGATTGCCATGGAAAGACACTATGAGCAGCTACGACGAAAACATGCCGAGTTCAACTGGTAGGATATAAATTATTTGAAAACTTGTACATTTGAACTTTGCTAATAGTCTAGAATGCTTTCTTAAAAAATCCAGGAATCTACCATGCAGTCAGCACAGTAATACTCAAGAGAGCAAGTCAACAGACGCGGACATCCAACTTGTGCCAACAACACCTTTATCGAGCAATATAATTCACCATCATTGTATCCAACCAACGATACTTGTGGATTATTCATGAACAATTCAACAACATTTGACATGAAAAATTTCCAACAAGAACAAAAACTTAAGCGTCAAATGGTAATCTTTAGACTTAGAATGCATCACTAAAATTTTCTACTCTTCCTGAACTAATCTTTTTTGTGTGTTTTAATGCTTTCAAGGACATGTGCGATCGCTTCACTTTTGATGACGACAACGAAGAAACATTCGACAGACCCGATAGCGAATCCCATCTTGGTAGCGAATCCCATCTGTTTCCCTACTGATTTCTATTTACCCTATAACAAAGGCTTGGCTATGCCATAGTTGTATATTGAAATAAATGGAAGAAATAATAACGTATCAAATTAATAAACGTCAAAAATCACTACGTATGTTATATTGTTAACTTTGTTTTATACAGAAAACGAATATTTTTGCTGAATAACACATCATCATAAACTGTTCTCCATAAAATGTTCATACAAACTCACTCGATTTATTCTTGTCTGAAGAAACATGATAATCTCAAATAATTAACTTACATACATATACACTAATATTTTTTCTAATTCGTTTCATATTTGTAAAACCAAATGTCACTAGCATTGGATTTTTATCTGTGAATTACAGTCCAAGCAAAATTTTCATAACCTGATTTGCACATTGTGAAAAAACGATGCACAAGCATAAATGCAAAAAGTGAAAGCAAAATACACACAGCTAGCTCTATGGCGTAGAGGTCTGTTGCATACTAAATACGAGCCATCCGTCTATAATGAGATGAATTGGTCGAATTGACGTTAAATTTGCGAATGCGTCTGTAATGATTACAATGTAGAAATGCTTTATTTACTACCAAAAAAGCTGTCAGTCAACACCATCAAATCCTTCGGTGTTATAGATGGCGAGTTTTAATTTTTCTTTAAGTTCATGATAGCTGCTAAACTTTGGTAGATCGAGTCGGTTAAAGCTACATGAAAAATGTTGAAAATGCATTCAAAACTGATATAAAAAGCACACGGTAATGCACGAACAACTCAAAAGAGGTAAGTTTCATGCTGTCAGTCACATGTATACTATGACGAAACCATACAACAACAAACCAAACAAAGTAAGAATAAAAATATACATTGTAATACCATGTATGTGCTCGCGGCAGCGAATGTGGTTTTCCCCAAGGTTCAATGGTGAATTTCTGAGGTCCATTGCTACCATAGAGCTCGGCGAATCCATTCATTGGCACACGAGAGGTGCCTGTAACAATTGTAGCAGGCATGTACGGTCTTCCATGTTGAATGACTGGACTGCCTGAAAAGAAAAAGAGTAAATGAGTGAATGCAGGAGTAAATGAGTGAATGCAAGAGTGTGAGTGAATGCAGGAGTAAATGAGTGAATGGAAATGTGAATGTAAGTAAGTGGAATGCAGGGTAAATGTGAATGCAGGATAAATGGAATGCAGGTATGATGAAGGGTAAATGAGTGAATGCAAGGTATAGTGAATGCGGAGAATGAGTGAATGGAATGAGTGAATGCAGGATAAATGAGTGAAGTGGAATGTGAGTGAATTGAGTGAATGGTGATGAATGAGTAATGATGAATGGGAGTAAATGAGTGAAGGGATAAATGGAATGCTGCAGGAGTAAATGAGTGAATGCAGGAGTAAATGATGAAGGAGTAAAGTGTGAATGCAGTAAATGAGTGAATGCTGGAGTAAATGAGTGAATGCAAGAGCAAATAAGTGAATGCACGATTAAGTGAGGGAAAGCAAGAGTGAATGAACACAGATTGGTAATCTTTGTGATGACATTCCCGCTGTAATTTCCAATAATATTCAGAAGACGGCTGCATTAGCTGACGTTCGCTTAATTTTTTGCAAAAAATATTATATATCTGTCGTACTCTTTATAATTGCATTGATATCCAGGCAAAATTATTTCGTAAAATGGAACACACATGCACGAAGAAAGCTAAATCAAACAACCACATGGAAACTCGACATTAAAGTATGATTTTTAATACCTTCCAAAACCACTGAATGATGGAATGTTGATCATGATACTCCCCCCGGTATATCGTGTTCTTTCGCCAGTCTTCTATATCTACCATAGCAACACCACACATCAACAACTATATAAAAACATATAAAAATGAATGTGAGTAGCTTCTCAAAGCAAGACAACTACAGAAAATAGTTTTGTCCAGGTGATGTTGTTGCATTCCTTTACAAGAAATTGAATAGGCGAAGGAAAACAATTAGGAATTATTAGCAGACTTATTGATCATACTTCCAGTTCTCTTTCATCAAACATCTTTATCTGATTTTGAGGAATCAATTCGTTAAAGCCCTGCAGATTAACGGAAATAAAAATAATTAGAGATAATGTCGCAAATGAAAAGACAGTGCAACAACTACCGCCATTCACAACAGTGTAACAACTACCCCCACTGACAACAACTACAACCATTCACACCGGTGCAACAACTGCCATAATACAAACCTCCATAAATTTCTTCATCTGTTTCTCGACTCGATTTACAAATCTCCATGCTATGATTAAGCTGACAAAAGGCATAAATTAAGTAAATATGGGTTGAAGTCATTAATACATCCATCAATATATATGTACCGTATGTATTCAATCTTATTCAAATTTGTCAATTTTATGTTGGCTCCATTATGCGTTAGTTCAACAACCTGAACCTAAAAGTTGAAAGGTGTCTATGCAATTACAAAAATAATCAGTTCATACGTAGTTGTTAAACGTTCATACGTAGTTGTTAAACGTTCATACGTGTAAACATAAAGTAAAATATTTAACTGCAATGGGATAATCATGGAAGTGAAACTACTTTACAAAAAGACAATGAAATATGTGTTCACTAACATGTCCGAGCACTTCCTCATCAACGGAGAAAGTCAAATCAAGAACTTCAGCATCATTGTCTAAAATCCACTGTAAACTGTTGTAGTATTCCGTATCCTAAAAATAACAAAAATTAAAAAAGCAATAATAATAAAAAGCAATTAAAAAATACCACACTAACAATAAACAATACCATCATAATAAATATCTCAACACATTACTTACAACGCTCTCCATGTCAATTAAATCAATCTTCTTCCCCAACATCATTTTATAAAACGGTCTGATGAAAAGGCTAAGAACAAAATAAATGTATCTCTTTCATGCAAACAGATCAAATTCGGACTCACTCATTGCAATATTTGAACTCCCTCTTTCTTGAAAGCCCTTTCATTTGTCCATCAACATAAACAAACGAATTTATCACTCACTTATTTATTTACAAATTTCTCTTTATCAGAAAAAAAATGAGAGGAAAAGTGAAGGAGGGAGGATGCAGTCCCCATCTCCAACTGATACACGAATATCACCCACCATCCAATAATTTCCCATGGTATACAGCCATTCCAGCTATCCTCCCAATGAATTTAAAATATTTCAGGTGCTCTTCGTTACATAATCCAGAATTCGGGTTGATTTGAAGTGTGTATGTATCACTGAAATAAAAAAGATCATTCAACACATTCATTTATAAATAACACAGCCACATCCATACGAAAGCAAATTCGTTATACTTTGCCGAATATTCAAATAGGCCATAGTAAGGATTGAATACTTCTTTCGACAATAAATAAAACCATTCCCTAGAGAAGAGAGTGAAAATCATATCACCCTCGATCATAACTACGGACAGATCACCATAAAACATGTGTACCTCTGCACCCCTCCATAATCCAGGCCGACCTCCTGATCAAAGATCACCCAAGGTCTTGTTTTCAGATAATCAGGATTTGGAGCGTGGTATACAGCTCTGAAAGAATCTTCCAAGACATGATCACGTCGTACGTTGATGTCATATTTATTTGGAATATTTTTCTAAATGTAAAAAGAGAACAATTTATTTTCACACGGAGTCCTTTGGATCTCCTTCGCCGAACTACGTATCCGTCAAAAATTATCCATTTAGAGCCCCTGTCAATCATTCCAATCTCCACAAATCAACATCAATGGTTGTGATGCATTTCATTGAAAAAAGCGTTACGTATATCAACTTACAGGTCTTTTAAGCTGAGATCGAAAAAGATCATATTTCTTCTTATAACTTCGAGAATAAGGTACAGCCTACAACACGAAACGTTCAATCAATATACATCGTCATGAAATTCAATTGAAATTCGTATTCATCTTGTAGATATATTGCCAGAGATATCCAGAACCTCGGTTGGAGTATTTTCATTCAGTAATCTTGGATCTTCCCATTGGGTTGAGCGAGTGTCTTAAGACAAAACAAAAACATTGATATGGCTATTGAACCAGCCTAACATTCATTCATTCATTCCGTAATATAAATAAAGTCAATCAGATAAGAAAACCTACAGAGCAGTTGGTCAAAGGTTTCAACAAGGAAGAAACAAAACAAGTACGTAGATCAGATGTCGGTCGTCAAGGTTATTGCAGCTCTGACAACAACTGTTGGTGTGAATGTCGACTTAGTGACCTCATGACTACCGCTTAACATGTCAAAACTAAGCACTAACAATCTAACACCAACAATCTTCTCAAAACTCCACTTATCTGGACGATCTTTCTACAAACATGCAATATGTAAAAGTTTGTGCTATTTCTATCGTGGCTATTAATGCCAATATACCCATACAATAATAATTGTCCATCAAAATGTAAAAAAAAAACCCAAATACAGCCATAAACTCCGACAAGCACCAAGCTCTGAAGCATTCACTTACTATGATCTATGTAGAATTTCTTTCCCTCCGTATCCATACGCTCTTCCCAGCCATCCTAACAAAATAAGAATACAAATTTATGTTTCTACATTCCTGAAAGCACCACATAACGCTTGATGTTCTTCACTATAACGTACAGGTAACGGTCCAAGATCTGGTGCATCCACTTTGGGAGCTGGCGCCTCAGGTGAGCGACCGGATGGAAAGTCCATGGAAAGCCTGGGATCAGTCTGTGATTTGCAACGAGAAAAAAATAAATAAATACTCAATAAGAAATGATAAATGAAAGTGAATACATGATTAAAAGATGTTAGTGTGATGAGACAAAAAATTGAGCTAATTAGTTGAAAATGATTGAGAAGGAAATCACCAACTGTTTTAATTATAAATGAAATAATTGCTGCTTACCCAGGTTGTTGTTTGTGTATTGTGGTCAATGTAAAATGGCCTCCCTGAAGCAGTATACTGCATAGCCCAGCCAGGAGGGAGTGGCTCAATCTCTAAAGCCTGCTGAAAAATATGTATACTCATGACTTATGACAGATTACAAATCTGCAAAACAAAAACACATAAGAGACATATGTGGGCATTTTACTAGTGACATATACTATAAAAGGCTAAACATTAAATAAATCACGCTTTGTACATGTCGAGCATCCTCTGCATCCTCTACACTCATGTGACGTCGCAGTGAGAATTGATTTTGAGTGAAACGAGGTTGTTCAGGAGAAGAGGCCGATGGTATTGGCATTGCTGTTGAAATAGTATGCTCTCTACAAAAGAGATTTTAGTCATTGTTATCTATGACAGGGTAATACATAGCAATTTGTGTCTTCAACAACTTACTCGTCATCTTCTGTTATAGTTGGTCTTGTCCATGATGTTGTTCGTGAACGATGGTTGATGTAATATGTTCTTCCATTGGCATCCTAAAGTTAATAATTACAGGTATGATTATTCAAAGTAGAGCATATAAATATTGTATAAATTATAATATCACCTGTCTTTCATCCCAGCCTGTGGGGAGGTCAGGCATCTGCATGGGTGCTGAAGGCTCCTCAACATCGGGCATGTTTACAGTAACACGATGCATTGAGCCCAAACGGCGCTGTATACTAGTTCTTGACATTTGGGGATAAGATTGGTCGTTGTCATGAAAAACATCACTGATATCATCAATGTGGCTTGCATGCTCTGCTTCTAAAACATGAATAATCACCTCAAGAATTAAAGAAGATAACTGATGATGTTAAAGTAAGCAACTTGCATCACTAACCATCCAAATCTCTCATAAAGTAAAGTAGCAATTCTAGTGATCCTTTTACCCGTGATCGCTCACTAAAACAGCACTCTTTTCAGTTTACAGTCACCAATAGCCACATCAACATAATAATTTACAATAAACCTTCTTCTGTTCAAATTGTATTCTTTGGGAATGATATCCATGTTTTCTTGTTGAGTCTAAATGTTATGAAAAATATAATAAAGTGACAATAATGGAATCGCGAACAAAACATTGACAAAAGTCACCGGAATGTTAGTTAGTGGCATTTCTATTTGTCCAAGAAAATCATCCCTTGTCTGAAATCATAAAAAAGTGTGAAGCAAAATGCTCTTTGTAAGTTCAACTCAAGAGAGTAACTTTCATTACCAGTCTGTTTTCATCAAAGACTTCAAATAACAATTTGTGTTGATGTTGATTAACCTACAAAATGCAATATATATATTCAGACACAATATTACAAAAAATTTCAAATGATGGCTTACTCACTCTAATTTTAAAACCCTGTTGCCATTTTGGATCCAGTGTCTGAAACAAATACAAAGTCTTTACAAAAAAATCATTCATACATGAAACAAAAAGACCAACACAGGTTTGAATGTAGTATGATTTTTGCCAATTACCTTTTTAATGGTTAATGTTTTGAATTGATCAATAATTTCATCATTCACATAACTTTTCACAACTATTTTACAATAAGGGTCACTAAAACAACAAAGTAATATTTTACACTGTTTATCCAAGTAAGAAGTATGAATTAGGTCAGTGAGATGGGGGTAAGCATTTGGATGGAAAAATAAACATAAAATGATAATGATAATGAAGATGTTATTATTTTGGCAATTGCACATTACAAAATTAAAAAATTACAACTACATCTTGAAAGCAAACTAAAAAGTCCAAAGCACCATGACAGAACAATTAATATATATATATTTGTGACTCTTAATTTGTTGCAATTTGGCATACCAACACCATAATTTATACAAGTTTACCTAAGTCCAAATACGTCCTTTTTTGCTAACGTTTTCGCGTGTAAAACAACGACATGTAATATACGTAGGGGATAACTACTTCGTGTTCCACCCTGAAATTTGATCAGTAAACAAATTTACTATAACTTAGTAAACAAATTTACTATAACTCCAAGGGCGCTGCCATTCTACACACAGAATAATTTATTATTTCAAGTTAATAAAGTTTAAAGACTTGATAGAAAAAGAGACTAACCGCTTCCAGGCTTACGCCATATATAGTCGAATCAAATGACACTTCTTCCAAACGGTTGGCCGCCATTTTGCAGCGTCAACGAAAGAACCTGGGGTATAAAAAAATAATTCATATGGTGTGACGTCGTCAAATTAAAAGTTTCTAAAATTAACTTGCTAATAATTAAATTGTAGAAAAATTACCTCGGTCAAAGTATAAGATATCAATTATTGTACACAGGCGTATTTTTGTTAATCTTTTTTTCATAACAGCCGTTGAATGGTGAATAATGCATAAATGTTTTGCGTGACAAGCTGTTGTAACTATGACTCCGAAACAAAGCAATTATTTGAAACTACCTTATGGCATGTTTTTGATACTTGAAAATGTCAGTTTGCAATATGTGCGATGAAGTAGGAATAATGAACTGAGAGGAAAAAATGGTCTAGTGGTCTAACTAACATGGTCTTTTCAAGCTCTTTTCGGACTAACATATGTACAACACATATATTTAATTTCAATTTCAAGTTGCTTCAATATCAGGAAAAAAAAACTGTTTAAATAAATGTTAGCTCACCTTTGCGTGAGACATTTGATTTTAAAATTACTTTGAGTATCACAGTTCGATAGCGGTTTTGCAAAGCCACTGTGAATAAAAACTCTACTTGTGCTAATTCTGCTATCTTGTTGAGCACTTTGTATAGTATCTCATTTCCGTTTACGATAATTGTTACAAAATATGTTACATGCGTGCAGATGTGGTAATATGACATTTTTTTTCACGTGGTTTTTCATCATCTCGATACTTTCAGGTAAAAATATGTGCTGAGACGTTAGTATGCACTTATACATGAAAATTGTTGATCGTCTAGCTGCGAGATCATCAGTAATTTGTTCTTCCTTTGAATTTTGCGGAAGCTGAAGAACGATTGATGTATTTCCTTTTTTACAGAAATTTACGATTAAGAAAATTCGTGTTTATTTAAAGACATAGAAAAGCGCTTCTAGGAAGAAGCTTCTTGTTTCTTCCCCGAGCTCCAAAGACCATGGATCGTTGAATCAAGAAGTTTTTTCTTTGCTGTTTTTTGGGGTAAGTGTCGATCCAGCGGTTGGACTAATATCATAGTAGTTTAATTGAATTTTACGAACTCCCAAATTTATTTTTGTACGCATTAAGTTTTCACATAATGCTGGAACTGTTGCCAATAATCTAACAAACTACTTCTATGTTTTGTAAGCTCGTACATATAGTATTTGATTTAATTTAGGAGCTCACAAGAAGTGTTGTTATAGAATGGAAAGTTCAGTTTTTTATTCAGCTAATCCTGCAAGCAGACTGCGTCCGCCTACCACATTGTTACAGAGTCTCTTTGAACTATGTGTTATAGTAGGAATGGATGAAGACACAGGATTGGTGCCTCCAAGAAGGGTAAGCATGGGGATGATTGCAAATCATTGTTCTTTGAAATACATTTGATGTACCTGATATATGTAGCAACTAGGATGATCTCTGCTCCATCTATCCTTCAATTTTTAGACCATTCTTTCGTTTGTTAATGTTTCTTATTTTTGAATTTTATCATTTATGTCAGTCACGAAAAAGTAGTGTAGCTAGCACAAGCTCATTTGATGAAGAAGTTGCCTTCAATAAGGAGTTTGAAGCATCCATCTTGGCTGTACTTTCCGGGCAGTTTATTTCATTTCCACAGTCAAAAGAACATGTAAATGGTACGATATCTTTGAAACTGAATAACTTAACACTACCAATTGATGCAAGCACATTGCAGTTTTTCTTAAGGAACTTTTTCCTGAGAAAATTAGTTTGCAAGCTTGTTAATATCAGTTTGTTAATACCCCATACAAACATATCCTTTTATCATTTTAGGTTACCCATTCTACAAGCAAGATCATATAGCATGCAACACTCCTAGTAGCTTGACTCCACCAACAACAAGTGGCAAACTAAGATTTACTAAACATGTTGAACTACCGTTGGGGTCTGATGTGATATTCAGTCTGCCTCAGTTTTGTTTGCCAGGTGCAATAGAACATTGATCTTTTTTTCAAATTATTACTTTAATTATAACAAGATAAGCTTAATTTTTCTAAAATTAGTGTATTTTATTGTAGATGGAGCATTTGTTTATGACAGTCAACCAGATGATGCTATTTATACATTAGTGCTAACTGACATTGAAGGTTGATTCCATAAATTTGTCAAGGTAAAGCTTTCCTTATTTAATTATTTTTCTTCCTTTTAATTGTTTTAGGAGAAGGAGCTATTGTAGCTGCCTAACTTTTTACAAACCATACTATGCCATGGAGGTAAAACACATGTTTGTGAGAAACAGCTGAGAACTCACTTATACAGCATTATAAGCAAAGAATATTTCTTATGAAATTAATTGTTATTTATTATAGGGAATGAATAATCCTGTTCGTTTCCTTTTATCAAGTAAAGATTTCAACAAGAGCAATGGTGAATCAAATACAAGAATTTTCTTTCACTTTCTTTGTTTCAAATGATCATACAAAACAATTCTTCCCTTTCATCTTCTGATGTTTCTTTTTTTTCCTGTCATTTTTTCTTGAATTATTTATGAATTTCTTCTGCTCTCAATCTTCCAGGGAAATCACATATTTGTTATGTCCCAACATGCTGTTGTCTCATTTCCAAATATCCATACTTTCACATTGCAAAGGATTGTTTATCGAGGTAAAATTAAGAGCCAATCAATGAGGATGAACTCAAAGGCAAGAAATTAATTTCTTTCTCGCAATAGCTTTTTACCTGTCCTTTCAACATATGGCAATGATATGAAGGAAGCAATGATGAAACTTGTATGCAAATTATGCCAAGTGCCAATTCCACCAGCAGGGACGGTTACCATAGTAAGTGATAAAACACAAGAATAAATATGAGAGGGATGGTTGGAGCCAGAGTTCAGATCCATACAAGAACTCTAGTTGTGTTTCCGAAAATATGAGATTTTAGTGGACATTTGTTTAAGTAAATATTCTAACTTCCTCAAAAATACGACAAAAATATAGTTGGCAATGAAAAAATAAAAACGTCTGCTGGCACCGCCTACAGTACAACCTCAAGTTTGGTATTACGAGATGTCATGACCTTGCGTCAGCAATGACGTCAAGTTTTTCTAGGACATGCAACGTTATTACTAAGAAGCGGTGTGCTCTACCAGAAAACATCGGAAAGCTAATCTTGATTTAGTTTAATGAAAAGAAAGCTTAGATAATGTTTTACCGGTATTTTCTCAAAACATTTTTTAAAATTTCATTAAGTTTTTAGAATCCGAACTTTTTACCGGAGTTTAAACTTGTTTTAAGGGTAACTTTAGTTGAAACTCCCGGAGTTTGCACAGTACTGATGACATAAGTATTTTATCTTGAGCAGTTTACCTCATTGCAGTTCCAAATGACTGTGGTAATCTTTCTAGACAGCCCTTTTTTTTGTTTTCTTCAATTTTTGGGGAAATGACATTTTCACTACTTTCTAGGAATTCGAGTTGTGTAATACGAAGCATATTATTAGACCGGCCTCTGAGCCAAGTGAGTAGATGTTTTAGTCTGAAAAAAATGGCAATTAAGAGTTTTAAACTATCTCTGTCAATTTTTATTTTTTCAGAAAAACGCATCATCAACATGGATTACCATTTACCATTTCTTTGTTTTTCTGTCGATAACATACTTCTGCTTCTTAGCTGTATCTTGACACAACAGAGAATCATCTTTCTTGCCTCTGATTATTCGTTACTAACACCTATAATAGAGGTAGGTATCACGAACTGTCACAGTAGTCAGAACCACATTCATTCGTATAATGAAATGTGACATAAAGCTGGAGCATTTTCTTCAATTTTATCAAAGGCATTGCTAAGTTATATCCAGCCGTTGATTTGGAGTTTGACTTATGTTCCTGTTCTTCCAAGGTATATGAATTATCTATTCACATCGTGATGGCGGGTGTTTAAGTTTAATGTTGGGCCCTCATGAACTGTTGCTAAAATTAACTACTATATATCATGAACCAATACTTGTTTCCAATAGTAATTTGATTGATCTTTTGGACGCACCTGGGTCTTTCATAATGGGCTGTGATAGCAAGCATATCTTGCAAGTAAAAAGATTACTCGAAGCTCAAGACGAGGTATGACGGCTCCAAAAATTTCGAAGGCTAGAACTTACAACACGAGTCATTGCTTGGGTCTTTTCATTGATCTTTTAGGAATCAGGTATAGTATGCGCAAATATTGACGACGGGGAGGTTGACTCTGGGAAGACATTAATTCATCTCATTCCTGAATTATACCGAGACGACTTCAAATGCAAGTGAGAAGAACAAAAATTCTTGTGTCTACTTAGTTTGTGAGATTTTTTTAACAATTCGATCAACATATATTATTTAAGGATCAAAGATATCAAACTATTTTACGATTTGGAGGAGGTGTCAAGGTATGTACCCTATAGCTTCATTCTACATATTTAAAAAAATTATTGACATTGTTTGCATATTCTATATACGTGAATGAATATTCAATTTTAGCATCTCTTTGCTTGACGCAAAGGAAATGAGGAGACGACGTCGTACATTTTACAGAGATTGTGCGAAAAGCATTTTGGAAGGTATGCATGCACAAAAACTACTTCTGTACAAAATATTAGAACATATGATGGAGGCTACAATGATCGACTGACTTGATTTTCTTAACGCTTATTAGTTTGCATGGATCTGATGTTGAATTTATTCAGGTAATGACATCCTTGAAGTAAGTTTTCTATTTAAAACACAAAAATGCATCCTGCAAGCGGTAAGATATGAATATTTATGAATACTCACGTTTCTGATGAAAATTTCCAGTGACTTCACATATTTCGTCAAAGGACAAGGTTCGGACAAGAGTCAACAAGTACTCTTTGACCGTGTTGGTTTTGTTGAATGCAAACCGGAAAAAGATCGACAGTTTTACCGACAAGTACGTGTTGACTAATCTGATTGTAAGCAGCACGAGCGTTCCTCGATTTCAATGAAGTCTCTTTGAATTTAGCTGTGCGCAAGTCAAGCTTTCAGCTTTTATTTATGCGAGCGCTATGAAAAAAATGAAGAGGACTTCTTTTCCAGTGCGATAACAGAACAAGGCAACTTGTGAGTATTTGAACAGATCGTCTTTATCTTGTTCTATGTCAGCATATCGTCCATTTTCACTCACGTGTAGTTTGAGGTAGATCACTTTTTCCACCATATCATCTTTCACACCTTCCGCTAGTTTATTCATGTCATTTGCAAATTAACTTGTTTTGTGTTACAGTCAACTCTCTTCTAACAGATACCTCTATTGCGGACATTTTTTTACGTCCTGATTATATTTTAACTCATTTCCTATAATAAAATAGGTATAGTCTCTCATTAAGGACCAAATATACATCAGCATTTCCTTAAATAAGGATACAGATAATGTAGGACACAACAAAAAGCGCGATTTCCTCACAATTAATAGACTGAGGAACTCAATTCTTTCTTGCATGCAATCTTTGTCTTCATTGAACTTATAAAAAATTTCAATAATGACATCACTACACATATTTGTTACTGTTCAAAATTTAACGTCCTCTTGAAAGCTCAAGACTCATCTATGATGATACCTAACTCTTCTTCATTTCTTCATATTATCCAAGTATAAATTCAGTCGACACAATGTATACAAATTCTCATAAAATGATCGCTAACTTTCTATAGTGCTAATCACCATAAAAGAAGTTCGAGCTGTTTAGAAGTACGTCATAGTAGATCATCAAGTAGTTTATCGAATGGCAAAATCTTTTTGAACACTCAAGAGGTCTTCAAGCTGACGCCATTTGTTGAAGAAGGAATACATACAGGTATTGTTACAAACTGTCAACATGAGATAGCTGCGTCTTTTCATCATTGATGGTTCATTAATTTCTTTGTTTATATAAGGACGTTTCTACGAGAATTGCATTAGAGATTTGAATAATTTAATTCAGGTAAATGTGCACCTACAATAACTAAGTTTTTTAATAGTTACACGTGTGACATATTTAATAGTTACATGTAAGACATGTTTAATAGTTACACGTATGACATATTCAATAGTTACACATGTGACATATTTAATAGTTACACGTGTGACATATTTAATAGTTACACGTATGACGTATTTAATAGTTACACGTGTGACATGTTTAATAGTTACACGTGTGACATATTTAATAGTTACACGTATGACGTATTTAATAGTTACACGTGTGACATGCTTAATAGTTACACGTATGACATATTTAATAGTTACACGTGTGACATATTTAATAGTTACACGTGTGACATATTTAATAGTTACACGTATGACATATTTAATAGTTACACGTTTGACGTATTTAATAGTTACGTGTGACATGTTTAATAGTTACGTGTGACATGTTTAATAGTTACACGTATGACATATTTAATAGTTACGTGTGACATATTTAATAGTTACGTGTGACATGTTTAATAGTTACACGTATGACATATTTAATAGTTACGTGTGACATATTTAATAGTTACACGTATGACATATTTAATAGTTACACGTATGACATATTTAATAGTTACACGTGTGACATATTTAATAGTTACACGTGTGACATATTTAATAGTTACACGTATGACATATTTAATAGTTACACGTATGACGTATTTAATAGTTACACGTGTGACATGTTTAATAGTTACACGTATGACAAATTTAATAGTTACACGTGTGACATATTTAATAGTTACACGTGTGACATGTTTAATAGTTACACGTATGACAAATTTAATAGTTACACGTGTGACATATTTAATAGTTACACGTGTGACATGTTTAATAGTTACACGTGTGACATATTTAATAGTTACACGTATGACGTATTTAATAGTTACACGTGTGACATGTTTAATAGTTACACGTGTGACATGTTTAATAGTTACACGTGTGACATATTTAATAGTTACGCGTGTGAAACATTTAATAGTTACACGTGTGAAACATTTGATAGTTACACGTGTGAAACATTTGATAGTTACGCGTGTGAAACATTTAATAGTTACAAGTGTGAAACATTTGATAGTTACAAGTGTGAAACATTTGATAGTTACACGTGTGAAACATTTGATAGTTACAAGTGTGAAACATTTGATAGTTACACGTGTGAAACATTTGATAGTTACACGTGTGAAACATTTGATAGTTACGCGTGTGAAACATTTACTAGTTACGCGTGAATTATTTTTATTACGTGCTGTAAGAAATCAGACGTTAAAGGTCCCTCTGTCGAAGCGTGCTACCTTTATCTTCGTGGTATGATGTATGTAGCGAATGGACAAATTTATGAGGTATGTACAACAATAGATCATGACATTTAATTCCCATTTCCTTTACATCTTCTCCAATTTCAATTCAAGGGTCTTGACGACTTTTTCGCATTGTCATCAAAAAGCGTGAGGATTTTCCCCACCAAGTTAGTAGATTGGTCTTCCTTGAAACATGTAGAAATTCACATTGAAATATTGAATGCACGTGTGCTTCTTGCAGCTCAATCATTGAAATACTTAGTCCGTTTGACTTGACTTTGTGGGCAGATTTGAAAATAAAAGCTATTTTCGTAAACTAGATTTACTGATGCGCAAGAATAAGGTAGGATCATGCCGGGTTTTTGAATAAGGAGATCATACCACAGTAATTAAACACGCACTATTTCTTATTTCAGAAAGTTGCTGGCTCGTTTCGAGTAAGGTAATCAACTTGTGGAGAATGCTCTACCTCAATGTTGAAGAGATTAATACTAACCTGCCATGCAATTATATCTTCTAGGAAGCAACTTATCTTTGAGGGTGTACCGAGGTATCCTGTGGGTAAGTATATTGTAGTGCAGTAGGTTATGATGCTGTTGCTTTGTCGATTTTCCTGAATAAAAAATGTTGTGGGTCTTTCTCGTTAGGAAAGGATGACTTTATAGAGCGTGTGATGTTGTGTCAGATCACAGATAACACTAAGACTGCAGAGAGATTGTTCAGTGTATTGATAACTTACTTGGGTGGAAAAAGTACGCGTATCCTTTCAATACAAGTGCGTTTCTTGATTTACTAACTTTCAATGATTATATCTGTTTTAGCCATCCACCCCAACACGTTTTCAGATCTCTACTATACTCTAAATCAGGTCAGCAACTTTGTTGATGGTAGCGTCTAAAGTTATACAGTTTTAAAGTTGAAAACATATTCTCCTTTCAGGAAGACACACAAGCTCAAAGTATGGATGTAGAAGGAGTGACTATAGAAGAACGCGAGGTAATTAAGCAACGTATCTCATATACGTAAAATCTCATCCTTCTTGAATGTTAAAAGACAATATGTGCGCTGTTCACTGCTTTCTTTTAGTATGCAATCAAAGTTTCCTCTTTGTGTACGACAAATTTTGGCGTTGGACGCTTGCTTCTCACCAATTTAAGGTAGCTACGTCATTGTGAATATCCTGTATCAAGTAATAAACGATGAGCCAGTCGTACCTCTTAAACTGTTTGTAGACTGCTGTTCATGGCGGAGGGCACGCCAAGCTGTCGCCAGTTGACAAGATTACTCAATATTTACAATATTGAGAAGTATCAACATTACTATTTACTGTCACGTGGAGTACCGGCAATAAGGGTCGTTGTTAAAGGTACAATATGGGTCACGAGATGTTTTCATGGGGCACACGATAATTTCATTTGTTTGTGCGTTTGTGTATATAGATAAAACTCTAAAGCCGTTTTTTGCCTGCCTCAAAACCGAACGAGATACGTGGTGTGCTTATCTCGAAGAAATGGCGGATTGCCACGAGAGAGCTGAAAGTAATAAAGGATGAATAACAAAGGCTTTTTCATTGAATGATTTTTTATTGAATCAATCTTAAAATATGTTCATCAGTTCATGCTCTTTGTTTTCGATTCAAGCTCTCCGAGACCCACAGTTCATCAGTCTTGGTGCTCAAAATGTAAGGCTTGCTGACGCGTTATTAAAAAGGTAAAGATAACAGACGTACTTTGACTTGCCATTTAAATAGTTAAAACCAATATTGCTTTACTTTGAGAATTGTCGCTTCCTTTCAATTGCAGTGGCGTACCACACAGCAAAGCTTTGGTAAGTTATGTATCTCAGTATTATCTTCCTTTCTCGCATACTTTATCGTCGTTAATGTCAATCGATATTGCGATGTACGTCTTCAAAAGATTGTCCAACAATCCTTTTTATAGACGATGTGCTATTTCACGAGAACAAACGAGCCAGCGAAGGAAATTTCTGCTGAAACTGACGAGGTAACGGAGTTGATCAGTAATTTGTAATGGTGAGAACTGAAAATGTTTATCGCTTTCGTTTCCAGTTTCTTGTGCAGAGATTGAATCCCTCACAGATGGACACAGCTACTGCTACAGTCGAAGCATTAGCTTATCTACCGAAATTTGATACGGGTTAGTCTCTGTTTGAAGTAGGGCAGGGATTGAAGTGATTGGTGTGGATACAGAGATCACATCTGACTGTTTTTAGGTTGTACTCTATATTACGAACAGATATGGTGTGGAATGGTATGTCAGTTACGTTTGCACGATGATCTTTTTGTGTGAATTGAGGCTATAATCATGTTTTGTGACTTGTCACCAGGCCTCTGGCTCCATCGTCATTTTCAAGCGTGCCATGGATGACGAAAGATGGGATTTTGAAACACAAATCTTCTGCACCAACGACAGAATTGTAAGCGTCACTTGGAAGCTTGCGACAGCCGAGAATGATTGAACGTTTTGAAGCATTTTTTTCCATGTAGAGTTGTCTTTTGGCTGTGGGTGATAGTCAAGTTTGGGCCGGATCTTGTGACGCAACTATTTATGTTTTTGATCGCTTCACTTATAAAGGTTAGGGCAATAACCTTTAGGTGTACATGTTGCAAAATACGATGTAATCTCAATTTTTGTTTCTCTTTTACTTCCGCATCCCATCTTCCATAATTCATAACGTACTTTCACAGCCAACCAACACTTGGACGCCCATTCCGACATCATTTCTGCGATCTTTGTACAGCCACAAAATGAGAAGTAAGCTAAGAACCTGAGTGTAGCTATGGACTTATGTTAAAGGATTATACATACATGTAAGTATTTTTCCTTGCAGAATTGTATGGAGTGCCAGTCTGAATGGACACATCATTGGATGGGATGCTGAGAATCTGACCATTTATAAACAGGTGAATACTCACATTTGGAGTAATTTTTTTGTTACTTCACGTAAACGACTAATAAATTTTAGTAGAAAGTGGTTACTCATTATGTATTATTTCATTAATGATTGAAGAATAATATTTGTACGTTGTTGTACTGAGAAGCAGGAATGCATTTACTTGGGGGGGGGGGTGCGCTTCCATTCTAGTCTCGACTACCTAAAGTTATTGAGATTTGCTTCAACTTGAGGAGAAAACGTCTTTATTTTTCAAGATCCGTCTAAACTACCAATCAAAAACATGCGTATCATTCTTGTTGATCGGAAATCAATTCTGGTGTGGTAAGTTCATTCAATGGCTCATTTTTCGAAAAACATATCATTGACATCATTCACCCTCATCGTTTGTTATCGCTAGACACGAAGAGTTCGATCGTGGTGTTAGACACTGAACGAAATATAGAGCATGTACTTGAGTTGAAAGATGGCAATAATGTCTTATCTATAGATTGCATGACAGCAGTTTCGTCCAACGAGGTCGGTCATTCGTCACTCCTTTTCTTCTTAATTGTTATTTTAGAGGAATCATTTTATCTTTTGTAATTCACAGGTGTGGTGTGGATGTGGTAAACGTGCCAAGATTGCTGTATTCAACACAAAAACGCTGACCTACACTATACTGCCAATCCAAACCAAAGAGAAAGATGTCGCTCTTACTAAAATGGCGTTAATGGGAAGCGAGGTAAGGTCGACGTTTTATCCTCGTTAGTATTACATTGAAGAGTAGAATATTTAAAATCGTGGCCAGAGATTTGCCAGGGGAAAGGGAATTTTCAATATGAACATAATAGCCCAACACAAGACTTTTAAAAAAGTCATCACATTCTCTATTTTATAATTGTGATGGCTTTTTTGAAAGTCTTATGTTGAGCTATTATGTTCATATTGAAAGTAGAATAGATAATAATTAATCTCATCATGTAATGTAACTCCTTAACGAGTATAGTGGTTGTATATTGTGACTCCTTTATGATTATTCTGGCTGTAATGTACTTCATTTATGATTGATCTGACCATAATGTGATTTCTTTCAATCAGTAAAATGATTTTCTTGTGCAATAAGTTTCGCACTTAATTCATGGCAGATTTGGATCGGCAACAAAAATGGTCTTATTATCGTTGTCAATCTCACCAGAAAGGAAACACTCGGGAAAGATCGAGAGCTTCGCGTGAAAAAAGTATGCTAGTAAAGATCAGTACGCACATTGCAACAAATCAACTCCAATTTGGTGAAAACTGAATGCTTCTTTTTTTAATCTTTCGGTGTCTTTATTCTAGACGCTCAAAATCCACGACGATTCAGTGCGCTCCATCTGCGTCATAAATGGTGGTTACGTAGCAACAGGTCCTGGCTCGAAGGATGGCAAGATAGCAATTTGGCGTCGCAAGGAGAAAACTAAAGATGACTTAGGATTTGTAACGTTCAGTACCAAACAGGTAGCGCAATTGGAACAATGTAAAAATGAGTAAACGTTTTTTGAGTCCACGTTGACTCCAGCACGTGACATGTAAAGTTTTATCTGATCATGTGACATGGATCTAGAAAGTCCGTCTTAGGTTAGCAATCAGGCTTACCTTTTCTCGTTTATTTTTACACAAACACATTTGTTCAGGTGAATGACGCTGTGAAGTTTGATAAGGTCACCACCGTTCGTCCAACTGACAAGTCAGCGTTCTTCGATTTCCTCAAATGATTTCATTTGAATGCTACAACTCATGGTGAAACATTTGGTGGAGCTTAAGGTTACCTTGGTTACATGTACTTTCGTTAAACAAATTTGTGCCTCCATCGGTTTTCACGTTTTTTACTCCATAAATTCAACATAATGTTTTATAAGGAACGATTTGACGAAAAATGTAACTATGAATAAAAATGTTTGCCTAGCTGGTTGATGAACGGGCATTCTCGTGAAGTGTTACGAAAATAAAGAGTAAAAATTAATTGCAGCCAGAAAATGTATCTAAAGTTTATATAGAATCAATACTGATTGTCAGGATTTCTATCTGCCAAGATTTAAAGGAAAGGTATGCTAAAAACCCATAAAATAAAAAGGGTGATCTCCTACGATGGCTTGAATCACATTGACGTTGATGAGGAAACACTTAAAACCTTAATGAGATGATCTAATTTGGCTAGTTAAGAAGCAACAGCTGATATTTGTGATATTTTACGTGCAATTTTATTAATCTCTTTTGTTCTAATTACAATCACTCTCGATAAAACGATTCAGTTTGATGTTGCAGTGTCAATACAATGAGCAATCAACGTTATTAATCCTCATTTTTAAGTTAAATTATTGCCATAGTGAACATTCAACGTCTTATATAAATAATCCATGCAGATATTTCATTAGGAGTAAAGCGACTCGACTGTTTAATGACAGATAACCATACGTGGGCAGCTTCGCATATAGATCTACGAACAATCACTCGATCAAGTCATTCGAGCACTTATCTTTTCGATAAGTGAGTTATTTGCACGTCACGATGAAAGTACTGAGAACAATAATAACATTTGTATTTATTCATCTGACTAAAGGGTAAGTTGAATGCCAAACTTAGTGAGCATAACTTTTCATTGTGTAGTACCTCTCCATCCGTTTTTAGCGTATACATCTTGCGAAAAGCACCAGAAAAAGGGCGAAATGTTTGCATCGTTGGATTTGAGAAAACCCACGTAAAGTTACAACGTCATATATCAAAATCGAGAAAGACTTTGGTCAAAGATTGTGGCATAGATCAAGGACTCTTTATCAAGTGCGAAAAACAAATGTGAGTAGCGACCAGGTCTTTCACAAAGATAAATTACTTGTATTGTATATAAAGTTGAGCATCCTTTGACGCTATTTGTTGTTCAACTAAAATTTCCCTTCAGAATCAAGACTGAAATATCCTACGTCCCTGTATCTTGTATCACACGCGTCAGCAAAATTGGCTGTTGTCCTGGATGGAAAGATTACATCGCTGTGTTTGGTTGCTTAACTAGTAAGTCACGATGATTGACCTTGTTCATAGATTCATTTCATCATTTGCAGAGCTTTACTTTCCCTTTCAAGAAGCGCCATGCCTCTCTCTGCCTTTATACACACCATCAAGATGTGTTGCAACTCGACAAAAAGGCCTGGAGAAGAACAAGAATGTATACAGCCTTCAGATACCTCCAAGCGTTGCTCAAGGTGACCCCAATCTCGGCAGGGATCTTCAAAATTTGTTCTTGTTTCCTTTACTCAACATGACTTTCAAGCAAGCAGCAGCTTTGTCATGGAATGATCCAGTGGATTATCCATGGTTAGTGATATATACCTATCTTCAGACAAAGTCCTTGAAGATGTTGGCAGAAAGAATGAAACCAGGCAATTCTTTGGTGAAGGAATTTAAATCAATAGACGATTTTCAACGTTTATTACAGCTTGTGAGGACAATCTTTACGGTAAGCATGGATGAAAAAGATTGCTTTAACAACCCATTATAGTTAGAATAGTCGAGGGTCATCACCTAAGTCTATGCTTATCTATAGCAAGTTGTGGCGAATCTTATTTAACGAATGCATCTCACGCTTTCCTATACAGAAAGATGGCAAATATTTGGACTATTTTCGCTATCCTTCATTGGTTGAAAAATGGAAAGATATCATACGCTGTCAAACATGGCATGATGACCAAGTATTTGTTGAAGAAAGACTTGCAGCCCTTAATCCAATGTCCTTAGAACGCGTCACTGCTGACATAGGTAGAAATATGACAAGTATAAACGCCTGGCAACAAAAAGATGATCAAGAGTGGTTTCTTTTTCCATGAAATTCTGCGATATACACATTTTACTTAATCATATACTGACTTATTTATTTACTATACAACTCACTTAAATATATTTCATCGCAGAGATTTATAAGAACCATAGGACCTTTGTACAATAGGAAAATGCATAGGAGGAAAAACTCGTGTAACACTTCTGTTTTAGATTACTTCTCAGCTTTGCCAAGGGTTGGCTTGAGGTTGACAGAAAGACTAAATCGAAATTATAATTGGAATCGTACTGTATCCAATGTAGTCGGAAGACCAACAACTTTATATAAGGTAATAAGTGATAGACGACGTGACGTTTACATATAAGTTGCCAAAAAGACGAGTTTTTGTTCATCCTTCATTCAGATGGCACGTGAGAAGTCGTTGTTTGCCATTCACTATCCGTATCTTGACGACTTACCTAATGTTGATGACATCACGGAGAAAAGAACTGAAAGAAGACGATTGAAGAACGCCACTAGTCCAATTGCAATCTTTGTTTCTGTAAAGAGGCCTGGAAAGGACTCTTATGAACTAAAGCCGGTAGCAATACAAACAGATTGCCATTCAGGTACGAATATATGTTCACATATACTCAACAATAACAATCGATGCGATTATATAATTCCAATTGATCTAAATCACCTATCAGGAAGACAATCCATGCCATACATTAGATTATCGTAATCTTGTACAGATTCGCCCGTGTATACACCTCATGATGGCAAACGATGGTTACTGGCCAAATATCTCTTTCAACTAGCGGACTTTTCATACGTAGAAATGGTTGAACACTTACTAAAAACCCACACGATATTACAGCCAATTTGTGTGATACTCAAACGTACCATCTCCCGACAACATCCTTTGAACGAAATGCTAAAATGGCACTGTCGAGGTCTAATCGCAACTAATGCTAATGGCTTTGCAAAGTTGATCCAACCACATGGCTATATGCATACTCTCTTCTCCATGGGACATCTGGGAAGCATTGAGCTCTTAAATAGAGCGTATCAAAATTATTCTTGGAAAGATAATGATTTCTGGGAAAATATTAAGGTGAGTCTGTTATGAGGTATTGATATAAGCTACCACATCATCATAAAGATAAAATTGTAAGATTATTTATGCACTTCATTCTTATGTGTTTGTAGAGCCGTGGTGTAGATGATCCCGTAAAGCTACCATATTATCCTTACAGAGATGATGGTTACCTTATTTGGAAACAACTTCACAGTTATGTACGAGAATATGTTTCTCTGTAAGTGAGGATTAGGCAAGCACAGCACACGTAGAAAATTACCGTTGCTAACTTAGATTTTTGTAATGATGTATTTGACTATAGGTATTATTACAATAACAACGATGTTCGTAGAGATTTCGAACTAAGAGCGTTTACAACGGAGTTGTCCGAAAAGGGAATGGGAAAGGTAAGTTTTCAAAAAATGGTCAAAATGATTCACTCATGGAGAGTGCTTGGCGGGATAAGTATGAGAAATGGTGTACATGCATAGCTTATTATGTGGTATAGGGTACACATCGATGTAATTCGACCTCTTCAAAATGTTCTGTTTTACAGTTAAAAGGCTTCCCATCGATGTTACAATCTAAGTATGAACTAATTAAGACATTAACTCGCATCCTGTGGCTACCCGTACAACACAATGCCGTCAATTATCCAATCGCCTACTACGGTGCCTTCGTACCAAACATGCCGTCGAAGCTTTACGATGATGCACGAAGCAAAACAAACGAGTTTTCTTTCAATACACTTCCTAACAGTAACGTGTCCACAGTAAGTGCTACTTGAATAAATATTCAGAAGTTTCGTTATGTTAGTGGTTTGTTAACTACTTCATGTAGGTGCAAGCCGTTGTGTCAATGGGTTTAGGATCTCTGAGATTTGATCAACTCCTCGACTATGGAGCACAAATGCTGGATAAAGAGGCAGGAGAAATTGTAAAGAAACACCATCACATCTTAATGACCAGGGTGAGAGACATCATAGATGAACGAAACGAGAAGAGATACAGTGCAAGTCATCTTACGTACCCTTATCTCAAGCCTGGCTGGATTCCAAATTCCATACATACTTAACTGAACGCGTTATAGCTGAGGACTACACAATGTTTGACATCGTTATTTATGGATACAAAAAACTTTTTGTCGTTTCCTCAGATTTGTTGGATAAGTTTATGTTAGAGGTTTAAGTTTTGATCGTGCGTGTTAGTAATAAAAAAACGTGTAAATAGTTACTAAACACGTGTTTGTTTGTTTCGCATCTCGTGAAGCTTTTGAGAGTATTTATGTGTTAAAGTAAATTCAATTTTGCTCTATTTGAACAAAAAATATATACAAATTCAACATTACAATGTTTGTTTACCGAAAAGTACTTGTTCATTCATATGTCAATTTTGACCATCAATCATGATTTATCTGTAATGATTACTTTTCTATTTAAAAATCGGCGGAAATTGTGCGAAATTGTTTCTCCCACTAATCAATAAAATCTTGAAAATGTTTCAAACATTTTAATCGTGACCTTATCGGAATTTAACGTTTCCTAGTGCAAAACAACCATTTACATTCTGAAAATAAAAAAGAATGTGTGCTACCTTAATCATGGCGTACCGTGTTCCTTCAAGAAAACAAGAGACTGGTAGCCAGCTCAAATCTTCTCTCACGCTCACGCCATCCATCCTGACAAAAAATTCAGTGTTAAATTTTAATTGTAACTTAAAACAGAGTCATTTAGGAACTCAGAGATATATAAACTGCGCCAAACGTGTAAACGGCTATCTCACAAGGTACGGAAAATTTTGCGGCGTACGTAAGAATTCAAATTGATAATGGTTAATTAAATTACAGTACCTTCCACAATATTATATTGCCATCACTAGCACAAGACGCAAAACCGTCTACTCCAAAATCTGCCAACATCTATAATATATATACAATGTGACCCAATGTTATGATGTGTTAATAAAAGCTAGAAGAAGAAAGAACGCTTGCCATGGCATGCTTCACATTTCTATCTATAAGTTAGTTGAATGAAGTCTTCAAGTTAATTTTCTTTCTTATCATATAGCTTTAGAAATTCAAATGTTATTAATTTATATTTTTTGGCAAAGCCAAAAAGTTAGCCAATTTTTGTTTATTTAATGCCACTTTCATGGAGAGCCATACACCCTCCATAACAAGTTAGGGCCAATGGTGGTGGTGGTGGTTGTGGTGGTGGTGGTCGTGGTGGTGGTCGTGGTGGTTGTTGTCGTGGTGGTGGTTCTCGTGGTGGTTGTCGTGGCGCTGGTTGTGGTGGTGGTTGTCGTGGTGCTGGTTGTAGTGGTGGTTGTCGTGGTGGTGAGAAGGGAGGGGGGTTATGTGGATGAACCTGGATAAGTTTCTCGTTTTATTAAGGCAACTTATCGATGAATTTCTCATTTTTTATTGTATTTATCACGATTTTAGTATCCGCCTACATTACCGTAGAGAAAATGGCAAATAAAGAATTGAAACATTTCACATTTCTCAAGATCATTGTTGAGCAAGAGTTGTAATGAAAATGTGATGAAAAACACGACATACCCTCACGGCACCAGAATGGCCAAGACACTCGCCCAACAGTTGAGGTTCGGTAATGACGCTTGTGATCTCGCTCAAACTGCAATGTAAGCAAAAATAATCCCAGAGAATATGAGATTATTACTTACGATCACAATATAAATGTTGAAAAAACTACATCAACGAAATACGTGGATCAATATACCAAAATATGCCGCGTGATAGCTACGTACCTTTTGCCGAGGAAATGTTCAATGGAGGAAAACTCGTCTAAAAATACGCAATAAAAAGGTCTCAATGTTTTTATTTTAAACTGCACAAAAAAACACATCTTCGGTCATGAAATATTTCTGGCTTTCCGTGCAATCGCTGTTTTGTTAACACTTTGACACCATCAAAGTTTCTGTGATAATGTCAGAGATAACGTCACATTTCATGAATCATTTCTAGATGATTTCCATGAAAGAGTTTCTCGTTTCATAGAAAATATCGACGAATTGAAACAACAAAGACATAAACATAAAAACGTTTAAAGACGTCCTACAATATATGGGCTTTGAATTTCCCGTCTCCATCAAACTACATACGCACTGATAATTTCAACTGTATCGTCTATAATTGAACAGGGGGTGAATTGACAAAAAAATAGGTAGTTTATCTTAATTCTGAAATACTCTTGCACCTCAAAATTACATAGTTCACTCGACCAGAATGTTTAGATAATATTTTTTCCTTATCATCTCATTTCATCTCAGAGAAACTCCTTACATAAGCCCTTGTTCGAGATTCCATTATAAATCGTAGCATCAAAAACAGTCACGGTTATTTCAAAACATTAACGAGATAAACCGGTCTTAATAAAGTAAATGGTTTGAGCCGGGAGTATCCTATTTTGACTCTGAAGATGACTACCGCTAAGGTTGTCGAAACGTCAGTCAACAACAACAAAAACAGTCCTTCTCAGGACTATACCAACCTGGACGATCTACATTTACAAACATAAACCGGTCTCGAATACGAACATTTAACAAGAGCACACACCTGAAGGAAATCGTTTTTCTTGTGATCCCCACAATCGTACGGTACCATCTTCAGAACACGTGACCAACATGTGTCTAATGTACGAAATCATCGATGAAATATACACAGAGATTGGTGGAAATCAGTGATCGATCGAATGTGCGTCAAAATATTTTATAGAAACTCAAAGTTAAATTCAAAATATCTCTGGAACAATGTTTTAGGTTATTAATTTCCAAACGAATTTCTTTCAGCCAGCCCAATCAAGGGAATGGTTTTAAAATGATTACCTGGGCTTCAATAGTTCAATATATGATATTTTAGAGTGATGACACATTAGTCTTTGAGCCACACATTTCCCTGACAAGGCGTCGTATACGAAAAAGCCCGATCCGATAGCAGCAAAGACAAATCGCTAGATCACAATGAAAGGACCGAGGCAATGTTTTTCAAAAGAAAAAGGATTTTGTATTCGTAAACGCGACTGCATATCAATAGAAATCTTCGACTTACCAAGTCAAGAACAAACAAATGCTGCACCATGTCGTAATTTTGCAAATAATTAAACTCGCGTTGGTTATTGACACGCTTCATTGGTTGCAGAGATAGACTAGACCATACGATGATTTCTCCATCCAACGACCCAGAGACAAAACTGTCGTCTAAATAGACAAACAAGATAGTTTAAATATCAACATGAAATCACAGCGTGAAAGTTTTTAGACTGAACTACAAGAAAACGTTGGACATTATAATACGTATTTCTAAGGTGCATTTTAGAATCTTTCATTTACTTCTCTTATATATATGAACTAAAAAGAAAGATAACGCAAACTCTTGCTTCTTAATTACCTGAAATACCACGAAGGCATCTTACATCATTTTCATGAGGTCGAAGTAACGAATGAAACTTTAAAGATTTCGTTCGCAAAACCTCTGTTAAAGTGTACACGACTAAAACATAGAGAAGATGTTAGATTATAGCGTAGGGAATACGGTTTAACATGGCGAAAACTTCCGACCATCATACCAAGTGATGGATGATTGAACGCCAGCACAAGTTTATTGTTCTTTATAGGCAGAATGCCGTGAATGTCGGCTATGAATGTTAAAAATAACCATTTACATTTCGTATCATTTAAGAAAAAAAAGGACAACAGTTCACAAGATTATGAGAAATGAAAACAGAAACCTACAATCATATTGAAGCAATTTTTCCTCGCATAAGAGTTTGCCTTTAATATTCCAGGCACAAATATCTCTTCCGCCAGAGAAAACGTAAACTCCTCACGATTTAAACTCACCAAGCACTAAAAATATCAATAAATTAACACACGTCAAGAATCACAGTGATGATATCCAAGTATATAAAAAGGATCACAATGGATACAAGAGTCTACGGGGCATTACAGATAGTGCTTGTTTATGAAGAAAGGAGAGTCTAGGGTAGGGTAAGGATAGTTTTTGCTAATGAACGAGGGAGAGTCGAAGGGACGGTCGGGATAGTTTTTGTAAATCAAAGAGGGAGAGTCCAGGGGACGTTTGGCATAATTTAGCCAATGAAGGCAGGAGAGTCTGGTTGACGTAAGAGATAGTTTAGACAATGAAGGCAGGAGAGTCTGGTTGACGTAAGAGATAGTTTAGCCAATGAAGGCAGGAGAGTCTGGTTGACGTAAGAGATAGTTTAGCCAATGAAGGCAGGAGAGATTGGTTGACGTAAGAGATAGTTTAGCCAATGAAGGCAGGAGAGTCTGGTTGACGTAAGAGATAGTTTAGCCAATGAAGGCAGGAGAGATTGGTTGACGTAAGAGATAGTTTAGCCAATGAAGGCAGGAGAGTCTGGTTGACGTAAGAGATAGTTTAGCCAATGAAGGCAGGAGAGATTGGTTGACGTAAGAGATAGTTTAGCCAATGAAGGCAGGAGAGTTTGGTTGACGTAAGAAATACGTTATGTGCATGAAGAAGGGAGAGTCTAGGGGACGTTTGGGATAATTTTTGCAAGGGAAGTCCAAGGAACATTACGAATCACAGTTGTTCGCAAATATAATAATTGCAACTTACCTTTACTGCACTAGAAAGCCCATCAATGACATTCATACATATCCCATCATTAGAATCCCAGATATGTATATGAGTTAAGAAGCAAATGCAAGTATAAATCAATGCTTACAATAACAAAGAGAAACTGAAACACACTTTGCAAAGATATTCTAATTGATTTATCCGATGATGCCGTATACAAAACCGAAGATGATTCTAGAGAATTCAACTCTTTCCTCTGGTGGACCAACATTGATGTCACAGGTCTAGTGTGACCATGAAGTCTATGTAGAAGATCTCCATTCTAAAACCCAGAGAGACATTTTTAATAAAGCCTACCATTAAAGTCAGTTGAATCAACAAGCCTACCATCAAAGTCAGTTAAATCAACAAGCCTACCATCAAAGTCAGTTGAATCAACAAGCCTTATTGCATACATAACTACCTACCTCAAAATCCCATATGATGACCAAGTTGTCATCAGCAGATGATGCCAATCTTAATAAACAAAAAAAGATAAATTCATTAAATGAGCAGCAATATCTATATAAAATATGTAATCACAAAATAGGTTCATTACCCAATGAAAATGCAAGTGACTATTTAATACAGAATTGGAAAATAATCACCACACAGCTCAATTACAGTATTTGACAAGCATTAACTGAAACTAATCACTACATACTAAATTAAATACACAAACACAAGGTGTCAACACAAGGTCAAAAATGCTCATGCAAAAATTACTTTCATTTTGAAGTTGAAACAAGAAAAGTCCACATTTTCTGAATAATACGGAAACACCAATCTTCTCATGCAATACCTGGTCTCGTCAATAACTTTAATTATGTTAATGATATCTTCATGTCCAGTAAGAATACAAATCTCGTTGAAAGGATTCAATGATTGATCATCGGCGATCAAAGGAGCATCTGTCTAAACAATGAAGGGAAGCAAGAGTTATTGAAAGAACACATTGAGCGAATGACTGGAAAAAAGCCTATGGCAAAGGCCTTCTTGTGGCTCATTATACAAATATTTGTTCCAAAATAAATTGCAATTTACAATCTGTTTTTGGAATTTTGTATTCCATGTGAAACTGTATATTATGCAATGGAACTATAAAATTTCCCTGAAGTTAATAATGCAGTACATTTTTAAGACTTGTTAAAGAAATAGAACCAAGTCTTCTTAACATAGCACTCATAGCTGTTTACGATGCAGCAATACAGCTTATTCACACATGTATAAAATATTTCATATGCCCTTTATCACAATCACGTGTTACACAATAGAACGTGACTGAACAGGTAGAGACATACATGTGATCACAAGGGAAGGAACTATAAATAAACTTGAGTATCTTTTATACCTCTTTGGCAAGTTTTGATGTACTATTCCACTTGTTAAAAAAGAATCGCTTGAGCATGTTTCATAATGAAATGAATGGCAACTAGAGTAATAAATACTAGCAGTTACATTTCCTCCACGGTGGGAACCATTGGTCAATAGAAAAAATGGCTACATGGAAATAATTACGTTGCGATAGTGATATGAATAACCTACTGAGGTCAAGCACCCATTAATAGACAAAGAATGCATGCAAGATATCATCACGTTAATATGACCCTCGCTGTTTGCTTTTTATTGTTCATTTCACACTTCACTAGAAGAGAGGAAATTGTCAAACACGTTAAGACAGGCACAATTGAAATTGTCTTCCTTGATATTTGATTTCAGGAAAAAGCACGCAACACGTTGCGTCTCACGCAATAAGTCTGTCATCATGCGTCAGTGTTCAATTTCCCTCAAATAATGTAGACGGACTTTCGTTATCAGTTCGTACTAAATGGAGTGCGCCATGCCTTTACCTTATAAAGGCAATTTCAAGCGTTCTAAAGAAGATTCCCTCTGAGATGAAAACTCGGCGTTGACATTTGCCAGCGGAGGTCTTGCGGATCAACTAACTTCTTTGAAACGAGGAAGAACAGGAGTGTTCCTAGGTGTAAACTAAAAAACGTGCGTATTGCTGTTTCCGGAAAAGAACTCGTTGTTAAATTAAAACAATTAGAAAGGTTGCTCTGCGCAGGAGCAGAAAACATTTAAATATATATAAAAACAACAACTGCAAAAGCAACAGGAAAGGACAGCGACATGCCACAAAATATCTCAATTTTGAACTAGCTAAGGAGAAATAGGAATAGAAGAGATTCGTTCGGTTAATATGTCATTGGAAACAACGAGCGTTTTAATAAATGAGGAAAGTTTGGCGAAAGAGACGCTACGAATCTTGAACCAGATGCGTCGGCAAAGAGAGCTATGTGATATTATATTACTTGTGAATGGCTGTGAGATCCCAACACATCGCGCTATCCTTGCCGCTTGTTCACCTTATTTCCGAGCTATGTTTTTATCGGGGTTTGTTGAAGCAATTCAACCACGAGTGATTCTGCGAGATGTCGACACGTTCGCATTAATGAAAATAATCGATTTTTTTTACACATCGGAATTGACTATTGAGCTTGGAGAAGTTGAAGCAATCTTGAACATCGCTTGTCTTCTTCACTTGGAGTATATCATTGAGGAATGTGAAAAGTTGCTCAGACGAAATATAACGCCAGGCAACTGTCTCGGATTAAAGACAATCGCACAGACGTACTCTCTCAATTTCTTATACAAGCAAGCTTGGCGCTTCACTCTCTGGCATTTTGGCAGTGTTGTAAAAGAAGACGAATTCTTAAAGCTACCACCGGATGAGCTCGAGATGTTAGTTCGTGATGATCTTCTAAAAGTAAAGGATGAGTGCGAAGTAGTGAATGCAGTTTGGCAATGGTTGAAGTATGATTTCTCCAGTCGTTGTACCATTGTAACAGATATACTTCAACATATACGCTTTCCCCTCATGAGCATTGCTGATATTATGCATAATGTGCAAGTGAAAGAATTCTGCCAGAACTATACTCTCTGTAGGCAATTGGTGAGAGAGGCCATACGCTACAATTCCACTGCAAGACCTCCAATTTATGATAAAAACCCACGTCTCAGACCACGACTGGCATCTGAGGATATTTATGTGATTGGTGGATGGTCGAATGGTCAGAAAATGAGCACAGTGCAATGCTTCAATGTGAATACACTGCAATGGACAAGTGTATCTGGAATGACCATAGCAACTGTTGCAAAAGAGGATTATTTCCGTGTGGTTGTTGTGGATGAGGAGATTTTTACCGTCAGTCGAAATAAAGTGGGAAAGTTTGATCCAGTATTAAACTGTTGGATGACAATAGCCAATGGCCCTGATGTTCAATGTAAATGGGCTGGTGTATGTCAGCATAATGGCTTAATTTATGTTGTAGGAGGTCACAGCAGCATGTGTGCTAAGGTATTCAATCCCGAGATTTGTTCATGGACTGACCTGCCGTCAATGCAATGTGCAAGATACTACCCTGGCGTAGCCGTTATGGGAGGCAAGATATACGCTGTTGGTGGTTTGGACCATTTGTGGTCACCTCTTAACACAGCTGAAAGATATGATCCTTGATCAACCAATGGCAATTTATCTCAAGTATGGGTGTGCAAAGATGGAGTTTGGGTGTTGCTGTTGTAAATAATCTCCTATATGCTATCGGTGGCTCAGATTCCAAGGAGTTATGGGCCAATTCAGTGGAGGTATATGATCCACTGCGTGATAAGTGGATACAAAATGTCACACCAATGAATGAAGGCCGGCGTTGTTTGGGAGTAGCTGTTGTAAACAATAATATATATGTGGTTGGTGGTCGTGTTGTAAACACCATTGAGTTTTATGATAAAAAGAAAAACCAATGGAAAATTGTCGGTTCTGTAAACTCACAATGCAACTTTGGATGCATAGCCTTAAGACCTATATAAGCTAAAATTCATGGCTATATGTATGTATGGCTATGCCAGTATCGGTTGATGAACCATCCATGAAATTGATCTTTGCTCTATTAATTGGAGCAACTATCATGCCACAGTATTTATGGATTTGGAGCTTTTTTATATTTATCAACAATATTGTAAATTAACAGAGTTATTAATATAATATTCCTATTAAAACATAAAAAAACTGGACACTCGTTTTTGTTTCTACTGCAAGCAGCGAAAAGGAGACGAAAAGGAAAAGTTCCATTTCTGGACCGTTTGCTGCCAAAAAGCCTTGCCTACATCCCTTCCCTCGGATATTTGCAGATTCATTATACTTTTCAATTGAATATGCTAACAAACCTGTCACATTGTGTTCACTAGCACATTCTTGAAGTTTTTAGAAAAAGAGAATTAAGTTCTCGTTTTACAAAACAAAAAAATGGAGATTTATTCTTGTGACAGTGATACTTGATAGCGTTGCTTCTACGAATAATTATTGGCTAATATTTGTAATGAGCAAACGAATTAGGCTTTACACGTTAATACCTCATATGAAACGACTGAACATTATTTTTGAGCTCTTCAAATTTTGAAAAAAAATTGACAATTGACGTCCCAACTTTATATAAAATGCTCTACTTCATGTAAGTAAATGTAACCTTTACACTTATGACGTATCTTGTCGACGTTTGACAACGAAAATACACTATAACAATAAATCCTGTGAAAAGTTGATTAAAAAACATTTAAAAACCTGGTATTTAGTTGAGGATCTTCTTGAAGATGATTAATTTACAACGTCTCTCAAGAACTTTCGGGCAAAGGGTTAGGGCATAGTTTTTTTTTACTTCTATTTTTTTACTTCTATAGCAGTACCTTTGCCATTATGTAATTTATTGTGCAATTTGTTCATATTAGCAGTATTAACTGACAGCTTTCGTTGTGAATCAGCTTGTTTTGATTTTTTAGAGTATATTTTTTACACGACATGCTAAGCTAGCAAGAAATGCTTCCACTTTGGTTGTTGCTGAACACAATAATGAGTCTTTATTGCCTGCAACTCTGAATGCTATTACAGCAGCAAAAAAAGTTGGAGACGATGTGAGTTGCCTTGTTGCTGGATCAAAATGTGCACCGGTATGTAACTGCTTTGGTTGAAATTTTTCTTGACTGCACTTTGAAGCATGGAATATTGCCTCAGACATGAATATTCAGAATCATTCATTTCATTTTACTAAATCAATCTATTGGTTGATTCAGGCCATTCAAGAATTAGGTAAAGTTGGTGGAATAAATAAAATACTTGTTGCAGAAGATGAAGCTTATGGAGGATTTCTCGCAGGTTGGTTATTCAGTTATAGAAAACAATTGATCTTCAATGTCGAAGAAGATAATTTATTTATGTACCTTTTCATCAGAGGTCATGGCTCCTTTGATTTTTGCTTCACAACAACAGTTTGGTTTTACACACATTGCTGCTGCTTCAAGTGCCTTTGGAAAGGTCAATATTATAATGTTTTTTGTTACTTTTTCAGTCAGATCAATGTTTTCTCAACAATATAATAGCTCGTAGACTCATCTTTGCTTTTCATGTTAAGAATATCCTTCCAAGAGTGGCTGCTCTGCTTGATGTTTCACCAATCTCCGATATCACTGCTGTACACTCCGAAGACACATTCGTCAGATTGATTTATGCTGGTACATTAAAAAAATATTTAGAAACTCTTCAAAACAATGTGTCCTGACCAATTTTTATCATTTATATTGACTTCAGTTGGATAAGTTTTCAATGTTTTCAACTGACCATTAAGCACTTTTTGCATCGGATTGTGATGTTTTTCTTGGTCATACCTTCAGGTAATGCTGTGACAACAATTAAATCAAATGACAAGGTCAAAGTTTTCACTGTTCGAGCTACAGCTTTTGAGCCTGCATCTCTTGATGGCAGTGGTGCTGCACAGGAGAATGGTGGGTCTTGTGAATAATATGCTCCCAGCCTGATTGATGTGCATCTTTTACCCATACTTTATGGTACATACATACATTTAGCTCCAGATGCAGAAAAAGTGAATGCTCATTCTGAATTCATAAATCAAGAACTTAGTAAGAGTGATAGACCAGAGCTGACAAGTGCTGGTGTTGTTATATCTGGAGGTACATCTTACACAGAATGACAGTTTGTGTAGTTTATGAGATAGTTTACATATTCAATAGCAAGTGAGCATTGTATGTGAAAACTTTTCAGGTCGTGGTATGAAAAATGGTGAAAATTTTCAACTTCTTTATGACTTAGCGGACAAACTTAATGCTGCAGGTATATTTGAAAATTACTATGTACATAGAAGAAATAAAATTATTGATAATTGTGGGAATTTCAGTATTTTACAACCTTGCTATTAGAACATTGCTAGGTTGTGAGAATGTTACTGGTTTGGAATTGTGTTGTTAATTGCCTTTGTGCAGATAACATGAAGTCTTTGTTTCAGTTGGTGCTTCTCGTGCTGCTGTTGATGCTGGCTTTGTTCCAAACGACATGCAGATTGGACAGACTGGAAAAATGGTTGCTCCTGTGTGTAGAAATGCGTATCTTTGGTGTTTATTTATTTTTGGCCATGCCATTTTAAAGGCAATGTTTTTTTGTTATTTTGTATAGGAGTTGTATATTGCTGTGGGAATATCTGGTGCCATTCAACATTTGGCTGGCATGAAAGATAGTAAGGTAAATGAAAGATAGTAAGGTAAATGAAAGATAGTAAGGTAAATGAAAGATAGTAAGGTAAATGAAAGATAGTAAAGATAAATGAAAGATAAGGTAAATGAAAGATAGTAAAGATAAATGAAGAGATAAATAAGATAGTAAGGTAAATGAAAGATAGTAAAAATGAAGATAAATGAAAGATAGTAAGAAATGAAAGAAGATAGTAAGGTAAATGAAAGATAAATGAAAGATTAAGATAGAAAGATAAATAAATAAATGAAAGAATGTAAATAAATGAAAGATAATAAAGATAATTAAATAATAATAATGAAATGTCAATAAGGTAAATAGAAGGGGTAAATGAAAGATAGTAAGGTAAATGAAAGATAGTAAGGTAAATGAAAGATAGTATCGTGTTTTTTAAAAACGACGTCACTTCTCTTACATTAGCTGCATGAATCATGTAGCTTTGGTACAGTACATGCATGTAATTCAATTCTGAATTTTTCTCTCAAACCTCGTTAGATGAAAACCTTTCTCACGGTGGTACATCTTGTCTTCCCAGGTTTTTGCAACCATTTTACATAAACGTTTGTAAAGTATACGAACGATAGTTATGTGTATAATGAAAAATATAACGAGACGTAAAAGATAGTAGGGTACATAATAGTAAGGTACATAAAAGATAGTGAGGTACATAAAAGATAGTGAGGTACATAAAAGATGGTAAGTTACATAAACTATAGTAAGGTAAACACACTAAAATTTCATAAAGCCAAGTTTTCACTTCTTTTGTAACTGCGTACGAATACAATGTACTTAAGCATTTTGGTAAACATTTACTTTAGGTTATTGTAGCAATCAACAAAGATCCAGAGGCGCCTATTTTTCAAGGTAAAATCATTTTGTCCAGTCATTTACTATATTGTTTTGCATCGTAGATCGCCAGAAATAAAGAATCAAACTTTATCATTTGCCTTTCAGTTTCCGACTATGGACTTGTTGCAGATCTATTTAAGGTAAGTTACATGAAAGTGAAGCTTTCGAGTTTTGCTTTCAAATGTCTTGTGCTTCCTTATAGTTTCCCACGTATGTTATATAGGCTGTTCCTGAGTTATCAGAGAAGTTATAAGAAAACCACTTTAATGCTCTCTATAAGAATAGAAAGCAAAATTGAACTAAGATGTATTTTTATTAAACTGTTAGCTAAGTGTTTCGTATGATAAAAAAGTAGAGATTGCGACAACTAAGAATCGTCTGGGGTTAGGATTGACTAAAAACGTGGATTGACAATTTTTAACTATTTGTTGTAAAATTATTAATTTAACAAATCTGCGCTCATGTGTTTAACATTTTGTGTAAGATGGCACCTTCCTGCATTAATCTCACACACAATAAGCAAACAGAATCTCTGCATAGCCTTACATACACAACATTTGTTATGTCAATGTCTGTTCTACGTTCTATAATAATGTTCCATTCATGTTCTACGTTTAATTTTAAAGTGAAGACAGTAATTTTTCCAATATGTTAAAAGTTTGCCGTGTTTTTTTTGCGTGTAGTCAGATTTCATGAATATTTCATAAAACTAAACTTGTCACTTCTTGTGGTTATTCATTAACGGTTAATTTATTAAAACCTTCGAAGAAAAATCTTTATAAACCAGCTTTAATCATTTTCACGTGTTTGTATGTATATATATATATAATTTCTTCTTTCTCAAATCGTTAACTGTGAATAAAAAGAGTGCTCAATTCAAAAGTAGAGCGAAATTTTATATATGTTTATACAAAATATAACAACTCTTTTTATTTATTTATCGAATGGTTTCAATGCTTATAAAATATGCCAAATTGATGAATTTGATGTGTCGGTGACAGCATTAACGGTTCCTACACAATAATAACCTTGAACACACATTATAACGTCACATTGTAATTATGCATTATATTTCTTTCATATCCTTTTGCACTTCTCAATATTAGTTTTAACACGCTCGGTAAACATTTAATGCATAACTAGACATCAAATTTTTCGCATCAAAAATGTCAGTTTGCATAAAATGTCTTGAATTGAAAATTGTGGAAAAACATTCAAGGATTCTTTTGGCTAGTAGAGTTTGAAGTCGACCGGCGGACGCACCTTTGAAAAAACGCCCTGAAAAGGTTTAGGTTACAGTGATTTTGAATGGAAGTGCATAGTAAAATAAACAGTTTTCCCAAGCAGATGTTTTCATTTCTTAATTAAAATAAGGATTCATTAAGCTTTTCTTCATTCTACGCACCCATAACACTTCTAGTTCCAAAGAAAACAAACAAAATTGGTGTAGACATCAGGTTTTTGATCTAACGAACAATATTTCACATACATCAAATCATGTCTTCATTCTGATTGTACCTACGTATGTTAGATAAAAAATGGTTCTGGCTGTTTTCGTAAAATCTATCTTGGCTAGAGCATTCCTTCTAGGACATGCAATCTTCGCTATTTATCTCGTGGTGGATATAAAACAAAATAAAACGTACTGGTGGCTGGTCGCCATGTTGTTGCCTTTGATCCTCGAATCTATATTTACACTAGGCTATCGCAAAAACAAGGAATACAAATGGTATATTTTTGTTAAATTTAAGTTGCCAACTTTTCTATGAAACAAGGAAGAGAGAAATATTTAACTATTTGCTTACAGTGTCCCTCGACATTTTATGAATGAAGCAGTCCAGTCCAATAATGTCGTTCTCTTATTTATTATAGGATCTGTCCAAGTTTACTTTTACATTTAGTCACAGTAGTTCCATGCACATGTATTTTGGAGTATGCTCTCTTGGATAAGCGGATCCACTCAAGAAACAAAAAAGTAAGATTGAAGTGCTGATTTTATGAAGAAATGACGCATGGATTAAACAATGCACAGTTAAAATTGAAAACATTTTAATATCCTTTCATCAAATTCATTTTGCAACCAGGACAGTCGTGACAATTTACTTCATGTAATCGCATATAGTAAAGAAGTGGTGTAGCCCATGAATACAATGGCTGAAAATTCAGTTTACTTGTTTTTCCTTCCAGGGCACCACAGTTCGTTCAGATGAGATCTGGTACGAGAATATCACTGATGTGATGGAACAAACCATCTTGTTGGTGATGATCTTCGGTCGATGGTTGATGCCCAAGGGAAAACTAACCCGGGATGAACTTTCCCAGTTGTTACTGATCAATATGGCGTCTGCAGCAGATATCATCGAATTCTTTGATATCATCAATATCAGTGACGTAAGCTATGATCGAATGATGATCACCATCGTCCTCAGCCTTTGGTCCTGGAGTCTACTACAGTTTCCGTTAAATACTACGGTTGCTTTCGATAAGCTTATCTCTGGTGAAGAGCCAAAACCAAAACGGGAACCGACGTTTGCCCGTTTGTCTTCACTCCCATCTTACATCGTAAAACGAATGTCTTTGAACATTTACGAAAGAGAGTTTGACACGGACGAAAACGTCAAACCTGCTTTCGGTGAATTCGCTAGCATCATGGTCGGCTTAGTACTGCAGGATGCGCCTTATCTTACCATGAGATTGTTTATTGTATCTTATTATAAGACATTTGGTTACATGATAGTTTTTCTTACTGTCAAGAATGGACTATTTTTCGTCCTCGAGGTGTACAGACTATGTGTGTTGTTTTGTCATTGCAAAGACAGTGTGATCCATGACCCATCTCCCGACAACAGAATTCAAATCCAAGCGAGATTTAGTAACATACAGATTGCCATACCGCATTCATTAATAAGAAATAAGATTTCTCCGGAAAAAGACAGAGCTAGGCTGAGTAAAAATAGCTCTTTTGATAGCTAGAAAAGGGAAAGGACAGAACAATTGAACAAAGAAGCCATGATAGAAACTTGAGAGCTCGGACAATTGTCTTTCTCCTCTCCTTAGCTCTCTTTCACTGGCGAAAATGTTGTTGCTGATCGTCGTTTGAGTCATGAAAGACGTCGGTTATGTGAGTCAGTTTTTGTCAACTGACTCATACTTTAAAATTATTTGAGTTTTGTAATAGTATTTTATTTTTAGCGACTGAAAAGCCTATCTTATTATATTGCCCGTAGTATCATGATTATAATTGAATTTTAACATTAACTTAATTTTCACATGTAACATGGGTACATAAGTAAACTTTCATACAATCAAATGAATTGTGTTCACGAGTAGACTGGAAAGGAATGAAACAGAAACAAATTAAACAATCATCTCCCGATAGTTGAATATTTTGAAAGTCTTCGCTGACGAGAAGCCTCAATAACATATGAAACTTCCTCCTCACACTTGAATTGTATGAGAGTTCGAAGCGAGAAACACAAAGCTAAAATTTCTGGTACGTCATCCACATCTCTCGGGATAGTTATATCCCTCGACGACGTATCTACTTCTATGTAGTCCTTGACGTTATACAGCTTGATTTTATACGACGTTTTCGAAGGTTGTTCGATCTCTACTCGTTTTCGAGTCTTGAGAAGGTAAAGCCACAACTTGACCTTGGAGTTTCCCGAAACACGACCATAACATATAGCCCAGTCATTACGACCGCGTATCAAAAGTTTGAGGTCATAATACGTCTTAGTGTAGGGAAATCCTTTTAGACGTTTGGCAACCTGTTTCTTTGTTGGCAATTCGGTTTGAAACATGGAATGACTAGAAGCAATTACATCACCAGCTACATTGGAAATTTCTACGGTTACCAGTGAAGGTGATGTTGGCTCGACTACTCTGCATCGGAACACGTCGTTTGCGCTGTATGATTTGATACCATACAACGTCACGAAGCAAGGTCCCATTTTCCTAAACGTTGAGGCTACAGACCGCGGAGAAGTTACACCAGCGGCCATGTCCGCTACTTCAAGTACATGCTCGTATTTGTGCACATGCAAACTGTAACTACCAGTCCTGTTGGGTGGTAAAACTTGAAAGATCAGTGAAACTTTTCCAGGGGTGTCACTATGAATAGGAAGAATTTCAAAGTCGCGCCTAGAGACCTTGGCACGAGTGTCGTCCTTTTCTTTTAGAACAGCTTCTAAAGAATCCGGAAAAAATAACAAAGGGATTGTTTTGAATTGCTTTGTATCAGCAAGAGTCAGTTTAACACTGAGCACAATTGGAGCCTCTGCACTTGTAGCGGACAGTGCAAATGTTACGAAGCCATCATGACGTGCTTCTGATGACGTACCAGTTACCGTAGTTACAATGTGCTCCACTGTATCGCAGTTCTCACTGATGGATAATATGTACGTAATGTCTTCAGGAAGTTACAAACGGCAACTTTAATCAGTTTTAAAGAGTAAATAGGCGCAGAAAGATCATTCCAAGCTCCTGCACACGGAGCACCCTGTGATTGTGGTGGTTCCCGGCGATACGTGGTGCCTGCAAAAGGAATATATGAAACACTTATAACTATAAACAAGGCCATCTATATTCAATGATTATTTAAAGCTTGATCTCTGATAGGAAAGAAAGCTAAACACAAAGAAATACCTGCAAGTAAGTACGTATCTCCATATGTCATGAACCAGCGCTCCTCTGTGATTGCTACCGTAGAGACAACCAGTCCATTTTCACCATGAGATTTAATATCCTGATAAAGAACGAGGCTACCACATTCCTTACGGTAAATCCGTGGGTGCGCCTTATGCACGTGCCAAATCAGTTTTATATCACATGTTGGGCAAAAAAATTCATTCGAACCGCTTGAATGAAGGTTTAAAAATTTCCGGTAGCGTTTTACTGCGTTTAAAAGAAATTTTTGATCGGTGTAATGTGGCATAGACAACTGGTAATAAAACATTTTTTCATTCATTGCCTCTCGGTAGAGATCACACGAAAGCTTTGACGACTGCACAGTTGAATCCTGGGAAAATTTTTCCGAGTCAGCAATAAATGGCTCCTGGGGATAAAGTCTTTCCCAGATGCAACGCGATTTCTCTAGTGCCATTTTTTTCTGTTCATTTGTCTGGCACTTGTGATCTATAAACTTGGACACCAGTCTCTGACAGTCGTTCTCATAGGCATGGGGCGAGAGCATGTGTAGGTACCAAACCCACTCGATATCCAATGGGGCGGCCATTTGAGAAGAATCTTCACCGACACTCGCTATCATAGGTAGCCAAAGATTTTCATAACGTCTGACAGCATTGGCAAGAAATTGACCTCGATAAAGTTTTTCCATATCATGAATACTCTTCATAAAATCGAGATGGACTATGGAGGCTTCAACAAGGTTTACAAGGTTCGTGGATGATTTCCTTAATGTGAACATTGCCTTGGTCTAAAAATTAGAAAAAACGTTTTTACATAGCCAAGCTGAGGTTTTGTAATTTGTTGTATTTCGTGAATCGTGACCAACAATACCATTTAATTGCTTTATTAAAGAGCGTTCAACCCAGGTTTTTTAATTTCTAACCTCTAAATTTTAACATGTGCGAAGTGCCGAGGAAGACTTCAGCTGGTTCTCTTCATTGAGTAGTTTTGGAAGAAAATTAACAAATCCTTTACAATGCATTCAGCAGGATGGCATCACAAGGAAACTATCATCAATTCGCTAACGAAATCAATGAAGATGAATCGACGAAATTCATTTACGCGTGTGTATACGAATAAGAAATTATGTCTGGCTTATAAAAGAAATATTAAAAAATTTCAAAATCCATATCGACTCCATACACTTGCCATGAAAACCTTTATAAGCCAATGTACTCGCGGAACAAGTCAATACTTCATAAGTTCATATAAACAGTCGTAACTTTAAATTAAAACGAAAATCGCGTCATCGTATCGATGAAATAGAATTGTTTATTATATTTGGGATACAAAGGATGCTTGGAATGGCACTTACAGAGAACTATGCGATAATCAAAACATATAGACAAAACACATTGAAATGTATTGTGATTGTCTTTAGCAGACATAATAAATAGTATCACTGTAACAGACATTAAGCCCAAAAAGCCTAAAAGTAAAGATTTCTACTGTCTACCTTCAGTATCGTAGAGTACTCTTGAAAGTAACGATAAGTTTCCTGAACAGACCTAGAGATAGCTAAGATGGTGGATATTGATTTGAGAAACTTCAATTTCGAGTCATTGCTCGAATCATTGCTTGCTTTTCTTAGTTATGTTTACGAATAAAAAGCAACAAGTTCTGCGTAGGAAGCTTTCATTAAAGATTTCTTTGACGCTCATTTGCATACAACCTCACAAAGCATTCTCATAAGCTAAACGCATCATTAAATGCTCTAGCGTTTTTCAATTAATCGTAAAGCCATTGTAGTAGACCAACAACGATATCAGATGAGATATGAAAAGTTCCTTGTCGTAAGTAGATTAATAATCAAACATATTAAAGGAAGGTAGCGCTGAACTTAACGATAAATATGGGGAGAGAAAGGCGATGGATCAAGAAGATAATATTCAGATTTTAATTACACGAATTAGAAGCTTCTAGGACAATAATTTAATGTAAATTGACAATACTTGTGAAGGAACTGTAGGTTTAGTATTATTCAAATTTACATTCTTGATATTCTTAGTGTAATGAACGTATTTAAATTATCGCAGACGTATGATTTTTTGAAAACTAAAAATACTAACTTTATTTTCTTTTGGTATGAACTAAATAAAGAAACGAGTTTAATTAATTAAGTAAAAACTCAAGGCCCGATAAGAGTAAAATGTCATCATTGAAGCTTCTTGCGGGTGGGCATGACGTCAGTGAAAGCACTCTAGCAATATCATATAGCGTGACATTTCATTCGTAAAAAGACATGAAGTACAAGAAATATTGCTGTCATTGTTCATATAAATACACTAACACTATCATCATCACGAATAACCTTGTGTTTGTCATGATGATCTCTATGATCAATTTCTTCATATGAAGGATCACGTGTCTCCTCAAGAGCTGTTACACCATTTGCCTCACTGTGACTATTGCTGGTTTCACGTTGGTGCTTTTCTTCTGCCTGTTTGGGTGCATCTCTATCCTTACGTGATTCTTTCTTTGTTCCTTGAGCACCTGTCTTCATCCCAGTTATCCCTAGGTACTTCAAAAGATAGTTCGTTTCAAGTTTTGCATCAGCAATTGCGATATCATCGTTTGTTGTGTTTTTCAAAATGTCATCATACACATCTGGCACAAACTCGTGATAATATTTCAAAAAGCTGTTGCTAGGAGTCCACGGGCAATTCCGACCAGTGGCGAGAAGTATATTGGATACATGAGGATCACGGTTGAGCCACGTGGATTTCTTGCCACTGGAACTGCTCGTGAAAATGCCATCACGCTTCTCTGCACGAGATGCTCGATTTTCCTTGCTCAGCGGACATGGCTGTATCAACTTCGTGCTACTAGAATGAAATGGATCAACAGGATAGAACTCTTGCGAGCGTTTACGGCATAACATGTAGAGCACGCCAATGGAGTAGGCCAGAGCCACGATCTCTGGTAGAAACGTTGCAACGTCAGTGTAGGGCACTGTCACTTCGCATGTGGCCAGATTTATAAACACTGATTTCTCTTCATCAGTTATCGTGATTTCATATTCGGCAAACTCGGGCTGCGAGCTGCTTGATCGATTTACCGTTTGCCAAGAGCTTTTTTCCACATTAAAGAACGATATTTCCAAATCACCTGTTTCACTGTCACCCACCCAACGTCCAACAACTACACCCCAATCTTTCTGACTGTGAATGAGCATGGCACGTTCGCCAGCCTCTGGTGAGTAAGAGCATGTGTTGCCCGAGGAGTCATTTAATTGGTTTTTCATAGGGATCTGTTTACCAGCAATGGTATGAGATGTCGCAACAAGAAAACCTTTAGGATGCGAAACTTCTACAGCAGACAGAATCGGTGCCAAGGAATGCACCACCTTGACGTCATACTTTTCAGACCCTTTCCTTGCGTTGCGTTGTTGACGTAACTGCCACACACCAATGAGAGGGAGGGAAGCTTCATCCAACATGGAGCGAGCATCATGATACGTGACTTCAATAAGGAGGAATTGAAAAATTAGCGAGAAAATTTTCCTTTGCTAATTTCACTTTCAATATTAACTTCTCCAATTGTTGAGTCAGCAATATCTGCTCTCGGGTACAAATGACATACTCTCCACGGTACATTGCCCCGGGATCGGGGCTTTTACTTTGCTATCTTCTACGGGTGGTCCTCCAGCAATCGTCTGTTGGGGTTGGGTATCGTAATGACTGAGCATCTCCCGAAGACTTTACGAGTGTCGTCCCTGTATTGAATAGGATGCACTAAATGAGAATGCCATACTAGTTGAACATCGTAGCACTCTTTCAGATTCAAACCAGGCTCTTCTAGTTTGGCACAGAGGAATTCACGATAGCGTTTTATAGCTTTCTCGAGGAACTTGGAATCACGGAAATGGTTAAGAGTCACTTGATAGTTGAAGAACCTTTGTCGCAATGCAGCTGAAAAGAGATCATAGGAGAACTTGGATACAAAGGTGTTGGTGATGTTGGGTGGTCCTGCAAGATCCAAACTAAACTGCTCATTAGGAAACGCTCTGGTCCACATCTCTCTCGCGCGGTTAAGCCCAATGTTACGTTCCTTTGTCGACAATATCTGATGTGGAATCACCCTCCCAAATTTATGCAGGCAATCACGATTGTAGGCATACGGTGATATCATATGCACATACCAAATCCATTTAATGTCGAGGGGAGGTGCAAGTGGAATGCGCGGGTCAGCTTTGGCAACCATTGGAAGCCAAAACAGCTCGTATCGTCGTACAGCATTGTGAACGTGCAATCCTTCATATAACCACGGATGATCATCGACCAATCTTAAGAACTCCCAAAGATGAGCGGCGCAATCTGCTAGTTCAACACTGATTGGAATTTTGATCTTTGTACGGACATAACTACAAACGCGGAGAAAAATATATTCATAAATGTTTGATAAGAAGTGTGTAGAACGCGTGGACAAACTAATAGAGCATAGTGGTAATTGAACTATATCTTTTAAATCACTCATAAAACTAAGCCTGTAATAAAAATAAACCTGTAAGTTCGTCGCTCTTTGAGATCACCAAAATAAAAAGACGGAATATTTTTAATGTGAATGCAAAGCTAAGAAAGGAGTAAAGTTGTTCACTCAATTTCATCGTCTATGACTTTTATAGCAAATGCCAAGTGCCCGAGAACAATGAGAGAATAACTATTTCAGTACAACTATCCTAATAAAAAAGTTTTATGAATTAATCTTGTTATTTCATGGCTTCCATTGATAAATTGATAAGTGCAATTAATGCTGGGTATTTCCCATTTAATGTTGTTCATTTACTCACTAACTCCCGCATTCATTTTCAAATAAAGTAGCTAATTTGCTCTGTTCATACCACAAAACCACTTATAAATAGCCCCAACTGACCAACAGTACGAAAAGCAAAGAGTGCCACATATTTGCAAAGTAGGAGAGCCAACTGGAATGCTTTAAGTTATGCAGTGAGTGATAGTAAATTATAAATGCACATACGTATTTACATAGCCTAGCTTACAAGTCAACTACAGGTTTCTGTACATGTTTATGAATCTACACATCTTACAAGTTCACAACGTGAAAATTCACATAACAACACATAAATTAATAGAGCAGAAATGTGTAAGCGTTCATGTTAGTTCCGACCAAAACTCTTTGATAACTAGTGTTGTAAGAAAAATTTTAAAATAAGAGTTCTTCAGTACAATAAGAGTATCGTTGTACAGTACGATACAGGCGGTCAATATTTTCCCTTATCATTAGTCTTTTGTATAGACATCAGCCTTGCTGAGAGGGAAGAGGGTTTTAATTTTTATTCTAATCTAAAATAAATGAATCTGTTCAGCTTTCAACAGACAAAAGACGTTACCAAGTAAACTGACATCAGTAAACATTCGTATTCATCGATAGAATCTATTTCACAAGTGACTAGCTCCTCTCATAAGCGAACTTATAGGCAATACATACTTCCAAACTGTTGCTCAAAAGTACGTATGTTGCGCAAAAACATTCAAAACACGTTATAAAATTAATAGTAAATTTGTCTATTTAATTACTTAAGTTTGTGCAATACTATCCAACGACAGGTACGAGCATTACGAAGAATTAATGTAACATAGAATAACAACAATTCAAGTTAGCATTCCTATAACATCACGTCAAGCACTGGAAGGTGCGAAGCTTAGACATATGACAAACTTATCCTCTTGAGTAAAATTGATCTTGTCTGCGTGAATGTGCGAATTAGTTGAACGAAACAAGATCACAAACATATATTACTCTAGAACACAGACACATTAACTGGAAACATACCATCATAAAGAGCTGTAGTTGAACGGCATTTACAATACATGATCTCAGGCAAATAACTGGCATAATCAAGATCAAGTTAGACAAACACACACAGGAATTTGAAGTTTTATGCTTCTACGTCGTTGCCCTTAAAATAAACAAGGAATAGAATTACACTTACCTCGATTCGTCTCAAATTTCCTTCACGGAGATTGATAACCCGAATTGAAGACAATAAACACAAGCGAAGGATAAATATTATAAAGTTAGCTATAAAACAAAACGTTGACAGGAAATCTCCAACTATGAATACGATGAATACATATACATGCATAAACACAAAGAGACAATTTCGTGACAATAGCAACGCAATAGAAAATTAAATAGAAGTCGCATTCTTTGCAATCAAATGAACCAATGAAGCGCAACGTAATGTTTATCTTTGTTAAAAAGATGACATAACTTGTGCGAAGTATCCAACAGTTAATGAAAACAGCACACAAAAGTCATATGAACATAGTTTTTTAAAAAAGATTTTGCAATGCAATTAATCGGGTCGTTCGATACAGTACCAAACAATTTTTCTTTGATGGCAAGAAACTACACAATAATAATAAAGACGTTTCAATTATATCAGGAAAAGGTAGTTTCCTCACACAAAAAGCATATTTCATATTATAAGAATAAGAATTGTCACACTAGTAATGCTTACCTAAAAGCTTGGAAATCACAACTGTAAGAAAATTTTTCACCCATCTGTATTATCTTGGACAATGCCATGTTTGCTTCTGTAGTTATGAAAGTTATGAAAAAAGGGGGCTACACAAAACTAAGGGTGAACATTCATTAAGTTGGCGTGGTAAATTTAAGAAGGTATTTCGACCTTCACGCCCTCCACGCATTTACATAAGCTAAATAAATAATGAAACCACCAATACGGCATCATCATATCATTATTTATGGAAAAGAAATACAGCTAAGGTGCCAAAGGCACAAAGCCTGGATAGCGTTATCCATTGGACAATAAAAATTTTAAAACTTGTAAAAAAGTGCTTATATTTTTCCTACGACAAAGAAATTTGTAATCTTCGAAACAATATTTTATTTTAGTGATTGCACAGTCCAAATTGTGTATTTTTCTCTTATAAGAGATTTTGTGAACGTTCACAAAAATTTGCTATCCAATGGATAACGCTATCCAGGCTTCTTACAACCGGTCACTGATCTTTTTCACAGAGCATAGTCTATAGGATAATTATAGGATAATTATAAGTAAAACCGTGGTAGCGAGGTTACATATTGCTTAAATGCACTCGAAAGTCGATGGAGGTTGAGTACACTAAGTAATCTCACTACAATGGTTTTGTTTTGTAATACTACGATTGAAGATATGTTTTAGTCACTGCTTCACACACTGTCAACGATGGTGCAAGTTAAATGTTTTTTGTTTTGTTTTTGGGAATACTTTGTGGTGATTTTATTACTACAAGCTCAAAATTCGGGATTGTGCATAAATACGTTATTAATTCGTCTTACTAGAATAGAAATTGAGGTAACTATGGTATTATGTAGTTATTAATTATACTTATCTACAAGATAAAACAACGATTATCATCGTACCACTATGTTAACATTCAAAGTTCATTTAACCATTAACACCAAATACTTGTGCCAGTCCAAAGTCTCTTAATGAAAATGTGACAACTTGATATTTAGTACTTCGTATTTCGTCACGTTCATACTTTCTAAAACATTCCAGTTGAAGTCTCAAAGTGACATTTTCCTGAAAATAAAATATCAATTAAAAACTTTGCCATCATTCGAGGTAATTATTAAAGGGAAACGAAGGATTACATTTATTGAATGAATAAACATTTCATACTGAGAGTTGATGTGCTATTGCTGGGATATAGCTACTCATATCTCCCACGAGCTCTATATCTACGACAAGCAACGATAAAGAACTCGGTTCGATTCTTACTAAACTGCATCTTTTACCATTCAAAGATGGCTGGAGTAGAGCCTTGCCACTTCAATGTAACTTACAACTTACATGAAGTCTTTGCAAGTGGAACATTTTACTCGTTCTCTCAGCACGTGATCCTTCAGAAACTCTGTGTGCGCCAGGAACGCTTCTTGGCTAATGAAATATTAATGCTAAAGTTATGATGGAAATCATCAAAATGAAAGTTCTTGAAGAAAAACTGTCAAAGTAAACTGACATGGCATTTAACACTTTATGTCGACAGAAATGTAAACAATGAAGGTTTCGCCACAAAGAGTGAAAAATACAAGAATAACAAAACTAAGGATTCAAGAATAGTGCAAAATTTAAAAAAATCACGGTATTTCGACTCGTATGATTTGAATCTACCGTAAAATATTTCAAACATTTATTTCACTTATCCATTAACTCCCATGTAATTTTGATTCACGTATCATCATGCGAAAATCAGTTGTTTTCGTGGCACGTAAAAACATTTTTAACAAAACCTATCACAAGCCATAGTCTACATAACGAGTAGTTGTCTTGTTGTCAACTGTTTTAGTAAGAAATTTTCGTTTCCTCCGATGTGTATTGGCAACAGTGATTTCAAATACAAACACATCACGGAAATAAACATGCATTGAGTCAATGTTTCAACCCTGTTATTGGACAGAAAATCATACAAATCTCTAAAATGCACGTGCTTCTGGATGATATTTCAAGTGTTTATTGATTTGTATCGCTCAAAATTGATAAAACATAACAATGCATTTTGAACCCCCTTCCCCAAGTATAAAGTTTAAACTATTTGTCATCTCTTGAACTTTTGCCCCAACTCACAATTGCATGAAAAATCCCAAATGATATGATTAAACATGAACGATAGATGTATAAATAGATAAAATGACTAACCATAGTTTGACGTTGGACATCATCGTGCATCACCACATCCTGTAAAACAACAATAAATCATTGAAAGTTTCATTAAACACCACAAGATAAATCAATCTTACACGTTCATCGACTTACATTGGGAGTAACAGCAGCTATGTAAACATTACAGTTATCGTATGCTCCACGATCGATCACGCCAACTATAATGTTCACCGAATTGCTTAACCAATCCGAATGCTCAAAGCGCACTTCAAGTTTGATTCCATCTTTTTCAATGATACTTTTAGCCGGTAGCTCTGAACAAGAGGAATTAACAATATATATCTCTAACTTTCTTTAAAGAGCGTATTTGCCATGGTCAATGGCCACTATATTAGTTGAAAAAAACAATTAAAACAATCATGAACTGAACATATGACATTAGAAAAATTTCGTGGTATTTCGGTGGACAAACTCGTCGGATATTAACGTCAGACACCTAACGAGTAGTCGGCTAAAGCGCATTGCGCATGTCATATATAGTTTTCTCATACTTCAGTTTCGGTAGTTCGTTTCAAAAAAACATACTGTGTGCTTCTAGCCACCTCTCGGCACTTCGGTTACCGTCAGCCTCAATTGGATCCCTCAAGCTGTAATAACCACCACCTTTGATAACGTACTCGGGACGTTGTCGATCAGTATACTCCGAGCTTAGAGTATCTTTTTCGACATCTGGCAAATGTAAAACGCTTATTCATTTATAATCGTTTAGCGTTTCTCTCGTTACTGCTCTATCAACCATTATGCACAATGGACAAGAACAGTATTGAGAAGTATAAAAAGTAAATTACAATCGCCCATTCTTGAAATTATTATATACATTTCAAAACACTGCAAAATTAGTTCGATCGGTACGATTTTAAAAATTGCAAATTTAAAACGAACAGCAGTGTTATTGGCATTTTGAATTAAGCTCCTAATGATTCATTTTGCCAAACAGTGGATCTGTTACAGAACAAGAGGACTGCCGAAAATAATATGTTATGAAAATGAACATAACCTGTTGTGACTGCATGAAAAATATCTTCGATCTTTTCATTACGACAAATGTGTTTCTTCAGATGTTTCATGTAGATTCCATTCTCCTCGTTCAGTCGTTCGTAAGCTTCCGACTGCGAACACCTTGCATAAAGAGAAAATTCATATCAATAATAATGTATTTCAACCCACTAACCAGTACGAGAGAAATTTTAGCTGATTCTGATCTCGTTATACTGTATGTACATTTTCAGCAACAGCGAAAAACGTACGTACGTGGCAAAACCAAAGACAATTTTAGGAAGATCCGTTGGAAAATCATAATCTTCGAAATTCGCCTTCCCAATAGGTCTAAAAAATTAAGCATGATCAATCTAAAGATGCTGCAATTATTAAGCGCCACGCATGCGTTTGAAACCTAACTAACCGCGAAACTGAGCATGGCACAACTTTACTTTATCGTTGTCCTACCTCACTCGACACATATCTAGGATTATCACTATCATTTTTGGTCGCACTTTCCATAGTATCTCAAGAATCCACTGGACGCAAATAGCGTCTTCTTGCTTCCATTCACCTGGAGCATCCACGGGCAAGAGATAATGACGCCCGTTTAATTCAAAGCCGTGACCGGCATAGTAAAAAATTGCATAGCAGCCCTCGCTCATCAGATTCCTATATTCCTCAATACCACGGATCATCTCGTTTCGTGTGAGATTACCAAGGAAAGAACATTGAATCCCATCTCATCCTTACGAAGTAATGAGCCCAGAGTCTTTGTATCGGCAATCGTATGTTGCAGAAAACCGCCTCCTTGCAGAGCTTCGTGAAATTCAGTCGTGTAGTCTTTGTTCCCAATAAGAAGGGCAACTTTGTCGGTCGCTAAAAAAGATGCGACACAAACGGCATTTACACCAGCAACAAAATAAATTAATTGTTTCTATTTTACTCCCCTTGAAGGAGTTTAAACATTTCTGTCTGTCATTGGCTGCAACGTTGACCATTGCATTGTGGTATATTCATCTTCTGCTAAAACAACATCACAAACTAAGAAAAGATATGTCTAACAAGTAATAACATACCAGTGTTTCTCGCAGGCTCAACGTGATCTGCCAAAAAAAACCAATTAATTTAGTTCCAGTGTGACCACAATAAAGAATAAAATACACGTACGCACCAATTGCAAGCTCTGCTATCTGCGTTACCACGGCACCATGAGAATTGGAAACGTGACAACAATAGTGCCCAGTGTTTTCATCAGAGAATGAAGGAAACACTAATGTAGGACTGTTGGAATCCATTAATGGTTCAACACCTTGATACCATTTATATGACAATGGTAACGACCCCGCTGCCTCACAATGGAGCCTGTGATGTGCCCCAGGAAGCACGTGAGCAGACAATGGTTGTAATATGACCACTGGCTTATTATCATCTATAAATGAATGTAGATTTTATGTAACACTTGAGTTAAGTGAAATTGAATAACTATGTTAGAGAAACATATAAAAACAAAAAAAACCTGTTCTTTGAGGCATCATAGAAGGATTTCCAGCTGCAATTGTAAAAAAGAATTATTGGTAATTTATGCTCCAATAATTAAAAAATAGATGCTGCTCAAAATTGACATAGTATACAGCATAAAGAGCCAAGTCTCATTCAAGTATAGTATAAAGCTTCTCAAGGATAAAACATCTTGAGAACCGTGAAAAACATGTACATAGCTTGCAGCAACACCAATTTCAAGTCAACAATTAAAATTATATCCCCAACCTCTCAAGACACGCACTGTAACCTCATTTGCCCATTCCTCGTTGGCTATGTTGCTAACTTTGCAACTGTAAGCACCATCATCAGCCATGGATACTTTATGAACACTTAATTCACGAAAGATTTCATCGGGAATCTCTTTATTATTTTTATACCATTGGTAAACAGGAGGTGGATAACCAATGGCCTCTACTTTGAGATTAAGACTGCTGCCCTCATACACAATGGCACACTCTGGTTGTGTCTTTATCACAACAGGCTCTGAAAAGAGATATTTCATCATATTTCAAACTTTTCATGATCAAATCATTCACATGAGCATCTTGTTAAACTTCCATGGTGCAAATCCTATGCAGGACCTTGGTAAGGTTCCTGACAAGATCTCAACTCGGATCCTATAAAGTCTTTACCATTGATTATCTTAAATTTTATTTTATCAAGGATACTACAGCAGAATTTTACTAGTGTAGCCATGTGAATAGATTCAATTTTTGTTTGAGGTTAATGTGAAACAATACTAAACATTGAATGATATTGAAACATACCATTGGGCCAGTCCAAGGCTTGCAAGGCCTCGTAGTTTTTAATCTTTTTCAAATATGCTCCCAGTTCCCTGACTGTTACACACAGTCGGCATAAGTCTTGAATAAGTATGTCTGTACATGAAGTACCAGGTCTCGAAGTACCATTTCTTTCAATCAATGCAACCTTGATAGAAATTATTCACAACTAGAGATTTGATACACAATATACGTACATAGAACATATAGCTGTTGTGGTTGAGTCTCCCCAACCCTTCCTTCCCTCTCTCTCTTTGCTCTAACTACGAATTCTTTTAAAAATTTTTTATATAAGCTTTTAGCAATTTGGTGTAAATTTTGCAATGCAAAACTGCCATCCACATAAACCACTACCTAATGAATACGTACTTGATGAATGTCATATCTTCCTGTGACAGATGATAAAGCCTTCCAATCTTTATCACTTGGGGGCTCCAGATACAGGTTAAGTTTTTGCAATTTGCCAAATGGCATCTTTCTTAACTGAATGTTGATGTCTGTGGGCATCGCTAAGGAAATACACAAAAGAAAAGAACATTTATCAAATAGAGCCCATCTATGAAAACGGCTCGTTCTAATCGCTTCAACAGTATTTAAGGTTCTAAAAATAATTTTCACTGACAACCTTTTCCACGAAATACAATTCAGCCAAACAAGAAACAACCAAACAACAAATATCATTACGACATGTTCTAAATGTTTAAATTGTATTTTCTCTTTTCTTAACAAAAATCTCAGAATGACAATAGTGCCTTTTCATACCTTCCAATGGCGTTAAAACGTATTTTTCTTACTTTAATCACGGGAAAAAATGCGACGTTTTAGTTGTGTTTAAAATTTGAAGGTGAAATCTTCGACTTCCTGCTTCGAATATACCGGACGTTGTTACATCAAAATAATTTTCAGCTGAAAACATGAATTTAATTTGTCAATAACAGCATGCGATCACGTTCCATTAAACAGACGTTGTATTTTCTTTGAATTTCCTAAAGTTTTAAATTGTTTTTAGTTGGTAAACATTTCAATAGTGAATCCTCTAATTTTTTATGTGATTAATAGTTGAGGTGAGACAATAATACGTTTAAACCAATATTGCTATGAAACCTTAAAAATGTTTCATTAACTTATTAAACCAGGATTTCTTACAGGTTGTTTTTATCTAAGATGAATGTCATAATTAGCTTAATTCCCGAAGATATCAAGTATAGCTTGGCCAAGTTGCTTGATCGAAGAAAGGAGCCGAACTGGAAGACATTTGTTGATAAAACACCAAAAAGCATCTATTCGTTCATGAAAGGAGAAAAGGAATTTTTAAGACTGGAAATACTTAAGAAGGAGGGGAGTCCCACATTAAAACTTATTGAAAATTTGGGCAAAAAAAAAGTCAAGGTGTGTCAGTTTATCGACATTCTTGAAAGTTTGGAAAAAGATGAAAACATCAATAAAGCCCTGGATCTATTTATGGGAGGTAGGTCTACAACAGCATTAAGAGTTGAAGTTGAATTTTGAGCAAATTTCACTACAACAACTTTATGACTGATGATATAGAGCCACCTTCAATTGTGACTGAACCTCCTTCTGAAATAAAGCTCAATGTTGGAGATGATGTTACAATCAGGTGCGAGGCTGTTGGAAAGCAACCCATTTTACATCAATGGTTTAAAGAAGGGGAACTACTCAAGGCCCAAAATACAAAAGAGTTGTGTTTGTCTAAAGTCACTCCTGTGGATGAGGGAATGTATATTTGTCGGGTCGCAAATGTGCGAGGATATCAATTTTCACGATGGATCAGAATGGTTGTGGAAAAAGCAGAAACTGTTGTGGAATTACAGCGACCTGCTAAAAGCACTCCTCATGAAGACGATGACAAAGTTGATGGGGCTAAAGAAAATGAAAGAAGTATCACCATACAATCAGGTTAGCTCTACTTATTCACACATGCAATGAACAGAGATTTCAATGCCTTTAGGCACTTTGATCTGTTAAAAGTATTGTTTGTAATGAAAAGTATGTAAGATCACTAGATCAAATACCAAATATTGCAACTATTTTGTTTAAATTGGTCAATTAACTACCAAATTTGTACTTAGATAATGGTGAGTCGCGACCATGTGTAACAGTACATCCCCAATCGGTCACAGTATATCATGGCAGTCTGCTCTCTCTTTCATGTGATTGTGATTGTGAGATTAATACTAGTTTTCAATGGTTAAAAGACCAAGAAGAGATACCAGGGGCTACCAATCGTGATTTGGTAATATCACCAGTGTCACAAGACCACGAAGGCACTTACACTTGTCGTGTGTTCAACAATGTTGCAACAGTTAGCTCTCGTTCAGCAAATGTTCGCATAACTAAGAATAGAGGAGTAGGTAACTAGAGTTCAATGACAGTGATCACATGAAGAGGGGATCTAGGAAAGAAATCCCGATTTCATTTATTTTTATAGAGCAAAGAATACCAAGGAATATTCCAGAAGAAACACAAGGAGGTGGGAATTTTTCTGGAAAAAAGATGTAAATTCATCGCCTAAAACATGTGTGTATTTTTTTAGTGTGTGACAAAGTAGCGCTGCTTATTGGGAACAAAGATTATGACCATTGTAACAAGTTGGGAAAATTGTACCATCCAACCAATGACGTTCGTGACATCGCTGGCATTTTGCAAAGTATTGGTTTCAAGGTAGGGATACTTTAAACATACAATCAAGGGAAACTAGAAAACCAATCACAGCAATGGTCATAAATACAATCAAGAGGAACCAATCACAGCGATGGTTGTGAACACAATGAACAGAGGAACCAATCACAGAGATGGATATCATATACCTTGCCATTTACTGGGCACTTGTTTACATCATTCTTACATGCTAAATTTTGTCTTTAGGTTATATCTCTAGTTAATCTCAGACTGAATGAAATGCAAGAAGCTTTAAAGTTGTTTGCCCAACTACTCAACTCAGGTGTCTATGCGTTGTTTTATTTTGCTGGTCATGGTTTTGAGGTGGACGGCAAGAGTTACCTAATGTCAACCAGTGCTGATGACAAATATTCTTGTTCCGAGAATTTGCCAGCGAATGACGTCTTAAGAATTATGCAGGAACGAGAAGCTAAACTAAAGGTTCTTTTAATTGATTCTTGCCGCACAACGTAAGTATGACCAATACCACGTAAGTGTTTTAAGCGGATTATTTTTTACCACCTTTGCTTCAACATATCACGATATAGTGTATATTACAGTGAACCAATATCTGTAATGTTATAAGTTCGAATGTTCTGTCATAGACCTGGTTCTAAAGGATCACACAGTTTTCATGATCCGATTTATTCTGGCGGTTTGAATGCAGTGCAAGAAAATGTCGTTATTGCATTTGGATGGTGAGTAAGAGTACTAAGTTCCATTGGCTTATTCAACTACATTTTACTTTTGACGCATTTTCACAATTTGTTTACTCTAGTTGTTCTCAAGGAAGAGTATTTGAGCATCGCCAAAGAAGGAATGGATACTTTGCCATGCACCTTTTAGAACATTTAGGTGACCATGAAAAAAATGTTGAGCAAGTTCTACTGGAAGTTGCAAAAGGTAGCGTTTATTTAAGCGAATCATTTCTGTGGTGTAACTATATAATGCCAGAGCTGGAGAGAGAAAATTGCTTTTCATTATTAGTTTTAGTGAGGGAACAAGCTACCATAGACCATTTCACGTTACGGTACCAAATATATAGTTACGAAGCACTTAACTATGACCAAGGACATTCTTGAGTAACGAAATACTCTCAAAACAATGTACACACTGGTGCTAGACTTAATCACTAATGAGAACAAAGAATAACGGAGACGCTTCTTCATTAGGTGTGAGAAAGGAGCAAATTTACGACAGTTTCACTGGTCAGATTCAAATGGTCTATCGTCACAGCAGCTTGGCTGAGAATTGGTCACTTTCCGATCGAATAGTTTCGAACGAAAACGATTCGCCTCAAGCACTTGAATGGCAAAGAGGTCATGGTAAGATAGTGATTTTTGAAATTCCTTTTTTCCTTAACTTCATTTTTACATCGATTGTTCTATTAAGAACTTCCTGGGGGTCCAGCGGTTGTGTATGAACAAGATGACGTAACCCTTACATTAAGATTTGATGCAGAGTTCTCCAATGTCATGATTATTCGTGCACTCATCGAGACTAATGATGATGACGTAATCTTACATCCACCTCAGCTACACGCCAGAGAACGAACGGTGAGTAAAACACAAAATCGTTTTAATAACATGTGAAGGATCAAAGCAATTTTTTAATACTTCGTTTGCCTGACAGGACGGAGTTCAAATAAAAGAAATGAATCAAGATGATGAATTGTTCCCTGAAAAATACGCTGAAGATGAAGTTATTGTTAAAATTACAAACCTACAACGACTTAAGGTGTTTAAAAATGAAGAAAAGAATATTTTCGTTCTCTTTTGTTTATTCATCACTACCTACACTGACACACGTTATCTTAATTTATATTTTAGGTAGTGTAAAGACTGTTCTCATTCTCTGTTGTTCATTCATCACTACCTACATTGACACACGTTATCTTAGTTTATATTTTACGTAGGTAGTGTAAAGACTGTTCTCGTTCTCTACTGTTCATTCATCACGACCTACACTGACACACGTTATCTTAGTTTATATTTTAGGTAGTGTAAAGACTGTTCTTGTTCTCTGTTGTTCATTCATCACTACCTACACTGACACACATTATCTTAGTTTATATTTTAGGTAGTGTAAAGACTGTTCTTGTTCTCTGTTGTTCATTCATCACTACCTACACTGACACATGTTATCTTAGTTTATATTTTAGGTAGTGTAAAGACTGTTCTTGTTCTCTGTTGTTCATTCATCACTACCTATACTGACACATGTTATCTTAGTTTATATTTTAGGTAGTGTAAAGACTGTTCTTGTTTTCTGTTGTTCATTCATCACTACCTACACTGACACATGTTATCTTAGTTTATATTTTAGGTAGTGTAAAGACTGTTCTTGTTCTCTGTTGTTCATTCATCACTACCTACACTGACACATGTTATCTTAGTTTATATTTTAGGTAGTGTAAAGACTGTTCTTGTTCTCTGTTGTTCATTCATCACTACCTACACTGACACATGTTATCTTAGTTTATATTTTAGGTAGTGTAAAGACTGTTCTTGTTCTCTGTTGTTTATTCATCACTACCTACACTGACACATGTTATCTTAGTTTATATTTTAGGTAGTGTAAAGACTGTTCTTGTTCTCTGTTGTTCATTCATCACTACCTACACTGACACATGTTATCTTAGTTTATATTTTAGGTAGTGTAAAGACTGTTCTTGTTCTGTTGTTCATTCACACTACCTACACTGACACACATTATCTTAGTTTATATTTTACGTAGGTAGTGTAAAGACCGTTCTTGTTCTCTGTTGTTCATTCATCACTACCTACACTGACACACATTATCTTAGTTTATATTTTACGTAGGTAGTGTAAAGACCGTTCTTGTTCTCTGTTGTTCATTCATCACTACCTACACCGACACACATTATCGTATGTAGTTTTGTATATTATATACACTTTAGGTTGTGTTCTTGTTGTTAATTGTTAAAAGACTGTTCTTGTTCTTTGTTGTTAATTCAACACGACCTTAACTGCATACATACGTTATCTTAGTTTTGTAGTGTTCCCTTGTTTCTTCCTTCACTATAGCAAGACTGAAATGAACTATAGTCAGGGAAAAGCACAACTAATTCTTATTTGTTTTTAGGGGAAATTGTTGGTGATGTTCAACGTGAGATACATAAACAGCCAAGACAAACTTTTGAGTAGGACCGTCGCGTACGAGTTTAAAGAGAGGCCACTTTATGCTCGACTTACAAACTGAACAATGCACTAACTTTTCTTAACATTAACTGTATAAAACAAAACGCGGACGCAATGATTTTGTAACATATTTTTTATCAACAGAATAAAAGTTCAACACTTTCTGACAGAAAATGTTGAAAAAACCCAGGAAAAAATCAAAAATAGTTTACAATGAACATTTCATGTTTTCTCAAGAACAAATGAATGCATTTGTTGCCAGCTACTTTCGTTGATGAGGAACTACATAAAATGAAAGAGATATCATCACTCATGCAGATACAGACGCATGCGATCAGGCATTAGAGAGCAGTTTACTTACTAAAAGAATGATCATACGGTGGTCTGAAGGTTCCTTGTCCTACAGGATACATAAATCCGGGGAAACCCGGAGGAAACTGGGAAGGGCCACTCATGTCGACTCGGCGAAACGCTAGGTTTGCCGTTAGGGATTGGGTTTCTGGTAGGGAAGACGTATCTCTGCGCCACCCCCGGATTTCTCCTTACTATTCTCACTTGGTGGAGACGAGGAAGGCGGGTTGATCCTAGGGGTGGCACCCACATCATCTTTTAAATGAAAACCACGAGTCTCGGTTCTCGACTCAGTTTCACGTGAGTCCTCACTCCCCGCACGTGCTCGCTCTGCGGACAAAGAAGAACTTTGAGCCAAGTCGCGCATTGTATCTGTCCCACGAGCAGCGACTGGATTATGAAGTTGAGCTCCGGGGAGAAATGCCGGACCAGCCATCATCATTCCAGGAGGGAACGGAGACACAAGGTATCCTAAAGTGAATGGAAAACAAAATGTGAACATTTTGTTTCTACGATATATCATCGTTGAATAACTCACCACCATGCAAGCCCATGGCTTGTTCATAACTCTTGGACAATGCGTGGTTTGCTGGGAGATTGGGACCAGGTACATAGCTAATGTAAGAGGTGGCGGAAGATGAAGAAAGTGGAGATTTACTCTCAGGGTTTCGTGATCTATCAGTGGTACTCCCGGGTGATGCAAGTCTCTTGTCCTCCTTACTAAAACTTTTATTCTAAAATGTAGAGGTGAAAAGTTTATAATTTACAACTTCCCTCCCGTCTAGGAAGAAGCTATACAGAGCAGTTCAAATCAACAATAAAACAAATCTGATTACTCGCAATGCAGTAATTCATACCTCTCGTTTCAACAAAGAACGAGATTCGTTAACAACGGTTGATTTCGATTTGTAGTTTGAACTTGCCGATGGTTTCAGCCTGATAGATTTTTCTTCTGCTTTCATTTTAAGACTCCTCTCCGTTTGAAGTTGACTAAATGAGAAAAGATACTCCCGTCATATATAAGAAGATAAAACACGTAACAAGATTTCTTACAACAACAATTTTCCTCGGAGAAAAGACGTCGCACTCTTGTTTATTTAGTTCTGCCATGCATACGTTTTTGCGTTCATTCACAGTGTAAACAACAGATTTCGAAGCAAAAGAAGAATTTAAAACTTGCGGTACGTAACACTATACTGTCATGAATGCTTGCGTGTGACGTCAAAGCGGCTAATATATTAATCCTAACACGGTTTTAATATGCACATGAAAAACATGTGACTTGGACGAGATTTGAACTCGCACCTTCGGGACACTAGTCCGCCGCTCTACCTGTTGAGCTACCAAGCCCACAGGGATTGGAGACGAGTCAAATATCTTAAAACTGCGTATGGACGAGAGATTCTCGCCACTATAACAGTTTACTGGATGGCACCGTGTTTCGACTTTATTCCAAAGCCATCATCAGAGAATACATATAATATATTAATCCTAACACGGTTTTAATATGCATATATTAGCAAGCATATTAAAACCGTGTTAGGATTAATATATTATATGTATTCTCTGATGATGGCTTTGGAATAAAGCGGCTAATGTTGAGGGAGTACATCAAAGTGCCAACGTACAACCAAACATGAAATCAATATAAATTCTTTTCACTATATGGCACTTTCCCCCAACATGGCGAGTGATGAAAACACTTTATACAAAACTTAAGATATATTCTGAAGTACCGTACATATAACGCATGCGTACTTAAAAGCATCCATTTTATGTTGTACATGCTGACGTAATGCTCTGTTTTCCAAGGTCTTCCAGTACATGGTGCCTCCATCACGTTCGTCCATTATTTCGTGAATATCTTTTATTTCATTTGGCTTGCTTCTTTTCACCGGTATCGAATCAAACTCACTTCTCTCTCGTGAAGTGCTCATTCTTTCCATGTATCGTTTGCCTGGTGCCGTGTCGACATCTGATAGTTCCAATTTACCTTTTACTGATTCTGTTTTTAAAATACTTCCTTTTCTGTTCATTTCATCTGGTGTTTCATTGGGTCGTTCCTCCTACAGAGAGAAAAATCTGAGGTATATGTATCTGAAATTTTGCTCTACAAATTTTTTTGCTGGTATAGAGCACATTAAATTTTAATCTTAGCTTTATATATTTAGAAGTTTAGTGAAACAAGAAAATCTAACCTTAGATTGGTTCATTTCTTTGGCAGACGCCATAACGAATGGCATTCCATGAGCGGCAAAGATAGTGGAATATGGTTGAATTAGTCTTGGATCTACCCCCATTCTTAAATACATCATGCAATTCTCCATTGCTTCTCGGGCTGCTGCCTCGTCATGTGAGCCCGCAGCTGCAGCAGCGGCCATCTGATACTGATATATGGCTTCATAGTTGCGCATCATCGCTTCTTGCTCGGACATTCTTGGATACTGTTAGTAGAAAATCAACAAAAACATAACGAAGGATTAAACAAAGTTTGAAATAAAAAGTACTAAGACATCAGAGATGCTTGCCTGTGATCCCATATCGCCAGAATCCTTTGAAACTATTACTTCTGTTTTATTGCGGTATCCACGTGACACTGAATCCGTTGTGCCTGACAACAAAGGACTCCCAGTGTCGCTTCTTTGCAACTCACCTGCACCAGATCGATTTACGCTTCGCTCTCTATAAGGTGAGCTCGTGGCTCTCTCCCTTATCTGACTGGGACTAGTCTCCCTAGTCTCCCGAAATGATCTCTCTGAAGCTGGATGTCGTCGATCACCTGTGGGAGACTTGTCGTTTCGTTTTCGAGACATACCTTCACTGAATGGCGAACCTGTTTCCAAATCTCTATATCCAACACCCAGTTTAGGATGAAAAGTCCCAGGGGTCTCTCTTCTCGGTGAACGACCCGACATTTCTTTTGCCGGTGAGTTACGAGTAACATCCTTATGAGCAGTCAAACGCTCATCGATGTTATGGAAAGGTATTCGTTTGTCGACAACACGCTGATGGTCCATTCCCCTAGGTGAATCAAACTCTCGCTTAGAATCATAACCCCTATGTGCATCATATCCCCGAGAATTCGAATTCCGTCGTGGGTCGAATCCACGTTGAGCTATATCTCTTTCAGGAGTTCGTCGGTCAACGTCTACTGTAAGATACCCACCTCTCACTGGAGAGGAGCGGTGTTCGGGCACCGGTGATCGCCGCATTGGATTACGTGATGTGCAAGTTTCTGATTGAGGAAACCGTTGAGCAGCTTCTGTTCGAGTTCTTGGTCCAAGATCTCGTAAAGGCGAACGGTTTGATGAACGTGACCATGACGATGAACGGTTAGATGGTATGTAGGGATGTTGAGAGTCCCTGGGAGGAGAAGAACGTGTTGTGATGATCTGAGGTACGCGTTCTTCTGCAATAAAAATAAAAACATTATTAAGCGGTTACAAATCTAGATGTATAAGCAATCTTTGCCTTTCATCATTCCAAATAAATTAAAGCAAACTAGAGATCCAAAAATAGTGCAAAGTTCCATACCTGTAGCGACAGGAAATCCTTGTCTGATTTCATTGCCAACCATTACAGATGATCTAGAAGTAGTAGAAATACTTGGTCTGCCTGTTTTTGTTACGGGCACTACCTCACCAATTGGAACTTCTAACGTTTTCTCCACCCTCACTTTTTTCACTTCGGTCATGTCTGGATGGCTGTGATCCAAGGATAAAGTGGGACTACTTGACTTGGAGTAAAGGACACGTACGGGATCTGGGGGTACATAGTAAAGAATACGTTAAATTTATATGAAATATAATTATAAAATAAGAAACAACAAAACGCGTGCGCTGATTGGTCTATAGCCGTGTTTGCATTAGCCTGTGAAAGCCGATCTTACGCATAGGATCAATGTGCAAACCGATCAATTTGCTAATCAATCATGAATACATCTTAGAAGGAAAATTAAAACGTTTGATTTACATTTGTATTTTTAGAATTATTTTTATTTTATAAAAATTAAAGAATTATTTTTATTTTATAAAAAAAAATTAAAGATGACGTTGTTGAGAACTCTCGATCAGGTGCAAACCTTGACCTCGAGTTCTCCCAAAGGTCTCCTCAGTTTGCATAAACCTGTGCAAACATAGTAAACATTTTATATTTCTTACATAAAACCGTGCAGATCAGTCTAATACTAAAAAAAAGCAAAAACAAAAACAAAATACATGTATCACCTTGAAGTATACTAAAGAGAGAATTATTGTTTTATGTCGACAAGTCCATAATTCTGACCGGTCTAAGTACAACTTAACTGGAGTGCACAGCATGAAAGAGAGCTAAACAATGAAATATACTCACCAGAAGTAATATTACCGACTATTCCCAAAGCAAATTCATTATCCGACTTATTCTCAGCATTAAAAGGATGTGCAACACCAACAGCTCGAGCAGGTTTACCACTGTATGCCGTTTTTGATCGCTCGTCCTCCCCTTTATCCTCTTCATCTTGAGTAAGTTTTAACGTTGTGTCAGCAGTTTCTGTACGAACAAGAGGCTTGTCCGGTAATACCTTGTGTAGAATTGAAAAACTATCAAACATTATTGACATAAAATACAATAGAATAAGCATAGATGAGTAAATCATAATAAATTAATTCAAGATTACCTCCTGACCAGAGACATCATTTCTAGGACTTTTATTTAACAACGCATGATGTACTTCGGGAACCCATGTTGTACTAGCTGTAACAACTGAAGGTTTCCTAGACGAAGTTATATAACCTGATCGCGTTTTGCTCTGACACGAGAGTTGGAACGAGGCGGATGATACAGATGGCACCATCAAAGTCATTAAATTTCCATCTGCTTTATCCCCAGTCCTTTCTACTCTGGGTGTCTCCTTTACCGATCCACACTTTCGCATATCTTTGGATTCTAATCCCATATCTATTGTTATTGATTTTGAGACCGAGTTGTTGCTGGTAGTCAGTTTAAAGTGACTATATTCAGAGAGAGCACGAATCTCGGCTGCTGACGTTTTGATCTGTTCCTTGGCAACGTTCGTTCCATCAGTCTTACGTGACTTCGGTGTCTTTTCCGGGGACAATTTTGACTTTTCGTCTTTCGCGCTTTTGTGCGTTTCTTCGACAGCAAATTCGCCTGATTTGTTCCCCTCGTTGAGACGCATCTCGGCGTTGTCCAATTTAAATGCTTCCTCTGACTTTTTATCGCAGGGGATTTTTACTTCGCCAGCGTGACCTTCATCAATAACTTCTTCTAAAGAATAAAATTCCCGTGAAAATGTTACTAAAACCTTCAGGTAACGTAGGCTGGTTGGATATAACAAAGTAGGTAAACATATTATGAAAAAAGTAACAGTAATATATAAGAATAATAATAAGAATTATATTTTGGTAATAACACGTAACAATACAAAGAATAATTACAATGCTGCACCTTTGATTGTTACATCAAGATCTTTATTGTCAACAGTTGTCTCGATCTTTTCGTTATAATCATCCATGGGTTCATACTCCACATATTTATTATAGTCGGGTTGATTTTGCGCTGCCAACATCGCATGCGATGACGCCATTCTACTAAAAATTCCAGTGGATACCATCAATTCTTGACTCAGCACAGACTCGTCAAAAATGATCTTGGCGGCTTCTTCGAGAATATTAGATTTAACGGCACGTCCGACACTTCGTTCTTCTCCCATCAGTAGAGAATCTGCCTCTATTTTAATTACTCCGTATTTGTCGTCAGTCTTTTCGTCCCCCTCTGACAATTTCTCATGAATATTTGCGTCAGCTTCATGTTCCATCACCACGACTTCGTCCTTCACATTTACAACGTCACACTCATTACCAGTCTTCTCCTCGACCACCACGTCAGACGTTTCACTCATCTTCACATCAACAATCTCCTCGTGTTCGTCAACATTCTCTTCAGGTTCAACCACCTTACCACCGTTCTTTTCATTATCCTTGTCTTCAACAACAGGAACGTGCACTTTTGAATGTGATTTTTGATTCTTTGCCTTTCTGTGGCTAAGAGGTTTCACATCATCAGAGCCCGATGATTTGGAGTGAGCAGACAGTCGTTCTTTACCATCATCTTCGTCATACGAGTCCTAGGAGAAGGATGAAAGTTATACTTGTGCTGATCAATAATAACCTTCACTGAAGGATCATGTACCTTATCGTCGCCACCATCTGCATTGTCGAGATGCGCATGTGCTTGATGATACCGCAGACCATTGATATGCTTGTATCGTTTGTCGCAGTTTCTCTCAGGACATTCAATGTATTGAGTTGGGGAAGGACAGGGAGATACAGGTATTTTGACGGTACAACTTCGTCGTCTTGTTCTCGCACCTTCTTCTGCAGTATCCGAACCACGTATCCCTTTGGATCTCGTGGACGTCTCTTTCCCATGCTTACCCTTGTTTCGATAAAATCTCGAGGCTGAGATGAAAGAAATGAGTAGCATGTGTTAGGATTTTCAATCAATCGATAGAAAATTACACGTTAAAAGCAGTTTCTTACGTCTTTTTCCATTGCCGGCAAGTTTTGGTGAGAGATAAACCGATTCCTTGTGTTTTCCTTTCTTTCCTTTGGCACCTCGCGCGGAATTGGAAAGTTGACATTCGTCTTGAGATTCATCCAAATGTCTACATAATTACATTAAAAACATACATTCCATGGATAACATGAAGTATACAATGTGGCATACTCAGTAGGAATGCATTGACACAAGTAACAATGATGAAGCGACCTAAGTTATTTTTACCTCGGATTCGCCCATTCATAACGTGAACGGTCAATTAAACTGCCACAATACGTCTTGTTACGATAGTTTATATTGACGACCAAAACACCTGTAATATATACGTGAAATAAACGACATCCATGATGCTTCAGGCAGGACATTTTAGGAACTGATCATTTTAACAGTAAAATGAAAATGATGAAGTTTCACCAGGTATAGTTTCTTAATAACAAAATAACAAACATTCTCTGGTTTTATATTCTGTGTATTAGTGTTTCAAAATATTGTATGTCAAATCATGATTCATAATAATCACCCAGCACACGTTAAAGGCCACAGTTAGTTTGCCGAAAGCGTGTGAAGCATCAATAATATATAAAACCAGAGAATGTTTATTTCATTATTATACAGAATGCAAATTCATCGTACCGCCCACTGCCTTCCATATCACTCCATCCAACGTGACAGGCTCGCCCGGCTGTACAGGTGTTATTGATGCAAGAGAACTCTGATCCTCCTCGTTGCAGTCTGAAACACCAGTCGAGGGAATCTCTGAGGTCGTGGATGCTACCGGATGAGGCTGAAATTAAAACTTTACGATGATCGTATATTCACAACACACATATGAAATCCTCAAAAAAAAGAAATGTAAGAATTCAAAGAGAAGATAACAAATTCAAAGCGTCGCATGCCATTTTTATACCTGTTCTTCATTGACAGACCCGCCATTTAACGTGTCTTCAGCATCATCCTCAGCCATCGCTGAAACATTATCAGTATCGTCCATTTCTTCTTCATCATCACCTTCTTCCTCGTCATCTTCTTCTTCAGGAAGTTCATCTTCATCATCCCCATCCTCATCATCATCTTCGTCGTCATCATCACTGGAGTCCTCACCATTTCCTGAACCTTCACCACTCCCCTCCAACCCTGAGCTACCGTTTCCCCCCTGGCTAGTCCTCCTACCTCGTTCATTGCCATTCTTTCGCTCATACTTTTCACCATCATCATTCTTCCTGTCCTTTCCCCCTTTGTGTTCGCTCTCTTTCCTACGACCCACAGTACGATATTTCCCGGAGTTTGGTAGTCCAAACACGATTGATATACAACACAAAACAAACACAACTTTCACCCGAGTATCAAACTCTTGTAGTCCTTCTGCACAGGTACAAATATCCGGTAGACGAATATAATAATAATTGTAGAGTGACATCGTGGCAATAAACATGAGTTCCCATTGTGTTGGAATAATTGGTTGATAATCCAAATTACCACATATGGTTTTGTTTCGATGAATGAATCTAATCAACCAATCACGAGAGAATGTAAAAAATGAACGTGACAATCCACGAATATCACCGCCGCCTTCATCCTTGGAGGAAATGTTTGAACTCTTGATATTTCCAGCACAGTAATAGATCGTGGACTTTAAAAGGTCTGCGAAAGACTTCCTTCTACATGGGCATCCCTTCTTACCACATATTTCGTTGGAAATCCTCATATAAACGCATGCTCTTTCATAGAATGACTCGAAGCGATTAGAAAAACCAATCTCCATGTGCTTTATCTTTTCGGAATCAGTTGTGATTCCAGTTGGTCTTATCTAGTTTTTGTCAGCGCAAGATTTCGACAGTGCCAATGTCTTCGTCGCGTTCGAAAAAAAGCAAAAATGAAAGCTGTGATTGTTGAATGGGGACGATCATAGCAAATTGTGTCTAGAGCAAAATATTCTTTATCACGTTCTTCGTGCTCGTCTAAATAAAGAAGAAAAAAGATGATCGTGTAAAACAATACAGGAACACAGAACAATCCTAACAAAACGACATGTATTAATGATGAACTATAGAAGAAAGGTCGTGGAGCATCTTTACACGGCTTTAACATGACACGATTTTATGACCTAAGGCTATTTATAAATCTTGATAGTATAACAATGGCGTCAACATATGATGCTCATTTCTTAACCTCAAGACTAACAGCACGTGGGCGGAGTCGAAAAGCCAAATAAACGACGCGAAGTTGTTTTAAAGATTATCACGAGACAAAATTATCTTCCATTAAATGATCGAACCGCGACAATGCGGTCGAATATTTCTAAAAACAACATCAGCCATTAAACATTAAAAAGTTCGTCTCCATTTCTGGTCAACGTTAATGAAAACGGTCCACTTAAGTATGTTATTTTACCGCGCCACATTTTGCTGCTCGTAAAAGTGCTAAAACAGCATACACCAAGGGAGAGATGGAGAAATTAGTGAAGAAACCTCCATTTCTAACTCACTAATATCATTGCCACAAACGTTGTGGGAAAGCTAAGGAGAGCGTATTAAATGAAAACAAATGTTATATTACATAGGTCCTTTCAACAGACTTATTAACAAAGAGATCTTGATCGAAACCCTAGATCGAAACACGGGGATTTTCTTCAAGTAATTTCCAGCTACTCATTACACAGCGGGGCTTTTAAATGAAATTGGGAAAGCGTATTTTCAGGAAAACTATTTGTTCGAAGTGAACGAACACATGAATATCATAATGTGGCTTGGGTGAGGCTTTCACGTGGTCAAATGATGTACTCAGTGGGTTGCCTTTTTTTACGTAGACAATAAAGGACATGGAACGTTATTATTGCATGACGCACATGATGACTTTGTGGTTTGCTTTATAAAGACAATAAAGAGTAAGGAATGTTAGAATTGCACGAGGCCGGGGTCAAATTTACAACGTGAATCCAGCCACAGGCATATATCATACAATCCTGCTGCATATATATATACATAAAGTGTATTACAATGTGCCCTCCGATGATATATATATATATGCTCATCAATAATGCTGAAGTCGGTTTGAGAAAAATCATTATTATAGCTAAAATACGTTAATTGCAAGTGGCCAAAAGCATATAGCATGACCTCGAACACAAGAAAGTTGAGTAGCAAAGGATACTTAGCTCATATCATTGTGCATCGCATGCACACTGACTGCAAAGGAAATAAAAAACTAAGCCATAAACAAGATTAATTGGACCATGTGTTTTCATCTTATCAGACAGCAATACATAGAAAATGCAAACCATTTGTGCATTCATGAATAATTGAAAAAAATAACGAGGGGATATGAAATATTATCAGATTCATTGCAAGCAAAAAGATCGAGCTTCTAATGTCATGGGGATAGATTCTCGACATCCCTCGCTGTGGGAGTTAAGTACATTCTCACAACTTCCAAATAAACAAACTGTCAACTCTGATGAAAAATCTCAGGCAACCTCAACAGCGCAAGCAGGGATAGACTTTAGTACATAATTTCTAGAAACAAAGGATTGCAATTTTAAAATTCACAGATATCTCGTTCATACTTTAACAGCTGTTTTAGCCTCCCCTATAACACCTCCTCGGCCTGCTGTAGTTAACAGTAAAAAAGTGTTTCGCAAAAAATTTGTTCGCCAAAAAAATGTATTTTGCGGATGATTGTGCCGTGTTATCCTAAGTGACCGCAAATATTTTACCGCGAGCCGGAAAAGTGTAGGGATAATACAAATACACTTCAAAACATAAATTGCCTCGGTGTATCGGGAAGGAGTAGTTGATGCAACGCGTCTTCATATTATTACTCTTTCACAAATTTGCCAAATTGTAGAAGGGTGATTTTAACTAAACCGTTTACGTTTTACGGCATAGGCACACGATATAAAGACGTTGCGATGTATACATATATATATGTTGAGGACTATATGTGGATAAGTATGTACAGAAAAGTCGAAGAAGTAAGTAGAAATGCAAGAGTACAAACATCAAGAACACCAAGTCAGTAGAAGGGGAAATGATGGGAAATGAGATGTCTCCGTAATTCTCTTAAAAACTTTTCAATAGTTAACATCATCAAGACACACAACGTTTTTATTTTACAGTAACACGTAAAGACCGTTGATCTTACCTTGAATGGCGTAGAATATGGGCGAAAAATGACGCCAAATATGAGAATGTCGTCAAGGATAAGGATCATGTAGTCTTGTATGACGTTCTCCCTGAGCGAGTTAACAATAACACTACAGCAAACACAATGACAGGAAATGAGGCTTATAAATATATATACCGCATTACACAATCCAAGTATTGCTCATTGTACGCATCGCTAAGACTGAATAATGCCACTGCAGCACAATCCCCAGGTTGCATGTATGTGTGGAGGTGATCAGTCAAACACAGACAGACTTCAGTTTAATAATAAAGTGCTCCTAAGACATTTTAACAACTAGGGTATTGAACCAATCACGGACATTATAATATTTGACCTATGACCTATGTAGACTTGACAAAGAACAAGACGGAGAGAGAGATGGACATAGCTCTCCTCTATTGAAGTTGCTGACGTAGACGAGAATGGATGGAAAAAGAAATAGATTAACCTCATACTTATGTTTATATTCAGAGGATCTACAGAAGTACATTCGCCGTAGGTAGAATAGTATCAAAAATACTTTAAAACATTTGGATTACAAAAGGAAATATTACACACCGATACCATATATAATAAATACAAACAGTTTATTGTTTGTTGTGATGCAAAATATCGTATTTACAATTTTTTAAACATAATCTGCAATTATCACAGTTCAAAAGGGCATTCAGGTTTTCAAATTTGACAAATATATCCATATTTATATAAAACAAATTCACTCAATAGAGCTGGAAAGACGAATTATAATTGCTTTTAACGAACAAGACATTGGAACTGCCATTGTTGAACAATACACTAGTTTGTCTTTCTTGAATAAGATACAAAATATTATTTACTATAAAATAAGTTATCAACTCACAAAAGACATAGCATTCAATCATTGAGATAAGACGATAGTTACATCACTTCATTGCCATTCAATTTCAAAGTCTTCATGAACAAGACGCAATTAACCCATTTCCTTCTCGTTATAGTTTCCTTTATCTCACAAAAATACGCATTTTCATGGATTTTTTTCCACACTCTTTTGAGACATAATTCTTCATTTTTAAAAGCATCCTAGGATGTTTATTCATTGATATATATTAAATAGCCGGTATCACACTGAAGTACCAGTTGAGCTTCCATAAGTAACATTGGGTATAGAAGTACGTCGATTTTTCATCCATTTGAGCCAGTCGTCTATGTTATTTTGTACTGGTGAAGCCCAAATGCCACTTCGTCTTCCATCTTCATCTTCAGACGAGTATTGACTTATGTTTGAGCGACGATTTCGTCCATCGACTTCGTCTTTATGGAGCTGTTCACAGGAATGAAACAATGAATCGCTGCGACGACGTAGTTCAGCACCAACGCTGGACGTACTTGAGGTGAAAACAGGTGACGACGTTGTCTTACTCAGCTTCGTCTTTCCTCCGGGTAAACTTGCTGCCTTTTCTGGAGGTTTGGAGCGTTTTCCCTCAACAGGAATTGGTTGTGTTTTACTGTTCATTGTTTTGAGAGCAGTTTAGCGACTGGAACAATGACATGACGCATTATATAAAGGAATGAAACGGAAGTCAACCCACACAATGACCTTCGAGTGTTTGCATCCTGAGCCAGAAAGGAAACGAGTATTTTGATTGGTCGGGATTCGCCATATTGCACGAAATATTTTTTGGAAAAAAACGAATTTCAAGTAAAAAATATAAAAATACTAAAGAAATCCAGGTATCTCAAACAAAAATATTAGCCAATAAAAACACATTGCTAAATCAAGAATATTCGAATTCACTCTTATCATATGAGATTTATGGCTTCTAATGAAAAAGTAAAGTGACATTATATAATTTATATATGGAAATCAAACTGAATGAATGAGTTTATTTTTTTTAATAACACCATGCCCATTTCATGTCTAATTCAATGCTTAAAAATTAGCAATAGTAATAAGAAAACAAAAGATTTTCTTTGCCCAAAAACATGTCAGTGGTGTAAAAAAAAGCACAATATTAGAACCAAAAAGTATTTTCACAAGAGGCCATGCAAGTTTCATTTTAAAAGTTCAATACTTCATAAACAAGCAAGATGGGAACATGCATAAAATGTTAAAAAGATGAACATAAAGTTGTGCATTTATAAAATAAAAAGCATACAAATCATAATTTCTACCTTGCAAAGTATGCAAAGTGGGCAAGGTAGAAACTCTTTGTGCAAGACAAATTTTTCAGTTTGGTACATTTAGCAACATGGGAAAAACTAGAATGCCGATTGGGGTGGGGAAAATATTCATATGTTCAGCTCGGAACAACTGATTTGTTTTTAAAGCAATTTTAATTTCAAAAGAAATCAGTAGTGCAAAGCTGAATATATGAATATACACTCTCCTCTCTCAAATTGGCGTTCTTGATTCGCCCTTGTTTTGCAAGCTTTGCTATTTTTCACATGTTGAGGTACATTTGGGGTACATTGTCAAAGTGCCATAAGTAAAATAACTTCTCAATAAATGTTTGGTTTATATCAATAGTGCTGCGCATGGGTAGACCTGACAAAAACATTGACATACGTATACTAAATTAATACATCAGTACATGGATGTAGAACTCGGAATTCCATTTACCTAGGTTTTATTTTAATGGATAACCTATAAAAAATAATCGGGAAAGCTTTCAGATAATCTAATAGCAAAGCACGACTTTTATAAGGCAGAAAACTATTGAAAACATCAATAACTTGCAGCATAAAATACAGTGAATAAAGATAAATGCATACCTTTAAATCAACACAAAATATCATTGATTTTTTATTGGAAGAACATACTGCCATTTTGAAAATCTCAGCACAACCCATTATCGGCAACAAACACACGAAAGAAGCTAAAACTTTACGACAAACTTATTACGATCAATACAAGGCCAGCCATCTTGGATCCTACAACTTATTTCCATCCATTGAAATGACTCAAACTCTTTAGTTACTTGGGATAGATGAAGTGGTAATGACGTTCGGAAATTAATGAGAAAATCTTGGTTGAAATAGATATGGTGAAAGTTTTTTTCAATGTTAATGTTAATGTAAACTAAGACTGTTAAAACTTGATAAATAGTTAAATATGGATGGAAATTCAGTGTTCATCGCTCTAACAAACGCTTGCAGCCAAGATCCGAATGTGCTTAAGCCTGCTGAAGAAAAACTAAAAATTCTGGAAACTCAGCCTGGTTTTTATAAACTTTTATTGGTAGGCTTACGTACAGTCGTTTGTTATCAACAAAACCAATGCTTAAAATATGAGTATCTGAATATGAGTATCCATTAAACTTTGACAGACTGGTTACTTCACTTTCATGCAATGCACATAAAAATATATCATTGTTCATGTGTTAAACTTTGGTTTTGGAAGATGCATCGGACATTTCAAAAAACAAATTGTAATTTGTCTCATGAAGAACCAAGAAATTGTAAAATTTTGTCTTTAGTTGATTTATACCAATCATGAAGTAAGTCCGAATGTGAGATGGTTAGCTGTTGTCTGTCTGAAGAATGGTGTTGAAAAATACTGGAGGAAGTCAGCACCTAAGTGAGTCTCTCTTTTACTATGTCTTTCTAGTTTAGAAATGTAAGCAAAATGAGGAGAGATTTGAGAAGTAAACCAGCACCAAAACCCATGCTCGACCTCATCCAATTATCAATTTATTATTATTATTACTGTTTTACCATTCAGGTTATTTAAGATTAAACATGAGCCATTTCTATTTACATATATAGTGCTTTATCAGATGAAGAGAAATTAGAAATCAAAGATCAGTTGTTGATATCATTCAATGAGCCAGAGTCCAAAGTAATGTATTAATAATTTTTAACATTCTTAGCAAATTTAATACAGTTATGTTCTAGGCGTAATATATCATAGATAGAGAATAAACAGTGTCATTTAGAGAAGTTACAGAGTCTGATGAAAAAAGAACAGAAATATGTACTATTTCAACATCTTTAACATGTATCAATGTGGTTAAATCTGGTTAAATTGACTGGCATATCTTGAAAAGTGTCAAAAAAAATGCTTACTAGCATTTCAATAAAACACTTTTGCCATATGACTTCTCATTTTTTTTCTCGATGACATCTTGAAGGTGAAAATTTGCATCTGTAAGTTTAGTTGGGAAAATTTTTCTATTTTTGATATTTTTCTTATCTTTTCCATTAAAGATAGCTGTCCAATTGGCAGTTTTGATTTCTAAAGTAGCCAGACTTGAAGCAAAAACATGGCCTGAATTGCTACAGGCACTCTCTCAGGTCACTAAAATTTCCTTGTTGTATATTTATGTATCTATCAAAACCTGTGTGTGTATGATGTTACCGCCATTACTCTCCTATTTCCTTTAGTAACATTAAAGAATTTTTCAGGGTCTTCAGAGTTCTGACATGAGATACAGGTCAAGGTCATTGTTGATATTTCAACATGTGGTGAAAATGCTTGCCTCAAAAAGCTTCTCTCTGATAAAGAGATATTTCGTGAGGTAATTTCCATACATCTGACTAGTTTGTATTTCCAGTTGACTAATAATGTATTTCAAATACATGTATCTTTTTAGCTTGCTTCAAATACATTTAACTTCATGTTGTCCATGTGGAATGACTACATGAGACATTATACCACATTGATTCAAAAACAGGTGTAGTGAACATGGCATTGCAATAAATACTCAGAACTGTAACCTGAAATTGACATTTTTTTAGAATCAAAGTTCTTTTGACATTCAAGAAGCTTGTTTGTTGTCAACTAAAAGTATAACATTTTGATATTTTATCAGACAAGTACTTCATGTTTAATTGGTTGTGATGTTTTATTTGCAGTTTTGAAAAGTTTTATGGTACATGGTTTCAAAAAATATGAAGAAAACTCCTCACATTTGGTAAGAACTAAATCAAACTCACTATTTTCCCCATACTGTACTCTTTATTTCTAAACTGGACTCCAGCGGTTCCCTGTTTAAAGTAAACCATCTATTCCCTATTTAACTGTGCTCTGTTCTGTTTGCCTTTGTTGTGCCCAAAAATATTTATGCAAAAACTGATCTTTATTTGTATTTATAATTTTTTATAAAATTCTATGTACTTCATTGAAATAACACTGTCTATTCTCAATCTAAACTGTACTTTTGTACCTTCTTTGAATACGACTATTATTTTTCCTTTTAAATATTCTTTCCATTCACTGTCTAAACTGGAATCTTTTCTTTACTGGGACAATCCTCTTTAAACTATATTCTTTAATCTCGGTTTAAACTTTCATCTATTATTTCTCCATCTAAACAATTATCACAGTATCTGAATTATATCATTCAATCATTTATTACCATATAATTTTCTAAAGAATTATTTATTACCTTTTCATTAGGAATTTATAAGAACATGCTTGGGTGTCGCAAGACAGTTATTGTCTCTCCGTATGTTTCTTTTTTATTTACTTTAATCTTCTTACTTATTGAAATACATCATGAAGAAATACCAGATATGTTATATATGACCTACATAACAAATCAAGTGTCCACGTTTTCTAGGTCTTTTTGACAGACAGTTTGCATTTCATTTAACGTTATTGAAAAATCTTTCCCATTTAAACTACGTGCTAAGTTAATACATGATTGCATTTTGTCAGCAGCTGTTGAATTTCTTTATTTTACTACTCCATAAAATTTCCTTTTCGATGGTATTTACATGAATTTCGCTTTGTAATGGTTTATTTACATCTTAAGTAGACGTAAGTTACCCTAAATGATTCTATATTCGCTCCCTATGAAAACATGCGTTGTCTACAACACCCTCCACCCTCCATACTGTCATTATGATAATATTATTACGTTATCGTTTGGGTTCATAAACCGTATATTTGTCGTAGTTTTATTTTCATATGTTCAGTTCAAGGTTATGAAAATGATATAATTGCTTTTCTCTATTAAGTGCCTTGTATCTGTTTAACGCGCTCCTTCCTGGAACTACGTGAATTTATTCAACTCTCCAGGCGTTTATTAGATCATTTATGGATGATTTTCAACTATGTTGGTTTCACGCCGTATTGTTTAACTTTGATCATTTTTAGGTTTGGAAATGTTGACTTGCAATCAAACAGCAGTTGATATGATGGAAAAACTTATTACTTCTCTCATTAAAATGGTATCAAACTTTTTGCAATGATTTAATTCGTTCATCTTTCCTTTGTGCCACAACAGCGCTAAATCATACCCTTTGTAGGTCCTAAGTGTCCACGAGTACCATGCTATATACTGCGTTTCTCTCCTGGAAGACATTCTTCAATTCTGTGCATTTTATGTATTTTCAAACCGTGGCAGTGATTTGATTTTTGAGAAGTTCACTGTCCATTGTTGTAATCTCATGTCGAACATTGTAAAATGTGAATCTTACAAACTACCAAACTCGATGACTGGTTAGTCGAATGTTCTTGATGATTTACTAACTTCAGTTTTAAAACAGATTGAATCATTTGGGAATAGATTTCTTGATTTTGAAATGCATTTGAAAGTAAATCCATTATTGGGGATTTTGGTGCGGCTAGAATTAACGTAATATTTAAATTCCTAAGAACTCTACTGAATTATGAGATTGTTCTCTTTAGAGTCTAAATTGATTCCCTTATTTAATCAGGTGCCATTGACGAAGTGATTCTACAAGCCCACAAGGTAAACATATAATGAACTATATGTTGATTTTTTAACAATTTTTAGCTATAAATATTGTGCTCAATGTTTAAATTAACACAGCAATGTATAAAGTAAAATTAAAATCTTAGTTTCAGTTTTGATTGGACAACAACTTTTGATAGTCTCATGACGTCATCATGATATTACTTTGCAGATCCAAAAATCATTCTTCACACAAGAAATTGTAAACGAAATAGTAAAAGGATTGGTATCTCACTACTTTTTACTTACTCAAGAGGTACTCATTACATTGAATTATGTATCGTAATCTGTTGCAATCTGAATGGGTGGTAATAGGGGGAACAGAAGTACACATAGTGGCCTTGGTTATTCTCATACAGCATTAATATTGCTGATTTTGTTAGGATATAGCTCTTTGGGATTCGGATCCTGAGGAGTTTGGTAAGATGTTCAAGCTTAAACTGCGTGTTAGTCTCGATACAGTTTTAACTTTGATCGATGTTCTTTGCATCGCTTTTATAGAGAATGAAGAAGTAGGCGAATCATGGCGCTATCAGTTACGGGTATAGTGTGTGTTTATTGTGTGTCAGGAGAGGGGTGGAGTGCTCTATCGGTAGTACATGTACATACTATGTGCATCTTTGTTTTGTTGTTTCAGCCAAGCACCGAAAAGCTTTTGCTCATTTTGTTCAAAGAATTTCGTCCTTTAGTGACGCCCGTGATTGTGAATATTATTTCGTCAGTTCGAGGTTTATATCATTAATATCTTAATTCAAAAGTCAATATTATCGTCCTACTTTGAAAAGTGATAAGGAAAATGACAGGAGATTTGTTTTAGGTCTTCCTGATACAGAAGATTTTTCAATATTGTTACAAAAAGAAGCAGGTACAAGCGGAATGCTACTTCAGCTTTTTTCTGTCATCATTATTTGTTTACGTCGTTAAATATTTTCCCGCCGTTTTTCAATTTTATTTATTTATCCGGCTTCATATTTTTTTGTTTAAGATTTAAGTTTTAAGTTTTTCTCCTTAATTTTCGTCGTTTTCCCTTCTTTCGTTATATTTGCTTTGCTATCATCCAGTCATTCAACATTAACTATTTTTCCCTTGACGTTAAGATAGCTGAAATCTGTTAAGCCGCTCTCATTTCAAAAAACCACGGCCATTTTATCTGTAAAAATTTATACATGGACGGACTCCTCCAACCCCATGTTTAATGTGCTGGATACGGGTCTTCCATCTTGATTTTTACCGAATGTTTGCATGACAAGAATCTTGTTTGTTTCTTAGTGTATAAAGTTGCTGGTCTTTGTTCCTATGATCTGTTTGAAGAAATTGACTTTGAAAAATGGTTAACTCAAGACTTGCTTAAAGAGTTGCAAAATAAAAGCGTGAAGTAATTGTTTAGACTTGTATTTATATGTCATCAATAATAATTCAACAAGGATTACACGCGGATTGATCCAGAATGATTTTTGTAGGGGTGCTCTAGTTTTTATAAGATGTCGTTCGGTCAGTCTAGTTTAGATTAGATTTTGGTGGCTCCATTTGTGTGTTGTTGTGTCGTTCACATGTCAGAGTTTTTAAACCTCCCTGAACCCCTTCCAGCCAAGGCTAGGGGGTGTGCGCCCCCCTGCACCCTTACATTCATCCCTGATTACACGTCTACTTTCTTCAACAAAAATCTTACAGGTTACTTACACCTGCACTTTTTTATTTTAGTTACAAAATAATTCGTCGTCGAGTTATTTGGTTGATTGGAAACTGGATAAATGTAAAGCTATCTCCTCCTTATCGTCCGATGGTCTATGAAATAATTTTGGATCTTTTAAAAGAGACTGATGACCTAGTGGTTAGTATTGTGTTATATATTATCAGCAAATCATTTCAAGTGCGTGACAGTTGTTTTCAGAGATAGTAGCTATTCAGAAAGAACCATGCATTTGTTTTTTCAGGATTACTAGTTAATCAGAGCCGGTTGTTTTTTCAGGCATAATAGTTATTCATAACCCAGTTGTTTTTCAAGAAAAATAGTTATTCGGAACCAGTTTTTTTTCAAGGATATTGATTACATTAATTACTTGGGGTAGTTTTTTCTCAGGGATATTAGTCACTCGGAACTTGTAGTTTCTAATTTTCAACATAATTAATGATCTTGTTTAGGTCAGGTTAAATGCATCAAGAACCTTGCAATACGGTATCCACTGCTCTTTGATTATTATCAATCCATACTTTCTTGATTTCTCATTCATTTATTATTGAAAATTTACATTTCCTTGAACAAAAATTCTATATAGCTGTCGGTGACTTTGAATTCCGAACTCAAGAGTATTTACCGGTATGTACGACGGAATTTAATCGCTTTACCTTGCCTTAAACGTTTTTTGAGTTCGCTTGTTTCTACAGTTTTTGGAGGATAGCGTTGCGTTGCTGTTCAAACTGTTATGTGATGTTAAAGAATGCGACACTAAGGTCGGGTTGCCGTTGATAAAATCAACTTGTTGTAATTTGCAGCGTCAGTAAAATTTTTTCTATCATTGTTTTTATTTCTCTCCGTAGATGCGTGTTTTATTTTCTATGTCAACGTTGGTTGAAAGAGTCGGTCAACAGGTAGTAATTCCTTTTCAAAGTCATTGGAAGAATCAGCTACAACTTTTACACCCAAGTATTTTGTGATCATTTTTGAAAAACATCGAATGGTTAAGGAAGTTGATATTTTTTCTTCTTCAGATTAAGCCATACGTCTCCTCGCTCGCTGGCTATCTTCCTAAACTGTGGGTGGAGTCAGAGGATCATAATATGTTACGATGCTCAATTCTTGTCACTCTCAGTTTCATTGTAAAGGTTTGATAGAATTGCTTCGTCGTTGATTAAATATTTCCATCTGTTTAAATTCGCTTGATTTTCTTTATGCTAAGGGACTTGGTGCGGATTCAATTCATCTTTATCCATTTCTCACGCCAGTTATCCAACTAAGTACAGATGTTACCCAGGTAGAGGAACTATTACACATAATTCAACGATATTTTTGTTAGTCTCTGTGTGACGTTTTTTGTATGATATTTGTCTTAGCCTGCACATGTGTATCTTTTGGAAGATGGATTGCTGCTTTGGTATAATTGATCATTGTTGTTGTATTCTTGTATAATACAAAACTGTTCTGTATTTCTTCTTTACCCCCCTCCCCCTCTCTTGGGATATCCCTCTGTCCCTCCATCTGTGTTAAAACCATTTCTGATCTCTACTTATTACGTTTTTAGGTCACACGTTTTAAGAAATGCTCCCACCATGACTCCAGAGTTACTGCATCTATTTAATAACATCCCTCATCTCTTGGGTTAGTTGATGTATCTTTATATTCCGAGCACGTCCCTTAGGTATTGATTTATTGCTTTTGTATCTTTAATCCTTCAATTTTTCTTTTTGCTAGAGTTAAGCTCCGAGAATTTAAGGACGAGCTTCTCTATAGTCGAATCTTATGTATTGTTGGGTCGTATGGAGTTTTTGCAGGTGTCCACAGTGTACTATTTGTGAATTTTATGTTTCTCTCTTCATAAAGTGGTTGTTTTTTGACAGTAGTATCAAGGCATGAGAAAATCCGCCATCACAGCAGCATGCTGCCAGGACATTTTTTGACCCCTCAGGAAACTTTTGAGAAATTACATGGCGAATGCATATGCACAAATATACAAACGAATTAATTTATTTCATTTATCACGTGCAAAAATGAACCGTCTCAATGCGAAAAATTAAAAAATGGAAAACTAGAGCAAGAGATCCCCAAGACTGATTTTGGTCAGGAAATTGTTTGCATATGAGCGTCTTCTTCCAAAAAGAAAAAAAGCGATGTTAAAGTAGCATGTTTTACCAATCTTTCTGTATCAGGTCTGGGGTCATCTTCTTGTTGACACTTGCAGTAATCATCTTGGAAATTATAGACCCGAGGGAAACATGATTTTAGCTAAGGTTTGTACTAAAATTAAGATATCTTCGTAAATGACGAATCATTTAATCACCACAGCCTCGTGGATATTTCTTTAGATAATTGAGACGGTTTTCCGAATGTTCCCCGCTGATGGACCGAACTTATTCGAACCGATTCTCCAAAAAATATTTTTTGCAATTATTGATGGTCAGGTACGATGTTCATCGACCCTTCTCCTATGTGTACAACGCTTAAGATCAAACAATATCCAATACTCGCCATTTATTGCGCGGTTTGTTTTTTTATATTTTAGGAATATGGTCCTCTGTTGGCAGTTTACGTCTCATTATTTTCAATTGTAATCCTGAACAGTAGAGAATATTTGGATGCTTTTATTCAAAGTATTTCAAGACAGACTGGGAAACCGGTTGGACTTCCTATTTTATAATGATCATCGACAACTTTGAACTTAGATTCTTTATGTTTCAGGTAGATGAGTTGCTCGGAGGATTTATAGATTCTTGGCTCGAAAGGGTAAGTACGTAAGCAAGCATTGAACATTTCAATTTGAGACAGTCCTTCATATTGATTTTTCACATTTTTCGTTGATGTTCCTGCGTTTCTTATAATTCAGATGGATTCCATTACAACACATGAAAGAAGAAAGCTTACGGTCATGGCTTTCTGTTCATTTCTTTTAATGAAACGAGAGTAAGTTTATTGATCAACGCTGGATGGTCTTGGCATTCCTTTCATCGACATTCTTCGATGCTTAATGGAATTGATTTAAGTTCATTTTTGTTTCTTTTATTTGTAGAGTTATTTTGAATCGTTTGGCTGTCATCCTCGAAGTAACTCTAGACGTTTTGAAGGAATTTTCACGATCCGTATTCTTCTGAGTAAGTGAAAAGAAAACCTTGTTATTATCATAAAGAAAAAGTTGATTTTTTATTATATAATAACATTTTAATGTTTAATATTACAAGTATCAATTTTACGTATATCATTTAAGGAATAAAAGATGTTTACTGTGTTTGCACGGGCTTATGCAAACCAAGGAAACCTTTGGGAGAACTCGAGAGAAGATCAGTGCAAGCCCGAGACCGAAGGTCGTGGGTTGCACATGCTCAGGATTTCTCACAAATGTCTCCGAGGTTTGCATAAGTCAGTGCAAACACGAAAAACATCTTTTATTTCTTTTATAAAATAACAATAATGCGAAAAAGACAAACATTTTAATTTTTCCTCTAAAATGTATTCATAATCGATTTGCAAATTCTCTTTGACTGATTGATTGTTATGATTGATTTGATTGGTTGAGCTCAGATATGTTTTGCACAGGCTAATGCAAACACGGCTCTAGACCAATCACCGCACGCGTTTTGTTGTTTTTATTTTATAAATATCAATGTCATCATATAGCTACAATATGTACTGTGCATTAACATTATGCGGTGTGAATTTTAAGTAACAAGTTTAGCTCTGTGCATGCATTAGTTGACGTTGCTCTAAGAATGACCAAAATATAGTATAACATCTCCTGATTGTACATCATTTTATTAGTGCTTTCGTTGTGAATTCCGATGATGAAGATTATGGGGAAGATCACGATACACAAGAACATCGAAGAAGAAAGCAGGTTTGATATTAGACAAAAAAAAACATTTATGAAATTTTTACGAAACTTCATGTTCAAGAGATTGTGGTGTAAATGTATATAGCTGAACGCTAAGGATCCTGTGTACTCTATCAAACTCCCAATATTCGTACGAAACTGTTTGCAACAATGTCAACAAATATTTGGTGAGGAGATCTTCCATGCTCACATGTCAACCGTTGAGATTTCAGTAGTGAACGAACTGCAGTCTTTTGTCAATATTCAGAGGTATGACGTAGTGTATGACGTTTGTTTTTTGAAACATATTTCACACAAAGTGCTTACTTTACGATAACATCAAAGTCATTTCTCCAAACGTTTGATACAGTTATGAGTCTTAGACACAATATTTAACCCTTTACTTGGCAGTGTAGCCAATCGGCAAAAATTAACAAACGAAACGTGCACAAACTTTTCAAAAAATTCGTATAAAAGGTAATGTTATTTATGCCACTGTTGTTTCCTTGTCGATGTTAAAAGCAGGAAGCTTCATTCATGGAAAAAGATGTGGCTTTGTCAGCATCATATTTTGTTAGATGGGGTTGAGGAAGGGTTATGTATGTCATTTAATAAATCAGGAACAGCCGACAATTTGAAACTCTAAATACACAAGATAAATCTGAAAGCTATTTTTTTTAAAAAAAATAAGACAAGTTGAAATTGTAAATTTCAATCCTGTTTCAAAGTCGTCGTTGTATTACATGGCATAAAGCACAACCATAATGACTGACTGATAAATACTTGAAGCAACTATCACAGGTGGTGTTGAAAAGTATATATTATTACTGAAAAAGTGGTGCTGGAGAGTAGATGTTTTATAAAAGGTTATTTTTTTCATAGCTAACATCATTCTCTTTAGTTGATATTGATATGGAGCACAGAAAAAGTCCAGTTCACCATGCCTGGAGTCATTAGCCGTTACCCAAAACCTTCACCTTGGCCCTCTATTAATGACGTCACTAAACTATGGCTGCCATGCTGTAAATCTTAATGAATTTAAACATCATAGTTAGTGTAATGAATAAAGTAACTAACCCAAAATGATGTCGTTAGTATGGTGAGGATTGCAAATGGGATTTCCAACGTAATTATTACTACGTGTACATGAAGTCTATTTCGTTTCACAAATCTGGATGACTGAATCTTACTAAAGCCTGGGAATGCTTGGAGTGAAATTATGTTAGCAACAAGCGGAAAAGCACTAGTATAGCGTAAATCAATAGACACATTATATAGACATGCAAACTTTATGTTATAGTTTATACTAGTGATTTCCGCTATCATGATTTTATTCCAGGTATTTTTTCTCCCCACCTAAGCAATGCATTGATTTCACTCTGGGCATTCAATATTTGGGTTTACAAAAGGTCATTAAGAACACTATGAATCATTCCTATAACTACTAATAGAGCATGATTAGAACATTATAAGGTTGGGATTAAAAAGTCACCAACAAAATTAGTCATTTTCATATTTGCGTAAAAGTAAAGAGAATATTGATGGGAAATTTTTAATTTATCTTAAAGAATGCTATTTCGTTGTTATTTACATGACCTAAAATATTGATCTTCACTAAACGTCACTAAATAATCAATAAACAAGTGATTTTCAACCAACCAGTTGAAAAGTTTTAGTTCTGCTTTGTTGTTTCGATACGTTATCATTAGTCATTTCTTTAGAAGCCTATTGTTTTTCAATAAGTGAGTACATAAAAATAAAAAGGTAGAATACTCCTCTTTTAGTTGTAGTCAGAAGCTCCATTCGTGTGAGATATATCCACAAAGGTACATCACTTGTATAAGAAGCAACTTGTTCATCATCATGTTCAAAGCAAATACAATGGAATTCTTATAAACAAAAAAAAACCCAGCTGTCTGTACTTAATCTGTAAATAGTTCATTTGCTTGTCATGAAAACAGTAAACATTTCTTTTTAACTATCTTTATTTCTCAAAGAAAGACGGGGGGAAAGCACACAGTACCATCTCATCATCATATTTTAGCTAATCAGAGCAGAAATCGCAAAAATATAACCAATAACAAACCTAAAAGCGCATCAAAATCAGCCAATAATATCAGGTTACCAATTGATGTAACTACACGTCAATCATCTCTTCACTCGGTAGATGCCTCAACACTCGACAGTGAAAGGTAAGTTTGTGAAATCTTTATAAATTATTTAAAAAAGTAATTCAAATGTCGATAAATTCGATGGCAAAAGGCTTATTTGATGTATGGTTATGTATTAATTTACTCCTTGATCTTTTCGTGAGTTATTTTTTTGCAATTCGGCTTTTAATTTTAGTGCAATTCGCTGTGTCTTCTTCGGTGTGTTTGCTTTGCACATACCTTGTCAGTATGAAAACGACAAGTTTGCTATGTTTCATGACTTTCTTACGATTTTACTTTAGTCTGTAACCTATTCCTGGTATGGGGAATCGTTCGAAGCGAGATTTTGTTGAATATTTTCACTTTTAGCGTGTTCTTGTGAATCGATATATTTTCAACGAAGAACTTGCTCGACCGACATCTTCGTCGTTTCAACGCCAAAATATGAAAAATTTAGGCGAAAAGTTACAGTATGGCAAAATAAGAGAAAGGCAGGGTGTTTGTTATGCCTTGGGTTGGTTTTTGTCCGTAAAAGGTGTTCTTTTAAACGAAATTTTTGAAGATATTTGAAAAATGTGAAAATGTTCATTTTGGACGCGCGTTGGACGTTGAACTTTCAATTAAAATGGCGCCTTTTTTGTTCCGCGTGAAAATCAAACAAACTGGGCACAAATTAAGAAAACTAAACAGCTTGTCAACTTTTGACCAAAGACACCTAAAAATACTTGAGTTGAGTGGAGTATTAGCAAAAACTTTTCCCATAACATTGGAATAAATGGTGGCTACAGGCTATTGACTATTTTTAGAGCAATTTACCAATAAACGTGTTTATATTCTATAGGAAACGAAGCTAATATTCTTTTGAAATTTGACAATGAGCAATAATGAAGAATACAACAACCGAACTCGTATCCTAAAATAGAAGTTTGAAACAAACATAAACGAACAGTTATGGAAAAAATTGCAAGAGAACTAAAAAGAATAAAAGGTAGAAAAGTAATGATGATATTTCGTAAAACTTTCATTATTTGCCTAATTTGCTTTAGAGCTGTTTATTTCTTATTCTTATACACAATGAAAACGCTTTTGAAAATTTTTATCATAATATTGTGCAGTTTCAAATGGGTGATAACAAAACTCAAAGCATTTATTTTGAATTGATAGGATACTCAAATGAAACAAAACAAAAAGACTGAGAGTATTTTTAGGGATTTACTTGTGCACACATTAAAAATTTTTTTTCTTAAAACTTTGCATGAATAATTTTATCATTTTTATAATACAATCATTGTTTTCATCTTTTGCTGCAAGTACATGAGTGCTATTTTAAAACAAAAAGGGTCTTTGTACGTCAGTTTGGGTAAGAATGATTGGACAATAAGTCAAAGGTATTGTAACTGACGATCTATGACAAATAGTGAAGTCTATAAGACTTCCATATTTTGAAATCTATAAAACATTAAAAGAATCATTTGTTGTAACTGAAAATGCACTCATGCATGAGGCAAAAAGTGAGTGTTGTACTACAACGGTAACTTGAGATTTTAATCTGCTTACTACTTTGATTTAATACATCAATGACAATTGTGTGAACGGTCTGTCTAAAATGGATGTTTAATGGCATATATAAAGAAGTCTATAAGACTTCCTTCTTTTGAAATCTATAAAAGTCAAAAGAAACATTCATTGGAAGAAATTTACTCGTGAAAAAAAAGTAGCTAAATGAATAGCGTGCATTTTAAACAAATGCTGCTGGGTTTAGAAAAAGGATTATATTAGACAGTAAGTCAAAACTATTTTTGTGAATAATCAATATAAATGAAACTGACGTTTAATATTGAACGAATGAAGAAGAAACAATTGAAAGAAATATATTTATGAAACAAAAAGTAATTTTCATACTTATTCATATATCAGCAACTTGAATTCTTCATTTGCTTGCTATATTCCTTTATTAATTATACAAGTATGTAAAAATATTGTAGTAAAAGTTCTCTATAAAAGAAAAAGTTCAAGAATTTAGCTATATAAAATGTCTGCAAGATGTCCAGAACAATAACGATTAACGAAAGCCTCACAAGTGTTAGCATTATTTGGAAGATGTCACTTCAAGCCATGCACAGGTTAACTGTACAACAAGAACAAGAGAATCCGATAATATCAGTTTAATCAATTGGGTATAACAAGCGAGAGTGTTGAAAGAGTTAGTGAGAGTGAGATTTATGCAGCGTCTTCCGTTGTTGAGGCTCTTCATGGAATCTTCCTAACGCAGCGTCTTCCGTTTTTCTGGCACTTCATCTATTCTTGCAATTGCGGCGTCTTCTATTTTTGAGGCACTTCATCGATTCATGCACGCGCAGCGTTTTCCGTTTTGACGCATTTCATTGATTCGCGCAAGCGCAGCGTTTTCAATTTTGAAGCACTTCATCGATTTTACAAGCGCAGCGTTTATTTGAGGCCATTCTTGCGAGCGCAGCGTCTTTCGTTTTCGCGGCACTTCATCGATTGTTGCAATCATTGTTGAGGCACTTCATCGATTCTTGCAAGTATCTTTCGTTGTATGGGTTGATGACCGGTTCTTGACAGTGCAGTGTATTCTGTTGTACCAGACAATGACCTATTCTTGAGAGGTCAGAAATTTTCATTGTTTAAGTTCTGCTGGGAGTCTTGTCAAGTACACCTTTTTTCTTTTTATGCGAGTGTCATGAATGCGTACGCATACAGTTGTCAGATAGATCAGTGTAGATCAGATAGAAAAGTTTCCATAGAAAAAAAGTAAAGCGAGGAACTCAAAGAGAAAGTTGACAGCTATCTATTGAGTAGAAAAATAAGGTGTATTGGTGCAAGACAAAAAATAACAGAGCAATCTTGTGAAGAAAAATATGATGAACTAATGCAAGAAAAAATGACATCAATCTCATGAACAAAAATAAGATGAGCTAAAACGAGATAAAAATTACCGCAATCTTATGAAGAAAAACAAAATGATCTAATATGAGAAGAAAAAAAATGACAGCAATCTTGTGAATAAAAATAAGATGAAATAATACAAGACAAAAAGACAAAGCAATCGTATGAAGAAAAACATAAGATGACTTGACGCCATATAAACTCTATAACTATATTTGTAAATACATTGCATAACACTTTAGCCCATGCATGACGTTCGAAGGCTTCTTGTAACAAATGTAATCTTTTTTACATGTTGTTTTCTGTTTATGGTTTACATAACTTGCAATGTCTAGCGTGAATGCATGACATGACGTAATTGTGTCGTACAATTTAGCTTAATTCAATAAGCTGACCAACTAACTAATTCAGACTTAGATATAAATAACCGAGCCATTGACTTGCATGTGATTTTCGACCAAGTGTGCATAAGTAAATCTTTATAAATGCTGCAGTTGGCGCAAAATGAAGGATGGATATCAGGTAAGATGAAAATTATATGATGCACGGATATACATTGGCATTAAAACTTACTTTATATTGTGCCACCTGAATTTTAGATAAAAGCATGCAAGTTATGGTGCTTTGTCCAACTATGGATTAATGTGCTGCATGATGAAAACATTAAAGATAATCATGGTGATGACATTGCGTAAAAGCCATTGTGAAGTATAAACTCAAAATCGAAACAAATCATCTATCCAAGTATCATTTAGCACAACTTATAATTGAGTAAGTGGTTATTGTTGGTTATGAAGGAACAAATAGTCGTTTTAGGTGGATAAATTTAACGTTTCTTAATTTTAGAAATTTCACTTCAAAAACTGAACCACCTTCACTATTATTGAACATTTCGAAAAAGGCCGTTGGTTGCTCTAAGACGACGAATCAACAGGTATTCAGGTTTTCTTGTAAATATTATTCTTCATCATTACTTACAGTTTGTGCAAAGCTGGTCCCATGATGAATAGACAATCGTATCCTGAGTAGAGATTGCTCAACATTTAAATTTTAAGAAACTCTAGAAAACAATTTGAAATATTTCTTCTGGGTGGTTTTTATCTTGAGGTATTTAGCTAGACATAATTTGACATAGGATTACACAGAATCTTAAAAAAACCAATCGACATTGTTAATGGTAGGTTAAGAGGCTTGTTATCAAAGATGACGCTATTTTTTGCCAATTTGAATAAAGTGTAATTTGTAATCTTTTGAACTTAATTGTTGTGTAGCGAAGCAATGATACAATGGTCGTGTACTATATAGGTTAATTGCAACATTGTGGATTACATTCTGGTTGTCGTGGATTTTATCGTGGCTGTTGTGGATTACGTCGTGGCTGTCGTGGAATACATCTTGGTTTTCTTGGATTTGTCAATTTAATCTTGTGACGAGGATTACGTTTATCTACGAATGAAGACTGACGACGACACTTCATTAGGAATGGTCCTATGTCCTTGTGATCAACACTAAAAAAATTATCAAACATGGGCATATTGTTAAAAAAACTTTGCTGTTTGAATTCAAAATCAATTTGATATTGTGCCACACGAACATGAGTTAACAAGACTAACGCACGCTTAGTTTTATAAATTGATAGTTTGTCTGAATATGTATGAAAACTTGTTTAAAGCTGTTTCGTGGAACACTAAAATAATCAATGGAGTGAGTCCTAACGCGACGTGGAAAATCAAATCCAGGTGAGTATTATCTGACACTTAAATTTCATTCAATTTGGAAACTGAGGTATTGAAATTTTGTTCCAATAAAATAATAATATTTTAATATTATAATTTCAGAAATTTCCACATTTTACCTTGAGTTTGCAAACCACCTTTCACAACACTGCTGGAAGTTTAGAAGAAGCAGTGGTTTGCTTAGGACAACCAATCTATAGGTAATTTATGACTATCTTTGCTTATTGACCAATCTTTACAGTTGGCTACATTACGAGCAGACGATGTCGTAAATGGAAATTTGATAGGCAAAAAGCAATTTATTATGATTAACCAAAAAATAAGCTGAATAGTTTGGAAATTGGAATGTTGTTTGTTGGTAAGGTTTAGTCTTGCAAAGAACTTCTTTACACTGACTGGCATAAAACTTCACAGAATGTATGATTTTTCAAAATAAAATTTTCAAAATAAAACAAATAAATTGTGTTTTTGGACTATAGGTCTATCATTAATATGGGTTTTTGTGTCACGTTTCTGTAAATAATGGTACACATTTCGAAAATTCTTAAGACATTCGTATGATCTAGAACCTTTCAATTTGTTTTGTAGTGAAGAAAGAATACAATGGGGGCACATTATGATTCATATACCCCATCCTTTTTGTCGTTGATTGAATCATAGTTGTCGATGATCACAACTAACAACCATCGTAGATTAACTCACGTCTGTCCTGAATTCCATGTACTGTATTATGGTTGTCGTGGATTAACTGGATTTACATCGTTGGGTTAATCAGTAGAGGACTGCGTTAATCTACAAGTGTGGGCAAAGGACAACGATTCAGGTTTGAGGTTTATAGTATTTTAGTTAAAATCCTGGTGATCAGCACTAACAGGAAGATGATTGAACATCGGCTGAGTTATAAAACAAAGTAAGTTGTTCATTTAGTTCCTATTAGTGTTTTTCTCTTACAGTTTGTGCGTTGTGCGGTGCTTTTTGCAGTCAAAATGTCTGTCTGCAAATAATGATACATCTTACATTGCCGAAAGCTTTTATCTAACAACTGTCGTCGTGTAATGTAAGATTATCATTGCTTAACGTAAAACAATCAAAACAGTATACTTGTCTTAAACTGTCTTTCATAATTTTTTATTATTTTGATCATCAGGATACACGACCCTAAGTTCAAGGAAATAAGCATGGGTTTCCTTGAGTTTTGGTCGTGTGTATTAGTTCTTTATACTATGTATATTTACTTTTAATATTTATAATTCCATAACTAAACATAAAAATTCTAAATGCATGAATAAAAGGGCAACGTTTGCAACTAAACTACGGAGTGCATGCTAATGAACCAGAAAATTTCAGTACAAAATATGGCGAAATCCGAATTACAGATCGCATTCGAAATTAGAAAGAAATTTTGTTAAAACTCGCACAATTCGGCATGCAAGCATAGCGCAAATTAAATTAAATTGCATATTGCAACGCAAATAAAATTTCTTTAAAATCATAGATGCATGAAATATTCTTGCTTGATGATGCTTCATCAACGATTTTCACGCTTTTTCCCGTTCTTGAAATGTTCATCAAACTCTAGAAAATGAAGAAAAATATGGTAACATGTTCAAATCTTTTTGAAAAAAAGATGAGTGATTTGCATCATCAGGAAGAATATGCAACAAAACTGTCTTTTTGGTTTAATGAACAGTAAAGCAGAATAGGTGCATGAAAGCCGGCATTGCTTTTGCTAAACAGTTAACAAAATCAGTGCTATATGACAGTGGCATGTCCAAGTTAAATGACTTGCTATCATTTAACTTGAAGAAAAATAAGTCAGAGCAGGAAGATAGTTTAATTATTAATGATGTATTGGGTTTTCTCGTCTCAAATTCAAGTCAAACTGATCTTCATTTATTTTATGCATGGAAGAAGATTTGAGAGACGAACTAGTCCGACACATTTAATGTAGTTCCAGGTAGAAATAATCGTAAATGGTGCCATGATGGTACCTAGGTGATCGAGTGTTGGACACAAGAAGGATTGGTTGGCACGCCGTTTGGTAATGTATAAAGGCCCAGGAAGGCGGTTCCCAATCTATTAAGTTCCCATTCGGCTCGAGTACTAACGTTGCTTTGCAGGTGTCTCTTCGTTCAAAGGTTTGTTTTAATCATTTTTGTTTAGCACAGTTCGTAGGTAGATGTTCAAGTTCAAGTCGGTTATTTCATCATGCCACTGATCAACAGGGTTAACTAAGAATACGCATAGGCAACAAAAAAACAAACAAACGGTGCAGCTGATATGATATCGGCCTAAAAATGGCGTACACGAGGTTTCGGTTTTATAAAGGATGCATATTGCCTAATGATCACCTCTTTCAACAACTTTGTAAAAATAAAGGCAGTCTAATAAATTTTGTAAACATAATTTAGGCCTTAAACAATGTAAACATCCTTGTAAAGATATCTAGTAAAATAGATAAAGTGATCCCAAATAATGTGCATCCATCAACTGGTTTTCTTAGCTTGTTTGATCTCTGAGGGTTTTCCTCCGGCGATACGCCGGTTTCCCTCATTTTAGAGAATCGTTCTAAAGAATAACAAAAAAGGGTGGCTATGCCTGGGACCTGCAGTAGGGATTTTAATCATTGTATGGTTATCGGGTTGGATTCCCGATCCACTCGAAGAGCAAAGATTTTCTGTCCTGTTGAATAAACATAGTACTTCAAAAAATCTTATATCAGGAACGGTGATCTGGAATCCTCCGAATCAGCTGATCATTACCATGACAACAAAAATAAGCAATACATTGTTTTCAGTGATTTTGACTCGAGGTAAAAAATGATCAATCTCTATTTATTTATGTAAATATTTAAAATACTGCTCAAAAAATAAACTGCTATGTCCAATGTTAAGGTAAAGTGAACAAATTTTGTTCATTATTCAATTGAAGACAAATTTCAACTTTATTTCCGACTGACATAGAAAGTATAAATTCTCTGTTTATTTATATATCTAGTTGCCTAAAATTCGCTCCACAGAAGCTTTTCAAGCACGCAATTGGAAGCAACTTAGTAAAAAGGATCTGCAAAAGTTGGATCCTGTACAAAGAAGTCGCTATTTAGCAGTAAGTCGTCTTAGCATCACTCTGACACTCTCAAGCCTTTATTTCAGAATTTGTTTTGAGTTCTTCGTGAAATTACATTTAGTATGAAGATGCTTCAAAGCAAGCAACACAGGCAATGATGGAGGCTCGCAGGAGGATTCATGAAAAGAAAAAAGATAAACCGTGAGTTAAATAAGATTTTGTGCGACAGATGGCTGTGATTGAACTTGATTTGTATTCTTTTGCTTTTCTTTTACAGAAAATATGAAACGTTTAACAACTTACAAGATGACGAAAGAGAAAGACACGCAGTACTTATTGGTCAGTTGAAGTAAGTAAACTAGGAATGTACAAACAGTTGAATACAATCATATAGATTAATTTTCTTTTTATTATGAATGTCAGAGCTGCAGAAGCTCGTAATCGCATAAGATTGATGAGACTTCGCTATACCAACAACAAGGTATAAATTCCAACTATACTGACTTTACCATGTTCAACAAAGTCATCATGATTAATGTGGGATCTCTTTTGACAAGAATAGGCTTCAGAAATGAACAATTTGATAGCATGTCAGCCTTCAGCTATTAAAGCAGTTCGATTACAGTGCCTTGTACCTCCTCATACTGAAAATATAGTGATAAGAGATTTACTGGGCCAAGATGAGGTATTAACATATTATTATAACACCAACAAATGACGAACATAATCAACATTTCAAATCTTTGTTTTTTACTTTAGCTTTCACGAGTTGATGAGTTACTGGAAGATGAATTGAACCTAACAACAAATCGATTGCTGAGTTGACACACTTAGTGGGGAAGAAGAGGGCATCTTTTAGTATACATTACCTCCCAAGTGAAAGGAAAACTGGCTTTTATTGACCAGAACTGTTTTTGCATTAGCTTCCACCAACTCTAACAGCAGTGACACTGGTGTGTTGTTAAATAAAAACAATTGCAAAAATTGAACAAGCTATCCAAAAGTTTTCATTCACATCTTCTGGAAGCTTTTCTTTTGAAAGAAGATGTGGCTTTGTCTGCATCATATTTTATTAGATGGGGTTGAGGAAGGGTAATGTATGTCATTTAATAAATAAGGAACAGCTGACAATTTGAATAATCAAATTCCAAATACACAAGATAAATCAGAAAGGTATGTTTTAAAAAAACATGATAAGTTGAAATTGTACATTTTTGACTTTGTTTTAAAGTTGTCATTGTCTTTCATCACAAAAATAGAGCAATAATAATGATAGACTGATAAATACTGGTGGCAACAATCTCAGGTGGTGCTGAAAAGTATATATTATTACTGAAATGCTGGTGCTTCGATGGATAGACTTTATGTAAAGAGTTGTTTTTTTAATTGCTAACATTTGCCATGTATCATTCTCTGTGAATGAAATTGATGTGGATCACTGGAAAAAGCCCAGTTCAATCTGCCTGAACTGGCTGGAGTCATTAACCTTCACCTAAAACTTTCATCTTGTCCAGTTTTGGCCACTTGCTTGGCCCTCTATTGATGACGTCACTGAACTATGGCTGCTTTGCAGTCTGTAAATCTTCGTGAATTTGAACATGGTAATTATAGAAGTAAAAGAAGTAACTAACCCAAAATGATGTGGCTAGTATAGTATGGGTTACAAAGTGAATTTATTATGCATTGTTATGTAGATAGATTTTCGTGAAGGGTTGTAATTCTTTATTTAGTACGTATTACGTGTACAGGAAGTCTATTATTTTCATCATTTCTTACTGCTGAATGCGGATAACTGCACCGTGTACTGTATTCAAAACTTGCAGTTAACTATAATTCTAAGAAAGCAAACTGTGCAAATGCAAATAAATGTGTACATAATATAGTGCTTGATCTTGTGAGAGGCATTTGAAATAAAATCTAGGATGTGGTATATTACTCTGACACTGTGTCTCTGTATACAACGTGTTTGTGCTAATGGTGAAACGTGTACAACAAATGATGCTAATTTGTGCCATCTAAATAATGAGCAAACAGCAAAATATGTGAGAAAAGATTTAACTGACGAAGAAATGTTTAAGAATGGTCACTTGAAACCATTTGGCTCTCATCGACCACCAGAAAGCATTGTGGAAGAACTATCATTCATGATATCACCAAAAGACTTCTATATGAAGTATGTCATTAAACATAGACCAGTTGTAATTAAAGGTAAGTACTTGTTGCTTGGAGACTTATTAATGCATAAACCATTAACTTTTCATATGAAATCCAGGTGCAGTAAAAGACTGGCCAGCATACAAACTCTGGTCTGATGACTACCTTAATTCCACATATGGTGATGTGTTGTTTAATATGGAAACAAAAGATGACGACAAGTTCAATCTGCCAAAAGCAATGAAGCTGAAGGATTTTCTCAAAGTATATCAAAAAGCAGACAGATATTTAGTCGATGAAGTCACACCTGATATGAGAAAAGAGATTGTGTTACCACTCTGTCTAAGGTGCGAAGAGATGGACAGATATTTCTTTGTATCCTACTTCTGGTTCAGTCAGGGTAACACAAAATCCACCATGCATTTGGATACCGATGAAAATCTGCTTTGTGTTATCAAGGGTCATAAAGAGGTATTGATGGTTTCGCCTGAGTATTCTGCTGATTTATATGCAGATAACTCCAGGGTACTAGGTGTATTGGACTTAAATGTCTCAGCAGTGGACTTGGAGAAATATCCAAGAGTTAAAAACATCCACTATGTGAAAGCAAATGTTAATGAGGGTGATATGGTATATATACCTCAGATGTGGTGGCATCATGTCTATTCTAGGTAATGCAATCAATTATTGTTCTTATGGTAGTTTCATTTTTATTGCTTTTCATCTCTGCCTTTATTGAAGACCAGGAAGACAACAAGCTGTTGCATTATGGTGGAAATCAAAACCTTGCCCAAAGAATGGTAATAGAACTGCTATGCCTCTACAGGATAAAGGCAAGACAGGTAAGCAAACGTAATATCAAGGTTAAACAGGAAAATGTTAAACGACAATGATTGTTTAGGGCATGTGAAAGATTCATTTGCTGGTATTTTGGCTGATTATGAAAGGTGGGTGCAAAATGTTAGCGACGACCAGCCAATGATTACTTGTAAGGAGCAACAAGTGTTAATGAGCAATTATGATTTTGAGACCGATAAAGACCCAAATGCAAAGAAGACTATGGGTGATGATGGTGACTTGAAGGAGGTATGTATCTTGGAAACATATATGCTTTATGGTAATGCCTCTTCATTTTAATATTGGTCAGTGAATGTTGTTTGATGATGAGCTAGAGTTGAAATTATTCATATTTTCTCATTTTTGGATTAGGAAAATCTCAAACTGTTTGAGGAAGTTACAAAGAAAGCAAGGTTAAAGGGAAAAAATCCTTTTGAAGTATTACCCATAAGTCAATTGCCTTGTGATTTTGATAGAGCTAATGTACTATCTCCATGTCATTATAAGCAATGTCATGTGACAGATAATGATATTAGCCTAAATTGTATTAGATATATGCTTGACTATTGCAGTGATTATGATGATCGTGGGTGTGTCATCCATTTACCAAATTTTTTAAATAAACTTGATCACACTCAATACAAAAATCTTCAAACATTACAGACGGAGTATGGAAAGGAGCAAGGTCTACAAAACACCAAACACTAATGTAATACATTCTACAAATATTAATGTAATTACATTGAAGTTTCATTTAGATACGTATGATACTAAATAATAATAAATGATAATAATAATTATAAATAATACTAAATGAGACTTAATAGAAGTTTTAATTTTTTTGGAGTGCACTTTTACCTTACATAAGATGACAATTCAAATTCATTGTGAGCTACTTTCAATCACAAAGTTATTGTAAAGCATGCCATACACTCCTGGTGACACATTTCAAGCATCAATGATGTTAACAACACATATATTGTAAGTAAAACTTTTGTGCAAATTTTAGTAAGAATTTTGTACAGCTGAAGTTGCACCAGAAATGGCAGCATTTCGAACTGTTTTATTTGACATGGCACCTTGAGCAAATTCAGCTTGAGCTTTTTGGATACTAGCTCCAGTAGAACGATATATCCTGTGAACCTGACAATAAGATAATACCAAAGCATTAATATTTAACCTCTGCAGCTGAGTTATATGTCAATAAAAGATGTACCCTTTTCAGTAAGAATATCTCAAGCAATGCATTAATGATAAAAAGGACACCACAGGCAATCATCATTAATCCCACAACTTTTCCCCCGCTGTCTTCCTCTCCATTAACTTTGATCCATTAATAAATCCACTGAACAAGAAAACAAAATGCCATTAAAAAATCTCACTAACATACATATCTCTGATGCATGACATTAATTACCAAGATCCTATCTTATCAATTCCCAAGCAAGCAAGAACATTGAAAATAATTTGAAAGAATAAGATAAAGAAGAACACCATAAAGCTGAAGGAGCTGTCATTCCTAGAAAAAAATGTATGAAATAATCATAATCTAAACAAACTATGAGTGCCATATAATCTTTGAAACATACTTGAAAGCATTATAACTTGGTCGATACCATAAACAAAATGAGCAAGGAAGAAAAAGCAGAAAGAATATCAATGCAACTATGAATGTAGTTAATCCATCTCCACCATCCTCAATGAGGTAAGCAAGGGCACAAATCACATTGTACAGCATGGTGAAACAATAAACTACAAAAGAAAGGCAAATGCTTAAATTCAAATCAAGCAAAACAAAACATGAGATGAAAAAATCACATTCCAGAAACTACATAATAATATCATTAACACATATTGGAAATTATTAAAATTAAAGTTGGGATTTACGATTTTTATTGGACTTACATTCCCATGCATAGAAAAGCATTTTACTGGTTCTCTGAAAGTCAGGAGGTATATCAACACTGATGTCATGAAAAAAACATGGCTGAAGTGGACAGAAACTTGGAAAAGGAGGAAAGTTGTTCTTCCTGTCTAAAAACAAGATGACGAATTTCATATTAGCTTACATTTTCCAAATTTTGGAATAAAATAGCAATTTACCTCGATATTTCATTGTTTTCAATTCTTCTTCCTTCTTCTGAAGTTCAACTGCTCTTTTCTCCAGTTCCTGAAAAGAAGAAAAAATTGAAATGCTTTGGTCATGTCCTAAATGTTAATAATTGAATTATTTGAAAGTCGCCACATGTCATGAGCACTTATTAAGAATAAACACTAACCTCTTGTCTTTTTGCAAGATTTTCTTGTTCAGCAGCAATCTAAAAGGTAAGATTGAAGAAATTAATTCCTTTTGATAGAAATAGCCCATTTTTACATTGTCACTAACTGCACTATATGCTGCATTTGATTGCTCAGGTCTTGCATCAATGACGGCTGGCTCTGATGGCTGTGGTGGTGGTATGGTAACATCAGAATAATCAGATGGCTAAAAAACATAAATGCTTTTGTTCAACCAAAAAGTAACTTTTTCTTAACAGAAGACAAATCAACTTACTTTGCTTGCATTGTCATCTGCAAATGGATTATAGTCTTCAAACCCAGTAGTCCCAGATGAAGTTGCTCCTGCATGAGTGCCAGTGATCTTTGTCACAGATGGATCCTATAAAATGTTGAATTGTTCATAATCCTTTGCATATTTTTTACTTTTAAAAACATTCCCAACAGCTGATTTGTAAGAGGTACTAGGGAAATGGTGATGTCCAATGAAGAATGTTATAATATGGAATGCAATTCTTGATGCATTCTATTGTATCATGATATGACAAAAACACATATGTATGTCATGTAATGACATCTTACTATTCAAGATGAAATTGTGTTCATGGAAATAGAAATGAACACAAACACGGAAACAAAGATGTTTTAAAAACGGCTGTTTTTGTTACATGTTCATCTTTTTGAAAAATACCACAACATCTGTTGGATATACTTTCACAAATATAAAATATGAAAAATTATCTAACTGATACATCAATTTTCATGTATCAAAATGTACCTAGTAAGGTAAACAGTCACAAAAATTTATCGTAACGTTGCTCTATCAATAAATATAAACTATAAAAGCAAAAGTATAGTATTGTGACCTGAAACTAACAAAATACAATGTTATACTAAATGAACTGGCTTCCTTGCATGAGAAAGAATTTGGTTTGAAATCACAAACAGCAAACTCACTGCGAACGGATTTTCGTCTTCTTCGAATGGGTTCTTATTCATAATTTGTGTTGAAACCCAGAACTCTGAAATATCAACTCTATTTGGCTTAGATTTTGCGATATTTGGAAAGACGACAAGTTGAAAGGTGTTCTTCGGTCACAAGAACATTATATAGTGACGTCATTTACACTGACCGGAACTAACATAAAGATATATTTGCATGTTTAATACTTATGCCTTCCGATGATTACTATTCATTGAGTTCATTTTTTTAATGCTTTTTACCAATTTTGAAAACTTCATATTTGAAATTTGAAATCTCTCAAAAACAGGTCGCTAGAACATGGCTTCTGATCCACGACTGAGACAGATGAAAATTAAAACAAATGTTGTTAAAAGGTGGTAACATACACTCATTGACAGCACCTTTTTACTCTAGTAGTAAAAGTGAATGTACTAGATTTGCATACTGATTTGTTACTGATATTTCTATTGTGTGAGCTAGACCACACAGGCAAGTTTCATTAATAAAAAAGAATCCTAATGTTGTTGTGAAATTTGTAGGCTTGAGAAAGAAATGAGAATGTATGAGAAGGAGGTGGAGAGTCTTGAGGAAAAAGTTAAAAAATGGAAAGTGAAAAAAAGGATGAATATGATATCAGAAAACAGGTTGCCTGGTTAAAAGTTCTGTATATTACAAATATTCATGTCATTTAGAATTTAGGCCTCATACATATGATGCATTTGTGTACACATAAAATATTATTGCGGTTATGCTAATTTAAATCCACACATATCTCACAAAATTTAGGCTGTAAATGCAATGACTTATGTGGATGATGTTTAAAGTGAAAACTTGTCAGGAAATATTGTTTTTATCTATTGTACCTGAATTATAGAAAGAAGTTTTGGCTGAATCAAAGATAATGATACCAGATACCAACAAAAGATTGAAAACAGCCATAGGCGACCTCAAGTCTTTATTGGTAAAATTCTTTATCACAGATGACATAGCTACTGCATGCCATTTTTTGATACATTGTAATTTAATTACTTATAGGCAGAAACTGAAAATGGGCTCTCACATTGTAAGGAATACGATGAGGCAAAAACTCTGCTGCAAGCTGTTGCAGCAAATACAACTGATTGAAAACATTTAAAAAATATGATACTACCCTCTGACGCATTGATCAACCCTCTGTTGTATTTAGTTCAATGCCCTGACGTCATTGTAAACATTCCGTTGTTAAGGACAAGCTGTATGAAATATTCGTTCGTGTTGTAAAAATTTCGTTTTTACTGTTAGAAAATGAATTTCATGTTAAAAACCGTAGATTGTATATAAATGGGAGAAATAGTGACGGACAAGTTTGCACAGATAGAAAACTTGACAGTAAAGGGACACGAGTGCTTACAAGATGGCGACCTTAACACATCGTATTCAAGATATAAGGAAGCATTAGGTCTAGCTGAAGAGATCCATGACGGATTTGTCTTGAGAACGTGTCTTTTCAATATTGGAGCGTGTTGTGTTGCAAGAAATGAGCCTCACAAAGGCTTGCAATATTTAGTTAGAGCCATTCCTGCAGAAAGAAACTTCGATGGTGTTTTGAACTTCAGTGACTTGAATTATAACATGGGTATAGCTTATGATTTATTAAGTAATCCCTACGAAGCAAAGGGATGTTATCAAACAGCTTTAAATGGTTACAGAGAGCTTTCCAAGTTGGACATGGTGGGAGAGACTTGTCTCAAACTGGGGGGCACATTGGCTGCAGTTGGCTCACAAAGGTAGCAGTCGATGTGTTGCAGGAGGCAGAGAGAGTGTTTCATAAGTTAAAAGATTACAAACAGGAATTACTTGCAGTAAGCAGTCGTGCAACCCTACTAGCTGAGCTCCAAGATGATATGTGTCAATCTTTGCTGACAGATCTTGTTCATAAAGTTGACTCACTTGATGAAGACATCACTAAAGGTTTATTACTCAATTTACTTTAACAACTACATAGAGGCTAGCAATCTACATACAGTGTAATTCTATTGGGTTTTTTTAGCTAAAGTTTACAGTGACATTGGCCTATTGTATGCCTCATTTGCTCAACATGATAGTGCAGCCAAGTATTTTGAAAACTCTCTTCAACTTCTGCAGTCAATTGGTCTTGGCGATCACAAACTTGTGGCTTCTGTGAATCAAAATCTTGGTGCTGTATATAATCAAATTGGAGAGTATATGAAATCTATAGGATATCATGAAAAAGCCATTGACCTCTATGGTATATATTTGAGATCTCAATTTGAGCTTATATGTTGGGAGACAGCTAGAGATTTGGCATTTGTGTTGTACAAATTAATCTTCTCATTTAATCATCTGTGCACTTTTATAGGTGTTTTGTTGCTGAGATATGCTCAAGGCCATTCATTCAGCAATCTAGGTTTTGCTTATGGACAATTAGGAGAATTTGGCAAATCTAAAGAGAATTTTAACCATGCCCTTCAAGCTGCCAAAGATTCACAGGATTACAAAGGACAATGGCAAGCGTATGAAGGTCTTTCAGCTATAAACTTTCATCAAAAGAACTATGAAAAGGCTGTAGATCTCCTCAAAACTGCCTTGACAATTGTTCCTTACAGTGGGGTTGAAGACAATGAAAATGTGCATGAAAGAATAGTGCAAAAGTTATCAAATGCTTTAGAAGCTCAGCTATTGCATAAACATGTGAACAATGACCATGATGAGATAGTGGGTGATCCCCCAAGATTACAACAAAAAGAATTAAAGATGAAAGAAAAAAATATTTTAAATGTTGATGTTCATCCAATAAAAGGACATCAAGGAAGTGAAAAGATTGCCCTAAGTGATCAAATATTTTCCAAAAGTGAACCTTTGAAAGATACTAATGGCTATCGAAAAAACTACAATGAAAATATGAGAGATAATAGTGAGCTTTTGAGCAATGGTAATGCTAATCAGTCATCCACAAAAGTTGGTCATGTGAGACCACGGGAAAAGAACCACAAGTTTATTGCTAGGGGACTTCATGTTGATGAGACTTTCTCAGGTAATGAACACTTAGATGCTTCCACCTCACCATTTGATGCAATATCAAGTTATTCTGGTCATTCATCAAGCATTCTTGAGCATGCCAGTGATGCAGATGATGGAGCTCAAAAAGTTAGCCAACATGAAATACCAGCAGGATCAATGTCACTTCAGAAAGAGAAGAAAAATAAGCTAAATAACACATATGAACAGCCACAAGACATCATAAATGCTATAAATAGTGAGGGGCAACATCTACATAATTGTCCGCCGGGACCACGTGACAGCGTTCTTGCTTCAATGAGTAAGAAAGTGGACAAGAAACAGGAAACCATTCTACAAACTAAAAACACTAAGAAAACGAAATCAACCGTTTGTGTTATACAGTAAACAATTTTTATAACAGTAATCATGCTGTTGTCCTAAGTATATTTTATTGTTATAACAGTATGTGTCGTTTATCAAATATTCGTCATTTTTGCCCTCGATTCATTACACTTACAGTAAAACGAAGTAAGGGGTGTCACGTTTCCTTGACAACAAGTCATTTATTTTGATCATTCGATTACTCGAAGCAGTCTTTTTGTTTTAAACTACGATTAAAATCATGACAGACTTCAGTGTTAATACGATTCGAGTAAACAATTCTGGAGGTAGAACACTGCTGGCAAATTGGGTTGAAGAGGTAAATTAGGTTTAAATTCTCGTTTGGTTAGCGTTAGTAATTGACTATATAAGCTCAGCTCTCTTTGCAATATATAGAGGGCTTGCAAGAGATACGATGAAGATGACAAAAAACAATGTTATCCTTACAAACATGGTCATAAGGTCGGTAAAGGCTTGCTTTTAAAAATGTATTTGTATAATAAGTATAAATTATGTAATCAGTACGCCATCATAATTGCAGGGTATCTTAACTACAAATTTTGGCTCACGTGTTGACAGCTTATCAACGACTCAAGATTGTTACCGCGAGCATTTTGGAAATGGCATTCAGTCAAAAGGAAAAAAACTGCAGCTCTTGGAGAAACAGCTTTTTGAAAAGTTAAGGTGATTTCTCTGACAGCTTATGAAATGATGGATAAAAACAAAATGGATGGATTGATTGATATTTATTGTTCTTTTTTATGATATTAGCTCCAAGGTTCAAGAAGAGTTTCACCCTCCACCCCAGTTGCCTGATTACAGATCAGTGACCAAAAAGGATTTTTTTTCGAAAGGTTAGAATTGTTTGAACATAAGTTCTTTTTCATTATTACAAAACTGTTTTTAGACATTTCTAAAATTGCCTTTCAGAATTTACTCCAATTGAACATGTGCCAGAAATGGTTTGTAAAATACAATTAAATGCCTTTAGAATTCACCTTGTGTTTAAGCAAACTTGAAATTCAATTTGTTATCAGCCTCATGATGTTGTAAAAGAGCAACCTCTGACATATTGGTCTGAAAAGGTCAATGTTGTGCATGTAAGTTTGAACCAAGCATTCATTATTTTGCATGTAGAAAGAACTTAATACCACCGCTTTTCTTTTGCAGGGTGTAAGTCAGATTAAAACAAAAGACTCCCCATTTCGCAAAAATGCATCATTTAGCACTCCTGTCGAACAACAACTGGATCATCTAAAGCCTTACGAAAGATGGAATTTTGATGGCGTGTAAAAGATTTTAATTTATTCAAATATAAAACATATTTCGTGAAACATTTTGAAATTTATGTTTTCAGCATACATTGTAATAAATAAGCAGCACAGCGTGTTTCCCATTTTTTCATTCATCCAGTATCTTTCAAAAAAGATAATAAAGTTCGCGCAATGTTAATCAGTGCGCAAAGTCCAAGTGAAGGCTGCGTCGTTGCGTCAAAGAATCTTGTCATGTGATCTCTCAGACTTGTTCTCATTCTTCTTAAAATACGCGTTCATTTTCCACCTACCTGTTCGTCACCAAGATGGCGATCGACATTTGAGTGCGAAGTTGTTTACATGAAATATTTAGGCTGCTTCCGTCTTCCCTATCTTTAATTGTACTTATCTCTTTGGGTGAGAGTAAAGGGGAAAGAATAGATTTAATGCAGAATTATGTCGGACGAGCACAGCCTTAGTATTTCTGAAGAAGATGATGATGAAACAGTTGGAAACCTAGCAAAGGAGCGCCTAGTTGAGAAAGAAGGATATCTTTCAAAATGGACAAATTATATTCATGGATGGCAAGATAGATATGTCGTATTGCAGCATGGCAATATTGCATATTTCAAAAATAAAGCAGACAGAGAATTGGGCTGTAGAGGTTCGTTAAGTCTTGGCAAGGCTGTCATCGAGGTGCGTGAAGTATCATAACAATTCAACAACATTCAAAAGTGAATACTTGTACACGCTCGCTTGATTTAATTTTTATGTTTCCTTTTCTCATTATTGAATGTTCAACTTACTTATTTCATTCCTAATGTGTTTATTTTTTATTTGTACAATGTTGTTTCAAGGGAGGCGTTTCCGTCAATATTCTCAAACACTATTTCACTGACCTTTATTCTTTTTGTTTTCGACGAAGAGTGTTAAATTACTCTGTCAAAAAATACACAAACAATATTAACCTCAAGGCATCATAAAAATGTTGTCATTATATCCATCATGCTATATTGGGCATGTAGAATTCTTTAAAACAAAAGTATTTATTGAGCTTTGTATTTCCGTTTCAAAAAGGCAATTTTTATTAGAGTCTTTGATCATATGTACAATTAATTTCATTCTGTTTATCAATACAAGTCTTTGTAACATGCTATTGGCCAACATTTTTTATTTATGTTTACTTTGATAGATTCACAAATTTGATGAATGTCGTTTTGATGTCCGTGTCAATGATTCTGTATATTACCTGCGCACAGCAGAACCTGATGAACGCCAATCCTGGATCGATATGTTGGAAGCGTTTAAAGTATAAATCATTCATGTTTATCATTTATTAAACATTCTATTTCATACTCACACACGATTGGGAGCTGCTGCAGCTACATCACTTTCTAGATTTACAGCTAACACAGCTATTCTTGTTTTCATTACACAGATAAATAAAAATTTCCACTATAGAGTTCATGGATGGTGGATATGACAACATCCTCGTATTTTGCCAACCAAACCCCTCGAACATAAATGAGTGGCTAGCACATTTTAAGAGAGAGAACATTTTTAGTATTTCTATTTCTTTTTCGGAAGAAAAAAATGAATCTTTATTAATCTGTTATCATGATAACACTTGGAATGTCTTATTTCATTACAGGATTCTGGTTATGGATCAGAAACAAATCTTCGTAAGAATGCGTCCATGCTTTCATTATCTTCAGTGACAAGTTTAACTCTATCATCAACCTCATCATCGTCATTTAAGGTTGAAATACTTTTGGCTGTGAATTCACCTCATGAAATATATTTATGCTCATTTGTCATTTTTGTAGCAGAAAGGACATAGTTTACGAGAGAAGTTAATGGAAATGGAAACATTTCGTGATATTTTATGTCGTCAAGTTGATACCTTGCAGACATATTTTGACAGTTGTGCAGCCAGTGAGGGAGAAAGCTCAATTCATGATCATGCGGACCTTACCATGAACGATGACATGTTTGAAGATGCTCATTTAGGTACATAGCATTGATGATTTAGGGTGCTCAATATGGTGTGAAATATGCATTATCCTGATTATGTGGTACTGTAATTTTATTTGTTTTCCAATTTTCACAATGTAAATTTGTTTTAAGTTGTTTCATTGGATTCAATGTCATTAAAAATATGTGTTTTGATGCCAACTCCTTTAATGGATTACCAATAGTAGATCTGGCCATATACTCATGCACTACATGCTTTATGAAGAGTATATTTCATCTCTATTAATTAAGTCATCCTCTTACATCTAAGTATCTGAGTTTTGGATACCAGATTATTGCATAAGATTCTGAATTATTGGGAGGGATATTAACTTTTAAAAGCATATGTACTGAAAAAAAACAAAATTTCACACCCTGATCGACAACTTTTTTCCTTTTATGTAAGTGGATCATGATGCTGATGATGAAATGGATGAACTATCCTCAACACCAACTCCATCCAGTTTGATGAAAAAGCGCTCAATGTCTGTAGGCAGCTCAACTAAACCTCAAAATAGGTGTGCCATTGACTTCAAGGGAGAAGCGATTACATTTAAAGCAACTACAGCAGGAATACTGGCAACCATGTCACATTGCATTGATCTCTTGACCAAGAAAGAAGAACATTGGAAGCGAAAATATGAAAAGGTTTTTTAGTGAATGTTGTGTTTTTTGGCCAGTACTAAAAATCCTCAAAAGTAAATGCTTTTGTGTTCTTGATTAACTTTCATCTAACATCAACCAAATGATGGTTAGTGTAGATTTAAGTGAAGGTTGATTTACTACATTCATCTTTTTACAATGTAATATCACAATAAATTAGGCCTGTTGAAAACAAGCTTACAATGTAAGTTTTAAAGTTTTTCTCAAAAGTACTTGTGGTACAATTTAGGAGGTTGAAAAACGTAAAAGGATAGAGGAACATTACAAGAAAGCTTTAGTCAATGCTAAGAAGAAGTCATTTGTCAGTGGTCCAGATTTTGTTGTATGTATTGATGACTTATTCCTACTATATATATTACTTGTCTTTGTATGCTGAATTTTTTTGAGCTTTGTTATCGTTTCTGCAGGAAGGACCTCATATGATGTTAAATGAAGAGGAGTTCTACGATGCTGTTGAAACTGCCTTAGATAAACACGATGAAGAGGAGATGAGTGATGAGACTGTACTACTAATACCTTTATTTTTTTTCAATAATCTTTTATTAATCATGGTAACATTAATTAAAGATTAATTTTGTCCGTCCATTTGCAATCATTAGGATATTCATGGATGTGAAATGACAACACCTGCAGAATGCACGGATAAATTCCACCCACACTCAAATGAGGTGTGTTTTTATAGTTGATGTTACTGAACAAGGTTTAGTGCATACGGATTTACCATATCTTCAAATAACATATTTTTCTTATAAAAACTTTTTTTTTATTGGTTGGCTCTACTGATTTAAACGCCAACTGTTTTTGTAACCAATCAGTTACATAAAAAACAGCATGAAAATGATCACTCTTTAAGGTTGATGTTCAAGTGAGGGAAAGTTTGAAAGTAATCCAAGAAGATGTCGACGAAAATTGGACATTGGTATTTGAGGATGGAGAGATGCAGGTTCTTTGAAATAATCTTTATATCATAATGATTCATTTTATATCATGTTTTCGTAGATCATAATGTTATCTTTATTTTATCAGGTACATCGTCGTGACTACGAGGAAGGTGGAATCGTCCTAGATCCTCTCAAGGCTACCCATGTTGTACAGGTTTCTCTTGGATGTCTTACGCTTTCCTTTTTTCAATATTTGTTTTCATAATGATTTACTCATCGCTAATGTTATGTATAGGGAGTTACAGGTAGAGAAATGACATACTATTTCTTTGATAAAGACGTGAGAATGGATTGGGACAGTAAGTTATGTCTTGCAGTTTTCCTATTTTGTTCACGTTCATTATGTGCATGATATAATTACTGATGAACTCACTTCTTTTTTAATTAGTATTAATTTTCCAGGTCGGCAATCAGCACCTGTCGTGTTGTCAGGACGCCGAAAAATTGCCGACCTGTAATTGTTCAATTCAAATTAAGAGTGCGGAAAATTTTATTACAATTATTGTATGAAGATATGTTCTTATACACAGTAATATATATTCCAAGGAATTTGCTATAAAAATATTTTGCTATATCATCCTATCCGTATTCCCAACCAACGTTTTAGCGAAAATGACATGAAACAGACTTAACGAAAGAAGACAGGCGACAATAGTGGATATTGTGAATGTAGAATATTTAACACGATCCTATAACTGTGTTTCCATTTGTTGTTAGCAACCAAGAGCAGAATATATCACCCAACTTTTGACAATGTGTAAAAATCATGACATAACATTCATAGTCCTTATTAGAAGCTTACACATATACTGTTATTGACTACGAAACTGTTTTTGATTTCTCCATTTTGAGCAATTTTGTATGTAGCCTATTTAAGTCTATTTTATTTTTAAAAAGGTCGACCTAATACGTACTTTGCTAATTCAAAGGCCTGGTTTTCACGATTTAATTAGTTACTCGCTTTTTAGGGTATGATTTGATTTAATTTCTTCGATTTAACACCAATCTTTGATGTTTCTCTTTTTCAGCGACACTGGATGTTTGTAAAGTGATAGAGATATTTTCACCTAGCACAATGTTGTTCCACCAAGTCTACAAACGTGTGTGGCCTTCCTCACAAAGGGAAACTGTCTTCATGTCTCACCTTCGCGAAATCCCCTCATCGGATGTCACATTAGAACGTTTAGAAAATGAAGTTGGTAATCCTTGGCTATCCATTAACTATTCTATCGATCACCCAGCTGTCCCAGTAAGTTTAAGGCATTCTGTCAATTATGAATGGTAACCATTGCATTATATCGTTTTTTATATCCATTAGCATCATTTACGATATTCAGTCCTAAATCCTTTTCCTTTATGAAACATGGTATTTTGTATTTTCTTCGAGGTGAATAAATATGTTCGCGCAACTTGTAATGTTGCCTTCTTTTGTCAAACGATGATTTCTCCGAGGAGTGAAGGGGAAGAACTAACGAGGGATCATGTCTCTTGTAAAATTACCTATAGTTGCACAGGTATGCTGTAATCATTATCTTGTGATGTGTGTATATACCTAGATGATCTGGTTTTGTGATTGGTATCATTGGTTCCAAATATAATAAAGTAAAAATACTATTATAGAGATGATAAATCTCGCAATTGTTTTATTGATCCAACCCATTCGTACTTATGACATTCGATGCAATGTAGCTATAGCTCTCCTCTATGTCTTACGTACGTTTACTGATGTTATGGTCATCCTTATAGCAAAACAATGAATTTTACTTTTTTCTGTTTAGTTAATCCTGGTGGCTGGGCGCCACCTTCCGTTGTTCGCGCTGTTTCAAAACGAGAATGTCCCAAGTTTCTTCGCAAGATTGGCACGTTTTGCCAGACTGTTTTTAAGGAGAAAGATATCATGTTATAACGCATTTAACAAGATCCCTCGTCACGTCTTTTTCCTCGGTCATGATATGATTTATTCTTTCGCCTTTTGTGTCTTATGCCTATAAGATTTCTTTTGTTAGCTAGCAATCTTTGAAAAAGATCTAAAATAATTTTTCTAATGTAAAATTCAACGTCACGTTACCATTCTATGCGGTATTCATTTACAAATTATGTACACGAAGGCGATAATTTATTAGTTGAAGAAATTGCATTAAATATTATCTATCCAGTCAATGTTGTTATCACATATTTACACGCGGGTGAGGGAATTTTGCGTGGTTTCATGTTCGAGTCCATGTCGAGTCTGACATCTGGTATTCGCTCAAGCATTGACAAAAAGCGGTGATTTAATTTTTAAAATTATGTCAATCGTGCTAAATCCTTTTGTGAAATGGGCACAGGATCGCAATGCGGTTTATCTTACTGCTGAGCTGAGCAATGCAGTAGTGAACGTCTTAGACGTGCAGGAAAAAAGCTTAAATTTTGAAGGTATTAGGTAATTATTAATGCACGTTTTCTCGGAGTAGTTTATAGTTTTATTGCATATCTACCTTCCTTTGATTGTGATTTATGTTTTTTCAATTTTAGCTTGTGGTATTGGAGCCCAGGGGGAAAACATTTATTCTCTTGATCTTTCGTTTTATGAAGAGGTTGACCCAAAGGTATCATGACCACCAAACAGGGACTACTCACAAGTTACAAATCCTTGAGCAATGCATTGTACTTTTTTAATTTTTTGTTTGGTGTAGCTCACCAAATACAAAACAAATGACCGGTGTGTTACAATAGCATTGAAAAAGAAAGAAGGTATTGATATCTTATGAATACTATTATATTTTATGTTTATCAACACATAAAATGTTTATCTCTTCCCAGGAAAATACTGGGATAGATTACTTGTGGACAAGAAAAAACCTGGATGGTTAAAGATTGATTTTGATAGATGGCGTGGTGAAGATGAATCGGAGGAAGAGGAGATGATGAATGAGATTACAGTAAGATGTTCATCATATTTTTTGCCATTTATATTAACATAGACACATAAATTTACATTTGCCAATCAGAAAATATCAGTTGAACAGCGAAAGAAGGAGATGGAAAGTCAACTTGACAGTCATGTTAGAGAGGCAGAAGAAGAAGGTTAAAAGAAATCTACTTTATGTATATATTTTTTTGTGTCAATCAATTTCAAGTTGAAATCTTTACCCTCACTCTAGTGAAGCAATTTCTCATCAAAGGTTATTTATCAATCTACAACATCATCCAAGGCATTGCATTCTTTTATATCACATTTTATGTTGTGATTAAACTTTTCTATCGTGGCAAAGGTCAGGAAGGAACTATTTAATTAAATTACTTCTTGCTTAATTTTATTTCTTTGCTTAATATTTTTCTAGTTTTATGTTTTTGTCTAAAACTTATCAGTTTCAATCTATTAGATGCTGTTCCCACTATTTATGATTCTGTCAGTGATTTGTTGGCTACTTGTCAAATTGTCTCCTTTCTTGAGTTTATAAATGCGGCATTTAAACTTGTCCATACAGGTTTCTTTGCACCTTTATCTCAGGTACAATATAAATATGTACATGCTATATATTGATGATACTGTTATCACATATAAAGTACTAATATTTCAGAGTGTTGGTCGTTTTTTTGTGTTGTTCCTGGCCATAACTCCTCACGAAGAACTACAAAAATCTGTTTTGGTTGTTGTGCTATTTCTTACATGGTCACTTAGTGAGAATGTTAGGCAAGTCATTTTAGCTAGCTATGGAATGTGATATATTGAATTTTTTCATCTTCAATTTAGCTGTCATTTAATTCGATATTTTTAGATATCCTTTTTATTTCTTTCAAACCATTGGTTATTGTCCAAAGTGGTTACTTTGGTTGCGATATACAGCGTGGATCCCATTATATCCACTTGGTCTTATTATGGAAGGTATGCTTGTTGTTATGGCTTAGCTTGTGATGTTCTTGTTCATTCCTGTGTATGAAAAGTGGTTCTATTCTTTCAAGGAATTCTTATTTACCAAGCTGCAAACTTATTTGATGTGTCTAAACGTTGGTCACTGTCCTTGAAATTGGCTGGGAATATCATTATTCCCTTTTCATTTTTTTTAAGAATGTATATGATTTTCTTAGTGATAGGTATGTTTCGTGCATCTTTAGTTAACACACACCATAAATGCCTTTTAAGTCATTTGTTCATGTAGCTATAGCAGTTGAAATTAGGTATTTTTACTTGGTATTGGTGGAGAACCTATTATCTCTAAAATCAAAGCACTATAACTTGTTAATAATAAATACATTTTTTTAACTGCTTCATTGAATGATGATTGATATTATTATGTGAGTTTGCACTGGTGACTCTTGATGTCATAAACAAAAACCTTTCTCCTAGGTGGTATGTACCTTCTTAGACACATGTGGAGGTTAAGAGTAAAGAAATATGGTAGAGGTGCCAGAAGAAAATTAAAAAGTACAAAAAAAGATTAATGGTAATGTTAGAGGTTAGCAAGAAAAAATTAAAACTATAACATAGTTTCACAAACAAAATGTTCTCAATGAAGTACTGCTATTTTTGACTTAATTCTTAGTGCAGCTTACTAAACAATTCTCATAAAATAACAAAAAACATGTCATAATTGCTAATTTACTCTGTCCTATATTCAGGCTAACATCTAATGTTAAACTCAACATGCACTAAATGCACAAATAATTGTCTGTGTTCTCTTATTTATAAATGTACAATTGTTTTTCTTTTGATAAGGAGTGCATCTTTGTAGAACTTGAACACAGATTCTTGCCATGTAACATTTCACCATTTTTATCCCATAGCAGCAGATTAATGCAATATACACAGGCAGAAGTTTAATCTTGCACGCTGACAGATGTTGGACTAGCTAATTTACTAGGAACAGACTGTTTTCTATGAGGAATATTTTCAGGTTTAGGAATTGCAGCACCAAGATCTGCAAGAGGTCCTTTGTTGCTCGTTTTAGCCATTTGATAGTCACCTGAATCAAAGTACTTCACCTAGAAGAATTAAAATTGCTCTTGTTACAACAAGCACATAACATACGCACTCTACCTTGAGAGTCAGTGTATTGACCAATACAAGGGTCTAACGCGAGACTCAAGCCTAAATTTAAGCCATAAACGTGCACAATCACAATGAAGCAAACAAATGAATTTAAATAAAAATGCGTTTCGCAATATACTAAAATAATTAGCAATAACATGACAGACGGAGAATAATTTTAAAATATTTACCCCTCCACGATGTTGAAGCCTTGCTTGAGCAAAATTCTTCTTCAGTCCTCCAGGGTACTTAGCCTTCAATTTCTCATCTTCCGATGGCTAAACCGAAATTACATAAACAAACTGAAGATGATTATACCGAGTATTAAAAATAAAACAACCGTCGATAATGAATCTCCAAATTAAAATCCCTTTCATACCTGCTTGGGTTTTTCTTCAACAGAGCTTTTCACTTCTGGATTTTTAGCATCAGCCATGTTTGTTTTCAGACAGATAGACGATGACTGAGACTAATAATTGTATAATTTTAAATACTTATTTTAAACCTGATCGAGTTCACTTTTTCCCACTTTTTTACAAGAAGACAGTTTGCGCATGTCTTGAATTTGCATGTTCACAGTTCACGACTTCTGAATTTTAACCAATGAAGATCTGTGGTTTGTTATTATTAGCCAATAAGAATGAATGTTAGAAACTTGAAATAGTTGCGAAACTCTTGAAATAATTGTCACACGTTATCTTATCATGTGACTAAGACTGGAATGTCAATTGTCAAATTTTTACTATAAATTCACCTTGAAATTCATTTTTGGGTAAAATTACTTTGTAAACGAACTATGAAAAGTAAACTATAAAATACTGGTTGACTTATAATGGCAGCACTACGCCGCTGTTGGATCTTCTTTTTGAAGTTTCATCTTATGTTGTCAATTAGTGATGCCATAAACAGAAAGGTTAGTTCCATTGATGTATTTTAATATCCGTGGTGAATGGATCATGAAAACTTGAGCGTTGATTAACCATTTGTAAAACGATTTTTTCTTATCATCAGTTATCAATCCAAGAATTCAAATGTCCACCATCAAATTGTAGTCAAGAGACAAGTCTGGTTTGGGTGAAAGCTAAAGCAGATGACAATACCACCATTCATTATTTGTGGACAACCTATCCAGTTCCTACGATTGTTGTGGCATATACAACAACACATCGTGATGTTAAATTGCATTTGAATTGGGAAAAAATGGTTAATACAAGCACTCGAGATTCATCATTACGCTTTGAGCCACCTGTGAAATATTCTTTTGGTTTCTCCATCCCAATAATATATGAATATAATGATGTTCATGACAAGGCTGTAATACAAGGTAACAAGCATGTGGTGAAGCATGCATTTGCCAAGAGCACAAAGTGGAAAGTGAAAAGAGATGATTCAAAAGGAAAAGTAAAATTCACAACTGCAAATAATTCTATCATATTAGTGGTAAGTTGCCAGTAAATTACCCAAACTTGAGAGTTTGTAAACTGTGCACCTAAGATTGAACATTTTCGAGCTTAAAGTTTTCTCAAAATTGTACACTTGACATCATGGGTGCGCAATATGTACCATCAGCAGTGGATTCATAGTTTGGCAAAATTGATTATTATTTGAATTTAAAAAATCCATAGTAATGCCATTGGTTATGTATTTCTAAAGAATATGCCAATCAGTAGGCTTTTGTAATCTTGCTTAACACTAGATATGCGGATATATAACATGTTCTATAGATGATCATTGTGATTCTTGTTTATTATGTGTTGTATTTCAGTGAATCTACACAATATTTCTGAACTATGTACTTCTTTAACTTCCAGAATTTTGTTTAAGTTTGTAGCTTCAACATCACCAGGTCGTGAGAAAAAGCTTCCTTGTGAAAAATATACAGCAGATAGTTGCAGATTCTCTCTTACAATGGACCATGTGAAAGTAGCGACAAACAATACAAGGTTTGCTGTTGAGATAAACTACATTTATGAGGGAGATAAAAAGCCTGACATGGCAAAAAAGAGGCTTTTTGATGATGAATATTCACCAGGAGTGTTTGAGATTGTGTATGGCAAAGTCTCTAGTGTGAATGGTACAGCTTATGCACAATGGAAACCAATTGCATACACCAATCCTGAGCTAGGACGCAAGGTTCAAACAAAGGCAATAGCTTCAAGTTTCAAGATTGTCAAAAGATCATGGAATATTGGTGATGCTTTGATTGGCAGTCATCAAGTGTATGGTGTTAATTTGTCATTTGGTGTAACCAAAGATGGTTTTTACCAAAAGAATCATTATCTAACATGGTTTGTTGTGATATGTTTTTCATAGACATGTGATATCATGGTTAGAAAATTTCATTTAAGAAATGAAAGATGTTTACTGTGTTTGCACTGGCTTCTGCAAACTGAGGAGGCCTTTGGGAGAACTTGAGAGCAGATCAGTGCAAGCCCGAGACCAAAGGTTGCTCATGCTCGAACATTCTCACAAATTGATTGTTTTAATTGATTTGATTGATTGATCTCAGATGTGTTTTGCACAGGCTAATGCAAACTCAGCTCTAGACCAATCAGCACACACATTTCATTCTGTTTATTTTATAACTTAAGTTGTGTGGGAAAATTTCATTTGGTTGACTTTATGTATATTTTTTACAAAGGAGTGGTATAGTCGGTTATGGTAAGCCAGCTACTGAGACAATGTCATTTCTTGTTATCCTGATCATATCCATTGGTCTTGGTCTACCTATAGCCATCATTGTCTTTGGAGGAACGTATTTGCAAATAAGGAAAAGATGCTGTAAATCAAATCGTGGTATATCTTATGCACAAATTAACTGATCTGACAATAATTCATTGTACTTTTGAAAATTTTGCAATAAAGCAGTTTTTATATGAGACAATGCATGAATTTCATTCAATATATTTGTTGTGGCATCAAATATGATTTGAAATATGTTCTCCATTACATTATTGAACCATGAAATTTTGTGAAATTCAAATGTAGCCATAATTGTTGTGTGCCACTGGCAATACAATATTTTTGCTTCAATACATCTAAATACACACTGCGAATTTTGCAAATACATTATCCTGATATTATAATATATTTGAAGCTTATTACATTGAAATTAGGCATGAGGTGTGCACTATGCAGGAATGCTAATAAGAAGAGGGCCAGAACTTGATAATATCTTTTTTAGAAGTTCGTACACAATAAATCTAGTCATTGCCAATTATATGTATACATACTGAATAAATCACTAATACAAAATGATATATTAATATATCCTTGTTATTTTTGATAAAACTATCAGATGGAAATAAAAACACCTGAATCTTTTATTGTTCTTTAAAGGTTGTTCTGTTTTAGAAAGGATGAACATATGTCAGTCTTTTATCAATGCCAATGGTTATCTTCCCTCGAGTGGCATTCCTTCATAATCTTGGAATCCATTCTTCATTTTTCTAACCCTTATATCATTCATAAATGCCCAAGAATTTTTCCCTTGCTTGAGCAGGTCTCGCAACAGCGCTTACCATAACTTGGTATACGACAATAGTTGATTCTCTTGATAATGTGGCAGTAACGCTTAAATGTGCGTGGTGGATTGTCTCTACACTCAATTGACAATGTAGTGTCAGTTTGAGACCCAGGACACTTCTTCAACTTGCACTGACGACGCAAAGGAGGTCGTTCCCAAGCTTTACATCCTCCAACTCTTGTTCCTTGACCATCTAAGCACGATACGTGACGAGTTTGAACTCCAGTCCCACATGACAGGGAACACTATAGCAAAATATAAATTACTTAGTTTTACACATATAGCCTGCTACACACTCGTATCTTGTACGTCACTATTAACTAAAGACAAAACCCATACGTTGGATTAAGGTACCTAGAACAGGTTTCATTAAAATACAAGAAAAGTTGTAGTCTTAAAGTTACACTCTTATCAAAGTATCATGCTTCTTTGTCACTGTGGCTACACCGTAACCATGAACCTTTTCTTTTGCTGTTTGCCTATATAACCACAAGCAACCATACCTGTGACCATGGTGTTGCAAACCAACTTGGGACGCAATTTCTACTGCATTCCTTTCGTACAGCGGGTTTATTATCGACCGAACACTCGGAGTCAAACGTCTCCTTGTAATTGCCGTTAACATTCTTCATACACAACACATGACGTTGTTGTACACCCTGACCACAGTCCACCGAACATTGACTCCATTCTGATGTCATCCACATTCCTGCGCATTTTTGAGCATTACATTGCTGTTCATGTTCTGGTTTAGACTTATCTCTGCAATGTTTCTCTTGTATTTTATTGCCCTCAATTCTGGCACACACGACGGGGCGACTGCGAGTACCACTTTCACATGAGCGCGAACACTGAAAAAATATGGGTGCATCAACTATTCATACTATTATTTTTATGATTTTACCGCTTATAAGCTCAAGTTTATAATAAATTAAATCACTTGCACTCCAAAAATGTACTTGCACATTTATCATGCATAATTATTCAAGTGTACTTTGTTTATGCACTAATTCCTCTGATGTTCCCTATTATCCCATTAACTCCTTATTGTCTTTTCTTATTACCTGTGACCACTCGGTGCGAACGTACCAGTCGGCCCTACAGAGACCTTGATAACATGCTTTCATTGACGTTGGTTTTTTAATCCAGCCGCACTGGGATTCATCCATCGTCTCATTTCTAGTGTTTTTGCAAACCAAGTCACGTTTCTGCACCCCATGTCCACACTCAACAGAACACTGTTATAGTGAAATATATAGATATATATATGTATTTGGTGTGTAAGAAAGACGGTGTTTTTGACGCAATTACTGATGCTAACTTCTTACAATTGTCAACATACCTTTTTCCAGTCTCCCACAACCCATTTAGGTCTAGTTCGTTCGGGGCATTCTTTAATGAAACAGTTTCTAATCACCTCCGGTCTCCGTTGCGATGGACATTCCACAACTGGCACCATAACTGTCACTTTTCCTCCGTTTTCATTTTTTGTTTGTTTACACATAAGATCTCGGGTTTGTCGACCTTCTCCACAACTTTTGGAGCAGGCTTTCCATTCTTGTGGCTCCCATCTGAAAACACAAAACGGTTAACAATGGCTGACATTACTTCAAAGAGCTGCTTCGTGGACTTACGTTGCTGGACACGGTTGTAGATTACACACACGTCTAGTTTGTTGAATGCGAGTGTTCAAGTTACATTTACTATCAGCAACTGTTGCACCTGTCAGAGCCTCGGTACATTTCACTATCCCTGATTGCACACCTATAAAGCAAGTTCAGCTTACATACATTATGATATTAATGCAAAACAAATGTCCATTAGTATCCACAATTATCCCTACCTCCAGCACAAGATGACGAGCAAGGTGTAAATGCTACGATCTTCCACAAGTATTTGTGTGACACGCCGTCTTTAGCTTGGCTGCTCGCATAGAATTGTTTCTTCGAGTCGGTGTTTTGCCATCTCGGTCTTTGATTACGTGTGATACCGGTACGAAACCCCCGGTGTCCCCACGGTTCACGTTGATAACTGACTGCATCGGATTTGTCAAATCTATTTTCAGCTCTGTAGCCAACTTGCCCCGTAGCGTGACCTGTAAATCTGTTGGGTTTGAAAACTTGCTGCTTCAAAACTGGTCGCGCGGCAGGTTGGCTTTCCGATGGAGACGCTTGTCTCGATCTCTGTATGGGATCTCCTCCAAATTGGACCCATGATGAACCATACAATGTTGCCTAATTATTATAATCAGTCTGAGCGAGATTTGAAATATTACTATTCATTAATGTGTTTATATCATTACCTGTTTGTCCCCATGGTTTTCATCCTCATTCAAACTTGTTTGTTTCCGTGTTTGAACTTGAGGATAGTTAAAACCATGTCCTCCTGTATTTGGGAGAGTGATGTCACCTCTTCTTTCACTTCTCGGCCTTCCACGTCGTGCAGATAGAAAAGGCACAGATTCACTTTCTCTATGATCGATACTAGACTGCTGGGTTTCTCTTTGCTCACCGACATTTTCAACGACGCGTTCTCCGGCTTTGAATGTAATTGATTCTCCCTGTTCGGCGAGGACATCCCCTTCGTTTTTTTGTTGTTGGTATGTAGGCACAGACGTTGTTTTAGCTTTGGGAAAAAATAGATGCTCGCCGTTGTTTAGAGGCTTCATTTTGAGTTTATTATATTCTTTTTCTGTGACGAAGTATGAATACTTTAAAACAGTCAAGTCTCTTCGATAGAGCACCTAAAGTAGACATCACAAAGAAGAAGGATGTTTGAGCAATTAATCCAGTTTTCGTTCAGTTTTCTCGACAACGATAATAAATCTATACCATAATATCAAGAGCCTTTTCTAAAGGACCATCGATTGTGACCACCTCTCTTCCACGTCGAGTGTTACCATTTCTGTCGTAAATTACGTTGGATGAAAGTATTTGGAATGTCTTAGATAAACTTATCATCCAATGGCCATTGAGAAGATATTCACCACTCTCATGATATTTCAAAGCTAGTGAGAACAAGCATTAATGTTAAAACTGTATTCTTCAATAATCATGACACACATTTGATATTTTTCATCCTTGAAATGCCGATCATTTGAATCTACCGTATCTTTGTGTGATGATTACCTAAATAATTTCGTGATCTTTCCAGTTCTTCGACAGTGATGTTTGTAGCACCATTAGGTATGGTTGTCGCTAAATTGTAACCTAAAGATTGATAATGCAATGATAAGAAAGATAAAAAAGAGAAAAGAAGAGGCAAATGAAATGTTGTAAACGTAGCTAATTAAAGTCGCCCTTTGTAAGGAAATCCGGATTCCATAAGTGTGGAATCCTAAATTCACAAAATAAGATCTGTATTACCCTAAAATAAAGATTTGGAGTCCGTATTCACCAAGTACGGAATCCACGAGCTGAGATCCATAATCTAACACTACGGTAGATTTCTTAACACAGTGCGACCAGTGGCTGATTACCTGTGTTTAGTATAGTAGTATTAAAAACTCCGAGAATTTTTTTCTTTTTTCCACTAAGACAGGGCCCGTCTAGTGTAGGACAACCTGATGGTCTATCCTGGAATTTCAGAGAGAAAAAATAAAGATAAAAATCCTCGCATGATACAAAAAATATAATTTATTACTCGTTGTCATGTATAACCTGACATTTTCCCTTTATGCAAACTTTCGAGTGATCTGTTACACAGGGAGTTCCATCTCTTACTGAATTTCTTAGTTGTGCGTAAAATTTGTGTTCTTCAGCCATACAAAACAGTTTACACTCATCTAAGTTATCTGCAATGAGTATATGACGTATCAATCAATGGGTTAGTTTACAGTAGGTTTTACATTAAACATGTAATACTGTTGCATTTTGCTAATTGCTATGGTTTCTCCATGCAAGTCTCTCTAACTTATCGCTAAATGTAGAAGAACGGACTGGACCAATCAGACGCACACAGCGAATAGAAAGGCTAATCAGATTATCACTTGCTTTTTTTTAAAAGAATTTAGAAAATTTACGTTTTAAATTCGAGCATACATTGCAAACAAACAATAAATTTTCACGAGTATTTACAATAACGATTGATCGTAGTCAATGTTTTACCGAAAGAAAGCACTTAAATGCTATTGGTAAAACTTAATAAAAATAATTTACAAATGATTAGCAATTTTGCATTTGTAAAGACCTCAAAATGCTCCTAACTCAGTCGGTAGAGCGTTTGCCTGGTGATCGCAAGGTCCCATTTTTGATACCCGCCCTCGCCAACTCAGCGTATGAGTAGCGCAAATCGGGTAATTTGATCTGCGCGGTAAAGTAGCAGGGAGCTGAGAGTAGGTGTGGCGCTCCACCTTAGCATAGATCTGACTTGTCTAGCGCTAAAACGAAAAGCGAATAGACTCCCTCATTGTTCGGCTGTTTTCGACTTCAAGCCACTCCGCAAACTTTACTTACGAGTGTTATCTTAGAACCTAAATCAAGTGCTATCTCAGCACAAAGGTCTCATGTAAAATAATTAAATCTGGATTATTATAACAACAACATTGCTATCAATATAACACCACACGAAGTGCTATTTTCACACTTTATATAAAACCGTGAAAAAGAGTTGTATTCAAGTAGCAAACACTTCATGCTTCTATATTTCGATTTTTCAAGCGAATTTACAAAACTTTGAAGTTGATTTTCTTCTTTCTTGTTAAATATGATTGATTGTCGACAAGCATAGTTTGTGAATCGCTTATCGTTTCAATCCGACATCAGCAAATTCTCAGTGTAAAACTTAATTGGGTTTTGTCCATTAACAGCAATACGCAAGATAAACTGTTCACTGATATACTGTTGAGCAACATGGGCTGTTGAATATTGTAATTAAATTATAATATACAACCGTAATATAAGTTCAACCCAACCTAATCAATAAAGACAGCATTTTGTGTTTATTTTTATCTGTTAAATGCGTTTACCTACCGTTTAAATAGGGTTTCCATTTAATATTTCTACCGTTGTAGGCTTTTCTGTTGAATTCAGTGCATTGCTCTGCTCGAGTCCTGTATGCATCTTGATAAGTAACTTTGGGAGAGGCTTTTTCTTCTTCGCAATCCTTAATAGCATATATTGTTTAGACAATGTATTATATGGCACATCGAACTTTAATAGATTAATCTACATTTTACTTAAATATAACTATGATTTATACCCCATTAGTTCCGACAGAACAGCATAAAGGCGAGAGTTCTTATGACAAATGGTAATCTCGTTCTCAGTGTTCTTCCCCAGAGCACATGGTATGTTTGAAGTTCTGCTATTTGTTATTTTTTTTGTTCATTTAATGCAATTATAGTCACAGTCAGAAAATAAATAGTTTTTCTATCAATAAATACTTTTAATTAAAAAATTAGTTTCCATATGTTTGAACTTTAGAGAGCAAACAGGCTTCTTTTATCGAGTGGTGTTCTTACTTCAAATGAAAGATGCATATCAAGCATCAAGCTGCGGTTTCGTGACGTTTAAGATAATACCTTCTTCTATTTTAGTAGATTTAGAAAGGTGTGCACAGTTTGACCACCGGATTCGTACTCCTTGCAAAACTGTGTTAGTGTTTAAATAACTTTAATGTTACATAAGCACGGTTGTATGTCAGTCATATATTAGGAGCAAAATCAGTCAACAAATTTGAAAATTACAATTTTTCTCTCAGTTATACCAACAACGAGACTTCAAAATATCCATGTACCCACCAAAAAGGTTTTACAGTTTCGTCTCCTGATGCCAAACATATCGTCCTTGCTATCATATCGGCGAAATCTTTGTGCGCTGTTAAATTGACTTATCTTATTGTTTAGCATATTTTGCGTCTCCGAATCTTGATATTCTTGCGCCGATATGCAGCAGAAGATAGCCATAACGATAAGTAATCGTCTTACGTTATTTGTTTGTTGCTTGCTAACGCATGGTCCATTACCGGAAAGTACCTCCATAATTGCTCCAGAGATGTGCTCGAGAAATGGCTCAACAACAAGATCTGTTTGAACCTCGTTAGCACAATGTTTTTATAGCGGTTCAATTGTATCTTTAATACGCGGAAATGTGTTTTTAGTGATAAGAGGTAGAGCAGTTTATCTTATCTTTATAATGAAATACAGCATGGCGAAAATACATCGAAATGTTTGGATAAGATATTGCAATGCGATACACCACACGACCGACTGGCATTCACGCAGACTAAACATAACATTGATATCTTTTTTTCGCATCTCGCTAGTGACATACACAACATTTGGGGTTCAACATTTCAAAGTATTATCTGGCTTTTTTCACGTATAAATGTATGATCTTATGGGCAATTTGAACCAAAGAAATAGAATTCATGTCGAAATTTCGTAGTCTGTGGTATTCAGTCTGAACTTATAGGTGTATAATTCTGGAATGTAATGTCCCTACAGGGCTTCCGTTTCCATGGCTCCATTATTCTTTTTATGTGTTTCAATACGATTTTTGGGGTGTGCAAAGACAATGGGAGATGACCGAGTTATTTAAGTATTTCAAGAAACACATAGTATTGTTTAAACACAATCAAGAGAACGCAAATAACATTCGAATTTTTCTAGGAAATGAAAGCTCTTTTAGATATTCTAAGGGTTACGCACTTCACAAAATCTTCGTGATTTTAATGCGCGTTTACATTTGTTTTATCCAGACAGTACTGGCAGTCTCGATGAGTAAATGGTCAATAGAACTGCAGGGTTACTATAATCCTAATCCGATCTTATTCATTTCATTCATTCGTCATCACTTCATTTATTAAGTACAAATTTAAACGCGCATTCAAGATCCAAGTTTGGCGTGCCATTGATGTTTTAGATATTATCTCACTATAAAATCAAAGCCTTCTGTCCATTGTTGGCAGAAAAGTTCGTCAACTGCCGTATAGTTAAACGCTTTAGGAGCACGACCGCCGGTCATCCTAATGCAACCTTGAAATATTCACATGATAATCCTTCAAGTTGGTTAGCATTTGAGCAAAGCGTGTCAATGTGTGATGTGTTGTTGCATTCTCGAGGCTTATTATCGTGATATTATCATCTCTGATATACGAAATGATGGTTATCGACCTTATCTTTTGAAGTTATTTTTTACAAGAAACGTTTAGCATATAGTCATGGTTTCTTTAGCTAATGAAAGCACAATTTTTGCCCGACATGACACTGTTTGATGCACATGTACGTGTTAGGAAAAAAGACATTAGTGGTAATCGATCCGGCTAAGATAGAGCCATTAATGAAAGCGTCAGTTCTAATAATATATACTTAAACCACAAAAAAAATTGTGCTGATGGATTTGATTTGAGCAATTGGTAAACCCAGCAAGATTCCTGAAGTGGGATATGTTTTAAGTTTTTACCTTTTTATAGCAAAAGCGAAACTCAAATGAATGTCCACGACACCATCTTGAAGAAACGATCTTGTTTGCTCTACTACTTAAATTAGTTGTAGTAAAATTAAAAAAGAGGTTGAGTAAGAAAATTTTTCATCAAAAGACAGGGAAATGCATGTAATGCATGTACCTTGTTGTATAACATGGACGAGTTTTCGTCTCAATACCTTTACCACAAGGCTCGCTGCATTCTGACCACGTTTGCCAGGCGCCCCATCTGTATCTCTGAAGAAAAAAAATGTTCTAGTTTGAAAGTAAATTTTATTCTTGATCAGTCTTGTCTAGTTTTTCTAAAACCATTTACTCCTAACACCAATTATTTTTTTACGTATTTTTTTGACAGAACAATCTCAAAGATTTAGTGCATGTTCTCCGCCTGGAACAAACCCCTCGACTTTATCAATGATCAAGGTCAACAAGGTTAGTGTCTGTCACGTGAGATGCATTGTGTTTGGTATGTATGATGATTATAATTTAGTAAAACTTTAGAAAACTAACAATTAATAATCTGAAAGCTAAGGTTAGCATTGAAACTGACGTTCGTAGGTGGTAATGTAAATAAACTCTAAAAACAGAATGATTGCTTAATCAAACTGTCACATTGAGCTTGTGTGAATGATGCACCGACAATGTTCGTCTTCACTGTGTCAACAATAAGCAACATTGTCGCGTTTTTTCTTTGTACAATTTTAACACAAAAGGTACACGAATAGAGGGAAATTTAGAGCCATAATAATCTACGTAAAGAGTTTAATAGGTTATGTTGCTTGTTCGAGCAACAGAAATGTTTAATTATTCGTAGGTACACATAATACACGCTGCTGCTTTCCCAGCCTAAAATATAAATTACTCGCGACAGTTCACAGCTTGTTAGAGGCATTCTATACGAGGCTGTGCTCTGGGCTAGGACAACAAGAACAAGGAAACATTTTTAATAAAAATAATTCATTGTGGACGGAAGGTCTGAAAATCGATGATTTGACTATATGAGAACAATTCGCAGGTTACATCAATCTTAGGATATATTTTTCTAACTAACTATATATATTCCCACTAGCAAATCGCTCCATAATTTTTGGCATTGCCAAATACGGCAGTTATGAGTCTGGGTTACAAAACCTGCTTACAAAATTCACGAACAAAATGTCGACATGCTACGTTGCTCAACGAGATATTTCATTGGCTTGTTAAAAGAGTTGGTAGTTTCTTGGATTTATTTCTAGGGTAACATCTGCTTTTGAACGTCTCAACACATCTTTAAGGTAATTTAACAGTGATACGGAAAATTGGTAGGATTGTCTTAGATTACTGACATATTTTTGGTAAAAATGTTCAAGCTAAATTGTATAGCAGTGTCTATCGCACAAGTTATTGCTGTTTTAATTAGGTTTCGTTCAACAACTGCTGTCATTTAGATACTTCAAGCGAAAGTTCGCGTATAATCACTTTTACAAAGATATGTTTTGCCTTGATGCACTAAAATGATTTGGTCTCTTAATATTTTATATACTCTCTATGCATAAATGGTTCTGAACGTTCGAGAATTGTTTCAAACGCAATATTCATTAATGTGTTCAAAGGCCGTTGCCGTGATAATTGGCTGTTATTAACGTAAATCCAATCAATCAACTCGCAAAAATAGTTCTCGTGTTGGTAAACAAACATTCAGCATTTGCCGATACTTTTAATTAGGCATTAATAATGTTTCTCTCGCGTAGCTCATTTTCATTTTATTAAATAAATTGTTGCTGTGGCGAGATAGTTTTTTAGTAGATGGAATGGACTTAAATAAGTGATAAGATGTGGTGTTTTCAGAAACATTTCAGTGTTCGCAACACTGTTAGTTCAAATTAAAGCAATAACGTAATTTCAAATCAAAACAATTCTCGATCATTGACTCAGTTTTGTGATCAATGGACACTCTCAAAAAAGCGTTCAGCTACAAAAATATTCATTTATCATTATTAATTCATTACTTTATAGTGATATTGAGTTGTCTAGGAAATGAGCTCTTCTGTAGTAGTGAACGTACTTTGCGTGTTTTGTGTATATGTGTGTGTGTGCGTCTTGTGTGCTTATGATTTTCATATTTTATGAAGTTACAGCGTTTAATTTGTCTGTTGATAATTTTTGCAACTGTGAAATGTGGTTGTCTAGCATATGAGTTTGCTTTCATAAGAAGTACTCTGAGTGATTAAAGTGTTACATTATCCGGAATTAGCGCTATTGATAGATCATAATGTTGTATAAGTATAGTCTATCGATTTTTTACTAAGATCTGGATCATAAAGTAAGCATTGTGTGTGTGTTTGTGTGTTTCAAAAAGATATATCGTACAAATTCTTTTTAAAACGTTTTCTTTCTGAAACTTGTAAATCACTCATTTATGTTTTTGGCTTGCTGTTTAATAGTACTGTTATACTATCTTATGTTTAGTCTCCTTTGCTTATTAATAATGATCGTATCATTAGACGGGGAACACAATCAAAGAGTATTTGTATGATAAACTTACCTGTGTTTTTGCTACACAGTTTAAGAGTGACATGAATACAACCAACATATGGCCCCAACTCATCTTGTCATTCAGCAATGTCCAAACTGCAAAACAAAACACCGTAATATCAATGTATCTACAATATCTTAGGAACAACGGAAACATGCTTCAATGCATTCTTGGTGGTGGGTCGTTATATAGTTAAGGTGCTGTCCAATTTACAAACAGTCATCTCACCGCGGGTTAATCAAGTAATATATGTTTATAAGTTGAAAGGCTCTTTTGACAACAGACTCGTGTATCTCTCTGATATTACTCTAAGTACTTATGAGGAATTCTTTGCTCTTGAATTTTGTTCTCATTATAAATCTGTTCAATGGTATTGTGTGCACAAGTTTTGGTTTATTAAACTAGGCATCTGTATTCAGCCAAGTATTATAGTCACTTTGTATCCAGCAGCCATGTATTCATGTTCCTTATTGTTTGACTTCATGAAGAAGATTTAATTTATAAATGAGGTTATTTTAATGATATAGCTATATGCGGTTACTTTGCTATGACAATTAAAATCAAGTGCAGAAAACTAACAACTAGTTGCAACCCATTTATTCCATTCAAATTATATTTCATTAATTGTGACTTTGATGGACTTCGAAATTGCCCTTAACTATGTGTTTTTTAGCCATTGTCAACAATATTGGTTAAATCCTGTAACAGAAACTTTTTAGTTAGTACGTTTGTTGAAAACAAAAAAGTGTCCTTGCAAATATTCTTGTTGCTGCATCACTGTTTCGATTTTTTGTCTTCAATAACTATAATAAACTTACAATTAACGATAATGTTCTCTACATGCTTTCCAAAATCACGATTGTTAGTCGTTATGATGGCAAATCTTTTATAACTTTGATCTTAATTGCACGTCATGTGTTATGTGTTGCGGTGGTTAACATTTTACTCAAAGCATGCAACATTTACAATTGGCCATTCACAGTTATACATAGCAACATTGAGCTAGGAGTTGCAATCAGAAGTCGTGAAAGGTGTTTTTATCTTGAGCTTAGTAATTCTTATTTTTCATTAAATAGTTAACTGTGAAGCGCACTACCGAAATCAATGCCAACCGATCGTTGCACAAAGACGAACAAGTATCCTGCTGATCATAAGAGGTAGGAAATTCTTGTTTGCGCAGTCTTGGGTTGTTTTAACTCACATAATTTAATTTTATCATGTTTTCATGGTATTTAATGATTCTTTTCTGTTGAGAGACAAATAACTCTCGGGGGTTTCCACGGGTACGCTAACATCATGACCTCACTTCAATATGGTGCATCCAGGAACCTATTTTGCGAAGCCCTGGGCACTAGTGTTACTGAACAACGTGCAATCTTACTACGGATTAGTTTTCTTGTATTCTATACATGCTATCTGCAATGGTGATATTACTGTAAAACAAGATTTGTTCTTGATATGTTTTTTGATAAAGATACATTGACAAAAAATTGACAGGAATTGCCCAAGACATTTAAATTTCATTAGGTGTTTAAAAATAATCTGTAGCATCTATAACTAATAATGATGTCAGAGGACGTGGGTCAAGGATTTCATCCAGGGAGGGGGGCATCATTTAAAATTTTCAGTAACAAGCTATCATGCATTATGAAGGAATTATTCGAGCTCAGAAGAGGGTGCACGCCCCAGCACCCCTCTGGATCTGCCCCTTTATATTTTAGTACATGACCTGACCATAGCCTTTTTATATTTCTGAGATGTTTCACGGGATGTCCATATATTATAGGGGATGATGACATGAATTGATTTTTATGCATAGTCCAGTTCAAATACAACATATAACCGTCATTGATCTCACTGAACTTGGCTTATAGGCAAAAATTCTTTAAATAAAATTAGTCATATTTATTCGTCAGTTTGATTCCTGTTTGAATTAATATATTTAGTTTCGTGGATCTAGTTAACCTCATTTGCCATAGACATGGACTCTGCAGACTACATTAGAATGACCTGCAGTCATTTTTTTCAATGCAGTTCACTGATACAAATAAAAGTGAATACTATTTTCATGCATCTATACCCAAATATGATTTTTTGTAAAGAAAACTGTTTTCATATCTATGAGTTAGACAACCAGCGATATTTTCAGTCGTAGCAAATTGTAAAATAAAATGACAGAAAAGAAAAACGCATAAATGATTTTCAACGAGGTTTTCATTAAAGTAAGAATCCATCTAATCATAAAAATAAGAGATAGTTTTAATGTGGCCATAGATGTTTTTGTATCTCAAGAATGGTTATCATTATCATAGTTGTTGCTCAACGATGGTCACCTATCATTCATGGTGGCATAAAAAAATCTTTTTAAATACATTTTGAGCATATAGCGACAAATCTAAGATAAAAATATACATCACAGTTACAGAATGCTTGTTGTAGCTAAAGAATGATACGTTTAATGATTATTAGCGAGTGATGAGTGAGGGAAGTCTTATTATAAAGTGTGTAATCCTATGTTGAACTTTTCTTGCTCGTATTTTCTTTTTTTAAATATGATGAGGTCACGAACTTCTGTGCTAAAACTAGGCACGCGCAAGCATATTTATGGTAGGAAGCACCAGCCAGCGGTTGAACCATTGCCTAATTTGCCTATTTCAACTCGCAATTAAAACGGTCATTGTTGGTTTTACTGACTTAACAAAATCACCAAATGATCTAGCTATATATATATATTATATCTTTTATATTAAAGATTTTACGACCCTCATATCCAAACTTCGTGAGAAACTAACAGAACTTTTGTCCAATGCTCATTTAAACTTTAACAACGCATAAGAAATTATGATTGTGTAAATTCACTCTATCCTGAATGGCCTAATTAAACGTACCTTATCACACAAAATAAAGAAAACGATCGACGAGCTCATATTCCTATATCGCAGGCAGGAAACTGACTTGTTATCATCTCGTTACTCGCCTACAGGCTTTATGCTTTTGAAAACAACAAATTCTTAAATTATGAAAAATATTTTCACTATTTCCAGAGTAATGTTGCTTTTGTTTTGTAAAGTCCATTTTGTATACAGGAGGCTTACCAAGTGTCAACAGACTATCTTGACGCCAACGACCACGGCATCTAATGTGCATCTTAACCACTCTGATGACATTGTCATTGATGATACTGCTACAGTATTATGTAAAGACTGATATTCCGTTGCAGTTCAGCAAATCCCTATGCTTTTCATTAGATAGATATTTGCATGAGAAGGTGTCTTATTAATAATTGCTAGCATTAATATTCAATCAGCACTTTCTGAACACTGTGCATTCCTGAACTTGATACCGGCTTAACCTTACGATACATTTTTTATGTTTACTGATTCGCTTTCAACTTCTTAAATTTCAAATGTTAGCATGCCAGAGTCCTTATAATGTTCCAATTATTATTTTCTAATAACAGATCAGTAGAATGAAGTGAATATCGATGTTATCTAAAATAAGCCTAAATTGAAATCAAGAGGAATAAAAACTATAAAAAGTATTCTTTCTAAGTTCTAACCGTTTTCTGTTTTAAGGTTTGTTTCTTCTGTAAAGCGAACAAACTATTTTTGGTCCTTTTTTTTACGTATAGACGCATGTGATATATATATATATATATATTAAAGTGACTATAGCTAAATGAATGAACGACATCAATTGCCTACCTTTAGACTATCAACGAACTGTGTGGAGTGAATTGAATGACAAGTGGAGATATGAGTTTCATCAATTAAGGTAATGAAAGTTTTATTTTTAAAAAGCAGCTTCTGTGAATGAATAAACCGCGAAGCAGTGACATGCATTGTTGTGGACACTGCAAACTGCATGATGTATTATAAACACAACAAAAAAAAGAAAGTTCCCTCAGAGATATGTTATGGGATCATTTGTGCTTTAAAAAAAGTGGGCATCGTCTCTTGAATTCAAACACCCAATTTTCAAATTAGCATTATTACTATCATTTTTACTCGATATTCAGCAAAATTATGTATTGGTAGCTAATTTTCTTCGTGTAAAGCAATTTAAAGTTCGCCCAAATTATCGTATCAAAACAGGGAAATAGCAATTGAGCTTTAAGAGAGTATCTGAGATCTATTTTATGTATATAGCACTATTAATTTACCTAGGGGGGACTTTTTTGTATTGTGTTTAGTTGTATGTAGTATCATGTTTTACAGTTGACATGGTGAAATATTTAGTGCAATACAGGAGCACATATAAAACCATGAGTTTACTATCTAAAACTGATGCCATGCGATACCTGTTTCCTTTCCTAACCACTGAGTTATATAAAACAGATATCAGAGAATAGCCACGAGTTGAGCTTTATTTTTCACACACATCACATCAATATTTTGAAATGAACAGGCAAAAGCACGTCATAACTCCAATTGAACTTCGACAACGATACGCTTTAGTTTGATGTTCTTGCTCTACTTGCAGTAAAAAACAGCAGTCAAGGTATTTTATATAGACAATATATAATAGACAAATTAATTTTATGATGCAGAATTGAAAAGCGCAGCGAGAGGCGGCGTCTAACTTCGCTCCAATCCATCCACATACAGCAAGAATCGTATGCACGGCATGCTTTCATTGTTTATTGCTTTAATCAATAATATCATGCTGAAATTTTTCACTGTGTTTTCTCAAGACTTAAGTTTTTCATAACGGAGGTTGTGAATCACAGTCGTCTTGTTATCATGTATGTGCGAGTTGAACTAACTGGCTCAACTGTTATACATTAAACAATTAATTGAGCTCCATTCTAAAAACAAATTTTTCGTTTACCTCAACGCTATTCAGACATGTATGTACAGCTTTCTAGTTCATACAGGGCTTTGACTGAGTTACATGTTTAAGCAGGTTATGAAGATGCACTTGTTTCTTACTGCATCAATCCTGAGATATCTTGATGATGTCTGACAAGAAACCATTTACTGGATGATTGCTGGACTGAACAAATTGAAAAATTGATTTCAATATTTTAGTCTGTACGGATACAAGCTCTCACATACAATACACTTACATATAGCTAACAATTCAATATTGATTTGCAAATATCTTCAGATTGCAATCACTGCATACATCTAGACAAAACGAGCACGCTTCTATACACAAGCCAAAGCTGGTTTACGCACTTTTTTTAATCAACTATATACAGTTTTGTGATGAAATATTTTATTGAATATTATTATTAACACTAATGCAATGATGTTGGCGCCATGTTACTTTAATCCATTGATCCTTATGGAGTTAGGATGTTTGATTTCTGAATAGTTTTTCGACGATGTGGTCAGCATAATGAAATTCTCCTTATGTGGAAAGAAAACTTAACTCATTATCTAGAGGTTCTAGACGTTCTATCTAGGTTTACTTTATCATTTGGTATGACTATGTTAATGACTTAATACTCTTTGGAGTTGGAACATAAAATTGTAAAGGCTTGTTCCCAGGGCCTTGGAAATCCCCGTGCTATCTGCTCATTAAAGAGACATGTTCTGTCGTTGATGAACTTAAAATCATCTGATTGAGTTACGAAGTCCGTTTTAACATCCGGAGTATTCTGGCATTTACACCTCAAGGAAAATTATGGTTGAGGTATGGCTCTTTTACAAAAATCTTCGATTATTCATTCATAGCTCTTCTGTGAAGAAACAAAACTGGATGACGTCAGGTGCTGCCATGGTTACACCAAGGAATGTGTTAACAAAGTACACATACACAATATTGGCACCATGGAAACGTGATAATCGTTTGAGTGTGTGAATCTAAGACGTAAATGGTGAAATTGAGCGATTTCTCATCCAATGTTACATGGGAAAGTGTATTTGTCAACTCTGTTCTTGTGGGTAAGTGTTAAATCTTAGATATATAAGAGTGTATTGCATTCTTCATTCAAAATTTGTGATTTCTCAGCATACATAATAGATGAAATATAAGTTCATTTAAATTTGTGTACTGTGTACATAATGCCCATAGACAACGTAGAGCTAATTCATAAGAGGATTGCTTTTGCAAATCACGCTTAGTCTGTCTACCTAAATTATTTGAAAAACATTTAACTTGTACTCTACTAATGATTCATCAGTTTTAACTTTATATGATAACTCATTCTTGACTTTGTTCATCTCATTTTACTGTAATTCGATGCATACATTTTTTATTTCGTGATTTGCAATGGTAAAAAATAGATTCTGATTTTTCGTCATTAGGCGTCATCGTTGCCCACATACACTTGGTCAGGAGAACAGAGTAATCAACAAAGATCCTAAAAACAAATGCAATGTAACTGAATATCGTGGACGTTACAATCAAATCACTACTAGACGTGGTCCCTTTCCAAAGCCAATCGACAAAATACGCTACGATGGTCCCACTAGTACCCAAACTACCAACGCAGAATCTTACGTCACGCACGAAGTGAAAGTTCCCAAAGCAAAAGAACCTGAAAAGTTTATACCCAATCCGTATCGTTTTGATGCGATTTCCGAACATCATGACCACTACAGGGAGTTGAATGGTATTCCAGCTAAGATTCCTCCGTATCTGAAATCAACGACATTTCGTAAGCCTTCTACTAAAGGAAAATACATATCTACGAAACAAGAAGATTTCAAGGCTTGGTCCACACCTGCGCGTCCAGCGATAGTTCATAGGGGGCATTCCTACAGACCACCAAGCAAGCCGTTTCAAGAAACCTCTCTACATCGACAGGATTTCAAACAGTTTTACCAAGCACCAAACCCTAGTGCAAGGCCACCGGACAAAATTGATTTTGGAGAAAAAACTGATTTTCAAACTACAACGCAAAGTTTCCATAAGCCTTTGAAGGTGATAGTATCACATTTTTTACACAGCGAGTAACTTGTTCTTTTTGTGTCCACGTTATACCCTTGTGTCCCTGCTCTGTCCTTTCTGTATTCTTGTGTCCTTGTTGTACGCCGTGTTCTTGCTTTCTACTTGTCTTTGTCGTTGGTAGAAATTTTAAGACATGTTTAGACATAATTGAGGTCAAGTTAAATACACATGAAATCAATTCTATTTGCATAAGTTGTAACTTAGTCACTTTCTTGAATTTTTTTACTATATGCTTTCAACTCTGTTTACAAGACACTAAAATTTTCTATGTTCTAATCGTACTATTATTTAAGGTATCACCTGTGAGACCCATAGAACAGCGTCAAGAAATGGAGTTACCTCCCAAGTCTGCTTTCACTAAAAAATCCGTGTTCAAAGCAGATTTCGTCGATCACAGAACCAACAAGTCAGCTCGTATATTCAAACCAGAAAGCCATTTGTTTCAAACTCCACAGTTGATGCAATTGCAAACAACGCAGGCTGATTCTTACAAGGTCTGGCCAATACCATCAAGGCAACGAAAAGCCCCCGACATATATGTCAAGCCTGAGGGAGAGATGATTATCATGCCTGTTTCACGTGATTATTCCGATCACAGAGAAACTGGAATTCCAGCAAGATCAGCTCGACCTCGCACCAAGATTCAGCGAGGTCGAGAATTCCCATTCAATTCAACTACGAGCTACTCGACTGAATACCAAAAACATACCACGTCCCCCCTGATTGTGAACTTGAAGCAAAATGCACGCGAGTGCAATGAAATATTTCCTACCTCCTCGAACGATGCCATCGTAACATCTGAATTTTTGGATAAATACAAAAGGCACGATGTCCCCCCGGTTAGGAAGTTTAAGGAAGACAGCCACCTGTTTAAAACATCCGCTAGTTTTACGGATACGACGCTATATAAGGATCATTTTAAGGGAGAGCGGATTAAATGTCCCACAGAGGCTTTACTACGTAACAAAGAATTGTTTGCTTTGAGCCACGTCAACGAAGAAGGTCACAGAATTTACGAGATGAATAATCAGACACCAGATTCTCTTCCACAGGAAGTTTTTGCTGCGTAATTATTTTATCAATGTTTTGAATGCATAGTAGCTACAAACATGTTCGAAAAGTTTTGTTTTTAGTCAAGATAGAAAGAAATTTAAATTTCATCCATCTTTTTTTGAAAGGCGTTCTTCCTTGTTCTTCTCAATTGAATACAACATAAGAAAATAGCATAATCCTTTATCCATTAACAATAAACAATAATAACCTTATCTAAAAACATTTGAATGTTAAAAAAACTACTTCGTCGAAAAGTTAATTGAAGAACATGAATCTGGCTTTATGCTAAAGATGCTCTGATTGCTCTCAGCCAATAAAAAGCGCTGTTTGAATGACGTCGTTGGAATCACGTCGTTCAATAATCTGAAAAAAGCCAAAGTTTTTTTTGTTGATCTAGAAGCCAATTATAAGAAAACCTAAGAAATTATGTAAACATTTCCTTTTCCGTTTTTCCTTCGTTAAAATGTTTTTCAATTTATTGTGTTTCAAACAAACAAAAACCGAGCGTGTAAGTGACGAGTTGATAAAATGTCTATTATTTAGTTGGTATTTCCAGGACATTAGCTTTGAGCAAGATTATTACAATCTTTGTTGCGAAATCTTCATGAGAAATTGACCCACCCACTCTTTCTCATTATCTGTCCCCCTTTTCCATCATATTTTTGCCAGGAATCGGGCGTTATATCAATAGGCGTTATTATCTGATTGTATTTGAGTCTCGTTGGCATTGGGGTCAAGCCACAGTGGGTCAAGCTCAATGGCCAAGCCGCCTCATGAATCTCTCATTTCCGGCTAGGTAAAATTACATGAAGACGCGATGAAAGCATGTTGCAATGGTTTCATTTAAAACTCCACCTTCGTGCATTCTCGTCACACAGTCATTCTTACAGTCGTGCAACAACCACGCGATGTTAATGATTAAAGACTTGTAACTGGTTTGTGAATATCGTCAGAGCTTTGAAACAAAAGCTGTAAGTGAAGACTCCTTCATTACATCGTCTAGTGTTATAATTAGCACGTTGGTAATCTTTGTTTATGTAACCTAGTGTGTTTAACACTCTCCAATTGATTAAACAACAGGGGAAAATGAGATGGAAAGACAAAGTCGTCACTTTTCTGTGCGCTGCGTTTCTTCAGGTAAAATTGAATTCCTACGATGCCATACCTCTGTGATCAAAGGTTATATCACATCGGAAAGGTTATATGTGATTTCTTCGCGTTGCAACCCTCTAGGAATTGCCATGGAGTTCACTGCATGATTTCTGTTCACTGTTTCGTCGACTATTTAAAAGTCAGCGTCAAGTCGTGATTTCGTCATATGCATGTATGCGCGGTCATTATTGGTGACATTAGATTTCTCTTTTCGGATGTCCATATGAACTCAATATCATAAATTCTTCATTTTATTTGCATTTGGCAATAGCGTGCGAAGTAAGTTAGATCGTGACTCAATCGTCCACATTCAACATAACGAAATATTGTTAGTCGTTGTATAACATGATTAAAAATGAGCAACGTCTATGTCTATCTCACAAATCTTTCATCATCCTGTGGTAAATATAGACTATTTCTATCTTCATGATTGGTGTGACTAAACAAATTACTAAGGAATCTTTACAGCCTCCGCAGTTATTTCTTAAACTATCAAGAATGTGAGGCAATCATGACTTGTTTTATAACATTGATTTTCTTTATTTTCGATTGTGAACTATGAAGTGCATTCTCGAACGCGCGGTCAATTTAAATTGCTTTCTTTCTTCAATATCTGTTGTACTTGGTGTTAGGTGAACAGGCAGAAGGAAGTGGGTTTGGTTTGACTGCTGGGAACATGCACATATTGATGTGAAATTTGTTTTTTCCCATGACATTTCTTTTCAAGTTTTTCGTTGTCCGCTAAAAAATTATTTGAAAACGTTTGAAATAGCTGAAATCGTTGCGTTTTTATGTTGATTGGTTTATGTTGCCTCAGATTTAGCATAAAATGCGCTAATATGCTGCTTGTTTTTGTAAGCCTTTACCATACTTGGACAAACAAAACAAACAAGCATGGAGATAAATAGCTTTATATAAACATCATTTGGGTGGAAATCTGAGCCATGTTTGCTTGGCAGATTCTTCTAGATAGTGCTGATGAAAAATATTCCTCGCAAAAATACCATATTGGTAATAATGTGGGTTTTTAACTTCTATTTTGCTATTTAGAGATTCCGGAAAAGTTTTGTCCTGACCGGAAGTTTATAATTCTTTCATTATTTGATGATGATTAGGCTCATTAACAGCGTTCAGTAATGATTGATACTTCGCGGGTCCCAAGCTCATTTAAAATTTCTAACTATCCACTGACAGACAGCGCATTTGAATGATGTTTACACTAAAATCAAGACTTTCATTAAATGATTAACCATGTTAAACATGTGCTACGCTCACACAACATGTCGCACAAAGTTCGAACAACAAAAAAACAAAACCAAAATCATCGTTAATGTGGTCTTTCTGTTTTTCGTTAGGTAACCACCATGACAAACACTAAGTTTAAAGGTATGTCCTACTTTCAAGTTTCAATTGATTAATTTCATCATTGCAAGTTGAAGCACCAAGTTGAAAGATCAATAGAATTTCGAATTTCAGAGAAATTAGTCTCTATGTATATTTTAGATAAAGTTAATTCATCTGCTTTAAAAGATGGTGAATTTGTCAAGATAACTGATTGCTCTAAGCCAGTGTTTCTCAGAGCTGGTTTGAACGCGACTGTATACTGTAATGCGACCGTCATTCTTGACTGTAATGTAAATGGTAAAAAACTAAATTTAACCACATGGTTTTCCATGGGTGAAAAACTTGCTGGTGGCGAAGATGGTAGGCTCGTTATAAATGTCTTTGACGGTGGCGATGGGATGTACACTTGCATTAGTCAGAAGAATGATACAAACATTAGTACAACCACATTTATCAAACACAAAGGTACGATTGAAGATCATTAATTTGTTGTAGTAGTAATCATATAGAAGTAAAGCCTTAGTAAATATAAAGGAGTACCTGCTTTACCGACGTTCGACGATTTACACAGCTTAAAAACAACAAAATGTTTACATCATGTATTCGTTGTTATATTAATAGTTAAATTGCCAATGCTACACGATTGTGAGGACAATGTCCAGCTTATAAGAATTAGTTTTTGTTTTGATAATAATTAAGTCGATAACGTTATTAGTTTCCCTTGGTATTCACCAGTTTCCTTCCTCGACATAATGAAAATCATTAGTTTCCCATTAATATATATTATGTTTATCCCTCTTAAGTTTTTTTCTCTATCTATAATTGCAACTAATATTAACTCGGTTTCTTTTTCTTCACGCCATCATGATCAATGTCTACGTTCGTGCTTTAGCTCCTCGTGTTCCGACAATTCATGGTGATACAAAGAGTCTAATATTCACGGCTGACTTTAAGATTTTCCCCGTGATAGTTGGTAGTAATGTAACGGCTTATGGAAAATGTCTGTTGAAGATTGTTTGCAATGTAAGTGGTGATCCACGACCTTTCATCATGTGGAGTAAAAGTGGTGGCAAAATAGAGAGAAAATTCATCCGCGGAGAGAACCTCTTGCTGCCTCGTAATGTTGCCTCATCTGGAAGATATATTTGCAAGGCTGTAAATGCTTTTGGATTTGCTGAATTGACGTCTGATATACGTTTTGTTGGTTGGTTTTTTTATCATGCTGAAAGGAGAGATTAATTTTTTACACGAATAACTGACAGATTAATTTATTTGTTTAGAACCCATTCCTCCAAATATTTTGGCCTCGAAAGAAATTAAAACTGCGGTTCATGGCGAAGACAATGTGGGGCTCACAATTGGAGATGACGTAACCACTATAGCTGGAACTGATGTCTTAATCAGATGCTCAACCAGAGGTAAACCTATGCCAAAGCTGTCTTGGCTTTACAACGGTCGTCCTTGCATCCACTGTGTGCCAAATCAGAAAATGAACAGTTATGAATTTCCATTAAATAAAAGAGCTATTCAGTCGAATCAGAGTGGAAACTACACGTGTGTAGCTACCAATGCTTTTGGGGCCTCGTCAGTTTCCTCGCATGTCGAAGTGATTGGTGGGTTTATTGTTATAATTACATTGCTTGTAAAAGAATAAATTCATTATAGTCTTCTCTTTACTCCTTCACATGTTCCCTGTAGAACCTATGATACCCTACATCAATAGCTCATCAGAAGACTTAGTCGTTTATGATATGTCATTTCCGATACTAAAAATGATTGGTGGAAGCATCACAACGATCGTGGGATGCTCTTTTATATTGCAATGTCAATTCAGAGGTGTTCCCAGACCTAAGATCACGTGGAAAAAGGGAAATCTACGGATGGTCTCTAGCAAGAGAATCAATTTTTTCGAGAATCGTGTTGAGGTGCGTGGAAGTATGATGTCAGATACAGGATGGTACTCGTGCACTGCTTCTAACGGCGCTGGTACAGTGACGAGATCAACTTTCGTCAAGTTATTGGGTATGTTGCCTGTTCAGAAATATTTTAGAGTATAATCCTTTCTAAAAACGCATTCAACTCTCGAATATATTTATTATAACAGTACCAACCAAACCTCGTATCAGTGTGACAAAATTTTACAAACCATTCCTTGCCAACGACAAACCCACCCCACTGCACATCGGAGTCGGAATCAACTTGGTCATTATGGCGTACAGAGAACTCACACTCTACTGCCGAGCCAGAGGTTTTCCACCTCCCGTTGTGTCATGGGAGAAAAATGGCTTTCCATTGCAGTATAATGAAAATGTTGTTGTAAGTCGTGGAGGTTCTAAACTGGTGTTTCGACGATTGTTGCCGTCACAAAGTGGTAACTATACATGCATTGCATCTAATGCTGCAGGTGAAGATAGAAGGAAAACTGAACTTACATCTTTAGGTTGGTATCAGTCATATTGAAATTGGGGGAAATTGCTTCACATGAATAAATCCCCCTAATTTTTGTATTTTTCTTTTTGTCATTTGAATTGATGAATATGCTCTTTACTCTAGCTCCATACAAGGCCAAACTAATTATAAAAAAATCAGTGTCTCAAAGTTTTCAGCTTTCCCCTCCAAATGGCAACATTCGTTCATCTTTGCAGCAAGAACAGTCGTATTTATCTGTACAATCTACGGTTACTCTTGAATGTATTGCCAAAAAAAGCTATCCCGAAGTTCGTTTTCAGTGGTTTAAAGATAATCGACTCGAAAGAAGACGTACAATAGAAGTTCCTAATAAGTCAAAACTGGTATTACAAAATGTAACAAAAAGCGATGAAGGATTATACAAATGTGTTGCTAAAAACTATCTTGAACGCCACGAAAAGACCATCCGGATCATTTTAAGAGGTGCTAGTGGATCTTTTTTTATCACTTTGGCGGTATAGTTCAAATTCATTTTTTCATGTTTTTAGATCGAAACAGATACATTAAGAATGAATTCATTCCAAGAGATAGATAGATGACCATGCAAAGAAAAACTTTATAAAACACTATCTTATTTCGATAGAAATATTTAGAAAAGCTTGACTTAAGTTTGTTTTGTATTATATGAGATATAGTAAATTTTAAAACATTTACATTTGTGGTGTTGTTGTCGATGAATGTATTTACTTTTTTGCCTCCTTCATCTCCGCTTTTGCTTCTTCTTTTGTGTTTTTATTCTGCAAACATTATGCTAGCTTAGCACGAAGCTGGTATTAATATATCTGTTGTATACAGTGTACTGACGAATTCAGTGACGAGTATTCAACTAATTACCACAGCCAAAAATCATTTGTGCCTACTTTTCTGTGTAGTTTTTGGTATTCATGCCTTTTTTTTTCTCTCTGAGTTGACGCAGAGGTAGACACGAAGGTAGATACAAATGTAGACAAAAAGGTAGACATCATGGTAGACACAAAGGTAGACATAAAGATTGACACAGAGGTAGACACAAAGGTGGACATAAAGGTAGAGTAGACACAAAGGTCGACATAAAGGTAGACATAAATTTACACCCATGTCTTACGTGTTGAGCCTGGTTCACACGAGTGAAATAGAAAAACTAAGAACAAGAAATGAAACAAAGGCAATCAGCGAAGAATATGAAATAGTCATTTATACAAGCGCAAGTATAAGAAAAATAGCAGTACATGATTTAAAAAAAGAACAAAAAAAGATTTAAATAAAAATCCCAATTTCTTTGTCTTCGTAAACCTCTAAGGTAAAAGAAATAAAAGTGTTATCGTTCAAGCTTATGATCAGACACGTGTGAACCAAGCACAAGGTTATGTCTAAATAATTAACATCAAAGCCTATAAAAGTACCGCTAAATTCAGACTTGTGAATTAATACAGCAGCAAGTGCAATCGCTGAGAGAGTGAGAAACGGAAGTACACAAGAAAAAGAAATTTCTATGAAATGATTTCTTTTTAATTGATGCTCCTTGTCCAGATGTTGGTGGAAAGACTAGAAGTTGTAAACATGTCATTGGCTTACTATCGAACTACAAAGATTGTCAAAGGAACAATGTGAACGATCTAGTTTGTTTTTTTATATTTGTTGTAGTTTGATGAAACAGCTATAGCTTTGATATAATTCATGATGAAATAGTTACAGCTGTAGTACAATTTACAATGATAAAATAATTGCAGCTGAAGTGAATTTATAATTTGTCTTTCCCACTATACAGAATTTCGTGCACAACTCAATCAACAACACGCAAAAGAAATTCAAAGGTGGAAATGCCAAAGTAAAGGAGGCTGCCAAGAAACAACGATATCAGACTTTATATTGTATGAGTGAAGAAGAATTTTTTAGAACTGCTAAAGAAATGTTGAAGGTAAAAATTTTGGTTGGAGTGAAGGGTTTTGTACATCGTAAAATTTGTTCAAATGCTATGTTCAGAGGGTACAAAAAGTATCATTAATTTATTTTTTTACTCAAGAATGCTAAAATGCGAAAAATGTCAAACGACGAAAAAGATGTGACAAAGAATAATGCGAAGAAGGAACAACAAAGGTTTTGTTTTTCTTCGCATATTTTGATATTATGTAACTTTTTCGGTCGAAGGCAAAATTTGTTCCTGACAAGCAATCTTATGACTTTGGCGAAACTAAAGTAATGGGTGCGATACGGCCCCCAAAAAAGAACGCTCATACAGCAAAAACTATGAGTTCTTCCAATTTATCAGTTGATGAAATTCTGCATTTGTTTGAACTATCAGGCAACGATCATGTTCATTCGCTGGAGGAAGGAATTTCCATGACGTTCGCAACTGATGAGAACCCAAATAATTTAGAAAATTGCGGTAAAGTCATTAAAGGTATAGAATAGAATCAAATTTCTAAATCTGTTGATAGTTTTGAAGCATTTCTCGATGGGATGATGTGAATATAAGGTTAATTATGCATGTCGTGGAGCTTGACACTTTCAGCCATTAAGATCAAACTTCATAACAACAATAGCAATAAATGAAAATTCAGTCAGGTGCAAGAATAATCATTGTTATAAAGACAGAAAATTTTGTAGTGTAGGATTAATCTGTTTTCGTTTATGCATGCATAATAATGCATGTAAGAACATAAATTCCACTTATAAATCTACCGAGATTAAATTTGAACAGAAACGGCAGCAGCAAGTGCAATGGCAAGGATAAAAGGGCGAGACCACGTTAACGTTTATGTTGTGGGAGAATTATTCGGTCACTGGAAGGGATTCTCAACGTGAATTGAACGTAAGTTATTAACTATCAAAGCGGAATTACCACGAGTTAACGACGTCTACTAGACAAACCAAATGTCAATGGATATATCGGACCAAATCTAAGCATTTGATAAGCATACAGTTTGTACCGAAGCTATGGAATTGAGTGATAGCGTAACGCAACAAACAAGAGCGCCGTGAAGACTATGCAGATTGGTTTCTTATACAACATCCAATTTCCTCAACACAATGTTTAGAGATAATATGACTGCGTTGTCAAATATTCGGTGATATGTTATAAGTGTCATACACCATTCTTCACTTGCAATTCAGACATGTTGGTGGCCTGATACAAAAGAATATTTCATCAAAGTTATCGTTGGCACCAGCCGACGTGGGCGAGCAAAATTGTTTCGCAAATCTCAAGACAACGGTTGCAAGTCAAGAATTGAAATGAAGGAGGATATGACTCGTGAAAGCGACATTCCTAGAGAATACACCTCAAAATCAGAACGATAGGAAAATTCATTTCCTATGTATATTATATAAAAGCTAAAAGAAGACAAGTTATCGGCTGCTTTAAAGCCTCTACCAACGTCAAGCCAGAAATATGTCATCCTCATATTTAACTACGACAAGTGCCATTGAGTTAATAAAGCTAATATCGACAGCAGCTGCTGAAAAAATATGCATTGCTTAGCCGAAAGGAAACGTGCTGCTTTTGAAAGACTTACTTGTCTCTATATTTTTTAACAGAAGACATAAGTAACTATAGATGTTTTGCTAATGTATCACCAAACTAACATTAATATAAATGTATTTATTTGTACTACTCTTTCACTCTTTCTATCAACACTCCTTCTTCGTGTAATTTTTACGAATATGATTTTTGGTTTGTTGCTTTATCTTTAGTTAGAAGTATTCTGCTATGATTTTGATTCGAGACCTTCAATGGTCTATTTTTTTTTTGCATTAAATACTTTAAGGTAGGAGTGGCAATTTAAAATGATCAGGTGTCTTCAACGAACTCTCTGGTCTAGTGGATAGACACAACCTTTCGAGGTTGAGAGTGGAGGTTCGAACCCTGTCTAGGATAAGATGTTGTTAGGCTGTAGGATGATCTGAAAGATGCGAAAATAGTGCTGGTTAATAGAACAAAACTGAGATTTCTATTACTAAACTTTTCAAGAATGGAATGCGACACTTAGTATAAATTCAGAAAAATTCGCTCTCCGATGAGAAGGAGGAAGGAGGAGAGCGAAGAAAAAAAAAGATAGGATCCCATGCAAAAAACCACTCTTAAAAAAACTAAGTCTTTTGCTCAAATTTTTTTATGACTCCCTGTGATCAGGGAGTTATTTTTTTAAATTTTGAAAAGTCAGGAAACCCAAGAGCAAACAGAACGCCCTAATCATCCCTTTCTTATCTCCAGGCACTCGTTCCTCAGTTCGACTTTCTGTCTTCCACATCCACCGCGTACACCTGCCAAGTGTGTTGGCAGAGGGGCGAACCAAGGATCTTGTCCACCGGAGGTCATTGATGTCGAACTAAGCGCCCAACATCGGCCAGTTGAGCTAAGCGCTCATCATCGAAAACTGTATGTTTTTTGGCGTATTTGCTAAATTTCTTCAATGTGAAGCGAAAGAAAAGGTCTTCAACCTTAGAAGGTCTTGAACCCGAGAAGGTGAGATCACTGCACCAGCATCTTTACCACTCGGCCAGACAGGTGAATTGACAAAACCATTAAAACATGTCAAGTGCTTCTGACAAAACAACATTGCCTTCTTTTCTCTGAGACTCATATTTTATACTGTGTTTAACTTGTCCTTCGTCGCCATCATTGCAACGGTGAAGAAAGGGACTTGCAACGCATTTTAGCTGTCCAACTCTAATATTGTTTGGAAAATAAATGTTATAACAAAAAGGAGAAAGACCAATAAAGTATGCACATTGTCAGACATTGCCATGTGGTGAATCAAAACAATGCACATGTTCGTAGTCGATTTAATGGCGCTGGGAGTTTCTAACTTGTCTGTTCAAAGTTAAATAACATATTTTTTACCACCATGCATGATAATATTGTAATGGTTTCTACAAAAGCATATGGTTCCTACAGAACAGAATCACTTACTAATTCATAGGAGTTGTCGACAAGTCTTTTGTCATTTTAAAATCTTGCCATGTCTTTAGTGTCATCATTTCAAATATAGTCAATGTAATGTAATAGAGTTTATGATTACGACGCCCCATACACATATGTCACAACATATAGAGAGCCGTTTTTGCTTGTTACTAACGTGATTTTACTTTGGGTATTTGTTCTCTACATCTGGGCACACCTTACCTTAACATTGGTATGTCTAAATTAAACAAGAACAGAAATTCTAACAGTCTCAATCTACTCGTGTTTCCTCAAATGGATCGGGAATCCAACCCAATAACCATACAATCCTTACTGCAGGTCCCAGGCATGGCCACCCTTTTTTGTTATTCTTTAGAGTGATTCTCTAAAGATGAGGGAAACCGGCGTATCGCCGGAGGAAACCCCTCAGAGATCCAACAAGCCACAAAAGCCAGTCGGTGGATGCACATTACTTGGGATCACCTTATCTATTTTTAATAGTTACCTTTACAAAAAGATTGTTTACATTTTTAAGGCCTTAATTATGTTTGCAAAATTTCTTATACTGTCTTTATCTTTATAAGGTTGTTGACAGAGGTGTCGTATTGGCAATATGCACCCTTCATACTTGGAAAAAAATGAAACCGGCTCCTTTTTACGTCATTTGTAGGACGTACGCCATTTTTTGATCACTTTTTTAAACCGCTTTTAACTGCACTATTTTTTTCTCATGTTTACAAAATTTATTATACTGCCTACATCGTGTTCTATTGGCAATATGCACCCTTCATACTTGGAAAAAACCGAAACCGGCTCCTTTTTTACGTCATTTGTAGGACGTACGCCATTTTTTGACCGCTTTTAGTTGCACTATTTTTTCTCATGTTTACAAAATTTATTATACTGCCTCCATCTTTACAAGGTTGTTGACAGAGGTGTCCTATTGGCAATATGCACCCTTCATACTTGGAAAAAACCGAAACCGGCTCCTTTTTTACGTCATTTGTAGGACGTACGACATTTTTTGACCGCTTTTAGCTGCGCTATTTTTTCCTTAACGCATTCCTAGCTAACCCTGTTGATCAGTGGCATGAAATAACCGATTTGAATATCTACCTACGAACTATTCTGCACAAGAATAAGTAAACCATACCTTTGAACGATGAGACACCTGTAAAGCAACGTTAGTACCCGAGCGGAAAGAAAACTTAACGGATAGGGAACCGCCACCCTGGGCCCTTATACTTTACCAAACGGCGTGCCAACCAATCCTTCTTGTGTCCAACACTCGATCACCTAGGTACCATCATGGCACCGTTTACGATTATTCCTACCTGGAACTACATTAAATGTATCGGATAAGTGTGTCTTGCTGTCTATCAAATCATCTTCCATGCATAAAATAGATGAAGATGTTCGATTTGATTTCGAGACGAGCTAACCCAATACATCCTGAATAATTAAACTATATTCCTTCTCTGAATTATTTTCTTCAAGTTAAATAACAGTGAGTTAATTAACTTGGACATGCCACTGTCATAACATTGATTTTGACAGCTATTTAGCAAAAACAATGCCGGGTTTCATGCACCTATTATTCTGTTTCGTTTTTATTAGACCAACTTTGCATATTCGTCTTGATGATGCAAATCAATCATTTTTTTTCTAAAAATATTTTTAAGCACTTTGACTTGTTTTTATTCATTTTCATTTAAGCGTCTGGGGAACATTTCAAATTTTGCATGGTTCAAAATTTAAACAATTCGAACTAAACTTACAAATTATTTATAAAGCATCATCAAGCAAGAATATTTCAAGCGTTTATAACTTACGATTAATTTAATTTTGCGCTATGCAGATTGCATGCCGGATTGTGCCATGTTTCGGTCCGAAATTTTTTACTATTTTAACGTGCAATCTGTGATTCAGATTTCGCCATTTTTTGGACCGTAATTTTCTAGTTTGATAACTAAATATACATATGATTCAGTTTTAAGAAGTATAATATACGAGATAATACACACGACCAAAACTCAAAGAAACCCATGCTTATTTCCTTGAACTTAGGATCGTGTATCCTGGTGATCAAAAGAACGAAAAACTTATAAAAACCGACATAAGACATACATATTTTACCTTGTACAATGATAATCTTACATTATACGACAGTTTGATTTGATAAAAGTTTTCGACAATATAAGATGCATCATCGTTTCCAGACAATGTTTCAACCGCAAAATGCACTGCATCACATGCACAAAACTAACAAGAATCAAAAGAGCAACTAACTTTGTTATACACTCAGCCAATGATCAATCATCTTCCTGTTAGTGTAGATCACCAGGATGTTAACTAAAACACTATAAACCTGTCACCTTAAACGTCATCTTTGGTCTTCATTCGTAGATTAACGTAATCCCCAAATGATAAATCCATATTAGTTCCATAAAATCCACGACAACCATAATGTAATCCACGACAGCCACGAATTAATCTACGATGACCAAAATGTGATCAACATGGACTATGATTGTGATCAACGACGACTGTTATTGTGATCAACGACAAACATGATGCGTGTTCTTTCTTACTATAAAACAAATGAAAGAATCAAGTTTGCACTAACGTTTTCAAACTTACGAAAAATACTGTTATCATTGATAAAAACTTGGAAACAAAACCGTTATACAAATTAATCAAAGAGCCTCTTATCAAACTTAATTAATGCTGTCCATCGTTATTGTGAAAACTTGTAACGGTCTATGCAATTTTATAACAACAAACAATCCTCCAAACCATTTTAACGATATTTTTAGATAGAAAATATTTTTGAAAAAATTTTGCTTAATTGCAATTATTTGAAAATTTCGCTTTTAGCGTGGAAAATCCCTATTTACGGCATAGTTGTGTGTCCATAATGAAAGCCAAAGCAACTGCAACGATTGGTCGATAAGAATAAATACTCGTGAATCACCTGTAGATTCGTCACCATAAGCAACCAACTGCTTCCTCAAACTTTCAGCAGTTTTGAAGGTGGTTTAGTTTACGAAGTGGAAATTTCTGAAATTTAATGTTGGGAAATTGAAAAAATTCACACCTGCGTTGAAGTTTCCGCGCAATATTTGGATGTACTGTGATTGAATATCTTTAGCGCTCCCATGTCATGCAGCTTTACAGATGTCCTGATTCGTAATTAGACATACCACCATAATTTATGAAAGCGTGTGTTTTCAAATTGATTTTGACGTGAAGAACACTAGCCAACTTTGTTTTACAGCAAAATCAATTTTTATAGTTGATCACCAGGACATTACACCATTGCTTTTGAAACGTCCTTTTCAGTCGTCATTCGTAGATTCACGATGTAATCCACGACAACGATGTAATCCACCATAGCCAGGATGTAAGCCACGACAACCACGATGTAATCCACCTAAGCCACGATGCAAGCCAAAACAACCACGTTGTAATCAAGGATAACCACGATGTAATCCACAACAACCATGATGTAACTCGCAAAAACCATGATGTAATTAATCGATAGAAAATACCATCATTAAAACATTCCTTTACTAGAAAACAAAGAAAGGCTTAAAGTAGCATGAAGGTCATTCAAAATGACAAAAAAAGAACGTCATTTTTAGTACTAAAGCGTCTAAGCAAACTTCGTTTAGGCATTAGCATTGTCCACAGGTTTTCTGCACACTTCTTTAAAATTTAAAATCAGTATTTTGAAATTCAAAATCAAAAACATGATCAAGAAACAACATTTTAAACAATTTTTGTGCTAGCACTATGTTTCCTCTATTTAGCACTCAAATAGAGGTTTATTTTATTTTTCAACTAATCAAGTGGGGCTAACAAGATGCCATGGCTAGATAAATTTCAGTTCAAATTCGGAAGAAAGTTTGAATAAAAGCTTAAACATATGATGAATAATTTTGTTTGAAGTTCTGACACAAAGCAAGTAACTATTTTGACTTTTATATATGTAAAAATAAATTGTTTGTTTGTATCAACAAAGATAGCCTAATTTGCATGTGTAGTTTGTTATGAATTCATCAAGAGATTGACCTCCCGGTGATTTTTAATTCACTGATAGTGGGGAATAAATAGAGGGTGAGGGTTTATTGTTTCGCTATATTTAGAGCTGGCGATAAATAGGGGTGAATGAGAGTTGAAGGTAAATGACGGTGGGAGATGAATGAGGGTGGGGATGAATAAGTGTTTGGGAAAATGAGGGTTAGAGGTAGATAACGGAAGGGAGTAGATGAGGGTGAGATGTAAATTAGGGTAGGGGGTGAATGAGGGTTGAAGGGGAAATAAACGACATGTACCGTAATGATCATCTATAAAAGATATTTGCAAGAAAATATACCTGTATATACCTGTATTATACCTGTATATTCGCAGTCATAAGCATCCAACTGCCTCTCCTAAACTTTCAGCAGTGGTGAAGTTTTTGAAGGAAAATTTCTGAAATCAAAAATTATTAAAACATTATTAGCTACATTCATCCACCTGAAACGATAATTTGTTTCCTACTGATTATCAGATTTCTTTGTATCAATAATCACTTACAAAAATAAATGTGATGTGCGTAGTCAAGTGAATGGATGATTTGTAGCCATAGTGAATTTGAAGCTCATCGCTGGCTTCTTATTTAAAACTTTCACACAATATCATCACCATGATCATCTTTTGTAATTCCATCATGTAGCATAACAAATAACAGTTGGACAAAGCACCATAATTCGTGATATCATAAGCATGCTTTTTCTGAAATGCAGAGAGCACTCTATCAAGTTAACTTTAATGCATTCGTGCATCATAAATTTTCATCTTACCTGACATCCATCCTTCATTTTTCGCCCACTGCAGCATCTCTACAGATATACTTGTGCACACTTAGTCGAAAATCACGTGCCAGTCGAAAACAATGACAAAGACAACTTTTCAAAGCTAGGTTATTCATGCATGTTAGTCGAAACTACGTTGGTCAATAGCTTGTTGAGTTAAGATAAGTTATAAAAGACAATAAAGTCACGTCATTTCCTTTACAAAATGCAACTCACAAACAGAATTCAACATGTAAAAAATGATTACACCTGCTACCAGAAGTCTTCAAAAGTCATGCATGTACTTCAGTGCCGTGCAACATATTTACAAATATTAATGTAGAGCTCGTGACATCTTTATCCTGCGTCAGTTCGTCTTGTTATTTTTTCTAAGATTGCTGTTCCTTTTTTCCAAAGATTGCTGTCATCTTTTCGCATTATAGCATATTTTTCTTCACAAGATTTCTAACATCTAAATCTTTGAACTCTTCGTTTTTCTTCCTCTTTTTGGATGGTTTTCTTTATGATCTAAATCTATCTGACACCCTTACGCATTCATAGCAGTCAAAAAAAAAGGAAAAAACGCTGTACTTGACAGAAGTCTCTAAAAAACTCAAACAACGGAAACAGTTGACCTTCCAAGAATCAGTCATCATCCGTTAGAACGGAACGCTCGAATGAAGTACCTCAACAACGGAAGACGCCGCGTTCGCAAGAATGAAGTTTCTCGACAACGGAAGACGCTGCGTTCGCAAGAATGAAGTGCCTCGACAACGGAAAACGCCGCGTTTGCAAGATTGAAGTGCCTCGACAACGGAAGACGCTGCGTTCGCAAGAATGAAGTGCCTCAACAACGGAAAACGCCGCGTTTGCAAGATTGAAGTGCCTCGACAACGGAAAACGCTGCGTTCGCAAGAATGAAGTGCCTCGACAACGGAAGACGCTGCGTTCGCAAGAATGAAGTGCCTCGACAACGGAAGACGCTGATTTTCCAAGAATCGATGAAGTGCCTCAACAACCTAAGACATTGCCCTCTTAAGATGTGATAAACGTCCCAAACAACGAAATGGGCTGCGCCCTTGAAGGAATTGGTAAACTTTCCAAACAAAAGAAGAAACTGTGCTGTAATTACAGGCTCATAAACGTTCCATTAATCTCACTTATTCTCTTTTTCTTGTCAAATAATGAATTTGCTTTGCTTGAAGTGGTTTATCTTCGAAATAATGGTAACACTTGTGGGGCTTTTGCTACAGATCTGGATTTCTTGCAGATATAATTTCTTGAACTTCAAGAAATTATAGCTCTCTATGAAGAAAAAAGTTCAATAAACTAAACTTTTTTCTTAATAGAGAGCTTTTACAACAATACTTTTACTTACATTTCTAATTAATTATTAAATGAATAGTGGACAAATGAAGACTTCAAGTTGCTGATGTATGATTAAGTATGATATTTACTTTTGTTTCATAAATAAATTTCTTGAAAGAATGGAGTCGTCTAGACTTCTTCATTTTCTTTTAAACGCCGATTTCATATCGATCGTTCACAGCAACACTTTTGACTTATTGTCGCTTAATCCTTACCCTAAACTCAACAGTACTTTGTTTTAAAATGTACAAAACATTTGATTGATTGATTGATTGATTAAACTTTATTAAAAGAGGGTAACACGTGACACAACAAGTGTGAAAAACTTGTGGCCCTCAACATTTACTTTTCATTCATGAATATAGATTTCTTCAAATGAAGGCTTCTTTTTATATCTTATACATTTCAATAGAAGGAAGTGTTATAGACTTCTTTGTAGGCCATCGAACGTCTATTTCTCATAGATCGTTCACACCAATTGATTTGACTAACTTATCAAAATAGTAGACAAATGAAAACTTAAGCTGGCAGTATGGACAAGTACAACATGTACACTACATTCACTTTTGTTTCACGAACATCTTTTTTTAAACGAATCAGTGTTTCCTTTGATCCCTTACACATTTCGAATGCAGGAAGTCATTTAGACTCCTTTGATTGCCATTGAACGTCATTTCCGATAGATCGTTGACAACAAGTGTTTGATTTATTGTCTAATTCAGGGGTCTCCAAACTTTACAGCCAGAGGGCCACATGAACTTTCATCAAGCATGTTGAGGGCCGACGAACCGTATACCGCTGGTCAAAGAACAAATATTTTAATAAAACGAAGTACATTACACAAGCTTCATTAGTTAAGAAAATATTTATTCAAAATTTAAAGGTTAAATTTCAATGAAGAGTAATATCATTACAAAATCACAATTAGTCTGTTCAGTTTTGTCAATGTGAGTGGTGAAATTGGCTTTCTTAAGTGTCTCTGCGGGCCGGATTGAGAGGCCCAACGGGCCGCATCTGGCCCGCGGGCCGTAGTTTGGAGACCCCTGGTCTAATTGTTTCTACAATAAACTTAACCGCTTTTTGTTTTAAAATGGCACTCATATATACTTGCAGTAAACATGAACACAATGATTGTATATTAAAAGTATTAAGACAAATTTGTTCGTGCAAAGTTTTGAAAGAGAAGCCGGAATATTTTTCAATGTGTGCACAAGTAAATCTATAAAAATAATCTCAGTCTGATCGTCTTTTTCAAATATGTAACCTATTTATTTGAATTAAATGAAACGAGTTAATTTTTTGTTTCCACCCATTTGACGTTGTAGAATGTTATAAGATAAAAGTATTTTCATATAAAACAATTTGGGCAATCAATGAGAGTTCTAACGATAATTTTGAGTTTCCTACCTTACTTCTTTCAGGTTCTTTTACATGTCTTTCCATAATTATTCGCTTTATACTTGTTTCAAATTTTCACTTTAGGATAAGAATTGGGTTGCATTCTTCTCTAAAAATAATCCACAGCTTTTCAATGATAACCTGTACTCAAGTACAGAAGCAAACATTACTATCTTTCATTACATCTTTTAATCAAGTTATTCCAAAGTCTAGATGAAAGGTTTTGACTTCAACCCACTTCTTCCGAAGTTTTTTTAGGTGTTTACAGTGAAAAATTTGATTTTTATAGTCAAGCTGGTCAGTTTTGCATAATTCGTGCTCAGTGCTCTTCATTTTCACGCGGAACAAAATTCGCGCCAATTTTATTGAAAGTCCAAGGTCCAACATGAACCTAGATTTTCATATTTCAAAAATATCTCAAATTTTCGCTCAAAAAAGCACTCTTTATTTAGAAAAATCAACCCAAGGAACAAGAAGTACCCTCCTTGTCGTTCATTTTGCCACATTATTACTTTTCACTAAAAATTTGTTCATATTTTTGTGTTGAAACGGAGAAAGACGTTCGTGGCGCAAGTTCGTCGCTGAAAAAATATCCGATTCAAATATACACGTTAAAAGCAAAAATATTCAACAAAACTTCACTTCAAAGTATTCAAAACACTAGCAGTCAGCAACACTATTAAGTAAAATGAAAAGAAAGATTTTGAAGCATACAAACTTGCCGTTTTCATACTGACAAAGTCCTTTTGACAAGAAAACACGTCGGCGAAGACATGCAGTCAAACGGCGAAAAGCACAAAAATAACCGACGAAAAGATTTACAAGTAAAGCAGAACGTATGTATACATCAAACAAGGCTTTTGTGATCGAATTTATCCGGACATTTGAACTTTAAAGTATACTTTTTTTAATAATGAATTAAATTTCACAAACGTACCTTTCACTTTCGAGTCTCGAGGGCATCTAGCTGTCTAAAATGATTGACGTGTATTAAGATCATTTGGTGGCCTGATTTCATTGGCTTATTTCGATGAACTTCCAACGTTGTTACTGGTTACGTTTTTTTCAGCTCTGATTGGCTAAAGTATGAAATAATTTATTCAAGATTTTGATCCCATTTGAGAAGATGGTATTCTGTGCTTTTTATTCACATTTTTCTTTGAAATGAAGATAGTTAAAAAGAAAAAAAATTTTTCTGTTTTCATCATAAGCAAATATACTAGTGAAAGTTTAAGTACAGATAATTGTTTTTTATTGGGCTTATAAGAATTTCCGTATATTTGCATTGGACATGACGATGAACAAGAAGATCCATGTACAAATGCTATAAGAGGATATATCTGACAAGAACAGATCTTCTGACTATGATCAAAAGTTGAGTATCCTGCATTCTTATTTTTATGTATTACTTGTGAATGAAAACAATTGATTTCTAAATGAAATAAATAATGATAATTTGTCAAACAAAAACATGTCCACTGATCACCTGTTTAGAGATTCTTTTGTGATGTTTAGTGATTATCAATATGTTAGGTTATTTGATTATAAGAAAATATCATTCTATGAAGATTAATTAAAAACTTGGGTTCACTAGTACACAAATTACAAATATAAGAATGACCAATCTTGCCACGACTTTTCAAGCTCAAATAACAGCTATAAGAATGACTCATATTGTTGATGACTTTTTGTAATCCCAAGTATTGAATGCCCAGAGTAAAATCATGTTACTATTTTAAAAAATAAAGAAAAATAAATTTCTAGTTTAACATAAATTTATGTATATATGTATGTTTATGTATGACGTCATGTAAATTGTGAAAAAACAAACCTGCGTACAAAAGGAAATTTTGGAAGAAAAACTTCCACTTGAAAAATAATTTTGTATCATTCACTCCCTCCTGAGGTGCATCTGGTTTCTAATTAAGCGTACAAAAGTCAATACAAAAACAACCAACAAACACAAACCGGGATGCCCAAACCTTAAAGATGTGCTTTAGCGTTTTATGGAAAAGACACTCACTAATACGAAGTAAATGTACGGTAAACAATTTTTTACTATGTTTAAAGAACAATTTAAATTAAAAACAGCGTTCTTGCGTCTCTCCTTTAGGACGAGAAATCTGATTTTGAAAGTGAAGAGGAAACAATCACCACAAGAGATTTGCAAGAAGATTCAAAGTATAGTCTGCAAACTCTGTATTTACAGATGGAGTATTGTGAGAAGAGTACTCTAAGGAATGTTACTGACGAGGGATAGCGAAAAACAATACGTAACCATGCATCCAACAAGGCTTATGCCATCGAATTTATCGACATTTGATTTTTTTCAAATATTTCACTAAAATTTCACAAACTTACCTCTGTCCCACTGTCGAGTCTTGGGGCATCTACGACATTCATGCATTGAAGAAAATGCTTGAATAGAAGTTTCAAAATTAGTTAACGTCGGTTAAATGCTCATAGTTTCGGTCAGATGTTTGCAGCGAATCAATGAAAATTTTATTCAATTCAATAACAACACATCTACAAATCTGTGTGCTTAATATTTATCCTTGAACTCTTTTCATTTCCATTTGCAGCAGAAATGTCTTCATTATCATTTGCTTCCTGACTATCATCATTACGTTGGTCAATTTCACTGTGCCCTTTGTTGTTTTCACCAGTTTTTTTCTTCTCTTTTCTTCTTTCATCATCTTCGTCCTCGTTCCTTCTTTCATCATCTTCGTCCTCGTTCCTTCTTTCATCATCTTCGTCCTCGTTCCTTCTTTCACCGTCTTCGTCCTCGTTCCTTCTTTCACCGTCTTCGTCCTCGTTCCTTCTTTCATCATCTTCATCCTCATTCCTTCTTTCATCATCTTCATCCTCATTCCTTCTTTCCTCATCTTCCTCTTCATCATCATCAACGGGAAACAATTTCAGCAATTTCTGTTCAATTTCTTCCATAGGGGCATCCATTACTTCTTTAGGAGAGAGAAGATAATCTTTATCGATGTCCATCTCAGTGAACGTTTTCTCTAGCTGAAAAAAAATCAAGTCATTTTTTTAAACACTTCATTTGCAATAGTGCAAAATTTACAAACGATAATACCACTTGACGTCCTTCCTGTGCAATCTTTTCACTTCGCCACACGTTCTGTATCAGAAAGAAAGTGGAAAAAATCAATGTATACGTCACACAGTCTTAGAAATGCATATGCTACACAAAAATGTGTTCAGGAACCACTGAGTATTTTAGTAAAGTGAGTAACAACAGGCACCTCTACATAACGTGAGAATTTACATTCAACGTTTTGACTTTATTCAGTCATCATCAAGAATGACTATATTACGTGCCTATGCAGTACGTATATACTCGATATTATTTGATATACATATAGTCAACAAAAGACAGATTAGTTCTCTCAAAGCTTTAGAAGCATTCTTCATTCGTAGGAAAAAATCGGAACTTAATCATAGCACTAAAGCTTCGAGAGGCCTGTCTTCTGTTAACTACATTAAATTACTTATTACATGTGTATACATATTGAATACACGTGTAATATAATCTTTCATGATGATGATGACTAAATAAAGTCGAAACGTTGAATGAAAATGCTTACGGTATTTGGAGGTACCCTTTGTTATGAATATGAACACAGTTGCCAACTTTGGGATATATTACACAAGACATTGCTATGATCAATAGCAACCATATTTCTGTTTCACAGCTCAAATATTTTGTGTAAATTCACTGGAAAAACAATGATCGAAATCAATTTATAAAGAAATCACTAATAATTTTGTTGAAAAATTTGCATTGTAGGATTTAATGTTTAGGCCATATTGTTGGTGTGAAGCAAAAGAAAATTATATTTTATGGTCATCTTATTGATACATAAACATAGTTAGCCAAAAGTTGGGGAATATTTATTAAATGAGAGAAATTATCGGTTAGATCATGAGATTTTGGTAAAATCCCTGGTTACAATAAATTCATCACCATGAAAAATAGCAAGTAGAACCATGTATGGAAATTAGAAGAATGCTGGCTTTTTATACATATGGAAGCAATGGCACCCCATAGCTGTTCATAAATATGTATTGTTGCAGAAAGATCATACTGACAGTAATATGAATCATTCTAAAAAATTGTTTTCATTTGTATTTGACTGTGGTAAAAAGAATATGCATACAATAACCTGCATAATCTGTATAAATTGTTGTGTATTCACTGACTTATCTTCCATTTCATCAATTACAAGCAGTCTAAATCAATAGGTATTGCAATTGTCAAACTAGGCAATATACAAATTACAAACACAGCCCACACTTCATGTATACCTCAAGTTAGGTCCAATCAGTTCATTGACTTCAAATTGTGAAAGAGAAGCAAATTCATCAGCGGCCTTTTTTTGGCAATCAGTTGCATTAAATTTAAGTCTATGGGCAAACCAAATGTTTATCGCTAAATTTCTAGGTCCATATGAGCGCACTTGATGAAACCACCTTGAAGATAAAAAAATGAATGACATATCCATTGATGATTGTGGGGGCAATATTTACATATACATGTTATAATCTGCAAAAACCCACAATTGATTACAAAGAAACTTAACACCAACAGTATACCATGAATATACAAATATTGCTCTCTATAGATGACTATGCTACTCACTAACACATTTTACACTAAGAAAATTGCTTAAGGCATTTTTTCCTTAATTCATCAACAAATTAACTTGTGCCACATTTCACTTTTTTGTAAGTTTTTACCTATAAGGAATGTACAAGCAGTCTCCAGGCTTCATAAATGCTTTATACCAAGGAACATCTGCCAATCCTGAGTATTTTTTCAGATCTACCTTGTCCACATCAACATTTGAGAATGATCCACTTGGGTTATCAACCAATATGTGTTTGTGTTCTCTCTAATCAAGATTAAAAAGATGCCCATGGCAGGTTACAAGCCAAAATGAAAATTTCAATGATGATAAAAATTTATATTTTCTACCTTATCTACCATAAACAATTCTTTAGTGCCACTCATTAAACAATTTATATTATCAATTGCATCAAAGTGCAGAACTGATTTTGTACCACCATTGCTAAACCACATTACGCTGTCCTGAATTTCATTTGTGAAACCTCCACATAAGAGACATTTTAAAAGATAGACATCTTCTACAAGGAAACACATACACAGACAAATTTAAAATTTATCTCTGTAGGTGGCAAAAATTCTAGGCAAAATTTTGGTCAATGCTCCCTTTGAATTTCTAAGTCAATGTATTTGAAGCTAGATTTGCCAGATATTACCATAAGTAGCGTGAGCAGCCTGCAGATCTGAGCTCATTTTTTAGAAATCCATTATTCTCAATCACGGTCAGTGAACACAAGCATATTTGCATAGCAGGAGTAAAACTCAGGCTTGCTATGCTATTGACAATGAGAGTAATCAGTAGACAGTTCTGACTATAGGAACTTTTTACTGGGAAATGCAAAATACTCAGCTAGGTTGCCAACCCCTAACAAAATCCATCGCTATGAGCACAGTGTGTGTGCAAAATTTAGTTAGTTCTTAATGGAATCAAGGCAACAATTTACAAGCACTCATAAAACATACCGCTCATTGCTTTGGGCAGAGAGGCAACCATATAAATATCTTTGCTTTTATAGGAATTAAGAAAGTCACTAAGCGGCATGTTGAACAGTTCTTTGGATCGATTCTCTTTTTTTCCTTCTTCCACATCAAATTTCAAACCTCCAAACTTCTTTCTAACACAATGGTCAGCAAAATGAAGGTTTTTAAAACTATGACTAGACAATAATTTAATATATGTCCAGTCAGTAGCAGAGCAAGGCCACAAGTTTTGGTCCTGCTATGTAAATTTCAGATCATATCGTTATCCATTTCATTAGAAATGTATTACAATGAACACAAAAAATGCATAGCAGAAACAGATTGGAAAATTCATAGCCTGGCTGCACTGCTGTATCAAGAAGCTTTGAGCATGTACCTCATATATTCATCTGTCCATTTTTCATAAGCTGGGCTATTTAATGCTGCACCTTTGAATAAAACTGGTTTTCCAGGTTGAACATATTTATAGAAGAACTCCTCGGGCGACGGAACCTCGTCAATAGCCAACACATCACCAATGGGTGCAATTTGTGAGCCAAGGGGTTTTAAATGTCCATTAAGATTTTCGTCGCCACTATTGGATGAAATCAGCAGATGTAATAGTAGAAAGCCAAACAAGAACATAGCCACTAACTCTTCAAAAATCTAAAATATAGGTAAAGTTTGCTAAAATTCAGTATATAACTAGTATCTATAACAAAGTCATCCCCTGAATGGCCAAATTGTCGAATGAACTGGGTTCATAAGCAAAACCTAAAGTTGTAAATTGTTTATATAACTTATTGTGTCACCAAAACATATTGTGATATATAGTTAATGTGCATTTTTCATCAAGTTTATCGTTAGGAATTCACTTACCTTCTTCCAAAAATTACATTGTTCAAACTCTGAAACAATAATTATACGTGTCAAACCCACTAAATGTAAATGAAATTAATATGCTAAGTGTTTGAAGAACAGGAAGCATTGTGAAAAGGACGCTATGAAATTTTAATATCTTTCAATGATGGTCTTCCTTTCGAAAATAAAATTCCAACGCTTTTGGTTTTTGTAAAAGTTTCCAGCATATGCCACATGGTTATTATAAATTATTTGAATTTTGAATTTATAATTTAATTATGATGATTAATATTGAAGACACATGCCCAAAATTTATAATATTACTACATTATTACCAGGGGCCGGTTACACGAAGCCTGGATAGCATTATCCATTCGATAGCAATTTTTTTAAAACTTTTATAAAACCTTTTAACAAGCAAAAAATATAAGATTTGAATTGAGAAACCACTGAAATAAAATATTGTTTCGAAGGTTACGAAATTTCTTTGTCGTATGAAAAATATAAACACCTTTTTTATAAGTTTAAAACTTTTTGCTATCCAATGGATAACGCTATCCTGGCTTTGTGCAACTGGCACCAGGAATTTAAATTGATCATGTCGCAAGTATGTGAGCACCTAACCACAGCATCACAGTATAGGAACAAACAGTAGTCCCACTCAATAGAAATTTTTGTGTGTAACGCATGTGGCGGTATCCAGTAAATTTGTATTTTTTGGAGCGATGAGGTGGCTAGCCGCAGCCAGTAATCTAATTAAATACACAGCACCAAGTTACACAGTGAAGTGAGACTACTGTATGTTTCTATACTGTGGCGGAATGCTAAACTGTAGTAAAAGCAGCTCTATTTCCATTTCTGCATTTTAAGACTGTTCTTTCAAAATTCAACTTGGGGGAGGGAGCACTTGAGGCGAGAGACCCATGCATCACAACCAATTATGGGAAGTACAGCACATGCCGCCCCTTGGCAAGGCCACAGATAAGCAGGAGTATAAATAAAGTGGCATTTCAAGTTACAATTCCCACTACTCTTCCTCATCAACGCTTTCACCTTGTTTCAATTTTGCAATGATCTGCAACGGTTAAAAATAAAACATTATTATTTGAAGCTGATGTGAAATAAAAAAACAACGCCTGCAACAAAAGAGAAAAACGACAACGATAAACACCGATGAAAAAGAGAAATCTTACTCCTTTGAGTCGAACAATTTCCTTGTTTTCAGCATTCTTAGAAGCATCGTTTGTAATCAATTTGACTCGAGAGGCGTAACTGTGAACATAGCAAAATATACAAGAAGTTTATTCAACTATACGCTGCCAGTAGCAGAGCCAGCACTCTAATTAAGTCCTGCTATTTTTCTTTTTTCACTCACAGAGCAAACTGAAATTTTTAAAGCCTGACTAAAACTTGTAGGCTGGCAACGCCACTGAAGGTTGCCTATATATTTCACCTATATATTTGAGATATCAAAGCAAGTACTTGAAAGCACAAATTACTAACGTGAGCGAGGTCACAGTCTCATCTGTATTATAATCTGCTGGCGAAATGTTTACAAACATAAGGGTTTTTGCATTTCCACCTGTTGAAACAGACAATAGAGTATTTTTTTCGTATAAGTCTTCAACAGTTATCTTTCTTATTAAAACACTGTACCTAACGAATCCTGCATCAACATGGTTAGCTTGTTGTTTCTGTAAGGTATGAATGATTGCTCGCTAGACAAGGCAGAAATTACATCTCCCAATGCGCTTAGACTTTTGTTGATACTTTGTGCTTCCTAATGCAAAACAAATTGATATAAAAAGTAGCTATCCCTTTCCTCGAAAGCATCAAATATTTTTTCCTCAATGATGATTGTTGAAATGATTGTTGAGATGATTGCTTCGTGTTGTTTGATGATTTTACATGGTTACCTTTAGCTGTTCAGCACTAGCTTGTGTCTTTGATGCTCTCTCGGAGCCTGCTAAATCCACCAAGCTGAGCTATATGTATAAGATATGATTGTTCAATATTCTAAACCACTTATTGGTCGCCAGTATTCACCCATTTTTACTCTCACTTTCTATTTAATTTTGGTGGCTTGCATTTACCTTGCCTTTAAGAACTGACCCAGTCGTTTTGTTGGTACTTTCGATGATTATACTCAAAATTAGATGTGATCTTGAGCTTTCTGAATTCATTTCTACAACAGATTATAAAATTGGGTTAGATTCATGTTAGAGAGCTTCTACAACATACACAATGGTTTGATATTCAATTATAGCTACTACGCTCACAATTCCTAACAATCTAAGTTCCCTAAATGTCTATGTTGTGACTATAAAACACATTGAAAAATGGATGTGTTAACCTTACTTGTTGATGCAACATGTCGATTCTCGGAACCTTTCTCAAATATTTGGTACAGAGATTTTGCATCACCTGCATCAAGAACATTTGCTCCGTGGACAAATACCAAACCCTGACAAAAAAATCAAAAGATTTTGCTCACTGATGACGTACGTAGGCTGTCTGAAATTTTAAGGAAAAATTTCAAATTACCTTTTTGTCTTTCTTAATGTCCAATCTCACCTGTATTTTATCAAGGAAGCAAAATTCAGTGTGATTCATTTACAATATGACTCACTAAAAGAATTTTTAAATTGAATCGTCAACTTTCAAAGGATACGTCTGAAGTATGACTTTCTGCCAGCAGATCAATCAGACGATCGTTGTACAACTCCATCATGTAGACCGAAATCTTAAAAGTGAACTTTCCTCTATAATAAGAAGTAGTAGATATGCTTTCAGTCTTTCTGGCCCAGACAGGATGAAGATATCAAAAAGCAAGGTATTCACTTGTTTTCATTAATAACGTGAAATATCCTTTCCATAGCTCTTGGTGCGATACCGGGAAACTTCTGCTCTTTATCACCTATCATTGTGAAAGTATGATTTATTAAGGAAACATGCATACTTCCTTTCCGTGCGCCTTCTCTGTGGAGAAAAATTTTTATTAAAAAGGATATGTTTTCCCAGATCCTGTTTGACCATAAGCGAAAATGCAAACATTGTAGCCATCCACAGCCGATTGTACAAGATTCTATGGAAACAACAACACAAAATCTTGAGAACAAAATCTGCTCGGTATTCAACATTTGAAGTTGGATAAACACGTTCACATACATGAGTGTCTTCAAATACTTTCTCTTGACTGCTTTCCTCAGTGAAAACTTGATCGAACTGAAATTCCTTTGTGCCTCTGCCGGTATCGACGGAGATGCTGTACTCATCTGGCGATCTGATCACAGAATGATTGCCCTGAAACAGCAAGTATACGTTATTTTGAAAGAGGATTATGATTTTAAGCGAATCATTTTATCTTACCCTCTCAAGTTCAGAACGACTAAGTGGTCTCGATCGACAATACACACGAATCTTTCCTTTCATATCCTCCACCATGTTGTAGTACTTCTTGCGAAGAATACGCTCGCTGTTGTAGTTTTCAGACAAAGTTTTGTTTTCTTCGTGCAATCGCTTTACTTCACCTGTTAAATCATGAACCTTTTCTTGAGCAATAAGTCCTTCCTATAATGATAAAACTTCACTCTCGCTTATTAAGAAAACACTTCGAAACGCCGGTTGTATAGTATACCTTTGCAGCCACTCCAAGTTTCAATAGTTCAGCTTTGTCACTTTTGTTCTCGGCTGATAAAGAGTCGAATCTCTAAGAAAAAAGTAGTCGATACCTTACCGAAAAATAGTTCATGTGATTATCATTAAATATCTCATTCTGTTTCACCTTCTTCAATTCTACATGTTCTTCCTCAAGTTTGCTAAACTTTTCAATATGTTTTTCGTTCTTTTTCTTCTCCATTTCAAATTGTTTCGATAGATCTAATCCAAAAGAGAAAACTCTGCTTAAACGAACCCGTAAAATATATTCTACGTATATAAACATATAAAATATATGTGTAACATTACCTTTCAACTGCTTTTCGTTCTTCTTTGCAGCTGTTCTCTACAATATAAAAACAACAATTAAAAATGGATATCTTTTAGTGTAAAGGTTTTCGTAAAATGGTCTCAGCTTACATCTTCAGCACCTCCAGCAGCCTGCTTCGATCTGGCTTCTTTTAAATCTTTCTCCAATGCCTTAATTTTCTGGCTGTCTTCCTGTACAGCACAGAATACAATGATAAACATACAAATAGCTACCAATTCTTACTCAAAAAATCTAAAAGCAATAGAATACCTGTGCAGACTTTTTTAATGCCTCTACTTGACCATGTAATTTTTCTTTCTCTCTTTGGACTTTCTCTTCCTCACGTGCGTCCTATAAATTAAAATGAATAATCTTCGAAAGCAAAAATCGTCATGAAAAATAAAAAATTCTTGCCTTCCTCTGCATGGGTGTTGTGACCACCTTTTGAGATGCAGCAGACTCGGCGACCTTGATCTGGCAAAAATTTTAAAAATCACGCGTTTTCAAAAGAATAATCGCGTTGCAAACTACATGTAATCCACTTACCTTTAACTGTAAACTCTTCAGCTTTTTGTTATGTTCCTCAACCAACTTTTTGTGCTTGCTTTCAGTTTGATGCGACAAATCCTTCATTCTCTCCTCCATTTCATTTCGTACTTTTTTGCTATGCTCCTGCACCACGTGATCAAATATCATTTTTCTCACACATTTTAACAAGATACAAAAAAATTTTTGTTCCATGTATCAACTGAAAACGGCAATTACCTGTAGGTCTTCGTTCGTCTGTTTCGTTGCATCGATGGTGTTGTTCAAAGAATCTATTTTTGCACTGAGCTCTTTATTATTGGCTTGCAGGAGCAATACGTTTTTAGCCATGTCAACCTTTTCAACTTCGATAGCATTCTTAAAGAAAAAAAAAAGCCTACAAATACATGTAGAGACAATTTTAACATAGATTTTAACACGTACTATTTTCGCTTGATGTTTTTCAAGCTCTTTGCGAACATCTAAAGGGACATTCTCAAGCAACTGTTTTTCCAACTCAGCAATTCTCTCTTTGGAGCTTTTCAATCGCTAGAAAAAAGTAATGGAACAATGATTAATGTAATAAAAAATATGAATTTAATTCGTTTTTCAACCTCTTCTTGCACATTTAACTCTCCCTCTAAAGTCTGTTTGGTTGAGGATAATTTTGCTTTAAGTTCGTCAATCTCGTTGTTGGAACGAATTTGAATGTTGCTTATCTCCTAAATGAAACCAGACAACTTTTCTTGCAAACCCTTAGAAAGTATTTGAAAACCAACAAAGCTTACGATCTTCAATTTTTCAATTTCCTCAAGAAGATCGCCGTTTCTTGATTTTTCAAGGTCTTTATCTTTTTGGGATTGCGTTAACGCAGTTCTCAGTTCTTCTATACGTGCGTTCAACTCCTTGAAAATAAAACCGAGTTACGTACTGTTTAATGTATTCAACTGTCAAAGCAATTGAGTTAACTGAATCATTGGATTACTAACCTCACATGGCACTTCCTCTGATGAGCTACGAGTGATTTCAGATAAACTTTGTCTCAATCCGTCCATTTCTATTTTCATCTCTTCAACTTTGTCATCGGATTCATTCAGTTTTGATTGAGCGACTTCATGTTCGATACATGTTTTACGAAGTTCAAAGCTGATTTTGTCTCGTTCTTCTTCAGTCAGTCTTAGCTTTTCTTCTAATGCTTCAATTTCGTTTCTTGTCCCACCAGCTAGGTAAAGATACTCAAATATTTTCGTGGCACAAAGTTATCTACAGTAACTAGGCATCGGTTAAACTACATTTTTCATGCAATATACTCTTTTTTTAATATTAATTTCAACCAATAAAAGTTTTGAAGAAATGGACTTGCCACAAGCAACGTGCTTTAACATTGTTACCAATAAATATTAGCAGTACCTGGCCCGGGCAATGTGTCGGGCACAGTCCCCTTCTTTAGCATCGTCATAACAGCTATTTTTGTTTCAGTTTCATTCACTTTTGCCTCTTCTTCAGCGAGTTGATCAAGCAACTGTGTGTACTCTTCGCTAAGAAGAAGAGAAAGTGATAGCTACGTATAGTTTCTGCAATAATTCTCCTTCATATACGTAACTGATATAAAATAACAATTAGCAACAAAATAAATGTGACGAAAGCTAAACTTCTCAGGTGATTTAATGCTTTTCATTGTCCATCTTACCCGACTTCCTCATCGTCGCCCTCTTTTTTATGTTTCTCTTTTAGAGTCTCCAACTCCGTTCTTAACTTCTCTATTTCATCAAGATGACCAGTTTTCTCCTCCACAGCTTTTTTCAGATCTTTTTCCGTTTGCTCTTCATCCTGCTTTGACGAAACTGCCGACAAAAGTCCTTCTAACTGCATACGCAGCGCTTCAGATCGCTGCCTGGAGAATGTAAGGTCCTGAACATGTGAAACGGAAACAAGTCTTACAAAATTATCCCACTGCACTTACTTGCCAAACTATCGCATCACAATGAAGAAATGCCCCGCACTTACCTGCTTAAATACAAAAAGTTTTGCTTCGTATTTTTCCTTCTCTGCCATCAATGTTTTAATTTGATCTTCTAATGCAATAATACTTTCATTCTTTTTTGCCATTTCCTCTTTTAAATTGTTCAGTTTTTCTTTTTCAGACAGATTCATTTGTTGTTTAGAAGGAATGGCAGCGACATCAATTGGTAGCTTTAAATCATCATCTCTCTCCTCGGATGATGTCTGAATTGGTTCATCCACTTCCATCGTGTTAACGGCCGACATCCTTGTTTTCAAAAAGAACAAAACAAAATAGTTAAAACATCATCAGGAAAAAAGTAAAATGTGAGCATAATCTTACGATTTAACATTTTTCACTTCTGTTTTCAAGTATTCATTCTGCTTTTTTACTTTTGCCAGCTCAGGTTTTATCGACTCGATTTCTGTTAATTGCAATTCTGCAACTCTGCTCTCCAACTCTTTCTTTTCTTTAGCTAAACTTTCCCTCATTTTATTCTTTTCCGTTTCATTCAAATCAACTTGACATTTCAACTCTGAAATATCTTTATTGTAAGCATCTTTGATACTAATTATTTCATTTTCGGACGCCTTTTTCATTTCTGTCATTTCTTCAGCATGCTGCCTGCTGCTTTTGTCGCACATTTCACGTAATTTAGAAATCTCCTCTTGAAGTTCGCGATTCTCTTCCATTCGTGAATGCAGTTGGTCCTTAACTTCAATCCAAAAGGTGCATGAAATTTGACTTGTTGAAAAGCTCAGTTTTAATTAATGATTTACCTTCAAGATATTTTGCTTGTTTCTTATCCAATGTATTTGTAAGATTCTTGATTATGAAAATCTGCTCATAGAATTACATCAGTAGGAAATTGGAAGGTCCCACACATTAAAAAAATTTACCATTAAAAGTAAGATCATACCTTCTCCATTTCAATACGTGAAAAATCTTCTTTGTTCTTTAATAAAAGCTGTCTCTTCTCTTCCAGAAGAGCCTTGTTTCTTTCTTTCAAACTCTATGCAAATTCATAAGATATTCCATTTTTTAGAATCAAGTTGCAAAGCAACAATTGAGATCTCTGGTACAGCACCTCATAGCTTCTCTTCCAGAAGTTCTCTTTCTTCTCCAAATCTGCTTGATAGAACTCAATCACTTGACGAAATGTTGCAATCTTTGAATTATATTGATCACGAATTGTGATCACAAATTGATTAAACTGTCCTTGGCTGTCCTTCTCTATTAACTTATATTGCTCTTCTATCTGACCAACAATCTTTAAATGACGCCCTTTCATTCGCTTCATGTCATCTATGACCTATTCATAATCAAAGAAAATTTTAGTGTCAACCATAGTGATCAAATACTGCTGCATGTAAGTTGGGAAATCCTGTTGGATGAACACCTTTTGAAGACAGTCCTTAGCATAAATCAATGGAATATATGCATTTTGCTCTCCTTCTGACTCAGGTAATGCCAAAATACCACTTGATTCTGAAGATACTGTACTGTTATCTGTCAAAATATTACAACAATACTTATTTTCAACAATCTGGTGATGATTGCTGAATTGTCATAACTAACCATGGTAATCAACACTAGAGCTTGCCACATGGCCAGAATTGTTATCTTTATAGTCTTCCATCTGAGTTATGAGAATAAAATATTTTGTTAAAACCTCTTGCTATAATTGAGTAAGTCTTCTTTACTGCGACAAATACCTCAGAAATGAAGGGTTTCACAGTTGTACTTTTTGCAAATGGCTTCTTCAACAATGATATCCTACTTCCAGTGGTGCTTTTAATTCCTCATCAATATCTGAAGCTTGAGTGTTGTCATTCATATAGCCTTTATTTCTATATATAAACATTGTTTAGAAAACACATATTACAACAACAAAGAATAAATCATAAAGATCACACACAGTTATATTGATTGATTATAGTCAATACATTATACACTAAATGTTCATATAGAATATGCTTACAATAAAAATTCTTTATGAATTGTATTACCATACTACATACATGAAAACTGAGGAGTTAACGTCCACATCTTTGGCTGGACTATCAATGACACCATGTTTGTTTTTCCCTCTTGATTCTTTGTGATCCTTACTAATCAGTTGAGTTTGAGATGATTGCTCTGAGGGTGCTTCTTCCCAGGCAACTATTTAAAGTACTTTAAACAAATGAATATTTCATCAATTATCTTATATTGATGTGACTGACATCACCTTTTGCTGATAGACTTTCAGGTGTCCCAAGACGTCCTTCCAAGATCTCACTACTGACAGGACTAACTGTATTTCTTTTGATCTTTTCTTTACGTGAATTCTCTGAGTTCGTTTCACTTTCATCATTGCCATTTCTTATGCTGACAACTGTCCCATGCGTAGAATTTACATCAGATGTACTACTTTTGGGAAAAGTTCCACCAAAATCGGTGTTATCAAATGTTTTTTCAGCTTCTTTTACTGAAATCAAACTACTTTTAAACCGTTCGCTTCCTGACTGGCTGTCAGAATCACTCCATGCTACAAAAAAAGTTAAATTGTATTTAAAAACAACATACAACACATAGAGTGTGCATATTACTACAAGAAAGATGCCCAATGACCTCATTACCTTGATCTTTCAGTTCAATTTCTTCAGATGAGTTTGCTGGAGAGTGCTTCTTTGAGGGGAAAACCTTTGGATTACGTGTTGCCATCATATTGAAATTTCTTTACTACGATGTGTTGTAGGTTTTATTCTTTTCTCTACCTTCATAAATATGTCATGATGTAAAGATTACTCCTAAATACCTGTGTAACCAAGACAAACATGAACCTAAAGTCTTTGTATATCAACATCGACCAAGGTTTTCATCGTGAGGGAGCCATCCAGGTTGACGATTATTGTGTTATTTTAACGTCTTCACGAAAAAAATTGATAGTTTTCATAGCTCAAAAAATCAAATGTTTTTAATTTTTCTGTTGCATAGCGACCCCTCGGACTTGCGCAAATCGCATGGTTATTAGAACATGAGAGTGACTTGAGGAAGACTTTGGAAAGCAACTGCATGTGCTATTATTATATCGACATCAATTTTTCTTCCTTATTTTTCTATCTTAATTTTCTTTTTCTGGTTATTCCTTTCTTTTCCTCTTTTTTTCTTCCTGTTGGTCTTTTTTCATTTTGTTTACTCTACCTTCTATTTATTCCCGATTATATAACTTACTTTTTGTTCTAATAACTTTTTCTAATTGTTAATAATTTTTTATTTGTAGATGCATTTCATTATGAGACTGGTTTTATTTTTGTGCTCTCATAAATAAGAAAATATTCATAAAATGTCTGAAATACTTGCCGATTTAAAGTGGCATTCTTTTACCATATTAGGAATGAATTGTGATTGGCGGAGAGGTCGAATGAAATCATTCATTGGGGGAGTTAACCGGAAGTAGTGATGTTAATGCAAGACATAAAACATTTTCATTTCGCTTTTGCAAGAAGCAGTTTTGTCTCCAGAACCGTCTGTCGCCCTAATCACAATCTTACTTTTTTCTGTCACTAAAATAACAAGATTTAACAATGGAAGCCGTTAAAAAGAAGATGAACAATTTAAAAGAAAAGCTGGACGAAGCAGAGAGAAAGGCTTCCAAAGCACAGGATGAGTTGAACGAGGCAAACCAAAGGGCAGATGAGGTAAATTTATCTGTCTTACTATTCTCGTGCTTTTCTTGCTTTTTGAGCGTAATTGCCACGGAGAATAATCATTGCCCACTTATTTTTTCGTATGAAGTTATTGTAATGCTATAGAAAGCTGGAATTTATTTTTAATTTTCGCACATTTTTCAAGGCAATTTTGTCTGGTGTAGTTCGAAATTATCTAAATTTACATTGCCAATTTAGGCCGAAAGTGAGGTTGAAAGCCTTACTAAACAATTAGAAGAGTTGGAAGACGAACTCGATGCTGCAGAATCAACTTTAGCAGAAGTGAATTCTCAGTTGACAACGGCAGAAGCCAGTGCGGACGAGAGTGAACGGTAAGGGTGTTAGTTCAAATCATCAACTTTGACATGCGATGAAACAGTTTCAAACATATTGCTAAATGACCGGCTGAAAGGGTAACATACTTTTGTTGCTATGAATTATTTAAAGTCCAAGTACTTTGTTCTGTAACCGTATTGATTTGTTTATTATCAGTCAATTGATACCACTGTATGACGGGCAAAGAATTAAATGTAGTTTACACTCGTCATAACGTCAAACTTATAGATGAAGTTTTTCTTATTGATTTTTATGTCTTTTATAAATGAAGTTTCTCGGTTTGCTTTGATTTTTATTGTCCGTTGTAGTTGAACAACTACAATCGAAAATGTTTTGTTAAGTAGTTTTGAATACGTCAAGATCATTGTATTAGATTAACAATTTCTAATGTCCTATTCGAGTATGTCTGGCAAATGCACGGTGTTAGATTTTACATGACTTAGTTCAATTTATTACATGAACGCTACGCTCCATGGTAGTTTGTTTTCTTGTGTGAACAACTGTAGCGTATTAAGCCAAATACTCTCTCTTATTAGGAATGTTTTTCATTACGATGTATGTGTTGTTGTACAACTAACGTTTCTGTTTGAGATTTCCTTTTAAAGTAAAAGTATCATGTTTCTTTTTACCTGAGAGAATTGTAGTTAATGTGGACCAGTAATTACGATCATTACGAGAACTATTTCATGCTATATGGCATTTAGAAGTTAATATATTAGAATATCTCCTTAGGGACTTGACAAGTATCTTGCTGTGATTCTTAATTGAGGAATCTTTATTTGACTGTGCCTTGGGTATATAACAGGCCTTTGACATCCATGCCATATGGACACTATCCCTAAAATGTTATTGTTTTGAATAATCAAGAGAAATGTTTACTACACATAAACACACACAGAGCTTTTGTTGTAAATTTTGAGATGTTGTAAATGTTACATTTTTATGGTTCAGGGCCAGAAAAGTATTGGAGACTAGAGGTCAATCTGATGATGAAAGGGTATGAATTTTTTACATATGATGTTTTGCATAATTTTGTGGTTTTGTTGCTGTTGTTTACTTTGCTCATGTGTTTGTTGTCCTTAGTTGGCTCAACTGCAAGAACAGTTAAGGAGAGATCAAGAACTAGCTGAAGAATCACAAAGAAAATATGAAGAAGTTGGTTTAAGTATTGCAAAGCAAAAAAAAATAACAATAATAATAATAATAATAATTCATTCATGTTTCCTTTCTTGTTCATCAGATTGCTGAACATATTAATCAACTAGAACAAGAATTGGATGAAAAGGAAGAACAGGCCCAGGATGCTGAAATGTAAGTTCTATGACCATGGAAATCCCAAGGAATTAAATGTAATCATTAACTTTGTTCATTCAATTTAGTCGTGCAAAGGCCTTAGAAGAAGAAGTTAATCTTGTTGGAAATAACTTGAGAAGTCTACAAATCAGTGAAGACCAAGCTGTGGAACGTGAAGGTGGCTATGAGGAAAAGATTAGGCAATTAGAGCAAGAATATTCTATGGTAAAGTTCAAGTTTGAATGCCAATTTGTTTATATGGAGCCCAAACTTTTTTATCAATTATCACATGTACTTCACTTGTTATCTTTTAGGCAAATGAAAGAGCAGAAGCTGCTGAGAAAAGAGTGAAGGAACTAGAGGAGGAAACTGATGATTTGGAAGGTTGAATTTCTATTGTATTTGCCTTAAGTTGAATTTACTTTTCTAATTTCCTCGACTTGTTTATTATTAGTTAACACATATTAGTAATGTCATGAAACAACTTCTATGTTGATAAAATTAAGGAACAAAAACTTTCAATGATTTATTTGAAACTAGTTAACCTGTTGATTAAACCTCAATACTTAACATTTTATAGCTCAATTAGAGGATGCAAAGTCTGAGTATGAGAAAGCCAAGACAGAACTTGATCAGACACTTCAAGAGTTGGATGAGATGTAGCCTTTATGTTGAGAAAAGAATGTGAAAATCAATTGGAGTTTTTGTTTGTGCAAATTCTCAGCTAGGAAAATGTAAAGTAATCAAATGTAGAAAAGTTAAAATAGTTTTCTTTTATTATCTTTTAACAAATATCTTATGTATTCACCTGGTAATGGTAGTGACTGTTTATTTTGCTTAAGAATTAAATTTTTTAAAATTATTTGATAATGCCTCATCTCCTATGGGTAAGAATGTAACTGATCATGCTATATGTAGTTGTGCAAGATCTACAAGCTCATTTTGTTTTGCTGATTTACTTTAAAAGTAAATCAAAGTAAATTATCCACTTTCTTCAACTAAAGTAATTCTTACAAAAAATAAAAATCTTTCCAGTACACATAACATGATTGCTTTATCATTGTTAAGCAGTCCTCCATTTAAAGTCCACATTATCAATCAATTCCTTCCTTCTTCTCTCGAATTGCTGCCTTAGAAAAACAGAAAAATTGTTGAGCCTATATTGTTAAGGATATAGAAACCTGAAACAGTATCATACTTTGAAACGTTCTTCCAACAACGAAACTTCGCTAATCAAATCTGTGATAGCATTAGTGAATGCTTCCTGTGGACTGGAATCTGATGTCGTTTGAACACGAAGAATGAACTTGGATTCAAGGGGATGAGGTACTTTATACCCAGCAAACAACACTTGAGGATCTTTCAATAATTGCCTAGTAAAGATAGAGAAATGTGACATTTACTTTATTCGCAACCAAACCATTACCACACCATGACATTCAAAACATAAACACTTACGCCCTTAGTAAATTCCCAAGTGTGTGATCTTCTTTATTTACCATAAAATGAGCAGCATTAGGTACTTTAGTGTCTTTGGTAATGGTTATTCTAAATAGAGATTCACAAACGAATTGTCAATTAAAATATGGTCGGTCTCAATGTCGTATGATTTCGTATGCTAGAGATACTTTATGATGATTAACAATTACTTCTTTTCTCCATCGAGCAACAAAAACGTTTCGAAAGTTGCTGGTGCATTCATCTTTAACTTCTTCCCATAAAAATAAATAATTAACGACTACACAAGTCACCAAAAATAGTCAAAAATGCTTGTTTACAACCAGTGTTTATAACTATAAGGTCACTTTCCATGCTGTATCAATGCAAACTTTATGTTGTATTTTTATAGTGTACTTATCCCAGTCCACTGTCCCACATGACGTCACCAAAAAAGTAATTTTTAAATTAAACATTCCCATCATTCCGCTCGACTTTTCGCGCTTAATTTGAGTGAATGGCGGCTGATGGCGGATTGCCTTGTATTAAGACAAATGTTGATAGGTTTTATATATTTTTTAAAAAATAAAGTGTGCATTTCTGTCATATCTTTACAATATCTACTGGGTGCTGCTTAAAAATGCTCGCCACAGTAATAGCAGCAAACGGAATTCACGAAGTTGGTAAGTACGAAGTATTATTATCTTGTCGAATATATTGATAAAACAATATCCATTTTCGGAATTTATTTTATGTCTATGTTCACCCTTTGAATTGCGCTCGTTTGTTTTTGGAGTTTTTGTTAGATCAGAAGTGAGAGCATGTTTATTTTGATATAGATGGATTTATTAACACCGAAAAAGATCCATGTGCTAGTCCACCATGCAAGAAACATAAGAAAGGTTCGGAATTCTCCTTTTGAAATTATTCAACCATTTTTTAACAGATGATGATCTTCAGTACAGTATTTGAACTTATTTATAACCTCCATTTCTACTGCAGATTTTCAGTGCTCTGTCCAGGAAGATGTGGATTGTAAACAAAAAAACGAGGATTATTGTGAACTCTCAGACGTTGTTACAAATAGAAACAGTGAAAATTTGGCTGATGTAAAACCAGGAAGTTTTCATTTTGCTGATCAAAATGTAGTGAACAAGATATATGGCAATACTGGTAAATCATATTACACAACAATTGATGATGTAAATATCTCAAACAAGTCCAAGGACTGCAACGGTATTACAAACAGCTCACTGCCAGAATCAACTTCTACATGCAAGGGAGGTGTAACTATTCATGCATTTTTTAAGAATGTAAACTTAAAAACAGAAGAGGCTGTGAAGCCTTGTCAAATTCTGGCTAGTAATTTATTATCACTTCAAAACGATGGGCTGCAATTGCATTCTGATCAAAAGAATGAAATAAAATCACCTTCAAAATGTGAGAAACCCATGGAAACCTTGGAAGATAGCGTATCTCAAATTGCTAGCTCGATTTCCAAGGTATTTATTCCATAATCTGTGAACTTTGTGGTCCCAACATTACACCTTTTTGATATCATTAACAATTAACTTTGCATTTTTAGGTAACAGCGACACCAAAGGCAAAAGTTTCTGAAAAAAGACTGAAATGTGAAGAAGAAAAGTTGAAAAAGCAGAAAGAGAGAGTATGTGTTGATCAAACTGTTTATGCTTTTGATGCATAGTACATTTCCCCTAATCTTAATACAATTTAAACATAAGGAGTTGAAGAAGAAAGAACGCATGGAATTCAAGCAGAAGAAGGAACAAGAAAGACTTAAACAGCTTGAGCTTAAGAAACAGCGACAAAAAGACAGGCAGGAAAAAAAAATTCATGATGAAATTGAAAAAAAGTTAAGAATGGAAAAGAGGGAAGAAGAAAGACGTAAAAAAGAGGAAGAAAGGCACAAAAAAGAGGAAGATCGCAGGAAAAAAGAAGATGAAAAAAAGTATGATATTTTCCTTATTTGTAAAAAGTGGCATCTTAAGTGAATTGTACTTGTGTTTGAATTATTAGAGTGACAAATGCTAACCAATTAGAGCTGTATTGTTTTGTTGTTAGTAATTATATATTCACTATCTTAACTGTCAATATCTTTTCTATGATCTGCTTAAGTGGTTTTTCATTGCAGTTTGAAGATGTTAGAAAAAAAAAGACGAGAAGAAGAAGAGGTAAAACATTTGATTATGTTGAGAAACTAACTAAAAATATTTGTCTATTAATTTTATTTCAATGTTTGCCTTAGATATCAAAAAGGGAAAAGGCAAAAGCAAGTTTTGCTAGTTTTTTCATTAAAACAGATGTGAAAAGTATTACCAAGGTATTTAAAACTGTCGTTTGAGGGGGTATTTAAATAATGAAATGCAATTTAACATGTTTCTTTTTGCTATAAGGATCAATCAGACAAAGATGGCAAATTTCAACCCTTTGAATTAAAACCCTTCATGAAGTTAGCAGATGTGCCTTACAGAAAATGTTTGTCAGTTATTGAAAAAGAAAATCTTGTTAGAGATATCTTAGAACAGCAGGTACATAACACAGGCCCTGGCAACATTTGTCAAATTAGACAATTAAAATATTGATAATTTATTTAGACAATAAAGTGTTTGATTGACATAAAGAAAGAGTTTTGCCATTTGAGAGAATGTGCACTCGAGATTTGTGAACGGAAGAGAATGAAAGATATGGTTGTGAATGATCCTGATGAAGTGATAATTATTGAAGAAATTCATGCTACCAATTCAAACAAGATTAAGGTCAAGCTCTTTCAGTTTCATGACAACTATCGACCTGCGTATTTTGGCAGTTATAGAAAGAAAAGCGCAACCATTAGGCCAAGGAGGCCTTTTGAAAAAGATGAAGTAGGTTGATGACAATTTTTGATTACTTTATCTTTATTTTGACAAATCTTTAATCAAAAGCTTACATTATATTTGTAGAATATTTTGAATTATGAAGTTGACAGTGATGATGAATGGGAGGAAGAAGAGCCAGGAGAAAGCTTGTCAGCCAGTGAGGTATGTACTAGGATATTCTAGCCAAATTGTTAAATGTCCATTGTAACCTCTATTTTGTTCGTAGGGTGAAGATGAGGAAGATGGCTGTGTGAATGAGGATGATGAGGAACATGATGGGTTCTTTGTCCCTCATGGATACCTCAGTGACGATGAGGGAGATGGTGATGATGATGGAATTGATAACAGAGACAAGTTTAAGAGACATCTAGCCAAACAGAAAACATGGGAAGCTGAGTTAAAATGCCAATTTGTACCTAAGAAACCAATAGCAATTGGTTGTATATGGCAGGAAGGTCTTTCTGATATTTTGAAACAACTTGAGGCTTGCTATTTGACGTCTCAAGATTGCATAGATCCAATGAAAAAGGAATACACTGAACCTGTCATGACTTTATCGTCCATCAGTTCCCCAACAACTAATTGCAGTACAGTTATGCCTGTACCACAAGAAGGTAAATTTTATTGTATTTTCAAGAGTTTAATCTTGAACCAGGAAACATTTAACCCTATTACTTATGTATTTGTTTAATTTAGCTATGCCATTTTTGATCAGTATGCTTCATGGTAATGAAGCTGGTTTGAAAAGAATGATTCAACTGTTTCGTAAAAGTTGGACAATGAAATCAAAGACAAACACTGAAGTCACTGAAGAAAACTGGGAATTGCATTGTACCATTTCTAAGCGGCAAGTTGAAAAAAATATCAACAACATTGCAAGAAAAGAATTAAGATTACCCAATTCTAAGGCGCAGTGGTTTGTGCATTCCAATATTCTGGAATTGTATAACATGAATCATCTCTCTAGCACAAGTAGTTAGTTAATAATTAATAGTGAGCAAGACTTGAAATGTGTGACCATCTTGAAACTTATCAAAGCAAGTGGCTACTGCCTTCGATTGTGTTCAATGAAGAGTGAAGGTGTTAGTTTTGCACAAGTATTCTTGAGAATTACAAACAGTATGACATAAGTTATCTTCTAGGACAAACAAACTTATGTAGATGTATGTACATATATATTTGAATGTTGTTTACAAAGAAATTTTTAAATTATGAAGAAGAAATGTTTGAATGCTTTTTTAAAATGGGATCTTAATATAGGTAATATTTCCAAAACAATGTTTTGTCTTAAACATTCAATATTACATATATTAGTTATTTCCTTCAAAATAAAGATGCGTGTTCTTAATGACACTAAACTAAGAAATATATAAAACACTCAAATGACTTAACTGCTTAACCCTTGCTATGTACAACGTCAGTAATAGACTAGCAACCATTGATTAACAATGACATTCCCTATGGCAAAATTCAAAGTTCCATTGGCTCTGACTTGATGTTATTCTCTTCATTTATACTAAGTCTACATATTGGACAAGAATTATGCTAAAAAAAAATGGCATACTTATTAGGTTCCATCATCATACACTAGACAATTTCATGAATTTTCCTACCTTTTTAAGCCAAGGGATGATACAGTCTTTGTGATAGCAGTGTTTGCAAGGTAACTTCTTAACTTCTTCATGCAAAATGAACATCTCTTTACAAACTGGACATTCTAGACTGGCATCTTCAACAAAACAATGATGAAATTAACAGATTGCACTGCAGGAAAATAAATTCTTGTCATCAAAGTAAGGTTCATCATTTTCTACACTTACCAACATCCTCTTGAGATATCTTTACGGTGGGTAACGATTGAATATGTTTTTCGTCTGCGGGTGGGGGACCAGAACCTTCCATTTGATCCAGTAACTAATATGAATAAAGTCAATTTATATAAAGTTATGAGAAAATATTTAAATCACTTGAAAAAAACAGAAGAACTCTCACTCTTGTGATGATTGAATCCAGTCCTTGCCCACCCCAAGCATAATCTCCAAAATTGCCATGTATTTGAAAAAAATTTCTACAAAAATAAGTTCATGCATATTTATTTCTCATTGTTTCAAAATTATAATAACACACAAAGCTATACTTACAAAAATGCAGGATTTCCACCAGCTACATCAGTTGGAAAATAACAATAAAAGAAAATGAAACATTGACCAAGTACAATATAGATAAGAAAAATAAATAGCTTGCAAACTGTATTTTACTTACAAGATCCATCGCCTTGATTAAAAAATTGGCTGAATAACCTGGAAACATCACAGTTTTAAATGAAAGTAATTTTTTCTGTTACAGAAAACTATACTTGTACAGCTTTTTTTGACAAATCCACTCACTGATTAAAAAGAGGAGGCATATGCCCATTTTCCTGTGAGTTTCCTGGTCTGATAGACCTCACACCTCTTCTATTTCTTGGTCTGCCAATTCGAGTATCTGAAAATACAGCATTCAAGAAGTCATTATAAAGTGAAAAACAGTGTTTTCATAGTACATTTGTTTGAAAAATGCATACTTAATAATTATATTTACCATTTCTTATATATTCAAAACGTCTGTTATTGTGATGAAACACCTATAAACCAAACAAAACATAGCATTTTGGATTACATAGAAATATTTTTAAAATTACATAAGCTTTTAGCTACCTCAGCATCGTTTCTATTGTCCAAATCATCATCAATGTCACTATAACATCATTAAACAAGTAAGCTTTTCAGTTCAACCACAAAGCGTTTACTTTCATATTTTACACATACTTTTCTCCAGGGACTTCTTCGATAAATCCTGAGTTACACACAGGACAATTATATTCCTAGATAAAGTACAAATATGTTTGGCGTTGTTTTTCTTGGAATGGTTTAAAAGTTGTACAAGTACAACAAATTTTGCTACTTTGAAATAAAACTGAATAAGCAATGTCATCAAAATTCAATTTATTGTAGAAAACTGTGGAATATATCGCATATTTCACACACGATCATTGCTTCAACAAAAAAACAGTGTTTTCCTGTTCATTGAAGGTAAATCGAAATCAAAATTTCGGTACGAGGTTGGTAACTTTTACAATTAACGTTCTCTTGTACAAAAGACGAGATACTTTAAGTTTCCTTACCGGAATAGTGGGAGATATATTTCGGTCACATTGGTGGCAGTAATACCTTTGATTTGGTGTGGAATTCTCGACCGCAGTAGCCATTTTTTTGCCAATTCCTAACCACTGACGTCATAGAGACAACACATCAACTGAATCGGAATCAGCAGGATTAATCAAGAAATGGCTGATGATCGAAAGCGAAACAATTTGCAATGAATAGTCCAACAGAAGAGCAAATGATTTGTGTGTAAATTGCATGAACAGAACCTGTTTGAAAGTAACATAATCAAACAAAAAACATTTGCCGATTTGGTTTTGTGTGTGGGCTCAATTTACCATTTAAATTGTATTAGGGTTATAGTGGTTATGGTCAGCAGTCCAGGGTGTATGGTGTTCCATGTTACCATCGCATGTTTTAAGCACCATTAGTATTCTTAAATGTTTGTTGATTGTTAACTTAAGAGAAATCCAAACAGTAATGTTAACTGCCTAATAACTTATAAGTTGTCAATTAGGACCATCATATTTCTACAACTTTGGAACTGAACCATTTTTCATCGATATGTCCAAAATTAGTTTCATGCTGTTCATTTATACTTATTAAATAGCAGTTCCCACGCATGCAATGTAGAAAGTGAAAGTATTTTGTTTGTTTTTAAGTTTGAACGTCACGAAAAAGTGAAAGAAATCAGATAAAAATATATTTCCTGAGATTTCAACTAGTCATTACAGTTTATGTAGGTTTTTGTAAGAATGAAAACTTAAACATGCAAAAATTCAACGAAGAACGTACTCTATCCAATGAAGATACACAAAGCATTATTACAGGGAAACATTTCATAAAAAGAAAATTACTCTAAAACAAATAGAGATGCAAGTTGCTTTGGTATTAGCGCCAAGATACTGTTCTGAGATTTGAAGAAAATGGCTTCAATGAACAGTTTACGTAAAGTATCAAATGAAGGGCAAATTGTGGGAGTATTACAAACGTCTTGTGCATTAGAACGTCAATTAAAAGAATAAAAGATGATAAAGTTCTGGATTTCAACAATGGTTTAAGCAATTCCTCAATTTAGTCTTTAATGCCTTGAAAAGAATACGTACTGTAATCTCCCAAATTTCCTCAAATCTCAAAATTTAAAAAAATATTGGCGATCTCAAGCATGCAGAAAATTACTTTGTTGTATAAATATGGTATTTCAATATATCTGTTTCATCATAATAGGAAAATTAGCTGAACAAAACGACTCTGCTAATTTTTCCTCTGAAGTTGCATTATTCTATTTCTCACAACTAATTTGAAAAGCAACTAATACTTTTTATATACAAAGTTTTTATGAAAATTACAGATTAACGTTATTGGAGCTGGACACTGATTTTCTAGCATTCACTTTGGATTTTTTAGCTTTTTTTTGCTTTAACTTTCCACGCTCGGATTTGGAAGAACTAAGATTAGCTGAGCTGGTGGTGTTGTCATTGCTCTCATCAATCATGCTTGTGTTAGTAGTTTGTCTTTTCTTTGTATTTTCTTGTTTCTTGAGTTTACATCCAGGAACCCAGTCGGCATCATCAGATGATTCTTCAACATCCAATGTATCAAGTAACACCCCAAGTTTATTTGCAACAGGTTCATCGGAAGTCTTTTTAGGATTGACTTTTCTCTTTTTACCTTCTCCTGACTGTTCTAACCAAAAATCAACAGGATTCTTAATCTCTTCATTAAGGCCTTCAATTTCAGAAATCAGATCTTTAAGTGAATCTTCAGAGGATCCGGATTTCTTCCTTTTCTTCTTTTTCTTAACATTATTTTCGTTGTCTGAGCAAACAGCACTTGTTTTAGAGACATCGCTGTCATCACCTTCACTGTTGTACTCAAACATACTTGGCTCATCAATGAGATAACCTGAATATATTAAATAACAATTTGCTTTGCATATTATGAAAAATAATGCCGAAGGTCATAATTTAAAGAGAGACATCTGATTATGAATGATTATATAAATTATTACTGGGGGCATAAATCTTATAATATTAAGTTTATAATAGTGCAATGAAAATGTTGAATACTTCAAAAGATTCCTTGCCTGTTAAATGTACATCTAAGTCTCCTTCTGTGTAAAACAGCACCTCTTCGCCTTCAGTAAATTTGTAATCCAAGGCTTGCTGAGGGATGTTGGAAGGTTGTAAGGTACACAATGGATAACATGCTTTATCTACCTCTACCATAACAGTAACAGGGCCTTTCCCTTGGTTCATTGGCTTTACAGCAGCCATAGAAATGTGGAAAGACTTTTCCACAGTTTGACTATATTTTTTTCCAACTTCCAAAGAGATACCTTCAAAGAGTAAAATGTCTTATTAAACACAGCACTATTTGACAACAATGAGAACAAATCCACGCAATAAAGTAAATATTAATGTGTCTAAATATGTCTGATTTACCCCAAAACATATCAGTGAATGATATAAATAATAACCAAAGTTTTTCAATATTTTATAGGTCTCTTTTCTCTGTATTGACGGTTAATCGGTTGTAGCCATGCATACTCCATGTTTTCATAGATCACTGTACCCAGCGCAGTTCCTGCCCAAAGGCCTGGAAACTAGCCTTTTCATTTTCTGGTTTTCGAAAGGTACGAAGTCGATTTGAACCTCAAATAAAATCCTTTAAAATCTACGAAAACAAATTTTCCATCACTCGTATATGTTTGACTTAGCAAATAGTGGATATATTCAAATACAATATAACACATTTTTATTGAAAATTTTGTGAATTATTACTGATTATAAACCGTACTAATTCAACGCACTTACAGAATGTAGAACTTACCCAACTATTTATAATTCACAAAACCACAATAATAGCTCAGGGAAAAGATGCTATGAATCGATTTCTTATGGAAATAAAAATTTTAAAACTACGAATTTTTTGTTAGATGGGTCGGTACTCCATTGAAGCAGAAAACCCCACCAAGTCATGCAAAGCAAGGGGGTCTAACCTTCGCGTACATTTTAAAAACACGAGAGAAACAGCTCAGGCCATTAAACACATGCACATTCGTAAGGCAAACCGTTACCTGAAGGATGTTGTTGCTAAAAAGCAAATTGTGCCATTTAGAAGATTTAAAGGTGGTGTTGGACGGAAGGCACAAGTATGAAGAACTTTATGACTTAGTTTGATTCCAAATGATACTATTAAATTAAGTTATTAATGCCTTACGTCTTTCAACTTCCATCTGGATTTTTTCTTTTTAGGCTAAAAACTTTAATGTTCCAGGATCGCAAGGTCGTTGGCCAAAAAAGAGTGCCGAAATCTTGCTTCAACTTCTTAAAAATGCTGAAAGCAATGCTGAATTAAAGGTAGCAAAATACAAGTGTTTTTAAGCATACTTTGCTTGTATTTAAAGAATTTGACCTATCTAGGGCTTAGATGTGGATTCTTTGGTTGTTGAGCACATTCAAGTTAATCAAGCTGCCAAAATGAGGCGTAGAACCTATAGAGCACATGGTCGAATCAACCGTAAGTGGCAATATGTATGAATTCTTTGTTGAGGGGAACAGTTTTCATCTCTGTATCCGTTTTAACATTGTTTTGGTCATTAAACTACAGTTGTTTTATTAATAAACTCTGCCATAAGCATTTTGACAGCAACACTAGCTTCCATTTGACCATTCAAAATATTAGATTTAATCACCTCTCTCTATGTAGGCAAATTGCTTACTGTATTGAATATATTTTAAGGTTTTCCACCACTTTTGACCTCAACTTAATAGTCAATCTTAATCCACTTTACCAATGTCAAAAATACTAGATCAAATGACAAAATTCAAACAATCAAATGGTCAGACATAGTATTGTTTATGTAGAGTAGTGGCAATAAAATAGTTAGGAAATGTTTCTATGGGATCTAGATGTTCTTCAGTGGTTTCTTACAATGAAATGTATACTACATGCATGTACGTTAAAAATTGGACGGCTGTCTCAATGCAATCAAAAGAAATCCTGTGAATCCGAAAAATGTGTTTAATTGCAAATTTACTCGAGAAGTGAAGTTATTTTCTAAATTGAATCATGAAAATATTGTAAGGTAAGAAGAAATCTACTATACAAAACGAATCAAAATTTTATGACATACGTAAGGGGTCAATTTAGACTATACATATGGCTTGGCTTATTAAATTTTCTCCTCGTAAAAACTATCATAAAAAAGTGGATCAACCCTTTTCCATGAAGCACATGGATGCTTTCGTTCATGAAAAGAGAGTTATATTGTATAAGGAGGCTCTCTTTCATCACGAGAGAGTTATGAGAAAGTTACATTGTAAAAGACAACAACTAAAAAACGTATAAACATGTTAAGAGTTGGTTTTAATTATAAGTGTCATAAAAGGCACAGTGTCAGAAGAAGTTAATTGAAACATTCCTTAGTTTATTTTATAAACCAAAAGATAAAATTCAAAAGCAAAAAAACCCCATTTTCGGTGCATGCTTTCCGATACCTTCTTATATGTAAGGCATTAGAACGCCGCATGTTAACATTTCGGTAGGAGATTTCGGCCGCTCCATGCTATTCCTACTTGGTAGATGCAATAGCAAGTTTCTGCCCATCAGACCCTGAGATCACCTGCAATAGACTTTGCTTGGGGTACGCAGGGAGAGTGCGGTTGCCCCCGAAGTGTGGGCCCCTAAGCCACTGCATACTTTATCGCACCCAACTTCCACTGCTAGTTGACATCTAATATATGAATTTTTAGCTTTATATATATATATATAAAAATTCAAAGGCTTATGAAAGTTGTGGTATTATTAAAGTCACTACTGCGCATGCTCAGATTATTTCTTTGATAATTTGCGACTAAGTTATCTAATTGCCACAAATGGAGTGCAAGTACAAATAGTTAGTCATTGCCATGACTATGAACAATTAGTCGAGTTTACTGCGCATCCTTGAGCGCATGCGCAGATGATTTTTCAGTTAAATTACCAGTAAGCATGCTATTTACTTCAAAATTGGTCCTAGTGAATGGAGTTGGTCGTTGCCATGACTATTAACTTGAGCAGCTAGTCAGGTCAACTGCATGCGCAGATGATATATCTGAAAATTTGTTACTAAGCATGCTATTTACTTCTAAATCGTTGCCATTAGATGCAGTTGGTCATTGCCATGACCATGAACTTGGGCATCTGGTCAAGTCAGCTGCACATGCGCAGATGATTTATCTGAAAATGTGTGTAGCCAGCCAATTACTCTAAAATTACTCACGGTTGTTGCCATGACCATGACATTGGAGGGATTAATTCTCAATTAGTTGTGACAGAGCAAGCTCTGAAATTGGTTCTTTTATATGCTTGAAGTCTATACCTAAACTTGCTTAGCAAGTTTTCAATCATATATTTTTGTCATGCTCTTTGTCTTCTTAAACTTGTTTTGGCAAATGCATACATCAAACTCATCAACACTTTGTTACATTACTCTTATTATTTGTGACAACAATAGAAATGTTTTTATTTTTCTTTATAACTTTGTATCTGCATCTAGCATATCATATTAAAGCTTTCTTTTGATTTTAGGGAAAATGATTTTTATTTACTCTTACACCTTCTGCCTTTATAATTAGTTGTTCTGGATTTTTAAAATAAGATATGCAAATGCCCCAAGCGCATCTTCTTTTTATTTTATTGCCACTATTCTATCAATACAATACTATGTCCAACCATTTGATTGATCAAATTTTGTAATTTGATCTCATATTTTTGACATGTATGTTTGCTCATTTACACATTTACTCCTCATTTGACTCTGAAGATGACTACCGCCAAGGTTGTTGAAATGTCAGTCAACAACAACAAAAACAGTCCTTCTCAGGACTATACCAACCTGGACTGGACGATCTACATTTACAAACATGTATTGTATGTTTACTGTCAGAAAGGTGGATTGCATAGTTTTCTGAACAAATTTATAGGGAGTGTACTTTTTTGTTTTTTTTGGGGGGGGGGTTGGGTTTTGTATAAAAATCATTACATTTAAATTTATGACACTAGCCTACTAAGAAGGAACCGCTAATTTAATTCCAAGATGTTTAAGATAAAGAATTGCATTGCTGATTATGTGCCCAACTGTATTCAAGAAGTGAAATTTTCTTGAGATCAATTCATTGGCAGGTCCATTATTAGGCAAAATAAATAACAATGGTCTAATTTCATAAGAATTAATAAGATTTAATTGTTTTGAATTATATAACCAATGATTAATGGTGGTTTGATTTTAAAATTGGAAACTGCAATTTTTTTGCTTATCTCAGGATTTGCATCTGGTTTATATTTTGGAAGGTTTTTTTCAGTTTCCATTTGATATTAGTGTTAATCATTGTTTTTTGTAAAATCTATAGCCTACATGAGTTCTCCATGTCATGTGGAAATGATCCTGGCTGAAAAAGGACAGATTGTACCTAAGGCAGAAGATGAGATGGAGGTCAAGAAAGTTTCCAAGAAAAAAGAAAAGAGGGAGAAAATGAAGTCTCGTGATATGTAAATCAGACCTCTTGTACAAATAAATGACAATTTTGAAGATAATATATCTGGTTTCTGTGACTTGATAATTCATTGATCCTTCATTTTTGCACAGTCCATTCCATTCAATTGTTTCAACGAAATATTTTTTTGTTATCATTAATGTATTGGTTAAAGGGTTGGTGGAGAGGCGAGGGCTTTGGCACAGTATAGAAACAAACAGTAGTCCCACTGTGTAGAAATTTTTTGTGTAGCTCATATCTTATTACACATGTGATTAACATTGTGGCAGCCAGTCAATAGCTTTTTTCGGTTAATAGGAAGATAGAGATGGCTAGCCACAGCCAGAAATCTTATTAAATAAACAGCACCAAGATGCACAGTGCAGTGAGACTACACTTGGGTTAATTAATTTTTAAACGCACACATCTCGCGCGTTGTTACCAGTGAACTCGACATTTGAATAACATATTAACATAATATGACATTTGATATATACATATGTGGAGTTCACTGGTTGTTACTGGCGACGGCACTTGGCAACTATGGCGTCCTTGTGGTGAGGAAAGCGAAATTGTAATTTCTTAAAATTAGATTGCTTGAACACAGTTGAAAAGTCATTGGTAAATATGCTGAATTCTTAGTAGAGCGTATTCTGGCTTAGATATGCCTGGAGTTGTATTGATGGAGATTGTCCTCTCCGTGTGATATTTAATACTTTTTCATGAGATCATTAACAGCAGCAGACATGTCAGACAACATCAGGGAGGTGAAATATTTGTACAACACATATTTATATCGACGGCTGCATGTTAAAACTCGAACGACCATGACTTAAATATGGCTGTGGAAGTTAACACAAAACAAAATGAAGAACGAAACTAATCTTAATGGTGAGAATGTCGTATTTCATGGAGATGTAATTTTGTCGAAGACCAATTCATCAAAAAATTTTGATAATAATGATGGAGAAATTGATTTTGGTATCAGCTTACTAAATGGCGGAAGCAGGGTGCTGAACAATGGTGTCATGTTGAAAGAGATAGAGTTTTCTGGCCTATCAGATCATAATTTGGGTCTACATTTACATGACTTCAAAACCACACGAGTGTTGGATGACAAGTTAAATAACCTCGTCCGAATAACGAATATCGATGAAAACTCACTTTCTTTTGCTGATGGACGCTTGAAAATTGGCGATTGCATTTTAAATATAAATGACAGGAGTGTAATAGGGCTTTGTGTGAATGAAGTGAGGTACAAATAAATACCGTATATTACAAGTTACGTTTAATTTCTTTAAGTATCGTTTTTTAATTTCATCATTCTTTGTTTGACATAAAATTCGGCAAAAAACATGTTGAGCAATGTACGTAGACGCCAAAGTATAATAAATGGCATGATGTCTTGTTTGACCTGTCAAGCAATAGCAAATGTTTATTTTATGCGCTTGAGATTCGTTATTCAAGCATGGCGAAATATTTACATTGTTTATGTCGCACATTATGCAAATATTTGGTCTTTGTGGCTAATTTGTTACTATTTGTGACTAGTTTGAATTTCTTGTTTAATTGTAACTCATTTTAAATTCTACCTATTCTAAATATTTGCTTATGTTGTAGGGATATCCTAGAAAAATCAATATTTTATGGTGCTGTTAAATTAACTGTATCAGAAACAGAGAATGAACATCAATCACTTCTTGCAACCGAACATAGTGGCATTGTAAGTTGAGTAATAAAGTTATTAGTTATGACTTTCTTCATTTGCCCAAGAATTATAGCTAATTTCTTTGATTCTAGAATTCTTTGAAGAAAATTCATTTATTGAAAGACAGGACAGGTCTGGGAATACAAATTGTTGCTAGGAAAAACAAAGTAATTGTTACTGGGATATCTGAACATGGTGTAGTTTACAGGTTTCACTTTTTCTTTTTGAGAAATATTTGTAATTTTATCTGATGACAATCATTTTCAACTTGTGCTCATCATATATGCAGAGATGGTCGCATATGTGTAGGTGATGAACTTATTGCAGTCAATGGCAGGAGTCTGTCTGGATTAGGAAAACACGAAGCAATTAATCTTCTTCGTTCTTCATCAAAATTAGTTCAACTTATTGTGAATTCCCAGGTCTGAAATCAAAAACTATCATTAATTTTATCAAACTATGAATTGAATTTGCTGATTAATACATACTTATTGTCCTAGGGTGAAGATTTTGATACATTTAAAGAAATGTCGTGTTCACAACCATTGACACCAAACAATGAAGATGTTGGTTTGAAGAAATTTATTCGCCGCAGAACTACCAAAGACAAGTCATTTGCGCCAAGAAATCGAATGTATGAAGTTGCTGATACGCAGTCTTCCACTTCATCTTTAGAGAAAAATTTTGGTAGACAATCAATTGCTTCTCCTACAATGCCCTTCAATGTTGGAAATAACAATAAGATTTTCAGGCAAGGATCGATTGATGCATCAAGGAAACGTTACGCGAAACGAAGTGTGAGTGATGATAACATTATGCTTACAAGTGATGATGTAGAGAATACTTTGGGCCAACCTCAACATCAAGTTCAAAGAACATTTACTGTTATCCTTGTGAAAGGACCGAGTAAGGGATTGGGATTTACTATTGTTGGTGGCCGAGATTCCCCAAGGGGCAAAATGGGAATTTATGTGAAAAGTATATTGCCCGGAGGTGCAGCTGAGAGTGATGGTCGTTTGAAAGAAGGTTGATTATTTCTTTTGCTTCTCTTTGCTCATCTCTTTGAGTTGTGTGTGTCATCAATATTCTTGTATTCAAGGCGATGAAATTGTGTCTGTAAACAGTGTGAACTTAAATGATTTCTCTCACGAGGAAGCGGTAAAAAAATTCAAGGTAAACACTTGATATGGAAAGTGTTCTCTTTATGCAGTTTGTTTTAATTTTGTTCTTATCGTTTATTAAAGCGTCTAGGTCAGGGTATCGTGAATCTTGTTGTCCGACGACCATTCTCTAACTCGTGTGAGCCTACGAAATCTTCAAAATCCTCTAGTTTACGACGTACTGCGTCTTTACAAAACATGAACACGTTGTATTCGCCGCCAATAATGGAAATGAAGAAAGTTGAATTCAGTAAAGGTTAGAGGCATGATTTTGTAAATCCTGCTCAGGACTTATTGCTTGCCTGTGCAATATCATCCACTCCCTTTCTTGTTCTTCATCAACTAATAAACATATTTTGTTAGAAAAACATGCCAGCCTTGGATTTTCAATTTCCTGTGTTGGCTGCGTGGAAAGAAATGATTATGTAGTTTATATTCAATACATCAGTGACAGTTCACCAGTTGTAGATAAACTAAAGTACGTAAGAACAAACTTGCCTCGTTTTTTTCGTGCAAATGCTCGTTTCTTTTTCATTTTAAAATATTTGCAGGGTTGGAGACGAAATTTTGAGCGTCAACTCGGAGGACATTTCACGGAAACCATTCGGAGACGCTGTGGAATTTCTTGAAAATATTCATCATGGCAAAGTTACAATCGTGATAAGACGACGCAGGGCCAAACCATCTTTACTTCTGTTGGAAGATGAAAGCAGTGATCCTATTGGTATAAAATATATTCTTGGTTTCAGTTTCTACAATTTTTTTTAAGCTCTTCATACCTTTCATAAAAAAATCATTCTACTGCATGTTTTAAAATATCACAATTTCTGGTGTATTTTAAGATGCATCGAGTATCGATGGTTGGTCAGAAGCATCAGATTCTCCGACTTCTTCACGGAAAAGAAAGAATTTATCGCTAGTAAGGAAATCAGTCTCTACGTAGCTCCATATGTTTAGCAGTCAATATAGAGATCTTATATTAGCCAGTATTTCTGCAACTCTCGTAATAATTTGGATTTATCAATTGCAGATTTATAGCAGTATTCACTTATATCAAAATTGAAAACCATCTGTTTTCGATATTCGATTTTTTGAAAACCGAAATGTTAAAAAATATGGAAGCGTATACTCAATACACGTTCCAAAACAATGTTTTGCCTTAGACATTCAATATTACATATATTAGTTATTTCCATCAAAATAAAGATACCTGTTCTTAATGACACTAAATTCTTAATGACACTACACTAAGAAATATATTTTGCTGATATTTTCTTGCCATCAACAATATCGTGTGTTCAACATAAACAGGACTTTTTTGTGTTGTTTTACATTAAACATCTCCAGCAAAGTGAAGAAGTGCGTGTATTGAGTATACGCTTCCATTTAGACTTTAAATGATGGAACCTAATAAGTATGCCATTTTTTAGTATGATTCTTGTCCAATATGTAGACTTAGTATAAATGAAGAGAATAACATCAAGTCAGAGCCAATGGAACTTTGAATTTTGCCATAGGGAATGGACTAGCTAATCAAAGTTTGCTAGTCCATTACTGACATTGTACATAACAAAGGTTAAAAGCAATTAAGTCGTTTGAGTGTTCTATATATTTCTTAGTTAGTGCCATTAAGAACAGGCATCTTTTTTTTGATGGAAATAACTAATATATGTAATATTGATTGTCTAAGGCAAAACATTGTTTTGTAACGTGTATCGAGTATACGTTTCCATTTAGACTATCGATATTTTTAACATTTCGGTTAAAAAATATCGAAAGTCTAAATGGAAGCGTATACTCAATACACGTACTTCTTCACTTTGCTGGAGATGTTTAATGTAAAACATCACAAAAAAGCCCTGTTTATGTTGAACACACGATATTGTTGAAGGCAAGAAAATATCAGAAAATTATCACCAAGGAAGGAATTTGCAATCATAACTATTGAGAGGTAGTATTGTGAGACATACTGTCGCATTGTTACGTTAACTTATACACTTCTGAAACGTTTTTGGAGAAATTGGTTAATGTGTTGAAGAAGTGGTCTTTTAGGAAAAACCTTACGTTACTAGTATAGTGTAAATCACGCTTGCCGATAGGTACATGCAGTTACATTGGAAGAACATCATACAATGCTTTCAATCGTCATATATTATTTATCTCGTAGCCTGGCTCGTTCTATTCTACGAATTTAATTGAAGAAGCAGTGTCGATGGATGTGAACTATGGTTTGGTGGATCCTTGTCGGAGTAAATTTCCACCAGACGGTGTATTTTCTTATTCACGCGGTAAAGGAGATGGTGAAGAGAGTATTGATAACAATGAAACAAACCCGGTGATATCAAACGGCAACTATTTTACAAATGAAACTGCTCAAGTATCTAAAGATGGGTTTGATCTGCATGTCGTACACATCGATAAAGCCTTCAATGATTCTTTGGGTGTATCACTCATACCGTGCACTGATCATTTAAAGTCGTACTTCAAAGTGAGATGCAAGTTTTAGAATTGGAAAAATACAGCCATTGCTTTTACTAATATATATAATGTATTTTCAGGTAAGACGTTTGGTATTGGGTGGTGTTTGTGATAAAAATGCAACTATCTTAGTTGGCGATTGTCTGATAGCAATAAATGGAGAAGATTTGAAAGGAATGTCTCATTCGGCTGTCTTGCAAGAACTGAAAAAGCCTGCCACACATGTGGTGCTAACTCTCTTGCGTAAGAAAGATTACAGTTCTACAGATTCAAAAAAGAGCAGTCAATCTTTGAAAATGTCTGTAACGTCGTCTTTATCAACGGATGTTTCTCCCCCATTGCCTACATCGTCATCCCCACCTGTGTTTGAAGAAGAGCACATTTACAAGCAACAAGATATGAAGTCATTATATTACGAGAAACAGCAACATGATTCTGTGTTCCTATCACCCGACAGTCCAGTGAAATCTTCATTGAAAGCAAATTCCTCCTTCTTTCCCTCCCAAATAGATCAGTCACAAAATAACGAATTCTCATCACATATTGCAGAAAACGGAAACACCACTTCTCAGATACTCGTGCAAAACAAAACCTCAACCGTTGTATACAATGATGAAGCCACTCGCCATCACCTAATGCCTCCACCATTTGTTTATGATGATGGAGAGGAGCTGGGAGAATTTCGAAGACAGGCATCTTACAGCAAGTATATTTTAAAACCGCCTCCAATGGTGGAAGATGCTCAATCAGTTTCGTCGATTATTGAACAAAACAAAGTGTTGCCACCTCCTCTAGCCGGTCACCCATCCATGCTTGGTGAAACTGAAGTTTTTGGTTCATCGGAAAGAGTTAATACTTTCCTGGTTCAACCACCAGGGTCTTCAATTCCTAGTTCACACCATTCTCTCAATTTTGAATCTCTTAGTCCGAACTATTCTGTTCCAGGAATACAATCAGGAGAAATTTCTCAGTTGATAGAACCACCTATGCCACAAGTTGAAGACCTTCCAATTAGATCATTTTCAAACTCCATGTCAATTTCTAACGAAAATCCTTCAATGGCAAACACACAGAATATGATGCCTAGAACGTCGACCCCACAGATTGTGATACCACCACCTCCATCTTTTGTCCAATCACTTCCCAAGCAGTTCATAAAATCAGCAAGTTCCTGTTCAACTGTCAAAGATTCTGTGAGTGTATGAATTTTTTTTCTTTTTGTAGCAATAGATCAAAGATTTGTGTACAATCAAAGAAGTTCCTTTGCACTTACAATGAGTTACTACTAAATGACTCTTACATCGAACGCACCCCCAATAACAATTAATTTGTTTGTGTTAGCTTTCTCAAAAATTTTTTTAATATATTGTCATCTCAACAGGAAAAAACGACAAAAGGCATGGGTAGGATATCCCCTTCAAATTCAGCTATTTGTCTTCTTGATCAAATCTTGGAATCCGAAACAGGTTACAGTTCATCTTCATCGGATGCTAAATCCGTGGATGTGACGTTGGCAAATACTGATGAAAACGAAGTAAAAGCTTTCAACACAGAAACGTCTAATTTAGAAGAACAAAAGAAAGAAATGACACGTGAATCACTTCCCAAAACGACAAAGGCTCCAACAATAAATCTTCATATCTATCGGATATGGTAATTGGACAGCGATGTGAGAGTGTTCCGTTTATGATCGAGCTTCAACTCAGGAAATCCAAAGGACTGGGATTAAAAGTATGTCCATCCTTGGACGGTCGTATTATCATCGCAGATTTGCTGGCTGGTGGTGCCCTGAAGAAAGATGGGCGAGTTAGGTGAGAAGAGTTCTTTCAAATTATCTTGAATGATATTTAATGTAAAACAAAATGAACTTTTTTTTTGTTTATAGGGTGAATGATTCCTTGATTGCCATCAACGATATTTCTTTATCAGGCCTCACTGTTGATGAAGCTCGTAGTCTCATTAAGATGGTGAAAAAAGATGTTGTGAGGTTAGTTGTTATGTCTCCTGATGCGGTGAAAAAGATGGGACTTACTAACGAGTTACTGGGTCCGGGTTTGTTTGATGATATTCAGTCTAACATAGAACTTCGAGCTAGTCGAAAAATACCTTGTGAAGATTCGGTAAAGGAAATATGTTGGAAAGGGATTGGTAGCGAAGACGTAGGTGAAAAGTACGATAGTCCATCTGTGTCCGGATACCATGAAACTGGGCCGGAATGTGAAACACTCGGTGAAATGCCATGTAATAAATCAGGTAATGAAATGCAACGTTTGTATGACGACGATAAACAATTGTCCAGACGGAGGCCATTTTCCGAAGTCCTTGAAACGAAAAACGATTTGATAGAAAAAGAGTCTAAAAAGCAAATGAAGAAAAAAGCGTCAGTGAAAGCAAGATTGGGTCGAGTTTTCGGAAGAGAACCAGGAAAATCAAACAAACGTTCTGTGAAACTATCTTCTCCTCTGAGCCCAAACGATAAGTGGAAAAAATCAAAATCATTGGATCAGTTAGATTCTGGTGAAACCAGCCAGGATTCCAATGAAAGAAAAATAAGCTATACAGACATTTCTAAAGAAGTCAATAATGTAGAAGCTTTGTCTCTTGAAAGCACAGAAAATGTTGCCATTACTGTCCCCACAGTTGACACCACTGACCCAATGTCTGGTAGTCAGACGGGCTCAAATGATTCCTTTCGACCAGATGGAAGTTCATCTCGAGCAAAAGTTCGAAGGAAAAGAAAATCACTCTACGAGCTTCCACCACCACCTCCTCCTCCTCCTGTAGAGGAAAATGATCTCGGAACACGTGAAATCTCACATTATTCCATCGAACCAGTCAATAATCATAAAACGCATGATGAAATAAAGCCGCCTCCTAAACCCCGTCGAATGTCAAAGAATTTCGATGTATACTACCAAAATGAAGAGTGTGTTGAAAGGAGTATATCAGAGGAAAATGTCTTGCATTTCAGTGATTTTAAAGAAAAAATGCGACTTCACGATGATACTCTGTATATTACCAACCAAAAGAAGAATGACAACTTACAATGCGAGTTTTCTTCCAAAAATCCATCTCATACAGATAATGGCAGAGAGCAGCGAAATTCAGGTAGCCACCAATCATCAGTTTTGATTACATCAGTGTCCCGTGACATAAAAGAAGGTCTGTGTGAAGAAGGTGTGTCAAGAACCTTCAGCGATCCTTTACCAGCCCCACGAGATGTTTGTGTTATTTCTCCTTCTGTATCAGAAAGTTCGAGGTCCATCTCCAACGGGAACTCTGTTTCTTTAACAAGAGATAAATCGTCGTCTATGAATCCTAATCGAACACTTAGTGATCCTGTAATGTCACCATTTATTGCTTCAGATGTACGACACACACGCAACTCGGTGGTTGGTGCCAAATCGGCAAAACCGTTCATACCTCCAAAACCAACCGTCTCCTTCAAACCAACATTGCTCCCAAAACCCCCTGTTGCCCCTAAAATAAATTCAAATAAGATTAAAGTTGAAAAGCATAGTACAGATGGTGCTCCCATAAACAAAAATCCTGGGGAAAACGCAGCTGACAATTATGAATGTTCACAGAGAAATGACGACGTATTTTATCCTGAGCCAGAAAACAGAATATATGCTCGTAGATCGTCTTTACCGGATGACACGTTAAGTAGATCATCGCCTTCAAACATTCTCAGCAATATTGAAAGATCACGACCAATGACCATGTTAGCTCAAGGCAGTCACGACGAAGGTGTGTTTACAGTCAAGGTACGTTGTTATAAAAGACAACTAAACAAGTTAGGTCCTGCAGCTAAACGTATTAATTTTCATATGTTGTAGTTATTGAAACAACAGCGATCACTCGGCTTGACCATTACGGGAGGCATCGACACACCTCTTGGAATGCTCTACATTAAGGAGATACAACCAGGTAGCCCTGCGGACTTTTCTCGTCGATTGCGTGTTGGAGATCAGATCGTTCAAATGAACGGTGTTAACTTACTTGGAGCGACACACGACGAGGCGTTAAAGATTATGAAAACAACTCCTCCGCTCGTTCAGCTGGTTGTAGCAAGACGCAATGACAGGTTTTGTATTGATGCATTGACTACTTTATTGAAGTAATGTATATATTTTTTGATAAAATCTTAAACAATGTATGCTTATATCATAATGGAGAGGGGAGGGGTGTTGTTAAATTTATTCCGTAATAATTTCGCTTGAATTAAATAAGATCTTATATATATATTAGTTAATTAAGAGTATTTGCAGCATATTGAATTACATGGGTGGATAAAAGATGTGACAATCAGGTGAGATGGAGATTGCATGAAAGATGCGAAAAATACATACAAACATATGAAGAAACAAATTAAGATTACAGTAACTGATTATCCCCTTCATAACACCTTATCCCATCTGATTGTCACATCTTTTATCCCACCGTGTAATTCGATGAACGTAGTCTGTTTGGATTTAGAACTGAAGAAAGCTTACGCATTGATGAGAACAAGCTTAAGAGAACATCCCCGACAAAAGGAAATGATACCGTCATTCAAGCAGCAATTGTTAACAGCAAGATACCTCGAGAGCAATCTAGTGTTTTTCTGAAAACACTACCGTCCTCACGGCGCGGTATTCGCTCTACTGGTGGCCAGCACAGGCGTTCTACAGGAGAACGTTCGGAATCTGATATTCCAGTATCTTTTATTGGTGGAGAGGAAGAACCTCTTTGTGTGACCGAGAATAGAAATGATAATGAAAATGTAAAGTTTAACGTGACGTTAACCAAAGATCCATATAAGGGTCTAGGGATTATAGTTTCCGGTGGGAAAACATGGATAATGAGGATGTCGTGGTGAGGCAGTTTTCTATGATGTTGTTGCTATCAAGTATTAGCAATTGCCTATTTTAATTGTTTACAACTTTTATTTGAACTGTCCTTTCTGTCTTCATTTGTAGATTAGTCAAGTTGCTACAATCAGCGTAGTTGCACGTGATGGTCGCGTGAAGCTTGGTGATAAGTTACTTGCTGTTAACGGGCAATCTCTGAAAGGAATGACCAGTCCGCAAGTTCTAGCCTTCTTAAAACAAACGCCAAATACTGTAACCTTGACTTTATCACGTCCTAGGAAAAGTAGCAAGAGCTCTCGTAGTCCACCCCCCGTTTCACAGAAACCACATCGTCCTAACTTTCTTCTTCCTCCAAAAGTAGAGGCTCCCTCTGTAAGTGAAGATGTTGAAAGAAAGGATAAGGCCTGGCCTGTGAAAGAAGAAAAACAACGAAAAGGACTTTGGGGTAGTATAAGCGGTAGTTTTCATGGTGGTTTAGTTAAGAAGCATGTTGCTATCGACGTCGGAGAGATTGATTTGAGTGATGACAGGTGAGAATGCTTTTCTTTATTCGCTTTCAATTATGTAGTATAAAGACATTCTTTTATTGTTTTCAGTGATTTGCAATGTTATTCAAAGCCTACTTCACCAAGAAAAGGCATGAAAGATCTTTTCTCTCCGAACGACAACGAACCTTTGTTACTGGATATTGATGTACACAACGGGTGCTCTGGTGTTGGTTTTAGCGTCCGAGGAGGTCAAGACTCTATATATGGTGATTCATCGCTTTTTGTCGATTCTGTATTTTCGCGTTCACTCAAAGATGGCTTGCAAAACCTGCAAAGCGGGGATGAGATTGTGATGATTAATGGTCACGATATGTCTCGATTGACGAACGCGGATGCAGTTGAGTTGCTCAATTCTTTGCCGAAAGGGGAAGTTCGTATTCGCGTTCGCAGGAGATAGTTGTCTTACAACCTCATTACTGCAAGGTTTTTAGGCACTATTTTCAGTGCTGTGCACATGCGTGACTAGCAGTGCGAGTTTCTTACATGTGCACCATGGTTTCGTAACAGAAATATATATGTTTTCAACCAAAATGATGATTTATAAATTTTGTAAATGTCCCAATTAAATTGAGTATTTTATCAATTGTAAACTAAGGTATATAAAACCATAAAAAATAATTAGTATTCACAATATATATTATAATATTATGATGTGTAGTTGCAAGTTGCTTGTCGCCAGAAAGTCCCTAAGGTCCGGTTTTACGAGTTTCAGGTAACGCTATTTATTGAATGATTACATTCGAGCCTATTAAAAATTTGTTTTGTTTACTTCATCATAACGAAATTTTTATTTTGAATCAATGTTTTGTTTCATCGATTGTTCTATTTAAGTTGTACACTTTTTGCCTCCTAAGAGATTTTTACAATCAAAAAATCGCTGTCCTATGGATAACGTTATCCAGGCTTTATTGAACCGGTCCAACACCTGGCACACCCTTTGAGTTCTCAACTATCTCCTTAATGTGGGAAACTGGGCACTAATGTGCGCAGTTAATCACTGCACATTAATTTATCATCATGCATCGATTCCCGTAAAAAGAGAAGAGAAAATTCGAAGTAAATTCAATAATTTCAAAGTAATTTACAGATTTTTAGCCTAAATGAAAGGATAACCGACGGAAAAAGATGGCTACTAGACGAACTGGAAAGTTGGTTCAACGAAGTAAGCCAGTGGAAAGTAATACAAACGAAGTAGATCCAGCCTTTGACATACCTGAAGTCGACGCAGATGAATCGGAAACCAAAGAAACTCGTCTTACATTGATGGAAGAAATTCTTCTTCTGGGTCTAAAAGATCGAGAGGTGAAATTTGAACTTTAAATTATGAAATCACGAAATGTTTATGATTCCTATTGTTTGTTATTAGGGTTACACGTCTTTTTGGAATGATTGTATTTCGGCCGGCCTACGTGGCTGTATTTTAATAGAGCTTGGCATTCGTGGAAGAATTGAGTTGGAGAAGACTGGAATGAGGCGAAGAGGCTTGCTTAGTCGTAAAGTTATTTTTAAAAGTGCAACACCAACGGGAGATGTTTTATTAGATGAAGCACTTAAGCATATTAAGGATACACAACCTTTAGATACCATTCAAAACTGGATTGAGTTGCTAAGTGGTATGTATTCATTTTACACTCTTATTACAGTCTTAGGATGGTGTACTGGCTATCACATCTTACTTTTTAAAGTTTGCTTTGTTTTGAAAGTTCATGCACCAGAAAGACATTTCAAATCTTGGTTTTAAAAAATTTAATTTGAAAGTAGGTTATTATTTCATTGACTTTTTTAATTGTTGTTATTCTTATTGATGTAGGCGAAACATGGAATCCATTTAAACTTGGTTTCCAGATGAGAAATGTCCGTGAACGAATTGCCAAAAATTTAGTTGAGAAGGGTGTCCTCACCACAGAAAAACAAAACTATGTTTTGTTTGATATGACCACCCATCCTGTTGTTGATGCATCTGTTAAGCAGCGTGTTATTCGTAAAGTTCAAGATTCTGTTCTTAGTCGTTGGTTGAATGACCCTCAGAGATTTGACAAAAAAACTTTATCACTCATTTATCTTGCTCATTCTTCTGATGTATTGGAAAATGCATTTACACCATTGTCCGATGAAGATTATGATGTTGCAATGAAACATGTTCGTGAACTATTAGATTTGGATCCTGAAGTTGAAAGTCAAAAGCCAAATGCAAATGAAATTATGTGGGCTGTTGTCTCTGCTTTCATCAAGTAGAATAACGAGGATTTCTTAATATTAGAACATTACTATCAATTGGATGTCTGTTTTTTATATAGTCAATCAGAATTGTTCAATTGTTAATATTGCTCTTACATGAAGGCAAAATAGTGGGAACAAAATGTGTAGACTTTGTTTAAAGTTTGATGGTGATGTTTTGCATGTTTATATATTTTTGCATGTCTTAAGCATTTGTAAAGAACATATCAACCATTTTGACTGTATACAACTTGCATAACTTGTAGAAAAAGTGGATAGCTGACTTCATGAACATGAAAGTTTCCGTTTTTACATTATTCCAGGCGAATAGTGTACGTGTTTTTAGGTGTGCTGGTAGGAATTTTCATGGCCTGGTAAGTCGAGAGACGGTTGAAAAAACATAGTAAACGGAAAGTATGTTTTCACAAACTGCTGACACAAGCATTGCGTGCTCGCATATTAAAAATGGCTTCATTTTAATATTTGAATTACAATTCCTTCGGTTTTAGGCTTTGTTTATGTAAATAGAATGATCTTGCTCTTTATTTCCTTTCAGCGGTAGTAGAAGCAAATTTTCACTCAAGCACATCATGAAGTGGGCGAAAGCTGTACAGTTTCAGGTTTCTTGACGATGAAATATGTCAATACGACTCACTCCATGATATACATGTGATACCGAAATTCGACGAAGGTTACAGAGACTGTCAAATAGACATCGAATTTTGTAAACATCGCTTACTCTTGTGTATTAATCTTAAAGATATAACGATTTCTTCCGTCCACGAGCCAAGGAGTTCTACCGTCGTGGAATATATAACCTGAAAACGATATTATAGTTCAAAGTTAATTCGTCCTCGATGGCTGTTTAGTCCTAAAAGGAACTGAACTGAATTTAGTGTAAGTGTTTCTATGTACAATATAGGCATGTTGTAGTTAAGCATAATATTACTTTGAACATAAAAGTCAGACCGAATTTATTCGAGAGTTTCAAATACTATTTTCATATTCTTAATATATTTGAACATTGAATAGAAACATGATTAATAATTATTTGATATTAACGAACGACGAGTCGACGAGTATATTTGTATTTTAAACAAGTTGGAATTGGGTTGTGAGCCAACTTCTTAAACAATTTAGATATAATTTGAGTGCTTTCTTTGTGAAGAAACACAGGATAAGCGTCATAAGAGCAATATCTAACGGCATGCCCCATTGCATGTGTGTATTTTTGAATGATGCGTCACATCAAAACATTGTTGGCAAAATTTTCTTCAGCAAAATACAGGTTGGCAAATACAAGCTTTTCCAAATTGGGCACATTGTACACATTGTGCTTTTGTTTACGATTTACACAATGAGAAATTGAATGTTTATGTTCTTTAGGGATCTTACGTATTCGATAAGTTAATACAATATGAAGTTCATTCAGAAATCAGTGAAAATCACCTCATGTAAAATTGTAAATGATTATTGTACAACCTGCTCTTACGTTACTTTTTTCAGTGCCATTTTTGGCTTTAAAATATTTTTTATGATGTGTTGTGTCGTGGCATATTTCAAACGATTGAATATCGCTATTGGAAGCAGCCACTTGTAGTAATTTTCATTCATTTAACTTGGTAACTCTCCTGCCAAAATACTTCAATTTTCTAGATCAGTTAAGTTAACTCATGTATTGATGTCAAATTTTATAAAAAACTGCTTATCATCAATAATTTTATGTGAATGAAAAGAACCTTTCAAAAGAGACAAGTACATCGAACACTCGAAATGTTTTTTTTGATGTGTTTTTAAAAGCTTCTTTAAAAATTACGTAAATTTAACGTTGCAATATATAAATGCGACATTCCTTGAAATTAGAAAGTGTGAATGCTACTTGACAAAAGTGTGATTTATGCCGATTGTATTTAATTTGTGAAATTTTGTGTTCAAATTTACCTTCATTGTGCTTGTAATTCAATAAATTAGAAAAATTGAATTAAAGGATCACGAACGGTGATCCGTTTTCACTTCTATTAATTAAAGTATTGTTTGAATATATTTTGTGTTGTAAAATCGCTATTATTGCTTAAGTCTTATAAGCTTGCTAAACCACTTGTTTCTGAGTTTAAAATAAGACTTTATGCGTGACCATCTTCTCGATTGCCACCTGTTGTAAAAGTGTTTACATATTCAATGTGTGTTTTATGTCCAGTCAGTCCAGGTATATCAATCATGTTTTTGAGACGTACATCTGTAGTTTCCTCGAGCTTTCTCTGTGATCGTGTTCTCCTACTTACAAGTCACAACGTTCATCTCTCTCTGTTAAATATAGACTCTCAGAATCCTAGCATGGCCGATGAAAACAACGTGGTGTTTCGCCATATAGACCGTAATGAAATCGACCGTAATAGTCGACCAGAATCGGCACATAAAGGGAACCTAAAACGCCTTAAAACAAGCAGTGTTAGCGGCTTTCAAAGATGGGAAAAAGAGAATGAGCTACTCTGGGCCATGCTCGAAGATGAAACAGAATGGCTTGCAAAACTATTTCCAGATATTGTCATTACACCTGAGTTATTTTTCTACACACTTGAAGATGGCGTTGTCCTTTGTCGCTTGGCAAACTTGGTTCAGCAATCCGCCGAGCAGTATGGCAAGAAAAATAAAGTGAAGGTGCCGTCAAAACGATTCAAGTTCCACACAAGCATACCGAAAAAGAACAAGCAACTCGCCTTGTTCAAGTCCCGTGAGAACGTACAAGGATTTCTCACGTGGTGCAGGCAAATCGGAATTTCCGATTCCATTTTATTCGAGTCAAACGATGTTGTGGAAGCGGATGAATGTCGCGAGGGATGTCGGGAAGTTGTGATATGTCTCATGGAAATCGCACGCAGAGCATCAGGTATGTTCAAGTTTACTCCAATTCCTAAACTTATTCAACTGGAAAAAGAAATAGAAATCGAGGAACAAGAAGATGCAGAAAAAGAGGAAATTGATCAGGTCGATTACGCAAGTTCTGAGGAGGAGCCACATTTTGGTGGTCCCAATGCCGACACGGGCTCTTCGCACGGAGAGAACCATCGTTCTTCACCAGTCGATGATGATGTTGGGGGAAAGAAAAGAATCGAGGACACATACCGAAGAGTGAACTTGACAAAGAGGTGCGTTAACCTCAATCAATAATGTTTAGTTTAAAATGATTAAATGTCAAGTATCTTTACATTATCTTGTCTATATGAGAAGAAGTACTAAAGTGCTCTTGAACAAATAGGAACGGTGTTTATTTTTTGTTTTAATGGCCGGCTTATCGAGATTGCCTTAATCCTCTTTTCTAGGTGTTGAAGATTATCGACAATTTCAACTTTTACAACATTCGTAAAATCAAAGAAGGAAAATACATGATACTGGGGAAAATTATCTTCGTTCGAGTAGGGAATTGATTTGTTTTGTTTTTTCACTGTTTTTCCCTTCTTTGAACAATTCCTCTTCTTATTCAGATGTTAAACGGGCATGTTCTCCTTCGTATCGGTGGAGGATGGGATACGCTGGAGCATTATCTCTTGACACATTTACCTAAATTTGGTAAGGTTTTGTGCGCACGCGCTTACGTTTACTAAGTTGCTTGCGTCAACAGTCCCAGCGTTCTTGCGTCAACTAGAGTGTAGTATGCGCGTCAATCGATTGCAAGATCGAAGTAATTGTTTTTGAGCATATTAATCTGTTTTGGGGAAAGTGAGATTCAGCTGCACAGCCGGTTCAAGTGTTGAGAGTGGGCTGAAATATTGTGAAGTGGTATTTGTATTTTAAAAGTAAGTTAGTAAAAACCAATTTGCTCTCTTTCGTTTTATAAGTTATTTCTGGCTGTATTCCCAACTTGATCTACATAGTATAAATTGTTGCTTGTCTACTTACGTCTTTGCTTTTATTGAGAATTTTTCTTGAGAATTTCATAGCGGAATGCTTGACAATTACTTTGACAAATCTTCTAAACTGTAGTGTTGTTTCTTTTCTAAAAATCGATGTGTGCGTTATTTTTCTCACAAGATAGATACATATCCAGTTTTAGGTGTGATCTGACATTACAACTCATAAAAAATTCATGATTTTGATCAGAACGTCTGTGATGTCCACTGCGCAACATATTATTTTCCTACGTTCTCCAACTCCATTTTTTTTATTTGTGATGTAAGTCAACATGATTTTTTACCGAACCATTGCTCGTACAATGGTTTTTCTTCATACCCATGAGCTTTGCTATATTTCGACAGCTGTTTTGGTTAAAATGTTTTTATGTAAATTAAAGCGGTGTCATCTTACACAGGTGAAAATGTATATAACTCAAATCAATAGTTTGCTTGCTTTCTTTTTATCCTCGTCACTCAAGATGAAGGATTTGATTGTGTCGGGCGTATTTTATCCGTCACGTGACAATAGTTTAATATTGTGGAAGAAATGAACAGTAAATATGTTGAGCTCAACAAGAAGTCGTCTTTGACTCGTGCTTTCACTCTTGTGTGTTGGAAGTTAAAATTTTCGGATAACAACTAAATATAGGCTATGCGATAAATCAATGCGAAGCAAAGCGCATATGACTTTTTGTCGCCGACAGAAAAACGGTTTATTTACTTCTATGCACGGAAAAAGTTAAAAAGTTGCCAATTGTGGTGTAGCGTACTATGACATCATTGACGTGTCTTATCTTGAGACCACGGCGACCACAATACTCTCAAACCATCACGTGCTCTTTATGCGTAACTCGGTTTTACAACTAATTTTTTGACTGCTTACGCTGAGAAATTTATTATTTGTGATTGTATTACGCGCAAATGAAACTTGACTTAACCCATAAATGCATTGTAATGTGTTGTACCGCATTTTTTCTTAAAATCATGAGATTAGCAAATTTTTGCTCCCATACTTTTACGTTTAATGTTAACATGAAGTAAAAGTATGCTAGTGAATCCAAGATATAAACAAGTCTATTCCTATTACAGAAACGATTAATATTTTCCCTATGCTTTCTCGTAATATCGGAGATGTCTAAGCATAAGTACAAACAAAAAAATGCTCAATGGAATATCTGGGTAGTTGACGCGAATAATAATTGCCGATTCTTTTCTTATTTTGGCATAACTGTAAACCAGACTGTACGTAAGATCTCGCGTAAAATATTCATACAAACACTGCATGATATCTGTAGTATATATATTTATCACAGTATAAACTTAACATGCAGCACCACATGAATGTTGATATATGATTTTCCTGCCTTAGCTGCATCTGAAAACGGTCATTCTGCTACGGAAACGGTGGAACCTTCTGTGTCAAAAACTCCGCAGAAATCTCAACTCACAAAGATTTTAGACAAAGCCAAAAAGGAGCAGCAATTAAGAGGTACTGTTTTGGAAATAACTTCGCTTATTGTTTCACGTTTGTTTCTTTAGCAACGAAATGTCCCCCAATCTTTGCTATGCTTTACAATGCATTTATTAATATTTACTTTCATTTGTTTTTGTACAACAGCAATATCTTTGCCATTTTTTTACGCCATTAAAAGGCATGAATTATTTATGTTTGCTGCTATTTATGATGCCATTGTTCGTCTATTATGACTTATTATGATGAAGCTAGTTTGCTTTGAATGAATGGAATCAATGTGTGAAGTTCAGCATTGATATTTTTAACACTTACCCGATTTATTTCAGAAAAGCTATGTATTTTTTTGTTGTTTTTGATGATCGGTTAGCTTCATGGTTAACGGTGGTCTCTCTTCACAACAAGTTATACTCAAAAACAGGAAATGAATCATTAAAAAACACTTAGATTATTGAAGGCACATCTTTCGTTTTCTCTAGTGTTTTCAAAAGTGAACAACGTGGTTTTCTTATTGATGTCAAGCTGCATATTTTAATTATTTTTTTAACAACTATGTGTGAACACTATTTCTTTTTGCGACATTATGTTGCACTGTAGGATAACTTTTTACTGTTGCATTACATGATTTTGGCTTGTGAATTCCTCCAGCCTCCATTATCCCTTGTCAAGTGTCGTCAAATCAATATTTCATGTGAGGTCACCATTCAATTATTCATTACATCAAATTTTCTTTCACTGACAGCCACGCCATCACCTTATCGTCCAGCTGGTGTGAACGGAAGCGAATCAGACGAAGAGGACGACGAGAAAGACATTACAAACGCTATTAGAAAGATTGAATTATCTGTTAATCAAAACATAGCCACAAGAAGGAAGAATTCAAGACATTTGCTCGAAGAAACTCCGCAAAAATCTCCAACAAAACAAGCCATTATTACTTTATCTCCGGATAACACTTGTATCTCAGAAAAAAACTCAAAGTCTAAATCACTGAGTAGCAAAGATATGGATGGTGTAGAGCAACAAAACGAAATTACTGGCGAGATGTTCACTGCAGAAAATGATAGCAGGAACAACGTTGATGTATTTCATGTCACTCCTGATGAGAATAACGAGGAAAATATGATTAACATTGAAAATAAAGAAGAACTTCACATGGACGATAATACTGAGGGTTCTGCGTTTGCTAAAGCTACGGATAATTCAAAGGATGTCGTCAACATTGGTGGCGATATGAAATCAAAAGGTTGTGAGCAATTTATAACGAGCGAAAACGAGCAACGTAGCCAAGAGATCGACAGTCATATTCAAAATCCAACCGATGCACCTGCCGTTTTGTCCGTTGATCACAAAATTGAAAGCAATTTCCCAACCAAAGATGGTGACTTAGTTTCAAGAGACTTACAAAATGAATTCGTTGATCCTAAAATGGATTCTCAGATATCCGAAAGTAATCCTGATGTTACTGAAGTAAACAAAAATGCAAATGAAATTGTTGGTGAAGACATTTCAGAGGATACTGCACAAGAGTTCGTCAGCTCATCCACAACTCCAGAAATTCCTCAAACTCCCGCGAAATCTCCCAGTCCTACTAGAGAAGCTGACTTAGAAAAGCCAGATAAAACAAAAACAAGAAAGCCCGGCAGCACTAAGTCCGAAACGAAAAAAGAACCTGTCAGCTCAACAACCTTGCGTCCAAAGAGTGCGAAAGCATCGACAAGGCCAGATAATACTATGGCTCGGAGCAACAAGAAACCCACTGTAAAATCAAGTACAAGCAACGCTTCAAAAACTAAACTTGGCAGCAAAGCATCCAGTGTTGCAGCTACTGTATCGGGTAAACCCACAACAGGCGGTCGGCTGAGTGGTAAAAGTTCATCCACACACAGTACTACAACAGTTACTTCTAAACCAGAGTCAAAGGCATCTACTAAAGTAACTTCATCTGCTCGACCTGTCGCTTTCGGTTCAACAGCGTCTTCCGTCTCTTCCAAGAAACCCACATCTAAATCCCGACCTGCCCCTGTGACGTCTGAAAGAAAGACCACAGCCAATGGAAAAGTAAAGACGACAGTTCCGAAGGTACAGTCTTGGTCGAGCACAACAAGCAGACCACAAAGTGGCAGACCGACTAGTAAACCGACAGATTCTGCGAAAGATGTGAGTAAAGAAAGACCGACATCTCCTGCAAAATCGCTTGTTCGTAAAACGCAGACACGCACGGTAACTACAACAAAGACGACGCGCGTTGGGGATGGTAAACCAGAGATCAAATCTCAGACGATGAAGACTACACGCACAACAACTGAGGCAAATGGGGAAAAAACAACGAAAACCACTGTAAAGGAGTTGACCCCAACCGGTCGAAAACCACTTCGTATGACCACTGAGAAAACAGAGCCAGTTACTGGTTCTAAAAAATCAGCAAAGTTGTCCACGCTCTCCAAGACCGGTGCGGGAAATGTCAAAACAGGAACTTCGAAGACTGCGGCAAAACTGAATGAAAAAACTGACAGCGAAAAACCAAGCAGAAAGAAAACTACATCGAGTGCAACAGCCAGCAACAAACATGTAAAGACTAAGATTAAAGAAATTCCTAAGGGAAAAACTGTAAAAGAGTTGTCAAATGCATTGGGTATTACTAAACCTTTAAAGAAAGTAGAGTTTAATGAACAAAAGAAAGCATCTGCAGAGGAAAAACTGCCGGTTTTGAAATCTGTTGAACCTCCAGAAAGCTTGCAGGCTCAAATATCATTGGAAGGAAAAGACAGCGTAATACCCGAGACTTCTCTGCCGAAGCCAGTTGGTTACTTACAGGAACCTGAAGATATTTCACTTGGACTAAGTGGTATCTCACATCAATCGAAAGATGTTCCAGAAGAACCACAAGATACCTCTCAGAATCCTGAATGTAACACACAGAAACCTGTAGATCACGCTCAGGAGCCTGAAAATATCACACAAGAAGCTAAAGATAACTCACAACAACCTGAAGATTACGCACAAGAACCAGATGTTACGGCACTAAACACTAAAGATGCCTCACAGGTAACTGAGGATGATGCACAGGAATCAAAGGTTACCACACAAGAAGCTGAAGATACCTCACAGGTACCTGAGGATGATGCAAAAGAACCTGATGTTATCACACAAGAAACTAAAGATACTTCACAGATACCTGAGGATGATGCACAGGAACCAGTTATTACCAGACAAGAAACTAAAGATACCTCACAGGTACCTGAGGATGATGCACAGGAACCAGTTATTACCAGACAAGAAACTAAAGATACCTCACAGGTACCTGAGGATGTTGCACAGGAACCAGTTATTACCACACAAGAAACTAAAAATACCTCACAGGTACCTGAGGATGATGCACAAGAACCAGATGTTACTAAACAAGAAACTAAAGGTACCTCACAGGTACCTGGAGATGATTCACAAGAACTAGATGTTACTAAACAAGAAACTAAAGATACCTCACAGGTACCTGAGAATGATGCACAGGAACCAGTTATTACCACACAAGAAGCTAAAGATACCTCACAGGTACCTGGAGATGATGCGCAAGAACTAGATGTTACTAAACAAGAAACTAAAGATACCTCACAGGTACCTGAGGATGATGCACAGGAACCAGTTATTACCACACAAGAAACTAAAGATACCTCACAGGTACCTGGAGATGATGCACAAGAACTAGATGTTACTAAACAAGAAACTAAAGATACCTCACAGGTACCTGAGAATGATGCACAGGAACCAGTTATTACCACACAAGAAGCTAAAGATACCTCACAGGTACCTGGAGATGATGCGCAAGAACTAGATGTTACTAAACAAGAAACTAAAGATACCTCACAGGTACCTGAGGATGATGCACAGGAACCAGTTATTACCACACAAGAAGCTAAAGATACCTCACAGGTACCTGAGGATGATGCACAGGAACCAGTTATTACCACACAAGAAGCTAAAGATACCTCACAGGTACCTGGAGATGATGTGCAAGAACTAGATGTTACTAAACAAGAAACTAAAGATACTTCACAGGTACCTGAGGATGATGAAAAGGAACCAGATTTTACAACACAAGAAACTAAAAATACCTCACAGATACCTGAGGATGATGCAAAAGAACCAGATTTTACAACACAAGAAACTAAAGATACCTCAGAGATACTTGAGGATGTTGCAAAAGAACATGATGTTGTCACACAGGAAGCTAAAGATTCTTCACATGTACCTGAATATATCACACGTGAAGCTGAAGATGTTGTACAGAAAGCAGATAATCTTTCACAGAAAACTAATAATACAACGCAAGAACCTAAAGAGATCTCTCAGGAACCTAAAAACATAATATATGAACTTAAAGATATTTCACAGGAACCTAACGATATCTCAAAGGAGACAGGAGATATTGGGCAGGAATCTGATGAGACTGTAGCGATAAAGCATACTGACTTAGTTTTGAAAAAGGATGCTAGTTTGGAAGCTTCATCAGTGGCAGATTCAGCTGGTGAAATGCTTGGGAATGTTGATGAAACAATAGCGTCAACCAAGGATGATATAAACACGATTAATGAATACAGAAATGTTAGCCAGAGCAGCTTAGATACTCACGAAACTGACCATCTTGCACACGTGGAAATTAAAGAGGATTTTACTGATCAATTAAAAGATGAATGTGATGGTGTAGTTTCCCCAAATGTAGAGGAACGCTTCGAAGGTTCAATTCCCGTTTCTGCTGGATCGTCAAACGTCAAATCTTCGTCTGAAATTCATGAACATGCTAATAGTTTATCTGAAACGATGGACGAACCAAAATATGAGAGCCCGGCTCACACTGGGAATGTTGACGAGAGTGTCGATGTAATTATAGTTCCAGAAGGTGAAACTTCTCGCGAAATTGACTCATTTCCATCTACTGAAGCTTGGGGGGCTGTTGAGCATAAGTCAGAAAAGAGTACTGATGCTAAAATTACTGAGAATAACAACGTGGAGATCGAGGAAAAGTTGGATTCGCATCTTATTCTGTCCATGAATGGTTCGGAAGATGATTGCGGTGACCAGAATGTACATGATTTTAATTCGTTTGCAAAGTCTAATGGCTGTCCGAGTGTGGGCCTGGGAATTGTTGATGATTCAACCAATGCTGATTCCTGATTTTAGGGACAAAATACAGTTGACAGCCTCTTGTAGTAAGATCAATTAGTGTTATGCCGTTGTGTGTTATGCCGTTGTGTGTTATTTGTAGGACATTATTTATTGGAAATAGCGAAGATTTGGGAGATATTTACCAATGACTAAATCATATTCACTTTCTAGTAAAGCTATAAAATGGAGAAAAATGAGCTAACTTGATAGCATATCGATAGTAGATTGTATTTATTTGCACATTTTATACATTGTGCTATTTCACAGGAACCAATAATTTATACACATTAATGCAACATGAAAGTGATGTATTGTGTCGACCAGCCATTGAATGAAAGAATAGTATTTTACTTACGTTGTTTATAAAGTGTATGCAAATGTAATGATTAGATTATTAATTTTGACATTCTAATCGTTCAAATAATTTTTATGTGTCAGAGAATGAGTTTGCTTGCCTTCTTTCACTAATTTTGATGTGAAAGCTTGTGTTTGCCCGTCTGTACATGCAAAATTTCTATTTTTAAACTAAAGTTTACGATTTTGAACGGATACATCTGCCATAGAAATATTAGCTTGTGTGACCAATTTTTTTTCGCCTTTACAGTCAATATGACTTACGACTTTTGTGATGAAGTACGCGCTGGCAAAAAAATTTTCGCATAAAAATTACGTAGAAAGTTTAATTCATTTACTTGGCATAGAAAGTTTTATCGTACGCCACAGGTTGTTGCTTTATGATGCCTGTTTCCCAGTGTATCGATATTTGATAGCAAATTCAAGGTATCAATAACCGAAGATTCCTAATATAACCTTTCCCCTACATCAGAAAACTTGGAGGAGAGGAAAATGAGGTTTCCCAGCGTGAAGATATTATTGACACGTTTTTGCCTTTATTTGTTCAAAGATTCACGTGCACAAAAGTTTAATACTTCGATTGTGTCAACCTGTACCAGATACTTAGCGACCTTTTGCCGACTTGTACCTAACAGCATTTGTGAAAGGTATTACATAGCTGTCCATGGTTATTGTGTTATATTTACTTTAAAAATAACAATACTGTGTCCAGAAAAGTGCTTTTTTTTGTTAATGATTTTTTTGCCATTGCTGTTCTCTTGGTGTGAGTTGGAGTAGAGTTGTTGTCAAATTTAAAAACGTTTAACTTTTGTGTTATAACTTTTGCATCAACGTGATATGTGCACGTGCAAATGTTTTCACGATCTTGACGCGTGCAACGTTTGCTTATCGTAATCTTAACTCTTTGCCATACATAAAACGTTTGCTAAAAATTTTATTCAATTGGTATTTTCTGTCCACGAGTGACAGTCAACAGAATTCTAGTCGAAAAGATAGGTTTTTCCTTTTAGTATAAATTGTCTTTCGCACTATTTAGATCTGTTATAAACTATTTTGTTAAAAGTGTTAGCAAATTCAGTATTAAAAAAAAGCTAATGCTTAAAACAATTGGACTTTACGTTTTTTGATGGAAAAAAACATGTTTTTCTTTTTAGATGCTCGTTTTACAGTCCTAAAAATTTGCATTACGTGCGCAATATTACACAACAATGGAAATTGTGAGTGATGTAAACGAGTCGTGTGCCAGGGACGAGCAAAGGTTATTTGGCATCAAATTTCTAAGAAGAATCTTTAAATAAGAAGGAACGGCTTTCCTAAACCAATTCTGTTGGTACCAGGTGTCATCGTGTACAATGGCTGTTGCGAAGGGGGATTGTGTTGCGGTTTTATCAACAATTTTCCAATGGTTTGGTTTGTTTTGCTCTCGTTCACCTGTGGAAATCTTGGTTGTGTGGCTGACGACATTTGCTTGTTTTCTCACCTTGGGTCTTTACGAACTTTCTCTTATTCCTAATTTTAAAGATCTTGATTCAAACTTGGTAAGACTCGAAAAGTAAATATTTTTTAACTTGATGCTATTGTCTACACAGGGTCCATATTCCAAACTTGTAGTTTTGTTTTCCTGTAAAATTTGTAAGGAAACTAATTTCTTTTTTATTTGCTTCATACGCAAGTTTATAACTTCCCAACTTTAACTGTTTGGTTTAACATTTATTTCCAAGGCCGAGGATCATTTGAAGACGTGGGCATTTGGGACAACAAGTTATGTTTTGATGATTTCATATCTATATTATCGATGCAAAAAATTGGTTACCCAAGAATCAAGAGCTCTTGTTGGTTTGTAGTTTTTTAAAATTTCAAAAGTTATATTTTTATATAAATTATTGATCTGTTAATCTATTTTTAAACATTTGAAGTGGAAGATAATTATTTCAAAGTATAAATGTTTTGGTATACCAATGCCATTTTCAATACAGTGGAGTGATATAAAATTATAGATATTTACAAATATAATAATATTACATAAGTTACAAGTATCAAATTAAGAACTGAATAGTTTATCTATGTTTACTTATTTATTTATAAGAGGCATGAATGTGGAATAAAATTTGCTTTATTTTTGTAGGAATGACCATCATGCATATAATTGTGTCATCATTGATATTTATTTCAACAATGCTTGCTCTGTTTGGTAGAGATTGGACACATATCAGGTGACTTATAGTTTACCATTTTCATTTTAGTAAGTAATTTTTGGTCAAGATACAAATCAATATTTCCTTTATAGAGAGGCATTGCCATTTTGTATTCTTTTGATCGATATTAAAAAAGTGAATGTGATTGAAAAACTAGTTTTGTCTTCAACATCTATGGTAATTATTTTCAAAAATTTCAATATTTCTACATCGTATATTTGTTCTTCATTCAGAGTAACATTCATCTTTTTTCAATTTAGGAGGATGTCCATTTGAAAATATCCAAAGGTTCTGGCAAGATTGGACCAACACTTACATTGAATACCATTGTTGAAGCTTTGGTCATTTTGATTGGGACATATTCAGGTTGAATGCACGTTACTCATTGTTGTTTTTTTAACACAAAATGTAATCCATGACATTTCTTTTGCTTTTAGGAGTGAAATCAATCGAGATTCTGTGCATTCTTGTAGTAGTTGCAGTTATTGTAAATTATCTTGTATCAGTGAGTTTTGTACCCGCTGCTCTATCACTTTATGCTGAGGTTGGTAAATTTTTTTTCTCTTAACTAGGTTTGTTGAAACTTATGAGTAGAATTGTTGACACTATTGAACCCTTGTGATTCTCTAGTTAAGTCATGTTGACAGTTACAATGAAGGGAAAAAACTACCTGAGAAAAAAACAGATGAAAATGTTAACTATATATCCAATCCAGTTGTGCAACAAGTTAAAATGATAATGGTTTGTATTTTTCCATATTCTAAATGAATCTCAGGCAATTTCACCCGTTCTTTTTACACTTTATTGTACTTCTTTTGTTTAGTCAATTGGTCTAGGAATGGTCCATATACATCTGTACATGTCATCATTGGGAGAAAACAGCCGTGTAACTTTGGGAAGCATGCCTTTACATAATATTTGGGGGTGAGTGATAGGTTTTTGAAGCTGTTTTTTACACAATGTGACAAAATAATCATTAACATTGCTTTTTTTCAGACTTGGTGACATGTCAACTGAACAGGTAATTTGGTTAAAATGTTTGAAATCAAGAATATTCTTGAAATGTAAATGTATAATGTTCTGTATTAGGTGATTACTGTGACACTGGCTCTTATTTTTGCTGCAAAGTACATATTTGAGAATGACTATGTACGTTCGTCCACAAAAACAATCCAAAATGGTGAATTGTTTGATGGTACATTGAAAAATGGCACTTTGAAGAATGGCCTTGTTAAAAAAGGCAGTTTTAATTATTTAAATGGCAATCTGTCAAGAGTGGAAAACGATCCTGACAGTATGACTATTGCAAGAAAAGCATTGTTCACAATCGGTGAAGGATTACAAGAAAAAGTTTCTGCTTTGGTCAGCTCTGCAACTATGGCTGCAAAGTCTGCCACTTTAGACAATGTAAGAGTCACTTTTTCCACTTCAACCTAAAATGTAAACATCTTCTAAATTTTTACCTTGTAAATATGTTTTATTAACATTAGTCAAATCTTGATGGTGATACAGATGAAGAAATATTAAGAAAAATTGATGCAAAGTCAGTTGCCCTGCATCAGTTGGAGAAGAGGTTGACTGATTTGACTCGAGCTGTAAACATAAGGTATATTATCATTGTTGCTCAGGATAGGTAGAAATTGATTTACTTAAAAATAGATTTTTTTTTTGTTAGATGTACTTTATAAGTTAAACAAGTATCCTTTTATTTTAGGAGAATTGTTATCGAGAAAAAATTATCAAACAATGGTAAACTAACCAATTTACCCTATGAAACTTATGATTATTCAAAGGTGAGTACTCTGTTTCTTGCTATCATCATAAATGATGTTGTTTTCTTCCTCAAATATTGCAATCAAACTTTTGAATTTGTCTTTTGAAGGTGATTGGCTCATGTTGTGAGAATGTTGTTGGATACATGCCAATTCCAGTTGGTGTGGCTGGTCCATTGTTATTGGATGGTCAGGTATATTATGTTCCTATGGCAACAGTTGAAGGATGTCTGGTTGCTAGCACAAACAGAGGATGTCGAGCATTGGCAGTAAGCTTACCATTTTATTTTGTTGAAAATCATAACTTTTACATCTTATTTTGTTCTTAAACTTATTCTAATGAACTGTTGTTGTCAGTGTTTGTTTAAGAAATCAAATATTTCTTTTGCCAGTCTAGTGACGGTGTACGGAGTCGATTACTTTCTGACGGTATGACTCGTGGACCTGCTGTTAGGTTTCCTTCAGCATTACAAGCGAGGTATGAAATTATTACTTACGTCGCTACATTAGATTTTACATTGTGGATATTTCAACACGTCTACATTACTTTGTCTAGCGATGTAAAGGAATGGTTGAACAACGAAAAAAATTTTGCTGATGTAAAAGAAGCCTTTGATTCCACTAGTCGGTAAGACCATAAGTAAACTATTGAGCATGTTACGTACGTTCGTATAAACCAAATTACATGCATGCATTTCTTTTATAGAAATAAATCATTCACTGACTCTCAGTGCTGAAATATTCCTTCTTGTATTTTCTATAGATTTGCAAAGCTACAGAGCATAAAGTGTGCTCTTGCAGGGCGCTTGCTGTTTCTTCGTTTCAAGGCAACCACCGGTGACGCAATGGGAATGAATATGATATCGAAGGTACTATACGTCAACAATGTTATTTTGGCGAAAAAACGAATTCTTTTTTCTGTTTCGTAATGCTTACATCATAATTGATACTTAATTGATACTAACATTAATGTAGCATTAGTTTATTTAGTTTTTTTTATGTACTTTTGACTTGATCACTGATCCTTTTTAAGTATGTAGTTACAGACCGTCTTGTCTTTATGATATGTCACTAGTAAATCATCCAGTTACTATACATAACTTAAATGATTTTTTATCTTCTACTTTTCCTAGGGCACCGAGCGGGCTTTGGCTTATCTTCAAGATCGCAATCCAGAAATGGAAATTATCAGCATTAGTGGAAATTATTGTACAGATAAAAAGTCCGCAGCTGTCAACTGGATAGAAGGAAGGGGAAAATCTGTTGTTTGCGAGGCTATTATACCTGCTAATGTCGTATCTAAAGTACGTTGTATTGTAATGAATTTTATGTTGTACACGGGCATGAAAACTATACGGCAAAAATCATTTTCTTTTTAGGTTTTAAAGACATCAGTTTCCGCTTTGGTTGACGTAAATACAAACAAAAATCTTGTTGGTTCGGCAATCGCCGGTTCATTGGGAGGTTTCAATGCTCATGCAGCTAACATTGTGACAGCTGTTTTCCTCGCGACTGGACAGGTGGGCTAATGTCTTGGACGAGGTTTTCATCGAGAAATCTCAAGTTGAAATTTTGAATGCTGACTAGTGTATATTTTTGTTAAGGATGCTGCCCAGAATGTTGGTAGCAGTCAATGTATGACGTTGATGGAGAGATGTGGCCCTGGACAAGAAGACCTGTACATGAGGTTTGTCCGTACAAGTTGAACATAATGATTTTCTTACATTAGCACATTATTGCCTCGTATCAGTATTGGTTAATTTTGTTAATAAATTTATATTTAGCTGTACAATGCCATCGATAGAAGTTGGTACAGTGGGAGGTGGAACAGTCTTACAACCACAAGGTGCTTGTCTCGAGGTAAGTTTTTATTTGTAAATTGAATTGTGTACATGGTTAAGAAGTTTAATGTTTTTTACTAGAATTAAAGTGCCTAAGAAAGGAAAATTTTTCTATGTAGAGCTTTGAAAAGAACAGTACACATTTTGGAACAATTTATACATAACTCTTTTGAAATGATTACGCAGCATTTTATACCATCAATGCTTCCAACAACGAAGGGAACTGTGCTAGATTGAAGTAACAGATCACCTGAAAATACCATATATACCTGAAAATTCAAATTTCATTGTGTATTGTAACGTTATTAGTTGTGCAAATTGAATATTACAAAAACCTTAATATTTTGAGTATGAAAAGAGAGATAGATAAACTGTTTTAGGAAGTTTATTTTCATTTGAAAAGATCTCTTCATTGAAACTTTCATTGAAACGTCGAAATTTTCGTTTTATTCGCATTTTATAGGCACAATTATTTTATTTACTTTTTTATTCTTATGAACATTGTTCCAGTTCTGATTTATTTTTCATGTATTTAGATGTTAGGTCTGCTTGGAGCTCACAAAACTAAACCAGGCGAGAATGCGGCTCAGTTGGCAAAAGTTGTTGCTGGAACTGTTATGGCTGGAGAATTATCGTTAATAAGTGCTTTAGCTGCAGGACATCTGGTGAAGAGTCACATGACCCATAATAGGTAACGTGAAGTTTTCCGACAGTTTTAGAAAAGAACTCATTGCTATACATACAGTTAACCCCGTATAAGAACTTAGATTTTGAGAACCTGTCAGGCGAAAAATATTTTTTAAAACTTTTTTTTATGTATGAGAACTTGTTTAGGCTATGATTTCAAACTGGTTAATATTTTATTTTTATCACTTCTAAAGAGTTGAAACTAATATATGTATATGTCAAAGAAACGAAACCCTCACAAAGTTATGAAAATCCTTAAGAAGTAATTATTCACACCGAAAATGACTCACTTTTTCTTTAAAATAAAAATAATCTATTTAGTCTAACAGGGCAATGAGCTCCATTGAATTAAAAACCTGTTCTGGCTAACTTGAAGATATCTCGATTCATAAACACGGGCTTTTACTGTTAGTTATGTTGCGTTTCTTCAAAATGATTCACCGGTTGAAACATCAATTTCATTAACTTAAACGAGACTCTGTATTATAGGTCCAAGGTTGACTTAAAAGATATGATAAAAGTATGTCCACTGCCATAATAGAAATAATCAAAGCGAACATCATCATGGTTTTGGATTTAATCTGACAGCGAAGCAGTGATTTGCTCAACTGTGATTCATACTGCTACGTTTCCCACTTTTGGAAGTAATGGAACAAGAACATTCCCAGGAACGTTTGCGGTTTGCCCAGCAAATAGAAACTACACGATGCTTCAATGATGTGCACACTTAATTTATTGTCACATAAAACTGTTAAATGTTCATTTGTATCTGAAAGCTATTAAACTGTTGAAGTGAGTTGTTTTTAGTGCAAAGCTGAATGGAAATGTTACAAGATATTTTGTGTAATATGTGTATATTATTAAATTACGTAAACTTTCGTAACCAAATGGTTTTTAGAATTCCAACCTGTTTATTGTTTTTATTGCAACATATACAAGGAGTGTCTTTTTTAACGTTCTTTGTCAATACTTTTTTTGTACCTTTGAGTCAACCCTTTTTATTCAGCTTTGTGTCTACCTTTATGTCTATACTTGTGTCAACATTTGCGTATACCTTTATGTCTACCTTTATGTCTACCTTTTTGTCTACCTTTGTGTCTACCTTTTCGTCTACCTTTTTGTCTACCTTTGTGTCTACCTTTGTGTCTACCTTTTTGTTTACCTTTTTGTCTACCTTTGTGTCTACCTTTATGTCTACATTTGTGTCTACCTTTATGTCTACATTTATGTCTACCTTTATGTCTAACTTTGTGTCTACTTTTTTGTCTTCCTTTTTCTTGGATGATACCTGAAAAGGATAAAGCCATAAACGCAACCATAAACTCATCTAACTCAGGAATAAGCAGTAAGAAAACTTGCATTATTTGACTGGCTGAACAAATTTGTGTGTGATTTGATTTGCGTCATACTATGAAACAATGGTCAATTGTAAATTGCATTTATGAAAGGAGAACAATTTGTGTAGAATCACCGTCATTTGTTTTGAGGATTCCAAAAACGCATAGTTATCCGGTAATTTGTATAAATATGAATAATGACTGTAAAACAATCAGGTGAAAATAATCCATAATATTAACATGCTTAAAGCGGCTTAATTCGGTCTGTGAACAAAACTATGATTTATTTTAACTGCTTTGACTTATCAACTACTAGGTGTCATGGCAAACAGTCATTTTGTATTTGTCAAGGCGACAAATACAAAGTAAGAGTTTTGGATAGTTGTGCAGAGCAATGTAAGTTTGGTTCTTCTGATGGAATAGATGACTGTATACAACGTTAAATTTTCTGCTCATTAACGAAATACTTCTTATTTGATTGTAGATCTATTAAATTGTATTCCCATAAACAGTGAAGATTATCAACATCTGTGAATGTAACTAAACAAAAAGGAATCTACGACTTCGAAAAAGCTTGTCAAAAAATGTTCTCACTAAGAACAGCTAAAGTCAATGGTTATTCCAGTGATCCACGTTGGAGACTCTTGGTAAAAGTCGATCATTTGGCATAAACAAATTAAGAGCAAGTTGAAACATTACCGATATATGTGAGAAATTACGGATGATGACAGACTACGCGAAGGAGAGGGATCAAGTCAAGGTTTATACAACATGAACAACGATGAAACAAAGCAAAAATCAACAAAGCAAGCTGTACGGAAAGGGAAAAAACACAAAGTCAGCCACAGTCCACTTAACCACTTTTCCAGTTTTAGTTTGTTATCATGCATTTAAGAAATATCTACGGTATTCTTGAACAATACAGCTCAACATCCATACAACGAAGCAGCCAACATATAGCTATTAATGTGTAATAATGAAATTACAGATACCAACTAAACTCGTGACATCTACGTGAAGATGCTCCTTCTGTTCAGCTCGCTCATCAATCATCCAAAAAGACTCTTAGCTGCCTAAACCAATACCAAGCAAGAAATTTTCCATTCTCAACTTCAATATTGTTTGAGTGACCGAAAGACGAAAAGAAAATCCACAAGTGCCATTTATGAAAATTTACCAACAACTTTTGATAACAGCTGCTGAAAGAAATGTGAAAAGCAAAACCATTGTGAAATATGCTACAGAAGTACTTGCTTCGATATCATGCGTAAAAAAAGATCTCAAGTCTAATGTACTCCTGTTGTGTGGTAAGACTACATACGATAAACAAATCTCTTTTGCAACTAAATGCGTTTTGATTTATCTCTAATGTTCTTCTTAAAATGTCAATGGTTTAAAAGTTGATGTTAACAATGTATATTTACTTAATACGAATTATATTTTTTTAGTACTTTAATTAATACACTGTCTTAAAATGACTAAACTTGCCATCTTTCTCCAACTCACTTACTGGTCGAGTGGGTAGGTAGAGGTTTCTCAGGTTGTGGTGTGAGGTTCGAATCTTCGAGGGTCAATCAGTTGTTGTTGGGCTTGGTGTGTTGAACATAAGACTTTCAATAACCGAGTACCGTGAATGTCAAGAGCACAGTAAGGGCAGATAATAGTGTACACGAGCTGTACAAATGGCAATTCTATTGTTGGTTTTTAAAGAATGGAATGCGAGACTTAGTATATTTTCAGAAAAAAATCCCAAATAAAAAAAAAGAAAAGGGGATTTGTTGCAAAAATTTTGCCCTAAAAAAACTAAGTCTTTTGATCAAATTTCTCTATGACTTCCCGAAGGAAGTCATTTTTTAATAGTCAGGAAACAGAGGGCAAACCGAACGCCCTTTCACATCCCCTTCTAACCTCAACCTTGCACTTAATCCTCAATCTACAACCCTAACTGACGACGACACCGGGACGAACCAAGGACCTCGTGCATTGGAGGTCAGACAGAGCCTGTCAAGCCGGAAGCTCAACAACGAATACTAACAGTTTCTTGGCATATTTCCCCCTTTTTTTTTAACTTTGAAGTAGAAATATACAATATACAAGGTGGTCTTGAACCTTAGAAGGTGCAACTACATTAGTCATGACTTTACCTTAGTTATTTACGTATTATTGAACTCTAAAAAGCTAAAGAGAACGAAGCGGTCTCGAACCCGAGAAGGAGTGATCATCAAACCGTCATCTGTACCATTCAGGCATGCGAGAGAGATGTGACGTCGATGAAAACATATCAAGTGTTTCAACAGAACAGCATTTATTGCCTTTCATTACATAAGGCGCCTTAGTTTATAACCTGTTTTGAAAATATGCCTTCGACGGCATCATAGCAATAGTAGAACTCTAAAGGCAAGGGCTTCCTGATCGAACTCTAAGCAATAAATCTTTACCATGAAGAAACAAGAGGAACAAAGTAAGTCCAATGGCATCCATTGACATGTGGTGCATTCGGGTCATGACGCGCATGTCCTTAATCAATTTTTTCCATTCAAGAGTATCGTGAAAAGACTATTTTCATAGATATTTTTTCTTGGGTTTCCCGTCGTCAATTTTAATGATCGTCATTTCAAACCTTTCTGTCTAACTTTGTGTCTACCTTCTTCTAGTCTACCTTTGTGCCTACCTTCTTGTCTATCTTTGTGGATGCCTTTTCATAGGACAAATTTCTCATTTTGTTGAACACCACGACATTTGAAAAAATTAGTCATTTAATAGTCGAAAGTAGTCAATGTAATCGAAGTAATGGAATGTAGAAAGGGAAAAAATTTTAAAAAGCTGTCATTGCATAGAAGACGATATCATAAAAAGGCGTCATTAAACTCTCGACTGTGTGGAACCAACACCAACAGTCAAAAATTATGGTTGGTGCGTTTGATGATGATAAAATTTGGCATTTTGTAACGTTTGTTACCGTCTGTGGGCATTTGTGTAACGATCAAAGGGCACTTTCGTAACCAAAGCAGGCATTTCTGTACCGTCAGCAGTTAATTTGGTAACGATCATAGGGCACTAAGTCGTCATTTCCTAGGAGGAATCGTAATCGAATATAGTCAATGGCCTCAAATAGAATAGACGTCTTTTCAGAAGTTGTGTCATCTGTTCTGGTCAAAATCTGTTTCGTCTTACCTTTTTATGGGAGACGACATTTAAAAAAGTTGTCATTTTATGAGGAATAGCATTTAAAAAAAGTTGTCATTGCATAAAAGACGATATCATAAAAACGTCATTTCATAGGTTTCTTTGTCCTTGTTTGGAATTATTAAACCCTTGTCTTTGCGCGACCAACACTAACGGTCAAAGAAAATATGGTTGGTGCGTACGATGATAAAATATAGTTCAGTTAGTTCAAACATAAAGTCCAATTAACTCGACGCCATTACATCGGGAAAAATGACCAAAGACATGCTCGTCACTGCCCTGATTTACCACATGGCAATGCGTGAATTGACTACCTTCGATTACATTGACTACTTTCAACTATGAAATGAATAATTTTTCAAATGTTGTGTTCAACAAAATGAAAACTTTGTCCTTTGAAAACGTAGACACAAAGGTAGACAATCCCATTAAGGTAGACAGAAAGGTAGACCGAAGAAAGGTAGACACAAAGATAGACACAAGGTTTGAAATAACGATCATTAAAATTGACGACGGGAAAGACAAGAAAAAATATCTATGAAAATAGTCTTTTCACGATACTCTTGAATGGACAAAATTGATTAAGGACATGCGCGTCATGACCCGAATGCACCACATGTCAATGGATGCCATTGGACTTACTTTGTTCCTCTTGTTTGTTCATAGTAAAGTATTTATTGCTTAGAGTGCGAAGAGGAAGCCCTTGCCTTTAGAGTTCTACTATTGCTATGATGCCGTCGAAGGCATATTTTCAAAACAGGTTATAAACTAAAGCCTTATGTAATGAAAGGCAATAAATGCTGTTCTGTTGAAACACTTGATATGTTTTCATCGACATCACATCTCTCTCGCTTGGCTGAGCGGTACAGATGACGATTTCGTAATCACTCCTTCTCGGGTTCAAGACCGCTCCGTTCTCTTTAGCTTTTTAGAGTTTAATAATACGTAAATAACTGAGGTAAAGTCATGGCTAATGTAATTGCACCTTCTAAGGTTCAAGACCACCTTGTATATTGTATATTTCTACTTCAAAGTTAAAAAAAGGGGCAAATATGCCAAGAAACTGTTAGTATTCGTTGTTGAGCTTCTGGCTTGACAGGCTCTGTCTGACCTCCAATGCACGAGGTCCTTGGTTCGTCCCGGTGTCGTCGTCAGTTCGGGTTGTAGATTGAGGATTGAGTGCAAGGTTGAGGTTAGGAGGGGATGTGAAAGGGCGTTCGGTTTGCCCTCTGTTTCCTGACTATTAAAAAATGACTTCCTTCGGGAAGTCATAGAAAAATTTGATCAAAAGACTTAGTTTTTTTAGGGCAAAATTTTTGCAACAGATCCCCGTTTCTTTTTTTATTTGGGATTTTTTTCTGAAAATATACTAAGTGTCGCATTCCATTCGTTAAAAACCAACAATAGAATTGCCATTTGTACATCTCGTGTACACTATTATCTGCCCTTGCTGTGCTCTTGACATTCACGGTACTCGGTTATTGCAAGTCTTATGTTCAACACACCAACCCAACAACAACTGATTGACCCTCGAAGATTCGAACCTCACACCACAACCTGAGAAGCCTCTACCTACCCACTCGACCAGTAAGTGAGTTGGAGAAAGATGGCAAGTTTAGTCATTTTACGACAGTGTATTAATTAAAGTACTAAAAAAATATAATTCGTATTAAGTATATATACATTGTTAACATCAACTTTTAAACCATTGACATTTTAAGAAGAACATTAGAGATAAATCAAAACGCATTTAGTTGCAAAAGAGATTCGTTTATCGTATGTAGTCTTACCACACAACAGGAGTACATTAGACTTGAGATCTTTTTTTACGCATGATATCGAAGCAAGTACTTCTGTAGCATATTTCACAATGGTTTTGCTTTTCACATTTCTTTCAGCAGCTGTTATCAAAAGTTGTTGGTAAATTTTCATAAATGGCACTTGTGGATTTTCTTTTCGTCTTTCGGTCACTCAAACAATATTGAAGTTGAGAATGGAAAATTTCTTGCTTGGTATTGGTTTAGGCATCTAAGAGTCTTTTTGGATGGTTGATGAGCGAGCTGAACAGAAGGAGCATCTTCACGTAGATGTCATGAGTTTAGCTGGCATCTGCAGTTTCATTATTACACATTAATAGCTATATAAGTGTTGGCTGCAATAAAAAACATACCTTGTTCGATCATTTTAGATTAACGTAGATGTTTTTATTCTTATAAGTAAGTTCACATTTAGGTGAAAGGACACAAATTAGTTGATGACTTACATAGCATTAAAAACATTCATTGCTAAATTTACACGTATTAACAGTGAAATAACAATTAAATTCTAGATTTATGATTTTAGTTTGTCTATACCAGTTCCTTAAACAATGAAAACACGATAGCTTACAATATTTTAAATTGTCAATTCTTACTTCTTTGATGACTTGATGATGAATGAGAACCACCAGAATAAACATTGACTTCAGCTGTTCTAAGCGAGAAGGTTTTTCAACAAGTCGTCTCGAGGTCATAGATGTTTTTTCAGTTACATTAACAGATGTTGACGATCTTGATTGTTTATCAACACGATTTAATAGATCTGAAATCCGATAAGACGTATTTTGGAAATGAATAGAAAATTAACGTTATGTAGCTACCGTAATCTATTCCATCAAGTATACTTTGTTTTGCCTTACCACAAATCTTTTCAATGCAGTTGCATTTGTCGCCTTTGTGTGATCTTGAACTGTATGTGAATGACAGCTGTTTGGAATGACGCCTCGCAGTTGATAAGACTATTAAAAAAACTTGAAGTGAATAATATCTTTACTACGATAATTAAACTGCTCTTGTGTATGTCATGGATATGCTCCACTTGACTTTTTAACATTCATTATTGGTACTTGAACAAATTACTGAAAACAACAGACGGTGATTCCACAAAAGAGCTATTTTCTCTCTTCATTAAATATACATAATTATTATCTTAAATTCTTATAACAATTGGTCATTGTCTTATGGTACCACGCAAATCAATCACCATCAAAATTTGTTCATCCTTTCAAATAACGCAAGTATTATCTTACTCCTGAGTTAGATGAGTTTATGGTAGCCTTGATTCCAGAAACTCAGTTAGGGTTTATCGTTGTTTAAATTGCTTCAGGTTCCACCATCTCAGTTGATAACAATAAAATATTCTTTTGTTATAGGAGTCCTCCAGCATGGCGGACATGAAAACCACCAACATCGGTCTAAGATTCAATTTCCTGTTGAAGGGTTTATACTCAAATTATTAGCTATTGCCAGATAGTTTTGAAAACGATAATTAACCACTTCCCTTTTTCTTCTCTCCATCCATATCTCATTCGTCTTACCATGGAATTTCCTGCCGTGATTTTCTATCCACGTATCTACTTTTTACGGTAATTTTATACGTTTTTTGCTTCAGGGAATGTCGTATTAACGGTTCAGTATACTCTCCAAAAAATACCACCTCACTGTCAAACTAAAAAGGGACTTTCAAAAACAAGAAGGGACTTTCCAATCCATCGTTTTTTTAACGCTGCTTTTTCTATGTGCTTTTGTGTTATTTTTATGTGAATATGCAACAGTACTAAAAGCAAACACAAAAAATATTATGTAGATACTAATGGATTATAAATCTGACCCACGTATCATAGAATTTTAACACAATTAACTAATGGATATTATTTTTAACACTTCTTGTCAATACCCTGTCTGCCAATAACCAAGGTGTGCACGATTTAATCTGAAATAACATTCGACTTGCATTAAAATACTTCTCTATTGCGTTCACGATGAATGTCTTTTCATTATTCGGGTTTACACAAATTTTTGAAGGTAAGCAGTTGTTTCATCGATCCTACAAATAAAGGATTTAGTCGTGATCATACTTACGATTTGGGTAATTTTTTGTTTTGGCAAGATGTTTTCTATGTAAATACATAGAGATATTTTTAATGATGAATTTTTCAACAGTTTTCCTAGTCATTGCATACGTAAAAGCATTTTACAACGAAGAAGAACGATTGTTGAAAATGTTACTTGACAAAGCTCCACATCCAGATGTATTACCCAGAGTGAACGGCCCTGTTCAAGTAAAGTTTGGTTTGACATTAAATCAAATTATAGACGTGGTAAGACTATTATGAAATTCTGAAAATATTTACGAAAAGTTCTTGTGGAAATATCGACAAATATCTCACATGTTTTGATGGTTCAACTATTCTACTTCTAACATATAGGAAATGTATTTTTTCAGAACGAAAAACAACAAATATTAACAACCAGTGTGTTTGTCAGACAGGTTTGTAACAGTGTCGGTCTTTTCAAGTCGAGTTTCTTTCCTATGTCTTGTCGAGTTCTTGCAGGAGTATGTCTTTTGTTCATAGTCTTGGAACAATCCAAGTTTCTCATGGAATCCAAATCAATTCATGAACATTACACATGTAAATATTTATTCTTCGCGTGTGTGGAAACCAGACGTGGTCTTGTATGACAGGTTTGTCATGTATGAAATTAGAAAATATGTGTTCATGTTACTTCAATGTTACCATCGTGTTATGACAATGGTACCATCAAGTTACTACAATATTACCACAATGTTAACTACCATGTTATAACTATGTTAACTACGATGTGTAGAAAATGTTACCACCATGTCACCACCATGGTACTACAAAGTACCACAATATTACCACCATATTAAACTAGCTTGTTATAACCATGTCAATTACAATATCAACATAATTTTACAGCCAGGTTAAGCATTGACAAGTCAACTATACCATGTTTTTCCACCATGAAATGCTAATGAAAGATTTATTTGAGTTATTTTTATCTTCATTTGAAAAATGTACAAAACGTGCACTGTTGAGCTGAAAGAAACAATAAAAACTACACATCTAAATGATTAAGACTTTTATAGTTGAAATGTTCGTTGTCTGGCAAATTTTTTAATGTATGCTGGCGCTATATCACATCTCATACATTCCTTCAACAATCAATTTTCTGACGTGTAATTTGATCTGCATTTTTCCAAAAAATTTTCGTTCAAAATTAAAATGAATTTAATGTTCAATGCAATAAGCAACACAAACAGCATGGTACATTTCACACACAGCAAATACACATTCAAGTATTTACACACCTATGAACATACAAACATGCAACTTGAAACAACTTTTTACAATCTTCTTACAGCAGCTTCAGTGTCAAAATTTGTTCCGACAAGGATGATGAAAATTGTTGTCGTCAAGCTTCGAAAAAGTTGCTCCATCTTCTTGCGATATAACAAGCCAATTTCATTTTGTTCAATCAGCCAAGAAGTGTTGACAAAATGTACCTGTTTGCGTTTTCATTGCACAAACTTGATTTGCTTTTTTAGTGTCGCTAGTGAAAAAAGTGGTGGTCATCTAGATGAAGCTAAGACAAGAATAATCGTGAATTCTTCAGGCCACCATCAATGGTACACTCCGATCAATTTCGAGAGTCACTGCAAGATAGATGTACGCAACTTTCCTTTCGATCAACAAGCATGTGTCGTAAAACTTGGTTCATGGACCTATGATGGAACAAGACTGGACATCATTCCAGAGGCAGCAAGTGCCGATTTAGGTAAAAGTCGATTGAATTTTAAAAATGACAAAAGTGTCACGTCCCCGGTGGCATGAAAACCGTAGAAGGACAAAAGGAATTTTTCTAAAGTTACTGAAGTTGATAATTTGAATTCATCATGGCTGTAATCTATATGAGTAAAGGCAACTAACAATAAGAAAATTAACTTTAAATCATTCATTAGGTTCATTCAAGACAAGTGCTGAATGGTGCGTAATGGAGTTTCCCGTGAAGAAGAACATACTTTACTACGCATGCTGCGAAGAACCTTATGTTGACCTCACTTACACGCTTAGGATCGAGAGAAAACCGCTGTCCTATGTGTTCAACTTAATTATGCCATGTATTTGCATCACAGTTCTGACAATATTATCGTTTTGCCTACCACCAGAGTCAGGTAACTGCATGTTTGAAGATATTGATAGTCCAGGTTAGTGCAGTCCAGAGAAGGAATGTTAATGTTAATTTTGACTGACACTTTAACATCCACAGCAGTAGTGAGGTTAGTATTGAGGGCTGCACTAACCTGAAGGGTATGAAAATTTACAAAAATATTTTGATGTATCCGTGTTCAAACCATTCACTTTATAATCAGACAATGTAGACATGATGACTTTGGAATTGTGACTGACAAAACTATAAAATTCCACATTTCTCCGAACTTTGATGAACACGAGTTATCATGATAACATCTGAATACATCTGTCAGATTTTCTACAATCAAAATCAAAATTTTATTTGTCTTTCAGGTGAACGTGTATCACTATCGATCACCATCATCCTTGCAATGACAGTCTTTATGTTTATTGTCGCCGACAAAGTTCCACCAAATTCAGACTCCATTCCATTGTTGGGAATATTTTATTTTGCATGTATGATTGAGGAGACCCTCGGTCTCATAGCTGTCTGCTACACCCTCAGCTTGTACTACACTGATCCCAAATGGTACAAAATGTCCCCGTGGGTCAGATGGCTTGTTACTGAATTGGCAAGAAAGCTCCTGGGCATCAACACGAAGGCGCCCGGACATAAATCTGATTTGATTCACCAAGAAATAGCAGAAAAAGTCCCGTTCAGTAAAAATGAGCAGCGTGAAAGCAGAAGCCGTATAGGTTGGGGAAAATTACGTGGAGAAGCATCGTTTCAACAAACATTTGAAACGACCACTGAACACTGGAAGTTAGCTGCAATGATAGTCGATCGTGTTATGTTTGTAATCTTTCTCGTGGCTATTAGCATAACCTTTATCGTAGTTCTTGCTACTGTTTCACAAGAATGTAAGAATTGAAAAAAATGGTAATAAAAAAAAGCGAACTGCGAGCACATATTGGGATACATTAATTTTAATTTAACATTATTTCTTTTATGGATAACTATTTTCATTGAACTGTTAAGCACCTATCACTTTGATGAAGGATAGTATTCATTACAGTGGTTGAGTCCGGAACGTGGGCGCACTACAGCTTGGTCAGCTGACGTTGGTTTCGTACATGGTTTCGTATACATACATACCATACGATGGCATCGCTATCGTACCACTCACTTTGAGTTCATCATCTTTCACACCGTGCATTTAATGGCATACAAACACAAATTTAACAACTCCCCAAAGCAGATATACCAGAAGCCCAATCTGCAAACTCAATGCGTAATTCCGGCAACTCTTTTAGACTTTCCAGATTAAGTTCTTTCACCATCAGAGCAATAGCCTCCTCACTGACGAGGGCAGACTCGAGAAGATTTGAGGTATTTGACGCCGTGACCTCGAGTCTCCGCAGCACAATACAATGTGGTAGAGGATACACGGTGTTCTTACAAGTTTTATAATTCACATTTTGTAAAATTTCAGAGCCAACAGCTAATTTTGATGATGATATTGGTCCCTTTAAGGACGTTGTCAGCGTGATAGAACTATCCATACGCACAGCAGACATGTTGATCTCTGTATGAAAGAACGCACGTCCTAATTAAATATAATTGAACAATATGGTGACCTTATCAATAGAGACGAACCACATGTTGTGCAAGTGCTTCAGCTGTGACATAAACTATCAAAATCGCCATTCATCATGACAACACACATGGAACTTCTTAGTCAAATCAATCAATGAGGAAAATATTATCGTTCGTAACATTACAAAGAGATGCAGTTTCTTTCACGCTCGAAAAACTATGTGACTTCAACCAAATGTATATTTTCCATATGGTGTGCTCTGATTAGTGACAATTACCTTTGAATAAGATCATATGTGTATAAGCTAAGGAAAGAGTAATGGAGTATACAGATTTCGTCTCTTGATTTCGTCAAACACCGTTACTAACGAGGATAAAGTTTCTTACACATATGAGCTAGAAACTTCTTATGTAAACATTCCTGAACAAAGATTCTTTAACAACTCGCACACACACATTTCCTCGCCTTGTCAAATGAAATCACTGTCTTGTCATATTAGTTGTGTTCAAAAAATGGTCATGCAAGGAGATATTTTAATCTTGATTACTTTTTGGTAGCTAATATTTTTTAATGCTTAGCTTATCAGCTGAACTCGTGGATTACTTCGCTCATGTTTTTAATCGCACTTTAATTCCTTGTGAACTTACTTCACTTATCATTGTGCAAACAGAGAACTGAATTTAAGCCAAACTTTTTTTTAATTGAATCGTCATAGTTCAAAAATAATTCCTTCTTATAAGCAATATAGACAGACAAACAAGTCCTATCGATAAACTATTTTAAGCTGTGTTAACAGCCATTATCACACGATATTAGGCACGAGTAAAAACACACAACATTTAAAATAATTGACGGATGTGATTCATGTTTAAACAAGACAGTCTTCAAAACTCTTCATAAAAATCTTGTCATAGAAAAAAAATTTAGTTGCTGACGATGATTTTATTTTAATAAGTAAAAGAGCTTACGAGATTAGGATTTCCATTACGAGTAAAAATTATTTATTCGGACGATATAACGCATATCTTTTTGATAAGCTAGAACATTTCCCCTCCAGCATTATTCGTGCTTCGTGTGGACAATGGTTAAACAAAGCTAACTACAACTATGAAAAGATTTTAAACGTATAAACTGGTATAGACTTGTTAGTTGGTCATTCTAAACAGAACAGGTAACTAATTGTATTGTCAGAAACAAGAGTGAAAACGTGCATGCTGACGTCATTATTACACATGCCCAAATCTAAACGGGAATATGGATGAAAGACTGTTTACATGACAGTGAAACGTACTATTGGATTCAAACACTAACTTCTCCAAGGAATAAATACAGTTTGCATTTAAGTGTCGCCTACATAGTTAAAATGACATCCACTTTTTAAATCTTTCTAACAATATTTACATCATAATACGACACTTAGAAAACGCTACACTATTTCTCCAAGCACAATAACATACCTCCTCTTTTTTTACTGAAGTCTGACTGCAAATTTCTGTCGATTTAATGATTGAACTACATTAGTTTTCAATGTTTTATCAGAGTACCTGCAGGGCTGGAATGCTTCGTAGCATGAAGCATTTGAATGGAGTGAACGGTATTTAGGTTACACCAATATCTACCGCGTGATTGTTATCAAACGCGTCATTCGCTGCACGCATCAGCACATTGTCTAGCTATTATCGCGCAACCAGACACACCGGAAATTATTTAAGATCTGCAAAATTGTCCTTGTGGACTAAAGAGCACAGCTAAAGAGTTTAAAGATGATAGTGATTGCGCTTTGAATCTTTAAGCAGTCATTTCAAATATGTGTTAGTTTGCTTTTTTTCTACATACCAGCACAATATCTACAACTTTTTTTGTTAATAAGAAACTGAGGATTTACTCGTATGAGAAATTGTGATGTATGGTAAACAACTAATTCCATAGAATCTTCATCAAAAAAGTGATAAGAATATTAATAAAGAATTGTGGTCTGTTTACGCTTGGTAAACGTTCTATGTAATGAAAAGTGAGGATTCTCACGAAAAAGCTAAACAGTGAAGTATTACAAGAGAGGGTCGTGTTGACTCTTAAGAAATTCAAAAAATGAAAAAATTCCACGTAAAAAGTCTGAACATGTGTCATTATCTTAAAATACTATTACCATTTATGGCAATCGCGTCACACATTCCTGCTGCCAGTGCAAATGACGACACAGGGAGTCCAACTGGATTCAATCCCCACCAGGGACCCTGAGTCAATCAATACTTTATTTAAGTGAATATATTAAGTCTTACGTCTTGTGGACACAATCAAACAATTCTTTTAATTTGTGTAGTACACAGAGGTCACACCATATGACATAAAAAAACTTTTCGCGAGTTATATGCGTTATAAAATGCTAAGATATAAGTATATTCATAGGAGATGTATTAGTTAGAATTAACTTCCCATCAAGACTTACTCATCAAAGTCAGGAAACAGACTTCATACATGGATTGACGAGTTGAATTTCTATATTTATGATCTATTACAGCATTACCCAACATATATCCAACATAAACATGTGAGCAAGAGCAATGTAAACTTTAGAAAAAAATGGTTATAATTTAGCACCTAGTTTACAAAAAGTGAGAAAAATGTACCCTTCATCCTATGAATGAAAAATACGAAACGTTTCGCACATTTTCTTGTGGGATTAGCATAGTGATCAGGCTTTGAAATTTTAACAAGTAGATATTTCTACAAGTCTTTCTTTTTTCGATACACCCTGTATAGTATAGATGACTTCCCATGTTTACGTTTTGCTGGCAGGCAGATTGATCCCAAGAGAGGTTAAACATTGTTGTTCGGTTTGTCTAAAAATACTCGACGAAAATCTGCCTGCCAGCAAAACGTAAACAAGGCAATTCATCTATATTGTCTCAATTTGTCTGATTTACCCAATCGTGAAACTCGTTGAATCATTCATATCTGGTAGGAACTGATTTTTTACGAGCGTTTTTAATTGTGAAAACATATTACTTAGCATACATATTTAGCATGCACAAGTTGTGCATATTTGTTTGAAATTCGGAGTTCCTACTTTAAGCAGGCAGCCGTTGTGTTCCTGAGCTAGTCTGTTTGCTATTCAAATTCAGTGAATTGTTCTTTCCGTGTGCAACATCTTCGCTTCACTTTCAATCTAACTCTCGTTGTCTTCAGTCATGTTAGTGAACGATTGCTTTACATTATGTCTTTATATCTAACTGAGCTTTGTTCATATTTCCTCCATTTTAAACCATTACCATGGTCACCCACTTAAAAGTAATGATAAAAATAATTATCGTATTCTGAAAACTGATCCCTCGCATGACAATACATTGATCAGACGTTTGGTTCTCCAAAGTTAAGTACATCTTCGTTGACAACACATTGATCAGGTGTTAGGTTCTCCCAATTAAGTACATCTTCGTTGTCCACAATTATGTACTTAAATGGGAGAACCTAACACCTGATCAATGTATTGTCAACGAAGATGTACTTAAATGGGAGAACCTTACACTTGATCAATGTACTGTCAACGAAGATGTTCTTAAATGGAAGAAACTAAAACCTAATCAATGTACTGTCAACGAAGATGTACTTAAATGGGAGAACCTAACACAAGATCAACAAATTTAGTGTAAAACAGCAAGACTAACAACATAGAGAACTGTTTGTGTTGATCAATATTGTATAAAATATAATTGACTATTATCAAATACTATTTAAAATGAATAGTTTATTATAAATAAGCTTTATCTAACATATAGTCCACCAAAGAAGCTTCTGACGCTATATTCTGTCTTTTCGACATCTCGCACATCTGCGCTTGCTCACTGTTCATTCTAGGATCCTTACAATTCGACTGCACGTGATACGTGTGTACCAGACCCAAGTCGGGCGCGCGTAAAACCTCCAAATCGTGACGCAAGCATTTATCAAAGAAATCCAAATCCTCGACGCCCCATCCTTGTATAGAGGTGTTAAACCCACCAACAGCGAAATAGTCCTTTGAATACACACATGCTGGTCCAAAGCTGTATTTTCGCCACACCCCTTGTAGGCGTGCAAAGCCAGAAGGAAATGCGACCTGGGATCTCTTTATTCGGCGGTGAACAGATGAATTATAATTTAAAATATCAGGATTGAATTGACTGAACATCATGGGAAAGTACGCTCGCTTTCCAGGGATACTACCGGCTTGACAACGGTAAAAGAATTCTTTATCAAATGTCAGATCCACGTCCGCAAAAAAGAGAAGGGAATTATTCTGGTAATAGCTCGCCCCAAACTCCAAAGCTCGTGCTCGGGAGAAATCACCACGTAGTTCAGACCAAGAAAGATCAAAGCCCGCGTGACTGGCTTTAAATTCGGCAAAAATTCTTTTGTGTCTTGCTGGCGAAGAAACGTCAGGGAAATATACGACGAGAAGGCTAACAGAGAGTCTTGGCTTCAGGAATGATTTCTTAAAGCTGCTCAGAAATTGAATGAAAGTATCGAAACGTCCAGCTAGCGGAACAATGAAATGTAGAAAAACCTCAGAAGACAAGTCAGAACTTTTAGTCAAGATGTTCGCTAACAACGGTCCGTAACGTTGTTGAAAATGCATATTACGCTGAGTACGACGGGGAAGGAAAGTTTTACTGGCATCACTGCTTCTCAATAATGTTTCCAAACCCATTGTATATTGTAAACCAAAAGTGGGATGATTACGTTGCCACATAGTGTGAACCTTCTTGAAATCTTCAGGCAATTCCTGCAATTGGCGAGCCATATCATTTATAGTTTCCATCACACCAATAATGATATTTTTTCTGCCACTCTGTAATGGACCACTGACCCACGCTAGCGGTTCCTCACTTAAGCCATAAACATGCATATAATCGGAAAATTCCCATGGCAAACTATTATTGACAAACATCAAGCCGTCAAAGTTGGACCTTCGAAGGTATGCAGTGTTGTTCCTGGGATATTGAGAGATTTTGCGGATCTTAGAGAATCTATGATTCAAAACAGCAGCACGATGTTGAACATCGAGAAGATATTTGGTGAGAAAATAATGGTGTGTATGAAGCATATAAGATCTCTCCTTGATTGGATGGACACTTAGTGCATTCCTGAAGGGACTTTTACTCAAACTATCCCCAAAAATCCTCTCCGGTCTTTTAAAAATTTGAGTAAACAGATGTTGACTCTGCAATAGAAAAACAATAGGATCATTACCAATCCGGACGGCGAAAAAATTCAATAAAGCAATGCCTTATTCTATTTAAAATCAAGCACACCTCTTTAGCCCAGGGACACATTACACCAACATATTTACGTATACATCTTTCTAATTCAGAATCCTCGTGTGCGCTTGCAGTTTCATTTAAACATATAGACAAATATGGTGCGACATTCCTGACAACACTTTCACTCATGATAACTCCAACACCACCAATGCAGAAATTTTCACCATCTTTCAAACCGAGTTTACCTTTCTCTTCAAATTTTCCCTGGCCAGCGTAACCCAACAATATATTCTGTGAACTGTCAAACTGGTGAAGTAGTTCCACCAGCTTATCGCTTCGCATGTAGACGTCATCATCAGCACGTATGAACCAATGAAAATCGCCGATATAATTCACATAAATATACTTCAACATCATGAAAGATTTATTCACCGGTGGATAGGAATCATCAACACCTGAAAGACGAACTACATCGAAATCTAAACTACTATTTCCCATTTCCCCTAAAAAAAATAGGACTTTGACCGAATCTGAACTCATATTTCCCCATGATTCAATAATAGTCTTGGCTCTAGTCGTGATATAACGCTCAGCAGTCATAATACCAATAAGTAAAAAATATTTCGGTTTCTTCAATTCCAGCGCTAAGTTCGTAGGTCTTTTCATTGGTTCTTTCGACAAGGATCTTGTCTTCCGTGTTTGACTGTGTGTCTCACAATTTACAACGTTGTTTGGGGTATTAACTATGATTTCTCGCAACATGCACGATAATATCAGTCCAATAAGGACACCAAGTAGTAAAGCTTTGAATACGTCCATGTAATATGTCTTTGGACTTCGAAGCGGTGGCTTTAAACGCGTCATAATGTGGTAAAATATGAAAAGACATGGCATCAAATGTGAAATCCATCATTTTGATACATACTTAATGTGTAAACGACGTTGACAGCGCTACGATGGAACAAAGACTTTGTGTGAAATAATGCGTAAAAGTTATGTAAATTAGTAAATTTAGGATTGTTGGTTTTCATTGAGAGAAAATATAACTTGAAAATATCATTGTTATTACAATTCACAAATCAATATTGGGCACAGTTATACAGGGTGTATAAAAAAAGGCAACACTTTATAAAATCACAGGTTGTGTGGTTACCTGCGCAAATACATAACAGCATCATGATAAGATTATGTCAGGTTAGAATTAGGGTTAAGTTCAGTATTCTAGTAAGATGTAGATTAACAAATTTTACATATTTGTTTTCTCGTAGCCGGTGGTATAGCCAGTTCAATACTTGGAGGGGGAGGCAATATTTATATAAACATGTTTCACTCTCGTAAGTTCCTTTGAAATTGGGGATTATAAAATGCATATATGAATATTATCTCCTCCTCCCCAAACACTTCAAGCTGGTGATGCCATTGCTTGTAGCTGATGTATTCATGTGGCAGGGAAATCTATCCTACTCATATGTCAACAAAAATAAGAATACATTAACTTCATTGTTCATTAAAAGCATAGCAACCAATTTATAACAAAGAAAGAAATTTTCCTCTACATTATATTGAAGGGAACAAAGAAAGAAACTTTCCTCTACATTATATTGAAGGGAAATTTCGAATGTTAAGTAAGCTTTTTCAACATGACTACTTACTACGAAGAATCACATACATGTATTGACAATACTCACTTACCTTTAGCAATTATAATGAAGATTTCATAACTCCACAATGAATCACAGCTTCTCTTTTCAGCTCAGCAATATCCTCCAAGGAATAACCACACTCCTTGAGAGCTTCACATGTATCTTGTCCAAGACTTGGTTGCTTTAAAGACACCACATGACCAGGTGTCCTTGACAATTTAGGTGCAGGACTTGGTTCCAACATACCATTAGAATTTGCAATGAACACATCATTTGCAACATTTTGTTGATGCTTTGGTGCTTCAGATAGACTTAGTACAGGAGAAACACAAGCATCCGTACCATCAAATATCTCACACCATTCATCACGAGTTTTGGATGAAAATTTTTCAGTAAATCTTGATCTCATGTTTTGCCAGCTACTCGTGTCCATTTGATCTGGAAATTCTTTATCCAAATTCAAACCTCAAAATAAAATCAAGGAAGTGTCCGTTAAATTGTGAATTTGTATAAACATCTAAAACACCAACTAGTTTAATGGGTAATACCTTTAACAAGAAGCTGATAAAACTGTGGCTCCAAGGCCCCAACAGCTACATATTTACCGTCTGATGTTTCATAAGTATCATAAAATGGAGCACCACCATCAAGCACGTTCGTACCACGTTCCCCAGACCATATACCAAAATTGACTGTTTTATGAAAAAATGTTGACAAATAGGCAGACCCATGGACCTAAAAACCATATTTCCTAAAATATTATACTCAGTAACTTGTTTCCTATGGATTAATTATTTTCAAATAGAACTAATAACACTATTAAGTACCATGGATGAATCTATAATTTGACCTTTCCCAGATTTGGTTCGCTCAAATAAAGCCAACAAAATTCCAAGGCAACAGGTCAACCCTCCACCAGCCAAATCTGCAAGAATGTTTAATGGTGCTAAAGGTTTGTCACCATGGCGACCAAGCATTGAAAGAATTCCAGATAAACCAGAATAGTTAATATCATGACCAGCTCTTGAACTAAATGGGCCCTTTTGACCAAAACCTAGAAAAGACAAAAGCAGTTGTTTGAATTGTATACTACCTGCACAAGTTTTTATTGAAAAAAATTGAAAGTTAATTAACTAGAACAATAACAACGGGTAGTTGGGCAAGATGTAATCACCTGTTAATCTTGCATATATTAGTCTTGGATTGTCCTTCATCAAAGTGTTTGGTCCAAGTCCCAATTTTTCCATTACGCCCGGTCGATAAGGTTCAATGATGACGTCAGAATTCAAAGATAATCTTTTGACTATTTCGATTCCTTTCTTTTGTTTTAAGTCAATAGAAACAGAGCGCTTTGAACGACCGAGAGCGTCAAAAGTTTCGAGACCAATTGAGTGTAGACGATCAATACGAGTTACTGAGGCACCAAAATCTGCTAAGATCATTCCGGCATATGGAACTGGAGCTAGACCAGCAAATTCAAGGACTTTTACTCCTTGCAACACGGTCATTTTACTAAAAATTTGCTTTCTTGAAAAAAGAAAAAATTAAATATGGCGGCACAATCATTCTCCTTACCTTGAGGCTTTGCGCGCTAAAATATAAAATTTGTACCAGTGATGTGTGTGATATATGGGTGATAATGGGGTGATATTGGGTGATATCTACTGAATTGAACTAATTTATTTGGAGAGAGAAATTTATATGCAATATGAACGGTATGCAGTTGGAATTTCGAAACAGATTGCCATTCATTTTAACTTTTATGCTATAGTGTATACCTACTAATATTGTCGAGAAATGATAAAGAGATTGAAACCTTCTCTTATAAAGACAGAAAAAGTTAAAAATCTAAATAATAATTATTGACAATTGACAATATATATATAATTGATGATTAAATTGATTGGTTCATAACGTTAATATAGATCTCTACAGAACTGTGAAAAAAAAACGAGAGTGCAATATTAATATTCGTTCCCTTGGCAAACATCTTCTTTCTGTCGAGATAATGCCATGGGAACACTTAATTGCCAAAACCCAGTTCAAGTCTCCAAAAATATATTAAAATGAAAATTCCACAACTCGCTTTAACATCAACTTTATGTAAAACTTGCAAATACTAGTTCTATAAAAAAGGCGTGGTTTATCCCGAAGCCAAACGGCTCATCGTTAATATACAGTCAAAAGAAAAAGAAACTAGATAGTCTAGCCTCGAGTCTAACAAGCACTATATTGACGGTTGACCCGTAGCGATCAAGAATGGACACATGAGGAACCACCTGCGATCTGTCATTTACGCTGTGACATACTTGGAAAGCATCAAGGCTAAAATTAAGCAGCCATCAAAATCCCACAATAAGTTATATGAAATCTTGCTTCGCGCAACATTATGAAGACGAAGAAAAAGTGTACACGCCAAAGACACTTTGCGATGAGTCACAGAAATGCGCTTGAAATTTAATACGTTTCAAAAGTTGTGAATACATCGATGCGCGGTTTGAAGAAAGTAAACATGGGAATCAAAAGATTTCTGGCAAGCAATCGCGCATTTTGTAGCAGAATTATAATATTTGCTCTTGGATCTTTGACTGGATTTCATGTATCAAATTGGCTGCAAATTTCATTTGATTATCGCACGGCAGTAAATCGGTGTGTGACAATCAAACGGATTGTGTTTGACGAAGACGCAATGTTTGAGCGGCCACGTCAGCTAGCTGATGAATTTACTACCAAACAGTTGATATATATCGGTGTTATGACTGCGCAAAAGTTTCTAGACACAAGAGCAACAGTTGTTTATAATTCTTGGGGTAAAAACGTTCCAGGTAGAGTGACATTTTTTGCTGGGAATGAAACCAATAGCAGTACAACGCCGAGTTCCCTACCTGTTGTAGCCCTAAAGGATGTAGACGATAGTTATCCACCTCAACGCAAATCATTCATGATGCTTAAACACATGTATGATAACTTTATCGACGACTATGATTGGTTCATGCGATGTGACGACGATGTGTACGTGCGAACAAATAAGTTAGAAAAAATGTTGCGTGGTTTTGACAGCTCGATGGATTTATACATTGGACAAGCAGGTCAAGGTTTGCCAAGGGAACGAGGACGCCTGGGCCTTGGGCCTAGTGATAATTTCTGTATGGGTGGACCAGGAATGGTGATGAGTAAGAGTTTGTTGAAAAAACTGGGTCCGCATTTGGAGTATTGCTTGAAGAACATGTTGTCGAATCATGAAGATGTCGAAATTGGCAGATGCATTAAAAGACATGTCGGTGTTTCTTGTACATGGGCATTTGAGGTGAGCAATAAACTCAGTTACATTTACTGATCTAGAAAAAAATATGTAAAATTCTGTCAGAACAAAATTTACAATATAAGTGGTCGCTGCGCATGTAAAATGAGATGTACTACCAATTTAATAAATAATAGAATAATGTAATGTTTTAACACTTTAATTATGATTAACATCAACTTAGCCTGTACCCACTACTTCCAGATGCAATGGACATTTTACCATAATCAGATCAAAACAAACGCATTCCATTGGGATCTGGAAACGAACGCAATAGAAAACGCTATCACCTTGCATCCTATGAAGAACCCTGCGTACATGTACCGCATACACCTGCACTTCTCAATACAAAAATTGCTTGAAGTTCAACATACCACTGCTATGAAGATAAACACTTTACAGAATCTAAATACGTTACGTGAAAATGGTTTAGCAAAGAAAAGCATCGTAAAGGTACGCAGCAAAAGAGATTTGAATCAACATGTGCGTTTAAACAGCACACTGACATGGGAACTTTTCAGTCCGAAAAATTTATACAGCATCGAATCCAGCTCAAAAATGCCAATTGCGTATTCGATCAAAAAAAGCATTAACTCAGTTTTACGTCAAACATTGGCTAAAATAAACCTAGAAGCAAGAAATGTAATTCATCGAGAATTAGTTCTTTCTAAAATGAATCTAGGCTACGTTCGACTATCACCAACTCAAGGCTTGCAATACATATTCGACTTGCGCATGGCAACGTATCAACATATTGCCTTCAACAAACGCAAGCTACCTATAAACGTGCAATATCAAGCACATGTACAAAATCCCTTTGGTAATATGATCTATACGTCACTTCCCACAAGCACGAGAGATCTACCAACAGTGAATATAATTTTGCCACTTGCTGGAAGGCTGGAGGCCTTTACAAGATATCTAGCTAATTTTGAAAGAACGGTTCTTCTTACAAACGAAAATGTAAAACTTTTAATCGTATATTTTCATGAGAAAGGAAACCCCACAAAACACAAACAAATTTTGCAAAGTTATATCAACACGTATCCTCGATTTGAAGTCAAATGGAAAACCGTGGACGGAAACTTTTCAAGAGGTCTGGCACTGCAGCTTGGAGTTGCGCAGTTTAGTGATGACTCGTTGCTATTCTTTTGTGATGTCGATCTCGCTTTTGATAAGGAATTCCTACAAAGATGCCGACTCAACACAGCTCTGGGAAAGCGTGTCTTTTATCCAATAGTATTCAGTCAGTTTAACCAAAACTTGTTAACAAAGAGTAAGCAGGAGGAAAGATTCAAAAAGAGACAAGAGAATGAGATTTTCTACCCCAATGATTTTAAAGGGAACAACGGTTTTTGGAGACAGTATGGTTTTGGCATAATGTGCGTCTATGGTAAAGATATGAACACAATTGGTGGTTTTGACTTAAAAATCAAAGGCTGGGGAATGGAAGATGTTCTCTTATACAAAAAGTTTTTAACAATTAGAAAATATGACATTCTTAGAGTACCAGATCCAGGATTGCTTCATATTTATCATCAGTCCAGTTGCTCGCCAGACTTGGATCCTGTAAAGTTAAAATCTTGTCATAATTCTGCGCTTTCCCAATTGGCAAGCACTGAATCTTTGGTAGATTACATGAAAATAAAAAAATACATATAGAAAACAAATTTTGTCAATACTATTTATTCTGCAAGATGTTTTTTAATACAAATTTTGTATTTATAAACTTTGAAGAATGATTTATTTATATTTGTCAACGGCAAACAATTAAGGTAGTGTACTCAATAGTAGACTACATTGAAAAAAATTTTCATTACAAATCGCCATTTTGAGCTTGGCTTATCACACGATGACATTCTTATGTTATTTTAGGTATTTCTTTCAGACTACCAGTACATAATTTTGCCAAGAACTATCATAGATGAAGGAGACACTGTAGCTTCTTCGAGATTTAGGTAGACCTCCATCCACAACACACCCCGTATTCAATAGACGATTGAATACCCTACGACATAGTTAGAGAAATTATTTGCGTTGTTAATAACTGATGGTCCTTCAAGCAGATTTCATTTTTAATTATTATCAAAGTTAGACCAGTCACGTTGCTAATTATCAAATTTAGACCAGTCACGTTGCTAATTATCAAAGTTAGACTAGTCACATTGATAATTATCAAAATTAGACAGGTCACGTTGCTAATTATCAAAGTTAGACTAGTCACGTTACTAACTTTGCAAATTGGATTAATTAATTTGCCAAACGTGAATTTTTTATTTTTGAATGGCTTTTGTCTAACGTCAGTATAGACAAATATAATCTGACGTTTTAGTCTTACATCGCAGACAAATTGATTAAATTTCTTTTAAATACATCAGCTCATGCGCAGTTGCATGCAATAAATGATTGAATTGAACTGCAAAAATAAACGTCACTAAGACACACTACATTAGAACAATTATTATTATAATTTTAATTCAAACATTATTATGATTTTTTGATTAATGAAATTTTTACAACACCTGTAATTGCAAAAAACTTGAATATTTAAACCACTATATAACATAAAAAATATTTTATCAATGTATATCTCTTAACATCATATACTTATTCGACACATCCTTGAACCATATATCTGCAAGAAACATTTTTGTTACCTGTGTTTTTGATTTTATTTTGAACACATGGTTATAAGAGACCAGTTAGTCGTGTCATGTCGATGATGCTCGAGAAATTTAGCTTTTGTCCATTCTTGAAAAGAACCGCTGCCTATCGTCAAGAGATACCGTCCTCGAGATATAATAGTCATTTCAGTGAGTGCTACGACACCTTGATCCAAATTTTTCCGTGTCGGCTTGTATTCAATGCCGTCGATACTTGATATGAGAAAGTCATGAATATCACTCAAGGTGTTCTCGTTATGCAATTCTTTTTTGAGGGAATCTTCCCATGATCCTGATCCATAAGAGGACATATCTGATGCAACGAAGACTTTATCAATATCATTCAACTTTTTTAGTGCATTTACGGTCTCAGAAAGAAGACGCAAACAGCTACGAAGTCTTGGAAGATCATGAGGAATAACAACACGTTCACCGCGTACCTGAACTGCGATATATTGTCCACGGATCTTACTATTTTCAAATTCATTTGCCTCATTTAAGATACTCGAAGGTACTTTTAAAGCATACTGAATATCTCGAGCCTTTATCTTAAAATTCTGTTCACTAAAGTGTGTGCGATAATTTCCACCGATTCCCCGCCAATGACCAATTGTTACACATTTTGCACCTCGAATGACGTCTTTCTCCAATTTTGTCCAGTTTTTATACATCTCTGTATTAACACAAATTTGCTTTCCCTTTGAATAGTCTTGAATGAAATTCTTCAGCTTCGGACAGACCGTCCAGCCTGTTTTTCTCGCTTTTGCGCTTATTTCATCATACTCCTTGTCATTTAATTTCAGTTTTGCTCTAGTAAAGCTTTCACCTTTCTGTGAATAAAGAAAATGAATGTTCACGTGTTCAGGGTCATCCGATGGACATTCAGCCCGGTATTCGTCATGCGTGGCTATGGTTGCATAGTTACTGGCAGCTAATATCTCATTGAAGTGCTTCATGTAGAAATAGGTCCCTAAAGGCATGCCATTTCTGTCTCCAAATACAGAACTCTTCACCTTGGGTTCAACAACTCTTTTTCCTCCGATCTTTGCTTGACCTGCCAAAGCTATAAAGCTACGCAAATTCATCGTTAATTGTTCCCAGTAACGGTCATAAACCTCCACATAGCCATTTCCTTTTGTAAAAACCTCATTCTTAGGTTTCAGTTTTGAAAAATCAATTTCTTTAGGAAATGATGTCTTCAGATAAGTAAATACTATAGTGTCTTCTTCCGAGTTTCCTGAATCTGAATATTCCACCGATGTTATACCTCTGTAACCACTTCTTAGCTTTGAACAGAGCTCTTCTGATGTCCCTTTGAATTCCGTGAGTATATCTAGACGAGGAGGGTGAGACTCCACGGCATTCTTGTAAATGTCATTTTTCTTCTTCGCCAGCGATTCTTGGACGACTGGTTCACGATAGAGCCACATGATTCCAAATGCAATATTGGTGAGAAAGAACACCACAAGAATAAATATGCACAAACGAAATCGTGTCCATGACCTGAATAGAAAGTAGAAATGAATAAATTCAGTTGCGGATCTAGACCATGTCCACCGTTTCAGTTGACACGGTAAAAATTTCTTCAAAGTGAAAAAAAAATGAAATGTATTTCAGTTGATAAAATACCATATACCTCACTTCAGCGTTTAGGAACGCTGTATCGAGCTTCATTCGATGAAATATGACCAATAAGGATTTCGTCAATTAACTTTATTTCAATTATTTTTATTCATTAACACCATTATGGCGCTTTGTTCGCCGATAGAAATGGAACTACCCGCCGTAATATATATATTTTCATAATTAATATGTCACGACTGGTCATGACTCGAAGTATCTAAACTGCACAATGCATATTGATCAACCGCGTCAGAAATATTGCACAACAGTATCAGATGATACCATTTCAGCATTTTGATTGGTTTAACTACCATTATGAGCCTGTACCATTTAAGGTAAATAAGTGTTGCTGACCGTGTCAAAGATCGTATCTTTTCTTAGAGAGCATGCACCCAGACCTTCCTAGTGACGGCCATTGGTGGCGGCTCGCAATGACACGGTCAGCTCAGGAGCTAGATTTCCCCTACTGAAATAGCGCCATGCGTTTATATAATAATTATGCACTTCCAAAAAATATGTTGGTACGTCATAAATATTATTGATCATAGAAAATTTGCACTCTTAGAAGAAAGTCTTTAATCTAGTTTGATCCAAAATCCGCCTCATCGTGTTATAAATTCTTTATTTTCTACATTGCCATTGAGATTAGCAGCTATTGTTATGCTGATATCGTAATGGTAAAAATATCATTGTTACACAACTTGAAGAAGGCAGATCTCTCATGAGGAGAGAGAAATAATACGAAATAAATAATAATAATTTCTACTTCAACGAAATTTAAGCTTTATGCTCCTCAAAAAGTCAATAATCGAGCAAGATGCAAACGCCCCGCCACGTATACCAAAGTGATTAATATGCATTGTGATACAGAAATCGTATTTATATTTTACTACATTAAAGTCTTGATGGTATTAGAAACTGCAATTCATTCATTTGACTAGAAGATCATGCTTTAAATTTTGTTTAACAACGCCGGTTCTATATCACAAAGCGCCATGATTAGATCAAGGAATGAAAGTTATCAACTACTCAAAAAAACCCAAAAAACAACAACTTTGACGACACAGCACTTATCATATAATCAGGTTAATATAATTTCTTCCTCACCTAAATTGGCCATTTCTTAGTAGATGGATTCGTGGCATTCGCTCTTTAACCATGAGGCATTAACAAGGATAGAATCTCAACATTTGATGATCGACTTAATGAACCTAAGATAATTCAAACAACTTTCTTAGTAATTAAGATATACATAACTTGAACTTTGTGTATGGACATATTGTAAGAGTATTTTGTTTATACATACATCAACAATAAAAGTAAAACATTAAAAGAAATATCTTGCCACTTACTGTTTTGAAGAAGAGAGGACGTCCAGCCCATACAAGATTTACTAAGTCGCCTCAACTACTAAGTCCAAATTCTTGAGATAAATATAATACCATTAACATGTATCATAATATATGCCTAGGTCAATTTCCATAAATTCAAATGGCTCATTTTATCAAAACATGATGATTTGGAATTATGATGTATAATTCTATGACGTTGTAAAATTCGGTTCGTGGCAAATTCTTAAGTAAATCATCAAGTTAAGTATATACTCATCTCAGCAATGTTTATACGTGGTAATTCAAATTAAGAAGTCTCTGTTGAAGTGCATCTCAGCGTGACTGGTTTTATGTCGTTATTTCAAAATAACCCACGTTATAACGTGGATTTTCAAAGCAGTACAGCGAAGGCAGCCCGTTTTTTCTCTAACAACCCAAATATTTTTGTGTTCAATGACTGAATCATTTCATTTTCCAAAGAAATGAATTTTGCTGAAAAATCTGCATTGTAGGAGTAATAGATTTGACTGGTTTTACCACTGTTTGAAACAGGGTGGAAACTTCAACGGGAAGATAAAATTAAAAAAATTCACAATGACAAATGAGAAGTATGAACATAGATTGTTTGCCTAAGGCTGTAAGAGGTCACTAGAAATTAATGAACTACACAAGTCAAATTAATGAACTGCATTTTTTAAATACATATAACTACTGGAGCATTTACCCCATAAGAGAGCAGGCCCTAAGTCTGCCACAATGTTCCCTATTGCCATGTACAGTGAAGAACTATAGTTTTGGATTATTTGTTTTAACATATCGGTATTGGCACTTGCTTGACGAAATATCAGCTTTATAACAGGCGAATTAAGATTAACCACACTCGTCTAACTTTCTGAAAATGTTTTGGCACCGACAGGTGACTGCCTTCATACACATTGAAATGAATAAAGCTGATCCAAAAGACATGAAAAGATTAAATATATCTTTTACTTCTTGGTAAAATGTGAAAAGACATAAACAGAGTTTTTGAAGTGCCATGCAGCTCTTTGTACAGGACTTTCAATAGTCATTGAAGCAAATCTTAAGAAAGGACCAATCTCTTTCTGGATCATTGCGATGGAAGTCCAAAAACTTCGTAGATAACCAATGATGAAATGAAGAATAACCTATCGTAAGTAGTCCTTGGGCTTGCGCTACTAAATTCACCTCAATCAAGGCAACGAGCCCACGATCCACCGACCCTTCTTTATCAGCGTACATGTCAAAAGAGATTCCATTTGTTGTATTTAAGGCTAGCTCCTGCAACGCCTTTAATGTTTCTTCAGTGACAACATCAAGTTTTACATCAGATTTCCATGATTTCGAACCATATTTTGACATGTCAGTTGCAACGAACACTTTATGGATATCGTAAAAGTTTTCATTCTCTTTAAAACATACCCCATGAAATGAATACATTGCTTCAAGGGGGCAATACCATGCGCTATTGCTATGTGCTCACCACGTATATGCACCGCAAGATATCTACTTCCTAGATACAGACGGCGAAAGTTCTTCACGGTTTCAATGACCAACGGGCTGGGTTTTAAGGAGTGAAAGAAATTGCTAGACCGTAGTCGAAAGCCAGTTTCCTTGAAACGAGAGCGAAAAGAGTCGCCGATTCCTCGCCAAACAACGATACTGAGACATTTTGCTGATCTAATGACATCAGTTTCAAATACGGACCAGTCCGTTATTATCGAGGTGTTGACACAATACATCTTGGAGTTTGGATTTTGTTTAGTTAAACGTTGTATGAAAGGACAACTTGTCCAGCCTGTTCTACCAGCATCAACGCTCATTTTAGCATACGTGGCGTCGTCAAGTTGAAAAAGATTTTTAGTATAGGTCGCTGCTTTCTTTTGTTCGTACAAAAAATGTACCGTGGTGTAGTTGAGATCATTTGGAGAGCATTCCACTTGGAATGTATCTTTATCTGACAGATCATTATATCCATATGAATTCAAGATATCACGTATATATTTCCTATCAAAATAGTACCCAAGTGGTAAGCCATTCGCTTGAAATCGAGAATCCTTCACCATAGGTGCGACAACACTCCGACCGGAGGCCTGTAAGACTAAGGACAAAAATGCGCGCATGCTCTGTGACATCTGTTCCCAATACCTTCCAATGACATACGCAAATCTTTTTGGATGATGCTCGTAATACGGGGATGGAGTGGTAACTAGTTGAACCGATTTCGGATAATAAGCTTTGTCTATATTTAACGTCAAGTTCAAAGCGATTTTACCAGAGGCTGTGGAATTTATAACCTTATATTTAATGCTTAAGACTTTCCCTCTTGCCTTATTTAAAGTCTCCTTCGTCAGTAGTGAGTCTGGTAATTTTTGGAAAAAAAATTGAGTGAGATGTTCTTCTTTAACTGGAGGCTTTGTAAGTAATACAGACAAGGTCTTTAAATAAATTAAGACCACAACCAAGAAAAGGAAAGGCGTCTTCCTAGAAGGAAATGACATAGTTAACGATACCAAGATACATAAATTGTTTTTACATAATATACTTCAAAAAGAATAAAATGAATCATTGGAACATTACCGACAGAACAGACGCTGGAAGCGATATTTCATTACTTGTGGTGAAGACTCATAAATATATAAGTATATGTACACACAGCAAACGCAGATCACATTCATACGATACCCATAAGTGATAAATCCAGACAAACCAAAATCATTTAATGACCTTACTATATCTCACGATCACAAGGTATGATCTTTGGTTGACAAAAAAAGAAAGATAGCAGTCGAACATATAATCACAGAAACGATGCATAATTTAGTCAATTACAAAAAGCCTTTATGACAAGAGGGTCTTTGAAAGCTACAGAGGATGTTGTTAAACTCGCGCATAATTATCTGCGCTGAAGCTTTTAAAACAAAAACACAACATTATCATATTATCAAGCGTTAATTCAATATAAACTATTCATCTTTCAGTTTTTAATTGGTAAATCCTAATTTACTTAGAACTGTTAAGCAATGGTGTCTTCGTCATCGTTAACATTTTGTAGAAGACCATACTTCATGCGTATAGCATTATGACGTTCACTTCTGTTCATTTTTCTTTGAGCACTCCTATTTTCACGATCCAATCGTCGCTGTTTGCTCTTACTCTCCTCGCGTGTAACTTTCTTGCGAGAGCAACGTTTACAACAGCAACAATAAACACAACAGGAAAGCATGATGATCAACACTCCACCAACAACAGGGAAAACAATTATCAAAACGTTACCTACACAAAGTGAGGACAAAACATGAGAATATATCATTTAAAATCTAAGGCCCGTTTCAAACGTCGCATTTTACACGAGTCGAATGCATTAAAGACAATAGAAAATGAGATAAAATTCCTTATTATCTTTTGCTTTAAATCTATTCGGCTCATGTAAAATTCGACGTTTGAAACTGGCCTAAACTCATCAAACTGAAGTCACGTACCAGGGATTGTACATTGACCCCAATACCATTTATTGCTTTTACATCCAGTGGGAATAAGCTTTTGTTTCTTATAACATGACTTATCCGAGCTGCAGTAGACACAATCATCGCCTTTAATGCACATTGAACAGGACTGATTTCTATTTTCACACGGCATTGCAGGTTTTGCAGATGTTTTATTCGTTTCGCTCGTACTTGTCGATGGAGATTGTTTTGTTTTCGTCGATTGCGAAGTTGATGAAATAGCTGATGTAGGTTTCGATGTGTTTGGCTGAGTCGTTGAGTCAGTAGCATTGTTTATCGACTTGCCTGATGGCTCTTCTGTTCTAGGTTTCGTACTAGAAGGCGTTAAATTTTTGCCGGCATTCGTTGGGGCATTGGACGTCGTCGATGTTGTAATTTTCTTTGAGGCAAACGAAATACTAACGTGCAATAGCGCTACCAGAACTTGGACCTTCATGTCACAAATATAATGTATCTTTCTTCCAACAAAAAAACAGAGCAGCACAAATAAATAAAGAGAAAAATCAATAAATTGTGCTTTTTTTTGGAACAGGATTCAAAGTTGTTACAGTTGGGTGATATCAGAGGGGTATGGATATTTTTGTGGGTCATAGAAAAACATACGTCAAAATGACAAATGCAAATTTCGGGTATATATTACAATTTTCAAAATCCATAATCTTGCCGTCAATATTTCCATGATTCCATGAACAAACGGCAAATTGTGTAGATTTTCACATAATGCTATATACAGAGTGCATTGTTTTTTTATCATGTTTTAAAAAAGTGCAATGAATGATGGAATTCTGATGGATGCTCCATGGGATGTTTTACATGACAAGTGTTCATTGATATTCATCCATGGACCAGGTACAATGATCCCAAATTTCACATCTTAATCTGCAATTGTTTATTCTTTGTACAGAGGAATCCATCCACCTCATTCTCACTAAATAAATTCAACTAAAATCAGATGAAGAATTTCAAAAAAAATTCACATTCTTAAATACACCTCACCTTAACCTCTTAGGTGTAGTTAAGACTTTCTCAAATGTTTATAAAAATTTTCAAATATATTTGATCTTGAGAGGCCCAAAAAAAGAAGGCACAAGATGTAGATGATGACCAATGATGCAAGAGGATGTTGGAATATCCAAAATGAATGACAGATGCTCCTGAATGATGTTAACACAGTTTAAAACAACATTTATAGAGACTAAGAAATTTTATAGTTTTTTTAGTGAATAACACAAGTTACAATACGAAAGAAATTTGTAATTGAACTCACTGTCCATAGCTGGAGCGATAAACCATTAAGTACTTCACTCGAACTAACTGATTATTTGTGACAACAAAATACTTTTCTGGAACATCACCACTTAAACTATTTGGGACTCTAGATTGACACTGTGACCTGGACTTTGAACTGATCTCTTCACATCTGGATGATCAACAAATTCACAAACTGCAATGCAGCTTATCTTTTTTCCCAATAAACTATGCCTCCAGCCTTCCCCAAATTTACTATAGAGTATGCTAACATTAAGATCACTTGAGAGGTAAGTTCCTTCTCCAAAGAGTGATACCTAAAAAATACAAAACATACTGCCGCAAAACCATGCTTGCATTAAAAGGATTTTGTTATCTATAAACCTTATTCAAATGAGCATGAAGTCCGTTATGCAAAATGGAATGGAAATTTTCCACTCGACTTCCATGATAACCATAAAGTACTTCCATGTTTCCAGCAATTTCATGAAACTTTCTATTGGCACTTTCCTCATACATCACTTCAAATATATGTGAAGGTTTATGAAAGGTTTTGGAATTTTCTGTCTTGTTTGTTATCTCTTGAAACTAAAGCAGTTTAACATTCATTACTTCACAATTAAATCTAACACAAAACATTAATAAACATTTATGTTTCAAAACCTAAATCCCTGATTATGACAAAAATTTTACACGTCTAGCTTGAGGTTTTTGCAAATTACCTAGAAAAATTTACTAAACCTTGCTTTCCATAGGAACCTGTTGAATTATAAAATTTCTGCTGTTAGTTATCCAATCAAGCAGCTGCCAAACATCATTACAAATATTATTCTTATTTTCACTTAATACTTTAATAGCTGGTATTTCATTCGCCACATTTCTCTAAAAAGAGCAAAAGAAAAATGTTATAATTATTTGTTATTGTAACAGTGTGTATACATAACACGTAATCGCATATTTCTTTGTACGAGCAGAACTCACCAACTCATTGACATCTTTTTCTTGATTTTCCTTAATGAAGCTAGAAGGAAACGGTCTAAGAAGACTATCATGGCGATAATTCTTCAAAGCAGACATAAATAAGCTGATTTGTAAATCAAATGCAACTGGGTCTTTTCTGATTTTCGAAAGAACGACTTCGTCATACTTCTTGTTTTCTTCCATTTTTACCAACTTTGTTGAAGTGAATAAATAGTCTTATCACACTCCTTGCTTTCGTCCATTTTCTTTATTATTTTATTGTTTCATATGGGTATTTGGCCCAAAAGGTTGTTTTAGTTGTTATTATTTCGCCAATTTTAATTTAGTTTATATAATTGACAGCCATTTACACGAATCGGGTGTGGCGTCGACAGGAAATAGCACAAAAAAAGAACAATTCGACAATAGCGGGAAAAGTGAAAATAAATTAGCCTAAATCTGATAAAAAATTTTTATGATCTTTATATTTCTTACCATGATCCTACAAAGATCGTCCTAAGACCGTGCAAGAAGTTACCATGTCATGGCAAAATCTGGCAAGATTTTATTTTTGCAAGATCGTGAAAGATTTTATGCAAGACTTTACTGTTGTAAATAGTATGTAAATAGCATGCCTAGTAACAATTAAATAGAGAAATCATCAGCGCATGCGCAATGTCCTTGAGCATGCACAGTCGAATTGACTAGCTGTCCAAGTTAATAGTCATGGCAACGACCAACTGCATTCACTAGCACCAATTTTGAAGTAAATAGCATGCTTACTGGCAATTTAACTGAAATATCATCTGCACATGCGCTCAAGGATGCGCAGTAAACTCGACTAATTGTTCATAGTCATGGCAACAACTAACTTAGTCGCAAATTATCAAAGAAATAATCTGAGCATGCGCAGTAGTGACTTTAATAATACCACAACTTTCGTAAGCCTTTGACTTTTTGTATATATATATAAAGCTAAAACTTCATATAGTAGATGTCAACTAGCAGTGGAAGCTGGGTGCGATATAGTATTATGTGGGCTTAGGGGCCCACACTTCGGTGGCGACCACACTCTCCCTGCGTACCCCGGGCAAAGCCTATCGCAGGTGATCTCGGGGTCTGATGGGCGGAAGCTTGCTATTGCATCTCCCAAGTAGGATAGCGTGGAGGGGGCGAAATCTCCTACCGAAACGTTAACATGCGGCGTTCTAGTGCCTTAAGATTAACAAGGTATCGGGAAGCATGGCCCGAAAACGGGGTTTTTTTGCTTTCGAATTTTATCTTTTTGTTTATAAAATAAACTAAGGAATGTTTCAATTAACTCTCTTCTTTTTCTGACACTTATGATTTATACTATTTTTATTGGTTCATATCTTTCTGATTTAACTCTCTCATTTACTGTTTCTCATGTATCACAAGCAAACCATCTATGGGCTTTATGGCCGACAGGATTATCTGGTTCCCTAACAAACATGAAACGCTCTAGTGCTCAAATATCTCGGGGCATCGGGAGGCATGGATCGACAATTGTATTTAGACTTTACTCAGATCTTGAAAGATTTTAGGTAAGATCTTGTCAAGATCTTGCAAGATTTTACTCATGCTATATCTTGCAAAATATGGCAAGATCTTGTCAAGATCTTAAAAGATTTTGTCCTATAACGTAAAAGTTGTCTGCTATTGATTCAAGAGCGTGATAATAGTAAGAAGTTTATTGGGCACGATTCGATTGCTAGTCTTCATAAAAGTAAAATACCAACTTTTTGGTGGTAGTTTCTTTATAATAGAGAAGCAAATAGACATGACAAAAAGAAAGTAACGCCACATCAGCAACATCACCCTATTATTCATACCGACGAGATTTGACTAACTAAATCAGGACAAAGTGTCGTCGTTATTCTTTTCCAAGTTTGTGTGATTGCAATTACTTCCAGGAGAAGGTGGAGGTGGATTGATGTCAATGGAAGTGGACGAGAGCTGTTGCAATTGCGATTGTGGTGCTGCACAACACATGCTAAAAGATTTCCATGAATCAAGAATAACATGGCAATGCAAAGTGTTTTAAAAAAAACACGACAAACATAACTGACCTTTGATTAATTTCATCAGTCGAATATGTGCTTCCTTTTTCTGTTGCCTCATTACCCACAGCGTTTAACGCTTTAGCTACACTGTTTTGATGCTTCGTCAAAATTTTTTGTAATTCTTTTGGTCTAGGAGCTTGAAGTTGAGGCGTCTTTCCAGTACGATTTAGCTTCACGTTCTCTTCTGTTGTTGCTAAAATCTCCTCAATATCATCAACCGCCTCCTACATAATTTATTCACGTATAAATTGATAACTAGAAAGCAAAACTACGTATTATTATCGGAAACTTTTTCATCTGAGCAAGATCCATTACGATTTAACGATAAAAATACATCAGCTTTATCAAAATCAACTCATCTCTACGATGATTCAACGACTAACTTGGAAGTTACTTCTTCCTTGCATATTTGGTGAGGATATTTCTTGGTGTATCACGGAGAGATTTCGTGCGAATGTGGAAAGTGATCCTTGAAGTTCATCACTTATTACCCTGAAATAAACCGAAATAGTAAGAAAGTAGAGAACCATCGAAAGTTTGAAACAAAACTTCACATTATGTTGTGTAGCTACATGCTTACTTACATCATAGTAAAAAACTCTTTCTTTTTACTATCAACCAAACAAAATATCGTGCCTGCTTTTTCCTACAAGGACATAAAACATAGCTGCTCCCCAAAATGCCTCCCACAATACCTCGAAAATAAAATGATAATCCATGACATGCAAAAAGAAAAATGACATTTAATACCTTCATATCAAAGCCAATACCATGAGCACGGCACATTTGAAAGAAGACACTGTAATGTATAACACTCAGGTTGCTGTGCTTAAGTCGTGAACTGAATATCGCGTAACGGTAAGGATTTGGAGGAGGCTGTAAGACAGACATAAATACAATAATAAATGTCTTGATTTTACCATTAAAAACAACAGCTATCAGATTGCTTTTCCAAACCTCAACCGGTGCAATACTTTTACGTTTTCGTGAAACTGCAAGCGCAGATTCAGATTTCTTCACCTTTACAGGTACTTGAAACGTACTCCGTTCACAATCAAAACTACCGTTTGTCACATATTTTATAAGTTTCATTTGCGCTAAGCTATCACTGTGAGTTAAGTTGAGATCCACAACCCACAATATCTGCTCCATCTAGAAACATAAATCCTTCAGAAAATCGAATTATTCACAAACAAACGATTTATCAAGTAGGCAAGTTCTACCGTATCAGGGTCAATGAAGGTAACAAAGTCTATAGAAATATAACCAATGATATCTCGTTGACGACACACATTAGCTATTGCAATGGCTTTCTCCATGAGCACACGAGGATCAACTGACGCTTGGGGAAAAGAGTTACCCCAACATTGATAAGCAGAAGTAGCGTGGATCTTGAACATCATAAAACTTTGTAAGAACAGACAGCAACATGAAAGCAATGAAATGTATATAAAGAAGAAATTTTCATACTTGATCACTGGTACTTAATACGGACATGTTTCCATCTGGTTCTATCAACAAATCTGTAGTCAAAGCAGTTACACTGTCACTTGGTGGACAAGCTTCGATAATACCGCCTATGTATAAAGCAATTAGAATACAGCAGTCTGTTACATGTAGCAAATTCACAACGTCCTTGTGTGTCACCTGTTTGGAGAAAAACTTCTAAAAACTTCTCCCAATTAGCGTACCCATCTTTGATAACGGGCGAAGCATGCTGTGAGAGTATTTTAGGAATCTCAGAAATGATCTTAACCATCGTTGGCTCGTGGGCCCATTTCTTGCCCCACTTCTCACCGTACCGCTGGCTTTCTTTGATTGCAGCAACGTAACAACTTAAGTGCGGTGTGACGTCGCAATAAGCTTAAAAAAGTGAAGAAGAAATATGGAAACACAAGCGATTTTTCAACGTATAAATGGTGTGACGTCAGTATGTGATAAAATAGTTGATAGTTAAATTTACCTGTTCCCCGTGCTGCGAATTCGTCATCCATTTTGAAAAGCCATCTTTTTATATGCAGATTCTCTGTTACTAACTGAGCCAAACATTCGTGAAGCTAAATAGAAATTGAATAAAGTTTCTACAATCATAACAATTAATTATTCAAACCATTTCTACAGCCTAAATTAAACCCCACTTCCACCAATTAGGTTATACGAGTTTAACATAGAAAACTGACTTTAATAAATTGAATAAACTAGTAGACACTATGTAATTAAATGTTGAGTAAAACGTCACAATTATCATGAAATAAATTATCACTTCTCTTACAATACAATTTTCTAGCATATAATTTGAATACAAACTATTGTTTTTAACTACATAAATAGGATAATGCCGACGAGTTTGAAATTGTACAATAAAAAACAAATTACATTCGAACGCTGTTATAAACAGACCTGAGGTAAACTGTAAATATCAAATTCACTAGGTGGAAAATCCGCATTTGCAGCGATGAATATTCTTTTTGTGCCTGACTTCGATGAGTAAAGATGAGCTATCTCAGGATCTGGGCTTAGGATAGGTAGATCTAAATAAGACAGAATGCGAGGTACGTAATTTCTAACAGTAATAAATAATATTGGTTAAGAAGTACAAAGAGAAAATGGATCTTCTCTTCAAATTATTGTCATCAATCATCTCAAGAAACCGCACATTACCTAAGAGATCGGAAATATAGAGATCATCCTGATGGAGAACACCCGGAACAATGTAAGCATCTCGTCCTTTGATTAATGCTTTGATTCTGAGCAAAATATATTATACAGAAAACGATATGTATGAACGAAACAATTCACAGACTGACAATTTTTAGCAAAGATTATTACAAGTGAAAAACGACCTACCTTTGAATTGTTTTGGGGCTGTATTTAAGTAAAGAGGCGAGACACATGTTGTGGTTCTACAGAATAATAAAAACGATTTTAAAAGGTGCAATTGAGGAAGATTGTGATGCTCAATCGATATTGTATACGAACGGGAAATCGGTCCAAAGTTTCAGGCACAACGATCTTATATCTGTTAGCAATATTTTCATCTTGAGGATCATCATCACTTTTGGCTTTCATTGCAAGAAGTTTGGAGTAATACTGATGAACGTCTTCGGTAATTTCAACGGGACTAACATAGATCACATCTTGCCTAGCATCTGCAGCGCAAATACATGATTTGACTAAATCGAAAACCCTTTATAAAAAATTCACCGAAAGCAACTATTACCTGAAATATCACACAGCCTTGCCATTTGCAAGTTTTGTAACATTGGTAGATCTGTTAGATTATTTCGAATATGTTGCGGGTATCCTAAAAATAAAATTTCAAAGTTTCGTTTTGATTCTTTTCGGCATTCAACGACATGTGTAAAGTACCTAATGAAGGAATGTGGACAACAACTCTTCTGGATTCCTTGATTTTACTCCATCTTGAACGAAAAATCTAGAACATGAAAAAGTTGCTTGCACGACTAAAACACGTTTAAAAAAAATGATAAATCAATATAGATGGCGTACTCTTGATCTCAGTTTGAATTTCTCCACTTGAGTTTGTCGAAGATGTTTCAACTGTTTCCTTATCATGGACAGTTTACAGTTCATGATCCACGATATGGCAATGACACCAGCCGCCCACTGTTTCCTGCGATATTCTAGGTAAGCCTTACGATCACGAAAACGTCGCCAAGAAGACTAAAAGATTGTGAGGGTGTTAAGTAGTTCAATGGTGTAGCTGCAAGACAGAGTAACAAAGGATAAATGTCACCTGGATTTTTATAGCAGCCATTTTTTCACCATCCTGTGCAAAATAACGACGACCCTACACAAGATTTATGCATGCCACTGTTACGGAAAGGTTTTCTCTATGAGATACAAGATGTCGCATTCTTACAGGTGTTCTTATTGCCCTTTCAACATCTTCACAATTATAAATGCACGTCAGAAAATGCTGAAATATATCGAAACAACGAATGATCACAAAGGTTCACACTACGCAAGGCATTAAAACACGATACAAAATACTAGCTACATACGCTTAACTGAGGTCTTTCCTCCAGTTCAAACACCAATGCCAGATCAGCTAACCTGATAACAAAAGATTTTAAAGTAAATAATAAATTTTGTCTGGAAGCCACAAACCACAAACCTATCAGCATCGATAATCGCTAACGGTATAGAATAATCACGCATGATCCTTCAAGCTTCACTATTAAGGTTACAATACTAAAGATATAAAAAGAAAGATGATGTGAGTTGCAATGCTTCGTTCACATGGCAGTATGGGCGTAGGAAGATCTATAATTAGGGAGGGGGGGCTCATGTTCACATACACATGGTATAATCCGTTAAGAGCAATGAATTTAATAAGTACCCTCCCCCCCTTATTTATCGATCTTCCTAAGCCCATGCTTGGTGATATCTTTTACCTGCCCCAAGATAGACAATAATGACGTTTAAAATCCATAAAATCCTACAAAGAAAAGACCACGTGGATGAATCAGATAAGGATCAGCGGACATTCTGTGTTGTAAAAGAAGTACCTGAGAAGTTGATCGCACTTTTCCATTTTGGATTACAAATTTATGTGCACTTTTCACCTCGTTTGAAGGTGAGGGAAGAGGGACAGAATGCTTGAAAAATAAATTTTATAAATATATAATAATTCCACGACCTAATCATCCACACGGACTTTGCGCGTGTCTTATGGATCTTACTGGAAAAATGAGGTCGATATCTCTGACTGATGTCGGCAGCAAAGAGTGATCAGTAGAACCCTGTGTAAATACATTATAAATTCACTTATGTAGCATGTGTAAATATCATGACAGAGTCTGACAACTTTATGCAAATCAAAACCTGGTGAACATTTTGAAATTGGTCGATTTTCTTTTTCTTCTTTTCCGCAAGAGATGTTTCCTTCGCAATCAAAGCATTATCGTTGTCTATCTAAGCATATAAAGTAGCAAGTTGAAAAGTAGCTGCTGTTCTTTGTAGTAACCATATCATCTATGACAGGGGGTATGCTGCTGTTCTTTGTAATAACCATATCATCTTTGACAGGGGGTAGTACTCTTTTTGTTTTATTAAGCATCTCACCTTTACAGCAGCAATGTTATATCCTCCAACTACAACAAATAAAATATAAATGAACAGAGTATGTGTGCAAATTAATTCAAGATTATAGGCTGAATGTAAAATTAAATCAATTTTCACCATAATATTCATCATGTAATCCAGTAAATCTTTTCTTAAACTGATCTTTAGGGTCATGTAACTGTAATCAACACAAAATCATTCATGCTGATAGCTCCATTTATGATTGTGATATAAATTATCCTTGTCTATCACCCCTTACCACTGCTTGATGATGCCGTACAGGAGAAGGTTCAAGTGAAAGCTCTGCTGCAGGCTAAATAATTAAAAACAGCATCTGTCATTAATATCATCCATTGAAATAATTCAAAATGTGAATGTCAAACAATCACAATCACAAGTACATACGGGTATAAGACCTCGCTCTAGCAAACTCAAAATTCCTTTTTTTGCATCATCCTCGGACACAGGCGGTGGTGTACGCTGAAAAATATATTGTGTTCAATTAAACAAAAATTCAAAAGAACTAAAAGTCATCAAACAATTGTATAACGTGAAAAACTGACTTACTGAAGGATCTATTCTATTAGAGCGAGGCAATGAAGCCAATGGTTCAACTGTACAACCAGTAACAATTTTTTGCTTTACCACACCAGTTTCTGACTTTTCATGGATCTGTGGCAGGGCTACACCATACTTGTCTTTCAAGATATCTCTTGATATTGGGTGTTCTGGCCTTGTGAGCATCTGGAGTGTTCGCAAATCTTTGATCTAAATCATTGAGTTTGTTAATGCATTTGAAAAGTAAGCTTCAGTTAAAGGCTATCATCAACCTGTTGCCCAGGAGATGGTACATTTGGTGCTGGTTTCCCTCCACTTTTTGCAACAATGATTGGCTGAAGAAGACCGTTGTTTGGGCTGAAAAATGCATGTTTCATTAGATTGATGATAGTATTGTCACAGTTATTGCAAAAGAAAAAGCGGAACCTGAGCTTTGTTTGTATTTCATTAGGCTTCTTCAGGCAGGCACTGGGTTTTTCATCGTGATTTTCTTCAACTTTCTTCTTTGTAATGGTTTGTTCCAGGGATGGTAGAGTAAGAACTTGATTGTTGGATACTTGTACCAGTTTTGATGCTTTGCTCTACATTTGAGGAAGCAAGCCAGACACATTTACAAAAACATATAAAAGTACAGACGAGCGTATTTGTCCATGGCAAAATGTACCTTGATCCCAAGCTCAGTTCTTTCAATTGCTTTTTCAATATTCTTCAAGTCTAATTTTTCTATACTCTTGCCCTCCACAGCATTGTTTATTTGCTCACGAACATGCCGTAATTCATCTTGCACCTAGACAAAAACATGAAAAACGATTATATAGCATACAATGCATACTATAACAGAAAAGTCAAAAAATATAAACTGTAAAATAACAACCAACAAAATTCATAATTAAGCATTATTTCGACTATTTAAAGGAGGATGCAAAACGCACTTTCACAAGAAGTCTCCCCACTTCTATCGGGTCATCATGAGGTCCCGTTATAGAGTTCATCTTTTATTTTTTGTCATAAATCACCTTTTCCGCCATATTTGATATCCATAGCAACAGACAGCAACTGTCATAGCAACAGCAAAAATCAGAAACTTTATACAAAATAGAATTTGATTATCTCATGATAAAACTATTGATAATCTAATTTACTAAATCAATTATTTATTTTCTCCTGTGAATTCCCAATAAAGGAAACTCAGTTCAAAAAAGTTGTCTTAATCATTTCATGCTATCTTAAAGCATCTAATTGACTCTTGATCTGTTCAAGCTGATCATAAAATGAGTAGAGCTCCTCATGAGTGAATTCTAACAAAAGATTGTCTGACTCCTACACAAAAATACAGAATAAATTGTTTCACATGAAATGCAACTAAAATTTGTTTCAGATTACAAGATAATACCTGATTTCCTTCAAACCCAATTGTACAACAGCACTGGGTTGTTTCAATTTACTCGTGATGCTTCAGCCATCTGCAAGTTCAATCTCCATTTAACACTCTCTAACTAAAAGATATTGGTTTGGTTGTAGCACTTTAAAAAATTCAGATCAATAACCACCATTAAAAATCACCTGTTTGGGTGCAATACTTCTCTGTTTTAGTTCTTCATTGACATTCTTACCATGATTTTTCCAAACATTAACAAACATCTCCACCTGCAAGACCATATTATTTCATTAACAATCATTATCTAATTACCTTCTATAAAAAAATCGTAAATAAACAGGTCTGTTTGCCTTGTCATCCACGAGCTGGATGTTCTTTAACTGTTGTGCAAGGTTGGCTGGTTTTGCAGTGTGATAGGCCGCTTGTTCTAGAATAAATACTGACGTATCCAAAATACTCTGCAAATTATTGCTGTCAACCTTGAATGCATTGCAAAGTTTTGTGTGTTCATCCTCAGAAAATATTTTCTCGCCCTGTAAGACAGAAACATAATGAAACCTTATCCATAATCCAAAAATAACAACACATAGATCTTGCATCATACTATATTACCTTTGTTGTAAATTTTCCAATGATCCGAGAAAGTAGCAATGGAAATCTTGCTGCATCCAAATCATTGATAAGGCTCACACCATTTTTTAATCTTTTAGAATTATTTAAAATTTGAATCAATTCTCGTTTATAAAAGCAATATAAAGTTCTTTCTAATTTTTTCTAGTATCTAAAGTTCATCATTTTTCTCATACATACATGATTAACATGCAAGCAATGCAACCTAAATAGAGCTAAATTTTACGAATGCATTATTATATTCACCTACGTGTGCACTCAAACTTATAAACAAACAATGAGAATAAAAAGCCATATCCTAGGATAAGACAAACATGTACAGAACTAATACTTAACCTTGTGGTCAAATTGAACATTTGAGCCGCCATATTGGATATACCTTATACAATATACATCAAGTTTTACGAAAATTAGTCGACCATGAGAATTACCGGAGAAAATAATCACAAGATTAGTAATTCTTCGTCTTCATTACAAGTGATTTGTTTTTTAAATATTTTTAATTCTATCAACATTAAGAAAGTATTGCCATAATTTTGATAAGGGCCACTCTGATTTACATTACCACAAGAAAAGTTCCAAAACTGCACATTTAGACAAGACTTTCAACAAGGCAATGAGCCCTCTCCCCCATCAACACACTCATGATTCTACTCTCTCTCTCTCTCTCTCCTTCCACCTTTTTATTGGATTGTATTCATTAATAGAAGAAAAATAGAAAAAAATTCATCACTTTTTGATTCACCTGACTCAGTACTTATGCCATACATTTTGTTATCATTTTGTTGCCATTTTTTTCAAAAGATTATCAACACACAGCTCAAGATCAATTAGAACTTTATTCATGTATTTCAAACAAAACAATGTAAAATTACAATTGAGTCGTATAACTGTAAAGGTTGTAACAACAATTAATTCTAGCATTTGTGAATACTTTTGAAGTAAAAATTTACATTTACATACTCCAAATATATCAATGTTTAACTTTTTGTCAAACCCAAGTTTTCAACTGTCTCGACACCAAGCTCATCCATGACAGGCTTACAGCTCTGAATAATGTAATCATAAACTTCTTTATCACCACTTTGGTCACATTTTAGCTTAATGATCTCCAGAACACGTACAGCCATACCAAAATCATCCAATCTACGACAAGCTCTTAACATAGCATTGACAATTCTGGGCTCAGGAACAAGATCATGCCCATAGAGCTCGTTGACACCTTTGCGAATTTCCCAATCATCAATGTCGTTCCTTTACAAAAAAGAAAATCCAGTTGTTCAACCGATGAATTGAAATTGAATTGCATTCAGTAAAATACTCCATTATATTGTACGCAAACCTGTTAAAGTAAGCTTCCCATCTTGCATCAAATGCTTCAGCAGATTCTACAGGCTTGCTTGACATCAATCTTGAAGTTGTGCCTTTCAACATGACAACATAAAACATTCACATAACCACTTTAACTTGATTAAATGCTTACGTCAAAACATAAAACATAATCTTTTACTCGATGTTTACAGTAATTTAACAACATACCTGATACAATCCTTATTTTACGAAGGAGTGGTGCCACACGACATACGTTTGAGAGAAACATGTTCTTCTGCAGAACCAAATAACTTCACAAATTTTTAATGAAATATGTCAATATGGCTGCCCAATTGATTTAAACTGACCTTTGAATTATTACTATGAACTGGAGTGTGAGTTGTTAACAATCGACTTTGTTATTGGTGGAAAGTTTGACTTTCACCCGATCAATATCAAAAATTATTCCCTAAACATGAATAAATGAAATTTTAATTGCAAGTACAATTATTTTTTCGTCATTTGTCATGTTACAAAGCAATTTTATATTTACTCAAAATTATTTGAAATGATCAGCTTCTCGAAGCAACAACAATTCAATCAAGTAACTCAGGTATTAACATGACACAAGCTCTGTTAAAATATTTTAAAAGTATCAACAGCATGTGAATAATAGTTGTGTCTATGAATATATTCATTCATTCAGGAGATTCTGAATAATGTCGTTCTCCTTCCTATGGGTAGAAGCAAAGTAGTAAAATTTTCGCTGAAGTATCTTCTTGTATGAAAAATTCTTTTTTTCCGTTCTGTCATCTTTCGAAATAGGAGCGCTGCAGCAGGTTAAATATCTTCAATAAAATTTTGTACTTGTTAAAGAAACAAAGGATTTTTTTTGTTATCATGGAGATTTTATAAATACTTAAAGCTAAGCACCGTATCCACAATCCATCGGCGTATCCACTCTTTTTTCTGCTTCAGGAAGAATGGACTCCATTTTGTGCCTACCAAGGAGAACATGATACGAAAGAAAGTTTTTTGGCCTGCAAAACGAAGAGAGAACCTTTTCAAAGCAAGTTATCCCAACAATTCTGTCAAAACGTAATTCAAACGAAATGGATCAACACTGATTTAAATAGCATTAATGATCATAAATATGCAACGCTTTATAAAACTGAAGTATCAAATAATGAAATAAGCTCCTGCGATGGAAATGCGTCCATGAAAAATGTTGCAAACAGTTTGAAAGATATAAAGTACTGGCAGGAGTCTACGCCAAAAGTCAGATGGAACAAAATGTTGATAAATCGTCTGTTTCTAAAATCTCTTGGAATAAAGAAATCAGATCAACGTGAAGAAGTTAAAAAAAGAGACGATTTTGCTTACGAATATTTGGCATGTTCCCGTAAGAATAGCAGGAAAATTGACATTTTTGAGGAAGGATCTACAATTTTGTGTTCCAGTCCACATTATTTCATTTCTAGAACTGGTTTAGTGTTTGATTCTTGTGATGAGGTAAAAAAATATTTTTATAGAATTGTTTTCACTTCAACATCACATTTTTTTTGTTTTGCTTTTAAGAAACAACACTTTGATGATAAGATGGATGTAATGAACAGAGTTTTTATGGCTGAACTCAAGATGATCCGAAAACAACATGAACGGCTCGTTGCAGATTTAACAAAACGATAATTCATTATTTTAACTCCAAAAGTTATTTTAGATAAAATAAGAAATTTGACTAGCGAGTATTCAAGAACATGAGTATAAAATTAGTCCACAACGAGTAATGCCAACTTAAAAGTTCCATTGGTTCAAGCTACTCATATATTGAGTAACAATTAGCTATAATCACACATTTTTTGGAATACTGAAAGATAAATATTGAATGAAAAATAACAAAAATAACAATTTACAACACGATGTTAGCTAGGTAGTGTTCACCTATTTCACTTATAAAAGTGTCTCATTTTCTCCCAGAAGTAACAAATATTCACAACAGAAACCATTTCAATTTCTGAATCGTACGTGTGTACATAGAATTGCTTAAATTAGAATAATGAAAAAATGTAAAATTAATTTAAACTACTTTTTCGGTACGCGCTTCTAACAAAGAAAAGACTTTAATTCTACAGTTGTTGAACCATTTCCAGTGTTTTATCAACTGTCATTATTCAACAATTCCTTTGGAAGCCAATTCTTCCTGGACTCGTTGAAGATATGTTGGATCAGGATAACCATATCTAAATATAAAGTGAAAAGTCAACATTGTTCACAACAAGACAATTATGGATTTTAATTTCATGTCGATGGGAACGAATATTTCGATCTTCACTTACGCTGATGGGCCTCCATTCACGTTAGTTTTATGATGAATGTCATTCCAAGTTATAACATCTTCTGCACCAGTTGTTGACGACCGTCCAATAGTAAAAATCAGTTTTTGCTGGAAAGCTTTTTGGAGTAATCTAAGCACTTTGTTTCCTTCTTTACTTTCAGGAAGATATGCACGTCGTGTTGTTCCTTGATATGGCTTGCCTGGATTAGGATGTTCTTTACCTTGAATACCTTGTGGAAAATTATATTTTATAGAAATGGTCCCACAAGAAGGGTAACCTGGCAAAGATTTATTTGAAAAACTGTAAGTCATTTTTCCTTCAGGTTGATCACCAATGATAACACCGTACACATAAGAGCACACGGGACATTTTTTGTTATGTTTAAATGCCTCTTCAATGCAGCTTGTACAAAATGAATGACCACATTTTTCAAGTGTCTTCTTTTTTTTAAACTCCGACAGACAAATGGTGCATTTTTCATCCTTCGTGAAAGAAGATGTGCGTTGAACACTTACAGGGTCGCTGCTTTTTTCTAATTTAATGAAAAATGAATTTTTAGATAAGTTTGCATGCGATTGTGAATGAAGATATCTGTTACAAAGTAACATGGCTACCATCATATTTCTTACTTCTGTCCCCATTCCCTTTTAAAGCTTTAAAATTGTTCATTTGCGATGTCTCAGAATTTTTACATGGAAATTGAACATTTTCGGTAATTTCAGCATCAACTTTACGTTTCGATTTATGACTTTCACTCCCTGTATAAAAAGATAGTATTTTACGAATGTAAATATATTCTGTGAAAATATATTGTAACAGCAAAATCAAAAGTTTATTACTTCAAAATTTTAAACACACACCTTTATGAGCAACGTTGGGCGAGCTGTAACTTCCATTTCCAATATGTTGAACACGCGAACGATTCGAGCCTTCCGCTTGCTGGTGTCTTGCATTTGAATTAAACCTTTGATTAAATGGTCCAAAGTCTTTTCTGTTAACATCATTTGATGTTTTATCGAACTTAGAAACAGTTCCATCAAAGTAAACCTCGTTCCGTTCAACTGCTCCAGGGAACTGTCTTTTCAGTTCCCTCACGAACACGTTTGAAGTCACCTCGTCAATATTTACAAAACGGATATCTTTAAGAGGACCACCATGTGGAGATTTTTTCAAAAAATTTATCACAGCATCAAAAAGTACGTTAGCACATACAGTCACAGGAACACCAAATATACCTGCACTTATGGCTGGTATGGCGATACTTCTTGAGCCTTGATTATTTGCAGCTGTTAAACACTTATAAATAGCAGCATACAAATAATGGCCGGCTTCATTTTTATCATTGAAATTGAGCCATCTTGGACCTACAGCGTGAATAATATATTTACAGGTCAACTTCCCAGATCCTGTCATTATAACATCTCCTGGTTTCAAACATGATCCACGTTGTTTCATGATATAATTACTTTCATTTTGTATAATCCATCCTCCGGCATTTACAATTGCTTTTGCTGCTCCTCCACTATGATCTAGATACTCGTTTGCTGGATTTACGATGACATCAACGACTTCTTTTGTGATGTCGTTTTGATAAACAGAAATTTTTGTCTTTTGATAAACAACTGCAGAATAAACGTCAACGTGGGATTTTCGCTTTACTCTTGGACTTGATTGGCTGCGTAAATTACTGGGAGCAGAAAATGCAAAGTTTTCTGATTTTGAACTTCCATTTTTCATTTTCAAAAATTTGACAGCGTTCTCAATATCAGCCTTCTTTCCGTAAAGAATTATTTTATCAGGCAGTGAGTCGACAATCAAGAAAAACTTCATAGGAATTTCATGCATAAAATCCTTTTTATCAATTTCATACTGCTTCATATTCTCGTGGTTTTTTTGATAGAAAGAGGCAAAAAAATTGATGGCGTTTTGGAATTCTGGCTGATCAACTTTGTCTGATGAAATAATCGTCATCAATCGCTCACTGGGTGATTTGACTTTAAATGTAATTTCTTCCGATACATTTTCAAGACTTTTGATTATCTCATAGTTATAAGTCATAATGTAACGTAAGTATAACCAACTTATAGTAATAGTTTCACCAAGATTAGTTGACTGGCTAGTTCGTGTCATGGAATCTTTTGATTGGTCATAACTAGGTTGTTCATCGCGGCTTTCACGCTTCTGAAAGTACATGTATATTTTCTTCATCGCTGCATAAACAGAAGTCAAAGATCCTCTAAGTTTTTTTTTTGAAAATTCAACATTTTTTTCTTTAAAAAATTTAACAAACATCTTGCATGTTTCGATTTTTTCTACATAAAACTGTTCAACCTTGACCTTCGTGTACCCAAAGAAAGGTGCCATTTTTACATCATTTGAAGGATCAAAGGTCTCGTCATCTACGTTCAACACGTTTGAAACAATGCTAGAATTTTTATTAGCCTAGTAAAAAATGATATGTATATAAAACTGATTAAAAAGGAAACTTAAATTTGTACAAAAAATATATATGAAAAAATATCATCGATTTTGAACAACTCAAATAATATCACCATATAAAAATGATGAGCTTACAGTGAAAGATTTACCAAAATCTTTGTCATTGGAACTCAAGTTGACGAGATTATCGGATTGGTCAGCTTGCTCCATGGGATTATTTGATTGGTCAACACAATGTTGATAGTTGCAAATCTTCTTCATTGCTGTATAAACAGAATTCCAAGCCCCTTTAATATTGCCTTTTTTGGAAAATTCAACATCTTCTTCTTTAAAAATTTTATCAAATTCATGGCAGCCTTTATTTTCTTTAACATAAGCCTTTTTAACTTTTACTTTCGTTTCCTCAAAGAAAGGTGACATTTTCCTAACATTTGACGGATCGAAAGAAGTCTCGTCGCCTACCTTCCAAACTTTTGAAACAGTGCTAGAATTTTCATTACCCTGAAAAATGTGAAAGAACTAAAGGAAACATGAATTTTTAAATAGTTTGCACAAATTCACACTAACTGCAGTTATTTAATTGTTTTTTACATGTATCGTTTTTCTACGTTTGAAAAATGCATGAACTATATATATAACTCAGGGAAAAGCAATCAAAAAATGTGCTTACCGATTTAGATTTCCATTTTTGAACAGCGAGAGAAGTACCATTAATTTGAAGCTTATTGTGAACGTCAGAATCTACATAATGCAAACGTCAAGATATGATATTATGTTGTTCTTAATGCTGAAATCAATACAAAGAAAATAATAAAATTCCGTGATAACCTGAAATATTTTCATCAAACTCAACAAGAATATGGTCTTTTCCTTCTGGACAAACATAAACTCGTTCAATATCGCCATGAAACCCATTGGAGTTAGTCACTTGTAATGCCTTAACAACTTCATCATACAAGAGCTTTGAAACACCAGAGATTATCAGCGTTTTATTCTCATCAAAAGTAAACGACGCCATGCAATATATACGATAAGTAGAATAAGATTGAATACAAACTTTGTTTAAGCTAGCAGAAGTTAATCTAAGGTTTTTCTTTCATTTTCACTCCAATGTAATTAACTCTGATTTTAGGAAAAGCCCAGCATGTGTCTTCAAGGAAAAGTCACAAAGGCAGCGATAAAAAGTATTTACGTATTAAAAAGTTCTTTGTTGTAAATGAACAGAATACTTTTAAAGATATCGACTTAATTACATACTGAGAGACAAAATGTGAGTACTTGTAGATTGAATTAAATGATATTCAAGCATTTTAAACAACAAATAATTGATAAATATGCAAATGCAAAAGATATTATAAGATCCACCTTCATAAAGAAAGCTCGACACTTTATTATTCGCATATATTAATTTTGTAGTTGCACAAGTGAACCTTTAATCTCCAAAAAATGTCTAACACGGATTATAGACAATGCTGGAATAGAATTTGAAAGCATTGAAACGATATGTATTTTAACAACTACATCTAAAGAGGTATATACGTATACTAATGTTGTAACTATATTCAGTAATTGTAGATAAGAAATTATCTACCTCAAAGTATACTAAGATGGAGTAACTGCAAGGGATTTAAAAAACAGTATTTATAACAACAAACATCAAAGCCGCTTTGGTTTAAATTTAGAGAAAGCTTAATCGAAGACACCTAAAGACAATTGCGCAAGAAATACAAAAATGTGAATCAATAACAAATTGGTAATTTCCATATACATTTAAAACATAGTGACATATGATCACTGATTTAATATTACAACAAATGTTTACATTGTCACATGTTAATGAGCCAAGATAAAAAATATGTTTTTCAGTAGCTATGACATAATAAATTAAAAATATTAAACGCATTAAAGAAACAATACTAACAACCATTCTTATTACATTGAAGCTATTTCATTGGATTAAAGTGCTCGATCCCCCAACCCCCTTGAAGCAACAGTTGATTACAAAAAAATCTGTATAAACATTAAATGTGTGTACATAAAACTAAATGGAAAATGTAACGATGTTTATCACAAAGGCTAACCAAATAAAGACTATAAAATTCTTGAAACATTGTCCGTATATTATTCAACAATTCCTTTGGCAGCCAATTCTTCCTGGACCCGTTTAAGGTATGTTGGATCAGGGTAACCATATCTAAATATGAAGTGAAAAGTCATACGATTGAACAAGGCAATTAGAAAAATATTAATGATTAATCGAGAGAAATGAATATTTCAATATTCACTTACGCTGATGGGCCTCCATTCATGTTAGTTTTATGATGAATGTCATTCCAAGTTATAACATCTTCTACTCCAGTTGTTGACGACCGTCCAATAGTAAAGGTAAGTTTTTGATGGAAAGCTTTTTTAAGTAATCTAAGCACTTTGTTTCCTTCATTATTGTCAGGAAGATATGCACGTCGTGTTGTTCCTTGGTATGGTTTGCCTGGATTAGGATGTTCTTTACCTTGAATACCTTGTGGAAAACTATATGTTATACAAATGGTTTTACATGAAGGGTAACCAGGCAAAGGTTGAGAGAAAAGAGTGAAAGACATCGTTCCTTCTGGTTGATCACCAATGATAACACCGTACACATAGGAGCAAACGGGACATTTTTATTATGTTTAAATGCCTCTTCAATGCAGCTTGTACAAAATGAATGACCACATTTTTCAAGTGTCTTCTTTCTTCAAACTCCGACAGACAAATGGTGCATTGCTCGTCTCTCATGGAAGAAGATATAGGTAAAACATTTACAGGGTCGCTGCTCTTTCCTATTAAAGCGACAAAAAATTACCATTCTTTAAAAATACTATATGTTTGTAGTGAAGTTATCAACTTTACCTTCAGGTGTACAAGGAAACATATCACTGTCAACATTCCCTCCAGGAAATCGCTTATTCAGTTCTTTCAAAAACACACTTGAGGTTGCCTCGTCAATATTTACGAGACGGATATCTTTAAGTGCACCACTAGCTGGAGAGTTTTTTACAAATTTTATCACAGCATCAAAAAGTACCTCAGCACATACAGTTACAGGAACACCAAAAATACCTGAACTTATGGCTGGTATGGCGATGCTTGTTAAGCCTTGATTATTTGCTGTTGTCAAACATTTATCAATAGCAACACTCAAAAAATGTTTGGCTTCATTTTTATCATTGAAATTCAGCCATCTTGGACCTACAGCGTGAATAATATAATCACAGGGCAAATTTCCAGATCCTGTCATTTCAACATCTCCTGGTTTCAAACTTGACTGACGATTTTCCATGATATAATTACTTTCCGTTTGGATAATCCAACCTCCAGCATCTACAATTGCTTTTGCTGCACCTCCACTATGATCTAAATACTCGTTTGCTGGATTTACGATGACATCAACGACTTCTTTTGTGATGTCGTTTTGATAAACAGAAATTTTTGTCCTTTGATGATAGACAACAGAACGGTACCGAGATTTTTCGTTCTTTCTGTAGAAAGTGGTATTAGCTGAATTGGAGGATTTACTGGAAGTAGAAAAACAATCATTTGATGTGGCTGGATTGTCAAAATTCAAACTTATATTTCTCCTTTTTAAAAGTTTAGCAGCGTTCTCAATATCAGTTTTCTTTCCAAAAAGAATTTTTTTGTCAGACAGTGAATCGACAATCAAGAAAAATTTCATAGCAATTTCATACACGTAATCTTCTTTATCATTCAGTAATGGACCGAGTATTTCGTGTTTCGTCATTTGATCGTAGTTTACTTGATAGAAAGACACAAAAACGTCGATGGCCTTGTAGAATTCTTGCCCATCAACTTTGTCTAATGAAATAATCTTCATGAGCCGCTCACTGGGTGATTTGACTTCATATGTAATCTCTTTCGATACACTTTCAAGATTTTGAATAATCTCATAGTGATACGTCATAATGTAACGTAAGAATAACGAGCTTATCGTGTAAGTTTCACTTAGAACTTTTTCATCGGATTTCAAGTTGACGGGACTGTACAGTTGATCAGCTGGTGGTAGTTGATCATGGCACACAAGTAAATAGTAACGAAAAGGTGTCTCGTGAAATATAGTTTTAGCAAAGGAAAGCCCCATTTTATTACAATTTTACTGAGCGTAAAGAATTTCGAGTTGTTCACCTTCCAAATTTTTCAAATTTTGCTGGAGTTTTCATAAGCCTGGTAAAGATGATAAAACTGATGGGAATATGAATAAGATATTAATAAGTAGAAATAAAAATGGTGAAAGCCCTTAATTCACCGATTTTCCCAATAAAATGTCAACCTTAACTTACTAAGATTCCCAACTACTAACTCCAATGATGACATACATTTGCATCTCTACGTTTGATCGACTATAAGTACTCAATTCACAAAGCAATTGACAAATTAATTTACCGTTTTGAATTTCTATTTTAGATTGAAAAAACAAAGACAAACATAAATTCGTCAACATTACCATAAAACCCAATGGAGTTAGTCAATGGTTTGAAAAGTCGAAGACTCTCGGTGCTTTCTTTCCATTAAAATTGTAGGACGCCATGCTATATGATTTGTTAAATTAAAATATACATCAAACTTAAGAATACTTAGAGCCACTAACGTCAATATACGTTTCTCTATCGATTTCAATTATGAAACTGCAAATTGATTCTAAGAAAAGCTCAGCATGTGTCTTCAAGGAAAACATAAATACAGCAATTTTTCACTTGCTGAAAAAACTATTTAAACTTACATTAAAACATTTTTTTATATATAGATCATTTTCAGAGATACCAAATTATCATATATATGTAGGACAAGATTAAATATTGATCTGTTGCCAATTTCACTTTTGATATTTAATTCAACTAAATATGAATAATATTTACATACTTCAAATAATAAAACAAAATGACACATATGCAAATACTGAAGATTTTATCAGTCGCACGCAGAACTTGACCAAGTTGCATTATCATGTTTTAAATAATTATATTTAAAACATTAATTTTGAGGTCATGCACATATAGCAAATTCTCGGTATAAAAGACTAATGTCATTTTATAATCTTGTCAAATTGTGCCGTAATTGAAATTCAAGGCACTATAAAATGAAATTGCAAAAACAATCAAAACTAAAAAGATACGAAGTATATTGTTGTAGTTATTTGATAATGTAGAAATAAAATATTGCAGTTAATGTTCCACAAAACATAAACAGTTCCACACATTAGATGTGAATGGATCAGATACCATATTTTGTACAATGTTCCCAGATGAAGAAATAGTCAGAAATTAAAGACTGAAGTAAAACACTGAAAATCAGAGAAGCAAAGCAAAAGATGCTTTAAAGCCTAAGTTTGTCACAATTAAAAACTATTGCAATAACGGCTTTAAAAAGTAGCTATAAATTTGTTGAAGATGTATATAAGACTGGCGAGGGATGAACCAAAAATAGGATGAAACGACTTGTTATCAACATCAACTTTCGATTAAGCAAAACTTGTTTATTTCTAGTTTTCTTATAATATATGGTGACAAATATTTTCTATTGATATTTTATAGTTGTGTGCCATGTTAGGAGAGTAAGATTGTCCTACGGTAATGCTAATTTACTTACAAATGAAAGCTAATATATTGAGAATATACGTTGCATGATTATACGAAGAAAAGGATAAATGATCATGCAAAATAAGGGAATAAGGGAAATGGGGGAGAGGAGACTTAAGTTTCAAACTCATATCTGCTTATACTACATGCTTATTTTTTCTTTGCTCTATCATATTAAAGCATTGATTTTTCACACTATGGTAAAAAAATACTTATCGAGATCTAAGGCCTTTATTGCAATTATTCTTTGGTGGGAATCATGGAAAAGGCGAAACTACAGGAATCTAAAAACTGCATACGCCTGACTCAAACACAAAAAAAAAGCTTTATATAAACAAACACATGATTTTTCTGATGTTCATTTGCAAAATATCGAATGATATTTCACTTCATCGTTGGATCTTCCAATCGTCTTTATCATCAAATTTTATGAGTAAAGGTTTAATTTACTCGATAGACAGCGTTTCTCAATTGATTCCTTTTACTGAGTATTCTTAGAATGCAAAAAAGTAGCAGCTATTTTTCGATTTTCTGGAGCAACAACAGATGTTTCAGGTGACAAGGAAGAGGCATGCTCCTTGGAAGAATTATTGCTATTTTGCATCGAATCCTGAAGACTCTCGCTTGAAATAAATATTTCCTTTTTTTGACTCTTTGATGGAACTTCATCTATAGATGATGGATCACTTCGGAAATTTGATTCACTTTCAGAAGAAGGGGTTGAATTTTCTTCAACACAATCTGTCTCAGGTTTTGCGTCTACCTGGACTGCCGATGAAAGATTACTTTGTATGCAAAATGATTTAGATTGTTTAGTGTGATTGCTCGATTTGTTTGAAGACTCAGAATGTTTTGTATCATTAGAAAGATGATCTTCAGTGTTTGCAATCGATGCATTAGATATTTTTCGACTTCCCTCCTCATATTTTGTTTCGTCATGTGAGCCACCTGTATTCTTGTTGTCTTCATCTACCTTGGAGTGTAGTGCTTCATTCTTTTTATCCGTTGAGACAAGTTTGTTAGTGGTAACTATAGGTGGGAAGTTCTGAAAACCACTCATCTTAAGAAAAAATGGATTTTCAGAGTTAGGAACTCTTTGGGGGTGATGGAAAGTTGAATTTTCAGAATAAGTTCCTGGAACAGATTGCTGTTGCTGCGGAACTTCTTTTTCATCTTTCAACTCTTTCTGATGTATTGAGAAATTAGACCTTGCTTGAAGTTCGTCTTCATTTCCTTGGCTTTTGTTGTCAACGCTGACGACTGTTTCTTGCGGAACGTCAGTATTGTCACTAGTAACATTTTCAAACTTCTTCTGCCAATGTAATAAAAGCAACTCTCCTGCTTTTACGACATCATCAAGACTTCCCTTTAAATAAACACCAAACATTCCATGAGACCATGTTATTGAAGACGATTTTTGAATCACTTCAAAGACTTCCCCCCAGTATTTTTGTGAAGCGGTGTGTAGCAAGTCGGGACAAATTGTGGCACAAACTTCGGAAAATACAGGATTTATCTACAACACAGAAAAATACAACTCATGAATTATCCATCAAATATTAAAACAGAAAAATAAACTAACATTATTTGTTACACCACTCTTCCAATATTTAGCACCATTCAAATTCTCAGAATCTTTTTCGTTATTTAAGTGATCCCCAGATGAATCATAAGATATTTCACTTTTTTTTTCTTTTTCAATGCTATGTGTTGATGTCATCGTTTCATGGCTATTCTGATCATATTTTTTAATCAATTCATCTGCTAAATTTTGCTCCTTGAACAGATTTACGTCAAGCGTCTCCCCTCTCACGATTTGTGGAGTTTCAGCAGCTTTTTTGGCGTCTGTTATAAATTAAAAAGACTGAAACAAATTCAGGAAAAATAGTGCAACTAGTAAAGATAATATATTCGCTACTTCTTTTTATCTAACAAACAACGCACCTTCACCATTTTCAAATACAACTAATGCCGTGCTTCCGATAATAAAACTTCGACTTTCCTTCCCAGGTCTTCGTCGACATGTTGTTTTTTCTCAAAGTGAAATTTTACATCATTTTCGGTGAAATCGTTTGGTAGATCTGAGATAATGATCGTTCTTTCTTTTGTAGTTATTTCATTTGTTTTTGATAAAAAATCATTTTGGAGTTCGAGATTAAGAATATTTCCATGTATTCTTTGTTCGGTTTTCACAACCCTTCTTGCCACTGCAAGAATATATAAAATGCATAAGTCATGATTAACATTCATGATTTATGAAAGTTTTTAGCGACTCAAAATATTTATTTCTTTTTTGCAAAACAAACCTTGAATATCATCAAACACAACAAATGCTTGATTTTTATCAGGAAAAATATGAACTTCAGAAATATCACCACCGCCGTTTTTTTGCTTCTGAAAGTGAATATGAAGCTCGTGTTCCTTAAGTCCTTCAGGAAGAGAAGACACAACAACTGAACGAGAATTCTTGTCACACGTTTCCTCGTAAACATCATTTTCTTCCCTTTCAAATGTTTCATTTTCCATAAGTTCGACGTTCAAAGTCTTTCCTTTCATTATTTGCTGAGTATGAACCACCTGACTGGCAACTAGACGTGAGAAAAATATGGTACATTATATGGCACACTACTGTCCCAAGATGCATCTCTGAAAAGTTCTCTCACCTTCAGCTTTCTCAAAAACAATTTCAGCAAAACCATTTTTAAGCAAATTCACTTCTTTAATGTCACCACCACCATTTCGTTTCTTTTGAAAGTGAATTTTAACAGCATTTACTGTAACATCCTCCGGAAGGCCAGATACAAGAACCCTTTCTTCCACATTTTCTTCCGAGGTTTCTGCATTTGTTTTGGATAAAATATCCCTTTGAAGCTCAAGCTTTAGAACCTTTCCACAAATTGTTTGCTCAGTTTTCACAACCCTCCTTGCCACTGCAAGAATATATAAAATGCAAAAATATACAACGTTCATGTTTTTATGTAAAGTCGTGTGGCAATCAAAGCATTTATTTCTTGGATTATTGTTTGCAAAACAAACCTTGAATATCATCAAACACAACAAGGGCTTGATTTTTATCAGGAAAAATATGAACTTCAGAAATATCCCCTCCTCCATTTTTTTTCTTCTGAAAATGAATATAGAGATTGTTTTTTTTAACTCCGACAGGAAGAGAAGACACAACAACTGAACGAGAAATCTTGTCTGACGTTTCCTCGTAAACATCATTTTCTTCCCTTTCAAATGTTTCATTTTCCATAAGTTCGACGTTCAAAATCTTTCCTTTCATTATTTGCTGAGTATGAACCACCTGACTGGCAACTAGACGTGAGAAAAATATGGTACATTATATGGCACACTACTGTCCCAAGATGCATCTCTGAAAATTTCTCTCACCTTCAGCTTTCTCAAATACAATTTCAGCAAAACCATTTTTAAGCATATTCGCTTCTTTAATGTCACCACCACCATTTCGTTTCTTTTGAAAGTGAATTTTAACAGCATTTTCTGTAACATCCTCCGGAAGGCAAGACACGAGAACCTTTTTTCCCACATTTTCTTCCGAGGTTTCTGCATTTGTTTTGGATAAAATATCACTTTGAAGCTCAAGCTTTAGAACCTTTCCACAAATTGTTTGCTCAGTTTTCACAACCCTCCTTGCCACTGCAAGAATATATAAAATGCAAAATATACAATGTTCATGTTTTATGTAAAGTTGTGGGGCAATCAAAGCATTTATTTCTTGGATTGTTGTTTGCAAAACAAACCTTGAATATCATCAAACACAACAAGGGCTTGATTTTTATCAGGAAAAATTTGCACTTCAGAAACACCCCCTCCTCCATTTTTTTTCTTCTGAAAGTGAATATGGAGATTGTTTTTTTTAACTCCGACAGGAAGAGAAGACACAACAACTGAACGAGAAATCTTGTCTGACGTTTCCTCGTAAACATCATTTTCTTCCCTTTCAAATGTTTCATTTTCCATACGTTTGACGTTCAAAGTCTTTCCTTTCATTATTTGCTGAGTATGAACCACCTGACTGGCAACTAGACGTGAGAAAAATATGGTACACTACTGTCTCAAGATGTGTCTCTGAAAACATCAATTTTTCTTTTTGGAATGTTTCATTTTTTATAAGTTCGACAGTCAAAGTGATTCTCTTCATTATTTGCTGTGTATGGACCACTTGACTGGCAACTATAGACGCAAGAGAAACTTAATACGCTACTACCTCAACTCCTCGAGACGCATCTGTAAAAATTTCTCTCACCTTCAGCTTTTTCGAAAACAATTTCAGCAAAACCATTTTTAAGCAAATTCACTTCTTTAATGTCACCCCCACCATTTCTTTTCTTTTGAAAGTGAATTTTAACAGCATTTTCTGTAATATCCTCAGGAAGTCCATACACAAAAACCTTTCTTTTGCCTATTTCCAAATTCTGAAATAATTCATTTTCTTCCAATTGTACATTCAAAGTGGTAGATTCAAAGATTTGTTTGACTTCTAAAACACGCTTTGCCACTACAAAATATGAACAGTAAGGATATCAATTAACACATCTCAAATTTTAGCATAATTACTCCAAAGAATATTTTCACAAATTGCCTGTACGATCCTCAAAAGTAACTCTTGCATTCCCCTGACCAAGCATCTTCACTTCCTTAATATCTCCCCCACCATTTTTTCTCTTTTGAAAATGCATCGTCACCCGGTTGCTTGTCGCACTATCAGGTAAACCAGACACCAAAATTGATCCTTCATTCTGTAAAGACAATGCAGACATCTAAGAAAATTATTCGTTTACAATGCTCATTCATGATATTTACCAAGATCGAAAGCTATAGGTTGTATTTAATACCTGATCATTCATTTCTGTTTGTAGTCGGGTTCTTTACACGACTTGTTGAAGTCCACGGTTTTTCTTTCAAAACGGAATGGTCTGCAAAATCTACTTAGAAAAGCTTTGTTTTAAAAGTAAAACAGATAAAATCTGATGCCCACCGCAAATCTTCAGAGCTTGTTTTGTAATTAGATATGCGTGGACGGGCCACAGTGCACAGTACCTTTCAAAAATTGGATATTTTCCAAATGAATATGTTGTGGGAAGATACAAGCAAATGTTTCGTTAACATTCAATTCTCTCTATCGATCAATACATTAAAGTCAGCATAGACTACGTTAGACTCGCGATAAAGGTTTTGTTGACAGGTTATAGTGAAAGAAAGTGAAACATATTTCAGACAATCTGCTGTGATCTTCTTGGAATTGACGTAAATTAACTATGCTGTTTCGCTTTCAATACGGAAGCTTGTATTGACTGAGTTTACTTACGATGACATTGTTGCCTTAATATTAGCAAATATGGAAAAAATTGCGTAGAAACAAGTCCGATATAATTCTTTCAACATAAAGAAAGAAACAGAAAATTTGATCACAAATTTGTTCATCATTGTGATCCATATTTGTCACCAATACATTTGTCAGACGATTTAAACATTGCTGAAAATTCACTAGAATTTTTATTATTGCAACTCAAAGAAAAAGATGTAAAGTCAGTGATCATAATTGAGTCCTGCAAGTCAAAGGTGAAAAAAATATAAAACGGCAGCCATTAAAACAAGCAATTGTGCATATTACTACTATAAGGTAAAAATATAAATTTCCATACTCAAAATATAAAGCAATAGCAAACTCAAGATTTCTAAAGTCTCAACACCAAGCTCATCCATGACAGGTTAACATACAGCTTTGAATAGTATACATTTTGTTATCTCTGATTTGATCCTTTGCAAAGCTAAGGCGTATCCCTAGCACCTTAATCCTGTCTTTTCTAAGAAGGTTTTTCAGCAAACAAAACGAAAAAAACAGGAAGTCTGAATTATAAGATGGATTATGACTATCAAAAAACATTAATATAAGCTTGTTGATGACTTAACAAAACGATAATTTGGCATAAACTTCTAAAATTATTTTACAATGCTTCACAATGTTCAACTTCCACAAATTATTTCACTTGCTTCCTATAACAAACTAATGTGATGAGACATTGATGACTTGAAACAAGAGTTGAAATGTTCCTAAAAATGACTAAATCTATGATGAAATCAATAACAAATCGACAATTTCCAACTTTTTTTAAAATATGACGACATAACAGCAAAATAACTGATTAAATGATACATGCAGGTAACGAATTCGTACAAAATCAAAAGTTTAGAAACGATGAATAAATGTGATGTATTATTTATAAAAATGGATGACTGAAAAAAAAACAAAAATAAAACGATATTAACAACTGATCTTTATATGTACTGTTCATAAACATTTTAAGAAAACGCTCATTTTTTCTAAAGCAAAAGTTAAATCACAACAAAAGTCTGTGTAAAAGCAGAAAATGTAAATCTCAAATTCCAGAACAACAACTCATCAACAATTTCTTCAATATCTTTTATTCAACAATTCCTTTGGAAGCCAATTCTTCCTGGACTCGTTTAAGATATGTTGGATCAGGGTAACCGTTTCTAAATAGAAAGTGAAAAGTCAACATTGTTCACATCAAGACAATTATGGATTTTAATTTCATGTCGATGGGAACGAATATTTCAATCAATACTTACGCTGATGGGCCTCCATTCACGTTAGTTTTATGATGAATGTCATTCCAAGTTATAACATCTTCTGCACCAGTTGTTGACGACCGTCCAATGGTAAAGGTAAGTTTTTGCTTGAAAGCTTTTTGGAGTAATCTAAGCACTTTGTTTCCTTCTTCATTGTCAGGAAGATATGCATGTCGTGTTGTTCCTTGATATGGCTTGCCTGGATTAGGATGTTCTTTACCTTGAATACCTTGTGGAAAACTATATTTTATATAAATAATCCCACAAGAAGGGTAACCAGGCAAAGATTTATTGGAAACACTGAAAGTCATTTTTCCTTCAGGTTGATCACCAATGATAACACCGTACACATAGGAGCAATTGGGACATTTTTTGATATGTTTAAATGCCTCTTCAATGCAACTTGCACAAAAGGAATGACCACATTTTTCAAGTGTCTTCTTTTCTCCAATCTCCGACAGACATATTGTACATATTTCATCCTTCTCATCAGAAGATTTGTGTTGTTGAACACATAAAGGATCAAGGACTGTACTTTCACCTACAAGTGGAAAAAATTAACTTTGCATAAATATAATTCATGTGTTTGAAATAAATTATGATAAATGAATTAGAATATTCCATCGCACTATGAGAAGAGAAACATACCATCGTGTATCTTGCTTCGCAGAGCATTTGCTTTCACAACTTTAGAATTATTGACATGAGGTATTCTGCAACTATTGGATTTGGGAGGACTAAACGACTGAGGATTTGTATCAAGATTTGATACCAGAATTCCATTTCCTGTAAGAAAAAATAGCATTTGTAAAATTAAAACATTAAATCGATAGAGCATTTTTGAAATAATAATAAGTTTTACAATGTTTACTTATTCAATGTCTTAATTAGATACCTTTTGTAACAACACGTGAGTCGTGACCTTCTTGATATTCAGTTCTTTTGACATTTTTCGAACGTTGAAATTTTCCATTGGAATTATAACTTTGAGTAAACAGCTCAAGCTCCTTTGACAATTCATTTGACTCGGACATACTTTTATGAAAAAAAACTTTTTTACGTTCTACTGCTCCAGAAAACCGTTTTTTCAGTTCTTCCACAAACACACTTGTAGTCATCTCGTCAATATTTACAAAACGGATATCTTTAAGTGCACCACTAGCTGGAGAGTTTTTTACAAATTTTATCACAGAGTCAAAAAGTACCTCAGCACATACAGTCACAGGAACACCAAAAATACCTGAACTTATGGCTGGTATGGCGATGCTTGTTAAGCCGTTATTGTTTGCAGTTATCAAACATTTATCAATAGCAATAGTCAAAAAATGTTTGGCTTTACTTTGTCATTGAAATTCACCCATCTTGGACCTACAGCGTGAAAATATAATTACAGTGCAACTTTCCTGGTCCTGTTATTTTAACGTCTCCTGGTTTCAAACTTGATCCACGTTTTCTAATGATTTCATCACTTTCTATTTGAATAATGAATCCTCCAGCATCTACAATTGCTTTTGCTGCACCTCCGTAGTGATTTAAATCCTCGTTTGCTGGATTTACGATGACATCAACCAGCTCTTTTGTGATGTTGTTTTGATAAACAGAAATTTTTGCGTTTTGGTAGACGACAACAGATTGTACTTCAGCCTGAGATTTTTGGTTTACTTTAGGACTTGATGGGCAAGGTAACTTACTAGGAGTGGAAGGGTAAACATTTGGCGTGTCTTGATTTTGAGATTTGAAACTTTTGTTCTGCCTTTTCAAAAATTCTTCTGCTTCTTTGATATCAGTTTCTTTTCCAAAAAGAACTGTCTTATCAGGAAGTGAATCAACAATCAAAAAGTGCTTCAGTGGAATTTCATTCACAAAGTCCTTTTTATCAATTTCAAAATGCACCATCTTTTCGTGATGTTTTTGATAGAAATCGATAAAATCATTTATGGCCGATATATATTTTCGTTCATCAACATTTTCTAATAGAATAATCTTCATGAGTGTCTCATTTTGTGGTTTGACTTGATATTCGATCTTTTTCGATACACTTTCAAGATTTTGAATAATCTCATAGTGATACGTCATAATGTAACGTAAGAATAACGAGTTTACAGTGAAAGATTCAACAAGACCTTTTTCTGGAGAGCCCAAGTTGTCATTGTCTACATGCCAAACTTTCGAAACAGTACTGGAAACAATACTGGAATTTTCATAATCGTTCTAAAAATTAATAGAGCTAATGGAAATATGAAATTTAATGACACAGTGAAAGAAGTTCGTCTTAGGGTAGAAACTTAAGAAAATGAAAATTCACAATAACGCAAATGATGTCATTCCTCCAAAGTTTTGAAACAGTGCAAGAATTTTCATCAGCCTGGTAAAAAATGTTATAAATAGAACTGATAAAAACACGAAGTTGAAATTTCTACAAAAAACGAAAGAGTATCATCGATTTTCAACAATAAAGTCAACAACTTAAACTGTATAATTTGCACGATAACTCAAATAATATCACCATGTAAAAATGATGAGCTTACAGTGAAAGATTTACCAAAATCTTTTTGATAAGAACTCAAGTTGACGAGGTTATAGGATTGGCTAGATTGTTCCATGCGATAATTTGATTGGTCGAAACAATGTTGTTGACGATTGCCATTGCGCAATAAATGACAATAAATTTTCTCCATCGTTGCATGAACAGAATTCCATGCATCTTGAAGTTTGCGATCAGAAAATGAAACCTTTTCCTTTTGAAATATTTTACTGAATTCCTTGCTAACATTATTTTTCTTCACATCAGCCTAGAAAAAATATTATAAACAGATGGAATTATGAAATTTTAATTTTTGAAAATCTAGAAAAAGTGAAGAACGTTCATCAATTTTCAACATCAACGAAAGTGTCACCTCTGCCATGGAAATTAGTCACTTTTCAAGAGCCTCATCATTGCACATGAACTACACGCACGAAGTGATTTCTCGTACTAACCGTGCTACAGGAATTTACTGCCCAGCATGTGCGCCGACCTTATACATTTCAGTGACAAATATGATCGCTTACCGATTTCGATTTTTGAATAGTGAGAGTAGTAGCATTAATTTGAAGCGTATCGCCAATGTCAGAATCTACGGAATGCAAACGTCAAGATATGCATGATGTTATGTTTATCGCTCAATAATAAAATCAATAAAATAATAATAAAATTTCGTCATAACCTGGAATATTTTCATTAAACTCAACCAGAGCATGGTCTTTTCCTCCAGGACACACAAAGATTCTCTCAACATTGCCCCTGAACCCAGTAGAGTTGGCCTGTTGTAATGCCTTAGCAATCTCATTGTGCAAGAGCTTTGAAACACCAGAAACTATCAACGTTTTACTTTTATCAAAAATTAACGAAGCCATATTATGTGATAATAGAATAATTTAAGGTTTTCCTTTCATTTTCACTTTCAAAATCTGATTTTAGGAAAAGCCCAGCAGGTGTCTTCAAGGAAAAGTGAAGGCAGCGATATTTGACTTGCTAAAAAGTATCTAAGTACGTGTTAAAAAAAGCTCTTTGTCGTAAATATACATATTTAAAAATATCTACATCCTTTATAATTACAGATATTGAGACCCAAAATGTGAATATTCAGTTTCATTTAAATTAAATAATAATCATGTATTTGTAAATCACAAAGTAAAGCGATAAAACGCCAATTAAATCAAGATATTATGAGCTCTATTCACATTAATTGACACCAGCTCGACCGGCACTATATTTACTTATATCAGTCAAATGTACCAGGCTCAATAGGTAATTCAGCAGTTGCACAAGTTAACTTTTATTGAGAAAAAACTATTCTAACCTATATAGATTATAATAATCAAATCTAAAGAAGTGCTGATATACACTAATGTTTTAGCTATTCAATACATGTATAGAAAAGAAATTATGGTATAGCCACTTCAAAGTATTAAAAAACTCGGACTAAAATAACGCAGTCTTTAAAACTGAAACAGCAATGTTTTCTTCAGTTTAATAAGATTAGATAAATTGATATTGAAGAAAGACATGCAGCATAAACGAACTAAAAGAAAAAGAAACTAGCAACTATTCCCTGTACATTGAAGCTGTTTCATTTAATTAAAGTGCTCACCGGTCCCCCTCTACCCAGAAGTACCCCAGAAGCAACAATTCATTTCAACAAAAATCTATATGGAAGATTGAATGTTAGCGAAAACTAAATTGATTAAAATGTAGACGACTTTCTTTACATATGCTTCTGACCAACTAAGGACTTTAATTCTTGATTCTTAAACCATTTCGCCTGTTTCTTCAATAATTCCTTTGGAAGCTAATTCTTCCTGGACTCGTATAAGATATGTTGGATCAGGGTAACCATATCTAAATAGAAAGTGAAAAGACAACATTGTTCACAACACGACAATTATGGATTTTAATTTCATGTCGATGGGAACGAATATTTCAATCAATACTTACGCTGATGGGCCTCCATTCATGTTAGTTTTATGATGAATGTCATTCCAAGTTATAACACCTTCTACACCAGTTGTTGACGACCGTCCAATAGTAAAGGTCAGTTTTTGCTCGAAAGCTTTTTGAAGTAATGTAAGCACTTTGTTTCCTTCTTCATTGTCAGGAAGATATGCACGTCGTGTTGTTCCTTCATATGGCTTGCCTGGATTAGGATGTTCTTTACCTTGAATACCGTGTGGAAAACTATATTTTATAGAAATGGTCCCACAAGAAGGGTAACCAGGCAAAGATTTATTTGAAAAACTGTAAGTCATTGTTCCGTCTGGTTGATCACCAATGATAACACCGTACACATAGGAGCACACGGGACATTTTTTGTTATGTTTAAATGCCTCTTCAATGCAACTTGTACAAAATGAATGACCACATTTTTCAAGTGTCTTCTTTTTTTTAAACACAGACAGACAAATGGTTCATTTTTCATCCTTCGTGAAAGAAGATGTGCGTTGAACATTTACAGGGTCGCTGTTCTTTTCTAATTTGATGAAAAATAAATTTTTTAGATAAGTGTGCATGCGATTATGAATGAAGATATCTGTTACAAAGAAACATAGCTACCATCGTATTTCTTACTTCTGTCACCATTCTCTTTTAAAGCTTTAAAATTGTTGATTTGCGATGTCTCAAAATTTTTAGATGGAAATTGAACATTTTCGGTGATTTCAGCATCAACTTTACGTTTCGATTTATGACTTTCACTCCCTGTAAGAAAAGATAGTATTTTACGAATGTAAATATATTTTGTGAAAATATGTTGTAACAGCAAAATCAAAAGGTTATTACTTCAAAATTTTAAACACACACCTTTATGAACAACATTGGGCGAGCTGTAACTTCCATTTCCAATATGTTGAACACGCGAACGAGTCAAGCCTTTAGATTGCTGGTGTTTTGCATTTGAATTAATGCTTTGATTAAATGCTTCAAAATCTTTTCTGTTAACATCATTTGATGTTTTATCGAACTTGCAAACAGTCCCATGAAAGTAAACCTCGTTCCGTTCAACTGCTCCAGGGAACTGTCTTTTCAGTTCCCTTACAAACACGTTTGAAGTCACCTCGTCAATATTTACAAAACGGATATCTTTAAGAGGACCACCATGTGGAGATTTTTTCAAAAAATTTATCACAGCATCAAAAAGTACCTCAGCACATACAGTCACAGGAACACCAAATATACCTGCACTTATGGCTGGTATGGCGATACTTCTTGACCCTTGATTATTTGCAGCTGTTAAACACTTATAAATAGCAGCATACAAATAATGGCCGGCTTCATTTTTATCATTGAAATTGAGCCATCTTGGACCTACAGCGTGAATAATATATTTACAGGTCAACTTCCCATATCCTGTCATTATAACATCTCCTGGTTTCAAACATGATCCACGTTGTTTCATGATATAATTACTTTCATTTTGTATAATCCATCCTCCAGCATTTACAATTGCTTTTGCTGCTCCTCCGCTATGATCTAGATACTCGTTTGCTGGATTTACGATGACATCAACGACTTCTTTTGTGATGTCGTTTTGATAAACAGAAATTTTTGTCTTTTGATAAACAACTGCAGAACAAACGTCAATGTGGGATTTTCGCTTTACTCTTGGACTTGATTGGCTGCGTAAATTACTGGGAGCAGAAAGTGCAAAGTTTTCTAATTTTGAGCTTTCATTTTTCATTTTTAAAAATTTGACAGCGTTCTCAATATCAGCCTTCTTTCCAAAAAGAATTATTTTATCAGGCAGTGAGTCGACAATCAAGAAAAACTTCATAGGAATTTCATGCATAAAATCCTTTTTATCAATTTCATACTGCTTCATATTCTCGTGGTTTTTTTGATAGAAAGAGGCAAAAGAATTGATGGCGTTTTGGAATTCTGGCTGATCAACTTTGTCTGATGAAATAATCGTCATGAATCGCTCACTGGGTGATTTGACTTTAAATGTAATCTCTTTCGATACATTTTCAAGACTTTTGATTATCTCATAGTTATAAGTCATAATGTAACGTAAGTATAACCAACTTATAGTAATAGTTTCACCAAGATTAGTTGACTGGCTAGTTCGTGTCATGGAATCTTTTGATTGGTCAGAACTAGGTTTTTCATCGCGGCTTTCGCGCTTCTGAAAGTACATGTATATTTTCTTCATCGCTGCATAAACAGAAGTCAAAGATCCTCTAAGTTTTTTTTTGGAAAATTCAACATTTTTTTGTTTAAAAAATTTAACAAACATCTTGCATGTTTCGATTTTTTCTACATAAAACTGTTCAACCTTGACCTTCGTGTACCCAAAGAAAGGTGCCATTTTTGCATCATTTGAAGGATCAAAGGTCTCGTCATCTACGTTCAACACGTTTGAAACAGTGCTAGAATTTTTATTAGCCTAGTAAAAAATGATATGTATATAAAACTGATTAAAAAGGAAACTTAAATTTGTACAAAAAATATATATGAAAAAATATCATCGATTTTCAACAACTCAAATAATATCACCATATAAAAATGATGAGCTTACAGTGAAAGATTTACCAAAATCTTTTTCATTGGAACTCAAGTTGACGAGATTATCGGATTGGTCAGCTTGCTCCATGGGATTATTTGATTGGTCAACACAATGTTGATAGTTGCAAATCTTCTTCATTGCTGTATAAACAGAATTCCAAGCCCCTTTAATATTGCCTTTTTTGGAAAATTCGACATCTTCTTCTTTAAAAATTTTATCAAATTCATGGCAGCCTTTATTTTTTTTAACATAAGCCTTTTTAACTTTTACTTTCGTTTCCTCAAAGAAAGGTGACATTTTCCTAACATTTGACGGATCGAAAGAAGTCTCGTCGCCTACCTTCCAAACTTTTGAAACAGTGCTAGAATTTTCTTTAGTCTGAAAAATGTGAAAGAACTAAAGGAAACATGAATTTTTAAATAGTTTGCACAAATTCACACTAACTGCAGTTATTTAATTGTTTTTTACATGTATCGTTTTTCTACGTTTGAAAAATGCATGAACTATATATATAACTCAGGAAAAGCAATCAAAAATGTGCTTACCGATTTAGATTTCCATTTTTGAACAGCGAGAGAAGTACCATTAATTTGAAGCTTATTGTGAACGTCAGAATCTACATAATGCGAACGTCAAGATATGATATTATGTTGTTCTCAATGCTGAAATCAATACAAAGAAAATAATAAAATTCCGTGATAACCTGAAATATTTTCATCAAACTCAACAAGAATATGGTCTTTTCCTTCTGGACAAACATAAACTCGTTCAATATCGCCATGAGACCCATTGGAGTTAGTCACTTGTAATGTCTTAATTTCATCATGCAAGAGCTGTGAAACACCAGAGATTATCAGCGTTTTATTTTCATCAAAAGTAAACGACGCCATGCAATATATACGATAAGTAGAGTAAGATTGAATACAAACTTTGTTTAAGCTAGCAGAAGTTAGTCTAAGGACTTTCTTTCATTTTCACTCCAATGTAATTAACTCTGATTTTAGGAAAAGCCCAGCATGTGTCTTCAAGGAAAAGTCACAAAGGCAGCGATAAAAAGTATTTACGTATTAAAAAGTTCTTTGTTGTAAATGAACAGAATACTTTTAAAGATATCGACTTAATTACATACTGAGAGACAAAATGTGAGTACTTGTAGATTGAATTAAATGCTATTCAAGCATTTTAAACAATAAATAATTGATAAATATGCAAATGCAAAAGATATTATAAGATCCACCTTCATGAAGAAAGCTCGACACTTTATTATTAACATATATTAATTTTGTAGTTGCACAAGCGAACCTTTAATCTCCAAAAAATGTCTAACACGGATTATAGATAATGCTGGAATAGAATTTGAAAGCATTGAAACGATATGTATTTTAACAACTACATCTAAAGAGGTATATACGTATACTAATGTTGTAGCTATATTCAGTAATTGTAGATAAGAAATTATCTACTTCAAAGTATACTAAGATTGAGTAACTGCAAGGCATTTAAAAAACAGTCTTTATAACGACAAACAGCAAAGCCGCTTTGGTTTAAATTTAGAGAAAGCTCAATCGAAGACACCAAAAGACAATTGCGCAAGAAATACAAAAATGTGAATCAAAAACAAATTGGCAATTTCCATATACATTTAAAACATAGTGACATATGATCACTGATTTAATTACAACAAATGTCTACATTGTCACGTGTTAATAAGCCAAGATAAAAATATGTTTTTCAGTAGCTATGACATGATAAATTAAAAAGATTAAACGCATTAAAGAAACAATACTAACAACCATTCTTATTACATTGAAGCTATTTCATTGGATTAAAGTGCTCGGTCCCCCAACCCCCCCCCCGAAGCAACAGTTGATTACAAAAAATCTGTACAAACATTGAATGTGTGTACATAAAACTAAATGGAAAATGTAACGATGTTCTTCACAAAGGCTAACCAAATAAAGGCTATAAAATTCTTGAAACATTGTCCGTATATTATTCAACAATTCCTTTGGAAGCCAATTCTTCCTGGACCCGTTTAAGGTATGTTGGATCAGGGTAACCATATCTAAATATGAAGTGAAAAGTCAGACGATTGAACAAGGCAATTAGAAAAATATTAATGATTAATTGGAGTGAAATGAATATTTCAATATTCACTTACGCTGATGGGCCTCCATTCATGTTAGTTTTATGATGAATGTCATTCCAAGTTATAACACCTTCTGCACCAGTTGTTGACGACCGTCCAATAGTAAAGGTCAGTTTTTGCTCGAAAGCTTTTTGGAGTAATCTAAGCACTTTGTTTCCGTCTTTATTGTCAGGAAGATACGCATGTCGTGTTGTTCCTTGATATGGCTTGCCTGGATTAGGATGTTCTTTACCCTGAATACCTTGTGGAAAACTATATTTTATACAAATGGTTTTACATGAAGGGTAACCAGGCAAAGGTTGAGAGAAAAGAGTGAAAGATATCGTTCCTTCTGGTTGATCACCGATGATAACACCGTACACATAGGAGCACACGGGACATTTTTTGTTATGTTTAAATGCCTCTTCAATGCAGCTTGTACAAAATGAATGACCACATATTTCAAGTGTCTTCTTTTCTTCAAACTCCGACAGACAAATGGTGCATTGCTCGTCTTTCATGGAAGAAGATATGGGTAAAACATTTACAGAGTCGCTGCTCTTTCCTATTAAAACGACAAAAAATTAAAATTCTTTAAAAATACTGTATGTTTGTAGTGAAGTTATCAACTTTACCTTCAGGTGTACAAGGAAACATATCACTGTCAACATTCCCTCGAGGAAATCGCTTATTCAGTTCTTTCAAAAACACACTTGACGTTGTCTCGTCAATATTTACGAAACGGATATCTTTAAGTGCACCACTAGCTGGAGAGTTTTTTACAAATTTTATCACAGAGTCAAAAAGTACCTCAGCACATACAGTTACAGGAACACCAAAAATACCTGAACTTATGGCTGGTATGGCGATGCTTGTTAAGCCTTGATTATTTGCTGTTGTCAAACATTTATCAATAGCAACACTCAAAAAATGTTTGGCTTCATTTTTATCATTGAAATCCAGCCATCGTGGACCTACAGCGTGAATAATATAATGACAGGGCAAATTTCCAGATCCTGTCATTTCAACATCTCCTGGTTTCAAACTTGACTGACGATTTTCCATGATATAATTACTTTCCGTTTGGATAATCCAACCTCCAGCATCTACAATTGCTTTTGCTGCACCTCCACTATGATCTAAATACTCGTTTGCTGGATTTACGATGACATCAACCACTTCTTTTGTGATGTCGTTTTGATAAACAGAAATTTTTGTCTTCTGATAACAGAAAACAGAACGGTCGCGAGATTTTTCGTTCTTTCTGTAGAAAGTAGTATTAGCTGAATTGAAGGATCTACTGGAAGTAGAAAAACAATTATTGGATGTGGCTGGATTTTCAAAATTCAAACTTTTATTTCTACTTTTTAAAAATTTAGCAGCGTTTTCAATATCAGCATTCTTTCCAAAAAGAATTATTTTATCAGGCAGTGAATCGACAATCAAGAAAAACTTTGTAGGAATTTCATGCATAAAATCCTTTTTATCAATTTCATACTGCTTCATATCCTCGTGGTTTTTTTGATAGAAAGAGACAAAAACTTTGATGGCGTTTTGGAATTCTGGCTGATCAACATTGTCTAATGGAATAATCGTCATGAATCGTTCACTGGGTGATTTGACTTCAAATGTAATCTCTTTCGATACATTTTCAAGATTTTGAATGATCTCATAGTGATAAGTCATAATATAACGTAAGTATAACCAACTTATAGTAATGGTTTCACCAAGATCTTTTTCATCGGATTTCAAGTTGACCGGACTGTACAGTTGATAAGTATGTAGTAGGCGATCATGGCACACAAGGAAACAGCAATAAAATATTGTCCACAAATTTGAAAACACAAATTTCAAAGTCCCTTTCATTTTGAAATAAGTTTTACCAATGGAAAGCCCCATATTATTACGATTTGACTGAGGTTCTGTTAATAAAAAAGCGTAAGGAATTTTGAGTTGTCCATCTTCCAAATTTTTCAAATTTTGCTTGAGTTTTCATAAACCTTGTAAGAGATGATAAAACTGTGATGAGAACATGAATAAGATATTAATAAGTACAAATAAAAATGGTGAAACCCCTTTCACCGATTTTCTCCAATATAAATGTCAACCTTAACTTACTAAGATTCACAATTACTAACTCCAATGATGACATACATTTGCATCTCTACGTTTGATGATTGATCGACTATAAGTACTCAATTCACAAAGCAATTGACAAATTAATTTACCGTTTTGAATTTCTATTTTAGATTGAAAAAACAAAGACAAACATAAATTCGTCAACATTACCATAAAACCCAATGGAGTTAGTCAATGGTTTGAAAAGTCGAAGACTCTCGGTGCTTTCTTTTCATTAAAATCGTACGACGCCATGCTATATGATTTGTTAAATTAAAATGTATACATCAAACTTAAGAATACTTAGAACCACTAACGTCAATATACGTTTCTCTATCGATTTCAATTATGAAACTGCAAATTGATTCTAAGAAAAGCTCAGCATGTGTCTTCAAGGAAAACATAAATACAGCAATTTTTCATTTGCTGAAAAAACTATTTAAACTTACATTAAAACATTTTTTTATATATAGATCATTTTCAGAGATACCAAATTATCATATATATGTAGGACAAGATTAAATATTGATCTGTTGCCAATTTCACTTTTGATATTTAATTCAACTAAATATGAATAATATTTACATACTTCAAATAATAAAACAAAATGATACATATGCAAATACTGAAGATTTTATCAGTCGCACGCAGAACTTGACCAAGTTGCATTATCATGTTTTAAATAATTATATTTAAAACATTAATCCACGTTATCCTTCAGCTTTTTAAATTTCGCAATGTGCTTGAAACAGAAGTAGGAAGTTGGGACAAAAATTGACGTAAGCCACTCTTGCAAGTTGGCTTGCATCATAACGTGAACTTTCTGCAAAAAGTTTATTTTGTTTATATTTTTTTCTTAAGTGCCTCTGTGGGCCGGATTGAGAGGCCCGACGGGCCGCATCTGGCCCGCGGGCCGTAGTTTGGAGACCCCTGTCCTACGGTAATGCTAATTTACTTACAAATGAAAGCTAATATATTGAGAATATACGTTGCATGATTATACGAAGAAAAGGATAAATGATCATGCAAAATAAGGGAACAAGGGAAATGGGGGAGAGGAGACTTAAGTTTCAAACTCATATCTGCTTATACTACATGCTTATTTTTTCTTTGCTCTATCATATTAAAGCATTGATTTTTCACACTATGGTAAAAAAATACTTATCGAGATCTAAGGCCTTTATTGCAATTATTCTTTGGTGGGAATCATGGAAAGGGCGAAACTGCAGGAATCTAAAAATTGCACACGCCTGACTCAAACTCAAAAAAAAACTTTATATAAACAAACACATGATTTTTCTGATGTTCATTTGCAAAATATCGAATGATATTTCACTTCATCGTTGGATCTTCCAATCGTCTTTATCATCAAATTTTATGAGTAAAGGTTTAATTTACTCGACAGACAGCGTTTCTCAATTGATTCCTTTTACTGAGTATTCTTAGAATGCAAAAAATTAGCAGCTATTTTTCGATTTTCTGGAGCAACAACAGATGTTTCAGGTGACAAGGAAGAGGCATGCTCCTTGGAAGAATTATTGCTATTTTGCATCGAATCCTGAAGACTCTCGCATGAACTAAAATTTTCCTTTTCTTGACTCTTTAATGAAATTTCATTTGTAGATGATGGATCACTTCCGAAATCTGATTCGCTTTCAGAAGAAGTGGTTGAATTTTCTTCAACACAATCTGTATGAGGTTTAGCGTCTACCTGGACTGTCGATGGAATATTACTTTGTATGCCAAATGATTTAGATTGTTTAGTGTGATTGCTCGATGTGTTTGAAGACTCAGAATGTTTTGTAAAATTAGAAAGACGCTCTTCAGTGTTTGCAATCGATGCATTAGATATTTTTCTGCTTCCCTCCTCATATTTTGTTTCGCCATATGAGCCAGCTGTATTCTTGTTGTCTTCATCTACCTTGGAGTGTAGTGCTTCATTCTTTTTATCCATTGAGACAAGTTTGTTAGGGGTAACTATAGGTGGGAAGTTCTGAAAACCACTCATGCCAAGAAAAAAAGGATTTCCAGAGTTTAGAATTCTTTGGGGGTGATGGAAAGTTGAATTTTCAGAATAAGTTCCTGGAAGAGATTGCATTTGTTGCGGAGTTTCCTTTTCATATTTCAACTCTTTCTGATGTATTGAGAAATTAGACCTTGTTTGAAGTTCGTCTTGATTTCTTTGGCTTTTGTTGTCAACGCTGACGACTGTTTCTTGTGGAACGTCAGTATTGTCATTAGTACCATTTTCAAACTTCTTCTGCCAATGTAATAAAAGCAACTCTCCTGCCTTTACGACATCATCAAGACTTCCCTTTAAATAAACACCAAACACTCCATGAGACCATGTTATTGAGGACGATTTTTGAATCACTTCAAAGAATTTCCTCCAATATTCTTGTGAAGCAGTGTGTAGCAAGTCGGGACGAATTGTGGCACAAACTTCGGAAAATACTGGATTTATCTAAAACACAGAAAAATACAACTCATAAATTATCCATCAAATATTAAAACAGAAAAATAAACTAACATTATTTGTTACACCACTCTTCCAGTATTTAGCACCATTCAAATTCTCAGCTTCTTTTTCGTTATTTAAGTGATCCCCAGATGAATCATAAGATATTTCACTTTTTGTTTCTTTTTCAATGCTATGTGTTGATGTCATCGTTTCATGGCTATTCTGATCATATTTTTTAATCAACTCATCTGCTAAATTTTGCTCCTTGAACAGATTTACGTCAAGCGTCTCCCCTCTCACGATTTGTGCAGTTTCAGCAGCTTTTTTGGCCTCTGTTATAAATTAAAAAGACTGAAACAAATTCAGGAAAAATAGTGCAACCAGTAAAGATAATATATTCGCTACTTCTTTTTATCTAACAAACAACGCACCTTCACCATTTTCAAATACAACTAATGCCGTGCTTCCGATAAATAAAACTTCGACTTTCCTTCCCAGGTCTTCGTCGACATGTTGTTTCTTTTCAAAGTGAAATTTTACATCATTTTCAGTGAAATCGTTTGGTAGATCTGAGATAATGATCGTTCTTTCTTTTGTAGTTATTTCATTTGTTTTTGATAAAAAATCATTTTGGAGTTCGAGATTAAGAATATTTCCATGTATTCTTTGTTCGGTTTTCACAACTCTTCTTGCCACTGCAAGAATATATAAAATGCATAAGTCATGATTAACATTCATGATTTATGAAAGTTTTTAGCGACTCAAAATATTTATTTCTTTTTGCAAAACAAACCTTGAATATCATCAAACACAACAAATGCTTGATTTTTATCAGGAAAAATATGAACTTCAGAAATATCACCACCACCGTTTTTTTGCTTCTGAAAGTGAATATGAAGCTCGTGTTCCTTAAGTCCTTCAGGAAGAGAAGACACAACAACTGAACGAGAATTCTTGTCACACGTTTCCTCGTAAACATCATTTTTTCCCTTTCAAATGTTTCATTTTCCATAAGTTCGACGTTCAAAGTCTTTCCTTTCATTATTTGCTGAGTATGAACCACCTGACTGGCAACTAGACGTGAGAAAAATATGGTACATTATATGGCACACTACTGTCCCAAGATGCATCTCTGAAAATTTCTCTCACCTTCAGCTTTCTCAAAACAATTTCAGCAAAACCATTTTAAGCAAATTCACTCTTTAATGTCACCACCACCATTTCGTTTCTTTTGAAAGTGAATTTTAACAGCATTTACTGTAACATCCTCCGGAAGGCCAGATACAAGAACCCTTTCTTCCACATTTTCTTCCGAGGTTTCTGCATTTGTTTTGGATAAAATATCACTTTGAAGCTCAAGCTTTAGAACCTTTCCAGAAATTGTTTGCTCAGTTTTCACAACCCTCCTTGCCACTGCAAGAATATATAAAATGCAAAAATATACAACGTTCATGTTTTTATGTAAAGTTGTGGGGCAATCAAAGCATTTACTTATTGGATTATTGTTTGCAAAACAAACCTTGAATATCATCAAACACAACAAGGGCTTGATTTTTATCAGGAAAAATATGAACCTCAGAAATACCCCCTCCTCCATTTTTTTTCTTCTGAAAATGAATATGGAGATTGTTTTTTTTAACTCCGACAGGAAGAGAAGACACAACAACTGAACGAGAAATCTTGTCTGACGTTTCCTCGTAAACATCATTTTCTTCCCTTTCAAATGTTTCATTTTCCATAAGTTCGACGTTCAAAATCTTTCCTTTCATTATTTGCTGAGTATGAACCACCTGACTGGCAACTAGACGTGAGAAAAATATGGTACATTCATATGGCACATTACTGTACCCAAGATGGCATCTCTGAAAATTTCTCTCACCTTCAGCTTTTTCGAAAACAATTTCAGCAAAACCATTTTTAAGCAAATTCACTTCTTTAATGTCACCACCACCATTTTTTTTCTTTTGAAAGTGAATTTTAACAGCATTTTCTGTAACATCCTCCGGAAGGCCAGATACAAGAACCCTTTCTTCCACATTTTCTTCCGAGGTTTCTGCATTTGTTTTGGATAAAATATCACTTTGAAGCTCAAGCTTTAGAACCTTTCCACAAATTGTTTGCTCAGTTTTCACAACCCTCCTTGCCACTGCAAGAATATATAAAATGCAAAAACATACAACGTTCATGTTTTTATGTAAAGTTGTGAGGCAATCAAAGCATTTATTTATTGGATTATTGTTTGCAAAACAAACCTTGAATATCATCAAACACAACAAGGGCTTGATTTTTATCAGGAAAAATTTGAACTTCAGAAATATCCCCTCCTCCATTTTTTTTCTTCTGAAAATGAATATGGAGATTGTTTTTTTTAACTCCTTCAGGAAGAGAAGACACAACAACTGAACGAGAAATCTTGTCTGACGTTTCCTCGTAAACATCATTTTCTTCCCTTTCAAATGTTTCATTTTCCATAAGTTCGACGTTCAAAATCTTTCCTTTCATTATTTGCTGAGTATGAACCACCTGACTGGCAACTAGACGTGAGAAAAATATGGTACACTACTGTCTCAAGATGTATCTCTGAAAACATCAATTTTTTCTTTTTGGAATGTTTCATTTTTTATAAGTTCGACAGTCAAAGTGATTCTCTTCATTATTTGCTGTGTACGGACCACTTGACTGGCAACTATAGACGCGAGAGAAACTTAATACGCTACTACCTCAACTCCTCGAGATGCATCTGTGAAAATTTCTCTCACCTTCAGCTTTTTCGAAAACAATTTCAGCAAAACCATCTTTCAGTAAATTCACTTTTTCGACATCTCCACCACTGTTTCTTTTCTTTTGAAAGTGAATTTTAACAGCATTTTCTGTAATATCCTCAGGAAGGCCAGACACAAGAACCTTTCTTTTGCCAATTTCCACATTTTGAAATAATTCATTTTCTTCCAATTGTACATTCAAAATGGTAGCTTCAAAGATTTGTTCGACTTCTAAAACACGCTTTGCCACTACAAAATATGAACAGTAAGGATATCAATTAACACATCTCAAATTTTAGCATAAATACTCCAAAGAATATTTTCACAAATTACCTGTACGATCCACAAAAGTAACTCTTGCATTCCCCTGACCAAGCATCTTCACTTCCTTAATATCTCCCCCACCATTTTTTGTCTTTTGAAAGTGCATCGTCACCCGTTTGCTTGTCGCACTATCAGGTAAACCAGACACCAAAATTGTTCTTTCATTCTTTAAAGACAATGCAGACATCTAGGAACATTATTCGTTTACAATGCTCATTCATGATATTTACCAAAATCGAAAGCTATAGGTTTTATTTAATACCTGATCATTCATTTCTATTTGTAGTCGGGTTCTTTACACGACTTGTTAAAGTCCACGGTTTTGATTTTAAAACGAAATGGTCTGCAAAATCTACTTAGAAAAGCTTCGTTTTAAAATGTAAAACAGATAAAATCTGGTGCCTACCGCAGATCTTCAGAGCTTGTTTTGTAATTAGATATGCGTGGACGGGCCACAGTGCACAGTACCTTTCAAAAAGTGGATATTTTCCAAATGAATATGTTGTAGGAAGATACAAGCAAATGTTTCGTTAACATTCAATTCTCTCCATCCATCAATACATTAAAATCAGCTCAACTACGTTAAACTCGCGATAAAGGTTTTGTTGACAAGTTATAGTGAAAGTAAGTGAAACATATTTCAGGCAACCTGCTGTGATTTTCTTGGAATTGACGTAAATTAACTATGCTGTTTCACTTTCAATACTGAAGCTTGTATTGACTGAGTTTACTTACGATACACGATTACATTTATACATTTGTCAGACGATTTAAACAGTTGTCAAACGATTTAAACATTTGTCAGACGATTTAAACATTTGTCAGACCATTTGTCTCACCAATACATTTGTCAGACGATTTAAACATTGCTGAAAATTCACTAGAATTTTCATTAATACAACTCAAAGAAAAAGATGTAAAGTCAGTGATCACATTTGAGTCCTGTAAGTCAAAGGTGAAAAAATATAAAACGGCAGCCATTAAAACAAGCATTTGTGCATATTTCTACTCTAAGGTAAAAATATAAATTTCCATACTCAAAATATAAAGCAACAGCAACCTCAAGCTTTCTAAAGTCTCAACACCAAGTTCATCCATGACAGGTTAACATACAGCTCTGAATAGTATACATTTTGTTATCTCTGATTTGATCCTTTGCAAAGCTAAGGCGTATCCCTAGCACCTTAATCCTGTCTTTTCTAAGAAGGTTTTTCAGCAAACAAAACGAAAAAAACAGCAAGTCTTAGTTATAAGATGGATCATGACTATCAAAAAACAACATTAGAAGCTTGTTGAAGACTTAACAAAACGATAATTTGGCATAAACATCCAAAATTATTTTACAACGTTTCACAATGTTCAACTTCCACAAGTTATTTCACTTGTTTCTTATAACAAAATAATGTCACGAGACATTGATGACTTGAAACAAGAGTTAATATGTTACTAAAAATGACTAAATCCGTGATGAAATCAATAACAAATCGACAATTTCCAACTTTATTTATAATATGGCGACATAACAGCAAAATAACTGATTAAATGATACATGCATGTAACGAATTCGTACAATACAGAAAGTTTAGAAACTATGAATAAATCTGTTGTATTATTTATAAAAACGGATGACTGAAAAAAAAACAAAAATAAAACGATATTAACAACAAATCTTTATATGTACTGTTCATAAACATTTTAAGAAAACACTCATTTTTTTCTAAAGGAAAAGTTAAATCACAACAAAAATCTGTGTAAAAGCAGAAAATGTGAATCTCAAATTCCAGAACCACAACTCATTAACAATTTCTCCAATATCTTTTATTCAAAAATTCCTTTGGAAGCCAATTCTTCCTGGACTCGTTTAAGATATGTTGGATCAGGGTAACCATTTCTAAATAGAAATTGAAGTCAACATTGTTCACAACAAGACAATTATAGATTTTAATTTCATGTCGATGAGAACAAATATTTCAATCAATACTTACGCTGATGGGCCTCCATTCATGTTACTTTTATGATGAATGTCATTCCAAGTTATAACATCTTCTACACCAGTTGTTGACGACCGTCCAATAGTAAAGGTCAGTTTTTGCTTGAAAGCTTTTTGAAGTAATTTAAGTACTTTTTTTCCTTCGTCATTGCAGGGAAGATATGCATGTCGTGTTGTTCCTTGATATGGCTTGCCTGGATTAGGATGTTCTTTACCTTGAATACCTTGTGGAAAACTATATTTTATATAAATGGTCCCACAAGAAGGGTAACCAGGCAAAGATTTTGTTAAAACACTGGAAGTCATCGTTCCTTCAGGTTGATCACCAATGATAACACCGTACACATAGGAGCAAATGGACATTTTTTGTTATGTTTAAATGCCTCTTCAATGCAGCTTGTACAAAATGAATGACCACATTTTTCAAGTGTCTTTATTTTTCTAATCTCCGACAGACATATTGTACATTTTTCTTCCTTCTTATAAGAAGATTTGTGTTGTTGAACATATAAAGGATCAAGGACTGTACTTTCACCTACAAGTGAAGAAAATTTACTTTCCATAAATATAATTCATGTGTTTGAAATAAATGATGATAAATGAATTAGGAATATTCCATCGCGCTCTGAGAAAAGAAACATACCATCGTGTATCTTGCTTCTCGGAGCATTTGCTTTCACAACTTTAGAATTATTGACATGAGATATTCTGCAACTATTGGATTTGGGAGGACTATAAGACTGAGCATTTGGATCAAGATTTGACACCAGAATTCCATTTCCTGTAAGAAAAAATAGCATTTGCAAAATTAAAACATTAAATCGATAGAGCATTTTTGAAATAATAATAAGTTTCACAATGTTTACTAATTCAACGTCTTAATTAGATACCTTTTGTAACAACACGTGAGTTGTGACCTCCTTGATATTCAGTTCTTTTGCCATTTTTCGAATATTGAAATTTTCCATTGGAATTTAAACTTTGAGTAAACAGCTCAAGCTCCTTTGACATTTCATTTGACCCGGACATACTTTTATGAAAAAAAACCTCTTTACGTTCTACTGCTCCAGAAAACCGTTTTTTCAATTCTTTCACAAACACACTTGTAGTCATGTCGTCAATATTTACAAAACGGATATCTTTAAGAGGACCACCAGATGAAGATTTTTTCAAAAAATTTATCACGGCGTCAAAAAGTACCTCAGCACATATTGTCACAGGAACACCAAATGTACCTGAAGTTATGACTGGTATGGCGATACTTCTTAAGCCTCGATTATTTGCAGTTATTAAACATTTTTCAACGGCAACACTCAAATAACGTTTGGCTTTATTTTTATCATTAAAATTGTGCCATCTTGGACCCACAGCGTGAATAATATATTTACAAGTCAACTTCCCAGATCCTGTTATTTCAATATCGCCTGGTTTCAAACTTGATCCACGTTTATTCATGATTCTAATACTTTCCATTTGGATAATCAATCCTCCAGCATCTACAATTGCTTTTGCTGCACCTTCGTTGTGATTTAAATCCTCGTTTGCTGGATTTACGATGACATCAACCACCTCTTTTGTGATGTCGTTTTGATAAACAGAAATTTTTGCGTTTTGGTAAACGACAACAGAATGGACGTCAGCTTGAGATTTTTGGTTCACTTTAGGACTTGATGGGCAAGCTAACTTACTAGGAGTAGAAGGGTAAACATTTGGCGTGTCTTGATTTTGAGATGTCAAACTTTTGTTCGGCCTTTTCAAAAATTCTTCTGCTTCTTTGATATCAGTTTCTCTTCCATAAAGAATTGTTTTATCAGGAAATGAATCAACAATCAAAAAATGCTTCATTGGAATTTCATTCACAAATTCGTTTTTATCAATTTCGAAATGCCTCATCTTTTCGTGTATTCTTTGATAGAAAGAGACGAAATCATTTATGGCTGATTGGTATTTTTGTTCATCAACATTTTCTAATGGAATAATCTTCATGAGTTTCTCATTTTGTGGTTTGACTTTGTATTCGATCTTTTTCGATACATTTTCAAGATTTTGGATCATGTCATAGTGGTACATCATAATGTAACGTAAGAATAACGAGTTTACTGTGAAATACTCAACAAGATCTTTTTCTAGAGAGCCCAAGTTGTCATTGTCTACATGCAAAACTTTCCGAAACAGTAAAACTGGAATTTACAATATGACTGGGATTTTCATAATCGTTCTAAAAATATGATATATTTGATGGAAATATGAAATTTAAGAACGTAGTGAAAGAAGTTTGTCTTAGGGTAGCAACTTGATGCAAATGAAAATTCACAATAACGCAAATGATGTCATTCCTGCCAATATTTTTGAACTAGTGACTAGAATTTTCATCAGATTTCCTAGTAAAATATATTATAAAACTACAGATCAAAACACATAAGTTGAAATTTGTACAAAACGAAAAGAGTAATCATGATTTTCAAACAATAAAGTGCAATAACTTAAACTGTATAATTTGCACGATAATCAAATAATATCACCATGTAAAATGATGAGCTTACAGTGAAAGATTTACCAAAATCTTTTGATAAGAACTCAAGTTGACGAGTTTATAATTGACTAGATTGTTCCATGCGATAATTTGAGTTGGTCGAAACAATGATTGTTCATATTGCCATTTCGCAATAAATGAACAGTATATATATTGTTTCCTTCTGTTGCACAGTAAGTTACCATGCTGCTTGAAGTTTGCGATCAGAAAATGAAAAACCTTTTCCTTTGAAATATTGTTACTAAATTCTCTTGCCAGTAAACATTATTGATTTCAATTCACATCAGCCTATGAAAGAGATACCGTTTCTTTTCATCGAATATGATACATTCCTTGAATGAAGACATTGTCTATGAAATTTTGAAACATTTACTGATTTTCAAATCTAAAAAAATAAGTGAAGAACGTTAATCAATTTTCTTAGGGTAGAAACATCAACGAAAGTGTCACCAAAGTTTTGAAACAGTGCAAAATTTTCCATGGAAATTAGTCACTTTTCAAATATTAAAGCAGAAAAATAAACTAACATCCTACACCATCATTGCACACATCAGAACTACAGATGAACGATATTTCACGATGCTAGTTGATTTCTCGTACTAACCATCTGCTACTTTGCTCCTTGAACAATTTACTGCACCAGCATGTGCTGAAACAAATTCCGACCTTATACATTTCAGTGACAAATCCGATGAATAAAATCGACTTTTACGTCGATTTCAAAGTGATTTTTGAATAGATCTGAGAGTAGTATTTCATTAATTTGAAGCATGTATCGCACAACTTGCCATTGCAGAATGCAAACGTAACAAGATATGCATGATGTTATGTTTCATCGCTCAATAAGTAAAATCAATAATAATAATAAAATTTCGTAATAACCTCGGTTCAAATATTTTCTGATATAAACTCAACTAGACAGATGGTACATGGGTTGCATCTCTTTCCTCCAGGACACACAAAGATTCTGCTCAACATTGTTTCTTTTGAAAGTGAATTTTAACAGCCTGAACCCAGTAGAGTTGGTTTCCTGTTGAAAATATCCTTAGCTCAAGCTTTCTCATTCGTGTTTTCACAAGCCACTGCTTTGCAAAAAATACACCAGAAAAGTTGTGGGCAATCAAGCATTTATTTTTATCAAAATTAATCAAAGCCATGCTATATGAAAATAGAATTTCCTTTCATTTTCACTTTGAAAGTAAAATCTGTTTTCTTTTAGGAAAAGCACAACAGCACGGTGTCTTAAACAAGGAAAGTTCGACAGTCAAAGTGATTCCTTTCATTTGCTGTGATGGACCATTTGACTTGCTAAAAAGTATCTAAGTACATATTGAAAAAAGTTCAATTTGTCGTAAATATACATATTTAAAAGTAATACTCAGGAAGTCCAGACACATCTTTTACAATTACATTTTGATATTGAGAAACAAAAGTGGTGAATCGACTTTAAAACAGCTTTCACTACAAAATTAAATAATCAACTCATGTCAAATTTTTTTAAATTTTCACAAACTACAAAGCGATGAAAGCATTTTCGCCTTTAATTAAATCAAGATCACTATGAGCTCCATTCACATTAATTGACACTAGTTCGACCGGCACTATATTTACTTATATCAATTATATGTATATAGGTTTATTAGGTAATTCAGTAGTCGCACAAGTTAACACGGTTTTATTGAATGGTCTGAAAAACTATTCTGCAACCTTCAGATTTGATTAGATATGCGTGGACGGGCCAATAACCTTTCAAATCTAAAGAAGTACAAGCTCGTTAACATTCAAATCCATACACTAATAGCATAACTACGTTAAGCTCGCGATAAATTGACAATACAGTGAAAAGAATATTGGAATTGACGTATAGCTGTTTCACTTTCCTGAAGCAAAGTTTACGTTGACATTGTTGCCTTAATAACAAATATGGACGTAGAAACAAGTCCGATATAATTCTTCAACATAAAACAGAAGGTTTGATCACAAAACATTGTTAATATTTTTACTTCAGAGATTTAAACATTGCTAAAATTCACTAGAATTTTTAAATGCAACTCAAAGATGTAGTCAGTGATAAAGCTAAGGCATCCTAGCACTTAAACTGTTTTTCGAGGCTTTTTCAGCAAACAAAACGAAAGAACAGCAAGTCTGAATTATAAAATATCATGACTATTCTCTGTACATTGAAGCATGTTTCAATTTAACTTCCAAAGTTATTTCACCTTATAACAAAATAATGTCACGAGACATTGATCTTGAAACAAGAGTTAATATGTACTAAAATGACTAAATCCATGAATCGACAATTTCCAAATTTATAATATCATAACACAAAATCTGATTTTACATGGTAACGAATTGTACAAATGTTTAGAAACTATGAATAAAAACTTATTGGATTAAAATAAAACGATATTAACAACAGACGTATCTTTCTTAGTAAACATTTGTTTCTAAGCAAAAGTTAAATAATCTAAGCAGAAAATTTAACAAATTTTGATTTTTGTTTCAATACTATTTTAAGTATTATAAATCTCTGAACCACTACTCATCAACAATTTTCCAAAATCTTAAACAATTCCTTTGGCAGCCAATTCTTCCTGGACTCGTCTAAGATATGTTGGATCAGGGTAACCATATCTAAATATGAGATAAAAAGTCAACATTGTTCACAACAAGACAATTATGGATTTTAATTTCATGTCGATGGGAACGAATATTTCAATCTTCACTTACGCTGATGAGCCTCCATTCACGTTAGTTTTATGATGAATGTCATTCCAAGTTATAACACCTTCTGCACCAGTTGTTGACGACCGTCCAATGGTAAAGGTCAGTTTTTGCTTGAAAGCTTTTTGAAGTAATCTAAGTACTTTGTTTCCTTCTTCATTGTCAGGAAGATATGCATGTCGTGTTGTTCCTTGATATGGCTTGCCTGGATTAGGATGGTCTTTACCTTGAGTACCTTGTGGAAAACTATATTTTATATAAATAATCCCACAAGAAGGGTAACCAGGCAAAGATTTATTGGAAAAACTGTAAGTCATTTTTCCTTCAGGTTGATCACCAATGATAACACCGTACACATAGAAGCAAATGGGACATTTTTTGTCATGTTTAAATGCCTCTTCAATGCAACTCGCACAAAATGAATGACCACATTTTTCAAGTGTCTTCTTTCTTCAATCTCGACAGACATATGGTTTTTTTCATCTTCTGAAGAAGATTTGTGTTGTTGAACACATAAAGGATCATGGACTGTACTTTCACCTACAAGTGGAGAAAATTAACTTTCCATAAATCTAATTCATGTGTTTGAAATAAATTATGATAAATGATTAGGAATATTCCATCGCACTCTGAGAAAAGAAACATACCATTGTGTATCTTGCTTGTCAGAGCATTTGCCTTCACAACTTTAGAATTATTGACATGAGATATTCTGCAACTATTGCCTTTTGGAGGACTAAACGACTGAGCATTTGGATCAAGATTTGATTCCAGAATTCCATTTCCTGTAAGAAAAAATAGTATTTGCAAAATCAAAACATTAAATCGATAGAGCATTTTTGAAATAATAATAAGTTTTACAATGTATACTTAATCAACGTCTTAATTAGATACCTTTTGTAACAACACGTGAGTCGTGACCTCCTTGATATTCAGTTCTTTTGCCATTTTTCGAATGTTGAAATTTTCCATTTGAATTATAACTTTGAGTAAACAGCTCAAGCTCCTTTGACATTTCATTTGACCCGGACATACTTTTATGAAAAAAAACCTCTTTACGTTCTACTGCTCTAGAAAACCGTTTTTTCAATTCTTCCATAAACACACTTGTAGTCATCTCGTCAATATTTACAAAACGGATATCTTTAAGAAGACCAGGTGAAGATGTATTTAAAAAATTTATCACGGCGTCAAAAAGTACCTCAGCACATATTTTCACAGGAACACCAAATATACCTGAACTTATGGCTGGTATGGTAATACTGCTTAAACCTCGATTATTTGCAGATATTAAACATTTTTCAATGGCAACACTCAAATAATGCTTGGCTTTGTTTTTATCATTGAAATTGTGCCATCTTGGACCTACGGCGTGAATAATACTAGTACAGGGCAACTTTCCAGATTCTGTTATTTCAACATCGCCTGGTTTCAAACGGGATCTACGCTTTTTCATGATTTCAGTACTTTCCATTTGGATAATCAATCCTCCAGCATCTACAATTGCTTTTGCTGCACCTCCGTTGTGATTTAAATCCTCGTTTGCTGGATTTACGATGACATCAACGACTTCTTTTGTGATGTCGTTTTGATAAACAGAAATTTTTGCGTTTTTGTAAACGACAACATAATGGACGTCAGCTTGAGATTTTTGGTTCACTTTAGAACTTGATGGGCAAGGTGAACTACTGGGAGTAGAAGGGTAAACATTTGGCGTATCTTGATTTCGAGATGTTGAACTTTTGTTCTGCCTTTTCAAAAATTCTTCTGCTTCTTTGATATGTTTTTCTCTTCCAAAGAGAACTGTTTTATCAGGAAAAGAATCAATAATCAAAAATTGCTTCAGTCGAATTTCATTCGCAAAGTCCTTCTTATCAATTTCTAAATGCATCATCTTTTCGTGATTTTTTTGATAGAAATCGATAAAATTATTTATGGCCGATAGATATTTTTGTTCATCAATATTTTCTAATGGAATAATCTTCATGAGTTTCTCATTTTGTGGTTTTACTTTATATTCGATCTTTTTCGATACATTTTCAAGATTTTGGATGTAGTCATAGTGGTACATCATAATGTAACGTAAGAAAAACGAAGTTACAGTGAAAGATTCAACAAGACCTTTTTCTTGAGAGCCCAAGTTGTCATTGCCTACATGCAAAACTTCTGAAACAGTGCTGGGAGAGTTATCGTCCTATTAAAAAAAATAATAAAGCTATGAAAACATGGATTGATTTAGAATATGACTCCAGCGATGTGCATGCCATCTTCTCATATTTACGTTTGTAGAATGCATATAAACTATATATATATCAGTGAAAAAAAGTAATCACTTACTGATTTGGATTTCAATTTATCGACAGTGGGAGAAGTATGGTTACTTTGAGGAGCATTGACGTCAGAAACTGCAGAATGCAAACGCAAAGATATATTATCACATTTGGTGCACATTACTGAAATACACAAATTTCATAGTGGATATATTAACGAGTTTCAAGATTTAACAAGACCTTTTTTGGGAGCCCAAGTTGTCATTACTGAAATACACAAATGTCATGGTGGTACATTATAATGTAACGTAAGTAATCAACGATATTTAATAGTAAATGGTTTGAACCTGGTGAATGTTACATGTTTGTAAATGTAGATCGTCCATTTGACTCTGAAGATGACTACCGCTAGGTTGTCGAAACATCAGTCAACAACATCAAAAACAGTCCTTCTGGATATACCAACCTGGACGATTTACATTTACAAACAGGTAAGAATAACGAGTTTACTGTGAAAGATTCAACCAGACCTTTTTCTGGAGAGCCCAAGTTGTCATTGTCTACATGCAAAACTTTTGAAACACTGCTGGGAGAGTTATCGTCCTATTAAAAATGTAATAAAGCTATGAAAACATGGATTGATTTACAATATGACTCCAGTGATGTGCATGTCACCTTCCCATCTTTACGTTTGTGGAATGCATATGAACTATATATATATCAGTGAAAAAGAAGTAATCACTTACTGATTTGGATTTCAATTTTTCGACAGTGAGAGAAGTATGGTTACTTTGAGGAGCATTGACGTCAGAAACTACAGAATGCAAATGCAAAGATATATTATCACATTTGGTGCGCATTACTAAAATACAAAACAAAATTTTCGTGAAATAACCTTGAATATTTTCAAAAATTCAACAAGAACGTAGTCTTCTCCTTCAGGACAAACGTTTTCTCAACATCGCCAGTAAACCCAGTTGAGTTTGTCCCCTGTAATGCCTTAACAATCTCATCATGCAAGAGCTCTGAAACACCAGAGATTCTTAGCGTTTTCTTTTCATCAAAATTGTACGGCACCATGATACATGATTTCTTGAATTGAAATATACAGCACACTTAAGGAAACTGAAGAACTTCTCGTACATCAACAGAGATATCTCTCTCGATTTCGATTATGAAACTGCATACACTTTGATTCCAACGAAAAGTAAATAAAGCGATAATTTAATTTCCGCATTGAAATGACCTGGTAATATATACAAGATTTCATTTTCACTTCCGACATTAAACTCAACTTAAATATAGATTAACATAATCAAACATCTTAATTAACAAAACAAACAATGCATATGAAAATACCTATGATATTATCACTTTCACTTGAAGCACCGAAAAGTAAGCTTTATTTTGATTATATGAATATCTGAGGTCATTCGGTGCGCTGTAATACGTTCATTTTGAGGTAACACATGTTAGTATTTTTGATAGAAAACGACCATTCTAACTAAGATAGACAGTGAGTACATATCAGTACATCTATGTTGTTTTTACTTAGTCATGAATTTCTGCATCTCAACCTGAACAATAATCCACCATAGAATACGGCCTATAACACTGAAACGATGAATGTTGAAAAGGCTGAAGAGGTACGTAGCAATGTTGTTACAATTAAATAATCAAGGAAATTATGAAAGTAATAAAAAACGAAGCTGAAAGTAGAAAGTGCAATTGGGGCAATAAATCTAATAAATTTGCTTGTCTATTGGTAGTATGAACGAACGCTAATTGTGTCTCATCTTTCTGACGACTTTGACGAAGATAAAGTGCGTCATATCTTTAAGAGAGGAAAACATGGTGGCGAAGAAATTGAGAAAGTGACATTATTATCACGAGACAAGGGGATGATTCTTTTAAAAAATACAGATGGTTTGTGGTGCATAGTTTAGTCCCTGGATCATAAGCGCATTTTATTATTTCTACTAAAAGATGTTTCGGAACTACAACTATCATGCGAACAAAATTGCATGCAGAAGTAGCCCTAATCATGTCAGTAAATATATTTATGCATTCCTTCTTGATTAGCAATAGATCGAATCCTGAACAAAGAGAAAGAAACAAAGGATAAGTGTTTGAAAGTTGAACGCGTTTCTGCACAGGACTTAGATGAACTTCAGAAAAAGTTAAATATGAGTCGAAAAGTTTTAATATCTGGCTTTCATAAAGAAATCAAAATAAATACGGTTTACATTTACTGTCAAAAGAAGAGAAATGATGGAGGAAAGGTTGAACAAGTTAATTTGGAGGGAGGAAAAGCTTTTGTTGTGTTTGAGGATGTTCAAGGTATAATACCATCTTAATTCAGTATATAGGACTGAGAAAGATCAATAATTTCTTAAACCTGCTTATGGCATCCGCATATTTAGGGTAATAAAAATACATTCATTGCAATGCTATTATTAATCATTTTCAAACAGTATGCAATCTTACCAATAAAATTGCTTTGCACGTATTTTGAAGTTTCGATTGTACAAAAGAATGAGGTGAACATTATTAATCTTTTCTAACGCGATAATTATACCATATCTAATGAATAACAGTTTTTACTCATTCTTCTCACAACTTTCTTGTTTTAGTCGCTCAAAAGTTTGCCAACAAAAAGCGACAATTTCAGGGAAAACAACTTCAAGTCAATCTTATAATAGACGAAAAACCAGGCTGTGTAGTAAAGGTAGAAGGACTTCCAGATGGAGTAACAGAATATACAATAGCCATACATTTTCAAAAGAAGAGAAATGGAGGAGGTGAAATAGAAGAGGTTAGGCTAGGACCTGCAAAGAACGAAGCAACCGTAATTTTTAAAGAAAATGGAGGTTTGTCAGCATCATTATGTGAACATCGTAATGAAGTCTGTCATTTTCTTAAGCAAAAACGAAATCACGTTTCAACGCCAACCGACTACATCGCAGACCAAATAAAATCAAATTCGCAAAAAGTTTTGCTTTTTCCATTCATGGTACGCAAAGATGCAAAATTTTGTAAAAATAACCCAATCAAATGTGTACCACAAAAACAAGACGTAAAACGACGACGATGGAAAGTTGACGCTTTTCTTGATAAACATGCATAAAAATAAATTCGAATTTGAGTCATTGAACTTAAATATGAAGCACTTTCACTAATGCAAAATTTCTTTTTCAGTTGCAGCTAGTGCTGCAAGCCAGTCACACAAAATGGAAGGGAAAACGTTAACAGTGAAACTATATGACATTAAATTTGATGAATTAAATAAAATTATGAACCGAAATAGAAGGATGATGACTGCAGAGATTTGTTAAACAAGAGAGTTATTAAAATGTTCATATTTATTTTTTAAGACAACTGCACTTCAGTCGCTTAAAGTTTTGTCGATTTCTCATTCATCACGAATTGAATTAATTCAAACAATTACTGTTGAAAACATGTTCCTTAATATCACTGGCAAAATCACCCAATGACTGGAGTGATCTTCACATTAATCCAAAATTTTTATTTGACATTCATATCAAAGGCCGCGAATTTTTCATCGCAGGTCGCAAAGGTGAATCAACAGCAGGTTTAATTTCAAAATTCATCAAAGATCAATTAGCAACTCGGAATTTCCATGGAAAAAAAGTGTAAAGATTCTGAGAGAGAATGTAAATTGACATCAAAGGATAATAAACCTAGCAACAAGGGCAACAAAAATGATCGTGTGCCTCCTGTCACAAGTGAAGACGAGAGCTCCGAAGGGATAAATCATCACGAATCGCACCGATCGTCAACACCTTCTTTGGTCCCCAATCGTGAAAAAGAGAACAACACTTCGGATTCAAATGATGGAGAAGTTTCAAATACAACAAAAAACACTAAAGATAATGAACGTACTGAAAAAACAGGCACCCTCGAAGATACTGCAAATCATTGCTGCAAAAACAACTTAGCTTCATCGTGTGAAAATAATGTTGCACAACAGAGAAGCACAAATTCAACTAACGACAACACCAAGACATCTGGAGCTTCTCGATCAATGGGTGCCTGCTTTCCAGGAGGCAATAAATAACTCCGAAATATCAGAAAATTCAGTTGTAGAAATCTAGTCAAGTTACCGAAAATTGATAATCATTACTTTTCAAATGATTGTGCTCTCGCTCAAAAACAGACACTTGGCAGTATCTTATACACTTGTAACTTGCACAACAGAGCAACTTGTTTTTATTTTCCACGATTTTGATACATCCAACAATAGGTCATAGCTGCATTTTTCCAAAATATAGTAATCAATTAAATGAATAATGAAAAAACATTTCACAATAGGCGAAGTTCCCAGCTCTTACAGCAACAAAGTCAATAAGTTTTATTAGCAGTAAAAGTTAGCAGTATGAATATGCAAACAGAAAAGTTGTAGAAAAGAATACAAATTTCTTTTGCTTTGTCACAGCAAATAATAAAACATTGAAGTGTGGTCATGCTTTTTGCAAAAAGCATTGTTCTTTTCTTCATGTGAAGGATTGTATGAGTAAACTGAGCCATAGGCGTTGTGAATCTGTGAGAATTGTGAATCTGTGAAATCCAATGCTTTTAAGCATGTGTCACACGTTAAAATAAACCCTTCCTCGCTTTGAAATTGTGACACGTTCATTTTATATACTTATTTCAGGTAAGAACTCGAAGCGCATACCATTCCACTATCCATTTTCACGTACAAGGCGGACAGTGTACTTAATCGATAAGAAAGATGTTGGAAGGTTTTTGATGAAAACATTTAAGCAAAAATTAATTTTCATAATTGAAACATCATCCACAACTGGAAAGAAAGGATATGTAATAGTATTCAATCTTGATTATTTCAGGAGAAACTGGACAGCTGAGTAACAAATTGCTGGCAGACTTTTCGAAGTGTTGTAACTATGTTTGACCTCTCTCTTGCATTTTGATACTTCTCACGTCAAATCTAATTAACACATCGATGCTGATCAAGCTACATATACATATTAATATCTGTTCAACGATTTCAACTCGTTTTATTTCCCTTAGACTGTGTGACAACTAACTTAACGTTTTTCTAATTGCATCTATTTACATATATATACATAATTAATAATTCAAGATGTTAGGGGTGCAAGTTAGGTCTCATTCTTTTGCACTTTTGCAGAGCGACATGAGCGACATACACTTCCTTCCACGTCGACACATGTTAAATGACGTTTGATGTAAACTCTACTTGATCACCTTCTATAGAAATGGATCCCAATGTTCATACTAAAATGCCTGATAATAAAAGAACAAAATATATTATCATTGTTCTGTTAGCAGTTATTGTAGTCCTATCCTACCAGCTCTATAAAGAAAACAAATTAAAGAAAGATCTTGTGAGAAGAAAAGCCTTTCTGTACAAAAAATTGAACCAATGTTATGTTGATGGAGAAAAAAGTGAAGCGAAGTATAGCAACGTACGCAAAGAGAAAATGAAGTTAAATAGCGATCTTGAAGATAAAACTGAAAAGCACGAAAAATTATCGAAGGATTATGATGAGTTGCAGCGATCGTTCGATAAAAAAGAAATGGAATTGCATAGTTTACAGAAATCCGCCGTAAGTAAATTCCTTGATACAGATTTAGGCTCTAACAATCACTTGAGATTGAAAGATCAACTTCCAAATGTTGCATTTTAGGATGAAGATGAAAAGCAGTTGTCTAAGCTTAAAGCCAATTATGATTCTGCAATTTCTTCTGTCAGAACTGTGCAAGGTACCTATATAACCATGATTTGCTTTGCTCTTTGTGCATGAAAATGAACCACTTATAAAATATTGTATCAGGGAAGGTTAACAAGACCCTAGTTGTTTGTAACAAGAATAAAGAAGAAAATATCCAGTTTAAAGAGAAAGTTGAAGGATTGATGGAACAATTGTATGTATTTACATGAATTTAGTATCAGAATGTATGTAAGCTGACTTTCTTTCAATGTGCTAGACAACAATGTAAGGATGATAAATCACAAATAGAGCAAGGGGTATTTCAGATGACTGATTTTATTTGAATATAACATTAATTATATTCTAAAGATATATCTATCATAATCAGAAGGATTTTATTTGAATATAACATTAATTATATTCTAAAGACTAATTATATATCTATCATCGACTGAAAAACCTTCATGATCAGCTGAATGGTCAGAGGGAGCTATCAAAATTGACACCCCCAAATGATAATTCAGGCCCATATATATCTAAACCAGGTCAAAACTTTCAAACAAGAGATCATATAAAGGAAACGAATAAATTTGATAGCGTACAATACACCTTTCCACCATCGTCAGTTTCCCAACCGGCGAAGAAAGTCTCTCACACTTAGAAAATTCACAAGGCTTAATCAAGGTAATGATGGCATGTTTATGCTTTCAAGTTTGACTTGATGTTCTCATATACATACAAGGTTGTTTATTGAAATGGATTGCTTTTGTTTTTATAGATGGATAGTAGTACACCTTCTCAAACAAACTCTATGTCCAACATATTCAACAGATCAATGACAAGGAATACAGTCCTTTCGCCATTGCACTCCAGGACAGAACAAGATAAAGATGTTATGTAATTATTAATAACAACAAATTAAAGCTGTTCAAGAGACAAAGTAGATAGCAAATGTTGGGTAACATTGTTGTAATATGTTTTAGACAGTAGTTTGTAATAGTGAATTTTTCCCACTAGAAAGTTGCACACACACATTCTTCTGTAACATTTTCAATTATAATTTATTTACTATTTTCACAGCTTCAAGTTAAAAAACTTCAACATGTTTTCAGTATTCTAAATCTGTTGAGCTTGTAATAATTGCTTATTTCCCTACTCTCTGATTTGATTTGACTAGAAATTGTACATTTTGTTGTTGTATATTGATGCCAATGCTTTTTCTTTACCTACTGCCTACTTTTTATTTGATCATAAATCTTCTCTATCAATGCCCAAATATAGGCAAACCTGATTTGAGGTTTTAATGTACTCCATGTATTCCCAATATTTTTTTTTTGACCCATCAGACATTTGAGACTCCTTCACAACCATATCACATAGATTTCTATGTGCACCATCAGGAAGAACATAAATACTTTCATTTTAAATAAATATTTTTGTTCAATGTATTGAAATCAGGTTACGCGATCAATTGTGTTCCCATCATGCAGTTGAATACCCTTAGTAGATTCTTGCCATGTATTTGTAAATATCAATGTCCTATTACGATTTTCTTTTATTGGTACTGACTTCATCAACCTGTTTTTCTCATAACTTTCTAAAGTCAATTTGCCAATGTTAGAAAAAAAATGCTACCTACTATAAACATCAATTTGCCAATGCCTATCAACAGAAATATGAAAAAAAAACAAAAACAGAACTTAAGTCTACCTTTTATCTTTTGTTTTATTGCTTGTTGTATAATATCATTCTTTTTTTTCAAGTCATTCACTTTGCTCAAAAGATTTATATTTTCCTTCCTAGCACTTGCCAGTTGCTCATTGATTTCTTCTTTTTCAGCCTGCTTTTCCCCCCTAAAAACGTGCAAATCTACTGTATGAACAGTATGCACTTATTTCTTGACAAATTGAAAAAACATACACTTCATTTTGCAGTTTTTCAATCATTTCCTGCAAATTAGTTTTTTCATTTTTTAGTTTTGTATGCTCCAATATTAGACGATCAGCTTTTTCTGAAACACAACAAATCGAAGAGTCAATACAAATAAAGAGATAAACAGTTTCAAAAGAATATACCTGATAATTTGCCAAATCTACCCCTTGATTGCTCTACTAAGATGGCAAGTTTTGATATTTCTGCTTTGCTACTATCCTACATGACAATACAAGTTGATTAAAAAGTCTACTATCACTAAACAGTATAAGGGCACTGCATGTGGTTGACTGATGTTGACCATGTAACACTCACACTTGACTCATGAAGATTTTTTATCTCTTTTACATTTGCTTTTAACAGTAAACGTATTTTGGCTCGCAATTCACCAAGTTTCCTGGCACTTTCCTGCTGCAATTTCTTCATTTCCAACTCCTTCTTCTTTATCTTCTCAATTGCATCCTTTACTTTCACGTTGTTCTTTTCTTTACTTTCAGATAAAGATAACTTTAACAAAAAGTCAACAATCACGTTAAGCATGAGCAAAACATAATTTTTAATAGTTTTCTTGCCATGCACGCATCAAGTTCAATTTCCCTCTTTTTCATTTACATATGTCTGACAGAAACAATAAACTATTTACATTTTCTAACCTGAAGAAGTCCAACTTTTCTTTCAAGATAATCGTTTCTTTGTCGACTATTGTACACAAGAAACAAAGTTATCGTAAAACCTAAAGCGACAACAATCACATATGGAGGAAAACGAACGATTGAAGGCATTATTTGCCAAAAATGACTACACTAAGATTAGTTTCCAAACATTTTTGTTTAGTTGCAAAAATTCCTTATGATTATTATGAATCTGCATATTCTGCGGTCAAGGCCTCTTTTTCATGTAATTAATACGAAAGAGACTAACATTAATTGAATTATTATATACATCACTGATAATTTAGTTCATTTTGAGTAAAATATTAATTCATTTTGTTTGTTTGTATCTATGAAGTACAAAAATATTCTCACAAATAACTTATCTACACAATTTGAAAAATGAATCTAGTACAATTTGCAAATGAAATGGGCGAAAAATCAGGACAGATTTCGTGAAGTCAAGATTTCGTTTCAACACTGCCACTCTCATCAAAACAGAGCAACTGAAAATTACTTCTAGCTTTGAACTCTTTCAAAAGTTTTTCGATTTCTCTAAAATGTCGATAAAAAACAAGAGTGAGCTCTAGAAGAAATATTGCCTTAAGAAAAATACACATATTAAAGAAAATTCAACAATACCTTTGATGATCTTCTTTACTTATAGCTGGAATACATTTGTAAGTATTTTCTAAAAACGATCTGCGACACAATGGACGACAAAATTCAACATTAAAAAGGAGAATAGCGACAAACGTTACTAAATTGAGGCTAATGCAGTGATCGCGGAAACTGTTCAAAACTTTGGGGTTCAGAATAGAACGAGAACGTACTCTACATGCAACGACCTAAAATTTTACGCTATAAATTGCTTGCTCGTGTTGAAAGCAGTCCCCTCACCCTCACTGCGTGGTCCATGTAGTAAAAGGAATGTTTCTAGCAGTGACGAATCAATCTACACTAATAATAATTTTATTTTGCACTTGACGCTGACTCATCTATGTTAAATTAATGTTATCCTGATTTATCTGTTTTAATCAATGTTACCTTGATTTGTCTGTTAACCAGTTTTGCAACGCTTCTCTCAATGAAGTGAGCTCCAAACGTGCCTAAGATAAAAAATATAATGTCGACGCTAGCCTTAGCAGACCGCAGTACAAGACATAAATAGCAGGAATAATAAGCTGTACAACTTGATGATGTATTTCAGATTAAAAGCTGCGATGAGCCACCTCATGAGAAATAGTATTGGTCAACTAAATGCATTTGGCTGACTACGATTACTTAATCACATACATGCAATACACAAAAAATCTCATTGCAGTGACGCTAATGTTTGTTCTAAATATTGTACCAAACTTACCTGGATGATACCATTAGTAGAATATTTGCCTTTGGCGTTCTTGAACAACTTATACACAGTCTCCGTTAGTATCTCGGTCAATCGCGAAAGTACCCTGGGCACGAACGAAGCAGAGCTTGAAAAAACCTAGAAAATGCATACAGGAGATGGGTATGACTTATTTTACTTTTTGAGAACCAATAGTAAAATTGACACGAACCTGGGCATGTATAACAATCAACTCGAGAATAACAACCTTTACGTAATCTCTTACGTCATCCGGCTTTTTACAGCGACCCCAATTGAAGTCCCCAGCAAACATTCCGGTCTTTATTCTACTGACCAGCGGTTCACTTTTTAATTCGACATAAGCATTAAATATCCTATCTTCAAGTTTCATAATTTCACATTTAAATGACTACAAAAAAAAAAATGGAGAGGACATGTACAGTGCAAAGTTTCAAAAAAACACTGTCGATGAACAAAGTTATCACGAACAAAACATTCATGTCAATTTCATGTCAAAATATCTGCTTTCATTGTCTTGTTAAATATTGAAATATGTAATTGAGCGCAAGTTTTAACTTAGCCTTGAAAACCTCTAACAAACCTTACAAACCTCTTATGCAATTTTAATTCATTTTGGATAGAACACTGAATTGAAAATAAATTTATGAAACTACTAGCTTATCAACAGCACCCTCACAATATAATTCAATTCAAAACGTCAGTCAACATCAACACCAACAGTCCTTCTCAGGACTTTACTAACAAACATGGACGATCTACATTTACAAACAAGAAACGATACTCCCGGGCTCAAACCATTCACTTTATAAATTACATTCACCCCCCCCCCCCCCCTCCACGAAAACTTTACATTATGTATGCATTATTGTAATTTTCACCACTCATCACAATGCAGTAAAGTTTCCATGGACACTTTGCACTAATATCAAGTAGTTGGAATTCAATCATGGAAATTCCTGGAAACATAGCTTACCGGAAGTAAATTTTCTAGTCCTGCATGACCATTGCTTTGATAATTAGACACAATTTTGGGTAAAACATTATCCCGTAGATACGAACAACAACTGAGAACAATCAGGAATCGTTCATCCTGCAACATTTCAGTAGTTTATATCAAATCAAGCTTCCATTGCATAAAATAGCCGTCGTAATTCTTCAATATTTAATAAATTTTTACCCTTGCGGGAGAATTGATTGAAGAAACCGAGTTGACATCTTCATGGGAATCAAAACTTCCATAATGATGACGACTTGATCTGAAGACAAAAGAAAAGAATGAAAAGATACTGAATACAAAGTGGAAGTAAGGCAATCAAAAATTTCCGTGGTATTCTCCGAACATACACTGATATTTTATCAAGTTCTTCGTCTGATGGGAAACCAAGATGCTCAAGACTTTCAATTGCTGCCTGAAAATCGAGTAAATATAATAAAATCGGCATATTTTCTTGATAACAAAGAGCCGAGTAAATGAATTTGCTATCGTGATAGCACAGAGACCTGGAGCATTTTATAAAATAATTCGTTAATTTCTTTCTGAATCTCATCACCCTTCTCTCCGCCAAATGTCGCCTCCCCAATAACATCTTTCAACACATGCAGCATATCAATTGCAATAGTTTCAAATGTGATGGGCTGCAAAAGAAGAAAAATTGATTACGTGGCGAATAAAGGTACCACAAACGAGAAATTCAATGAACCGACCAAAATCGTTATAACACAGCCATTGCTTATAGCCTCTTTAGTCCAATCTTCATTCTTATAGAGATTTCTTATTTCTAAGATAAATGAGATATGGACAGAGAAACATCGTTGCTATCAACAGATTTATTTGATCGCAATAAATGTACACGACATCAAGAGTAAAGATCTTCACCTTCCACAGAATTCTCCATGAGACATCGAGTTGACAAGAACTGAAGATCTTCTAAAGATGACTGGACTAACTTGAGTGCTTCGAAGGAACTTTTACCACATTGCGTTTTCAATGTGGAGTAACAACGTCTATATGAAAAGTTTACATGGCGAGAATTCTTAAGCATCGATAGCTGAGTCTCCATAAAAATTTTAATAAGTAGCTACAACATCTGCAACAAATCTATCGTCTTACCGAACAAATTTTACACATTTCGGTAACCAAGGAGTGATCTCGTCCCTACGAGATTTCCATTCCGTGTTCTTATCGTGGTCAGGTTTATAAACTCCAACAAATACTTCCTCAAGAAATGTCGAATATCGTTTCGTTATGTCACGAACCATCCCCTTAAAGAAAAAGAAACAATGAAATGTCATTAATGTACGTATATATAGAACGATATAAAAGATTATTTCGAAGAAAGAGTAATTCATCAAGTCACACTTGAAATTCATGATTTCGCTCAGCAGCCGGAACAAATGATGGCTTATCAGTATCTGTGTTCTCCTAAAGAAGAAAACAGGATCTAAAAAAACACATCCCTATCGTCGAAAAAGCATTTACATTCACTCTCACCTTTTTAAACAGACTACCATTCAAGTACTCATTGCCGAGTTTCCAAAGATCAGGTAAGCTTTCACTCAATATATCAGAAAGCTCGTCCACATAGATAACTGCACGAGGAGGAGCGTGGGCTCTAGTCCCCCAACCTAAACAAATTTCAAATTACATATATAGACGACTTGTACGAAGGCTAGATAGCGCTATCCAAAAGATAGCAAACGTTTTCGAACGTTTAAAAAATCTCTTAAAAGGAAAAAATATACGATTTGAAGAGAGCAATCACTGAAATAAAATATTGTTCCCACGATTACAAAGTTTCATTATCGTAAGAAAAACACCCTTTTCATACGTTTGAAAATTTCACTATCCAATGGATAGCGCTATCAAGGCTTCAACCGGCCACAGATGAGCGATTTCAGATATATCTCTTATCGTCTCAAACATTCAAATTAATCTCGAGTAAATCTGTAAAACGAACTTTAAAATAAACATCGTTTTAAGAAGTTTGTGAAACCAAGGACTGATAAACATCTGAATGAATGAAGGAAATATGCTCACCTAGATAGTTTTCCAACGACTCCCGTCTTGGACTATAATATGATGTTAATGACAATGCACCTGAACCACGTGATTCTTAACACAAAATAATTTTCATGAATTTATCGAGCGGCAGAAATTAAAATAACCAATCAAGTACACCGGAATTGCGGAGAATGGGGCGAGCTATCAGCCACTGTCACGTGAAAATAACTAAGGGGGATATGGGAAAAATTTTTAAAATTCAAAAGGGCAGCAAAATTATTGGGAGGGGGGGGGGGCTATAGCTTCGAAGCTCTCATGCTCCGCGGTACTGGTATGAAAACAATTTCTTACTTTTACGAAGATGATCTTCACGACAATTATCAAGTAATCCTAACAACCATTTATGTTGATTTTCTAAGCATTCCCAAGCTATATCACCAGGTGAATCCAATCCAATAACGTACCTAAAATATATATGAATTGAAAATGGTAAAAACGTATAACAGCACACCGTGGCAAATACGTTTCAAACAGTTCATACTTGATGTATCGTCTCATGTCTTTAAGAGCTATTGGAAGATTTGACAGTTGAGTGCGCAACTGATTGCGAAATTTCTCGACTTTGCTCTCAACTTCATTCAATACTTAAGGCAAGAAAAAAAGACGAGAATGAAATAAATGAAATTATTAAATATATTTAGCTGTGTGTTTTATTACCTTTTTTAAATACAAGTGGAGCATTATCTGACACAAGTGATTTGGCCTTTGAATAATCATTCACAACCATCTCATAGTCACCCTTGAAAGTTAAATATTTATGTAAGATTCACTACATATTCTCGAGTTCAATATCCAAACACAAACAACCTGGCTGATATTTTTCTCAATGATCTGAGGTAAACTGAATATAGATCTAAAACGATGTAAAACACTCAATGCATTTCTCATTGTATCAGCATCATCTTTACGTCTCAAGACATCTTGGAATAAAGCATCAGCATGAGTACTGGCATCTATTCAAAAAAAAACAATTAAAAAAATTGATTTACAATGTTAAAGTGAAAAAATGACCATAGTACTGTACTTACTTTGCAGGCAAGATCCCAATGCCTCAGCAAGAGAGCCACCTTTGCTTCCACTTTGATCTTTCAGCATTTCTCTTTGAACAGCTACAACGGGTGTTCATAAGAATAGTGAAAAACAGTCATATCATGAAACCACCAAAATGTTGAAGTACCGGTAAGCGTTTCCTCAGCATCCATAAATGTGGTTATGTTGTCCTTTACGAATGCTAAAGGTCCTGTAGCTCGTCTTGATTCTTCCTTCTTTAGATGCTGAAGGCCATCTTTGAGTTGTTCAAATCTAGTATTTGTATTTGAATGCTGTTGAAAAGCAACATGTGAAATTTGCACGGTGGTGTGTAAAACTTTATACCTCACATCACAGTGTTTTCTGATCAAAAATGCTGCTGGTATAAAATCAACACTCAATGTATCTTCTGAACCTAAGAATTTAGATTTTATCTCATTGCTGATATTTCAATATATTCACTCAAATGAATATTTCAAGGTCTATTAAATTAAATAAATAAATTACCTTCAGGATAAAATTCATCAATACTATCTTCTACCTGCCTTTTTCTATACATAAAAGAACATTACAATGTGTCTCTATAGTCAAAGACAAATACAAATCAATTAACTCATTGAGGTTTAACTACCTGATATCTTTTGTAATGCCCAATGGATCTTGATAACCAGAAATTTGTGTGATTGAATGACCATGATTTGCTCTATGCATTTCTTCAAGAGGAATTTCATCAATCCAAATGGCAGATTCTTCAAGTGGACCTAAAACACACGTCAAAAACAATCTGCAATATATCAGAAACAGAAAATTTGTATACTTTGGGCAATTGTCGAATACTTTGCCTTGTTGTACAAAATGACGAATCAAACACAGCAAGTAAAAAGTTACTTGCAAATGTTACAAAAGTATTTTATTATTGGTAAGTTATGGATCCTTTGTTTGGTCATCTGGTTTCTTCCAAATGAAAATTTGAGCTGGGCTATAGAAGCTTCAAATTGTTATGATGGTTGTGGTATACTTACCATAACAATATTGTAACAGAGCAAATTGCTTATGATGGTGATAAGATTCTAGATTACATTCATACCTGGATTAAAAGGGATAGCATTAAACCGTACAGTACAGCTTCCAACTCCACCAGTTTTTGTTGTGATTATCACATCTCCTTTTCCATCACCTTGTCCAGTTCGTGCTATTACTTTACTTGGAGATTTCCATTCAGCAGATAACAAACAGTTCACACCGCATATTGTTAGCCCTGCAAAGTGTGGGTGAAACTTATCTATCAACAGTTTATATTCATCATAAAATAGAAGTTGAATGTACTAAGGCTAAAATTTATTGTTTAGAAGAAGCACTCATTATTAGACTTTAGAATAAGAAAAGGAAGTGTTTGTCTCAGACTCTTATGTTGTACATGTCAAATTGTTAACAAATAAAATAGTGAACGGGGGGGCTGCAATATCTTAAAATTCAATGCAAAGCTATGAACGAAAATCAATAACAACTTCTTGACTCTATACCTGTAAGATCTGCAGGCTTGCTTCCAAAATTTTCTCCTCTTATAACAACCTTCGTTCCTGGTTTGCCTTCCTTTGGACTTATTCCGGTAACTACAGGCGGAGACCTTCTCGACATATTTTCACCGTGATTATAAAAACAGCTTTACATAGTTGATGGTTGAACCTTCCCAAATTCATTCATCCATCGATGCAATTAAGTCATATTTCACCTGAAATTCTTTTCATTTGTTTAGGACGTTAATTATTCTTAACGTCTTAATTTTATTTGAATTAACTTAACGTTAATTCAAATAAAAAAATTTTCATACCCCCCCGGGTCAAGGCTTAGTATTTGTGGTATTTGTCCATATTTATCCTGCAGAACATGGTAATACCTGGTAGAAAAAAATTGTCGTAGTTAACATTCAAGCAGAATTGCAAAATAAGACAGTAATTCCATTAAATAATTTTATGGTTTATAACCATACTAGATTACTAGCTGTGTTTGCTATAAAATGTCCGGATAGGGTATGGCGTTATTTATATAACCAATCGGGTGATAGTCTCACGGTAAATTACGGCATGATACGGCATGATACGGCAAGATACGGCAAGATAATTCTATTCAACATTACGAAAAGAAGATGGCGGACGAAGAGAATCAAATAAAAATAGTTGTAAAAACAACAAATACTAAGGAAACAATAGAAATCGAGCCAAATGCTACTATTGGAGAGGTATAAATGATATTGTACTTCAATTTTATGAAATAAATGTTCAGAAGATTAAAGAATCTACCCGTATTTTTGATTAGTTCAAAGAAAAAATTTCCCCGAAATTCAATGACACGCCGATTGCACAGTTATGTCTTATATTTGCTGGAAAGATTCTAAAAGATGAAGAAAATCTCGAAAGTTATGGTAACAAATAATTTTGACACTATCGCTTGTTTTGTTTCCTAATATAAGCTCTGCTAACAGCCCAAGCGTTTTTTTGTATTTTAAAAGTACAAAATGAAATCATAGATGGTTTTTGAGAGCTTTTAGGGTACATCTTTAATAATGCCGCTGATCTCCTAAATATCATAAACAAAAAAGTGTTAAGGAGGGTATTTTCATTTCATATTTGTGTAAAGATGATTTTAAATTGATGAAAAATTTTATTTTATCTTTTCTCAAAACTGAAGTGAAATTATTTGTTCAAAATGAAACTTGCTGTTTTTCACTTATTTATTCTCCTTCATTGTATGTTGTAGTTTTTTCCCCACATTCATTTAACCCCTGAGACTCAGGTGCTAGTCATGTGATTTTTTGAAAAGTATTGGAGCCAAAGAAAAAATTAATGCTTTTTAGGGATTAAAGATGGCCTAACTGTACACTTGGTAATAAAGTCGGCAAACAGAGTATGTTCTCCAAAATATTGATAAGTAAACACAGTTTTTCATGTAGGTTGCACACAATGTTTTTTTGATTTTTGAAAGGCACAGAGCATGTTGAATGAAATATAAATTTTAAACAATGATAGATTTATTCAACATGACAACCCTCGTTAAACGTGTACATCAAGAAAACTTTTTTCATTTTAGGCTCAACAACAAGCTGCTGAACATGCTACTAGACAGGTCTTTATCAATGTTTATTTATGAACTAAGGAAAATGAGCTATTTTTTCTTTATAACACTGTATGTATGACTCATATGGTCATTAATACATTTCTTTCATGTCATAGAAGGGGGATGAGGCCGATGCAAAAACAACTTGAGGGAGGGATTTTGGGTTTATTGCTATTGGCACTAATTAAACATGTTTGTTTGTGAAATCATCGAGACAGCAAAAAATTCCATGTTGTTTGTGGACTTTGAACTTGTATCTTAGGTGTTCAAAAATGTTTTGGTGTTTGAAATGTAACTTGTTAACCCCAGTAACGTTAAAAGCCAAACTGATAGAAATGGTGTGTTTGCTGCTGTAAATTTGATTACAATCAAATCAACACACATGTATGTGTTAGGTTTTCCACAACTTGTACATGTCTAATGATTATGGTTTCTATCAAGTCTGTTTAAGCCTAGTGGGTAATAAACAAATTTGCCTTGTCTATTCTCTAATTTTCCTATTTTTTTTTAAATATTAGTTACATTAACAAAATTTCAATGACTATGTGTTTTGGTAGCCCTAAAAATATCATTCTTCTACATTTAAACTCACAACATTAGGGAATATAGTGACAGTATGAACTGTTCTTCTTTAATTTTGTCATGTTTCTTTAGCCAACACAGTCCTCGCCTCAAAACACTACAGGAAGACAATCCTCAAATAGTTCTACAACCATTCCACCTTTGTTTGGTGGCTTACCATCTGGTCTAGGTACAATTGTGAATTATATATCATCAATTAATAACATATGCAATTTATGTTTGCTGATTGTTAGGAATTGTTTTTCAGGTGATATGAATCAAATGCAGCAACAGGTTTGTTTTTCTCATTGTGTTTGAAGTTTTTTTTTATTGTATCTGGTAGTCTTGTAGCAAATATATTCTTTGTTATAAACCTTCTGAATGTAACTATCAGTTTATATTTTTTTCATTTTATATTTATTTTCCATTTAAGTTAATGAACAATCCAGAAATGATGCAGCAAATGATGGAGAGCCCATTGTTTCAAGTAAAGCACAAATGTGTTTTGTTTGAGCACTTACGGCGAAGTGTTTACCTTTAACTTTTGATAATGTCAACAATTTTATAGAGCATGATGTCTAACCCAGAATTGATTCAACAGATGATAATGAGTAATCCACAAATGCAGCAACTTGTAGAGGTATATGATAATTTTATCATATTAAAGTTCTTTTGTTGTGCGTGTCTAAGAGCCTGATATACAGAGGGTGCTGTATAAATTATTTTGAGAGTGATGTATAAATTATTTTGCTTTTTCTGCTGTACTTTTCAATGAATCATTTCATGTAACATTTTTATCAACTCTGTGATTTTTAAGTCTTTATTTCAAACAGCTTACGTGCTAGGCACTTGATGGCAATTGATAGGTGACAAAAAGGAGAATATAAGCATTGTATATGTTAGTTTTTATTTCTAAGTACGACTAATGTCTTTTTCAGAGAAGTCCTGAAATTTCACACGTTTTGAATAACCCAGATTTAATGAGACAGGTAAGAGAACTTCGAGAGAAGCTCCCATTGTGCAATGCATTCATTTTATGAATGATTTAGACTCTAGAAATGGCAAGGAACCCCGCAGTAATGCAAGAAATGATGAGAAATCAAGACAGAGCTTTGAGTAATTTAGAAGTTAGTGAGAATGCAACAAAGAACATTTAATTACTGTAAATCGTTTATAACATTGGATATTTCACTTACCAGAGTTTGCCTGGAGGATTCAATGCATTAAGGCGAATGTACACTGATATTCAAGAGCCCATGATGAATGCAGCTACAGAGCAGGTAATAAACAAGTATACAAATTTCATGTGATGCGTACTAGAGCGTTTTATTCATGGATTATCGAGATGTCATTTACTTCAAAAAAGTGAAACAAAACCACATTTACTTAGTCATTTTTTCAATTTTCTTATCCTATTTAGTTTCAAAATGCCCAAAACAACCCTTTCTCAGCTTTGTTGGGAGGGGCAACCACCAATGGTAGACAAGGGAACGCTGCTGAAACACCAAATAGCGATCCGCAGGCAGGAACAGAAAATACAGCTCCTTTACCAAATCCATGGCAATCATCTGCTGGCAGTCGTTCTTCTCCTCGACCATTTACAGCCACCACAACTACTACTGGCTCTACAACTGCAGGCTCAACCACTACAACAAGGTACGTAGATATACATACCATGTACATGTTATGTCAATATTTTCACTGTTGTTTTTCATCCATTGTATTCATGGTAACAATTATGAAAATATGCGTGTAATTATACTTTCTAGTGCTAATGCATCACCAGCTGCATTAATGTTTCAAACTCCAGGAATGCAGAGTGTTCTGGATCAGATGACACAAAATCCTGAATTAATGCAGAATATGATGTCGTCACCTTATTTCCAGAATATGATGAATCAAATGGCACAAAATCCAGAACTTATAAGCTCAGTACGAATCTTCTACTGGTGTAGAATTGACTTCTAGTTTTGAAATTTTTATCTAAGGATGTGTCAAAATCTCATGGACGTTTTTTATATTTAGATGCTTCGTACCAACCCAATGTTTGCAGGAAATCCTCAACTACAACAGCAGGCAAGTGATCACGCATTTCAACGTTGTTATCTTTTTAATTTAATCACGTTAAATTTGTTCATTTATATAGGTTACATCCAATCTTCCAATGATGATGCAGCAGATGCAAGATCCGAGATTTCAGCAGCTCATGTCCAATCCTCGCGCTCTCCAGGCCATGATGCAAGTACAGCAAGGAATGCAGAGTCTTCAAACAGAAGCTCCAGGATTGTTTTCTGGAACAGTTCCTACACCTGGTGTCAACACTGGAACGTCCTCAACGACAAATCCTACGACTCCTTCAACAACAACAACTACTAATACTTCAGGAAATGCACAAACACCCTGTATGAATAACCTCTGTATTTTAGTATTTGGTTGTCCCCGAACGTTTACTCCTACAATGCAAATTTTTCTGTATAATCATTCATTTATTTACAAAATTATTTCTGATCTTTTTCTGCTTTGAATGAGCCCAAAAATATTGTAGAAGTAAAAAATGAGCTAGCTTTGTTATACTGCATTTTGATGATGCTTGTCTTGTTGTCTTGCTACCTAAATTGAACGTTATTTCTCATTGATTTGTAGCCGGTTCAGATGCAGTTATGAATCAATTAATGAATCAATTTCTTTCCACAATGGGCCAGGTACGTAAATGGAGCAGGGATAGATCCACGAGGGCTTGGTACGAGTGAGAAGATTTCGCTGCCTTCTTGTTGTCGTACCGTGTCAGATTTTTTTGTTAAATTCTTTAACCTGTTTATTTTGACGAGGAGTTTTTTCGAGGTTTGCTTTGCAAACGCTAATCACAAATACTTTTGGTTAATTGTTTGGTCAATTAGATTTCGTTGGAAAATTGTCATTATTCCGCACCCCTCCCCCCTCCCCAAATTCATCCTTGAAATTGATTCACATCCTTGTTTTTTGACTTTTCCCCCGAGACATTTTTCTTAAAGATGATTGAAAATGTCTGTGTTATAGACAAGCACCTCCCCAGAACAAAGATTTCGTGCACAATTGGAACAACTCACGTCAATGGGATTTTCTGATCACGAGAGAAATCTCCAAGGTAGTATAGAATTCCTCTTGCTTTTATTAATACCTACATGTTTATAATTAATACCTGCATGTTTATAATTAATACCTACATGTTTATAATTAATACCTACATGTTTATAATTAATACTTACATGTTTATAATTAATACCTACATGTTTATAATTAATACCTACATGTTTATAATTAATACCTACATGTTCATAATTAATACTTACATGTTTAGCTTCAGACTGTCAGTTCGAGTGATTCGACGAATTTAACCATTCTTCTCTTCCTCAGCTTTAATTGCCAGTGGAGGAGATGTGAATGCGGCAGTGGAACGACTTCTTAGTGGATGAATAATGGGAGTGTGATTGAAAAAAAAAATGACGATACAAACGAGAACAACAAGAAAAAGATTACCATGATGCATTTCAACACAATCATATAAGTGTTCTCTTGAACGAGTGAGAGCACTTTTGTGTTTGCTGAAATATAATGAACTTAAAACAACTTTGTGGTCTGTTCTGTTATTTTAACTTTTAGTTTCTAAGGTGCATACAATGATATCTTTATGTCCATGGATATGTTATTGAGCAATATATGTAATTTTTCATATAGAATACAATGTCTCGTTTGTGGATAAGAAAATTGTGTATGCCCTTGAGAAAATTTTAATACTTTAGATAAAATTAACCTTACTCCAGTGGCGATGGAAGAACGATAGGAAAGGGGTATTGATGAAAGTCGTGTGTATCTAATGGCTCTGGCTTTCTTCATCAGGACCAATGTGGAATAATTCGTTCAGCTTTGTTCGTCTCCGGAAATCAAGTCCCATGTCTTCAGTCTGTACCTATTTGGTTCGTACAATCGTTTAAAACGATTGTTTAGCTCGTTAGAAAGGGAAATACGCAGCGGCTGCAAGCGACTTAAAAATGGCGATTCAAAATTTTTTGCTCTTCAATAGAGATGCACTTTGATCACCTATTTCGACAATCTTGTTAAAACAAACACAGTCTAAATTATTCTGTAAACATAAATAAGGCCTGTAATGAGTTAATATCATTTTTGTAAAATAACTGGTAAATATAGATAAGGTGATCGGAACAAGTAATGAGCATCCAAAGAGACTTCCGACAGGCTTTCCTATAGCTTATTTGATTTCTGAGGACTTCCCTCCGGTGAAATATTGAAAAATTGCTCAATACGCCGGTTTCCTTCATCAAAAAAAAAGGGTGGCCTTGTCTGGGACTTGCAGCAAGGAATGTATGATTTTGGGGTTGAATTCCCTATCCACTCCATCCAGACTCCATCCACTCCGAAATGTAATAATCAAGAGAATTAGTAAAATAAATTTGATGCGACAAATGCGTTAACATAAATTATAATATTTATGATTGATGTCGCTTAGATACCACATAATAACAATGTTTGTGTTTGGAAGAATTCGTTATGGCACAAAAAAAATCGAACATTTTTCTAAAATTATGCTTTGGTCTGTGTCACTTTCAAGTGAATCAAATTAAACGCGTATATCCGAACATTTATGACAAAGAATGAGAAGTGTGTATTAGCTCGGAAAAGCCAAATGTGTTGCTCTTGGCCTAAGGCAAACCGTGTGCATGCTGAAACTGTAAACCAGAACATTGAGGTCCGCGAGGGCGATGGTTACATGTCGTTGTCCGCAATCCAAAATTGTGTATTGTGTCTGAAGGTTGTGGTCGTGAAAACCTTCCGACATCCCAAGTTAATGGTTATCAATTGTCAAACGAAAGGACTTGCCACCTTGTGGTGTTTTTCATTCATGGTGTTGGTGGAAGTTCTGCTATATGGAATGAACAAGTGGAGTATTTTTCAAACTTGGGATATAGGGTTGTTGCCCCTGATATATTAGGACATGGTGGCAGTGCAACTCCACAGAACTCAGCCTTCTATACATTCACCGAACTCTCCTATGATATGTTTGCTGTATTTGATCGCTTTCGAAATGAAAAGAAGAACATCCTTGTTGGACATTCATATGGGTGAGTGTATATGCTAATCTGTTATTTCCATTTTCTAAAAAGGTAATGTTATGGGAATCTTTGATCTTCCAGCTGCTCATTTTGTGCAAAGATTGCTTCAAGCCACGCCAAGTTTCAAAATGATCCTAATCAGTGGTGGTGGACCAATACCATTGAATCCACCACCATGCCACTTCTTCTGTCTACCTTCAATAATCCTTGCATGTCTTAAATCATGTGTAATATGGAGATTTCAAAGGTAGTTATCAATGTCTTTTTTTAATTTATCTTATTCATCATAATTATGTGTTAGCCTTTGGCTGTAAACTTAATTTTGCCTCGGATTGTGAATAAATATCACATAATTTGTTTTAGAATGAGTTTTCATGGTCGTTCATCTCAAGATAAAATTCATTTATATCAAGCTTTTAAAGCTCCTACTCATGTTTTACGTGCCATAATGGTTGGTCAGGTAAGAATCATGTCTCAAGAAAGTGCATATTCAGGATAATGAAATAATCTAGTTTTGTTCCAAGGAACTTAGACACATTCAAATGAATTTTAATCTTGATAATTTACTTTCAAGATCATGCATTCTTTTTTTTTAATTTAGAGATGGAATGAAGGGGATGAACAACTTCACTCAGATATAATGGTGCCCACTTTATTGATCTATGGAAACAATGACAAGCTAGTTACCATGGAAGAGGAGATGCATATGAATCAGGTTAAGAGCATTATTTTGTGAGTTTGGGCCATTCACAATAAGCTGTAGACTTATTCATGAAACATTTCAGACTATTTATGGCTCAACCCTGGAAGTTTTGGATGATGTAGGACACATGGTAATGCTAGAATGTAGCCAGAGGGTGAACGAACTCATTAGGCAATTCCTCTGTCGCGATGTTTCAACAAAATCTGATCAGTTAATAGCAAATCAAAGTGAACCTGGATTGGATGGTGCATGTTAAGACAAATCCAATAACTATACACAATTTTCAATCCTGTTTTACTTTCTGAGGAATGTAAAATTAGCAAGTCTGGAGAGTTCTTGTTGGCAAATGCTAAGCATTCTTCATCTTGTACCTTCCAAAACTGACATACTATTGTCAACAATCATGATCAATATTTCATGAACATGAGCAATTCAAAAGCAAGCTTATTATTAGATGCACAATTAAATAGTTTCATGTCCTAGGATTTATTCTCTATCAAAATTCTGTAAACATTCATTGATTTCACAAGGCTATAATTATGGGTTGTACAAATATCAATAGAATGACTTTACCCATAGACTACAGTAATGCAACCCACATTTAATCATTCCTCATAAAAATGTTGTACATTTAGGCTGTAAAGTTTTTATTAATTGATTATGTACAAAGATACATATGATTACATATGCATTTTAACGCCTACAAGTTCTTCACAATTGCAATTTATTTGCATTTTGTTTGAAAATTTTTCTTCTGTTTGAAAAACGAACAGTTCAAATGGTACATAACGTAGTTATAATGAACTACCAAAATTTCATGTTAATGAATGCGATGATGGATGAAGTTAGAACTCCAATAATGTAAATTAGTAATAATTTAAATCTCATTCCATTTGCCTTAGAGAGAGCCAGCTCCAAATGTTATTTACAATTATTTATGTTACAAATTAATCAATGAAGTCTTTTTGGACAGTAATCCATCAATATTGCAAAAGGTTGATGTTCGTCATCACTGATAATGGGGAAGCCACGACATTCACAGAACTTCCTTGCTAAACATTTTACTGCAATGAATCATTGTTACGTTGCATAGCTACAATGGAAACTCACTTGGCTGTTTCACCATGAGCAGTGCTGCTACTGCAGGGATAACCACAGTTGCACATGGCTCCACGTGGATAGGAGGGAATAGGATATGGTGGTATAGATGGATAGGAATAATAGTAGAACGTAGGAAAGGGTATCGGTCTGGAAGGGATAATTGTTGATGTTGGAGGAACTTGAGAACTCTTCGGAAGCTCTTGTTTTCTTAATCTAGCACGTCTGTTGGAAAACCACACCTAGTTGAAAAATAATTGAGGAACACGTTAGCCGATTGGCAGAGGATAGAACAAAATAATTTAAGATCCGTTTTTGTTTCACGACACGAAAACGTTTTTTGGTTGCCATTTTAAACATTGATAAAACTCTTGATATACCTGTATTCTGGCTTCAGAAAGGTTGATTCTTTGTGCCAACTCTTCTCTCGTGTACACGTCAGGATAATGCGTTTTCTGAAAAGCTTTCTCCAACTCGTCAAGTTGATTGGACGTAAACTTAGTTCTGGATCGACGTTGTTTTTGCTTCAAGATAAGATGCTCAGGATGGAATGAAATGCCCAAATTACCTTCACCGTAGTAACTGGAATCTAAGAGCGAAAACAAAATGTATTAGGTAATGTCATTTGAACGTTATGTGTAGCCTATAGTAATGACGGCAGACATAAAGTGAAAAAATATTCGGAAAATTTCCTTTAACAGCAAATTAATACTTAATATGTGATGTTCCGTGAGGGGATAGTCAACATCAGTTGATGAAGAAAAAGGCCCTCACAGAAAGTTTTTTGAACACCCTTTTTCTTTTCTAGAAAAATGCTAAAATAGCGAGTGACTAATTGAATATCGAAAGGCCGATCAGAGTCGTGACCTTCCTATGATTCTCTTTAAACATTATGTGGTGAAAGGTCGTCATGGTGATCAAAGAGATACTTTTCCTTGCCTTGAGAAGGCGGTTTTCATTTGAAGTTCTATTCATCGTGAAAGACACTTGCCATGTATGACAAACGGAAATAATTGCCAAATAGGAAGGTGTGGTAATTACAGTTTAAAGATTATTTTGGGTAACTTAAAACAGTGGGTTAAGTACTGATTTCACGCAATCATTTTTTCTCTCGCATCTTAAATGAGAATGCTGGAGGTTTGTGAGCTGATTTTTATTCATCTACATACAGTCACAGGTATGAGTACAAATAATTTTTTTAATCAACTTCGTGAACATATCACCAAGGACAACGTTTTGTCTTTGCTTTGCTCACCTTGAAGAACATTAACGTAATCATAAAGGCTATAAGTCACTTAAGTCTAATGTGATATTGACGTCTCTGTATGAGAGGTAGCACTCAGTGAATGCAAAGTACTTGTCACGCAAAGTTTGAACGAGTTCTTTCAGTCTCTTTAGACGTCTCTCAAATATGATTTGCTATCTATTTTCGCTTCAACGGGGTGGGACATTGATGGTAAATATTACTTAATTTAGACTATATTACAAGAGGAGATTGATATTATTTTCTCTCCTTAAATAGTATTCTCTCCTTATTCATACCTGAATCATTTCCTTCATCTATATATTCTGAATCTTCCATCTTCTCTCTTTTGATTTGCGGATCATATTGCTCCGAAGACACGCTCTCTCTATCTTCGCTGCGATGTCCCTCATGTTCCTCTTCTACCACCTTATGTTCTCTTTCCTCCTCTTCGTTCTCACTGTAAGAATGCATCCCGCTGTCTAAGCTCTCTGATCTTAATTTGCTCTTCATCATACGACTTATGGAGCTCAGAGATGGAAGGGTTTCCCGGCTGCAGTACTTATCCAACAACAATCGCTCGCGTATTTCCCAAGAAAACATTCCGGGATACATTGTCCGGTACTCATCTATCTTCATCTCTATGTCCTTTGTGATAACTCGTGGTTTTGGGCTTCCACTCGTTCCTGGTTGAATTGAACCAGTTTCTTGGTAGCGTGATAAGATTTTGCTTACACAACCATGAGAGACACGAAGCTGTCGACTTATGTCACAGGGACGTACACCCATGTGTGCTAGTTCAATAATACGTAATCTTGTGGTGTTGGGTAACGGGCGCCCGTTAATAAACACCCCACCAAGCTGGTTGATTTTACCTTGACCTGTGAAAAGCAATGAACAATGTGTTAAGTGATATAATTGCTTTTGTTCTCTGATTTTCCATATTGGTTATTTGGCCTAGATTTCAGTGATCTAAATGTAGTTTTGAATTTCTTCCTTTTCTATTGTGAAGGACATGTTAGCAACGATAACAATATTTCTTATTTACTGTTTTCATAGCCTACCATGACAAAAGGTTTTTATGCGACATTTTCAAATTCCTGTTGTTTAAAGACCTCTTAGAGACCTTTTGTCGCATCTTTTAATTTATAACACACAGAATTTCCAAAGCCAGTAATATTTTTGTGCCATGTAAGAGAAATGCTGCCAAAATCTCACGATTCTCTAATACAAATATTTTTGTATCCGGTAGAAAGACATACTTTGAAAAAACAAAAAGGTCATACATGGCTCGTCTTGCTTATTGACTCCCGAATAAAACGGACATCAACGATTATACCATTTCTATAGTAGTCTTCCTTACGAGGTTAATTATATCACAGTTTGACGTATTACAAGATGACGCCTACAGCAATTTGTTATATTTGTTTTTAATGCTATCATGTAAAACTTTGCCGTAATATACGATATCACTGCAATCATTACAAAGTGTCTATAATTAATAAACAAATGGTATAACTATGTCAACATTACTCTTGGTTAACAATACAACCATGGTTTGTACAGTTAATGCCACTATTTCTTTACATCGTTTGTGTTTGAAAATGTCAACAAATAGTTTTTAGAGATTTTGCACGAAGGTGTTAATGACAATTATGTAACACAAACATTTAGTGATCGTGGTTTTTAGTTAACTTTTCTTAACGTTGCACATACCAGTTGCCATTTTGCGTTTCATATTTGCTTGCTTTCTATGCTCAATGCGTGGAGAATAATTTTGGCACCTGTTCCCTTGGTTTTACAAATCAGCTATGACACGAATAACTATGGCAGTTTGCCTATATGTACTCTACCCTTATATCTCCTTTAGCCAATCACAGCTCTAGTTTATTGTTTATTATATAAAAGAAATTAGCAGTGTTGCGCTTAAGCGTCGGCAACTTTGATTGACAATTGAAAGGGTGGAAACCACTTTGTTTTGTCACGACATGAAGAGCGGAGATACATAGTAACGGATGTATATGTGAATCAAATTACACACTTTCCTCAGCATTTGTAGTAAAACATCGATTAGCGGCAAGTCCTGAGTAGTTCGGTGTAGTTGAGCGAATATAACTTTCATCTTAACTTTTAATAGTTCTCTTTCAGCTCTAATGCTTGAACATAGTCCAATAACCTTCTAAGGTAGTTGGTATTCCATTTATGGACCATTGTTTAAGTATTTTACATTGATGAAATCAAAATACCCAACATTTTCATACAGTTGATGTCAGAAATAAATTGTTTTACTGGAAAGAGCAGTAAAGTTAAAATCAACTAAAGATAAAATGACGATTTCTGTATCATTAATTTATCGTTTTAATCTATGTGATTTAGTACAGTCACAACGTGTAATGAAATGAACAAGGACTTGTATTTACTTACGCTATATTTAGACAAATAAGGACGAACTTCAAACATTCAAGTGGCTCTGTAAATGACGTTTAATGCGCTAAGGACATTGATGACGTCACATGTGCCCCCCTAACAGATTGTTATGACACGCTTTCAATATTACCGTCTGAAATCTTTGTTATTTAAATACCTAAATAAATGCTTGACGATAAATCAGTACACGTAACGGGTACATTATTTTCCTGTCACGCAATGATAATAACTGGATCTTAAATATATTGAATTACTATTGTTCGACAATGTTTCAATCCGTTCAATGACATTTATTATAACTCATTTATCTCCTGCTTATATTTGAAACAAATACAGTGTTAAAAAAATGATTAAACCTCTATTAGTGAAATGATGATGGTTTTTGAACTAATTACTTTTGGCCAAGTAGATTAAATGGATGGCTTGAAGACCATTCATTTTCAAAAAAAATTTCACCACAAAGTGACGAATATGTAGTTCATTGTATCGTGTTCTGTTGGATTGATTATTATTTGTTAAATGCACTATGTTTGTACGTAATTTAATCGTGACAACTTTAAACAGGTATTTTAATGCTTGGTATTACAAGATGTTATCGGAAAGGTTTTCACCTTTTTTTTTACCTAATCATGACGTTCTCTGACAAAAAAAAAGTCAAAAAATTCTTTAGTCAGTCGTATTGTGTAGAACTTTCTCAGATACTAGTAAAAAATGACTGAACTTATAATTGAATTTACAAATTTGCAAGTATATTTCTAATCAATTGACCTTTGCATGATAAACAAGATTAAATGCTTCCAACTAGCGACAGATGTTGAATATCATGAAGATGTCATAACAATGTTACATTTAATACAAGTGGTTCTAGTCCTGTCGTTTGTCACACCTTATAAAGTTCAGCCAAGGGCAAAAAACTCTAACTTTCCAAAGACTAACATAGCATGGCAGGCATACTGTCTTATTCCTTTTCTCAAAAGGTTGAAAATACGTGTAAAGTTTATCATGTTCTAGCATATGATCCAGTTCATCAACTATGGTTCTTTTACGATCTCAATATCTTTCAAACTTTTGTACTTAGTAGATATTCTTGACCTCATCATACCTGCATTAGAGTTATGGACTAAGACACACTTTTATGTCGTGTGAACGGGGCCTGAGTTAAATATTTTTACCATCATACATCTCTTTTGAAACTTAGATTAATAGTGAAACGCTTTAAACGGCAACAGTACGGCAACATGTGAATATTTTAAGACAATAAAAAATAATTTGTTGTTGTCATGGCAGAACAATGTAACAAGAAGCAATGGTATTAGGGATTTAAGGTAAACGTTTACCATATTGGGAACTGCATGATACCATCATGATAGGTAAATGAGTACGGAAATATTAAACTTTGTTTGTTTGTAAACAACACAATGTTATAGTTAGTGGAGGTGGTAAATAATTGCATGATTTCATAGTGATACAGTCGGTATGTATTCGTTTGTTGTCGTGAGTTATATAACAATCTAACTGGATAAAAGAATTATATACTTTCCTTTAAAATGTTTAGAACCTACAGAAATTTATAATTCTGACTACAATACTACTGTTTATATAACTTAAGTAGTCCGATTTTAGTAAATTGGAAACATTATCGATCATGTATCGTCTTGCCCACCCACATGCAAACACTTCAACAGTTGGAATAATATGGAATAGTTTATATTAACTGCAGAAACTGTATCTAATCCTTATAATTTTAACCTCCGGTATTTAATATTAGATGCACGGCAAGTTTGACATGCGGGGGATGATGTGAGACTATTAAACGAAGTTTTTTAGTAGTGTGTACCACAATTACATTGATTGCTAGTTAGTTGTTACTAACGAAGAAATCGAAAATAACTGAGAAATCAGGCTAGTGCTGAATTTAGGCTTGCTTCAAGCAGAGTTTTTTTCTAACTTTTATGTACAACCTTGTAAATCAAATTAAACATACGAATTCGCCCTATCTATCTTCTTATTTCACTTTCTAAATATTTTTTGGCAAAGTCAATAGAGAGTTTGTTCTAAAATGACATAGCGCTACCATTTGTTCCCATATTTCATGAGCGAACTCGCTGTGCTTGCGTGTGTTGGAACAATTTTCTTTCTATAATTGTCGCCTCACCAAGTGGCGTAACGAAGATGCTAGTATGATAATGGAATTTCAAAACAAAGGTATAGTTTACTCAAAGTTCTCCCCAGCAAAGTTTGAATTTTTGCACGGAATAATGCACGCTATTTGTGTGTAATTTTACCAAAAAGGTTTCCGTTCGTTTGCCTGTCTCAATAAACAACTCATCAATTTATAATTTCTAAGGTATTGAAGAGTTATTTTAGTCAGTGAAGTGAATCATCAAAGAGTTTTGGTTTTATATTACTCAACATCTGTAAGTCTAGAGTCACTTTTGCAAGAAACGCTTTTATTGATGTAATTTTGCACGAGTTTCTATTAGGTCATGTCTTATAAAAACGTCGAATCATTCTATCCCAATAGTCTTTGCTCGCTCTCGAATACAGTCCAGTCCCTCCTTAGGTTCTTTATTATAGATGACTCAAAAAAGGCTTAAAATAAACAGTCATTCTTAAGCTAAACATCTTTACATTACTTGGTGTTTACCAGTCAGACTTGTATCTTATCTAACCCTTATACCATCATATTACTTTCGGCAGGTGTCCGCAGGGTTTTTTTATCGAAGCCTGTTTCATGCATCGTGCCTTCTCTATTTCATTAGTTGCCCTATGGAATTCTTTTATGTCCGCCAAATTCTTTGATGAAAAGTATAAATGTATATATATATATATGAGTAATCTAGAATTTTTTCAGCGAGCCTTTAAATATTGTGTGTGTATGGTTTGTTTTTTTCATGAACATAAGGCAGCTTATAAATGTTTTTGACTAGTCTCACATATATACACCATATACAAAGACGATAAACATGGCATTTAAAATATAATATACATTTATTATACTGCATGTCCAGTAAGTTTGGTTCCTTCGATTTTTTTTTCAAAATAAGGCATTCTGCCACAAATGAAGTTTATCAATTATCATATGTGACTCCCCCAAAGCATGCATTATATATTGCAGTTTCATTTTCAAATAACAATAAAATTCCAAAGATTTTAGTTAGAGTGAGCGTCTTTGATTGAAAGGGATAGTGAATTTTTTTCAAAGCAATTTCTTTCAAGTCAACAAATCAACATTTATTTACTAAGAGTTCATGTTGTGGAACTCTGAAGGCTTTGCGTGGTTAGAGGCTTATGGAAACTAGCATTTAGGATGTATTTAAGCTGAAACGTTTGTGACAAGTGTAGTTGAAATTGTTCAAACAATTGTTGTCTTGTCTGACTTGAATAGCCAGTCGTAATGGCGTCATTGGCGTGAGTGATCGCACGATGCTGGCAACGATAAATAGAATGTTTTACTATAAAAACAGCTTGAAATTGTGATCATAGCATTTCATGTCGAGAAAATTTGAAGAGAGCAAGCAACCTTACTCTGACTAGAATGTTCTCTAAAAAAATTTTAGTTTTGCATCAGATGATGGGTGTTCAAGCGAACTAAAGCTCAACATAATGCTCTTATTAATTATATCCAATCAGATATAATTACGAGATTAAATGGTTTAATAACCTAACATTAAAAAGTTCTTTCAGGGTAAATTTAATTTGTCACGAAAGGTGCAAGATCGAGCGCCCTGGAAACTACCAGACTATGCACGTGAATAAAGCGTGAGCACTTATTTAACCGTTTTTTTGCTAACCGAGTCCAGTTGTAACTCTATCAAGTAGGAATTATTTCGGAAGATTTTAAAAATAGATCAATCCCGCGGTTTAGTACTTTTGAAACACAAAAATAGTTATTCACGTAACACATCTATAAAAGTGTTCTAATTTACAAGATCATTTGGCTTTCATCACTGTTTCACATCAGTTTTCACCCAAGACAATGAAGAATTAGAAAAATATGTGCCGTTGATGAAACAGTCGATGACTTTCATTACGCTCGCTACTCTGTTTGACCAAACGTGTCATGCGATGTTGCTATTATTATTCACTTATTAATGTGATATTATAAAAAGATGTATGTAATGTACCTGCTATTGCTGGAAATCGCTCCATTCTGTCGTGAAGATTGCAGAATTAATAAATGTGCAGCTGAGATTAGTTGTGCCTATGCAGAGCACTTCAGTTTTGTTGAGCACCTTTGATAATCAACTTAATTTAATCTTGTTACACGGGTGACGTGGTTGTACTCAGTTCTCATGCGAACGTAGCTGCAGGGCGCCAGGTTGGTCCATTCAAATGAGCATTATCCTTTCACTTCACTAATACGCACTGAACAAAGCACCTAATAAGCAAACCGTATCGAATTGAAAATGTTCCAGATACAGAAGGCAGAGGAATCAAATGAATGTAAATGATCTAATACCAGCTTCTCTTTGTCTTCCTCTTTGATTCATTATGAAATAATATTTCATATTCACATGGCTTATTTCAAATAATGATGAACAATGTTTTGATGACTGATATCGTGATATTTAGCCGTATTCCAAGTACAAACATAGGTAGTTATTTTCTGATAAGAACCTATTAAAGGCTCTTTATATGAACCATAAATGACAAACATTCCTATCGCCCACATCGCCCCAAGATTATTGGCGATATGGCACATCGTTCTCCCCATATACTACAGAAACCTCACCATATAGGCAAACCGTGAAATACAGTCGTGGTAGATTCGTGGTTAAACGAAATTCACTAACCTGGAATCTTTCGTCTTATGTATTAGGAATCATCCCTTACATTTAAAAAATTTATTGACGTCATCACTTGGACCAATGACGCAGGAGCAGTGATCTGTCCCTATCGCTTTATCTCTATGATCTTCTAATCAGCACGAAATATCTGTTCAGACAAAAATTGTATACCTTGCATGGCTTGCTCTAAGTGTCCCTACAATTTTTCCAACCGTCTATATCATTCCTATCGATAAATTATCAATGTGGGTGGAGACAACAATACATTGTATACACCTCACTCTTTACCCTTGACGTTATGATCACAGTGATTGAATTTTCATATGAAAGTTATATCGAAGGACAATACGGAATGTGATTTTCACAGCTCTGTTACATGCATTGCGAGCTTTATTTTTCTTAAAAATCGTTACACAAGACACATGTGTAGATTACGAAGCATTATCAAGCTGAATTAAAGTCATAAAATCACAAAATGAAACTTTTATAGATTTCGTCTGTGACAAAGTCATGAATGTGGTATTGCAGGACCATGTTAGCTATAAAGCTGCCGGTACCGTTGTTACCATAAGATACCAAGCGATCAAAATTGAAATATTTTAAATAAGCTTCCATTTTTGATCAATCATTTCTTAGCATAACTGAACTCTCCTAGTTTCTTTGACACGTGACAGCTGAACGATTGTCAGTCGTTCAAGGTTTCCGACAATGTTGTGAGGTTTACAGTGCAATTGTGCATGAAAATATTACAAACTCGAACAGATTACGTAACTTTGATGACAAGGTACTTTTTTGTTCGAACAAATTCGCAAAAACCCAACCAAACACAATGCAACACAAATAAGTTGTTTAATCTGTGTTTTATTCACAAATATATATATGCGATCTACAGATTATTTTTCACTCTTAGATTCCCTTACACTAGATTGTCGTCTCTTGGCCAGCAATTCTTGGCGCTTCTCTCGTGATTCCTTGGCCCGTTTAGCTAACAACTTATGATATTCAGCTTGTTCCTCTCTATTTTTCTGGGCACGCTTTCGTTTATCCGCCATCAAACGTCTTCGCCGTTGCAATCTCTGCGGTGTCACCAATCTCTGTATCTTTGGTGCCTTTGACTGTTGCTTCTTTCCTTCTTTAACAGGAAGTGGTCGACGGATCACATACTGTCGGACATCATCTTCTTTACTCAGATTGAACAACTTTCTGATCTTGTTGGCTCGTTTAGGACCCAATCTCCTTGGCACAACACGATCAGTCACACCTGGAATTTCTTGCTCGCCTTTTTTGACAATCACTAGATTGAGCACACTCAACTGGGAATCCACAATACAGCCACGTACAGATTTCCTTTTTCGCTCACCAGTTTTCCTTGGCCTATAACATGACTGGCCTTTAGACAAAAGAAGACGCACCCTGCCATTGGTCATTACACCTTGCTTCATGGGGAAACCTTGCTTATCATTTCCTCCGCTGATACGAACAACATAACCCTACAGAAAAACTTGTCAGAAAAAGTTTCAAATATTTTCAATAATCTTTGAGCTACCTTCCATTCATCTCCTAAGCACTCGGCATTCACTTCCTGAGCCATACGCTTTTCATAGAAGTTTCGCCTGAAAAATAAACAAATTTTGTACTTTAATGATTGCAAGCTTAAATTCTGACATACTACAGTGCCAGTCTGCCAGACTGGAAAGTCTGTAATTTGCACAAATGAGATTTCAAATTTTCTCACAGAAATTCCTATTTTCCTCAAAATTGTACATCCAAGATCGTGGAGGCACTATGCAAACGTTGCAGTCTGGCCAGTCTTAGCAGTCAACACATTTTTTTGATCATGTGACATTGACCTTATGCATCTTAACCTTACTATTTGTATTATTACCCGTTCACACAGTCCGATTTGTCAGATCTGATTTTGTCGGATCCCAAAAAAAGACTGTGTGAACATGTAGAAAGTGAGCCTCTGACAGTCGAATCCATCAGTCTCAAAAATCAGATGGAATTCTCAAGCTTTTTTTCATCTATACTTCCCAAATTTGAGCTGTTGTGAGAAATTAGATTCGAAAAAGACTTGAAAACAAGTATAAGAATATGAAAATACATCAATAAATGTACTGGATAACACAAATGGCTGCTCTCAAGACTATAAATACCTAAACAAACATAAATGTCAATAAAACTATCAGACCATCTGAAAAAGCAATAAAACGTCAAAACCAAACCAGTCAGACCCGAAAAATCGGATCGAGTGAGCCGGCCTTTAAATAGAAGACATAATGCTTTGCTCTCTCAGGGAATTGTCCTTTGATGTTAAAAATTTCACATGCAGGACATGTTTCACTCCTTGCCAACATCAGTCGATGGCTATATTATGTAATGTCATTTGTACAGTTAAATGAACTATTTGTGTTACGCTGACATATGAACTGATGTAAGTTCTTACAATTTAATGTCATCATCAACTTCAATAATTTTCTGAGCTCCTGTAGCAGGATAGGCGATGTTCAACTAAAAGACAAGAGATACACAGTTGTGTGATGTGCATTTCAGGTGCTGATTTTCAAGGTAAATGAATATCAAGACATTGGGGATTTTTCACTAAAACCTGTGCACATGAGATATTAGTTTTGGTAAGCTTGAAGACTTTCTAACACAAACATGAGAATAAAAATTACTCGATTGTCCTGAGTGATGATAACAACAGTAGCAGTGCAAAGTTATAATCCATCAAAATCAAGATCAAAAGACACATCGAATGATTTTTTCATTTCATATAATATGAATTCGTATACAATATGAAATTCAAAAATCGTTTAACAAAAAGTAAATTTCTAACAGGTAAAATTACCTTCATTTTGTCACCGGAATCAAATGAAACCTAACGTAGTACCGACATAAGGAAGAAAGACCTAAGAAACGCTCGCATACAATTATGGGATACTTTCTTTCTATAATTCGCACATGCGCAATTAACATATTAAAAATGGTGGACGCCAGTTGAAAATTGTCTACTTCAACAAAAGTGATGATAATTTTGTTATTCATTCGAAAAATGTCGCTTTGAAACCATAAAGTCATGTTACATGAGCTACTCTTTGCATTATCGGGTGTAAGTGGTGGTATATTTGTGGATAACAATGATTCAAGTTTTGAAGTATGTAGATGTGTTGTACTCATTGCCAATATGTTATATTTATTTTTTTCTAAATGTTTTAGCGTGTTAATGAATGAACTGTTTGTTCATAATCCATTTCAAGTTTTCTGCTATTAATATGATGTTTAGGTGGTGAAAGACTTGCCATTCCTGCACCCTAGTGAAAATGAAATATTGAATAACTTGTGCAAGTTGGGATGGCATTTTCAGCAATTTGAAAGGTTCATTAAGCATCATAATGTTTTATTGCCAGGAGTTAAATCAGGTTTGTTTAATTTTGAGCTATAATGAATTAGATGTTAAAATGAAAGCCATTTTGATTGAATTCTGTTGTATTTTATATTCAGACGAAGGAAATGATGTGTGTGGGTTGTATTTGCAAGCATTAAGCAGTGGTTTGAATGAAGTATTGAAGCCTTATCGACAAGTACTATTGGAACTTGAGCAGGAAGTATGCTAAATTATTACTCAAAGTGTTCACCTTAATCTTTCCGAACTAGAATTCTATTATTTTAGATTTTAAATGAAGGAAACATTCCATTAACATTTCTGCAGTATAAACTGGAGAAGGTACCATCATTTCAAGACATTATTGGATTAAAAATTTTGAAATTTTACCTTTGTAATGAATTTGAGTTTTTTTCTTATCCTTAGTATCAGTTGTTATTCCCTGCACTAACAAACACTCTTGATGAGATTAAAGAGAAAAAGGTTGTGCATTTGTTTTTCTTTTAACATGAAAAAATTAGAATTTAAAAAACAATATATACCATGGGACATTAAATAAAGCCTTTTCATCTTTAGGCCAAAGGATGTGCCATATTGACTGTCTTATATTCCCATTCAGCCAACGGCATTCTTTTGTCAAAGAAGCTTATGAAAGGTTTTCATTTTTACCCATTAGCTATGTGACTTTAAGAGAATATGAAATGTTTGAAGATTATATTTCCATACAGGGGGGAGGGTTAACCACATGTCCATAATCCATTGACTCTCTTCGTATATATTGATAGCATATGTACTAATACTGCATACACTTTGAAAGGTTTGAGGCTTGTGACTGAGGCAATTTTTTTTACTGATTCAGGATGTTGTTTGTGTGTCATGGTGTGATGTATAAACAACTTAGTGCATGGCTACTTCATGGCCTTCTCTTGGATTATTACGATGAGTTTTTCATTATGAAGTCTTCATCTGTCATTCCCATGTATTCGATGGCTGATGAAATTGAAACAGATGATCAAAAGATTTCACATGATGTATGTAAATATTTCATCAAATGTTTTGTAAATATAACATTGTCCACAGGTGTATTTTACGCATCACATGTGTTAATTATTGACCATAATTGAAAAATCACATCATGTACTTAAAGATGAATCTTGATCCAGTTCATCTTGGATAGGTTTAATTACAATCCCAGCTTCGACTTTTACTTGCTTTTGATTGCTGCATTGAGTTCACAAATTGAATTTAAGTTTTAACACCAGTCATTCACCATCTCCTACTTCTGTTGATATTTCTTTAGGAGAAACCAGGCCTACCTGATAAAACCGCGCAAAATCGTTTCATGCTGAATGCAGAAATGTTGCCCAATTATATTTCAACGATCGTCGCTGAAAAGGTTTTTTATTTACTGCAGTTTCGTCACTGCTCAGAATGGATTTTCTTTTTTATTCATTTGCTTCTCTCTAGATTCTGTTTGTTGGGGAATCTGTGAAAATGCTGGAAAGTGCAATGATATCTAAATCTCGATAATCGTCGTGGTTAGAGTTTACATCATATTTCTGCAATAAATGTCCGACACATTTACAATTTTACTTTCAAAACTTACTAAAAAAAACCATCATTTCTCTAGACGAAGTTATGAAGAAAAATGAAATTGAGTTCGGGAGATCTTTAAATAAATTACAACGAGAGCCTCTCTTTCATCTACCATCGTTTGAAAAAGAGATTGATCGGATTAAATCGAGTATTGCCCAGGTATTTTGATCAGTACTGGAATGTTATGGAGTTGATGATTTTGAGCTTTGGTTTTTTCAGCATCTTTGGTCACTTGTTGTCGAAGAAGGGGAGTTATTGAAGCATCTTAAGGTAGGAGAAGTTTCAGGGGGACTGATACCAGTTTTAGATTACATGACATGAGCAAAATTCTCGTTTCATTATAGCTGTTGAAGGATTTCTATCTTCTTGGTCGTGGGGAGTTGTTTCGTTCTTTGATAGAGAAATCCAAAGATTTACTCAAAGTGCCACCGACGTCAACTACCGCGCTAAGTAAGTGTTGGTATCCATTGAGATCTCTTGCTGTTTCTTCCTTTTTATTTGTGCAAATTTAATCATTATATTCACTATGATATTTATTTTTGTATGAAGATATCAAAACAATCTTTGATGAAATCGTGCGCAAGGTACATTGATTTAGACTTACAACTGTTTGTAATCTTAGCATTTTTACTGTAGTCCATTTTGGGATACTCAATGAATGATCGCGATTGTTTTATTTAAGATACTTCCTGATGAAGAGAATGACACTTCATTCTTCTCACTTTCTGTTAAAGTACCAGAGTCAAAACGACAAAAGAAGAAGGTTATATAATCATTAACTTAGCTTATTCTTCATTGAGACTTGATAAAAAAAACTGTATCATGACTTACGAATGTATTATGCACTTTATCACAACTAAACATCTCATTTGATTTTTTCCATGATTTCTACCTGATATAGAAAGTAGCCTGATAACAGGATGGCATTCCTTAAAATTACATTATGACGTACAATGGCCATTGCACGTTGTCTTTACGTCTAGTTTCCTAGAAAAGTACGTGTACTTCCATTTCATCAAATATTGTTTCACGTTTTGGAAAGTTTCGTATAGACTTTCAGGCCACGCATACTTATTTAGTATGTTTTGAAAAGCTTACTTGTATAAATCTTTTTCAACTTGCGAAAGCTGTGTTTAATTATTTTACTATGATGTCTCTTCAGGTTCAATGGTTTGTTTATTTTTGGTTAATATACGGAGAACGCAGATGGAACTTCAGAATGTATGGACAATGTTCAAGGGACGTCGTGCTGTAGAAAGAGGGATATCAAAGGATATATGGCTACTGAGGATGGAAATGACCTTCTCGTCGACAATCTACAATATTACCTTCAGGTTACGTTAACTTTCTAAATGCCATTGGAATAAACTTAGTCTAAGGTGCAATTTTTGTTTTTCCCTATCACTGTTTCATAAATTTATTTCTCTTCTACATCCTCTGTTGTCTGCACTCTTTCTGCGTCTAATGGTATCATGGGAAATTGAGAATATTTTGTTTGTTGCATGTTTTGTTTTGTCTTGGTTTAGGTTGATGTTTTGGAGGCGCAATATTCAATTTTATTTGAGAAGATAAACAGCGAGAAAAATTTCGAGATTTTGCGTATCGCTCACGATAACTTCATTACGACATTACAAGCTCAGTCTTTCCTACTTTTAAGACAGGTGTAACTCTCGTTTCTTGAGATGGATTTCGAAAGAAGGAAATATTTCTAGGAACTATCATTGACGTAATTTTAGGTTTATCAATGTTTGAACGAGATTCTGGAACTTTGTCAGTCGTTTTGTGCCGTGCTCATTTCACACGTGACCACTGTGATGTCAGAAAGAGAACATAATCAGATCGAGATCATCAAGAAGGTACGTACGTTGTGTTTACAGTATGAAAAATCAGATGTTTTATTGAACTTATATTTTATTCAGGCATTTTTCTACTGGTGTGTTTTAGAATTACGCTCGCACGTCATCTTTGCTTCTGAAGTTATTTTCAGGCGTAAGGAGTCATCAGGCAAGCCCACATTTGGCACAGTTCCTGCTGCGGATTGATTTCAATCGATATTTATCTTCAAATAAAAGTGGACTCTATTAATTCATTGACGGCGCCCTCCAATACTCATAACAGGAGTACTACATATTAGTACTTTGATGTAGTACTCCTGTTGTAAAGATACAGCTAGTCCCACATTGCTGTCTCATTTATTGTTGTGTGTATATTTTGTACATGAGTTGTGTTATTTTGCCTTTACTCTATAGCCCATGCGTCTTTACCTCAACTCTTACAATTATTCATGGGGAAAGCAGTGTACAGTTTCCAAAAACTAGTTTTCTTGTCAACTCACCATACTTTACATCACAGCTCAATACCGTCTATTTTCTCGCGACAAAATCATTTTTCGTGAAAAAATTATCCAGTTTATTTCAAACAACATGGCGGCAACAACGTTGAGCATAAGGCGTCGACAATTTCTTAATGCAAAGTTGTTATTCAGTTCCATGCAAAGAAATTTTTGTATTGCTTCAGCGCAAGTGAATAAGAATGTTGAAAAACCAGTCAAAGGAGAGAGAAAAAAAGAAAAGAATGTTGAAAAAATTTTAACATATCAACAGTATCGTGAACAGTTCCAGAATACACTGAGTGCATTTCGCGCAGAATACGATAGAGAAAACGACAAAAGAAAAGCAGAGAATTGATGATTTGAACAAAGGAAGTTTTCTCCCATAGAGCAACAGAAAAAGGCTTTCGAAAATATCACAAAGTACAATATGGCCGAGAAAGTGCAAGGTACATGAATCTATGGAGTATAAATGTGTCAAAGCCAAAATATGTATTTTTCTCATGCACCCTTTTCTTTGGTTTATAAGAAAAGGCAGACAAGATAAAATGAGGCAAAAGATGGAAACTTATTATAAGAAGCAAAAAGCAGAAAATGATGCCAAACAATTGGAGAAAAACAGACAGTTGGTTCTCAAACTATTGTACGTATAAGACAAATATCAAGACTAAACAGATAATATTGTAATCTAAGTAATTTTTTTCTTTTTACTGATATTTCAGGAAGAAAGCAAATCCTTCGTTACAATGGATAATTTGGAAGAGAAAATTGAGGAAGTGTTGAAAACAGAGACCAATTACAACTTTGCTTTAACCATTGACCGAAGAAAGATTTTTTCAAAGAAACCACCAAGTAACATGGGAGTTGAAGGACCAGGACCAGTTGCATACCTGGGACCTGGTTTAAAGTTTAAGAAGAAGCCTAATGCCTATGACAATAGCTTAAGTAATGATTTCAGTGATCATATCTTGAAGGATACTACCGACTCTGACTCATTACAAAGATAACGACAGACCATCAGAAAGAGACACATAATTCAATGATTATTAAATTCTATTCCTTTCAATGAATGATTGCCATTTACACATGAAACATTAATTACAACTATAGTATATTGATTTTGATTGTCTGTTTATGGAAAAGTCCTCGAGCAAAACAGGGAGATCACATGACGTCCATTAACGACTCCAACATTCGTTTTGAGTTCATTACTGATGTTGTCGCTACAATAATTTTCCAGCCTAAGGGATGAAAAATACTTACATTGCAATACAACCATGTTGAATTTAAACATGTGGTTAATTTTAAGTAACCTCTTTGTTTAGCCAGGAATCTCAGCGATGTAATTTCTGTGCTGGTACAGCCACCAATAAAAAATACTAAAATGACTCTTTGCTTGTTGTGCACCACAGTTGATTCTACAAAAAGTAATCCTCATTGACAAAGATATGATTCAAGGTAAAAGATTTAACGTAGAATTGCAATCAATAACAAAATACAAGAAATAATAGAGAGGACGAGTCAGTTCTCTTTCCAAATCTTACCTTGGTTAGAAGTACGCTGTGTTGTGTGAAATGTTTCTCCAATCATTCTGGTGATTTCCTCCAGACCCTGAAAACCTCCGCGACTGCAGACCTATAAGTCATAACAGGAGTATTAGCGCCTGTATTATCTACAAATTTACAATCTACGCTAACCTGTTCAACCAGTTTACAACTTAATGGTGCATATGATCCACCAAAAACATAAGACATATCTGTAGGAATGTTAAGATCAACAGGTTCAACAACCTTCGGAATCTACATTTAATAAATAAAAGATATGCTATACACATTTTATATTTATGAGAGTTGCACAGAGACTCACCAAATTAAGTTTCTTGCAAAGGTTCTTGAAGTTGTTTCGTTTCTACATGCAAGAACATACGCGTTTATCAAAAAATTACTTTCCAACTATTGAAAAACTTTTCTTTTCTTACGTCGTACTCGGTGAATATGCGTAGCTTCTTAAGATTAAATAGATTCACAAGATGCTGATAACCGTAAGTCTGTATAACATGAACAATGTATAAGATTCGTTAAAAATTTAAAAATTGTAAAGTCGTTAAGTTATTATACGTACCTGTAGCAACTGTTGCCTTAACGATTTATAGACTTTACTGTCCAGTCCTAGAATGTGAAACGTAACGAATGAGGACTAAACTCAAGGAGTAACGAGCAAGTTTTTGTTCTTTCCATTAACATACCGCTTCTTGTAACTGACATTAAACACATAAGTTGTAAACTTCTATACAAAGGTAGCTAAAGAAGAAAAACAGAAAATGCTAATGGCTATACTAAGAATGTCTAAGATACATATGAACGTAGTTTACTTGTTTCATAATGAGTTCTTCAATGAACGCTACGGTATCTTTGTCATTCACACCTTCCAATATATCTACTCTCAAAAAAGGTAATTTCATCAATAAATAACGAGCAACATTTCCATGCAGCAAATAGCTTATTCTCAATATTTCAAAAGAAGGCAATTGATTGAAAGAGTCATCGAGAAACCGCATGCTACGTAATCGATCTGCTTGTGTTTGCACAAGATCCAAAGTACATACACAAGATCTCTTCATCAAAACGTAGCTATACATACACAAGATCTCTTCATCAAAACGTAGCTATACATACACAAGATCTCTTTATCAAAACGTAGCTATACATACACAAGATCTCTTCATCAAAACGTAGCTATACATACACAAGATCTCTTTATCAAAACGTAGCTATACATACACAAGATCTCTTCATCAAAACGTAGCTATACATACACAAGATCTCTTCATCAAAACGTAGCTATACATACACAAGATCTCTTCATCAAAACGTAGCTATACATACACAAGATCTCTTCATCAAAACGTAGCTACTTTCGTACCTCGCTCTGTGCTAAGTTGGTTTTCGAATTTTTCAAGATTCTTTTGTTTGAGAATCGACTCACAGGCTCCAATGTCTATGTATGAAAAAACCGGAATAATCAAATGCCTACACTTAAGGAGAAGAAACATTTCATCAACTGTTTATCGTACGTGTTTGAAGGGACTTGTGTTGTTGTTGCAGCTGGCGAAGATCTTTAGACACAAACTGTTTCATATCACCCACTGAAGACAGATGATTACGTTTCTATATACAGGAAAATATCCCAGTCCAAAATAATACGAAGCAGCTATATTTGCTCCCGCAGTCCTAATAAAGACATTGTCTTACGTCATATCCAACTTGTAGCTGTTTGGCTTTTAAACTTAAAAATGGAAACACATTTGTAAAATGGCGATCTCGTATCTCTTTATACACCTAAGGAAAGTATACATGTATGATTCTATCGATAGGATAAATGATGTCATTATCTTCATCAACCGTCTAACCATGTCATTTGAGTTCAGTAGCATTGTCAACGTTTTCTCGGTTCCTGTGACAGTCTTATCAAATGTTACCATGCCTACATTGAAGAAGATTACAATAACGATTGCTAAAGTAACTTCATAATTTCGAAATTCATATTAAGAAGTGGATTGTTTACCAGAATTAATTTCAAAGGTGTCATCAATTAAGCCTTCGTAAGTCACTTGAGAACACAAGGGCGTAACGTAATCAACATCTATTAAACAATAAAAATTCAAGGAAGTTAGCACACATAAAGTTCACGTTGTTAAATCAAGAAAATAGTTACATGTGTACCTCTGTCGATCAAAACTAAAGTATCGATGCCAGGACCTTCTGTCGGTGTGTCCTCTCCTTTCTTTGTCAATGCACCCAACATGTTTTTTACCAACTGTACAATCAAAGTATAATATTGAAAGTTAGGACAGAAAAGAAGTGTGTAATGGAAGAGAAACGAGTTTTTAGAACAAATACAAACGACAACAAATACAAGAATTAGTTTGTAAGAATGGAATGGAGTCAAAATGAAATACAGATTGGAGAACGTTAACAAAAATGAAGCCGAAGGCAGGTTGGAGAACGTCAAAAGAAATGATACCAAAGGTAGGTTGAAGGACGTCAACAAATATGAAGACACAGACAGGTTGAAGGATTGAAATAAAAAAGGTAGGAGAACTTAAAAGGAAAAGAAATGAACCATAGATAATAAGGACGACTGAAATATATCAACCATTGACAATGTACCTTAGCAAAGTTTCCAATGCCAAAGATATTTGGAATTGTTCCATATTGTTTCTGCAACGTCACGATGGCATGAGTTATTGTTCCTAACCAATGTTGATCACCATCCTATATTGAGCACATTTTGAATATGTATGTTAGACGTGTTGATATTAGTAACCTAGCTATCAATATTTTCATCACTACTCAAAATACCAAAAAATAAGCTCTAAAAAAGTCTGGAATTTCCATGGATATCACGTCACTATCAAGAGGTACAAAGTCGACAGTCAGTTCTTCTATTGCTACATCTGTTAGAAAGAGAGTAGTTCATCATCGTCGTCATAAAATAAAATCACGACTAGCAAAACGTGTTTAACCTCCATGAACTCCTTCTTGTTCAATGATCATTTCACACATATGAAACTGGATAAATCAACAGGATTTTATGAGTAGATCAATTCAGCAAAAGCAGTCATCTAATACACAACAACACAATCATAAAAGATATATTTTCACAAACCTTTTTGGGAACGTAGACCACCTTATACTTGCGCAATAATCCACTATTCTTGTCCGCATTTATGTGATCTTAAAAAACAAAACCTAACGTCAGACTTTAATATTTTCAGTAAGAATAGCCTCATAATAGTGAACGAACCTGCAATATATTTGGTTTGCGTCAGAGTTGGACGGACGAGGTATATTTGGCTACGTGAAAACGGTTACATTTTTAAAATACACACTGAAGATTTGAAAAAAATGAAGTTTAAAAATAATTTAAACCTGTCACCGCAAAGTGGTGGTTTTGTACGTTCTAGTTTGAAAATCTTATCAACTCCATTTTCCTAAAATATAATCAGAAACTTATCATGATTGGCGAGTAGATAGACGGCAGTTGGCTACAGTTTCTCCTTAATGCTTTGATTTATAACCTTAAGTAACGTTGCGCCTGCTATTCTGTCTAGAGGTTTCATCAACGACTGATCAATGATGAGATCTTGTTTCTGAGCATTCTATCATATAAGGTAAACAAGAAGATTTATGATCAATACTTTTGTCAATATTCGATAACAATAACATCACACGTTGTTTTATAAGGTAACAAAGACATGGAAAAGATGAATTTCTTTCATATATCGTCAGTGCTCTTCATTGGTATTAACTCACACTGTTAAGAATATCAATAAGCCGGTTTCTCGCAAAATGACTAAAACGCTCTAAATCCAACGAATTGTTCAGTGTGTCCGCCATATTGATTTTAAGTATTTTCCATCTTCCGGGGGATGAAGTGAAAGTGTGGAATAGTTGGAACCGAAGGTTGGAATAAGTAGGTGGAGTGGAACTATTATCTTTGAAATGAGCAGATAAGATTAACTTCCTGCACTTTTCGTTCAATGCAAATTTTTTTTATTCACCTCTTCAACGCTGGAATTTTATCGTGAAGCGATCAGTTTACAAAGTAATGCAATGACTTCAAAAGGTGAAATTAAGATCGATGATGCTTTGTACAGGTATTTATTTGTACATTTGTACGTACACGTTTACTAGATATTTCATTGATAATTTTACTCTCTCCTTTGACTAATATAAATTGACATTATTCTAGAAATTCAATGTGTGATTAACAGCCTTATTTTATGATACTTTTTAAGCCGTCAACGATATGTTCTTGGTGATGGAGCCATGGAAAAAATGGCTATTTCCAACGTCTTGGTTAGTGGTTTGGGTGGATTAGGAGTTGAAATAGGTATTTTAGTTTTGTTAGCTTACTATAGGAGGATGCGTGTTTTTATTAACGATCCTTAAAATTTTTAAGCAAAAAATGTTGTGCTTGCTGGTGTGAAGGTGTGTCAAAAAATTAAAATACGATGATTTTTTATTAAGATAACTATATGTGCAATCCTAATTTTTGCTTCTCATAGAGCATAACTTTGCATGATACGAAAAGTGCAACAACATTTGATTTGGGAAGTCAGTTTTACTTACAAGAAGATGATATCAAGCAACTTAGGAATAGGTGGGTGATATTTTATATTCATACATTTGTTTGTAAAATATAGTCATATGATCAATTTTGATGAAAATTTTTGTTGCCAGAGCTGAAGCTAGTTGTGACAAACTTGCTGAACTCAACCCATATGTCGAAGTGAAGGTCTATACAAAGCCATTGGAAGAAAATTTAGATTATCTTAAGCGGTTTCAGGTAAAATTTATGTCACTATATATATAATAAAAAGATTTCATTCATAAATTTGTTTTTTTTCTCAGTGTATTGTCCTCACCGAAGCATCACTTGACAATTCATTGATGTTGGACAAGTTTTGTCGCTCACAAGAGCCGTCCATCAAAGTATATAGATTTATCAAACATCTTAAGTTTTTCTAAAAAATTTTCTACTATTCTTGTTGCACTTCCTTAGTTTATAACAACAGACGTTTTGGGGTTATTCTCCTATGTTTTCTGTGATTTTGGTGATGAGTTTGAAGTTTTGGACACCAATGGAGAAGAACCAAAGGAATTCTTTATATCAGACATATCTAAGGTGACTTAACCTGGCAAAGGTTGACTACATTTTTGCAGGTTGAAATGCCGTAGCTTAATTTTAAATTGCCTTGACCTTTCATCAGGCAAATCCAGGAGTTGTAGTGACCATTGATAATGAAATGCATGGACTGGAAGATGGAGATAAAATTAAACTGAAAGAAATTGTGGGAATGACATCTTTAAATGATACAACTCAAACTGTGAAAGGTTCTTTTAAACTTTCTTTGAAGAATTTAGAGTAGAATTATTTTTTATTTAATTATTTCTATAGCTGAACCCTATCATCAAGCAATTATTAACTTATGAACCATAACTTCAGTCTGATTGTTTCATATGAAGTTTTAGAATTTCCTTTTTATTTTAGTTGTGTCTCCTTATGCAGTGAGCATCTGTGACACATCTTCTCATCAAAGTTATCAACATGGAGGCATTGCCAAACAAGTGAAAACATCTAAAACAAATCATTTTGTAAATATACCTGGTTTTTATTGCTCATTATAGCCAAATGTTCTATGCAAAACTAGATTTTGTGCTTTTTCTTCAGATGTCTTTGGAGGATCAGCTTGCAGAACCTAGTATTTTACTTGTAGATCTCTGTAAGATGGAGGTATGGAGGTGAAAACTGCGATGTGTGTGTTGGTCACAGAAAATTGATGTTTGAATCTATATTATTTATGTTTGTGATTTTGTCAATAGGCTGCATTTCAATTACACCTTGCCATGATAGCCTTAGACGTTGAAGAAAAAGAAAGGAAGATATCCTTGTGTTAGGTATGTCTTAATTAAAACAAGCTGTTTATCTGTAATTTTTTTTCTTTTCTAAACTTTAAAATGAATGGATATTTCTAGAGATGAGAAAGATTTAGAGGAATTAATCAACATTGCATTGGATATAAATGAGAAACAGATGAAATCAAAGGTGATAAGATGATATTTTTGAACTGGTGAAATCGTTTTATTGTTAAATTTTCTTCTTTCGCAGGTCAACGAGATCGACAGAAAGCTTTTTACGAAGATTTCATACTGCAGTCAAGGTTTTCTACCACCTCTAGCTGCTGCTGTAGGTGGTATTGTTGCTCAGGAAGTATTAAAATCTCTCACTGGAAAATTCACCCCTCTTCAACAATGGGTAAGATACGAGTATTCCTGTCTATTTTGGATTGCAAAGTTAACGCTGTATTGAAAACATTTTTTATACAGCTGTATTTGGACGCCATAGAACTGGCGACAGACCACTTGGAAGCGTTTCATCCTCAGTAAGTGAACAAGATGGTCTTATTTCTATGTACACCACTATGTACCTTGATTATCTTACGATGTACTTAGTTTATCTTTTGATATACTTATTTTATTCTTTATGTGGCTTGGATGAACAATGTGTAACTGCCGTAAAGACTTGAAGTTACAAATACACACGTATGAACTAACTCTATGCTGCTTTGTTCAGACAAGATAGGTACGATCCACTACGAATATGTATTGGCGAGAAACTGTTCCAGAATCTCAAAGACGTACGACTATTTATGGTATGTTTCATCGATTCACGACACGTTTCTTAAAGTAAGGAAAGATTGACATTCCTCATTCGTTTTTGGCATTTTGTTTCCTTAGGTTGGTTGTGGGGCGATCGGTTGTGAAATGTTGAAAAATTACGCAATGATCGGAGTAGGAACAAGTAAGAAAGGCAATGTGAGTTCTTTATATGATTATGCATTTTGTCTTTTATTAATCTTGGTTTTTTGTGTAATTTTGTACTATTTTGTACTAATTTTGTACTCTCGTACTCCTTGTTACCCTGCGTCATTTACATACATTAGTATTATGGAATTATGACGTATATATTCTTAGCAATAGTTTTATATGTAATATTTTATTGTTAACTAGGTAACCATCACGGACAATGATTTGATTGAAAAGTCCAATTTAAATCGTCAGTTTCTATTCAGACCTCGTGATATTCAGGTATAAAGCATATGAAAGGAAAGTGTACCATAAAAATGCATTTTCATGACAGCCACAAGTGAAAAGGATATAAGATCTGCAGATTTTTCAGGAAAAATAAATGTCATTGTCATTGCTTGTATGATGTTTTCGTACCCTAGACGATCCTTAACTTTTGCAGTATTTTGATTTGTGCAGTTTATCGGGGCACCTGCTCTGCTGTGAGCACTGTAATTAACACACAGCATTGTTTATAGAAATCGAAGTCTCTTACTGCATCGAAAGCCATTCTGGAAATTAATCCTGAGATGAGAATAGACGCTCATCAACATAAAGGTTTGATGATCATGTGATGTAATTCATGTCTTATTATAGGAGGAGAAATAATGTTTCGGTTCTTTGTCGTAGTATCACCAGAAACTGAAGAGCTAATTTACACTGACGAGTTTTCGGAAATAAAGATGTTGTTGTTAATGCTTTGGATAACGTGGAAGCGCGGCGCTACGTTGACAGGTGAGGAGTAACAATTGTAATATGTTTTATTCAGAATTCTTTTAAAGAAAGAGAAATTTTGAAAAGAAAAAATCCCGTTTTTGGTTCATGCAACCCGATATCCCGAGATAGTTGAGCACTAGAGCGTCGCAAGCTCAGGCGCATGCGCAGATGATTTCTCTTATAAACTGTTACTAAGCATGCTATTTACTTCAAAATTGGTGCTATTAAATGCAGTTGGTCAATGCTATGACAATGAACTTGGGTAGCTAGTCAAGTGCGCATGCCCAAGAAAACTGCGCATGCGCAGATGATTTATCTAAAAATTTGTGACTGAGCGAGGTAATTACTCCATGATCGTTGCTAGTACATACAGTTGGTCGTTGCTATGACCATGATCTTGAAAAGTGGGTTTATTTTACTACGCATGCTCTAGTGCTGTGCACCGGAGTACCGGAGGTTGGAGCTAGGACGGAGCTCCGGCTATTGTTGCCTGCCGGAGCCGGAGTTTGCTCATTTCCGGCAAAACTCCTGCAGCAGTTGTTTGTGCTGCAAAATACTGTCAGACTTCAGTAAAAGGATTTCATCAAAACATTTTTCTATCAACGAACGAGAAGTATCGGCTAAAATTGAAAACTTGAATGGAAATAAAACATTTTATGCTTAAATTTGTGCGTAAATTTAACTTTGCATATACAAATTTTACTAATAATACACCCTAAACTGTTTAGCAAAATAGTGACTTGCAAAATCAAGCAGCCCCAATAGATATTCGAGTTATAAAATAGCCAGAGCCGGAGTTTGATACCGGAGTTCAGATTTGACAAGAGGCCGGAGCCAGAGCTGAAAAACTAGACTCGGCACAGCCCTATTTTATTGCTACAATACTTGCATATTTATAACATCTCTCCCATCTATATTGTAGTCGGTGCGTGACAAATCAAATTCCTCTTCTGGAGTCTGGTACCATGGGTCCTAAAGGTCATATACAGGTTATATAGTCATGTATAAACTATAAAGATGTTAATCAAGGAATGCCTCCCTCAAATTAGAGAATATCCCAGTTTTTGTTATACGCATAAAGTTCGTTGTTTTTTTATAGTGCGTTGTGCCTCATCTCACAGAATCATATTCCAGTCAGGTATGACAATTTTTTATTCATGTTTTTTTTTGTTCACATTTTATTTTGCTTTTTATTTCAGCGGGATCCGGAAGATCACGATGTCCCTATTGTACCTTAAAATCCTTTCCTGCTGTTATTGATCATACGATTCAATGGGCAAGAAATAAGGTTGTGAAAAACTCGCAAAGATCATTGACGTGGCTAGATCGTTTATTTGGTCATGCTTTGCTTTGCGTGTTTACTGACACAAAAACATTACATATATTCTAACTTTGTGGAAAATAATGGAATTTATTTAAGACTAAATTTGCTTACTGTCTACGCCACTGACTGGCATTTCAATTTTATGATAAAATTATATGAGAATTGATATGGCTCTCTTTATTCAGTTTGAAAGCCGATATTCTCATAAACCTCAATTGTTTAACAAGTTCTGGACCAACAATGACCCAGTTTCGAGTCTTTTACAGGCAAGGATTATGTGATTATGCAAGCCTACAAGAGAAGAGGAAAAATTAAACGATCTTTATTTTAACTTCAACCTTTTATTTTTTGCCAGTCACTAAAAGATGGAGATAAACCGGACAACGTCATATTGGTTGCAAAAACATTGAAATCGTGGCCTCAACATTGGAAGGATTGTGTCAGCAAGGCTCGATTACAGTTTGAAAAATACTACAATCATAAGGTTGAAATAGACGTTCGTTTTTTGCATTAAAAGGATCTGTTTGATTCATATATTTGATATATTTTCAGGCAAAACAATTATTGCATGCATTTCCCAAGGATACAAAATTAAATGATGGCAGTACGTTTTTCTTTGTTAATTCTTTTCCCCTTTCTTTTTAATTTAGATGAACGATATTTTTTTACATTTATGTTTCTTTAGCTTTGTTTTGGCAACTTCCCAAACGTCCTCCGTCCGCCATTGTCTTTGATGTCAACAATGAATTGTAGGTCTTCTTGTGGCAATTAGGGAGGAGTGGGTAGTGGGAAACTTTATAATTAAGGGTTAATTGCTGCATGTGTGTGTCAATTATTGTTACTTTAGAAAATTTACAACAAAAACTTAAAAATTATTTTTAGACATTACTCGTTTGTGACAAGTGCAGCTAGACTTCATGCTGACGTTCATCGTATTTCTTACTCTTCTCAGGTACATAATAAGCCTTTAAATTTCACCGAAAGTGTGTCAAAGTCGTACAAAACAAACTTTTGGTCAAGAAATGTAATTGATTGGCTTTCTTTATGTTAAGCACACTAGTGAGAAGATATACGTCAGACAAATTTTTGAATGGTGGAGCACTACTGTTTGTTTCCTTTAACTTTATTTCACTCACATCACAACGGCGTGTGGCTTTAAAATTTGTAAAATTTATACCCCTGATTAAGACCCAGTAACACTGTAGAACTTCTTGATTCTGTTGTTTAGTGTGTAATTATTTTTGTTATTTTCCTAGGAATTAAGTAAAGAGAAGATTGTCGAGATACTCGAGACAGTTAAAGTTCCTCAATTCATTCCATCTGACAAAGTGCGTTATCTCTTGAAGATTGCTGTACGAGCAGCACTAAGATGGAGTTTAGCAATTTTTTGTAATATTCATAGTCAATTGAAGTGAATGAAAACGAAACAGACGAGTCGAAAGATGAAGACGAGGACGCTGTTCTCGAGGCGTGCAGATTTTTAGTCGATTATCTCTCTGCGCCTGGTCTTGACCATGGTAAGATACTCCCTGAGATAAAATATGATTCTTTATAGAAACATTTGGGTACGATTTGGGTGATATCGTGCATACCTGATCAAAATTATCCATACTATCCTTCACATTTTATTACATCCCTCTACTTTTAAAGCCTGTTTCTCCCTATTTCAGCGACCTTATCACCGTTAGAGTTTGAAAAAGACGAGGACAGCAATGGGCATATTGATTATATTACTTCTTGCTCGGTAAGTGAATATATATGATTTTAAAATGATATTGATAAAGTATCAGTGAACTGTAAGACGAAGTGATGGTGGTGGTCTTCATAAATGATCAAGATAACTTGGTTAATGTCGTGTATTGTAGAATCTCCGTGCGACCATGTATGATATTGAGACTGCCGATCGTTTTATAACAAAGAAAGTTGCTGGTAAGATAGTGCCGGCTATTGCTACAACAACAGCAGCCGTGTCAGGTTTGGTAGGTATCCTGCAAGATTCTTGATTCTTTACTATCTCAAGTGCTGTTTTGCTAATGGTATGGTAAAATCTCTTTAATTAAGGTGACAATCGAGCTGATAAAAGTTATCAAGCGTAGTATTTTCGATGACTACAGAAATTGCTTTCTTAATCTTGCATTGCCAGTTTTTGTTTTCTCCCAACCAGCGCCTGCTGTGAAAACTGTCATTTTGTAAGTGTTACTACTACGTACTACGTTGCATTGCAGCATTTCCTAAAAGCACTCTATATTGGAGTTTAATGACGTGAAAAAAATTTTTCCCTATGTCTTGGGACGTTGATTGGTGGGTTAAGATGTTGCAGTGTGGATTTACAATAAATTATAAGTATAAAGATAACATATACGTATAATAAAGTAAATGGTTTGAACCTGGGAGTATTGTTACATGTTTGTAGATGTAGATCGTCCAGGTTGGTATAGTCCTGAGAAGGACTGTTTTTGTTGTTGTTGACTGACGTTTCGACAACCTTAGCGGTAGTCATCTTCAGAGTCAAAAAATGTACATATAAGTAAAAATAACGATATAAAGAATCAATCGGACATAGAAAAATTTTCATAGTAATATTGGATTTCGCTATTTAGCATTGTCTATTAGCTTGTATGATGTGGTAAATATGCTATCACAGCTCATTCAATTATGTCGTCAATGCTTGACTGTTTCCATAGGGATGGTTTGTCTTTACTCTTTGGGATCGATGGGAAGTACATGGGACGGCAACTTACTCTTCGTGATTTCATCAAATATTTCAAGGTACACTAAAAAATATGTTCATCGTTTGACTAAGATCCAATAAATTAATGCTGGTATTAATTTATGATGCTTTATTTTCTAGGACAAACATAATGTTAATGTCACTCTAGTATCTGTAGGTGTAAAAGTATTGTACATTCCTATATTACCTGGACATATCAAACGTCTTAAACAGACGTAAGTGCTTACTGTGTTTAGTTCATGTTCATTAATGGTCGCTTGATTCCCAACCACCAACATGTCCATGCTGTTTTGTTTTGAATGCAGAATGTTGAAACTTGTGAATCCAGAACCTGGTAAGAAATACGTCGATCTCATTGTCTCGTTTTCATTGGACGGCAGTTCTGAAGAAGACAACGATCTACCCGCTCCACCAGTCAGATATTATTTCGACAGTTAGTATTTTTCAAATTGCCTTAATGATAGATAATCTTTAATTTTTATGGCGGGGTAAATATATATTTATACGCAGGTGAAATTGTTTTCACTACCTATAATAGTCAGGAAATAACCACTTGTTCACCTGCAGTCGTTGTGTATTCATCTTAATAAATAATTAAGTGGAAATTTTTCTCAAATAATTAATGTCTTTATGAAAGATCAACTCGCAAGTTTTTAATGAAAAAAACTAATGGCACTATTGCACTGCAGATTATTTTTAGTATCACATCATGCTGTCTGTGCACCACACCACAATTTATTGCAATACATTACGGACCAGCATCATTTGACCATGTAAATTGTACGATGTCAAACATGTAACTATTTGACATATAAATTATAATAATTGCTCTTAATATTAAATTGTATAATTTTTAATTGTTTTGACTAGTGACATGGACTTACCACTGCCATTTATTGTTACACGGGCGAAATTTTTCATATCTGTTTCTGTGTTTCAACAATCAAAATCTGACGTTGTGAAATAGGCCAATGAGTATTTGTGCTAGATCTGAGCAATCTTGTCTCTTGGATAATATACATTACATCACTTCATCTGTGCTGTTTCCTGTAAAGGAAAATTTTATTTGCTGACTTTGAACAGTTCTCTATTCCTTTTTAAAAAATAATATAAACAGAGCGTAAATTATGGTTACAAAATATACGTTCTGTTTATGAAACCAATAATTATTAAAAAAAACTATCAAACTAACAACCATTTCTTAGCTTTTGGCAATCACAATGGTGTATCGTAAGACCATTAACTCTTCTGGTAAATTGGTTGATTTTTTTTCTCCTTTCTTTATTAATTTTACACACGTTTGAAGATTGTCAGTGATTATCCGGCCCTCCAACCAGCACCTGGAAATGGAGGAATTTTGGCATTGTGTATATCAAAATGATTAGCTTGGTCAGGGGCACTCGACTGCAACAGTGATCTTTTATTCTGGGCTATTGTTTATTCATAATCTGTGGACTGCGTGTCGTGTAGTGGTGAAGTGTCGTAAATATGGCATTATTGTACTTTGATGGTGTTTATGAAAAACTGTACAAATCCGACGGCGGCGAAAACGAGAAGTACATAGACGGTTACATTGAAATTAAGGAAAAAGAAGGTTGGTATCATGTATTATTTCAAAATAATTTTGCGCACAACTTGACGCAAACTTTACCATCTTCCAATCATTATTTCGCGATTTTTTTTTCTCGCACACAATTGCAACGTATTGCACAAGCATTCGGGTAGTTAACTAGTCTTATATTTGTTGATTTTTTGTAGACTTTTATGGAACTGCTTAAATTGCTTGAATTATGTTATTATATTGATGCGGAAGTTCGCACTTTAATTCAATGTTTTGAAGTCTTAGGAAGGAAAATGCTCAAGTTGTTTAGTTATTAATTTAAAACCTCTTACATGTGTCAACATACACTATTAAATTGCTCGAAAACTAAAGCTTAATGCAGAATTTTGATAGTGCGTCGAAATAAATCAAATAGTTTGAATAATTTCATACATACTTCGTAATTGTTTATAAGTAGTATTTATACTGTTTTTATGCTTACACATGTTCATGATTCATTTTATTAATCATTTAGTGGATCAAGTATTGGTGCGAACTTAAGAAAAGAATCTTCATTTCTTCAACAATGTTAACACTCAAATTAAGGAGCATGTGAGTACTTAAGAAAATCTATCGACATATATTTATTCAAATTGTTAAGGAAATTGAAATATTCATAATTTTCATTTTAGTATGTGGGCTGTTTCGTTCTGGAAAGTGGGACGAACATTGAATCAAAGAGAGATAATACAAAATGGAAGTTGGTTAAAGAAAATGGAAAGTTGAATTTGAAAGTATGCTTCAAATAATTTCTTTTGAAAATTAGTTCTGTAAAAACTCTGACTATGTAACATATACTAAATAAGTAAAATATTATAGACTGATAACCTTGCTCTTAAAGAACAGTGGATCGATGCATTTCAACAATCAATTAGGGTATAGTCAGCTATATACATTAATATTGCATTTCATAATGTACATATTTGTGTACTACATTTATTGTTGTTGTTGATAATTTCAGGGGAAAATGCCTTCAAGAGCAGATAATGTTTTACGTGGCAGTGGACCTGCACATTCACCATCTAGAAGTGTGTTGATTATATTTTTTCTCTATTACTTTAAAACCAAACCTAAACAGTTTGTTGGAATTGTCTTTTCTTAGCATACCCTCATCGCTCCAGCAGTGACTACAAACTGCAAGAAAAAGAGGTTTTTATTTTTTGTATGGAGATATGTCTAAAAAGTACTTAACATGGTCACACCAATATCTTGTATGAATTATTTCAGTTACAAGATTTGCGAAACTTTTCTCGAGCAACTTGTAATAACTCCTCTCTGTCTGAAGATGAAAAAAGAGTACAAGAATTGCTTTTTGATGGAGAAAAAAGGTTTTTTGTGGACAATCTTGATGTTCTGCCAGATATTAAGATTACTTTAAATAAATTCAAATATGTAATGATTGAAACTATTATAAGTTTTTGTGCTGGACTATTCTCATTATTTGTTGTTATTTATTTATAGATGGTATCAACCAGAGCTACGTCGTGAGGATGTTGAGAGAATTCTACCTGATGAAAGAAGTGGTGTTTTCATTGTTAGAGATTACTATGACAGTGTGAAAGGAATCTTTATGGATATGTTATTTCACTAAAGTGAGTTACAGTGCATAGAATCACAGATAATTTTGATTAAATTGCGCTACTGTGCACAGGAATATTTTTCCCAATTTTTTGTGTATTTAGAGATCACAACGGGAAAATTCGTCACCACAAAATTACAAAAAATAGCAATCAAGGCCTTGCTATAAGTGGATATGATGTAATGCTGTTTATTAAAAATTACCTCCGTCTTGTATGTCTCAAATGTACATGGCTTGTTTCATTTCTAGGGGAAAACCTTCAACAATCTACATCATCTTCTTAGTTTTTTCATTGCCTCGCAAAAGAAAACTATTGCTTTGATCCCATTTGAACCACCCAAATCAGGTGGGTTTGCATAATTTTTATTCAAATAATGAAAAACCTTTTGTATTGCTGCTGTTGCTTCTTTAGTTAAACTTGTCACAAAAAACTTAACAAATATAGGAGTCAACAGTGGTACCAGCAAGAGGCGGCAATAACCTCTCAAATATTTAATAAATATAATAATTCAGGACTACATATAATCTTCTTATGTACAGTTGAAATTATCATTTAGTGTAAATAACCTAAGCAGTTTTTGGGTTCCATTCCAAAAAAACCATGAAGTCAACACATCTTTGCAATAATAAGTGAAATTCTAAAATACTGAATTTGCTATTTTTATATATTCTGCCTTTCTAAGGTCCTGCCGAGAAGAGCTCCCATAAGACCATCAGGTTTGGACTGATTTATCATTTAGAATGTAATGGTTTCTATTTGAAACTTTCTATATTAAAAATCATATCTATTAATGGTAGGTCGGTCACAGTCTGTTCAAGGTCCGTTAATACATCCTCCTTCTAACATGAGTGAGTGAAAATACAATGTCATTCTTTCAACAAGTGTAAACATCGACTTTTGCTCTAATTTGACCCAGCTACTTTGATTGTTTTATTATTTTTAGACCATAGAGGATCATACGATGGTGGGCTTCCTGGACTTCCACAAATTCCAGGTGAGAATTTTTGGTAAAACTATTTTGAAGTTGAAAAGTTTGTTGAATAGCAACTAATTGAATAGTAGCATGTACCAAGTCCTGTGGGCATCGCTGATTGAACATTTTCAAAATTTATTTACCATTCTGACAACACAAAGTTCTGTATGAATAATATTCCATCCGTCATGGTCATTTTTGAGGCTTCAAATAAACGTGCAAAATCGCAATTTTATAAGAATATTTCCTGTATTTGTGGATGAAAAATCATTTTACGGCAAATCAGTGGCTTTCCAGCCCACAATTTTATTTTGCCTGAAATTCATTTGACTTTCATGCAGTGCATATTATTTTAAAAAAATTCCTTTTTTAAAGATGAAGATCCACAATATCTGAATATGAAAGGTTTGTTCTTATTTTTTTTATCTTGAAAAAGTGATTCACATCTCGCTTTTTGATTTTTTAAATTTCAGTTTCGTTGTTGTGTTCATTTAGGACGTCCTCGAGCTCTTCCCAATATTCATGATCGGGATGGTAACTCTTCCATTTTTAAACTGTCTTGTTTTACAGCATTTACTAAGTAGCGTTTGCAACATCTTCAATTTTTTAGAAGAAACAGAAGTTTGTTATATTGATATGAAATGTAAGTGCAAAGTTTTGTCATGCTTGTTCATATTCATGTTTTTGGTATTCAATACACATTTAATAGATAAATCTATACAATTTTTTTAACTTTAGCACCAACGTGTAAAGATACAACTTCCACTGATTATGGTATGGGAATTTCTTTTTTTTTATAATTTAAAGCATTTTCTTTTTCTTGCATTAACTGTCTTGGCTTGGGTTAATGAAGTCAGCAATTAACTTTAAATAAATCAGAGTTTTGGTTATTTCGGTTTCTCTGTTTTCATGAAATCCAATCTTTATTTATCATTTTGTAGTAATATCCCCGTCAGGTCCTGCTCCATCGAATCATTCAGAATACATCAATGTCCCTACGTATTCCAGTGATAATGTCCAACGTGGTATGTACATATCAACTCTGAGTGTTTCATTAAAAAAAGTTATTTCATTGTATATTTGTGTAACATTAGATGCCAACAGTAATGTTACGAGCTGTGATCCTGGTAAGTTCGTGCAAATATTTTCGCATAATGCGTTACAGGAAGTATTGAGTTTTACCAAGGCATGTGAGTACACGAAAAAATGTGAGCAATTTTAAACAGTTCGTTTTAGTATAGGTAAGACTAGTAATACGCAAGGGTGTATTTAGTAAAATAGCTTCCACTACAGAATAATATATTGACGGTCGTCTCCATTGATTAGTTTTCTTTACATGATCTGCCCCCCATTTTGATTTCATCCAAACGAGTAGTGGCCTCCCCCCCGGCTTACGTGTTAACTACGCACAGCGCTCACACAACTTATTCTGGAGAATGTAAATATCCTGTGATAGTAAACAGCTCTCGTATTTACTAATCAGGTTTCAGTAAAACGTATATTGTTTGATATATGATAGATGTACAGTTGTTAAACTGGAAACCATTTACCTTCTTGCTTTTAATTTACCTGCAACAATATTGTATAGAAATCCATTCTGATTTGTTGTATATTGATATACCCCCAAAAGTACCACCAAGAAGTGACTCGCAGGAGAGAGACAATGCAGGTATGCAGCTGTTTGCATTATTTGTTTGTCTGTTGTGGGGCGATGGAAGGAATACAAGTGATAATATAATTAAAAAATATAAGTAGTTTCATGACTTTCATCTACTTTATTACCTTAAAAAACAACTCCTTGCCTTCGTCAAAACCTGCCAATTAGCAAATGTATAAAGGAAGACTCAAATGTGTAAAGGAAGACTCAAACTCAAATAATTGCTTGTTTTGGTGTTTGTAGCAAACATGTCCTTTATGTGTTTTCAGGAATTGGAGAACCTTCTAAACCACCGTTGCGTCGAGTTCAAACTTTACAAAGTTAGAAGTACGGTATTAGTACCAGTGCAGTGTTAGAAGTACAGAAAATATTTTGCATCGTTAACATTTTGCGTCGTTAGTTCTGCTGAGCTTTTAACGTCTTTAGTGCCTTTATGCCATTGAATTACAAAACATCTAATTCTTCAAACGTATGTCTGCTAAAACGTGTTCGACGTGACATAGTTTAATGTATCTTGCTCAAGCCACTCATCGTTGATTGCCGACACTACATTGACGAACATCATCTGGGAAGCTTATGCTGTTTTATCAGTAGAATTTAGAAGCATGGTCTTTGAATAATGTTAATATTAATAATGGTTTCAATTGAGCTGGGCCTAACATTTTTTTATTGTACATGTATATTTTTTTTAATTGATTTTATTGGAATTTTGGAATTGTAACTGACATATATTCATCACTCAAGTAAATTAATTTTCGCCTTTTAGAATATCGTATTGCGATTTTTTTAAAATGAATTAAATGTATCAAATTGTAGTGAACTAGCGATATTTCACCATTTTAGTTACCCTTGCACATTTTTTTGCGATATGTTAAGTACGTTTTACTTTTATTTTAAATGGACTACGTTAATTTCTTATAGAATCTCGCACAATTAAACGAGAGGTTTGTATGCATGCCTTCGTAAAATCGCGTACGATATAGAAAAGATTTTCATGTTCGACCAAGAAATCGCTGTAAAGGAGACTAACATTGAACTTCAGCGAAATTGAACGCGCAAGATTGTAGGAGAAACTGTCCGTAGAAAATTTTGGTTCATTCAAATATAGCATAACAACAATGTTTGCAAAATTTACACATTACAATTTTGGCAAATCAGTCAATACACAGTTTTGAAAATTTATACAAAAATGAGCTGTTTTTAAACACTGTTTGCAGTGACATTGCCAGCCTGATAATTAAGAGGGTTGGGGATGATCATCAAAGTTACCATATATAAGTTCGTTTGAGATCAATACAAATATTGACTCCCCTACCCCCAATTATCTAACTTTCAAAGCCACAGATCATGAATTTAACTATATCATTTCTGATAAAACAGCAATACTATATTATATTGCTTGAAAAAATTACAGTAATTCAAATGTTTATTTTGTGGAAACTCTTGTACGTTTGGCCCACGAAAAGTTTTTCCCGTAGGATTTTGCGATGGTTTTCACTTCCTGTTTGTCTTCAACCTCATAATCCCAACCTGAAAAATGCCATGTATAAAATAAAAAACTCAGCAAAGAAAAATTTCCTGTTAAAAATTGACCAGCTGTAGCATAATAATAAAATATTCACCATTTCAAACAGGATTCATACCTTGAGCTTCAATGTAGTTGATTGCAGCTTGTTTTGAGGAAAAATTCACAACCATGTTGGACAATGGGTCGGCCCTTAAAAGGCATGATCAAACTATTATTAAAGTAACTCATATTGAACAAATAATACCTCTCTTCTTCTGAAAATCACTTACGATGACGTCCAACCCATCAATGGGTTCTCCCAGCGTTCTTGCGTGTTAAACTCAAGCCTCCAATTTTTTGAATTAAATGTCCCAGATTGCATAGCATTTTGGGCAGGAGAAAATATTGTTACCTTCCTCGTCTTTAATTGCTCCATTGGAACACCTGCAAGCGTCGCTAACTCACTCTGAAAATACACAATTTTGTTGTTGGTTGAGAAAAGATCTACGTAAATGGATTAATAATATAGGAATAAAAGGATGAAGATCGTCTTTTTACTTACTTGTTTCACCTTTGAAACGACTTCAACCTCCTTATTAGCGCTTTTTTCATTGTCAGTGTCCACTGCAGTATTGAAACTGAGAAAGAATGGCCTTGAAATTCTCTCAAAAGAGTTTCGGAGAGTGATATTTGGGAAAAACGATAAAGAAATTCTTATTTTGTAAAAGTTCGCCATCTTAAAATTTACCGTACGAGCGAGCCCACGGTCAATCAAATGTTATACTTTATGTAATTACTCACTAAGATGATGCGATAAAGTAAAGTTGTTGATCACCTATATTATTCATAAACTTTTCTAGAAAAAAAATATAGCATCAGGCAACAAGTCATTGAGTCGAATCGTGCAGAACAAGCATAAAGTCGAATCAAGATATTTTTATTTATTGTATGACACATACAACAGTTACAATAATTGCACTGTATTCAACTTCAGCTCATCTCTTTCAACCAGACAATTAAACCAAACTTAACATCCTTTAAAAACTTATCCGGCTACATTGATACAACATGTGGGAATGACTCCAGATAGTAGCGCTACAAGTGTTCAATACAACCTTATAAGGTGGTATAAAATGATGCCCCAACGTCCAAAACTTTTCCTTTTATTAAGGTTTCAAGGTCATCCTTTGGCCTTGATGTATTTGAATGAATTTTCTATCAAGCTTAGTATATAATTTGCGATTTCATGTTGCATTTTGTTTCCAAGAAAAATTATCGGTGCAAATTCTACAGAAATTTTTATATGAAACATGTCATTATATTTACGATATCTGTTCGCATTTGGTTAAAAAATATTGAAATATCAAAATGACTTCAATAAACCATTTTTTCATGTCCAATATCCTTGCTTGATTCTTTAAAGAAAAACTGACATCTTTCGATGGTTTATCATCCACGGAATTTTCGATAGGGACCGGCGCCAACGCTTCTAGGGCCTCTGTTATATTATGAATTGCAGTTATTTCGTCAAATTGAGAGAGCATCATTAGCATTATCAGCGTAATTGCTAACACTTTCATGGCGTTATGACTCTGTAGTTGTACCGAAAGAAAATGCGCTAGTAAAATGAAAAAAATATTTCAGTATGGTTTGATTTGATTCTCTCGGCAACATACTCTGATTAATGTTTCTGCGATTAACTTTCACAAATAAATGCTGCTTAAATAAACTTGGGCTACCGTTCATTTCAATGATCATTTCAGATTGTTTATTACCAACCTTAACGTTTTCTTTTTTTTTCTTTAAAAGATGTTTTAACGAAAAGCTGATTTATCTCATTTATAAATATATTATATTTATTTCTCTTCAATTCCAGCAGTAAAAAATTGTCTACGGGATAGGAAATACAAGCAGTTTAACTTTATCCTCTTTGTGTTTTTGCAGGTTGAAATTAAAAACACGAATAAATATCATGATGAATTATTCATCAGAATAATTTCTGCCACTATTAGTAAGTACGCGCATGCGCATATTTTGTTGTTTTGTGTTCCCAGGCTTTTTAAAACTAACCGCGCGACTACAACCACGTGATAAACAATTTTGTCTTCTCGACATATTTTACTTGATGGTGTTCGTCAAAAAGGGTTGATTTTTTTGGATTTTCTATCCACTCTTTGTTTTTTAGGTAAGTATGACATGCTTAGGCGTTTCTTCATAAAAGTAAAAGTCAGCATTAGCTGTAAATTTTTCTCTAGCTGACCTAAAAAAGTTTGATTGTCTTCTGAAGTTAACACAATCACGCATGCCGCAAATTATTTCATGTTTATGCTTTTACTTTACATTATTACGCCTTTTACTTTAAGGGAATCTTGCTAAAAAACTTTTTAGATCCTTAATAAGTAAATTTATGACTGTATCATTTCAAGATAAGCTCTCTGCCGTTTGTAATGGCAAAACTATTTGTTATATTTGGCCAACACTAGGAAGCATGATTTAATATTTGTTTCGATTTGGAATCAACGCTATGTAATATTGTTTCTTTTCACGAACAAAAATAGACATAAGCCCATTCCTTAATTTCATACAGGGGATTTCTAAACGTCGATATTATGTTCATAAAAGGTGGATTGTGTCCTGAAATCCTTAACATATTCTTCAATTTAGTATTTTGTATTTACAAAAATCATCGAAACCAACTGATTGATCGTTACGGAATCTGGTTAAAAATAATTTCGTAGTTTTAGTATATTTCTCGGAACCCATTACTCAATTGAATTATGAAAAAAAAGCTTTAGAAGTTTTGACTTGAGAAAGGCCACTTGTCCTTTCAACACTTTTCTGATGTACAATTAATGGACAAGTGGGATTCAATCAATTTTTGCTGTAATAATTTCTTTTTTTTAGAGACTTTGTATATAGTTTGTAATTATACTGTATATGTTGCGATGAAAGGTGGGACATCTAGTAATAACAGGGGACAACATACAACATCAAAGACAGATAAACAAGTGCCTCATGGGAAATTTCAGGTTGTATAGCAAGAAAGCAATACATATGATCATATTTGACAAACTAACTGCTTAATAATTTGTATGAATGTAGCCAACAGCTGAACAAGTAAGATTTAGTAAGTTGTTGAATCAAGATGAACCAAAATGGTTGACAGATTGCATTGAGCAGGTACGAGTAAAATTTATTTTGTAGAGACATGATTTCAAAGGAATTTGTGGTAATAATTCTTTCTGTTTTAGGTTCATGCGTTGACTCAGAAACCACATGACGAAGTTGCAATTGCTCTTCATGATTGTGACAACAATATAGATACTGCAGTTCTCAATCTTCTTGAAGGAAAGTATGACCAGGTATTTTTCATTTATCATATGAATTTTACCTTTGTATTTATGATAAAAACAGTGCAAAATAATATGTCTGATATTTGCGGTAGGGTGAATGGATAACCTTGAATAATCGAAAGAAGAAAGTACTTACTACCGATACAATATCGCCTGTGAATATTAAAGAAAAACCACCATCAAAGGATGACAGAAGAGACAACAGAGAGTCTTCTGAGTTCAACAATCGACGAAGTAAATAAGTTTCTCTCAGAATTAGATTTGATTGTTCTCCTTCACAAATATGTGAAATTTTCATTCATATAGACAAAAATCAATCAGATAGAATCCAAGATGGTAACAATGTTCGACAAAATGGACCTTTGAATCCAAGACCTGTTGGTGGCAAAAGAAATAGGAATAGGGATGAGCATGATGAACGGCAAGGCGAACGTGATAATGACAAAGCATTTGATCAAAGAAATAGCAATAGAAGGGGAGAAGGAGAAAATCGTCGAAGTGATCAGCAAGATGATAGAAGAAGTCGTAATGATTTTAGAGGTCGTAGTAATCGCAATGGTCGTGGTGGACGAGGTGGACGTTTGGATCGTTTGGTAGACGGTATGGAAAGACAAGATCAGAAAAGGGAAAGATGGAACAATAATGATCAAGAAAATGAGCGTGGTGATCGTAGATTTGGTCGTGGTAGGGGGTTATCATTTTTGTTACTTTCATTACATCAAACTGAGTGCCAAAGTGTGGATAGCAGCCTCATACCAATATTTTTATTTTTCCTATTACCTTTAGGTGGCTTTGGTAGACGTGGAGGCACAACTAGGGGTAACCGAGGGGGAAGGTGAGAGTAGGCTGTTTATTCTTTGCTGTGGAGGAAGCTTTGAAAAATTAATTTCTGTATTAGAGGGTCATTCCGTGGAGATCGATACAACAATAATCAAGCAAGGTCTGATCGAATAAATGGACAGACTAAGAATTCTGGTGAGAAAAAAATTTACATGAAAATATTATGGAAAAATATTTCTCTTTCATTTTCTCACCCCAAAGTCAATCTCAAGATCCTATGGATTGATTTGATTTGTATTCTTTTTAGACTTGAAATCCACCCAAGATTGGGACTCTTCTCCTCCAAAAGAAGACCTAGGTATATCACTTTCACATTTTTTGTAAATTGATGAATGATCATTGAATCATCATTGATTTTCACATAGATTGGGGTTTATCTGAGCCAGTTGGAGCAACTGAAGATTGGGGTGCTGAAGACTGGGTTAATGAGGTAAGATAATCCATCTTCAGAGTGCAAATCATTTGAGGAAAAAACCATATGAAATATTTTCCCAATTTTTGTCCCATATTGTGTTGGCCAAGTTTTTGTTTAAAGTGCCTTTGTAATTACCTCCTAGAAACTTGATGATAGTTCAAACATGCCGTCTTGGGCAGCAACAGATAATGAGAAAGATACCTGGGAGAACGAAAACATGTCAAAGGAGAACTTATCAAATCATGTTAATCATTTACCTGAATGGTAGATCTATAATTATTGTTCATGTGAAGATGTATAAATGGGTTGTTTACCTCTGTTGTAAATTTATTTTTGTGTAGTGACGATGAAGCAATCTTAAGCTCTAAGCTTGCTTCACAGTCTTCATCAACCAGTCGGAATCTTGAAGAGATGCGGATATCTACCCCTGCAAATGTATCTTCCCATCCTTACACACATGATTCATCAAGCTCATTCCCTCTTTCTTCAAATATTTCGACAACCTCATCCAGAGATGATAATATAACCTCTATGGCATCTGCTGGTCTTTCAAAAATCAATCATCGTTTGCAAGGAACAAATGAAGCAAGAGTACATTCATCATCTGGGCAGGTGACCCTAGCTCACAGTCTTCCTAACTCCGATCAGCAGCAGCCTCAACGTCAGCAGAAAACTCGTTTGAAACGAATTCCTAAAGGACAGGTAAAGTAAGAGTTAATCTGAATTATATTTCTGTTGTACTTTCTCATTCGCTGATACTTTCATTGTTGGAAGGAAATGTGTTTGTTGTTTGTGAACTTAAATCTTTGAATTAATTACAACAAATAATTTGTATTATCTATTGTAATAAACTTTGATTATAAATGAATGTAGGTTCCTAAACAAGCTGTTGAAATGCCTGGAAACAACGCAGAGATAGATGCCATTGATGTTCAGGTTAAATGAAGATTTGATTTGTTTTAAAGATGCTTCTAATTATTCAACAATCTTACTAAGAATGATAGCTCTCAACATAATATTTTTAGTGATGAACAGTCTTATTGTTTGACTTCTATTTAATCAATATGAAGATTGTGCTTATCAATTTTCAGTTTGGAAATCTTGATTTTGCCTCAAGTGACTCAATTAACTTAAGGCCATCTGATGAAATACAAACAAAACAACAAGAGGTATAACCATGATGAAGAATGCATTCATTTTTTTTAATTCGTAATACCATACTCTACTCTTATTTATAGGAAAGCATTATCCTGTCTCAACTAAGGTAAATGAATGAATTTTTTTATATGACTGTTATATTTTTATTTTGTGGTGTGACAAGTTGCAACTATTTTTAATAACTCACTTACTGTAAATTATTAAAGAAGTCTGGGCCCCGGTTGCACGAATACTATACAATTCTGTCCACTCAGTAATAATTTTTCCATGGTTTTCGAGAAAAATCTCGGATAAGGCAAAAAGCTGTGATTCAAATCGTTAGTCAATAGAATCAAGCGTCAATTGAAAGGTGACAAGGTTCCATTTTGGCCAAGAAAGCAGGCATTTTTGAAACTTTTATTCCCCGTAGATGTGTTTATATTGAGACTTCGTGCATTTCTTGTCTTTAAAGTAAATTCAAGTTTCATTATTAAAACTTTACGACTTTACATCCCACGCTTTTTTTGAACATCTTTATCTGCAGCCATAAAAATGAACCTACAGCACATCCACCGCCTGCTGTACAAGCTTCGATGTCCAATTCGGTTAGTATGGTGACTACGTCTCTGACGTTAGATAGCTCTATGGCGGGTTCCTATGAAGAGATGTCACCCCGACAACATTACGCACAACCCAACACGAAATCTGCTATGACTCAGGTGCGAAACTCACTGGGGTATGTTTTAGAGATCCATCTTTTTCCTTCTGTTTGCAGCAAGTATTTGTGCATTTAGATGACTCCGGATACCAGTCCTCAAAAAGAGAAGTTAGAGCTGCCCAAGACGCCTCCATTAACAAAAAAAGTTGATGTATCCACATCTCCGATGCCTATGACTGCGACAATGACGTCATCAATTGCCAAGAGCAGTACAGAAGATGTCGGTAGTCGTGTGACGTCCTTGTCATCACAGATTGAAGCAATTGCTACCTCGGATAATCCTCTTGATGACAGGGCTCACCAACAAGCAGTACGTATTCTCAGTTGTTCATAATTATTTACTTACGAAAGCTGTAACTTGATAATCTTCATCTCCATCGTAGCCTGCGCCCATTCTACATCATTCTGACCAAAATACTTTGCGTTCTCGGCCATATGGTGTCGGTATGTCAAATGGAAGCAAGGCAAATGGAGGCAAGGCAAACGGAACTCCTGCAGGTGTCAACCTGAATAATGGTACTCCTCCAGGTCCTTCGACATCTGGAGGCCCTCCACCTGGTATAATCTCTGGTATTCAACCTTCAACAACAGCAAAAACAACCAGCAGTAGTAATGTTAATCGTGCTACTGCCCACGGCAGCAGTAAGTCATTTCGTTATACAGACTACTGTTTTGAGCCGCCATATTGGGACATCTTTACAGGTAGTTGTGCGTGTAAAATATGTAGTAAATGGGTGCACAAGGCGTGTGTTAAACGTGTGCTTTTTATATGGCTAAAGCGTGGTGGTTAAAGTATATGTGCATTGCACTATGGAAACGGTGGGGCATCTTTACAGGTAGTTGTACGTGTGAAATGTGTAATAACTGTTCACACAAAATATGTGTCAAACGTGTGTTTATTATATGGCTAAAGCGTGTTGCATAAAGTGTGCGTGCATTGCACCTGTGTGAAAATCGTGGAAATCATGTTGTGTGACATTTTGTACTTGATTTTTTCATCATCACGTTTTTTATGTATTTTCCCCCAGCAAAACCAGCCAGTTTACCACCGGGCGTCATGCCTTTGTATGGCATGCAACCCGCGGGATTCCCTGGATTTTCGGTAAGATTTCACAAAAATAGAAAACTTTGTTCATTACACGTCACTTATGTTTTATTCGTTTCATTCCAGCCTTTGGCAGCATTTCCTTTAACGGATGATTTGCAAATGTTACAGCGGATGACGATACAAGTAATTGTTTTTATGTATGATGTGATATTATAAAACAAACACAATGAAACGCGTGCGCTGATTGGTCTAGAACTATGTTTGCATTAGCCTGTGCAAAACACATCCGAGCTCAACCAATCAAATCGATCATGAATACATTTTAGAGGAAAATTTTTAAACGTTCACTTTAAATTTGTCTGTTTCGCATTATTGTTATTTTATAAAAGAAATAAAAGATGTTTTTCATGTTTGCACAGGCTTATGCAAACCTCGGAGACGTTTGTGAGAACTCTCGAGCATGTGCAACCCACGACCTTCGGTCTCGGGCTTGCACTGATCTGCTCTCAAACACAGCAAACATCTTTTATTTCTTAAAAGTCAACCAAAATTTGATGTGTATAACGGTGTGAAACATCTTTACGTTTAGCCGCAACCACCTTATTATGATATGCAACAGTTTCCCGTATCTGCTCGTGACAGTGTTCAAAATTCCTACACAGGTAATAAATGACTTTTGATGTTGTTAAACGTGTACGGATTTTAAACACGAGTTTGATTTAACTGTATTTAAAACTTCACTATTTGCTTGGAGGTCGTCTTTACATTTAACTGATGACAATACTGAGAAACGCAGTATTTATATCTTGGGTGTAAGTGCCCAATGGCAATACTTTATCCCTTAGCAAAAAGCTGGCATGCAATATAATCTGCCCCACCTACATTAATTGAAGTACGTGAATAGTAAGTGAAAAGATCACTTATAATAAGTGAATTCAGTTTAAAATAATTGAACTGAATTCACTAGACAGACATGAAAAGTATGAGCACTTGCAAGCAACATTGCTCAATTATCGTGTAATAGACCTTTTTTGACAATAAATGCACTTTAAAAGGAGACCAACTTTGAAGGTTGTTTTTTAGGTACCGATGTCAAGTATAACCGTAGCGATACCTCGTCACCAGTTCCTTCTTCTCTGACACCTACGCCACATGGACAACAGGGTCCATTTATTAACACGCATGCTCAGCTTCATCCGTTTGGCTACGCTGGTAACCTGGCTTTCTATCATGGTGGTGGCATGATTGGTGGTTTTGCTCCCGCACCTTACACGACGCAGATGTATCAGGTATGTTTTTCAATTCTCTGAAGCAAGTGACTAACATACATGGTTAAGTAACGTGGAATATTTACTTTAACCGTAGCTTCCTACCAAAGCTCCAGGCGTAACGACACAATTTCAACAGAATTTTGCCAGTCAGTTGGGTCCACATTACACTTCAGGTGAAAACTTTTAGAAAGATTTCTTGTACTTTTTTCCACCCCCAGCTACGTACTAACAGTTTTGAATGAAAAAAATTTTTTAAATTGTTGTAATTGCTGACTGACAACCGAAGGCTCTTAAAATTAAAACAGTTTGAAAAACAGATAGCGTCTTTTTCATTCAAAAGGAATAATCCTGTTTGCGCATTAAATGTTTTCATACTAACAGTTTATTTCTCAAGGTTACGATGGTTTGACTAATGCTCCCGAATTCAATAAACAAGGATATCAACATTCGGCCAGCAAAGCCAATGCAGGTACAATTTAAAGACAGTCTACGGTTTTTTTAATAGTGGAATGCAAAGACTATTATTTTTATAGTGAGTGGCAACACTGTGAGTAACAGCGGTACTGATTTATCCTCACCTTACAAGACACAAGTTAGTCGATTGAATTCTCAATTATCTTTGTATGATTACATAAATCTAGACGTAACTTTTGTTGTTGTTTTTCATGTTAAGTTTACTGACAAAGGATATTTGAGTGGAACTCCTCCATTAAACATCTCACTACCTGGTCAGGCCCATCAACCTCATCCCGCTGGATTTCCGTTGATGCCCGTGTTAGCACCGACACAGCCTCCCCCGTCTTTATTTCAAAGTCACCCAATATCTCATCAACAACTGGACAACTTGAATCAAAACCGTGGCACGCAGAACCAGGGAAAAGTTCCACAGAACAAATCTCATCATGGTCATTCGATATATCCTACGCCATTTTGGTCTGGCACAAATAATTGAAACTCTTTCCTTGCTCTTCGGTATCCATGTGTGCCTCGTGTAGTCGAATTGAAGATTACTTGTGTGGTTTGAAATGTTTTCGTCTCCACATCTTAATCGTTTCACTGTCTTTGATGAAAAAGACAACTAGATGGGTAGAATGGATGTGTAAAATATGTATTGATGTAAATTCAACATTTGTTTTCAAAGTAACTAAAAGGTTGGCGATAGTTAAAGTTATTTGAGTCGAAAGTCAGTGTGTTTGTGTGTGATATTGTGACGTATAGTTTTGTTATCGTTAGACTCTCTAGTGAAATGAAAAGACGTGACTTTATGTAAGGAATACTGCGATCATGCTCTTCTCTGGAAGAATGAAATAATAAAAGAATGTAAAGATTTGTTAAGTGATTTCATTTGTCGATGTAGTTAGATTCAGGGGCAGATCCAGCGTTAGGCAAAGTGAATTACAATAGCATAGTCATGGAGGTATTTCTGATTTAGATTTAGCGGGCAGCAACTGATTTTGCCTAACCCTAGATCCGCTACTATTTTACGAAAATTTGCTTGATTACTCAAGCCAAGCGGATTATGTAATCTAATCCTACCCCATATCATATTTGAACAATCAGTCCCAAAATGCATTTTGAAGATGTATCCCAGAGTGCATTACAATACTGATAAAATAAATTTCCCCAAGAAGAAAGATATCGCAAGAATTTTCTTTATAAAATTACTATCTTGGCTCTTGACCTGGTAATTCCCTCAATGTACATCGTATTTACACTCTTAAGTTTATGAATATAACAACTATGCGTAGTTTCAGGGCTTATCCAGCTTTGACGATTCGTAGCTAGTAACTAGCATGATGCTAGTGATGGCGTCGTGTCTTCCGAGGAGAATATTTTTAAAGTTGCTTTCAACAAAACTTGATGGAAAAAATTTAAGTAATAATTGCTTAGCAAGTAGAAAGTGTTCTCCCTCGAGAGCGAGGAAGTGTCGATTTATGTAGACAATGGCATAAATTACTAAGAAATTTTTTCAGAGTAATTTTAGCAGATGCAGTTCAAAATAAAGTATTCGGAGTCTAATCTTTGTCTATCCATTCTGCTGCAGCATTTCTAATCATGGCAGCAAATGAGACATCACTCAACAACTCCTTTGATGTTCATTCAAACCAGATTAATATAAAAGGTAGAAAATTTTGCATTGCTTTTGGTTATCACAGTAATTTAACATGACATATTGTGTTGCTTTACAGAAGAACCTTATGATGATGGATTTTCAAAAAAGCGTTCTGTTGAAGAAACTGACCCCTATGAGCAACCTACAAAAAAAAGACGCATGGAAGCTGGTGATGGACCAAATACAATGATTCGCATTCTTGTGAATAGCAAGGATGCAGGGGGTATCATTGGAAAGGTAAATACTTCGATATTTTTGGTTTTTTATAAACTATGCAATGGAACTACTTAATTTTTATTTACACAGGGTGGCTCGAATATCAAAAGGTTAAGAGAACAGGTCTGTTTTTTCATTTGCCCTTATGTACACCTTTTACCATTTACATGTCTGTTATGGGTTCTTAACTTTCAATTTTTATTTCACTATGCTTAATGAATTTGTTTCTCTTTAATGCCCTGTCTTGCGATTTTTGCTTTGTTTGAACCAATTGGATGAATGAATGACAACCCTGGATGCCGTCCCTATCTGTTCTCGTTTCTAACACTGTGTACCCATGGATGCCGTCCCTATCTGTTCCCGTTTGTAACACTGTGTACCCACAGTACAAAGCTACAGTCAATATCCCTGATACAAGTTGCCCAGAGCGGTATGTCCCACCTTCCCAAGATCTCTTGTTATCTATTCAAGTATCTTGACGACTGTCAATGATATGAATGTTTGAACTCACCAATTATTGTTGAATATCATGAATCGGCTTAAGAGATCTTTAGTTTGACATTACCTTTAGTCCTCATTTTATTATCTTGATTGTTTAGCATTCTTAGTATTAACTCAGTTTTGGGATCAGCTTTAACCATTCTACATGAATGTATACCAAAGATTTGTGAGGTGAGAAAATCACTCATCAGAAATGATTTCATGGTATGAGATACTGATTAAAGTCATGTGTTAGTCACAACTTAGAAATAATCCTCGTGATGATCCAGAGATACAGTTCTTGGTCCAGCAAAGTCAGGCAGGCAGTATAATTGGTCGTGGTGGAGCGAAGATCAAAAATCTACGTGAAGTCAGTTGTCTTTGATGTATGCATGAATTTGTTGATAATGTGAACTAAAATTTTCCAACATTTTATGTAGGTGACAAAGACAAACGTAAAGGTATTTATAGCTGAAAGTACACATTACCTTGTTTGAAACTGTAAACTGTGTGATTTCCTCTTGCATCAACACTTCTTTAGGTCTTTCCTGATTGCCTCCCTGATTCATCAGAAAGAATCGTCGCCATTCAAGGCAAGTTGGCAAATTAGCAGAAATTGCATAAAAACATGGAAAAATGGCTGATTTTTGAAAGCTCAATTTGAATTACATAATGTTTGTGTAGGCAATCCTGATAATATTATTGAGTGTGTTCAAAGCATTTGTGAAACTTTAAACGAGGTACTTTAATGACTTTTGAAAAGTCTGTAAGTTTCAGTAATAAATGAAACTTGTTTTTCATATTTAGACACCTACTAAAGGACAAATCATGTTGTATGATCCGGGTCAAATGAGATCATTCCATGGTACCCTTGGTTTTGGTGGACGTGGGAATCGTAACCGTGGAGGTAGAGGGGGTAGCAGAGGTAGAGGACGGGGTTTTGGTGGTCGTGGGGGAAATATGAGTAGTGGTGGGGGTCCTAACTTTGGACATGGTCCTATGGATGGGGGTGGTGTTCCAAACATCTTTGGAGGTGGCAACTCAATGGTAAGGGTAAGAGATCTATTTTGGTGTGTGTTGATACTTAAAAAACTTGATAATTTTTATAGAATTCAAAGGCTTGCTTTAGTAGTGATTATTTAACTTGTTCTAGGGTGGTGGTGAGTTCTCTGCTGATAACTTCAATATGAGTGCTGGTGGTGGACAGGTGCCGCCTTTTGATCAAAGCACTACAACTACACAAGTGACTATACCTAAAGATGTAAGTTTTGACTTGAATATTAGTTAAATATTGTTCTTCAACAGTTAGCTAGCCTATGTAGTTATGTACATGGAATATTTCATCATTTTATGAAGAATTGTTCTCTTTGTAATTTCATTTTAGTTAGCTGGATCTATTATTGGTCCCGGTGGAAACAGAATAAACAGGATAAGGTTGACATAAAACATGTACTTTTCTGTGTGTCATGTTATTTGTGAAGTTATTTTTTACTTTAAGACGTGACACTGGAGCAAATGTTAAGATTGATGAACCAATGGTTGGTTCAAATGATCGAATTATAACTATCAGTGGCAATCAAGATCAGATCAATCATGCACAATACTTAATGCAAAAATGGTTTGTATACATTGAGTTTATTATCGTAGATCATGAAAAATTGCTGGTTGCATTGTCAGATGTTTTATATATTTTATTAAATCAATATTTTTCAGTGTTCGTGAATATTCTGGAAAAAAGTTCTGATCCTGTTTCTCATACTTTATGTTGTAAATATCCAGAGAATACGTTTTCCCTGTATGTCATTTTATTAAAGTGATTTTACATTATGAAATGATTATCTTGTTCTTTGAAACATGGAATTTGTTATCAGGAATTATTCGCAAAGTTTGTTACATCCAACCAAAATATAGTCAATATGCATCAATATCTTTTATACAATAAGATGTTATCATTTTAGAAAGATAGCCTGAAAATTTAAATCAAGTATGTCTAACGTGGTCAAAGTATAACTAAGCAATAATCATAGCCTAAGGTGACCTGCGTCTGTAATGTGTTTATAACATCATATTGATACACTTTAGGAAGGGTCAGATAAAGTAAATACCGATTGCAACATATGCAACCGCTGGCTAACATCTTTTGCGTGTTGGCTCAATTTTGCAATAAAGTCTCGCTGAATTGTGGGAAGGTTCTCTTTCGATTAGCAAAATGGTAGGTTCTTTACCCTAAAAATATATTATTTCAATCCTTTCTGTAATTTCCCATCTGAACTGTAACATCTTCATCTAGTATGTTGCATGGTTTCATTTTTATTCATGACTAACAAAATCGAAAGAATTTATCAACGAGGAGTAGAAATATGCACGTCCGTTCGAGTCTCAAGTTCACACAACATGACTATGAGTTTATGTCTATTGAAAATTTATTCACTACATTTTATGTCGTTGTCAAAAGATTTTACTGTCTACGATAGACACTAACGAATTGCTCAAATGATATAAAAAATGTTATTGGGACATAGTGGTAAATGGTTAAATTTTACAGCGTTTTAGCTATAAAAAAAGTTCTTGCACTTTTCCCAGGGTCGTGTTAGGACGAAAACAGTGAAGAAGGCTGCTCGTGTGATTATCGAGAAGTACTATACACGTCTGACGTTGGACTTCCATACCAATAAACGGGTATGTGAAGAGATCGCTATTATTCCTAGCAAGAGGCTAAGGAATCAAATTGCTGGGTAAGGAGTAACGATTGATAGAAATGTGGTGGTCAATTTTTCAGTGCAAGTATTATAAAGGCCATGTATACTCATCCAAAATCAGAACTGTTCAAACGTTGTTCATCCAATAAAGCTATCTATGTCTTAAAAATTTTAATAATTTATTTAAACTAAATGTATACTAGACCCAAACCCTAACCCAATAGAAGGTTATTGTTATATTTATTTTTTAAGAACAACAAAAACATTTTGACAAAATCTGACATGCAGGGGTTGGTTTCAAACTTGTATCCAGCATGTTGGCCATACACACCCCGCACTTACCACTAGGCTACACAACAACAAACAACATTTGTATACCGGCCAGTATTAATCCCTGCCAGGGGGGTTGACCGGTCCATGAATTTTTCTACGCCAAACGTCTCTATCTCTCGCCATATCTCTCGTTATATCCATCGCCTTCATATCACTGTTCACAGCATCCCATCCATCTCTTTCTCGGTCTACCTTGTTTGCGGACTCCATCAACATTCATATGCAACGTTCTACGAATTTCAGCACTTTCTTCCCTCCTACAACAAACCAACTACACAACTGTCAACACAAACCCAAACTACACAACTAGTCAACACAAACCTATTCCTAGGCTACACAACTGTCAACACAAACCCAGTGAAATGTAATTTTACAAACTAGTGAACAAACATGCAAAAGTTAAAGACTAACATGTTGAATAAATCTCCATGGCCTATTATAAAACTATCCTAGGTTTGTCACACATTTAATGAAGAGAATTCAGGGAGGACCTGTGAGAGGAATATCTATCAAACTTCAAGAGGAAGAGAGAGAAAGAAGAGATAATTATGTCCCCGAGGTTTCAGCAATTGAGCAAGATATTATTGAGGTTGACCCAGAGACAAAGGAAATGTTGAAGGTTTTGGTGAGTTTAGTTCACTTTAGGATAATTTACTCTGACCAGTTTACTAAACATGTTCCAAATGCTAATAGGACTTTGGAAACATTGCAAATCTTCAAGTAACACAACCAATCACAGCTACACAAGGTTTCCGTCCTGGTGGATTTGGGCAAAGATAAAGCAATTCAATAAATTTTATTAAAATTTCTTGAATACTAGTTGTGTTTTTTAATTGTTATATTAAATAGTCTAATTTTCCAGAAAAATAACAGTGCTATCACGACTGATCAATTCTGAATTTTTCATACATGATTTGGTTCAGCTAAATTTAACTAAATATATTTCAATGACTTCATATTAAGACTCATAAGACACTTGGAGCAACTATTGCCACAAGGCAGCATAGTTCCCATAGAGACCTACAGCTAAAGGTCCACCTCCAGTAAACAGTTTACTACCAGATTGATCATAACAATGCGTGTAAATTGATGTTGGAAGACACATCTCACCAAACAAGGTGTGGTAAACTTCGTCATGACGCTAAAACATGTATGATAGCAGTGAATTTAAGAGATTGAAACCAAAGTGAAATCTACAGCCACATACCCGAAATCCTTCTTTAGCTTTAAGTTGGCAAACATTCTTTTCTTGAGTTTGTATAAATCGTTTAGTTTTGAGGTCAAGAAATGAGCATGATCCAAACCCTGTACCAATTGTTACTAATTCATTGTGGAAAGATAGAGAGCGAATTCCTAAAATACAAATAAATGGCACGTTTAGAACATTGAAAATAGAATAAATCATTGAATTGTAATATAATACCGGCATCCTTATCAATGGACTCAACTGAAAACAGATGATTGGAAGGACTTCTTCCATCCAGCATGGTAACATGTGATTGTGAACCAACTGCATATAGGCAATGCTGGGGTTCAAGTGATAAACAGACATTTTCTAGCTGATATGGCAATTTCACAGAGCGGATCTTAAAAGTTGAAATAAGATTCATTCAATTGAAATACCATCATCATGACATACTTATTAAACTTACTGTCTTTAATTTAAATGGATCCCATATATGAAGAACAGCTTCAGTTGATAAACTGGCCAGCTCCTTGTTTCAAAGAAATTTTATTACTGGCATACTTGCTTAGAATCAAGAAATAACAAGAAGTGACTTCAGACAAAGGTTGTATTACTTACATTTAGTTGGGGATTATATTGAACTGCTCTGTACCGCTTATCTAATTTTTTTCTATTTAGCCAAGCAATTGGCCTTTCCCGTTCTATATCATTATTGCATGATTTTTCAAGGTTTACAGCATGACTCACATCCCAAATCCCTAGACAACCATCTCGAGAGCCTGCAAAAAAATGAACTGCATATTTTACAATGAAAGCATTTCACATATGCAGTAGCACTGACTTACCAGTGGCAACTATCTTATCATTCAACCACACTATACCAAAAATCCAGTCGGTATGCATCTGTAAGTAACATGTACATGCAATATAGCTAAATGATGTATTTAACAAACACAATTGCAATTTTCCTTGTCCTACCTCACCCAAACATAAAGGATCAAACTCTGGCAATTTATAAATAGCTAGGTCATGGGTACATTGACCGCCTGTTGCCAACAAGGTCCCTGATGGATTTATCTCTATGCTATGGATGCCACAACTGTTTTGAGTCATATCTGAAGATGGTGTCTGACCTTGTATCATTGGTATGGTAATGTATTCTCCAGAAAAAGTGTTCAAAATTTTTAACTAAAAACGAAAACAGTGACATTTTAGAGCACAAATGGGTGTCAATCATAATTTACAATAAAGGAACATACATTGTTGCACTTGGTACCAAAAACAACATTCCTCTCGTCAAGCCATTGAGAGGCAAATATTTTGTCAATTCTTCCCAGATCAAAGTCTTTAGGTTGCAAGACCAAAGGTAACTTGCGACTGGCATAGTACACCATTTCTTTTGTTGGGAATGTCATCACTTGTGACTCTTTTCTCAGTTGAAGAGCATTAAATGCTGAATAACTCGCTCTCCGTTTTTCTGATATGGATTTTTTTCTATCATCTTGACAACCCTGTGAATCTTCACACTCCATGTATTTTTATCATACATGTGCGTATCATGAATTACAACAAAATATTAGAATACGAACATGCATTCCAAGTGTTTTAGCAGAAAAATATAACAGCCAGTCTTATCATCAGTAAAGGAAACCAGTACGTTTTCATTAACGTTATTCTCGTAAAGAAGATCCCAACCGGATTGACTTTTAACTACTTGAACTACGCCACCATGTTACACGTAACTGCAAATTATGATTTCTTCTTATACTTGATTACTTTCATCAAAAGTATTGTAGCTCGATCCCCGTTTCAGAGATGATTAAATCACGTTTTTCTGTGTAAAAATGTTTTTTAACATGCAAGATTAAAGGCAAAGAGTAGAATGTATTTGCTTTCGCAACATTCCTTTTAAAACGGCCAATCATTACTCTTGTTTTGGGTAAAACATGACGTCATACAAATGGTGACCATCAAGGCGAACTGGCGAAGTAACGAGAAGCATGGGTTTAATATTTTCGCGTATTCCTGTTCAGCAAATTTTGGTCGCTGGTACTTTGGGAATCTTTAGTGGTTTTTATATATTTGCTCCTGGAATTATTGAATATTCAAAAAAAAATGACGACGAAGCCAGGGATGTAAAGGACAATGTTCAAAAAGATGAAAGACAAAATAAGGAAGGAAACGAATAGAAATTGATCATGCCGAATCAAGAGAGATAGGAAATAATGTGACAATGGATATACTATGCTTATCTTAAATTTTTGATGTAGTACTTTGAATATCATTCTCTTTTCAACAGAGACGTCACTTTAGAATGAATTTCCTATTCTGTAGCAGACATTTTTATATAAACAACAGTTTGAACCAACGACCAAATCATTTTGTCGATGAGCAGCTAAAAGTAAATATACTATATGTAAGTTTCATATGGAAGCCACTTTCTCTACATGCGAAATGAGTGGACTTCACCCCCCTTGATTTGATTGAAATATCTGTTGATTGCTGTAGGTGGTTATCTTATGGTCAGTTGTGAATATTGTTTCATCAAGATCTTTATAAATATTTTTTTATGTCACAAAGCTCAATGGTATACACTGAATTTGAAAATTTACCCCAGCAACTAAATAATTTATTTGTTTGTAACCAATAAAAGGCTTCGTTTATCAATTCACTGGTTTTAGAATTTGTTAGGAACTTTTGATCATGATCATGAATTTACAATTTTGGAATATAAAATTTAGTGAAAGTTATCTGAAGAATAACAATTGTGTGTTGCTTTGGATAAGCAATTTGGAAAATAATCTTCAGCTTCTTTGGAGATAAACCATCATGTCACTCACTGAATAAATTCAAAGAACCTAAATATATCCGTACTTAATTATCGGGTAATTGCCATACTGTAAATTTCCTCTGCATATTTAAGAGGATATGAATACACCATTTTTTAAACTATATGAAAAAAAATATGAGTAGATTTTATTTAGCATGCTTACATCAAGTTTTGTATAAATTGGTATTATTTTCACAGCTCTGTATATTTCAACAGCTTAAGCTATTCATCTAGACTTAAAATACACCAGGAATGCGTTGAAAGTGTTCTCTCTTCATTAAAATGCTTCAGAGTGCTAATTGAGTATAATGAACATGTGAAGTACATATAATGTACACTGTTGTGTTTTTTGAATGTAGTCCATGGATTTTTGTGATAGCTTTAAAAGAACAATACCTTATTCTTATTCTTAAGATGTGTATCGCAATATCTCAGAAGCGTAATCTCATCCTTATATTTGTATAAACCAGATGTTTAAATGAGACAAGCATTTCCTTTAATCACGTGTCATATTTCATAATGGTTAAACTACTACATAGTTATAATCAGTAGATGATTACCTTGTTCAGTTGAGGAACGAACTTTAAGCTCCATCCGTGAATTTTCTTGTTGCTTGTATTATAGATCGTGAAGAGCACCAAAATCTAGAGACGACCAAGTTATCATATATCATTCATTTTATTTGCGCAGGTTCAAAGGCGCATTGAATGCATTGACTCATCAAAGACACAAAAACGTTTTGGTTCTGAACAAGCTGTTCCAGACAGAGGTTGCAAAATATCATCCCTAGAAAAGATTTTCAGAGCTTAGCGCCATATTTCTCGCCTAGAAGATTTCTTTCTTTGTGCAGCGAAGCGCGGGGAGTTTGAAAATGGTTTGCGCAAAGGTGTTGCGTCTATTTATACTGCTGATATTAAGTGTCTCTGTCATCCCTGCTATATCGACTAAAAAGGCGCACAGGATACGACGTTCTGGGTAAGTTAACAATCTTTAGCTTGACACAGTAATCATTCCAAAAGATACACCATCGTACAGTAACACTTCATTTCTTAAGTAAGACGAGTATGTATATAACAGATTACTTTATTCTCATACATGCCACACAGCAGGAGTTGATGCTGGAAATGATTAAATTGAGCGAAGAATGTGTGATAACGCTATATTTTCAATTCAAATAGAACTGCGAAAAATAGCTTTCTTTTTGTGAGTCTCCATTGTAATTTAACCTATGCAACTTATGGTAAACTTTGGGTGCATTCATTTCCTATATCACTAAAGATTTCGTGTGATTGAAGTAGAATAAGCGACCCTCTGTGGGAGTGAGATTTTCTAATAAGATAAATAAAACTTAAGATTTTTATCTATCATGCAGGATTTTCCCAGTTTCAAAGCATGCGATTTTCTAAAGAATCTTAGACTCTAACCCTCTAAAGTAATCAACCCATCCATTATCCCACATAGGTATAATATTCATTGTTATTTTGTTCAAATTTATCTTCTCTTCTCGACTAGATCCTTTAAAAAAATGTCGTAGTATTTATTTTTTTGACTGATTGATGAACGGATGTATGTATTTTTAATCTCTTAGTCCAAATGTGTGTGGCTCGCAGTGTTGCTCGGGATGGCAGTCAGCACAACGCGGTCGCTCTGGCCAAGGACTCTGTATTTTACGTAAGTTTGTGGTGACCTTGAATGTTAAAGTATCTGTATGTATGTTGTATTTGTATAAGATGTGCTCAGGCTAGGTATGAGATAGTATTACATTGGACACATGTGTTTCTCTATTCATGTATTGTATTAATTGTTACATTGATTTGCACCCAATGATCATCAGTGTTTATATGGCGGTCATTCCTAAACACGTCATCATCAATATTAATGCGTTTGACATACTCCACCAAGAGCAAACTTTTAAGTGACGTTTACTTAAGTTTTTTTTAGAAATTATGAAAACATCATTTTAAGGGCTCGGTAGACGCTTGCGACGTTTTTCCAAGTTAATTGACCGCAAGCTCAATGGTTTACTGCATTCATCACATAATTTGAACGATCAACTCAGCGAGACATCATTCAGCATTCTCAATATTTCATGACTTAACTCTGCAGTCAGAGAAAAAATTCTCATTTCGAACAGTCTGAGGCCAGTTTGGCTTAACCTCTATAGCCCATGAAGCTGTTATACTCTCTTTTTGCCAAAATATACAGAAGTTTAATTTCTAATGAGCCATCTGGAATATCTCTCGACAAATTGACTGTTGACAGTTATCTAGTGAATACATCATTGTGTCGACAGATTTGTTGTTTGTATCTTCGGCATTCAAATTGTTTCTTTTTAATTTCAATACTTTCAAATGTGTGATTATCGATCTTCTACGTGGATTTTAACTCGCTTTTATTCTTTGTCATTTCATAGCGATCTGTAACGTGAATTGTGGTACAGGAATCTGTGTTAGTCCAAATCTTTGTCTATGTGAGGATGGACAGACTGCATCTCAATGCACTCAGACAGGTATTAGTGATGACAATACGTCATAGGTTGTTTTTTGTTGCTTCACAGCCCTTTACTTGTGTCTCAAAACAAAGTTTTATACATATATGTATATATATATAGGATGTAAAGCCTTTTGTTTGAATGGTGGTACCTGTAAGGATGATAAATGTATCTGTGTTCAAGGATATGAAGGAAGATTTTGTGAAAATCGTGCGTCTCATTGTTTCTTTTTTAAAGAACACTAAAAAAAGAGTAAACTGCATAGGCATATTTTAAATTTACAGCTACCTGTGATAAACCTTGTCTAAATGGAGGCGAATGTATTCGTCCAAATACTTGTGCTTGTCCTCCTGGTTTTGCTGGTCCGGAATGTCAGTCCGGTGAGTTTTTTCTTCGTCAGTTGTCGTATATAGCTCATGATGAAGTAATGCATCAACATGCTTTTGTGACATATTTTAGATTTACGTCAAGGACCTTGTTTCAAAGAAATTAAAGATTCGAAATGCAGTGGGCAAATAACGACCCTGCTCTGCACGAAGGAGATGTGTTGCGCAACTGTTGGAAAAGCCTGGGGACAACCATGTGAAGCATGCCCGGATAAACCAGGTGATTAAACGATCTGTTTCAATCTGTATTACTGGATTTTCCAGATTAACTGCGCATAGTCAAAGTAATTCATTCTACATTTATCTAGCTCCCTGTGCTATCGGATATGTACCTAATTTCGCCACACGAGAATGTTTAGGTAAAGGGAATACATTAGGAACAAACGTGATATATTTTTCGTAGTGTTGTTCTAGCGTTATGTGATGATCTTATAGATATTGATGAATGTAAAGCAGTACCTGGCGTCTGTCCAGCTAATGTAAAATGTATAAACACTGTTGGTAGTTATCGCTGTGGAAAATGCGCTTCTGGATTCACGTTTAATGATCAACTAAAGAGATGTGTTAGTAAGTAGATTAATGATCACCTGAACTCTTGAAAATTGGGTGTAAACTAAAATAATTTAATCCAGATTTCCCAAGATGATGTATGTTCGGGGGATGTTTCGATGTGTGTTTCTCAAACAGTCGTTTAAGTAAAGGATTTTATGGATGCTACGGTTTAACGAAATTTCCTTGCATCATTCACTTACAGAACCTACTGTAACCCCCGCTGTTCGTAAAGACTTGTGCTTCAGGCAAATTCTTAGCGACAATTGTATTTTACCGTTGTCGAACAATCTTACAAAGTCCTCGTGTTGTTGTGGTGAAGTTGCTGGTGCTGGTTGGAGCTCCAATTGTTTAACCTGCCCTTTACAAGATTCCAGTAAGGATTTGTGATTTTATAACAGAAATTCGTTTGCATAAGCATGGTCATCATTTTTATAGCTTGATCATTGTTTACTCGTTATTCTCTTATAGGTGAATATGATACTTTGTGTGGAAATTTGGGTAATGTTTTCTTTACATTACGTTGTACTGAGGAATTTCAATCTACACTGTGTTGAAACTATTATCATAATTTTAATGCTCATTATTAGTTAAGCCAAGCAGTATAGAAAAACTGAATTTTGGCATTATTTTACGGTTTCCTTAACCATTTACAGGCGAGTGTAGTTTTGAAGGCGATGTTTGTGGTGGGAATATCGGTGAATGTAGGACGACAGAATCTGGTCTTACCTGTGTTTGTGCTATTGGTTATAACTATGATCCTGACCAGAAACTTTGTGTTGGTACGATGCTTGATTATATTTTTTTTTTTAAGTGAAAACTGAAAGAAATGTAATGATCATAAACATCCTGTCGATATTCTAGATGTAGATGAATGTGATGGTGGCGGCTTGATCTGCACAAACGCTTTATGTTATAACACACCTGGTAGCTTCAGGTGTGATTGCAAACTAGGTTTTGTTCCCGACCCGTTTGACAGATTGAGATGCACCCGTACTAGTGTCCGTATCAGTACCCCTCCTTTGGGACTAACCAATCCTGACTCTCCAACACCTTCTCCTCCAGTGTCCTCTACACCATCTGGTACGTCACTTTCTCTTTGCTTTCAGGTTGCTCGGAAGATGACAAATCTCGTGATTTTTGTAGGTGTGTGCTCTCGTGTCGGTCAGCGATGTGATAATGGTGAATGTGTTAGGGTAGATGGTGTCATCAAGTGTCGCTGTGTTAGTGGCTTTAATGATACAACGGGGAAATGTGAGGGTAAGGACAATACAATATTTCATAATAAGTTGTAGAACTTTTATGAAAATGTGTGGTCGCTCTTTTAGACGTTGATGAGTGTCAAGAGGACAGCAATGTTTGTGAGAATGGTATGTGTATCAACGAGATTGGAGGATACCGCTGTCAATGTGCTGCGGGCTACATTACATCCAGCGATAAGAAAAGCTGTGTTGGTTAGTATAGTCGTTCGTCTTGACAGTGTTGTTTATGATAATATTATTATAAAAGAATTTGGATACTCTTCACAGGAAATTAGTTTATTTCTTCTCAATTTCAGACCGTAATGAATGTGAAGAATCATCGAAATGTTCCAACGGTCGTTGCATAAACACAAAGGGTGCATGGCGTTGTACTTGTAATCAAGGATTTACTTTGAGTGACGATAAAAAATCTTGTATTGGTACGTATATGAAAGATTTCTCTAAAAATTTTTAGGAGGGGCTATGAATGCATTTTGTTTACAAGAACTTGATGGCAATTAGTGGTTGTTGTTGTATGGACTTAAATGTTTTCCAAGGGTGGCTTTAATGGTTGTTTTCGTATGGATTTTAACTGTTTTCCAGGGTGGCTTTAATGGTTGTTTTCGTATGGATTTTAACTGTTTTCCCAGGGTGGCTTTAATGCTTGTTGTTGTATCGACCTAAACTCATGGGAAAATTTTTATCCATATTTTCATAAGTGATTTTATGTCAAGCATAAACAAACACGCCCATTTTTGAATAAGTACTGATACTGCCACCTAATCTTTTGTTTACATAGAAAAGATGCTTCGCATTGCGACAAAATTTCCCGACAAAACTTCATTAAGTAGACGTGTTTTTGTTTTGTAGACAATGACGAATGCACCACTATTGCTGACGTTTGCATGAATGGCCGCTGTATCAATACTGCTGGCGACTATGAATGTAGATGTAATACTGGCTACACTACATCTACAGATAAACACATGTGTCTAGGTATATTTGTCAATTATTCAAAACAAATGTAAAAATTTACTTTTCAACTACGAGTTTTGTCCAACTATAATATTTTTCATCATTTTTTTTGTAGATACTATGGTATCGATGTGCTACGCAAAATATGATAACAATGTTTGTAGTCAGGCGTTATTTAGATCATTAACCATCTCTCAATGCTGTTGTGGTAAAGATAATACTGGCGAGAGCCGCCGGGCATGGGGAAGTCCCTGTATGGCTTGTCCCGTACCTGACACTGGTATGATTTTATTCACCAGGGGCCTGTTGCACGAAGCTTCGATAGCGTAATCCATTGGATGGTAAAATTTTCAAACTTGTAAAAAAGGTGCTTGTGTTTTCGTTACCACAGAGAAATTTTGTAATCTTAGAACCAATGCTTTATTTCAACGATTGCGCAGTTCAAACCTGATATTCTTCGTTTTTAGTGAGTTTTTTGACCGTTTAAAAAATATGCTATCCAATGGATAACTCTATCCACAATTTGTGCAACCCTCCCCAGCAATATATTCTTGGGTCGGTTGCTCGAAGCCTAAGTAGCGTTTGCCTTAGAATATTACATTTTTTCAATTTTTATAAAAATATTTTAAAAAGCAATATAGTTAGGTTTGAACTGAACAGTATATATACATACATAACAAAACGTTAATTCAAAGATGAATAATTTGGCTATGACGAACAAAACTGCTTTCATACACTTTTAAAGTTTACCATCCAATAGAAAATGCTTTCAAGTCAGCCTCAGCTGTATATTTGCATTTTCGTTCTTTTTGTCATAGTAATTTGTCTTTCATAGATGAGTACACAAAGGTATGCGTAAATGGTGCCGGTAAAGATAGTGGTGGAAAAGGTACGGACTACGACAACGTGCAAGAAGACTGCCATTGTTTCTCCTCCATATATCTTGTTTAATTGTTGTAGATGTTGATGAATGTTCAAATAATGTCGGCTCACAAACGGTGTTGTGTGAAAATGGACAATGTCGGAACACAAACGGGGATTATTCTTGTGATTGTAACGTCGGCTACAGAAGAACAACTGACAGCAAGACATGTAATGGTGAGTGCGTGAATTTTTTATGAATGACTTTCTCACGCGTGTTAGAGAAGATTGAACAGTAACGTTGTTTGCATTAATTTAAACATACTGTTTTTCATTTTTATGAAGAGATTAACGAATGTCGTGAAAATCCGTCACTTTGCAATCGTGGCCGATGTGAAAATTCACCTGGTAGCTATCGTTGTGTATGTCCTGCAGGTTTTGTATTTGATTCAAGAACCAGAGGATGCGAAGGTGGATAAAAATGATGACAAGTTTTTACATCATATTTTTAATAGTATACTTTGTTATGATATAACTTTTTATATATGTGTTTCATGAGCACTGTCTTCTTGTTATGTTTCATCGTTAGACGTGAACGAATGCAGCAACAAGGGACAATGTGTTGATGGCACTTGTGTGAACACGATCGGTAGCTTCCTTTGTCGTTGTCCACAAGGATTCACTTTGGATTCCAATGGTCGCTATTGTCGAGGTAGGGATTATTCAAATCTAGGTATTGATTTAGGGAAGAGGTGCCGATTTATGTGCATCCTAATTTATGGCTAGATGGTGTGCAGGAGGGTGTCATTTTTCCTACTTGAATCAAGACGAAACGTCACTCGCTTAATATACATTGTGAAAGCAAACCGCGCTTGTGGCTTTTTTGAAAACTATCTTTTTGGCTTTAATATTAAAATTGACAATCTGTTTTCTGCCTTGCTCCTCATTGGCAACAGTTGTGATAAACCAATACTAAATACTAATATATTAAACAATCCACCTTTCCGACGGTACACACACACGTGTCAAAAATGCGACATGAAATTACAAAATTCGGACAATCAAATGGTCGGACATTGTATTGTTTATGTAGAATAGTGGCAATAAAATGTTTAGGAGATGCTTTCGAATTATTGGGCATTTGTTAATCTGGTTCTAGTTATTCAGAACGATTATTTATAAAAGCAGAAGACATAACAGTAAATATTAACCATTTTGGGTTAGAATCATATTAAAAAAGTAACAGAATTTAGCAATAAAAGTCCAGCATGGTATGTACGGCAAAAGTAGCCGCTGTATTTTCTTGCAAAACAATTTAAGGTAAAATAATGAATTCATTAAATCGTTTCTTAGATTTACGTAAGGGAAAATGTTGGAGATTCATAAGTGACACTAATGTCTGTGAAGACAATGTTAATGGTGATGTTACTCGCGAAGTGTGTTGTCAAACCCTTGGAAAAGGCTGGGGTAGTCCTTGTCAGAAATGTGACACCATCGGTAAAATAATCCTACTTTTGAAGATGTGCATTGATCAATAGGACGTGCACCGTTTTATAGGACTTGTATGATCAATAGGACGTTTATGGATCCATAGGACGAGCATGGATTAGTAGGACGTGCATGGATCCATTGGACGTCCATGAATCATTAGGACGTGTATGGATCAATAGGACGTGCATGGATCAGTAGGACGTGCACCGATTCATAAGACGTGCATGGATCAATTGGACATGCCAGGTTCAATAGGACGTGCATGGATGAGTATGACGTGTATCGATCAATAGGACATGCATGGTTCAATAGGACGTGCATGGATGAGTAAGACGTGCACCGATTCATAAGACGTGCATCGATCAATAGGACATGCATGGTTCAATACGACGTGCATGGATCATTAGTTATTTTCCTTACTTATAAATATACTGGTATGATTTTCTTCATTGTCCTATTAACTTCAGTATATTTCATTTTTCTCTGAACTACATTAATGTATAGTCATGGATTATATAGGTAAAAGATGTCGTAGTGGGTTTTTATATGACAATTTTACTTGTGTCGGTAAGTCGTCTTTTTATGTCGAGTATAGTGATTAAGGTTGTTTTTTTTTGTTTAAATTGTACTTCATTATTATGCAGATATTGACGAATGTCAAGCGTTCCCAGGTATATGCCGCAATGGACGATGTTTAAACACTCCTGGAAGCTATCAATGTGTTTGCTCTGAAGGATTGACTTTGGATGAAAGTAAAAGTGTCTGTCTTGGTACGTACTTCTCACTAATCCCATCGTGACATGATGTTTCATCAACAGTAATTTCACCATTAGTCTCCGTAATTGAATAGAATTGCATCATTCACAAAGTTTGTAAAATATCACAACGCATTTTGAATATGTATTTAGATCTGCGAGATGGCGTGTGCTATCAAGCCGTGACACGTGATCAATGTACTCAACCGGTCAGTGGGTTATACAAGAAAGATATCTGCTGTTGCTCAGTTGGTGCAGCCTGGGGCAGACCCTGTCAAGAATGTCCTCTAAGAAATAGCAGTAAGTTGATTTTTTGTTGTCAGTGAACCGATGTATAATGAGCATTTATTGTAGTTTTCGTCTTTTAGGGGAGTTCAACGAACTGTGTCGGCAAACTACTCTCACAGGTAAAGTGGAAGTCATCACATCATAATATTTCTGTATTTATAAATGTGTGTAACCTTTTTAGTGTTTGACGAGTGCACTGTATTTCCTGATATTTGTATAAACGGTGAATGCATTGATACAAGTGGCAGTTTCCTATGTGAATGTCGATCAGGTTTTGCTCTTGATCAAACCGGCAAAAATTGCACAGGTACTTGGATATTTTCCCAGGTACATATAGGTACTTCGTGTACTTACGTTATGATCAACCTTGTTAACTTTACTAGATATCAACGAATGTCAGATTACTCCGGATTTATGCGGTAATGGAACATGCATTAACACGGCTGGTGGATTCCGATGTAATTGTCGAGAAGGATTCAAGAATGCACCGATGATGATGGAAGTCTGTATTGGTTAGTAAAAAAATATAAATGATCTTTCAAGAGTGATGACATGAAACGATGCACGTGTGGATATTAATGACGTCATCCAATGAGTCAGAGTTTTATGTTAGTGAGAGTTTGCTAAAAAAAGGTCCGAAGCTACAAACGAATACTATTTATGTAAACATCTGTTTATTCTATAATCTAAGTCAATTAAGGAAAACGAGATCAATGATCATCCATTGCGATTATCTTAAGTAAATTTAGAGAGCGCAAGGTTTATATTTTGCTCTTGAAGTACAATAACCTTCCCGAGAATATTAATTAAAAAAATGCTGATACATTTAAAATTTGCCTATTAACACCATTCATCTATAAGATTTTTCTAGTTCTTACATTTATTTGTAAATTGGCTCTCTTCAAACAGGATGAACAGGGCTGTTTCATTCATATAAAGCTGTAATTACTGCCACTTTCATTTAGATGTGAATGAATGTGATGATTTACCGAACCCTTGTCAAGGGGGTACTTGTGTAAATACTATTGGTAGCTTCAAGTGCGAGTGTCCTACAGGAAAGCGAATGGACTCTAGTGGATTGATGTGTCAAGGTAGTGTTGCAAGGCATAGTTTTTATACCTTCAAATCTAAAACTCTTGAACTCCAAACTGATTACGTATTCTATTGCCGTTAACTGTCAGATATTAATGAATGTGCTGAGAATTCATTCATTTGTCCGAACGGCAACTGCCAAAACTTTATGGGTGGCTATCAATGTGCATGTTTTCCTGGATTCGTCTCGAGTGATGATATGAAAAGTTGTATAGGTACGTTACCATTAGGTTTCTTACGTCCACGTTTTTGATCCTTGAATGAGGAATTACTTTTTTCCTGTAGATGTGAATGAGTGTGAAACAGAAAATGGACAATGTGAAGCAACGTGCGAGAACACAATTGGAAGTTATCGTTGTTCGTGTCCCCCAGGAATGAGATTACGACTCGATGAACGAACTTGTGGCGGTAATCCTGCATCTTCTCTTATAAATATTCTCTGTTGTTGTTGAACTGTACCTCTCTTCCCTTCGTAGATATCGATGAATGTGTTGAAACTCCAAATATTTGTGGTATTGGTAACAAATGTCAGAATGTTCATGCTGGACACGAGTGCATTTGTTCAGATGCTTACGCTTTGTCTGAAGACCGCAAATCTTGTATTGGTAGGATGATATTGCACAATGATAGTTTTCTTCCGAGTTCTACTCTATGTAAAAAAATTTCTTCTTTGACGTCATAGATATCGATGAATGCATAACGGACCCGAATTTATGTCGCAATGGGCAATGTCAAAATTTACTCGGATCTTATCAATGTATTTGTCCTCGGGGATTTTTCATTGATGAAACTACTTCTGTCGCTGTTTGTTCTGGTTAGTGGAATTTTTTTACATACATTCCATCTAAAGAACAATATTTCAACCGTGCAATCTTTCATACTGATGCAAACATTATTGTTTATGAAGAAAAACTCCTTGTTTTGCTCTCTATAATACGTACAGATGTAAACGAGTGCGAGAGTGATGAGATAAACGATTGTGGAAGAAACTCGTTTTGTATGAACACGATTGGATCTTACAGCTGCTCTTGTCTCAATGGCTTTAGAAAAATAGCAAACATTTGTCGTGGTATGTCACGTTCTCTTCAACTTTTCTTTTTTATTTGATTTGCTTCGGTCTTAAAAAAGCATTTCTTTCCCCAGACGTGGACGAATGTCGTGAGTCAGAACTACGAAATATTTGCGGTAATAATTCGCAATGTCGAAACACCGATGGCAGTTACTCATGTGAATGTCGTCAGGGATATTTTCTGGCCAGTGATGGCGCGTGTAAAGATGTCGATGAATGTCGTATTCTTGACAATGTTTGCGCGAATGGGAAATGTCTCAACCTTCCTGGATCCTATCAATGCGATTGTGATTTTGGGTATTTGCAAACTTTTAATGAAAAAGGATGTGAAGGCAAGTAAAAAGAAAATTGTGAAAAAAAAATATGATTTAGTTGTGGTAACAAACTTGAATATTGCTCTGAACAGCGTGCTCGTCATTGTGAATGACAATTGAGTAGTTTCTTAAGAGAACTGTTGAAAACCAAGAATTTTTTTTTGAGTTTTTACTACTTTACAGACAGCAATATGCTATCATTTCTTATCTAGATCTGGATGAATGTGAAGTGATGAAAGAATTCTGTCATCATGGACGGTGTGAAAATATCCCAGGATCATTTCAATGTATTTGTGATAAAGGATTTCAATTAAATCGCTACAATAATAATTGCACAGGTTGAACGTTTTATTCTTTCTCCTATTCACTCGTTTTTGTTAAGTTTGTGTTTTTTCACATTAGTCTTAAGATATTCTTTCAATTATATTCAGACACTAACGAATGCCAAGAGTCCGGAATGTGCCTCAATGGTCGATGTGTTAACGAAATGGGAAAATACCGTTGCGAGTGCGATGAAGATTTTGTGCCAAATCCCACGAACACGGCTTGCATCGGTGAGTTCTTATTTGTGGAACAAACTTTCGATACTCGGAGTCACAAAATATGTATTAACCTATCAAAAGACAGCAAACGTCCTTGTAGGGTTGCTAGTGGCGTGGCAAAGGACAGTCAATTGGGGGTATGAGAATGAGTGGTTACAATGATATTGACCAACTTTTGCCCAGTATTTAGATACAGAGAACCCAGAGCTATTTGCAATAAACGACTTGGATAAATGACTATTAAAAAATGTTTGTCCATTTATAATATGAAATCATTTGACAAAATTTAACTTACATTTTTAGCATTTTTTACCAAGGATACATAGTGCTGCCCCCCACTCCCACTCACATCGTGGTCGTCACGCCCTTTCAGGCACCCCTATTTTTGCATTAATTTTGGTATTGTTTGTTATAGATACTCGGAAAGGAAATTGTCACTTGGTGAAAGATAGCGAAACCGATTCTTGCAGTTATCTTATCACAGACAGCGTTTTACGCAGCATTTGTTGTTGTTCTGTTGGTACAACATGGAATGATTGTGAAGAATGTCCAAAAAATGGCACTGGTACGCTATTGAACAAATTATGATATCTATTCTGATTTCATTGTCATTCTTCGCTGATTCATATATTTAGTACTGTGTCAGGAAGTAGTCACGAAAATTAATGATAACTTGATAACTTCTAGATGAATACAGGCATCTCTGTCCTAGTGTTGGCGGATATATTGTCGATCCTAACACAACATCGCTCATTGATATTGATGAGTGCAAGTTCCCGAGAATTTGCGTTGATGGGACGTGCACCAACACGCTAGGAAGTTTCATGTGCACTTGTTCAAAAGGTTTTGAATACAACCATGAAATTGGCGTTTGTGAAGGTATACAGGAGTACCATTTATAACAATATGTTTTTAATTCCAGGCATATCTTTATATGAGGCTTGCTCTTAGTTTTGAAGTATTGTTAATTTATTATATGTTGAGTGACTAATATGACAACTATACATCAGACGGCATTAAATTTTTTGGGGTCAAGTGTGGACATTTTCGAGATATCTGAAATTTGTGTTCTCCGTGCATACGCATGCTTTCAGATACGCATTCCTTTATACACGAACATCGTATCGTTTGTAAAATTGCTAAGTTGATTTGAAACGCATAGTTAACGAATGTGATACTGTACACAAAAGTCTTTTGATGACTATTACCGTCATTTGAACGTAATTTACAGCGGGTTTTTGCAACACCAGGCCACCATGCGTAAAAGCAAAGTATATAGACATTACACCGTGAACAGAAAGAAAAAAATTCTTTCGCCTAAACTATAGACACTAAGATTTTGTTGAAATTTTTTTGCCATTGAATCAATGGATGTTTGCCTCATGATACATGAATCAAAATTAAATGTGTCTTAATAGTTAATGGAGATATGTATGAAATATTTTATGGTTGATTCAGTTTACGAATCTAAAGGCAAGGTTTTTTAAGGTATCCTTGAATTTCTAGTTTTATTTTGATTTATCCTTTGGTTTCATGTAGATATTAATGAATGTGAGATTGACAGATTCATATGTGGCTTTACTGGAGTATGTATAAACAACGAAGGAAGTTACGAATGTCAATGTCCTCCAGGAGAAGCAATGATTGGAACTGTTTGCATTGGTAAAATTTAGAATGTTCTATGAAATTACGATACATCTTGATCACATCATTTTCTCATTCGTTCTTTCTACGGTTGTCTTTCTTTCTGCTTTGAATTATGGTTTCATTAAGTTTGTTTACATCACTGAAGTCAGTTTATGAGCTACGAGTGATTTTATTTGACAATTTTTTAGCGATTGCGTTGGTCTAGAGCCAAACACATCAAAGAAAAGAAAGTTCCTCCATAGATATATTAATTGTTATAAATTTTCAATTAGGGAATAGTAGATAATATAATTAGCATTTCTAAGACTTTAGGTAACTTTCCAAATGTCATGTGAAAAAAGCGGTTTCGTCTGTTGAATTCAAAAGCACGTAATTTTCAAATTAGCATTAAAATATGATATCAACAGTTTCACTGACTATTCAGCTACATTATTCGTTGGTAAAAGTCATAGTGTAAAGCAGTCTAAGGATTGCTCTGATTATCGTATGAAAATATAATAATTTACCATTGGAGGAACTTTCTTTTTGTGTTGTGTTTATCTTCTTCGTCCGCTATCGCTCTTTTAAAACCTTCGTTTGTCATTTTTTTTGCTATCGCCATTAATCATCGCGTCTTTTTCTTTTCGTAGATGAGCGTCCACAGCTTTGTTTCGGAGACAAACAAGACTTGAGCAACGTGGAAAGTTTGTTTCCAGGTCCTTCGTGTAATGAATCAATAACATATCGTCCTATTACACGAACAGAATGTTGCTGTAGCAAGGGAACAGCTTACGGTCCTCCTGATATGTGCAAACTCTGTCCATTACCTCTTACTGGTAAGAAATTATTACCGATTTGTTATTTTACTTATTTTTTAATGGAAGTATTTTCTATCCCTTTATTCTTTAGATGAATACTATGCATTGTGCGCCATTGTAAGACCTACTCCTACACCAATTAGAGGTATTGGTGGCACTGCTTTTCCTCCTGGTGGAACTCCAGGGGTGATTCCCATCACTGGTAACGACATTTACTTCCTTAATTCATCTGTTTTATTTGCTGCTCTATTTCATGGACAATATTTTGCTTGTAGACGTGGATGAATGTTCATTTCTTAGAAATCCTTGTGGTATGGGAACATGTCGCAATACTTATGCTTCATATGAATGTGACTGTGAAAAAGGTTTCGCTGTCAAGAATGGAAATCCCCGATGTGAAGGTCAAAATTTTGTTCCGTAATTTCGCACGAGCTCGTTATTGTTTTGTTGTGTAACATATAGCAATTGTATTTTCTTTCTTTCTAGATCAAAACGAATGTTTACTCAATCCTTGTTTTGGTGGGGAGTGTAAGAATACCTTTGGCAGTTTCATGTGTAGTTGTGAAGTGGGTTATGTAGTTGATGAAACAGGTGTCAACTGTGTTGGTGAGCCACGAAGTTCATTTTTTGCAAAATCTTCTCTTCTGAGTTTTTTAATTATACAACGCTGTCTATAGACCACAATGAATGTCATCTTAACGATACTTGCGTCAATGGTAATTGTATCAATGAAGATGGTGGTTACAGATGTGAATGCGACCAGGGTTATCAGCCAATCAGAACAGGCAAAGCTTGTGCAGGTATTGATTTGCTTGTTTTTGATTGTAGTTAACAAAAACATGTACAAGGGGATATTGTTATTTTATGTTTAATTGTCGTCTTCCAAAGAATTATTTCTTATTTAGATGTTGACGAGTGCTTTAATGGCATAAGTAAATGTCAGAATGGCACATGCGTGAATACTCCTGGTTCATATTCCTGTCAGTGTGATGAAGGATTTCGGGAAGACTCCAGACATGCCTGCCAAGGTCAGTGCAGGAAGGCTTATCAACGCTGATATATTACATCATTTTACTTCATATAGATATATTCTTTCATAGATATCGATGAGTGTGCTGAATCAGGAACTCAGATTTGTCGAAATGGAGTGTGTAAGAATGAATTTGGTGGTTTCACTTGTCTTTGCAATGTTGGATACGTGTTAAACGCAACAGAAAAACACTGTCGAGGTATTTGCAAGAAAACTTTTCATTTATAACATATAGACTGTTTGTAATCAGATAAAATTAATTTACGGAATATTGATTTATTCTTTGTTTTCTTCTATTTTAAGATAGGAATGAATGTCTGGAGATAGAAAATTTTTGTTTGAACGGCACCTGTACCAACACTCTTGGCGGCTCAATATGTGAATGTCGGGATGGATTTTCTTTGAATCCCTCTGGAGATTCTTGTATTGGTATGTTTGTTGATACTAGAACAAAACCTGAATACGACCCACTCAAAAAAATCATCCCGGATGCATCCCTGCCTAAGTTGACATTAAAAAGTTGGACGTTTTTTCACTGAACTATCTCGACATCTTCCTCTCAGACATCAACGAATGTGATGATGACCCCAATCTTTGTCAAATGGATGGTAATTGCGTGAATACGGCTGGAAGCTTCGAGTGTGTTTGTCCTGTTGGTTATGAAGTGGCTAACTATGGCAAAATGTGTGTTGGTCAGTAATATCTTATTAAGCTCCTGTTTTTGATGTTGATGATTTTTACCTACGTTTACCTCACAATAATTTCAATTGTAGACATGCGCAAAGGGTATTGTTTTAATGATTACGACGACCGTGGTTGTAGCAATCCCAGGATGATTTTGTCAACAAAGCAAGTTTGTTGCTGTACACGTGGAGCAGGTTGGGGTGATCCATGTGACATATGCCCTGTCGAACAAACAGGTTTGATAAGTTTCGCTTCCATTTCTTAACTTTACGGCATTTTGTCTCCTTCATCATGTAATAATTGTTCTTTTTAGAGGCATTCAGTTTACTTTGTAGTAAAGGTCATGGATATGCCGTAAAGAACAATACAGTCGATGGTGAGTACATGTCATCTCTTTCCTTTGTATTGATTTTTAACTCTCTCCAACCCCCAACCCCCCCAATGTTTTTTTAGATGTCAACGAATGCGAATACGATCGTCTGTGTGCTAATGGTCGTTGCGTTAACAACGATGGCAGCTTCCGCTGTGAATGTTTTGCCGGCTATCAGCTCGATGAATTTGGAAGAAATTGTGAAGGTTTCTATGATAAAGATGAATCATGACAGTATTATTGACACCCTATTGACGACATTTCATATTTAGACATTGATGAATGTGCGAAACCAGGGATCTGTGGTAATGGTACATGTAACAACCAGCTTGGCAGTTATTCTTGTGATTGCGCTTCTGGATTCAAACGTGGTCGTTTCTCACCCACATGTGAAGGTATTATATTCGCATTTTTTCAAAATGTGTTTTAACTTTGTGAATGCTTAACTCTTTGGCTTTGTTTTATTTTTGGTTTAAAGATATTGATGAATGTTCTGAGACAAGAAACCTCTGTGCATTCCGTTGTGTTAATAATGCTGGCTCATATCAATGCATCTGTCCTCGAGGATACAAACTTCATACAAACAAGAGACATTGTATAGGTATTGTCAAGTTTAGTTCTTTTTTGTCACCTAGACGTACGCGTAAGAAATTTAACCATAGTTGTTTTAAAAGCATCAAAGTTTTCCACTGTTATTTCATATAATTTTATTTGAATACTGTTATGTATGGAGAAAATTTTTTTAGACGTGGACGAGTGCAAAACCGGAACACACAACTGCCGTTATGTTTGTAAAAATTTCCATGGTGGTTTTAAATGCATTTGTCCCGAGGGTTTCCGGCGTTCTGCTGGCGGAAGTTGCATTGGTAAGTGTTGTAAACGTTTACTGTAAGTAGATACTTAGGTTTGACATTTTGGTGAATATGTTTAAGACATCAATGAATGTAGAGAAGGCTCGAGTCGTTGTCGTGATGGCAATTGTCGCAATACCCCCGGTAGTTATATCTGCGACTGCAATGAAGGATATAAGCGGACATCTGATGGCAGAAGTTGCGAGGGTAAACTTTCAACCGTTTGTAATATGACGCCCGACTAGTATTTGCTGTAATTGTAATTCTGTTTTTGTAGATCTTACTCGTGGCTTATGTTTTGCTCAAGTTGATAACGGATTATGCAAGGCATCAACAAAGATAATGATACTAGTGACAAAGAGTGATTGCTGTTGTACTGCAGGAATAGCTTGGGGTAGTCAGTGTACAATATGTCCTCGAAAAAATACAGGTCAGTTCAAAATAAACTATGCACTCACAGGTCGAGTTTAAAAAGGAGATATGAACGCTCTTTTTTTTCTACTTTAGTTGAACACAGGAGACTGTGTGTTCCGTTTCAGAAAAGTAAGTTTTCGTCGATAACTTTCGTCTTTTTCTTAGCTCCAAATATCTTACTTACTTGTCTTTTTTGATTGGTTTTAAGCGATGGACGAATGCAAAATGATATTCGGGTTGTGTCCCAATGGGAAATGCATCAACACTGCCGACTCGTATCGTTGTATGTGTCACCAGGGATACAAGCTTAGGCGAGATGGAAAAAGTTGTGTAGGTGAGTGTTAACGTCAAGTTTTATCCTTGAAAAACCATTCAAATAATTTGCTGTCATGATTTCAATTTCTTTCAGACATCAATGAATGTCATAGAATACCGAAACCATGTCGTACTGAATGCATAAACACACCTGGAAGTTATAGATGTAAATGTCCTTCTGGTTATGAAGAAATATCTGGCAGATGTCAAGGTCTCATTGCGCTTCATTCCCAGTCTCTCTTCACTTTATCTATAATTTTATGAAATGTTCCTTTAGACATAAACGAGTGTCGAAACTCTTCTGTTTGTCCTCAACAATGTGTTAACACCTTGGGAAGTTACAGATGTTCATGTCGACAGGGATATCAATGGCAGGGGACGTCATGTGTAGGTGAGGTTACTTGCAATAACTCCCAATCAAAGAGACCCGGAGGTTTTAAGTTAATATTATATTTTTTCTAGACATAAACGAATGTGATCGCCGAAATGTCTGTCGTTTCGGTTCTTGTGTCAATCAAGATGGATCGTATACATGTTTATGTCGACATGGTTATAGATATAACTCTCAGACTAAGACCTGTGTTGGTATGTTGCTGTTCGGTGTTGTTTTTGTTTTTGTGGGTTTTTTTTTGTAAAATACTTGCTCTTCAATGATTTCATGACGAGAAAACTTCATTTACGCAGATCTTAACGAGTGCAACGTCCGAAGTTGTCAAGGTACATGTGTGAACATCAATGGTGGATACAGGTGTGGATGTCCCAGTGGCTTTGTAAGACAATTATACTGGAATCAGTGCATCGGTAAAGTTGTTTAGATTGAAGAACAACGCTAAAATGTGTGGATTTTGACGTTTTCTGACAATGAAACTTTCTATCGTTAGATGTGAATGAATGTACTACAGGTGCAAATAAATGCGGTCGTACAAAATGTTTCAACATTCAAGGTGGATATCGATGTTATTGTCCGCGTGGATATCTACTGGATCAATCTAGCATGACCTGCATTGGTTTGTAATCGTTTCTTTTTTTCGTGTTCATCTTCTAACTTTCAAATTGATCTCATAATATATATTTTTACAGATAAGAATGAATGTGTCCGCAATCCTTGCTCAACAGCAGGTTGTCACAACATTCGGGGTGGTTTCCAATGCTCTTGCCCAACAGGATTTTATGCCGTTGGCGGAGGGTAATTTTCAGTTGAAATTTTGCTTTTGTTAACCATACTTATTGTCATTCAGTAACTACTTCTTTTTCTATGCTCGTAGTCATTGTATAGCGAGGTACGCTCAGCAAAGACTAAAAGGCGTTGTGACGCAAAACAAATACAAGTTTGGTGAGAAACCGAAGACTCAACGTGAAGTTACCCCATCTAGATACTACAAAGATACCTCACAAACTCCGTTCAAATCACAATGGGGATATCGTCGCACTCAAACAAGATATACTAAATCAGATCCGTATCGTTACACATATTCTTACAGCTCTTCGTCATCTGGACGAAGAAGAAGACGCGCATCTCACTTTGTACACAAGTTGAATATAGACATTCAGCAAAACGCGACTGCTCTCCAAAACCTGCTCGTCTTAACACCAGTTTTGGAGAGCTTGCAGAAGAAGTTTCATTATGAAATTGTTCGTGGTAATCGTAGTTTGTTTGCTGTGAAAATTGAAAATGGATTAAGCTTCGTTTTTGCAAAGAAGACTTTGAGGGTTGGTCGTTATCGTCTCTATCTTAAAGGAAAGCTTAGAAATGCAGGAATGTCTTCTGTATTTGCTAGTCAGAGCCACATTGATTTTGATGGTAAAGGAGACGTCAAGGAGAAGGTAATAAACTCACAGCGATCTGAAATATCTTTGAATGAAATTAATGGCCTTTCTGAAGCTCGAAAGTTTCATCTTCTTATCGCCATCAATGTTCAATGATACTTGACAAAATTCATTTGTGTTTAAATGTAATTAGTCGTTCTTTAACTACAATTCAGCTATTGTTTGCAATGTTTTATTGAATTGCATCAACTTGACGGATGTCTAATTTTTGTAAATTATAGTGAATGAAATTAAATGAGACTTAGAAAAGCGTTATTGTATTTCAACTAATACTTGTACATGTATCAATTATTACATTTCCTATTTTGAAGTCATATATTTTTATTTTTCAAATGACCATAAAGAAGTTTGTAAAATGTATTTTTAAAATTACTTGCAAGCCTTGCTCTCCCAATGAAACAGATCACCCCCAACCCCCAAATGTCGTTTTTCAGCACGAACTATGTCATTGAATTGTGAGCTCATTGAGCTGTGTACGAAACTGGACTGCTCCTCTCATATCAAGTGGCTTGAGCAACATGGCGGAAAACCGCGAACCTCCTCCTGATTTATTTGAAGAAGACGGAAAAATTTCTGATGATGAAGCACTTGTTAAAAGTAAATCTCCAGAAGACACAAGTGTTAATAGTGTTGAGGAGACTGTTGAGGTTAATTTGAAGGAGGAGAGCCCTAAAGAAGAGAATGATGACACGACAAACATTGAAGCGGTCGTCGATAATGAAAATCTTTCAGAGGACAATGCTGAAAATGAGGCGGAAAAACCGTCGGAAAATGAGAGCCAACTCGAAGAAGAAGATAGTGAACTTAAGGAAAAGGAAAAAGATAAGGTAATTAAGTTGCCACGGTTACGTTCAGTTGAAAGTCAGTTTGTACTAACTTCAGTAACAATTGTAATTTGTAAGGAAGAAATTATTTAAGTAAACAAAACTAAAAATTCATGTTCACATCACTTAGCGAAGTTTGAAAATGTTATGCATCTCAAGTTAATGTTACAGAAAACAACTGAGTCTACTGAGAACCAATTCTTGTATAGATTTACGTTCGTTACTTTCGCACGACAAAGACATATAGACATAAAAATGAAAATCTGCAATTACACGAACAGTTTGTTAATAAGTGAGCAATTAAATGTACACATTTTTTAAGAAAAGTGTTGAAAAGCCCCTGTAACTATGGAATTACTATAATTCACAAAAAAATTCAGGTTTTGTCTCATTCACCCATTTCTATTAATACAGCTTTAAAAGTGGCTATTTTCTTAGTGGTAAGGTTTTTAGCTTGTTTTAAGCATATCCGGGCAATGGTTTTATGGTAAGTATAGTGGAAGAAGAAACGGGACAATGAATAGATTTAATTGCAACCATTCTGGGTGTTGTACTACCAACTACTTGGGTCAAGTTTTATTTAAAATAAAATGTAAAATTAAAACAAATAGAGGCTTTCAAGGATTATCACAATTGCAAATAACTAGTCAAATACTTTTACAAGTAGTTATATGGCCATTTTCTGCCAATTGTGTAATCATGCAAAATTTGGGCTTATGGTAACAACTTCTTACATATAACTTTATAAAGTAAATGGTTTGAACCCGGGAGTATCGTTACATGTTTGTAAATGTAGATCATCCAGGTTGGTATAGTCTTGAGAAGGACTGTTTTTGTTGTTGTTGACTGATGTTTCTACAACCTTAGCGGTAGTCATCTTCAGAGTCAAATGAGGAGTAAATGTCAGGTTAGCCGTATTTGTTATCTGGTTCTTACGTCATTGTATTGTGTGTACAGGAAATGTGTGGGTGTCAATTGTGTATTGTCATTATGAATTAGTGTGAAGTGAAATATTTTTAGTTGTGATGTGTGATTTATGTGTGATGTTTTTAGTTGATCGTTTGTTTGTATTGTGAATAAGTCGTTTGTAAGGTGCCGGTAATTGCTGTGATCTGTTCAGGGGGTTTGTTCCAAGTTGGTATACCAACTTTCTAATGTAAGCTGTTGTCTGTAGTCAGTACTGTAAGTAATGCATTTTGCTGAGTCCCAGTCAATGTTGTGCTTTGTGATTCGGTGATGTTTGGCAATGTAATTAGTTTTGTCTTGTTTCTTAGTAGCTCATTTGTTTTCAGTAAGTCTTATGTTTAAGTTCCTGCCAGTTTCCTCGATATAGGAGGCGGGGCAGTCGGAGCAGTTTATTTTGTAAACTACATCTTGTTCACAATACACAATTGACACCCACACAATTGACAATACACAATTGACACCCACACATTTCCTATACACACAATACAATGGCGTAAGAACCAGATAACAAATACGGCTAACCTGACATTTACTCCTCATTTGACTCTGAAGATGACTACCGCTAAGGATGTCGAAACGTCAGTCAACAACAACAAAAATAGTCCTTCTCAGGACTATACCAACCTGGACAATCTACATTTACAAACATATAATTTTATGTTTTTAAAAATATGTTCTTGCATGTCTTGAAGTAAAATATTTTCAGAATTTATGATAATCATGAACATTAATACATTTTAATGCATATTTTAGCCCAGAGTTTCCAAAGTTACATTTGATACTGCTGAGGTAATGTAACTATGCACAATAATGAGACCATATTAATCTCTAATGATGAGGAAAAATGACTTTATGCACTACTTTTTCTAATGCTTTCTACGTGAAAATTCTAATGAAACTGACTAAAGAAATTAATATAGGATGATGAGGATGAAAAGAATGAAGAGGAAGATTTAGAACTTGAAGAAACTGATGAATTTGACATTAAAATCAAAGTTTCTGACCCTGAGAAAGTTGGTTAGTCATGTGTTTCTTAACACTGTACTTCAATTGATTGGCTCCGTGCTAGCAATATTTTAGGAATGGGCTTGAAATTTGTTGGACAGAAATTTGAGAGAGAAATTTTGTTTATAGAAAATGTGACTACCATTATGTTGTAATATTAGCTATAACTTATCATTATTTAGGTGATGGTATGGGGGCATTTATGCAGTACAAAGTTACCACTATGGTGTGTATTTTTCCTCTGTAGTTTTGTCATGATCATCAATCTTGCTGTTATTTTCGGATGCAACAATTGTTTTACAATAAATAATTCATTGTTTTTTTCAATGAGCTATTTACTTGCTAAAATAATGTGAAGCTCTTGTGTGTATTCACTGTTCATTGAAATAGTACATTTTGTTCAAGCAACATGTTTAACTTTTCACTAACCAGGAATTGACCTTTATCTTCTACCTTTAACTCTTGGCTTTATCAACCTTTATTTCCTTTCTATTGTTGCATTTTTATTGTTGCATTTCAGACCAGTCTTCCAAAGTTTAAACACCCTAAGATGGTAGTATCACGGCGTTTTAGTGATTTTCTTGGTCTTCATGAAAGACTGAATGCCAAGTATTTGGCAAAGGGAATGATTGTTCCTCCTGCTCCAGAAAAGTCAGTTGTTGGTTAGTTTTAAAAGTCAAGTCTTAGTTGTCACAAATCGACCAGTGGTTTTACAGATAAAGATATTGTTGCAATTATTATGTTATTTTAGGAGTAAATTACTACATACATACACTTGCATTAAAAAGCAGTGATTTCAACCAAGTTAATGGTATGTTGCTTTAGGAATGACAAAGGTGAAGTTAGGAAAAGAGGAATCAGCTTCAGCTGACTTTGTGGAACGTCGTAGAGCTTCATTAGAAAGGTTGAAACTCTCTATAATCATCATAAGTTTAAATGCTTTTGCAATAAATTCTTTTTGGATAAATAATTTTGCACTTTTAATCATTATGCTTAAAATAAATCATTCATGGGAATAGAAGTATGACAAGACAGTGACAGCAAGGTTTAAAATGACTTTGAATGGTACAATTCAAACTATCTTGGTCTTCTTATGTGTTAGAAATGCCAATGTTTGCAAATTATTGCTTGCACAGAAATTTGCCTTGGGTGTATGTGTGTTTTCTAATGTAATAATCTATTATATAGATATTTGAACAGAACAGCTTCACATCCGACATTGCGAGAAGATGCAGAATTTAGACAGTTTCTGGAAATGGAGAGTGTATGTGATTGCACATCATCTCAAGCCTTGTTTACATTCATTTATTTGTATGCCTTTATTTTTCTAGCTTCCTAAAGCAAGTGGTACCTCTGCCTTTAGTGGTGGTGGATTAAAACGTTTAGTAAAGAATATGGGTGACACAGTATTTACCTTGACCAATAAGATTGAGGAGGCTGATCAAGTTAGTAAAACTGACATTATTACTGACACAAAAGAAAGCTTTCCATTCTAATCGTTATTTATTGACATCAATAATTATTAAGATGCATAATTTTCTTACAGTGGTTTGAAGACAAACATAACAAAATTGATGATCTCGAAACTCAACTGAAGAAACTTTACCAGTCTTTGGAGAGTTTAGTTCATAATAGAAAAGGTAAGTTAAAAACATTTTTTTTGATATAGTGCTGACTTCAGGAATGAGCTTATAATTGTCTTCATCTATAGAGTTAAGTACTTCCATAGCTGTATGCTCCAATGGTCTGGCTATTTTGAGTAAGTCCTTCATCTTGTATCTGTAATAAACGAGATCCTAGGGAAATTATTAGTTATTCCTTCAAACTTATAGGTGATAGTGACCAGAATAATGGTTTGAAAAGGGCGTTGTCTATCCTGGCTGAAGTAGAGGAAAAAGTTGACAAAGTCATTCAAAACCAGGTAACGGTGTTTAGCATGAAATTGTTAATTTATACATGATTTAAATTGGTTTTCTTAAAAACCTAGATGGATTCAGACTTTTTCATTCTTGTTGAGCTTCTTAAAGACTATTTAGGCTTGGTTAATTCTGTGAAGGTAAATCTTTGATTAAGTATTTTTCGAATTGTTCAAGATCCTTGACTGCTCATGTGATATTTTCCAGATGTGCTTTCATCAACGTCTTCGTGTTTTTACGAACCTTCAAACTGCGCAACAAACGTTGACAAAAAAGCGCGAAGCGCTTGTAAAAGCTGAACTTGCGTCAAAGTCGGATCGCGTCAGTCAATTCAAAGATGAAGTAAATGAGGTTTGTCTCAAGTATCGAAGCGAAGAGACCTCTTCCACGATGTGTTCTTTCCTTCATAGTGTTATTCATTGGATTACAATTTTTTTGGTTGTTTCAAAAATCCCTTATAAATCAAAAAGCCTCTCTTTAATATGGTTAATCAAAAGCAAATCTGCAAATTCTCGCGTTACATCAGTTCATTTCCCTGAGTTTGCTACATTTGTGTTTTTTATTTTTATTTTTTAGTGTGAGAAAAAGCTGGAAAGGTGTCAAGATGAGTTTAAGGAAATATCGAATGTTATAAAAAAGGAGTTTGTGAGATTTGAGGTGAGATCGTTAGTTATGACATGTATGGTGTTGCCTGTCATACATTGACTAGTTGTTTTCTGTTTAGCGGAATCGCAGAAAGGATTTCCGTGACGCCATCATTAAGTATCTGGAAGCGTTATTGGAAAATCAAGAAGAAGTTTGTCTTTACATTAACGCTGAATAAATTTAAATCATATTTTTTCTTAACTGTCTCGTTGTCGTTAACCAAAATTTTGTCTTTTCCTTGTAGATTTTGAAACATTGGGAAGGTTATTTGCCCGAAGCCAAAGAAATTGCCTGAGAAATCGCCAAGTTTGTATGCGTAGCGTAGAAAATCGAGCAAAAGAGTTTATAACTTCGAGTGATTTTGTTAATTAAACCACGGAAGTGTGTAAAACAATTGAATATAAGACAGACTAATAAACGAAACGACTGAAAATTTTTTTCAACTCAAATTAGCTTTATTTTTGCGTAATAAATCGATCGTTCCTTCCATTTTGAATTCACAATAAACCTCGTTTGCTGCGTGTTTTTTTTTTTGTTTTGAAGCTCAATCGTTATATTTTCTACAACTAACTTAAACTAACTTTGAATGATCATCTAAAGTTTGTTTGACGTAATAATTTATTTTCAATTTAGTAATAACAATTTTTATAATTCGTTTAATTAAATAATATTCATCGATATTTTGGAATTGAAAATCTCAATTGCATGTGACATTTGGAACAGTTTAAATTTTATTCATCCTACTTTTTTCAAACATATTTATTTACGTATATTGATCTTTTACTTTCATACAGTAATTATAGTAATAAATCACGATTCTCCCATTTTTAGTTTTCGACGTGGGTATAAAATTTGTGGGACGAAGCATTTTGGGTAGGAAGCAGAACTGAGACGTTAACTTCGTGATTATTACACATAGTTCTTATCAAAGCTTGTCAAATACAATGGTATACAATATGTAGGTGGGCGGGGGTGAAGTAAGTCAAGGTGTTAAGAGGATTGCAATGAAATTTAAACTGTTTGTGTGTGAGAGTGTGGAGATTTATGTAGTACTAGACTGTAGATGTCCGGAATTATTTTATATATGTAAGAAGTCTAAAGCGTATTTTTTTAAATGTTTGATCGATCCACTGCAGGTGTTCGAGGATCAAATTAAGTCACGTTTTTGTTTCGCAATCTATATTACTCATTCTTCAACATAACGAGGTATTATTAATGTAAAATTCCCACTGGATGCGAAATTTGCAAAGTTCAGTTTTTTAGATTCTGTACTGAAATCGTTTTATAGAATACAACGAATCACTTATCCTGTTGCATCCTGTTGTGTCTCATATTGTATAAACATTAACTTTCAAGAAGGATTAGATTTTTACCAAAGATGTTTTTACATTGACGTGTGCCAAAATAGAACTCTAAATTGCGTCGTCTTATCACTTAACAGGAAAATTTTGATAAGGAAAGACTTCCCAATCTTCACCTTAATTTTTTGTGATCCAAGGGAACAACATAAAAAAAAAACATGAAATAATACAAAGTTGTTTTTTGGAATGAAGGGAAATTGTATAGTTGGCGAATTATGGAAATAATAAATGAACGGTTAAAATAGTTTATCTAAACATATAAAAAAATTAACTTATGCTTCATCATGCGCAGTGCGAATGACTTTCACAAGAATTTATGTACGCGAGAATGAAAAAACAACAAGTTATTGATGGAGTGATATTCCAAATGATCTATATCTAGGGAAAGATAAATCGCCAGATGTAGTGTGTTTATGCTGATATTCAATAGAACCTCCATTATATTTTTACATATAATATAAATTTACCCATAAACAGATTTCCATCTGGCGTTTATCAATATGTGATTACATCACAACAAACGTCAGTAGAGGTTTTCAACTTTCTCTGGAATTTTCTCTGACGAGAATGTTTCTTGATATGTTTTATTTATAACTCTACGTTATTAGTGTTTAGGGACTTATAATATTTAAAATACATACTGTCTCATAAAATTACATACTTTCGAGGATTTTCACATACTAAAACGCTGTACTACTGTAAGTTTAATCCATTAAAGCCAATCTGTTTAAGATAGGATATTATTTTTAAGTATAAGCATGGTGGTAATATCAATCTTGAAGACATTTTAGTTCAAAATCTATGCTCGTACAATTAATAACTTTTGATTTATATTGCAGATTAGTGGGACTTCAACACTAAGATGTGACTATTTGCTCTACGTTGGGGCTGATCACATTTATTTTAATGCGGAAATCTGCTGAAACTATTTAATTTTACATTCTTCAATACTAATATATTTGTAAGAAAAGAGTTTGGTGTCATTCGTACCCAAAATTTTCTCACCAAACTTAGCTATTTATTATTTTTTTTTGAAAGAGTGTCTTGTAAAAAAAATTTAACGCTCGCTTTGACAGAAAATTTATACACATTTCATACCCTCGGGGCAAAACACTTAACTCCAACGCTATGGAGTTTGTCATAAAATTTATGAACGACTTTGTTAATTTGTATTGATGTCTGTATTTCATACCTCATGTTGATTTGTGATACTTTTCTACTTCTTAAATTATGTAAGTAATAATTAGAAAATATGTGGATTCACACGAGAAATAATCTTGCCTTCATGCCCAAAAATTTTTTTCTATAGACGATCGTTATCGTTCTATCTAACTTTATTTTTAAATAAACCTTAGTATATTATACCAATATGTACGTTAAGACGCAAAACCTAGACGTTTATTTCATATAAATATATTTAGAGTATTTACATAATTAGAAAACTTGAAATTTTCCCTTAAACTCTGGTTGGTAACTTAGCAATAAGATTCTTGCCTAAATATCCCCCTGTTTGTCGTGAAATATCGTACAGCACGTCCTCTCTTACAGACCAATAACTGGGACTTATAACTCCATACATTTTTATGGGATAAACTCCTTTGCTCGTCATCAGTTCCAACATGTAGTACTCAGTATCATGTCTGTTATACACAAGATAGTATTTGAATCCTAAATTCCCCGTAGATAGTTCTGTGATTGTGAATGTGAATATCTTTAATTTCTGATTGTTTTTGCAGGCGATCTCTGGTTGAAAATATTGCGATGAAATTATCCTCAACGGTGGCAGTTCTATTATTTCACGGTTAAATTGTTTGAGGTTTAATTGTTGCAGTAATTCTTTCCCCCAGATGTGCTGTATGTCGTTGATATACTTTGCAACCCTCTCTGCGTCATCATAGCGGCCATCAGAAGCTAGCTGTGATTGTAAATGTGTTGAATGTTCTATGATATTCTGTACTGAATCATGAAGTTCTTCACTATTTGAACCATAGCGTTCTCTCCATGTGTATGCTTCTCGCAGTTTGTATAGAAATTTTTCTATCCTCGCGTCTTCCTCGACCATTGTGGAATTATGCTCAGATAAAGATGCTCTGCCGTCGTCTGAATTGCTGCTGCTACGTCCCACACTTTCAACACTGCCGTTTTTGGAGCTCTTACTGCGAATACGTATACGCATACGTCTTGTCCTTTTAAAAATTGATGTCATTTTAACTCAATGTGATCGTTCCTTTCCTTGAGACCGGACACGCTCTGATTTTGTCTTCAGCAAGACTCCCTATCACTTAATGAGTTATGACACAACTCTTGACACTGTGGCTATTTGAAGTCCCCACACGTTCCCCATCACGGGATTGTTTTTTATTGGTTGATCCGTACCGGAAATCGATAATTCCCAGGAAATTATGTTGTCGTGAAAGGCTGAAAGGACTGATCTCTGAGTTTGTAGATAACCAACCTGGGTCGACTCGTCTGTTTGAGATTACGTTTTGGTTCTCTTCAAAATCCACAAAATCTTCTACTGTCATCTTGTAAGAAGGTTTTGTATCACTTTTCTGAAGGTCATTCATTTTTTTTCCCACGCTTGCTATCATTTCCTTACAAAGACGTTTGCGTTGGAGTAATGCTGGTGTGTAGATTTGAACTACTTATAATTACTAAATGACGGAAATTAATAGCAAATCCTTTTATGACAATTTTCTTATTAATGGCATTCTCTTGCCAAACTTTGTTGATAATAAGTTCACTGGTATGCTGTAAAAGTTTCTTTGTTAAACATTTACTGACTTGAGATTTTAGCTCGGGCGCGAGCTTTGACTTATATGGGAAGATGAGGGAAAAGATAATGGTAAAATGGTTGCAAGGAATTTTTACGTTGGATTTTACTATATGGCAACACCAAAAGTTTGAACTACCGATATATGTTTGGTTATGTGTCAAATGTGTTGGAATGAACGGATGCAGTTTGTATGAAAAGGAATTAGCTGCAATTACGACCACGTACGACAGATCTTATCTCGAGAGACGATATGTTATGACTTCAAAACTCAGTGCCAGTGGTCTGTGCACGCCTGCCATAAATGAATAGCTTAACTAAATTAGGGAACAACTGTTGACGCCCAGCTGTGACCGTATGATAACATTTTCCTGTCAAACTACATGAAAGGTCATTTTTGTGCTGACTTCTCGTATATTTCAAAGTCCATTAGGCCGATATTTATCTTGAACCCCTAGCAATGAATCCAATATGGCCGATGTTTTGCGACGAAGACACCAAGTCTCAAAAAAGTTTGAAACAGAACAACATATTTCTCTCGAAGACGCTTCAAAAAATGAAAACAGTAAAAGTTTAATATTTGGCTTGATTGTGTATCGCATCTGCAACGTTTTTCTCGTACAAACTTGGTTTGTTCCTGATGAATTCTGGCAGGGTCCCGAGGTTGCCCACAAACTTGTCTTTAGTTATGGTTATATGACTTGGGAATGGCGCGAAGGCATCCGCGGTTACTTTTACCCTCTTGTGTTTAGCTCAATATACAAGGTTCTCTATGTCTTGAAAATAGACTACCTCAATTTTATAATATATTTACCAAGAATAATACAAGCCATTCTTGCAGCTATTGGAGAGTTCTACATTTACAAACTTGCTCGATTTTTGTATGGTTACCAGGTTGCATGTTGGGTTCTTTTCTGTCATCTGACTTCCTGGTTCATGTTTTATTGTTGCACTCGTACTTTGACCAACTCAATGGAAGCATCCTTATTTTCTATTGGATTGTATTATTGGGAATTGTCATTGCAGCAAAATACCAGCAAAGAAAAAGTTGTTTCTGCAATGTGCAAAGCGCTTTCGTTGGCTTCCCTTTCATGCCTTGTTCGACCTACTGCTGTTATTCTGTGGGTTCCTGTGGTGTTTTTAGCACTCACAAGAAAGTCTGTAATTGAGCTGATAGTTAAATATGCCCCTCCAATTGCCTTATTTTCTTTGTCATTTTCCTTGTTGGCTGACAGTTATTTCTATGGTAAAATTGTTCTAGTGCAGTATAATTTTTTGAAGTTTAACATAATGCACAATTTTGCTGAATTTTATGGAAGTCATTCTTGGCATTGGTAAGTTTCCAATGTGATTTTAATCTTGAGCTGACAGTTTTTCTGGTGATTAGCAGGTATTCTTAATGTTTTAGGTATCTCTCTCAAGGCTTACCAGTGGTGTTATTAACTCATTTGATACCATTTGGTATTGGTGTTTACTATCAAAGAAAGGCTATTTGGAAATGGCTTGTAGTTATCATCTTTGTTGTTGCTGTTTATAGGTAAATAAAAAGAAAAATCATTAATGTGTTCATTGGATTTGATCAATTTTAGTTTTACTAAATTCTCTGTTGCAGTTGCCTTGGTCATAAAGAATTCAGATTTATTTTTCCTATTCTGCCTATTGCGATGATCATATGTGGCCAAGGTTTATATTATTTATCAAGTTCCAAATCAAACAAAGACCACAAAACCCTTTCAAGAAAAACATCTCCCGTCAACATGAAAATCCTTGTTGTGTTCTTAATATTGACTAATGTTCCTTTTGCCCTTTATATGAGCCTTATTCATCAACGTGGCTCAATAGATGTAATGAGGGCTATTCAAGAAAATGTCAAGTATAATGCAAGTACAAGTGTATTATTTCTCATGCCTTGTCACTCAACACCATTCTATAGGTATTAAGTTGAAATGTTATTTGAAGGTAGAGTTTATTTGATGAAATTGCTGATTTTCTTTCCAGTTATATACACCAAAATATTGAAATGAGATTTCTGGACTGTAGCCCAAATTCAAAACCTGGATATGTTGATGAAGCAGATTTATTTTATGAAAACCCACAGATGTGGTTGGATGAAAATTATAGTGAAGATCAAACACCATCTAACATTCTTTTATTTGATGTTTTATTCAAAGTAAACAAATATTTGTGCAATGAAAGTATGATTGTCTACTTAGTAATAATGGTTTACTTTTATTTAGAAAATTGAAACTTTCTTGTCAAAGCATTTTTACACCAAGGTATTGCAATGAAATAGCACTTTAATGGATAAATTCAAGAATTTTATCACATCAATTAAATTCAATCCTTTTCTTTCAGTGTGGAGAATATTTCTATAGTCACTTACCATCAGGAAGATTAGGAAGATCAATTCTGTTTATGTGTAAAAAGAAATTATAAATTTTGTAATATAAGCAATACATCAACCACTGAAATAATATTTATGTATAAATAATTTTTTTGTGTTCAGAAGTAAAGGAGCATTAATTTCTATTTATGTTCTTTCATGTGACTTCTTTTCAAATCAGTTGCCAAGGAACTACTTTGATAATCTGTAGCCATATTATTCTTATGCAATCTGTGTGAATTTCATGAATCTACTCTGAGCAAATCAAATGTTGCTGCATTTGGATTTGAAACGAAATTGCACTACCAAAATGCCTAAGATATTGGTTAACTAGTATTTATATGAAAGCATTACTCAATTATCTCTGTAAATTATTTACAAACACCATAATCCCACGAGATCATATAAGTCAAAAGAACCACGTTGCAAAATAGTTCAGTTGGGTATTGATCCAACGTCAACTCCAGGAAGGGGTCGTCTGAAACACAACACATGTCTCTCTGAAATTGAGAAACAATATTTGATTAATTAGCAAGTAAATGAAATGAATACTATTTCTAGATTCTGGCAACTTCATATACAAGTTCTTCGTGTTTCGTTTCACAAACCTGGCTTGTGTATCATGTAATGCTCCCAGCCAAGGGATTGTTGAACACCCATTGACCGCCATTCATGTTCGGTCATAAGTGTATTCGGCACTCGTTTACCAAACTCCTTTGGAAGAATGACATGTCTAGGAAAAATGAAGATAAATAAGTAAGCTTTCTCGCAAATTTACTATTGAGTATTGAGTTTTAATTGTCCAACTAAAAACTATATATAGTACTTTTGTTTAAAAAATGGCGGACATACCGTGAAACAACCATTAACAGCCTGCTATATACAGCTTAAAAGTATGCGTAAACGTCTCAAACCTGTATTCGTAATAATCATCTTGGTACTTCTTTGAGTAATATATATCATTTACTGACATCTTGAAGTTGAAAGTTGAGACTTTGCCTCCTTTATCGCAGTTCGCACGAAGATTCGAGTCTGTCGTTATAATGACTTCACGCCAATTTTGAATATACTTCGCTTTTCTGTGATTGGTTATTAAATAAAGAAGAACATGTTGATTGGTTGGTACAATTATCCAATTAAAAGGCGTTTTGCTTTTCTGAATTATTATGAAATATTAGTTAATGCCGAATATTTTTTGTACATTCTGTCATTATTGGCTGTCGAAGGGTCCGCCATTGTGTCCAGTGTCAAAAACAGAGTAACAAGAGGTGCGTAGACCTATTGATTTTTATTTTGTCACTATACACTAAAATTAGGTATTACCTGTACAACTTGATGTCGAGAGTTATTAGTGATGTAATTTGATAGCTTGAATTATGTAAATGTACAATGGAGATCATCTTGCTTGAAACACTACACTCTTTAAAAGGGTTGTACTGAACTTAAAAGTAAATTTGTCAGTATTTTGTCAAGTTCGCAATTAGAAAAATAAACTTGACCTCGAATTTTTGGGTGGACCACAACTCACAAGTTGCATGTACTTGGCCAAATTTGCCGTAAATAGTCATTGTTGTTTTCACTTAAGCGTTAACTTTCAAGTATTTTAATATTAATATTTCTTTGCGTCAAAAGAGACTCACTGACGGTAGAACGACATAATTGCAGGTAGCTTTACGATCACGCGACAGGGAACATGGAAATTCGCTAGATGCAAATTGCCAGCTACTGGAGGTCACAAAGTTAAAGTGAAACTGAAAAGGTAAATGACCGAACCTGCTGTTACATAAAAGGCTAAATTATGTTATTACTACCATAGTTTTCATGCATTTCTGCCACTAGTCATGTGAGATCATTGTATATTTATTTAATGAAAAGCCTTTTAAGGATACATTTGGGACATATTGTAAAAATGTTTTATAATCTGTTTCAAAAGATCAGTTTTGCAATTTTCATGTTGCAAAATGAATAATTTCACTAAATCGGTTATTTCTGTAAAAATGCATTCATCAACAATGCAAAAAATAGGGATACAAAATACGGTGCGCTTGCTGGTGAAGTAGAGATTTTAGAACGACGAAACTTTATCTTTTTGTTGACTTATCTAATCTGGGAAAGCCGCCATATTGCCCAACTGGGGAATGAAAACGGGTCAACGATAAAAGCTATTTCCTGGGTTGGGTACAATTTATCTCTTTTTTTGTTGTTTAATTTGCTTGTGCTTTTTCATTGGAGTGAAATTACTTTGTTTGCTTTTATACGCCCTGTTGTGCAGGTCTATATAGTTGAGAATACCATAAAATAAAACCTACATTCTAATGCTAAATTAGCTATTAGTCCTAATATTTATTTGTGATGCTCACCATGATGCTGATGATAGCTTATAAGTATAACAGTTGCTGCCTAAAATTAACATATTTTGACATAAATAAAATATGTTTGCTTGGTTTTGCCCATTTAAACTATTCCGTCGTCGATTATAGCTCTCACTGTGCCTTTTCATATCAAAACGTGAGACAGAAAATTTTCCTGGAAAGAATTGTTTATTTTCTATTTGGTTTGAAAAGTTGATTTTCCGGACGTTTGTGACCGGGCGTTTTCGATTCAAGGCGGCCACTTCCGGAGACTGATATTCGAAGAAAAAATACGAATTTTTGAGACCAGGTATTCTATTCTATACAACATTCATCACTTCATTGGAATATTGGCCTCAAGCTCATATTGCTGTGTAAGTTCAATAAGCACACCTGAAAATATTACTTCGGTTAAGTTACGTGAACACATTACGTTTTACTTTTAACTTCGCGATACTTGAACGTTTGTTTACCAAATTTTTGAAATTACTAATTTTCAAGAAATATATCGTCGTTTTTTACGTTTGATGTTAATTTTTGTATAGAAGTTGTACAATGCGCATAGAAATACATCTTGACTGTCTAGCCATTGTAATTTCACCTAAATTTAGTTTGTTTTGTGAGATAATAATAGTGGGAAGTTTTTATACATACGTAACGTAGTATCGTATGTATAGTATCAAAACGTTTCTTCAAAGTTTATTGTTTTGTTGCATGTGTGTAATTATTTATCATTCCCTCGACTCTTGTTAACATTAGAACTAATTTATCATATTTTAGATTTATTAATAAGAAGTTCAAAACCCTATTGATTCTTTTTCTGTATCGGTGATAGTCTCATTTTGTTTTTTAAACTATTTGTTGAAGTATATTCAAAGTAGGTTTCTGGGCATGCCTGTGTAAAGCCTATTTGCAATATTGAAGAATATATGAATATTGTCGTCTTTTTGATAGCACTTTCATTTGTAGAGATCACTTGGTTTCCCATCTGTCGGAATGTTTGTAAAGTTAATGCTAGTGGATATAATATATTTGTTTGTGGCTTGTACATAGTAAATGTGTCTGATGCACTTCCTTCATTAAGAGATTGTAAAATTGAAAGGATTGTTGAGATCTTATCACCATGTGGTTTAATCTTCAATGTAGTATGTTTGAGTTCATTGAATTGTGTTGACTTTAGCAGCACCTGCAATGCATATTTGCATTTTGTTTTAAGGTTTTTTCTACCATGAACTTTTTTCTTGGTCTGTGTTACCTGACATTCATCATACCTTTGCTGGTTTCTTCCACATTACTCCTCACTGAAAATTCAATGATCTTTTCATGTTCAGGTTAGTTTTATTGAACATGCATTAAATGTTTACTGATAAAGGAGACCGAATATAGTTCAGGGTGAAAAGATTAACTTATTTATTTTTATTGTAGATTGTAAAGAATTTCAAGATGGCAATACAAACTACTCATATTTTAATACCATATATGATGAGGGAAACACACCATTTGTTTTAATTGGAGTCAGGTATGCACTTGCTTCAAATTAACATCATTCAGGCGGGAATTTTTAATTTGTAGCAAGGATCACAAGGGGCACTTAGTAAATTATTGAGGAGATGGTCAAAGTGGCAAAGTGGCAAAATGAATCAAATAATGATTTCAAATTTTGATAAGTGAAATTCAAAAGATTTTAGCTCATTAAGTCATGGCTAAATGACTATACAGTGGCATAGTAATGGCATATAACGTTCTCCTCCTTTCCCCCTTGTGTGTACCTTTGGTAATGATATGTTCTCTTTTTATGTCTAGAGATGGTGTGCTCAACGTAACATTGGATGCACAACTCATGCATTTTATTTCCATTCCAAGTATTCCATACGATCATTACATTTGTCAACGAAATGTCGAATTGGGCAATTGGCCAGTATGTTTTGTTTGATATGGTTTTTCTCATTTCTGTAAAGTTTTATTGTTTATGTTTTTATGTTGCTTTTAGCCACCATGTGGGAACATGATTAGTGCAATATATCCTATTTTACATTTTGATTTAATTCTTGTTTGCGGGACAAACTCACGCAGGAGCCAAATATGCTGGAAACTTAATGTAAGTTAATAAATCTTTGCTTTAAATAAAAAAATTAGATTCATAATTATTTTTTCAAGCTATGAAACTCTAAAAGCAAGATGTTGAATGACAATTTTGAATGAATCTTGGTGTTGTGGAGGAAAGTTGATTTTCAACTCTAAATTAATCTTTCTTAGGGGACAAAAGTTGGGAGCACGTCTTCAAGCTATTCTTTCTTTAAAATTCCCCTGAGAAAATATGTCATTTCAGGTATGATAGCTGGGAGTAAGGCATAAGCCAAAGAACACTGAAACAATAATAAAAGTCCTAGATCCTAGTCTTGTGGATGGTGCATATGTCAATCCCACTTTACTGAATACAAACTCTCAAACAGCCACTATGAATTTTAAATGCAACCATGGAGTCTCGAAAGTAGCCTCCCTCTGAAAGTAACTGCCTGTTTTTATCACTTACTAAGAATTGCTAAAGGAAATGATTCTTTTTAGAACTTTTAAAGGCTTTACAACATTTACATATAAGTATAATGCTCATGTGTCAACACAACCACAACCGTACACAACTTTAAAAGCTTTAAAAAATATCTGTTTCGACAGCGTGGATAAAGAGTTAACCTCTAGAGTCAACTGATGCTGAAAATAGCTGCTCAAATCTAAGCCTGCCTCTCTCCCTAAAGTGTATGCCCTGTGAGGGCCCTGGTTTTGAAAGTATTCCAGGCTACCAAATGGCTACTTCCGGGACTCCATGTTATCCCAAAAACCAATGCTTGTCAATGAAAACAAATTACTCTTCTATATTTAAAAAATAAAAGATGTTTACTGTGTTTGCACAGGCTTATGCAAACCGAGGAGACCTTCGGGAGAACTCAAGAGCAAATCAGTGCAAGCCCGAGACCGAAGGTCAAGGGTTGCACTTGCTCGAGAGTTCTCACAAATGTCTCCGAGGTTTGCATAAGCCAGTTCAAACACGAAAAACATCTTTTATTTCTTTTATAAAATAATATAATGCAAAACAGACAAACATTTTAATTTTTCCTCTAAAATGTATTCATGATCGATTTTCAAATTCTCTTTGACTGATTGATTGTTATGATTGATTTGATTGGTTGAGCTCAGATGTGTTTGACACAAGCTAATGCAAACACAGCTCTAGACCAATCAGCGCACGTGCTTCATTGTATTTATTTTATAAATTTCAATATTGAGCTCACTATATCTACTAAGTTCAACTTCCCTAATTCTTACTGTTATCATACAGATCCGTATATATATCAAGCGTACTCGGTAAAAAACCTTCACCGAACAACATTTACCCAAACGTGGGTCTTTACCAAAGATGGTTTACACGAAACTCGTCCAAAGGAGCTTGTACTTAGGAACACAGGTAGGATGCTTAGGAATACAGGTAGGATGCTTGTTGAACCATCAATGAGTCCATCACTACTATGCATATTAAAACTGACATGTTTCAACACATACATTTGGATGTTATGACTTATATATCATAGAAAATAAATGGATACTAACTTTATAAAGAATGAATCACCTTATAGAATTCCACCTTATTGTATTCATCTATGTAGATGCAGAAATTGTTTCTTTGTATGAAATTGGCAATTATGTTTATTTTTTCTTCCACGAGACGTCCGAAGAAAATATTGATGAACTAACAAAAGTATGTGGAGAAAGTAGTTTTATATTTTTGGTTGGTTTTATAAGTTTATATAATGATGTTATTTACTCTACAGGAGACGGTATCTCGTGTTGCACGTATTTGCAAGGTAACATTATGTACACTTGTTCATCGATGTTTATTAGTTCAAAAGTGAAGATTTTTTTATGTTTTTTTTTGGGGTATATGACTTTCTTACAATCATACGTTTTATTAAACAATGTCACTCATTTGAATCAAACGTCGTATTGATCGCCTGAGTCGTTTTCAGTTAACTGTATAACTATTCCTCACTACCTGTATTTTTTGCGAAATGAAAGGTTTGACAATTTAGTTATCTTCTCTAGCTCTTCTTGTTTTCTGGTTTTCTGGTTTTCCAAGCAAATATTTTGTTAAATAGTCGTGTTCGCTTTGCGTTATGAAAAACGCCTTATGTAGTGTGTCGTGCCTTTGAAACCTCGTTCACACGGTTGCCAGTTTGGGGTTTGAAGAAATTACATGGTATTTAAACTGCGACTTTATAAACTTGATGTTGTGTTGTTCTATATTTAAGCATGACCCAGGTGGTGGTGGTGCGGCACGCTCCATACTTCTTACCTTCTCTAAAGTTAGATTGTTGTGTCCTGTACCTCGTGCAGATGGTTTTCACGATCTATACAATATCTTGGGTAAGACTAGTCTTTAGCCCTTTCTTTTCACTTAATTCGAGAGAGCTAACTTTAATTTATGCGATCTTATGATTTTTTCGAGGGGTGGTGTCCCCGAAAAGAATTATTTCATCTTACTTTATTATCTAAATTAAACTTGGACTTGTAATACTTGTGTAGTTTTTTGAAATTTCTTTAATTTCGATGCCAAAAATATGTTCATTTTAGCTACTCAAATTAATATCCTCAAGAAAGTTTCGTCAACTCCCCTGATATAGATTGTTTTTTTCGACCTTTTAGCAATACCCAATGCAAAAAAAAACGATACCGAAAAAAAATGGGAATTAATGCTTGACACTATAATTTTAGAAATGACCGCTGTAATACATGATGACAGAAAGACCTATATCTACGGTTTATTTCGAGCTCGCATGTATGTAATTGTGTTTCATTTGTATTTATTAGTTCAATGTTACGTCTATTTGCCAACAAAGTGTTCGTTCTATTCATGGTCATGTGATCAATGATAAGTTTTTTATCTTCTATTAAAAACGGGAAAGCTAAGTTTTTAGTTTTCTGATTTTTTAGAAATTCTGATGAGTTTGTGTTGTGTCGCTATTTACTTTCGGACATAGACAAAGCGTTCGACAGTAAAGTGTACTATAACATTGATCCTAAGGTGCATTATAAGAAGTTCGAATTTGTTGTGGCAGACAAGCGTGATTACAGACATTTGACGGTACTTAATCGAGTTAGTCACTTTATTGATGTTTAACATTTAAATTTATATAATATTCTTTCTTCTAGTGTGATAGTTCACTTGTAGAACCTAAACTTACCGCGCAAGAATATAAAGACTACAGAATGCGTTTAATTCATGCATCAGTCATTCGTCCTGTTGACGAAGAAGCTCTGATATTACGTCGCCATAGGAGGTGAGCTTTAGTTTTTCTGCTCTCTTTATTTGTATTCTAGCTGAATGAGGAGAACAGGTTTCACTATTTATATTGTGTTTTAGATTCTTTACACTTCTTGCTGAATCAGTGGTTATTGCTGACGTATCTTATCATGTGTTACGACTATTTGGTAAGATTAAATATGTTCTTTGTGTTACGATAATAGTGAACTATAGAACATGTAGATTTATTTTCATTTTTGTGTTAAACTTAGATTCCAACCTCTTGTTTGAAATTTTTGTAAATTCCACTGGTGTTGTTTCGATATCTGCCAGAAAAATTAATAAGGTAAGATTTCATGTCGATTCTCATCGCGATGTTTTGCAATGATTATCATTTGATAAACCCCCTCTAAGATGTCGTATTGTTCAATTCATCTAGGATCATCTTATTATTAAAGATATAAAGTTAATAAAGGTAAAGTTTTTTATACTCGTCATTCATTGCCACTCATTAATCAAGTTTGAGCAAGTCTCGTATTTCTTTTATGCAGTACAACCAGAGCTCTTCAAGAGTTGTCACACCACCTGCAACACCAACAATATCTGCAACAACGACAATACCTACTACACCAACAACATCTGCAACAGCGACAATACCTACAACACGAACAACATCTGCAACAACGACAATACCTACAGCACCAACAACATCTGCAACACCGACAACACCAACAACTCTGTCTTCTTCACAGCCCCCAACTACTATCATTCCAGCTAATAAAACATCAACAGTAAGCAGTAATCTAACATTGAATACAAACACGTCAGTCACTAAATTGAATTCGACAATTGAGAAACGTGAGTCAGAGCGATCCAACTTAAACCTGACTTCAACTCATACAACAGTGGTAGAAAGAACATCTACAGACTCACAGGAAATGTTCACGTCGCGGGTTAGTAACGGTAATCTTGTTGAAGTTGGTAAAAGAGTAATTTATAGTCGTCAACATGGATTATATCTAAACACATGTACAACGGTGAATCAATCCATCGCGGTCTTTGTAATTAAGAGAAGCACTTTCAAACAATAAATTACCAATAATCGTCACTTTTCTCGAGATCCAATCTTGTTGTTCAATTTACTTCTTTAGTAATGAATGTATAGTATGTTTAATGACTGCAGATGTTGAGCTCAACTCCTGAGTTGTTAGCTGCAACATAATGAACTGGATTGAACTCAAAATGACAATGTAAAAGAAATCTATGATGAATGTTCTCTGAGAGCTGATTTGGAGGGGGGAGGGAGGTTTGTGGAGGAATAACATAGAATTAATTAAATGTGCTTTTTTGTTGGTTAAAGGAAACGATTGTTGTTGCAACAGAGAAAAAGCTAGTATTTGTCCCGATTGCATCTTGTACATCGTTAAAAACATGTCGGTTAGTTTATTCCTTCTTTATAGCCGTGGAACATACGTCGATAGTCTGATGATTCGTTTGATTTTTTGTTTTGTAGGGAATGTATATCCGTCACGAATCCGTACTGTGCGTGGCACAGTGGAACTTGTATTCAACTTAATTCTACTTCTAAAAGGTGCTTTTCAAAAAGACTAATATTTTACAAAGTGACATTTGTTCAAAGTTATTCGTTGATCTGTTTTAGGCCTTATCTCCAGGACCTTGAAAATGGCGACTATTCTAAAATATGCCCGCAAAGTAAATATGATGTGTTTCGACTGATTATCATACCCCGTGTTTCATGGCAGTAAAGTATTTGTTGTTACGTGTTATAGTTCCAGTTTCCTGTGTTGTGAGCTTAGAAAGCAAGATCGTGGTAAATGAAGAGGTAATCTTACGTTGTTCCTTATCTGGACTACCTACACCAAAAATCTCATCGTGGTTCAAAGATGAAACTGTGGTTGATAATAATACGGTTACGGTGAATGATCAAATGCTCACGATAAAAAGCTACTCATTGAAGAGCTCTGGAAAGTATATGTGTCAAGTGACTAATGATGTGACGTCATACAACTGTTCATTGACGCTCTTTGGTATGGTTAAATTGTTGTATTGTCAAGATTTTTTGTTGTGAGACTGAGCTCAAAGGAATTACTTCTTTTAAGGCTCGCTTCCAAAAGTACATTGTAAATGGGATAATGTAAAAGGCAACTTCAACTTATCCTGTAATGTCACTGGTTATCCTCTACCCACGTTTATTTTACTTAAGTCTGGAGAACGCCATGAAATACTCCATATGATGTCAGAAATAGAAATGAAAGAAAATATCGAGTATAGTTTCATAGCCTACAATGCTTTTGGTGATGATGTTACTGGTGTATACAAAAGTATGTTTTCATCTTCGGTTTTCTTAGTGTAATAATCATCTGTTTAAGCTAAATGAAGCTTACTCGTGTCTATTGTTTTATAGTTATTTCAACGACTTTAAAGTTCAATTTAGTTGAAGAAAAATGGCATGATGATCTCAAGAAATCCAGCAGTAAAAGATTCATTGACCTGAACATTAAGGTCTTGCAAGGAGTAAGTTATTTTCATCGTGAGCTCAGAGCTCTGTAAGTTTTGACTGGGAAAAACATCGTTGGTGGAAAAAATCATTGTGGTAATTTCTGTTTCACTGAGAACTGTATTGATACCATTTTATAACCATGGCTTCAGATTCGTCTCTTACTTTTTGTTTTAATTTTTACTACAGTTTATTAAGTCGGCTATATTTTGTGATTTTAAAATTTCCGATATCTATACTTCAGATTCGGGAACTTTATAAGCGTTTTCCTCTCTTTCAAGACGCAAGTGCTACTTTCAGGTGTGTCTTTTTCGTTCAGATGGTCTTGAATTGTTTATGTAACGTATATTTGAGCTATGTTTTTGTCATAGTGAGGGCAGTGTCATAGCAACTGTAGTGCTAAGTGGTTTAATTACACCTGACTCAGATGAAAGGAATTTAAAGAGTCTCCTTGATATGGTTATTAAGAACAAAGGAAGACTTGGTGACTTACTCATAGGTCCTTCTGACGCAGCATTAAATGGAACATTATGTAAGAAAAACATTTCTTTATTATAACATAAATCAATATCAATGCAATAGAGTTAGTTACTTATATTTAGTTAAATACTTTGACTGATCTGTTTTTCATAAAAGAAAAAACCCCCGTTATTTCAAGTTCATGTCATGACGGACAAGAACGCGTTTTTATTGTCAAGATAATGCTCTGTTATTCACAATACGCTACATATGGATTTCTTTTATGATTTACAGATCAGCAAAGTACGCATGCTCCTTCAAGACCCCAAACAGTTACTTCTGAAACAACTAGCTCACGGAGCCCAGTCACATCTACTCTACCATCCACAAATGTACCCACATACAATTCAACTTTACATATTGAAGCAGTAGGGACCAAAACAGGTACTGTTCACAAAATTTGTTTGTTGAATGATGAAATCTTACGATCTTGTGATTTCTTTTTTAGTATATATGCATTCGTCCTCATCCGGTGTCCCGCTGTGGCTATTGATCGTTTTACTATGCGTCACCGCACTTCTCCTTTTATTTCTTGGTTGTTTTTGTGGTGCTCGGGGTTATTATCGCTGTGCGCTCTACCAAATACAACGGAAAAATACGAAGGAGTCTTCATCTTCCGACGAAGAAGTTGCCATGGACGTGATGTCGCGTTCAGAAAAGGTGAGGGAAAGCGAATGTAAACTACTGAAAAAAGATGAACGAAAGAAAGTAAAAATGCCAAAAAGATGTCTACAAATGAAAGCGATGATATTTCCAACAGTGGATCCAAACATGGGTCCATTGAAATAAAACAAATTTCCAATGGAGAAGTTGGAAGACCACATTCAGATCATAGTCTATGCTGATGATTTGTTCGCTTTTTCAATTGGTTGGTGGTGCAACTGATTCATATTTAAGATCAAAGTAGAAGAGAAGAAGTTTTGTTTACTCTGACAGTTCTTCCTCGCTACTCTTCCCATACTATTTTGGGGAACAAGATCACTTTTTCAAAGCAAAGTGAGCAGGAAGGGATATAAAAGTTTTTGGAGAATTTCAATTTAGGGAGCATTATTTGAACCAGAAGAAACAATTGGAAGAAATGACATGTTGCTGGTCTACATGTCAATGCAGGAGCATGTCGTTACTAGGTATGACGTGCCGCTTGTTTAGATTAATTATGTATCAAGACTGTCAAAATATATTTACGTCAAGTATCTTTTTAGTTTATTTAAAGTCTCTTGCGATAGTTAGGTAAGAAATTATCAGATTATTGCAAAAAGAGAAATCAAAATATAGATAGCTACTTTTAACGACCATATGATATTAAGTAACAGCTAAATTTAAATGTAACTTTACTTACTTAGAAATATAAATTGAATTTTTTTATGCTTATTCGAAAAATTATGGTGTCGTTATGTGTTATAGGTGGTTATAGATTCTTGTCTTAACCATGTTCTTGACGTCTGTTCTTCACGCTCCAGCATTTATATGTATATTGAGCTCACTGACTTACATATCAAATATGGCGGAAAGATGTGCAGGAAATAGTGAAATCGACAATTATGCATTGGTGATTAACTGTAGTAAATGTTTATCTCCTAATAGTCTGATAGCTCGTAAGTAGATTTTAAACTTTGGTCTTCAATTATAAAAAATAATATTTAGCTTTGGACCGAAACTTGAGTAATAACACAGTTCTCATTGAGTGCCCTGTCAGTGTGAGTCGCAGTGTCAGTAAATGTATGTTTCTTGAACTGGAAGTAAGTAAGGGGTAAATGGTTACATCTTTACTCTTGGCCTATTTATTAAATTTGTCTGCAGATTTTCACGGGTGTTTATCTAACACTCCCCTGTTCTAGTAAACACAAACACACAATGGCAAAAACTCATATATTTATTAGAAATAACAAAAGACCATTTCAAAATTTTGAAGCAAAACCATGACGTAATTTGCTATTCCTGGACGATTGACAACAAGTATTATGATGCCAATATTAATTTCATTGTGGCAGAAGCACATGAAGATAGTTTTTCCTACTTCAAAAAGTTTCAAATTGCAGCCATCCTCATTATATTTGATATAATTCCGGTTTGTGAAAAGTATCTGAATATGAGTTTGTGTAAAGTTAAATTAATTTCTCACATATTTTATTTTTACTATTAATATATATATTTAAATATAGGATTCATTTGAGACTGTGAAGAAATTACTACCTGGTTTAGATGCATTGGAAGTTTCTGTCTTGCTTTTGATTGGCTCAAAATCTGAACACGAGAAAGATTCATGTGAGGCATTTGATTAAAAAGTCATATTCCATAGATGTAGTCAAATAATTTCCATTGAATTGTTTTAGCATTGTTAACTAACATCCTGAAACTTTCTGTGAAATGTTCTTTTGAATTCATTGATTTAAATGAGGAAGTCAGTGAAGAAGGTATTGGGTTCACTTTGAATGGAATTGTATGTTGTTAGTTCTTAAACTGAAATAAATTGTTTTTTGTGAACATCAGAGGATGATTTTCCTGATACTATTGGAATTGCACGCATTTCCCAGGCTCTAGAGGCAACCGATTGGCCAAATCTTCATATAAAAGGTATGTTTTACTGAATAGAGAATGTTTCGTATGTATTACAGTCATGAGTATTGACATCATCTAGATTATTTTTAAGGAATGACTTGTAAAAAACAAGTAGCAACGAACAAACAAGAGACAAAAGATGGCGAAAACAAGGAAATAAATGAAATTAGCAACACTACCTCACACGAAGAATTAAATTCTTTTTGTGGCATTCTTGATGGTATTGAAGATGATGTGAATCTTGATAGTGATATTCCATTTGATAAATTATTCTCACAAATGAAAATTATGAAAGGTAAAAACTTCATTGATTAATTCTTTCCTGAAGTCATTGAATTGAGAAATGCTTTCATTTGAATTTTATAGAAAAAGCTGAAAAACTTCCGCACTTACAGCGCAAAGCTTATGCTGAGCAGGTAATGACTTCAAATTGTTTTGAGCTTAAGGGAAGTGAATATTTTAATTTATTGGAATATGTCATATCAAAAGTGATGCTTTCTGGCACATTTTAAGGTTGCTGTAGCATTTTGGAAAGCAATAGGTGGTGATGATGATGAAATTGAAGATCTAGACTGTAGATAAAAATTACTTCACTTTGTGGTACACAGATTGAAGAGGAAAGGAGGCATGGAAATTAATAATGTATGAAGATACGTATGTAGTCACCTAGTTAAGATGCAACTCAAGATACTATTGTGATTTGCAGCTGGGCTTTACAGTATTTAATCACCATTCACAACTACACTAACAATAAATTGAAATACAATACTTCTTCATTGTTTGAATATAAATCTTGCCACAAAAACAATGCAAATCAGTGCATCTTAACATTTTCATCATGAAAGGTTATTATATTCCTGTTCAAAACACAAAGATATTTTATTGCATTTTGCATCTATCTATTTTGTGCTGGACCTATGAATTCAAATGCTATTAATATCTATACAGATGTTCCTTTAGCAATGTAGTGCAATAGTGTGAAACTTTTTAGAAATATTACAATGATCATAGTCTTGGAATGTTACATAAATTATTCACATTCCAGAAAAATTAAATGTGACAATTAGTGTAACCAGGATAAACATGGTTCCCTGCCATAGATGATGCAATCAATGAAGGATTCAGTCCCATCATTGTGTTTGCTGATGATATTTGTCCATCAAACATACTCATATGTTGAAGTGGTGCTTTATCATCCAATTGCCTATCAAAAATGTTCACAGCAACATTACCATTGAGGTAAGAGCCTGTTGGCACAATTTCTGATGAAAACTCTTCCGAGGACTGTGTTGAAGGAAAATGAATTGAATTTTGAATTAGTCTACGCTCCTCAGGTACAAATTGTGGTTTGTCATATGCAGTTGCGTTTGGTGAACTAAATCTGTTACCAACTGCTTTTTCTTTTGGAAGCATTTCCATCTTTTGCACTTCAAAATCATCTATATGGGAAGACATCACTTGAATATCAAAGCAGCAACAGTCAAGAATCATCATCAAGTATCAAGACCTACAATTATTTGCCTCCATGTTAGGAATCCTCACTTGGCCAGATCGATCTTCCTGCACAGGAATATTCACAAGAGGAAATGACTGAATTGGATTTGAGCCCTGAGAAATATAGATTGCAAAATTACGAGCGTAATTCATTTCTGAAAAATGACTGGCTGAATGCAGCTCAAAACCTACCATATATACTTGCTGAGGTAGTTCTAAAAGAAAAAAAAATTTTTAGAGTAAGAAAATTGGAAAAGATCAAATTTATCTATCTCCTACCAGGATATCTTTTTGTTAACGCTGGTGAACGAGCATCAAAGAACAAAGGATTGGGAGGGAAATTTCTGTCAGTTGAAACTGAATTAGCTTGTGATGAAAACCAACCATTGTTTGGGTTATGATATTCAGTTTCCATTTGTGAGTTCCTGGCAATGATACAAAAAGGTAATATTGAAAGGTTTTCACAGTAAGGAAAAATGTGTTCTATGTATGTGCCAGTTATTAATTAAAAAAAACTTTACTTGCCTTGCAATCATATTCTTGCATACAATATACTCAGCTTCATCTGTGAATGGATTTTGAAAACTACAACATAATGTTCTCAACTTCACATAGTTTCCATTTTTGTTAAGGAAACGGATATCCACTGACAGATTCTGTTGTCCCTTGGTTTTCACCACTGAAATTGATATATACTGGTCAGTGCATGAACATAGTAAAAACATTAATTGAATAAACAACAGGAACCTCGATCATAACTCTCCATCATTGTTTCTTTATCATCCTTGTGAACAAAGTCATAACAGCTTTTACCAAGAAGATCCTTTGGTAAATACCCCAACACATCTTGAACACTGTGATCATATAGTGCATAACCAGATGGTTGAAATCGGCTTTTGTATATATTTTACTATATCATCTTATGTTTACTGTAAATCAGTGTGCGAATTAATGGTGTGCAATGTGCAATTTGCACATTGTTTTAGCTAAAATGAAAACAATTGCACATCACTTTTTCAAACGATGTGCAAAAATCAGCGGTTGTAGCGAAAAACACTGTTGTAAATCATATGAATTTGTTCACATTTAAAAACATTAATTTAGCAATTAGCGCTTTTTAATAATTAAGGTAATATCGATTTGATTATGCCTCTAAAGAAACACTTTTGTCAAAAAAATTGCATATCGTTTTTTCTGAACTAATTCGCACACTGCTGTAAATGTTCCAAATGACATGAAAACATTTCACTCACTTTTGGTCAAGAAATGTGAACTTCCCATCAATAGCTATTCTTGAGATGAACTCTGTTACTTGCTTTTGACTGGGTACATCATTACCCACAGGGGAGCATGTTGGTTGCAGCCGACCAATAGCAACAACACAGAAAGTGGTGCGGTCACTGCCTTCTGTGATTGGGACAAGATTGCCAACATGTCCATCTGTACATGACTGTTAAAAAACATTTGTAGCAAAGTTTTAGCAAAAAATTCAACATTCTCTTTAATATTTAAGAAATAAGGTATAATACCCTTAAAAATCCAGTGCAATGGATAATAGCATAATCCTCATCAACACCAGTGTTCACATTGAGAGCAGAGCTTTCTTCATAATGACCCTTTTTCATGCGACATATAAAATTTCTTCGAGAGCTAGTGTATAGTCTTGAGGCATCTGTCATTAATATAATGTACACAGCACTATGAATTTTAAATGATTTGTAATCACAGCAGCAAAGTCCTTGTTCTGTTAAATCTTGGTTTTATTGTTGGTCAAACAATTACCTGGGCCGGCTTCTTTACGCACACTTCCAGCTAAATGCAACAAAATTCAAGAAATAATTAAAATCATAGTAAAAACACATAAGAATTTTCTTTGCTTCTTTCTCTTACTTTTCAAATCTAAGATCCGTCCAGAGTCAGCTGGATCCACACAAAGTTGATCTTGAACTTTCTTTTTATCATCAGGATGAATAAGTTGGTAGATGGATTTGTTTTCCCAATCAGACTGGCAACAAATAATTACACCATGTTGCAAAGAAATTGATTTTGTAGAAATCTACGCTTAGATTTCTTACCTGAGCTTGTCTAAGTACAGGTGTAATTGAATCTGACACATATAGCAATCTACCCGTGATACAGTTTACCACAAAGAGGAAACCTCCTGCAGCCTGTACATATAAAATAATAAGAACTACTAAGAAAATGATTAATTAAATGATATCATTGTATCACCAGCCTACCTCCAACACTAACAGTTTAAGTTCACGCTCTGATAGGAACGATGAAGTTTTGGTGTTTGTTCCTTGTGGTTGGTAAGATGGCTCTGCTATTATAGTGTGAAAATAAAAATAATTTTCTTTGTATTCTCTTTCTACTTCAAAAATGATGACCACTAATAATCACCTCTTAAATGTTTGATATGATCAACTGCCATGCGCAAGACAGTCAATTTATCAGGTTTTTTTGGATTTTCATTACAAGTTGGCACCATTTCTGATAGCTCGTTGATGTAAGAGTTCATTTTATTTCTTCGTCTTCTTTCTATCTCACTGTGATTTTCCCTGGTAAAATTTACATAAAACACTTGAATGCATTAAACATTACATAGTGGTGTAGGCATATTCAATGTTTTGACCAACCTAGCAAATTTTTCCCTTGAACTTTCTGGATCATCACTCCTTTTTAAAGTAATAAAAATATTAGTTGTAGAAAATATTAGATATAGAAAAAATATTTTCAGCTGGTTTCATAAATACCGTGACATAATATAACAGTCATAATATAACTATGAAATCACACAATGAAATTATGTAAACTTTATATTAAATACTTGGACTTTTTTCCTGTTACAACATGTGAAGCAATTTGTCTATCATCCTCGCCATCTGAGTATTCCCTTAACAAATACAAAAAATCAATGTCACTTTTCTGTAAACATACCAAAGTTGTATATCTATCCTGACTAAGTTCTGAAAGTTATGATTTAATTAGTGACATATGGGTAAAACAAAACATAACTCCTAAGATATGCCAAATTGAATTTGACAAATCCGCCAAGTTTTTCAACGGGTAAACATATCGTAATATCTAAGTAAAATATTGTAATTACTGCTTGTTGACACTTACTCTTTCACGACAAGCTCCTGTTTTCGTTTAGTCACCACACGACCACTTTTCGTTGTGGTGACCGCTGAAGCATCCGCAGCTAAAGTTAACATATAAATATGAAGAAGCAAAAAATACAAATCTTTGGAGAAAAAAGTTAAGCAATATTGAATATTTTTGTGATGTCATCTTCGTGTTTTCGACTTGTTGACAAACTCGGTATTAGGAAAATGAGTAATGTTGATGAGTCTTTGCAAACCTGTCACTGATTCGGCCATCGCGTAAGGAATAGTGTGATAATCGAAGGATTATTTTATAATTATCTTCAGTAAAAATCTTCAAGACCCACGATGTCGTTTAACAAGTACTTTCTCGACACTAGGCTAATTCACATCGAATAAATTGCAGCTTTAGTCGAAGGAAGTCTGTAAAAAGGAATTCTTTTCAGATATAGATATTGAGCGGCTTTCTTCGGAACTTTTAACGAAAGTATAATGCTTTCATTTGAACATAGATCTTTTTAGAGATCACAAATTTTTTTCAAAATCCAAAACCTTGAATTTACTGCTTGATGTAATGTCTCATATGGTTCTTGGCTAACTAGCCTAATACCCAATAGGAAATCGGCTTAGACAACGACTAAATTTTGACCAATGAACGTTGCAGTTATAATCTATAGTGTATTGTATAACAATGGCAATCATGTTTCGTGGCTCGTGCATTAGTTTATTTTTTGAAAAATTCTAAAAAGAAAATTGATATTAAAGAGTCGACTATTCTTTTATTTCTCCACTGGTCAATATAAACTTGATACATATATTTCTATAGGCAAAACGAGACATAGTCCACTTTATATTGTACTAGAATAGCAGGTGCACACGCTCGTGCGGGCTTTTATTGATTTCGATTATTGAGATTATTATTGTGATTGACTCGAGCACTAAAGGTTGTCACTTGGTGCATTTTTAATATTTTGTGTTGGAAATTTGTGTCTTGCGCATTACGTATTTAATTCTTTTGTCCTGGACAGGAGGTGTCTGCTGCATGTAGGTAAACGGGACATTATTAATAACTTGCATTTTTTGGGAGCTTTTTTCTTTCATCCTGTACTTTACTGTATAAGATTATTTGCCTTCAGTGATATTACTGATATATCATAATTCACACACGCTTTGAAAATTATCTTGAATTCTGTAGTTTCTCTTATTATTACGAAAAGCTGTACATTGCTTTTATTTTCATTTTGAATATTGAAAGATTTTGGCAATTTCTCTACGTGAATTCTTATTTTGAACACAGTCTAGAGGTATTCAAAGAAATTTAAATGGCAACGAGATTATTGCTCCCGCCTCCATGAAAGAGCCAGTGTTAGTGCTAGCCATGTAAAAATTTACAATGGAGGATAATGAGATACCACAAAGAGTAGTTGATTACTTTGTTGTTGCTGGTTTGGGAAAGAATGCCAAGAGAATTTTGGAAAAAGAAGGAACAGTTGTTGATCCTATAACTGATGTAACTGTGATATTTAAGAGTAAAGGGGAAACTGCACCTGATGGATTTACCTGCATTGAAACAACACCTGGAGGGCTCCCCGCTGACCTGAACTCAGGAGCCATTCGTGGTGAATCATGTTTTCTTTGCTATCGTAGAGGAAGAGATAAGCCACCAATAGTTGACATTGGGTGTGTAATAATGAAATTATTTTGATCCAAATTCTCGAACCTTAAATATTTTGTTTACGTTTTTTAGTGTTTTGTATGAGGGGAAAGAAAGACTAATTGAAGGCTGTGATATCCTTGATACAACTCCACAAGGACATTCTGCTAACATTAGTGATAGTATCAACAACAGAATATTCATCACATATAGAAGATCATCAGCTAAACTTACCCACACATCATTGGCAGTCACTCACATTAATGTCATTATAGCAAGCAAGGTCTGCATCTTATATTTCTATCCCTATACAAAACTTTATTCTAAACTTTTGTCAAACATTTCCAGGGTGAAAAAACGCCACATGCCTTTTGCCTGATACAAAAAAATCTTAATAAAGGAATGGTATGTCAAGTTTTCATAAAATGCCATTTTTTGGATAGTCTAATTTTCTAAATCGTCATTTTTAGATGAGCTCTGATGTATTTCTCTGCTACAGAAAATCTCTTGCCAGACCACATTGCATCACCTTTGAAGCTAGTGAGTTTAATAACATTTGTAAAAATCAAGTGCATCCAGCATTTTTCAAATTATGTTTTACTTCAATTGCAACATTGTTATTTAGAGACATTGAGTCGATATCCCAAAAGTGATGTTGCTGGATTTCCTTTGCCAGATCAGGTTCCACAATTCTGCTTACCTATGGGTGCCATTGTTGAATGTTGGCCAAGAAAGTCACCACATCCTTTGCCCATATTTTCTATTTTTATATTAACTGGTAGTAAAGGACAAAAGGTGGATATACAAGTGCATATGTATTTGGGTTATATTAATATTTTTCATGTTTTCTAGTATTCTACTTATCTCACCTGACATTGTTTGTTGAAAGTGGATTTTTTTTAGATCTATGGAGCTGTTGTGACATTTTTTGAAGAGCTCCCTGAAGAAGACGTTACCCAGGAAATGATGAATGATTTAAAGATTTCAACTCATGACAAAGTCAGACACGATTTACATTGAGGCAATGGACTTTTGTTATGTGTTTGTCATTTTAATTGTTTGTATGTTTCAGGATTTAGGAGATTTAAGACAAATTGTCCATTCTAATAAATCTATCTGTGTTCTGTCACATTGGCCTTTTTTTGAAGCCTTCAAGAAGTTTCTGTCATCATTATACAGAATTTCTGTATCAACTCAACCTATTCCTTTAGAAAGGTAAGTAGACCTTATGATTAATATTCATGTTCAACATTAAATAACCAAAATACTCTGACTATGTTTGTTTTTATAGATATATTTCACATTTTATGCTTAATGTTCCATTTCCTTCACCACAAAGACCAAGAATTCTTGTTCAGGTTTGTTTTTTTGTCATTATAGTGGAAGTACCCTGTAAAATTATGCAGGATCCTTTGATAGGATCTTACAGAATCCTCTGGGATTCTGGTAGGATTTTGTAGGATCTTAGATGAGTTGACTCAGCTTATTGCGAGTAATGTTTTTAGTGAAACACCTAAATTATGTTTTTCGTTTCTCAACTTAATAAGCATATCAAATAAATCAATATCTGTAAATTGGCTCTGATAATTTTGATTATAATTATCCAATAGCTGATAATTTTGATTATAATTATCCGATAGCTGATAATTTTGATCACATTTATTGGATACCAGTCACAAGCCTGGGACTCTGTGATTCTCTTTGACATTTGCTGCTCATGACAGTAAGGAGGACAGTGAGTGGAAGGTTTACAGATATTGATTTATATGATATTCTTATTAAATTGAGAAATGAAAAACATGACTGAGGTGTTTGACTCAAAACATTACTTGCAATAAGCTGAGTCAACTTATTATCAACCTGATATTTATGAATAGCGAGTGTGGTATTATTAATTGATCTTAGATGATTCTAAGCTAGGATAGTACACGATTATGTGAGATACTACAGCAACTTACGCAGGAATCCTACACCTTTCTTAGACAGATTATGTAGAATCTTACAATATCTTATTCTTACCAAGATATTTTACCAGAATTTTGATATTTTCTTTATTTTCTATTTTATACTTAGATGAACCTCTATGAACCATTTGAAATATGTCAGCCATACTCAACAAGTTTACCAATCAAGTAAGAGCACTGGAAGTTCTATATAATTAAAAATAAAAATTAAATATTAACGTCTAAATTTTCACAAGATATCTTATTGATTTCTTTGTTTTATTCATTTGTAATTTACATTCTTCGCTCCAATTTTCACAAAACGTTTTACAATAGTCTTAATTATTTTAAGTATATCATGAATTAGTATTTAACTTTATGATGTCGTCAATTCCTCGGCTGATCTTCATTTTGAAAATTTCAGTGGAGCGTCATTCTCAGCCTTGTTACGTTGGCTTGGTCCTGAGAATTCAATCAAGTTATTTTATTATGTTTTAACGGAACATAAACTACTTATTCATTCACTTCGTGCTGCCTTACTGACGAGTGTTGCAGAAGCTTTAGTTAGTGTAAGTTTATGCAATATATAATAAATATATGAATTATGAAAATGCGCATAAAATTTCATGCACGCGTTGTAGCTAATACTTTACAGAATCATTTCTCACATCTTGATGCGAAGAATTACCTACTTTTATGCGGTTTCAATCGTTCGTTAAACTTTTTTGCCATTTTATGTATTTTGTCTTCAGGTCATCTTCCCATTCTCCTGGCAATGTCCTTATATACCTCTCTGTCCTGTTGCATTGTCTGATGTGCTCAATGCTCCAGTTCCACCTGATGAAGTAATATGTGTTGATTTGGATACAAACATGATATCACCGTATGTTGTGCATTATGAACAAGTTATCTTGACAGCTTATAGAAAAATTTATTCATTTTCTTTTACGTAGCATCCATGACGTGAATCCTTTTTCTTGGAAAACATTTCCAAAGGTTTAGTTATTCTCCAACGTATCTTTATTCGTCGTCACCATTTTTAAGCATGGAGATTTTTTGTTTCACAGAAACCAGGAAAGGCTTTGCTGGAAAAACTTCAAACGCAATACTCAAAACTGCACCAACTTTGCCGTGGTAATTTGCACGTTTTACTTTGCTACGTATCATTTGAGGTGTCGCCAACGTGTTTTTGTTTTCCATTGGTTTTGACTCTTAGAAAGTTTTGCTTTTCTTTGAGTTAAGTGATTGATGATTAAGTTTCTTTAGGCGATTCTGGTGCTATTTCCGAAAATGCGATAGAGTTGGCTCCTTTGGAACACGATTCGTCTTACGCAAAGAAGAGAGTAAGATGGGATAATTTCATCTTCTATTTTATGTGCGTGTTACTTGAACCATCGTTGTATGTTTTAGTTGAATATCGAGGTGGCCATTCAAGAAGCATTTCTTCGATTCAACATCACTGTTTTAAAAGGATACAGGTGAAATACGATAGACGATTTCGTGACTTTAAGTTATTGCTGTTTGATAAGCGATCTCTATTTGTTTTCTTTAGAACTTTTTTAAAGCCTATCGTTGAAGCGCCAAAAAATATGGCAGATCTTAGCCAAGACTCGCTGTTTAATTTGCAAGGTGGCTTCTATCAACAAAATTTGACAACATTGTGTTTTGGTGCATTCTGAGCAATATGGTTTATATTTTAGGTTTTTTAAAGACAAGACCAAGCTCATTTCATAAGTTTTTTCAAATCCTTACGAAGACTCAGGTTGATCAAATTATATCAATCATGATCTATATCAATAATGATCTTTGTAATATACTGATCATGCTATGTTATGGTGATTTTTTAGCTGTTTTCTAGGTTCATTGAGCAGCGATCTTTTGTTTCATCTCAAGACCCATACTTACAGTTTTACGATGAATGCTGTGAAAAGGTACTCTGAGAGTAAAATTGTGGTTAAAAATATAATATTTTGTTGATAGAACGTAAAATTCGACCGACAACAGTTTCTTACAAGCTAGTTTATTTGTATATCGAAAAATTTATTAAAAAGGTCTGGAGGTGAGTTCTTCAAGTGATAGAGCCATTGTTTTCTTGTTATTTTCCAGTCTTTGCGTAATTTTATCTATCGTCCTGTCTCTTAGTATCTCTCTAGTGATATGCTGTCGATCAATAAATCACAACAAAAATCGGAGGCTATTGTTCTATAATCAATCCTTTTTCTTGCCCTAGGCCGAAACTGATAAAACTCTCATTGAAATTGATAATTACATGAGCAAGTAAAAATATCTTCCTTCATCGTGATTTTTTCCTATCACATCTTGGCGTAATAACTCTAAGGAGTAAACTCTATTTTTTCATGGTTTTTCAGTAATCGAACTTACGTTGTTACTCCTTTGGCTGCCAGTGAAAAGAACGAGAACAAAATGTATAGGTACGTAAGATCATTGAAGGATGTTATGTGCAGTCATTTTAATGACTTTATGTGTAAGATATTCTGAGGGGGCACAATAGATTAGTAAAAATAAATTCTTTACTTTCAGCTATCCAACATTTCCTGCTTTGCAAGATGAACTACTGTCAATGGAGAACGCACAGCCTGTCCCTTTAGCTGTATCGACTCCATCACCTGCTTATGGCAGACGTACCCCTAAAGAGCGACATCAATCTGTTCAGGTATTTAATTATGGTTTCCCATTGTTCTTGCTGAATATAATATCCATCCTTTCTTATAGAGCATAAAAAAGTTTCAAAAGTCACCAGTGTTATGGGCAAGGTTTGTCGATCGTAAAGCAAGAATACAAAGCTACAATATATATGACATGTTAAATTCTGTCATTTTTCTATGTAGTTGCCTTCTGGCATATTGCTACAGTATTTGGTTTATTCATCTTCCTGCGTATGTGAGATCATACCATAACAAAGCCAAAGCTCTTCTTGATGCATACGAAGTTAGTTAGTTTTATTGATCTCACAATTCGAGAAAGAAAAGTTTGAAATTTAAAGCATGAGTTTTATTTTCATCTACAGGTGCTTTGTAAAATGCAGAAAGAGAAAGTTCAACTTCCAGATGAGGTAATCTTCATAACTCTTACAAATTTCATCTATATATGTAGTATGCGAATCATCCATGAATCAGATTTTCTTTCAATATTTTAGGTGTGTTATCGTATATTGATGCAGTTATGTGGTCAATACGATCATCCAGCTTTGGCTGTCAAGGTGTTTGTTTTATTAGCTGCACTCGCTTGTTTTTCACATAATAGAGTGTGTTTGCTTTAACAAAATGTCTTTTTCAAAGGCATACTGTGAAATGAAAAGACAAGGCATCGAGCCAAATGCTGTCACCTATGGATACTACAATAAGGTTTTGTTGATGAAGATCTGCCCAAAAAGTTTATTCCTTACATGTTCTGTTCATTAAATATAGTTTTTCAATTTCAGGCTGTTTTTGAAGGCAAATGGCCATCAACGTCGACCAGCTTTCATAGATGGCGTCGCATGTTTCATTTCATCTCCTCTGTCAATTACCTTTTGAAAATTCACGAACGCAAACGTCAAACTGAAACAAAAACGTATTTATTCGGCGAAGAAGGAGAGGCTCATAACTCTGTATTTGAGGTTTCAAACTCTCACGACAGTGGTATTGATGACATTGATCCTTTTAGCTCATCTAGAGCGCAATCGAAAGGTCGCAATCGAATTTCGCAGTCTTTGTCGCAGATTGATCTTACTGATGGTTTTCCAAAAATAAATCTAGGACGAACATGTAGTACTGCTTCGTCAGACCTCAGTAATTCATCACAATGTCAGCTTTTTGTCACAAGTGACACGGATAATCAATCTAACGGCGAAGGATACCAGGTACTGCGGGATTATGTTGCACATAGTGTTTAGCTTTTATATTGAATGTTACGTTCATGTTTGTTAATCTAGATTTTTCAAGGTTAAAGTCTCGAGAAGGACCGTTTGTGTTGATGTTGACTGACGTTTCGACAATTTAACTGTAATCATCTTCAGTCAACATCAACATCAACACTTCTTCTCAAGACTCTACCAACCAGGATGATTTACGTACATCTACAAACATGTAACGATAGTCTCGGTTTTGAACCATTCAATTTATTTTAAAGGTTCTTTGAACTGATGTTTTCAATATCTAAATACTTCATGAGTTTCTGTTGTTGCACCCTGTTGCACCATATCACCATGAACTTATTTTTCCAGGATACAACGTCAGGTATAGATTATGTCGATTGGCGAAGTCATTGTGGCATGGTACCACGTGATATTTCGTTTGAAGCACTGATCTGCAGTTGTAATCCATGTAAGGACTGCGAGCGATACATTTATGACGAGGAAATTATGGCGGGCTGGGTTTCTGATGATTCCAACTTAAACACAAGGTGTGTTTTGCTCCTTGTATTAGACGTCTATTGGTTGTGTATTAACTAATTATTTTTATTTTTTTGTAGCTGTCCATACTGTTCAACAACCCAAGCTGTTTCGCTGATCATCAAAATTAAAGTAAAATCTTGATGAAACTTGTGCTGCTTTCGATTAGCTGTGCTCAATTTTCTTCATTTTTCTTTCTAGGATTACAGGGACTGTTTTTCAAGAGAAGGAAGTAATCTCTCTTCCACTTCTTCAAGTTTCAATAGCAGCGAGTATTTATCCATAAGTGGTATTCACACCACGTCCAATCCTTGCCTCGCTATCCCAACCCATGAAATCGCCAAACGAGCTGTGCACGGGGGCGATTCACCTGGTTTGATAAGGTCATTTTCTCCCCCTGGCATTACACTTCCGGTGAGCATTGGCAAGAAAAATAAGAATCGTTATCCTCTCAGCGCACCATGTAGTGCTAACAACAGTCCTGGATCAGGTCTACTTCAAGGTAGTCCCAAACCACGAAATCGTTTGTCAATTTCACGTTCTAACAGTATACCTGGCATAGGCAGTCAAAACAGTTTATTTGGTAAAGTTTCGCTTTTGATGTAATTTAAAGTGAATTGTCCATGATATTGGTATTACTTTTTTCAGCAATGCCAGAAGAAAGGGATGTGATATCAGTGAACTATGTCAGTCCTCTAGTGTTGAGGAAAGAATTGGAGAATCTCATGGATAATGAGGGTGTTGATGCTTTAGAATCCCCTGCTATGATTAAGGAGAAGCCCGTAATATTTTGGAATATGGTGAGGTCACTATCGTTATATGCATCCTAATAATGTAGTATATGTATTATTTTTGTTTATTGTAGGTGTGGTATTTTCGACGACTTAATTTACCAACTCATTTAAATGGTCATATTTACGGTAATTATGCTGAAGATGATCCCTTAGATCGTTCAAAGGTGCGTTTTGTATATAAACGATTAATTTTGAGCTTCTCTTGTACAAACTGCAATATTGTAATTTGATTTCGTGTATTTCGTAGGATATTGATAGTCAGATAATTGTATCTACATCATGGGATGCAGAAAGACCTGCTAACGATGATCATATACCTTTGTATGTCTTATGGAATGTCCCAGGTAAATAATTTAATAATTTAGCGTTTATTCATCTCTTCCGTAATATGTTCAGCAATCTTTCCATGGTTGAAATAATTATATTTAACTGTTTTGCGCTCGTTCTGTTTCAGCTCAAGAGCATCAAAATCCGACTGTCGACGAAAAATCATGGACACCTAGAAGGTAAGTTGTCTGGTTATTATAATTTTTCGTTTATAGTTAATATTCCTGACATCCTTGCACATTTTGTTTTGTTTTTCTCTGTTTGCAGTGTTGTACAATCTGTTGTTGCTCATATAAAGAAGAGCGACATTGCCAGTCCATTTGATTGTCTTTTTGAAGAAAGAAATCGTCAGAAACTTATAAACCCTAACATACAATGGTGAGTGGAGTGTATTCTCAAACTATTGAAGTACATGTTTGTAAATGTAGATCGTCCTGGTTAATGCAGTCTCTTGTCTCTGAAGATGACTATTGTTCAGAAAAGCAAAGTCACTGGACTTTGAAGATGACTATTGTCCAGGATTTTGAAGTCAACTGGACTTTGAAGATGACTGTTGTCCAGGATTTTGAAGTCACTGGACTTTGAAGATGACTGTTGTCCAGGATTTTGAAGTCACTGGACTTTGAAGATGACTATTGTCCAGGATTTTGAAGTCAACTGGACTTTGAAGATGACTGTTGTCCAGGATTTTGAAGTCAACTGGACTTTGAAGATGACTATTGTCCAGGATTTTGAAGTCAACTGGACTTTGAAGATGACTGTTGTCCAGGATTTTGAAGTCAACTGGACTTTGAAGATGACTATTGTCCAGGATTTTGAAGTCAACTGGACTTTGAAGATGACTGTTGTCCAGGATTTTGAAGTCACTGGACTTTGAAGATGACTATTGTCCAGGATTTTGAAGTCAACTGGACTTTGAAGATGACTGTTGTCCAGGATTTTGAAGTCAACTGGACTTTGAAGATGACTATTGTCCAGGATTTTGAAGTCAACTGGACTTTGAAGATGACTGTTGTCCAGGATTTTGAAGTCAACTGGACTTTGAAGATGACTATTGTCCAGGATTTTGAAGTCAACTGGACTTTGAAGATGACTATTGTCCAGAATTTTGAAGTCACTGGACTTTGAAGATGACTGTTGTCCAGGATTTTGAAGTCAACTGGACTTTGAAGATGACTGCTGTCCAGGATTTTGAAGTCAATTGGACTTTGAAGATGACTATTGTCATGGATTTTGCAGTCAACTGGACTTTGAAGAGGACTGTTGTCCAGGATAAGGAAGTGACTGGACTTTGAAGATGACTGTTGTCCAGGATAGGGAAGTGACTGGACTTTGAAGATGACTGTTGTCCAGGATTTTGAAGTCACTGGACTTTGAAAATGACTGTTGTCCAGGATTTTGAAGTCAACCGGACTTTGAAGATGACTATTGTCCAGGATTTTGAAGTCAACTGACTTTGAAGATGACTGTTGTCCAGGATTTTGAAGTCACTGGACTTTGAAGATGACTGTTGTCCTGGATAAAGAAGTGACTGGACTTTGAAGATGACTGTTGTCCAGGATTTTGAAGTCACTGGACTTTGAGGATGACTGTTGTCCAGGATTTTGAAGTCACTGGACTTTGAAGATGACTGTTGTCCAGGATTTTGAAGTCACTGGACTTTGAAGATGCCTGTTGTCCAGGATTTTGAAGTCACAGGACTCTGAAGATGACTGTTGTCCAGGATTTTGAAGTCAACTGGACTTTGAAGATGACTGTTGTCCAGGATTTTGAAGTCACTGGACTTTGAAGATGACTGTTGTCCAGGATTTTGAAGTCACTGGACTCTGAAGATGACTGTTGTCCAGGATTTTGAAGTCAACTGGACTTTGAAGATGACTGTTGTCCAGGATAAGGAAGTCACTGGACTTTAAAGATGACAGTTGTTTAGGATAGGGAAATGACTGGACTTTGAAGATGGCTGTTGTCCAGGATTTTGAAGTCACTGGACTTTGAAGATGACTGTTGTCCAGGATTTTGAAGTCACTGGACTTTGAAGATGACTGTTGTCCAGGATTTTGAAGTCACTAGACTTTGAAGATGACTGTTGTCCAGGATAGGGAAGTGACTACCGCGAAGGATGTCAAAACGTCTATGATTGCAAACATCAACACCAACAATCTTTCTCAAGACTGTGCTAACCCGGACGATCTACGTACATCTGCATACATTCACTTTACTACTGGAATACGTTGATATAACATGACAAACGCCCTTCTCGTTTATATGACTCACCTATTGCTAATTCACCCATTTCTAAAATATAGGAGCATTTATAGAGAAATGTTATTTCTATCATTAATGGCTTGTGGTACGGACAACATTGATATTGGTATGTTTTGTGATTTGATTTTCACAACTGTATTTACTTTATCGTTAACTGATTATTATTGAATTTTTTTCTCATCCTGTTAATATCAATATACTCGTGTATTGCAGAAGCATTTGACAACGAGTACAAGCGTATTTATCGCTCTCTACATGGGAACGCAAGCAATCGATCGTATTATACAAACAGAGATGATCGATCACTACCTTCACGTGCAATTTGCTGTAGACGAACGTTTAAACCTCCGACTTTACAACCCAGATTGCCTCATAGTCAATATTTTCTAAGTCAAGGTCTTATTAATGAAGGTTGACCATTAAAATATTATTGTCTTCTATTTATACTTTGTGATGTAATGGTCATTCAGGTTTGGGCAGAATATCATTCAAATAGTCTGATGTCCTTGTACTTGATTGGTTGAAATTGATTAATCGCTAATATTACATGCAGTTCGTTTATCGTTTTTATTTAAGAATTGAATGCAGAATATTGATTTACACTGGTTTTGATAACACTTTTTTGTGAGATATCAAAACTTCAATGATAATATAAGATGTATTGTCTTGGGTAATCGTTACAAAAGGTCAATACTTGATGTAGTTTTGTTGTTGTGAGTCGAGAGTTCGTGTCATGGAAGACAGACTGTATTGTTATGGCGGGTAAAAACGACGAAATATGGGACTCAAATAACGAGCGCGAGAGTATCCATGTGTATGTAGAATGTGAGGAAACTGACGGTTACGACGATGAATTGGACATTGAAGAAGAAGTCATTTTAGACCTTTCATCTTTTGCACCAACTGACGAGTGGTATGATAACTTTCCTTTCAGTACTTTGTCTTAAATTCTCGATATTGTCAAGGTGTTTCGCATTGAAATAAATCTCTAAAATCTCTGAAATAAATCTCTATTTTCAAATGCTTAACTTTATTTTTACTACAGACTAATCTTAGGAAATCCACCATGGCTGTGTTATTAGCCTACGACATTTCCGACCTTACTACTTCTAAATATTTCAATTTCACCGCGTGTGAAATAAAAGAGAACTTTTGTTATGTTATCAATTATAAGGCGTTTCAATTTTATTAATTTTATATTACTTAATAAAAAATAAGTTGTCTAGTTGAAAATTGTTTCTTGCTTTACGAAGGGGAAGCCATTAACGTTTTTTTGACATAGGTTGTCATTTTAACTTGTTACACGAGTTTTTGGGCGTTGAACTTTATTGAGAGGTTTTGTATTAGTCGAATGGTTCATTTAATATAATAGTACACATCGCTTGGTAATTTATGTTGAAAGTAATGAATTACCAATTATTTTTATGGAAAAATGTACCTTTCTTAATATATTAAACATAAAGTTTAATTTGAAGGGTGTTGCTCCGTCAATTGTTTACATTCATGCCAAAGCACGAACACCTATGGAAAAATTTTGAGAAGTTTTCTTTACTTTACTCTACAGGAATTATCCTATTACTGGTTGAAATATTTTTGTTTCTGTTAGGTCAGAATACATACAAAACTCAACGCCAAGTCTATAAAGTTTATATACTGAAGCTTCATTGATGCAATTAAGTTTGGGACATTGGGTAGAATGACAGTGACATTTTATGATGCAAACTGTAGCAGACCCCATTCTTATAATTTTCTGAGTCACCCCCCAAAAAGAAATGGTAACTTTTAATGAAAAACAGTCCTCGTAATCTTTATAGATCTGTTAATCTTTATTCGTCTCAAGGGCCAATTTTCTTAGCTTAAGATTAATGATCTTATTTTACTTTATCTTATTGCTTCCTGATGAAATCTTGTTCTGTTTTTAGTTGGTATCATGGCAAACTTGATCGAAAAACCTCAGAAGATCGTCTCAAAAAACAAGGTACACCAGGTAGCTACCTTGTACGAAAGAGTGAAAGAAAACATGGACAGTATTCTCTTTCCTATCTTGGATTGAATGGCATTAGTCACTTTAGCATCACCGCTCTTTTTGGAGACTATTACATTGGTGGTCGACAATTTGAGTCATTAAGAGATTTAATTGGTTACTACACTAAATGTTCCAGCTTATTGAAGGATGAAAGGTTGGAACATCCTGTACAACCACCAGAACCTGTTTCACTGTCCACTCGTATGGTTGCCAAGTATGCATTTAACAAAACACTTGGAACTGAGGCACTCAGGTAACAATTTAAGAAAGATCTTATGAAAATGTCACACAATTAAGCTCTTCCTTGCTTGCATTACTTGCAGTTTTGTGCCTGGTGATGTTTTTGTGATTGAAGACAATGTGAATGAGTCTTGGTTTTGGGGACGATTGCTGCGGACCAACGAAAGAGGGATGATTCCAAAGATGTACACCATTGATGCAGTGTGTGCTTGATTTTCAATTGTTTTTATGATATGAATATTTTGTTCCAATATTCTTACCATCTTTTTATTCAGCCTGAAAACCTTAGTCCTCATGCTGGCAGGGCGTATGTTATTCATGATTTTTTCAATTTTACTGTTGGTTTCCTTTTTCGAAGTTCAATGGTCTTTTTATATTTATTAGATGGTTTTTTGATAAACTTTCAAAGGAGGAGGCTAATGAACTGCTGATGAATGGTATAATGACAATGTTTATTTAAGTCATATCATTCATCCTTTTTTATCAATATTATAATAACTTCTGTGGACATATTTTGAATACATAAATAGTAATGAATACCACCCATCACAAGAAATAATGATGATAAGTTTAAACATTGTTCATTCAAATGTGATTACAGAACAACAACAAAAACAATCCTTCTCAGGACTATACCAACCTGGACGATCTACATTTACAAACATGTAAAGTGCAATAAAGTTATATTTTTCTTGTAGAAGGTGTTGTTGGCAGTTTTCTGATTCGACCTAGTTCTGCAAGAGTTGGTGATTTTTCACTTTGTGTTAGGTCAGCCCTAATATCTGAAATCCGGAAACTGGAAGAACCGAAGCTCTTGTGTTGAATCTATTACAATCACAATTTTTCATTTTTAGAGATGATAATGGTGTGTCACGATTTTTAATCAGAAAACAAGGTCTTCAGTATTTGTTTGGTGGAAGATTGTTTGAAGAGTATGTACTAGTATTTTTGTTCTATACCTTTACCTTCTAAATTTTAGTGATTGTTGAGCTTGTATAATTACAGTTTGGACAGTATTATTGATCGATACAAGAAAGAGTTTATTGAACAAGGATTATCTCTTGGAAATCCAGTTACAAGCGTAAGTTTGTCATGAAGTATAAAGCTGTACAAGTATGTAATCTATTTAAATTACTTGTCCATTATAGAAAGACCAAACCCCACCTTCTACACCTACATTGATAAGTGGTTTACGTGATCTAAATATCCACGAGGACACTCCTGTCACTCCTATTTATGAGTCTACATTTGAATCCAAAGTTGGAAAGTCTGTGAAATCAGGGTTTTTGGTTAAAAAAGGTACCAGTGTTTATTGTTCAGGGTGCCGAAGTGGCTGTCAGCAATTTTTCTAACTTCCACGGAAGTATCTCTTTTTAATCATCTGACTTGCTTTGTTTATCGTGCAGTTTTGACAGGGCTATTGTCACACACCCCCCATCCCTCCCCCTCTGTAATGGTTTACGGATAAAGAAGGTATTAACTTTTGTTTACATGAAAGAATCTTAGAGGTGCAACTTGTGCAGGTGGCTACTGTCACTACCAACTCTACTCCACCCCTCTCCCACTTGTATAGGTGCAAATTTTGCAGGTGGCTACTGTCACAACCAACTCTACTCCACCCCTCTCCCTCTTGTATAGGTGCAACTTGTGCATGTGGCTACTGTCACTACCAACTTTACTCCACCCCTCTCCAACTTGTATAGGTGCAAATTTTGCAGGTGGCTACTGTCCCAACTAACTCTACTCCACCCCACTCCCTCTTGTATAGGTGCAACTTGTGCAGGTGGCTACTGTCACTACCAACTCAACTCCACCCCTCTTCCTCTTGTATAGGTGCAACTTGTGCAGGTGGTTACTGTCATTACCAACTCTACTCCACGCCCTCCCTCTTATTGATAAAGAAGATATTATTTTTTCTTTTTTGTTTAAGAATCATCAATACCTTTTTAGGTACTGGTAAGAAATGGAAAAGCATGTATTTTGTTCTGAATGGTGAAGATGAAAAGTTGCTATTTTTCGAACATCAATCGGTGAGTGTTAAATTAAAGTTTCAGTTAATGTAACGATTCTCATGATTCTTTATAATTTCGTATTTTTAGAGAACAAGACCAAAAGGAATGATTGATCTTACATATTCAACTGTTTATGAGGTTCACGAAAGTCTCTTTGGAAGGTATATAATAATTATATCAAATTATTTCAATTTTCAACTAACTTATTTCTTTGCACTTCGCGTCAGGCCAAATTGTTTTCAGATAGCAGTCCGCTTTGGTGATACTCAGATGTTTTATTTGTGCGCCGACACCTATGATGAAGCGAACGTGAGCATTAAATATTTAATATGTTCATAATGACGTTATTTCTTCGAATTTTCTGCAAGAAGATATTCCTTTAGGACTGGATGCAAGCCATCAGAAAGTTTTGCTGCAAATCTCGGTGGACGGCGACTCAAGTCATGGCTAGCTCGGACGTTAAACAGTTACGAGGCCTGGAACTGACTATCATAGAAGCACACAATCTACCAGGAAATAAATCGTACCATCCTTATTGTGTTGTATCACTGAATGAAGTTCGAATATGTAGAACGCCTGTTATCGAGGGAGAAAATCCCGTATGGAATGAACAGTTTAAATTCAAGTAAGTCAAATACTACTTTGTATTCAAGTTAAAAAGTCAAGTAATATTGGTTCCATTTTCCCCTATATAGCGATATTCCCGAGGATATTGTCTCTTTTACGGTTGCAATTTTTAATCGAAACAAACGATCTAAAGATCAAGACATTGGTGAGTTTTTGTTTAGTAAATTGTTGATGATGAATTACTTTTACCGTTCGTTTTAATACATTGTCTTTTAGCAACTGTAACGGTCGCTCTACAGATCTTAACTAAAGGTGAGGTTGTGGACGACTGGTTTCAACTCAGAGCATCACATTCACGAACTGAAGCAGGAACGATACGAATTAAAGCTAGATACATGGTTGGTTTACATAACAGTTGTTTTTGTCATATCATTTACGTACTAATTGTATATTGTTTTAAAATGTTTTTGCAGCATGAAATGATAATGCCAGTGGAGGAATATTTTGGTCTTAAAGAGGTATTTATTAATCTGAGCTGTTTAATTTTCCAGTGATTTGTACGTGTTGAAGTTTTGTATCATTTACATGATATAGATTTTAATGAAAGAGGACGTGCTTTGTGTGACGTCTTTAATGGAAGTTTGTAAAGATAGAGACACGCTTGCATCAAGAATACTCAATGTCTTTCGTCATCAGGAACAGCATCACAATTTACTAAGACGACTCACGGATAAAGAAATCCAGAATCATGATATAGGTAATCTTGCTTATTTTACCTATTGAGTGAAATAGTAGTATAGTGTAATGTATTCTCGTACATTATTATCATTAGATAACGTAGCGACATTATTCCGTGGTACGTCAGCTGCCACTAGTCTAATGGATCAATACATGAAGATGGTTGCCGTGCCATATGTTCAGTCAACATTAAGAGATGTTGTCGTCAGAATCATGGAGTGTAAACATTCTTGTGAGGTAATTCATCTATTGAAATGACAACCTCGTTTAGTTTCCTGTATTGTGAGTAAGGACAGTAATTCAAGGGATGTCAAATAGTATAAACTTTACAAGGAGGGGGAGTACAAAATGCATGTTTTACATTTTATTAATGTTGAGAGATACAAATCGATGAACACTTGACGTATTATCCAGAAGCATGTGCATTTTAGAGATTTTTTATTTTTTGCCGTCTTTCCTCTTATTGAACACCATAAAAGCCTCGTTTGTTAGAATACGCTTTACTAAATCGACATTGTACTAGCTGTATATGTCTCGCAGTAAAGGGTCTGATTTTTTCTTGGCTTTGTATTAACACCAGGGCAACACAAACGTATTAGTGAACACTATGCTAGTAATTTAAGACTGAGCAAGCTAGTTAATTTAAAATTGCTAATCGTTGCGGTGCATGGAAATCCAGTTGATTGGTGTGTACTCGTTTTGTCGAGTGGGCTGCGCAAGTATACAGTCATACCTTATAGGTATATTGTTGTCTTCTTCAGCGTTTTTCCGCAAATATATTTTCAAAATCATTAAATCAATGACTGTTATTGGCATGGCGTGTCTTCCATCATACGTAAAAGCAAAGTAGCCAACTATAGATTTTACGAAATGAAAATTCCTTACTAAAACCCTGGACAACAAGTGTTTATGTAGACCATAACTTTAGATAGGTTTTATTAAAATTTTTCTGTCTGCCATTAAGTCAACGGATGTTCGCCTTTAAGTTAATGGATGTTTCGCCTTTAAGTTAATGGATGTTTCGCCTTTAAGTTAATGGATGTTTCGCCTTTAAGTTAATGGATGTTTCGCCTTTAAGTTAATGGATGTTTCGCCAAAATTAAATGGTAGTTGTTGGAGAAATTAAATGAGTTAAAAGGCAGTGTTTTTTTAAACTTTGCGTCATCCTTGAATCCCTACAGTTTTGTAGTCATGAAATGAATTTTATCGCCAACTAAGTGGTATTTAGTATTTTTATTATATTATAGTTACTATGTACGATGCTATATAATTTATTTTTTTACTTTGTATCATCATGCAATTATTATATTTATTATGTATACTATATAATTAAGATCAATATAATTATATTATATTTATTTATGTATGATGCTATATAATTATATTACATAAAGATCAATCCGGCCAGACTTGGGAAAGACGAGAATGCGGTTGGAAATTTGACATCGTTGATAGAATTTCTTGACGAAGCTTTAGATTCGATCATAAACTCAACAGATAAATGTCCAATGTAAGTGATGTATATTTTGCTAGATGATAAATTTTTTATTTATGGCGTTCAATATCTTCTTTTTAACAGGTTATTACGTTATCTTTTTGGATGTTTACAACGAACCGTGCTTGAAAAATGGCCAGAACATGAAACATTAAAAACAAGAGTTGTCAGGTTGGTGAATTGTGCAAAAAGTAAGAGTGACAAAGTTAAGTTACGTAAGTATCTTGTTTCATTTACAGTGCGTTTTTATTTTTACGTTGTTTCTGCCCGGCCATCATGAATCCAAGAATATGTAATATGATGTCAGGTAGGTGACGTATTCATTTCCATATTTCATTTGATGGATTTCTTTTGATACTTTTTAACTACGTTTGTAGATACACCTTCGCCCATGGCCAGCCGGACTTTAACGATGGTTGCCAAGTGTTTACAGAATTTGGCCAATTTAATAGAATTTGGGGCCAAAGTAATTACGTCATGATTTATTATTTTTGTTGTGCGATATGACTTCACTAGTTTTATTCACTTTTTAGGAACCATATATGATTCCTCTTAATCCATTTATACAAAAGAACAAGCCAAGATTGATAAAGTTCATCGATGACCTTTCGGTAGGATTCTTTTATTAATAGATGGCCACCGATAACTTTTTCGTAGCTTGTCAGTCATTCACATATTGATTTGCAGAATTTATTGAACGGTCGTATGACAAATATGAATATTCTTTTCGAGTGTATGCGTTGCAAATCGTTGAAAACAAGTTGATGTAAATGTTTTTAGAATATTGCTTTCTGTCCATCTGCGACTGAGCAGGTTTCATCTGATTTGGCTCGTAATTTGGCGTTTCTTCATGACAAATGCGTCATTCATTCGTCAGCGATCAAAGAACTCGCCCAGGATTCTGTAAGTCGTGGCTGCAAATAGCTGTTATTACATTGTTTTATACATCATTTATGTTTATCACCATTATTTATGTTTTGTATTCTTATAGCCTAATCTACAGAGCCTTCTCATAGCAACAGAAAATGTTTCAAATAAAATCAAAGTGTATATGTAAGTACACGTGTTTCATATGCCGATTGAAATGAAAAAGACTTTATATAAATGATAGTGAAGTGACTGTACATATAAGAAATTACAAATGATGAATAGAGAACAGCTGCATTCTTTATAATTATTCTGTAAATGGCATTTGGAACACGTGACAAAGTAACACAATTGGTTTGAATATGATAGTAAAGAACAAGAAAAATAACATCATTGTCATAGTACTGTGGTCGGGTCGTAATGTGACCGTAGAAACTAGGAAAGCGTTACTTTGTATGAAAATGTCAATTCAATAAACCTTGCAACCAAGTTATCTTGGCTTAACTTCAATTGCATGAAATAATTATTTGATCATGTTTACTAATGTTTAATTCTTGCGTGAAACTTATTCCAGCCTCATGCACTTCATGTTAATGATGCAATGCTTGAATTTGAACTCAAGTGTTCATCATACAACTGCTGTTCGGCATGGCAAAAGTACCACGTGTTTGACACGGCACAGAAAAATTACCACTTGTTTAAAATGACATAATACGAGCACGACGTTATTAAAATGACAATTAAAGATTAGTAGCTCAAACTTGCTTTCGCTGTTGTTCACTCCTATACGACAGTCAAATAGCTTGCTTTTTCAACTGGTTGTATGATTCTGATTATGCTATAAATCTACAAGCTAATGCGTTTTTAACTGCACAGGAAGCAGGTGTTAAAACATTTCATGTCTAGTATTTTATTGGCTGAGAATATAGGAGTTGTTTGAATGTAAATGACGCTACAAGTTTTAACTCGAAAAAAAACAATAGTGCCAGTCGAGACAACCTGTGGATTGTCGAGCGTCCCAGCCTAATGTCTTTTTCAGTGGATGAAGAAGAGTGGACAATCGTGGATAATGAAAACTTTGTGGATGTAAGTACCTGGCAATCGCATATTATGTTGTAAGTTTTTACTTTAAATCGTGTTATTGAATAATGTTGAATAATGTTAACATGTAGGTTAGAGAGCAATTCAATGCTAACAAAAAGAAAAATGATGCTTTAATAAATGGACGCCTAATCAAGTCAACGGTTATTTCCACGTTGCAACAGTCGTTGAAAGACAACAAGTCTAATCGACCCGATGTGTCTGACAGTCCATTAGTACGATCTGACAGAGAAAGAGCTGTAGGATGTTGTCTTACTCGGGATGAGTCTAGGATTATTAAGATAAATCATGAGGAACTCCTTAAACTTGAATCACATTCGGATGCGTCATCCACCTGCAGTTTCCATGTAATTAACCATGACACGGATGAAATTATGGCTGAAAGCGACCCAGATATGGCAAAAGATAAAAAGACTGATAGCGAAAAAAAACTCATACATACTAAACTCTCTGGACAAGAATATTCATTTGAGCTATCAACGGGCGTAGCGCTGTTTTGTTTTGCTCTTGTTCTTGGATTTGTTTTAGGACAGGGTAAGTTTATATATTTACGACAATAATGTGATCTGAGTTAACGTTACTGTTTGACGTGTTTTCTTTTAAGGTGTGGCCATCATGAGGACAAACCTCAAGGCTAAACTACCTGAGCTGAATGTTTCTAGTGAATTTTCACGAAATGCGTTTGTGTCTTCGTTGCAAAAAGAAGTTGTCCTACTGGAAGAGAAAATTGAGCAATGGAAATTTATGAAAAGAGTTAAAAATAATCGCTCACATAACATTTTCCTAAAAAACTTGCAACCAGGCATTCGGGAAGCTTACTGGCACCTGTCGCTGGAAAATTATAAATTAAAAAAAGCATTCGCTGATATTCGAAAAGAGCTTAAACGCATGAAAGTCTTGTCATGGCATCGCAGAGCACAAGTGGAAAGGTTAAAAGAAAAGAAAATGAACGTGACCTATGCTGGTGATACACTTAGGAAAGAACAACAATATTTGGAGAAGGTATATCTGAGAGACAAGAGACTAGCAGACTCACGATTTGATAAATCGTTGAACGAAGTAGATTATTCCAATTTTGAACCCTGGAAATACTTCAAAAAACGCTGGAGAATAGATGACGATAAAAGAGCGCGCAATAATGAATGTGCAACTCCTGACCAGGAAATTAGTTCTGCCTCTAAATGTTTAAAAAGCCATGATGCAAAATTTCTTTATTCTAATGCATTAAACATGTTTAAAGATGATTCAGATACGCCAAAGATGCACGGAAAACTAATGAACGATGATTCACCGCATCAACGAGTTAAAGATAAGAAAATTAAAATGTTTCAGCGACATAAATTGGCTTCTGCCAGCGATGTAATAATTGACATTCAAGAAGATAGTGGTAATGATGAAAAGGAAGTACAAATTTCACATGTTGAGGAATATAGTGATGCTGACACGGCTCAACATCATGAAAACCAGACAGACGATGGTATAGTAGATGGGAAAAGTGCGGAAACAAATGTCAAAGAAGAGGATTTGTTTGAAGAAGATAATAAGCATAGTATACAAGATAGTAACGATAAAGGTAAACATAAAGGTAGACATAAATGAGGACACAAAGGTAAACATAAAGGTGAACATAAAGGTAGACAAAAAGGTAGACACAAAGGTAGACATAAAGGTAAACTTAAAGGTAGACATAAAGGTAAACTTAAAGGTAGACATAAAGGTAAACATAAAGGGTAGACATATACGCTATTAAAAATGATTTTCATTATTATTTACTTTTTTACTTGATAAAGACTGTCGTGTGGCCGACAATTTCAATGGAAGTGATTGCTATAATCGTGCCAAATCAAATCAGGTTTCTAGATGTGAAAAGATGACAGCAATAAAGCAGAAAACCGTCAATGTTTTGTCAAGCATTGAAACAGTCAATGTTAATCAAGGTAATTGCGACAAAAGAGATTTCTTGTGTGGTAATCACGTGACAGTCTTCGTAAAACATCGTGATCAGAAGAAAAATGTGAAGTGTTTATTGCCATTAGAAACTGAAAGTCATAGTGAATTGATGATGGGAAAAGAATTACAAAAAAGCCCTAGAAGCAGTGATGGCAATAGGAATGCTCAACATGTAAGTTCGGCAAAGCAGTCACGTGTATCATCTTTAAGTTTAAATTACGTTGATCATATTGTGAAGAAAAATCAACCACATGAGCTGCTAAAAATATTACCATCTCAAGAAATTGATGCCATGCCTAATTCCATTTATCAGAGACAGGAAACAAGAAGGATCCATGATGCAAATTTTGCAGGTATAACTAACAAACAAAACTGTCATATAATGAAAATCTTCAACCCTTTCAAAGAACTTCTAAAGACTGTCCAATTAAAATCTGAATCTGGCCAAACCCCAAATCAAATTCCATTTGATGAAGCTACCAAATGCAATAAAGATGCAAGTCTTGCTACATTAAATATGAAGCAAATGGATTCATTCGCCAAATCAAATCAAGAGAAAAAACCCACAATCACACAAACAATAAAGAAACCAAGAAATTTAGCTTTCACTGACTACATTCATGGTGTTAATTTTCTTTGCAAATATCAACCAGATAACACCCTGGGTAAATTGTTAACATTGCACAATCGGCCACTTTTTTCTGGAAGAAAACTCAAGAAAATGCAAAAAATACAGACTCTAATGCTAAAGATGGACAGAAAAAATGTAAATATTTAAACATGTTGAAATGACATAAGGTGGGGTATTCTATGAACCATAAGTAACACAATGTTAGGGAAGATGCTATATTATAATTTATATGTGCAAAATGCAGATAGAATATTTTTCTTGAATTTTTTTGTCTTATTAAACTCCAATCATTATTTCTTTTGCATAGTGACAAAAGTTCAATTGAAGAATATAATTGTATATTTACATAGTTATGTATTATATGCTTATATCTTTGGGAAAAATCGTATAAATATGATCATGCTAATGAACACCATACATACACAAGTTAACATTATCCATAGCCATAGCGAACATGGCCTGTTAGTTATCTCTTCCAATCTTTCACTTTCATGTTTGAGCTTTTTATAGCTTGAATCAGCTAATCTTGTTGCATTGTCTAGAACCTATTAACATATGAATAAAATAATGAAAATTGCTTCTCATGCACTAATCCTCAAAGACATATATTGTAAACCTTATTGTCTTTTTTCAAAATGTCATTTGCAACCAGTGAGTTATGTTTAAGGTTCTGAGCCATTTCAATCATTTCCTCTGCAATTTTTTCTTGCATATTTTGATGGTGTTGCATAATCTCATCAAAACCTTCTTCAGAATTTACCATGTGACTACCATGTCAAAAAAATAGAAAAATTATTATAATAAAAATTAAACAGTAGTTTTTATAAAAATCACCTTGAAGACTTCCGGCTTTTTAAATTGGGCCCAGCAAGTAATTCCTTTCTTGCTTCATTTTGGTGTCGTGTTTTAGCTTTGTGGTGAATCTCTCTAACTTTAATTGTTGTGGCATATGTCCTATCTGAAATTATATCAGGAGGGACAATTTGTTGGCTTGCCACAGTTTTCTTGTAAGGACAAGTCTAAATGGCAATTAATGATAAGGCTTATGATAAGTAAATTTGTGATTTTACAACTACTGATAGTTTTATAAAATACCATTTTCTCTGTATCAATGGTATGTTTTAAGAACTCAATTCTTTTGGTATATTCTTTCATTGTATCTTTTGAAGGTTTGCTAGAGGTAGGAGATATGACTTTAGAAATATGAAATCATCATTATGCGCAACCATTGACATATTTTTATAATAGAGTTTTGTTAGTGTATAATCATCGTAAAAAATTTTGCAGTCTTCACGAGTTTACCTGTCTACTTTCCCTAACTCCACTATTTGCTTTTGAAGCGCAATAACGTACTATACGAAAGAAAATTGATAAATTAGTATTTGATGACGGCTTTCATTTATTTCAAGCCAAAAACGCGAAACCTTTTCGAGTCTCCAATTTATTTTTCCATCTTTTAATTTAATATTATTTGCCAAGGCTTCGCAACACGAAAGCAATCTTCTTAAGTTAATTTCTTCTTTAGACAGAACCGCCATTATAAACACATATATTCAATATCGATAACATTTAACATCATATTTAAGTTAAGAAATACATTATAATGATTTGCATAATGATTATCAAATTTTTTATTCCAATCTTTCAGTTCAATAGTTAAATATTTCAGATAGCAACACAATTCCACGTTAATCCCTGGTTAATGATCATTTTGCATGCATCTCAGATTCGTCGATTGTTTAACTTTGTCTTTTCCATGAAAGAAAGGGCACGCTCCCAAAACGTAATGGTCCCCCCACACAGGTTTTTTTTGGGGGGGGGCTCTGCTAGTTACAAAAGCAAGCAAAATGTGTATTTTGTCTGGGTTTTTCTTTTCATGACAAGTGCTTCTACAGAAAAGCTTAAGAGGTAGACAAAAAGATAAACATAAAGGTAAACACAAAAGTAGACATAAAGATAGAACATAGAGGTAGACACGAAAGTAGGCCACAAAGATAGACACAAAAGTGTACTTGAAGATAAACATAAAGGTAGACTCAAAAGTAGACACAAAGATAGACACAAAGGTAGACCTTAAGGTAGACAAAAGGTAGACACAATAGTAGACATAAAGGTAGACATAAAGATAGACATAAAGATACACAAAAAGATACACAAAAAGGTAGACTTATCTTCCACTTTGCTTTGATTAGTGATTAGGACTCATTTTTTTTGTTTTCTCAATGAAAGAGCACTGTCCCAGAACGTAGTGTTCCCTCCCCTCATAGTGTTTTGGGTGCGTGCGCTTCTGCCAGTTATAAAATCAAGCAAAATGTGTATTTGGTCTATGTTTTCACGGCAAATTATTCTACTGAAAAGCCGAACATTCGGTTTACGCAAAAAGGTAGATATAAAGGTAGACACAAAGGAGGAACAAAGTCAAGCTTTGTAGTAATTCTCAACAAAAACTGCACACTATCTTTGAAAGGGTTTTTTGAAGTTATCTCATGCAGTGCCAGCGTTATATTTATTAGTAAATGCTTTCAGGGATGTTAGTGATTGGATGTCCCTGCCAACCGAGGGAGTGGAAGTAGTTTGATAAATTTTACGAGGTTTAAGGGTACATTTAATCACTGATATCCCTAACACTATGTGTTTACATGGTTGCAGAGGATATAATAAGTGCGTTGAACTCTCCAGTTTGGCAATATTCATCAAACTAATTCAAAGATTTGAATATTGACAACTATTAATGGTGTTCAAAGCTTGTGTTGTTCATGGTCAGCGAGGGAATAAAGAAATGAATCAAGCTATGTAATTGTAAATTTTGTCATTGAATTGGTTCAGTGAATATGCGTAAGAATTTGCTTTGCAAATACATTTGGTAGTTTAAATACTGTTTAAGGTCTTGATGGTTGATCACCAGTTTTTATATGTAAGTGACAAGGAAGTTGCGGATGAGAAGGAAAGACGATTTCTATGACCAGTCGACACAAATAATGGTGGAGCAGAAATGAGTTGAGGCTTGTAATAACATATTCCAGGATTTTGAACAAAAGGCCAAAGATTTATTTGTGTTTCAAGTATCGAAGATCTAACAGTCGAACAAGAGGATCCAAAAAGTTGACTTTTGGCTTTGTAAACTTGCTCTCGAAGTAGTATGGTTTCAATGGACTTGTGGAAGACATCTTGCCATTAATCTTTTTCATTCATCACAGTTGAAAATTATTAAGGTGTGGAAAAGTCAAGAAGCAAGCAGAAACAATTTCTACATGAAACGAGAAGGAAATGCAGAAACATGGCATACTTATTTTGATGTTGATGAGGGGTATTTTGTCTTAACATCGATGAGGGATATTTAGAACTAAATATGTTTCGTTCCTGTATTTTGAGGAAATACGTCGGTATGTGTCCCTTTTATAACAACTAAATAACATCAACAGCAATAAAAAATCAAGAGCATCAACGAAACAAGCCGCATTAAAGGGGAAAATTTAGTTTGGTATTATGAACGTAAACGGTATTCTTAAACAATACAGCTCAACATCCAAACGACGAAGCAGCCAACCAAACTGATGACATCCACGTGAAGATGCTCCTTCCGTTCATCTCGTTCGTCAACCATTAAGGCTCTTAGCTACCTAAAACAACACCAATATTCAACATTGTTTGAGTGACCAAAAGACGAAAAGAAAATCCACAAGTGCCATTTGTAATAATTCACCAACAACTTTTGATAACAGCTGCTGAAAGAAATATGAAAACGGAAAACCATTGTGAAATATGCTACAGAAGTACTTGCTTCGATATCATGCGTAAAAAAAGATCTCAAGTTTCGATTTATCTCTAATGTTCTTCTTAAAATGACAATGGTTTAAAAGTTGATGTTAAGAATATATATTTACTTAATACTAATTATATTTTTTTTAGTACTTTAATTAATACACTGTCTTAAAATGACTAAACTTGCCATCTTTCTCCAACTCACTCACTGGTCGAGTGGGTAGGTAGAGGTTCTCAGGTTGTGGTGTGAGGTTCGAATCTTTGAGGGTCTATCAGTTGTTGTTGGGCTTGGTGTGTTGAACATAAGACTTGCAATAACCGAGTACCGTGAATGTCAAGAGCACAGCAAGGGCAGATAATAGTGTACACGAGCTGTACAAATGGCAATTCTATTGTTGGTTTTTAAACAATGGAATGCGACACTTGCATATTTTCAGAAAAAAATCCCAAATAAAAAAAAGAAAAGGGGATCTGTTGCAAAAATTTTGCCCTAAAAAAACTAAGTCTTTTGATCAAATTTTTCTATGACTTCCCGAAGGAAGTCATTTTTTAATAGTCAGGAAACAGAGGGCAAACCGAACGCCCTTTCACATCCCCTCCTAACCTCAACCTTGCACTCAATCCTAAATCTACAACCCGAACTGACGACGACACCGGGACGAACCAAGGACCTCGTGCATTGGAGGTCAGACAGAGCCTGTCAAGCCAGAAGCTCAACAACGAATACTAACAGTTTCTTGGCATATTTGCCCCTTTTTTTTAACTTTGAAGTAGAAATATACAATATACAAGGTGGTCTTGAACCTTAGAACGTGCAACTACATTAGTCATGACTTTACCTTAGTTATTTACGTATTATTGAACTCTAAAAAGCTAAAGAGAACGAAGCGGTCTCGAACCCGAGAAGGAGTGATCATCAAATCGTCATCTGTACCACTCAGGCATGCGAGAGAGATGTGACGTCGATGAAAACATATCAAGTGTTTCAACAGAACAGCATTTATTGCCTTTCATTACATAAGGCTTTAGTTTATAACCTGTTTTGAAAATATGCCTTCGACGGCATCATAGCAATAGTAGAACTCTAAAGGCAAGGGCTTCCTGATCGAACTCTAAGCAATAAATCTTTACTATGAAGAAACAAGAGGAACAAAGTAAGTTCAAAGGCATCCATTGACATGTGGTGCATTCGGGTCATGACGCGCATGTCCTTAATCAATTTTGTCCATTCAAGAGTATCGTAAAAAGACTATTTCAATAGATATTTTTTCTTGTCTTTTCCCATCGTCAATTTTAATGATCGTCATTTCAAACCTTTGTGTCTAACTTTGTGTCTACCTTAATGTGATTGCCTACCTATGTTTGTACCTTCTTGTCTACCTTAATGTGATTGTCTACCTTTGTGTCTACGTTTTCAAAGGACAAAGTTTTCACTTTGTTGAAAACGACATTTGAAAAATTAGTCTTTTCATAGTTGAAAGTAGTCAATGGAATCGAAGTAATCGAAGGTAGTCAATTCACGCATTGCCATGTGTTAAATCAGGGCAGTGACGAGCATGTTTTGGTCGTTTTTTTTCCGATGTAATGGCGTCGAGATCATTTGACTTTATGTTTGAACTAACACAGCTATATTTTATCATCATACGCACCAACCATATTTTTTTGACCGTTAGTGTTGGTTGCGCACAGACAAGAGTTTAATAATTCCAAACAAGGACGAAGAAACCTATGAAATGACGTCTTTTTATGATATCGTCTTTTATGCAACGACAACTTTTTCAAATGTTGTCTCCCATAAAAAGGTAAGACGAAACAGATGACACAACTTCTGAAAAGACGTCTATTCTATTTGAGGACATTGACTATATTCGATTACGATTCCTCCTATGAAATGACGACTTAGTGCCCTATGATCGTTAACAAATTAACGGCTGACGGTAAAGAAATGCCTGCTTTGGTTACGAAAGTGCCCTTTGATCGTTACACAAATGCCCACAGACGGTAACAAACGTTACAAAATGCCAAATTTTATCATCATCAAACGCACCAACCATAATTTTTGACTGTTGGTGTTGGTTGCACTCAGTCAAGGGTTTAATAACGCCTTTTTATGATGTCGTGTTCTATGCAATGACAGCTTTTTTAAATGTTTTCCCTTTCTACATTCCATTAATTTGATTACATTGACTACTTTCGACTATTAAATGACTAATTTTTAAAATGTCGTGGTGTTCAACAAAACGAGAACTTTGTGCTATGAAAAGGTATCAACAAAGATATATAAAAAGGTAGAAACAAAGGCAGACAAGAAGGTAGACATAAAGATACAAACATAGGTAGGCAATCACATTAAGGTAGACACAAAGTTAGACACAAAAATTTGAAATGACGATCATTAAAATTGACGACGGGAAAGGCAAGAAAAAATATCTATGGAAATAGTCTTTTCACGATATTCCTGAATGGACAAAATTGATTAAGGACATGCGCGTCATGACCCGAATGCACCACATGTCAATGGATGCAATTGGACTTACTTTGTTCCTCTTGTTTCTTCATAGTAAAGTATTTATTGCTTAGAGTGCGAAGAGGAAGCCCTTGCCTTTAGAGTTCTACTATTGCTATGATGCCGTCGAAGGCATATTTTCAAAACAGGTTATAAACTAAAGCCTTATGTAATGAAAGGCAATAAATGCTGTTCTGTTGAAACACTTGATATGTTTTCATCGACGTCACATCTCTCTCGCATGCCTGAGTGGTACAGATGACGGTTTGATGATCACTCCTTCTCGGGTTCGAGACCGCTTCGTTCTCTTTAGCTTTTTAGAGTTCAATAATACGTAAATAACTAAGGTAAAGTCATGACTAATGTAGTTGCACGTTCTAAGGTTCAAGACCACCTTGTATATTGTATATTTCTACTTCAAAGTTAAAAAAAAATGGGCAAATATGCCAAGAAACTGTTAGCATTCGTTGTTGAGCTTCTGGCTTGACAGGCTCTGTCTGACCTCCAATGCACGAGGTCCTTGGTTCGTCCCGGTGTCGTCGTCAATTCGGGTTGTAGATTGAGGATTGAGTGCAAGGTTGAGGTTAGGAGGGGATGTGAAAGGGCGTTCGGTTTGCCCTCTGTTTCCTGACTATTAAAAAATGACTTCCTTCGGAAGTCATAGAAAAATTTGATCAAAAGACTTAGTTTTTTTAGGGCAAAATTTTTGCAACAGATCCCCTTTTCTTTTTTTTATTTGGGATTTTTTTCTGAAAATATACTAAGTGTCGCATTCCATTCTTTAAAAACCAACAATAGAATTGCCATTTGTACAGCTCGTGTACACTATTATCTGCCCTTGCTGTGCTCTTGACATTCACGGTACTCGGTTATTGCAAGTCTTATGTTCAACACACCAAGCCCAACAACAACTGACTGACCCTCGAAGATTCGAACCACACACCACAACCTGAGAAACCTCTACCTACCCACTCGACCAGTGAGTGAGTTGGAGAAAGATGGCAAGTTTAGTCATTTTAAGACAGTGTATTAATTAAAGTACTAAAAAAATATAATTAGTATTAAGTAAATATATATTCCTAACATCAACTTTTAAACCATTGACATTTTAAGAAGAACATTAGAGATAAATCGAAACTTGAGATCTTTTTTTACGCATGATATCGAAGCAAGTACTTCTGTAGCATATTTCACAATGGTTTTCCGTTTTCATATTTCTTTCAGCAGCTGTTATCAAAAGTTGTTGGTGAATTATTACAAATGGCACTGGTGGATTTTCTTTTCGTCTTTTGGTCACTCAAACAATGTTGAATATTGGGGTCGTTTTAGGTAGCTAAGAGCCTTAATGGTTGACGAACGAGATGAACGGAAGGAGCATCTTCACGTGGATGTCATCAGTTTGGTTGGCTGCTTCGTCGTTTGGATGTTGAGCTGTATTGTTTAAGAATACCGTTTACGTTCATAATACCAAACTACATTTTCCCCTTTAATGCGGCTTGTTTCGTTGATGCTCTTGATTTTTTTATTGCTGTTGATGTTATTTAGTTGTTATAAAAGGGACACATACCGACGTATTTCCTCAAAATACAGGAACGAAACATATTTAGTTCTAAATATCCCTTATCAATGTTAAGACAAAATACCCCCTCATCAACATCAAAATAAGTACGCCATTTTTCTACATTTCCTTCTCGTTTCCTGTAGAAATTGCTTCTGCTTGCTTCTTGACTTTTCCACACCTTAATAATTTTCAACTGTGATGAATGAAAAAGATTAATGGCAAGATGTCTTCCACAAGTCCATTGAAACCATACTACTTCGAGAGCAAGTTTACAAAGCCAAAAGTCAACTTTTTGGATCCTCTTGTTCGACTGTTAGATCTTCGATACTTGAAACACAAATAAATCTTTGGCCTTTTGTTCAAAATCCTGGAATATGTTATTACAAGCCTCAACTCATTTCTGCTCCACCATTATTATTGTCGACTGGTCATAGAAATCGTCGTTCCCTCTCATCCGCAACTTCCTTGTCACTTACATATAAAAACTGGTGATCAACCATCAAGACCTTAAACAGTGTTTAAACTACCAAATGTATTTGCAAAGCAAATTCTTACTCATAATCACTGAACCAATTCAATAACAAAATTCACAATTAAATAGCTTTATTCATTTCTTTATTCCCTCGCTCATCATGAACAATACACGCTTTAAATACCATCAATAGTTGTGAATATTCACATCTTTGAACTAGTAAAAAGTATGAAAGATTTTATAACAAGAATGAATCAGACGAAACAAAAGGTTTGGCTCATTGGCTGCTTTCCCATATAACAAACGAAAACTTTTTTTTTCCAACTCAAAGTTTGATAATGGAACCACTAATGAGGATTTACGTTCATCTCCAGCAGAGAAATGCTGCGATAAAGGAAATAACATTGAAAAACATCTGCCATCCTTAAATAAGTAGTCGTCAAACATTACTCTATAGAGAGAGTTATATCAAAGAAGACATATTCAAAAAGACGAACCATGTGATATCTATGGATATCTTATGCACCATGTATCTATCACGCAATTAGTTTCTTATACACGCACCACTTATCATCTTAACACGAATATTGTCATTAAAAACCAAAGCCCTTGAAATTATAAGAGAAGGAACAGTAAACTGATTAATATTTCAGTATAAGCGCTGACTCTAAACATAATGATGAATGTATTTGCCATTTATTTTCTTAGGTAAATTTTGGACGAAATTTGTCAAAAAGTGAAATGAAATTGAGAAAAGCTATACTTAATTGTCGTTACGATGTTGTTTTGTAAGCTTAACACATCCATCAAGATAAACTGCTCAAAGAATTATAATTAATAGATCGTTTAAGTGGTTTTTAGTGAAAAAAAATCGTGACCTCAAGCAAATTAATAATTGAGTTCTGACCACCACCGAGTGGCATAAAACGACGAAAAATGTTAATTAACTTCTTTACTCGTTGGCATGTGATAGAAACTATTATTTAAGAAAATGAATTATTTTTTCGTAGTCAAAAACCTTTCTTTTATTCTGTACTTGTACCAGAATACATTATCAGCAAACGGAACTGTGCATAACAGCAAAAACTTTGGTTATATCACAAAAAGTTTTCCAAACGTCGAGTGTACGAGTGTTCAAGTAAACCAATATTGTTCAACGATAAACTATCAATTTCCGTACATGGTAAAATTAAGAAGACATGACCAGGTCCCAGAATTTTTACTGAACCATACCACGTTTATGACACAGTTAAAGAAGATGACGAGAGTAACGGATAATGCCAGCAAGAAGTGTAAGATCTCTGCGAAGGATTATGCATGTCAACTGGGATATGCTTACCGTTGTAACGAAGATGAAATCTACGCAAATATTGAGGAAATTTTTACATCCTGCGAGCATGCAAGACGTGATTGCTCCAAAATACAAGAAAACTTACTGGATGAATATTTCCGCTGTTTGTATATTAATAAGACTTACAGCAAAAAGCTACTACTTAAAGCGAAATGTAGTCGTTTTCCTGAACTACAACAAAAAAAACTCTTTTCTTGCCAAAATAATTACTCGGTAAAGCTCCACTTTATGTATTTCTTTTTAGCACAATTCCTAAACCTCTCCACAATGATTTATTAAATTGTGGTTTTATTCTAAGGCCCATACGAGTAGAAAAATCATCAAACCATCTCAATACCTTTCTAGGTCCCAACCAGCCCAATATTAAATTTTACTGAAGCAACCAATACCATCAACACACAGCACAAATATTTTAAGACAGCCAACATCAGCGACGAGAATTGCAAGATGGAGATTGCACAAGTTGTATGTAAGTCAGTGCTACCAGCATGTTCATTGGATCGCACCAAAATTATTTTTTTACTAAACAAGCAGGAATGCCACGAAATCGTTTCATGGTAAGATATAACTCATGAAAATTGACAATGCAAAAGAAACAATGAGGGTATGACTATGCTTATGTTTCAGCGTTAACAAGAGTGATGATACCAATCTCATTATGAAAGCACATCAACTGTGTGCAGGTTTGCCTGACGATGAAAGTGCAAAGATATATTCTCTGGATAAAGTTTATGTACACAATGGTGTGAACAAAAACATGACGTGGAATACCATCTTATTCCTTATCATCACAGCTTGTTATGGTGCCCATATTATATGTACTACTTATAATTTATGTAACTGAGTGGGGCAGTATGAGGGCAGAGGAGAAACTAGAACGTTAATTGGTAGCGTGACGTGCCTTTAGGACGACATGAAAAGTCGAGTAGTACCTACTAATGCATGCAAATATCATAAAATATATGTAAGTTTTAACTAGACAAGTATGTTTTAGAAAATTATAATCGTTAAGCTGGTAGATGAAGCCATAAATCTGATAAAATTTATCTATAATGGGATCGTCAATGCAGAACTTATACTGGAGAGGGGGAGGGAAATTTCGACTGGGTAAGCTTGAATTATATTTGAGAGATGTCCCCAGAGTCTATATGTTAAACCACGCCTTGGTATATCAAACAATTCAATTGTTTCCTAATAACTGGTGGGGATTGATTAATTTAGCTGTAAACGCGCATCTAGAGCCTGGGGATGAATTATTGAATTTATTATGTTAATCATTGTTAATTTATCTCAATAGAATATGGATATGGATAAAAATGATGTTTCTATAGATTTGTCGAGATCAATACAAGAGGACAACATCGAGCAAGTTCGTTATATATTACATACGCAACACGACAATGTTTCACGATGTATAAATGAAATGGTTATTGATGGACTTACACCATTAATGTTAGCAGCTAAACATAACAATGTTGAGATAGCACAAATTCTCATGCGACACAGGTAAAAATAGAGAGATAATCAAGACGTACAACACCATTTAAATAGTGCCTTGTTCTAAGGGTGAGAGAGTATTTTGGAATTCCTAACATTAATTCAAGTATTTTTCACAAATAATAACTTGTCGGTTGTCCTATATATTTTGGACATGCGCATTAATTATTAATTACGTAAACAAAGGACTACAAACATCAATAATAACATCATGATCATGGACAATGGGTTCAACGAAAATTCCAACAAATTTTCCCATGAAAAACAAAGGAAATTGTTTAGTATTACGCGTAGGAAACAGTTTTACAATACTTGGCAATCATAGTTCTCATTTGATCATATTTTATTTATGATGATAAAAGCTTTAAATCCTGTGACCACGTCAAAATTATCCCAAGTCCAAAGGTTATCAAAAATAAAAAAACAATTATTTGCTAGAATAAGGTAAGATAACAGGCATATAAATTTTTTTTTGTTCACATGTTGCAGTGAAGCAATTATGCATTTGTTCTGTATTGTAGTTAAGCCAAGTATGAATTTATAAGCCTAGGGTTGTTTTTCATTGTTGCCACTGTTGTTTTTATAATTACCAGTATTTATTGTTAATTCTGTTACTGTTATATTAGTACTGTCCTTATTTTATTAGGGCTGTATCTTATTATGCCAGGTTACAATTACCATCATTGATTGTGATGATTATGTGTAAACAATGTTTCATAAATCATAATTATAAATGTTTTTCCATTACCGCTAATTTTCAATTGCTTATGTAGAGCTACTGTGGATATGAGGGATAGAAAAGGACTAACAGCTACTGATATTGCTAAAAATAACGGATCAATAGCTACATTAAATGTATTGAAACACTACAGACAATTCGCGTCAGTGGGTTATCCATCTGTGAACTACTTTAGTCATGTCCCTTTGAACCGAATGGCAGAAAAACGTAAGGATAAAGTATGGCTGGATCAACAAATGAAAAATCCTAAATCAATGTATGTTATATTTAACCAACTAAAACCTCTAGCAAGAAAAGTAGCTTCAAAAAAGACTTTTTGTCTGGTAAAGGTTAACTTCAGACAGTTATCAGAAATACTTGGAAAGCAAGCTGAGGAGATAAAGAATGTTGTTTTTTTAGGTGTAGAAGAGACTTACACAAATTCTTGCAAAGAAACTAGTTTGAATAAGGCAATAGATTGTAATATTTCATGGTTTGCTGTTGATGTCGGTGATATCAGTGATGCTTCAGATAAATTCTTAAAGGAAAATCCAAATACAGAATATTTATCACCACGTCCTGGATTTTTGCAAGTCAATGCAAAAGATGCAACAATACTAGCACAAGCACGTCCAATTCTGGAATGGCATCAGTTCAACAAGTTCTGTTCAAGATGTGGAAGCAAAGTGTCAATTGAAGAGGCAGGATACAAGCAGAGTTGTTCTAATGAACAATGTGCTACCAAAAACAGTAAGTGGAAAATTTAACAGCTGTTGCATCTTTAATTCTATATCATGTACAAATAGTGATGATGGCATTGGCTGTAAAAATGATTTAAAATGTGTAAATGGTATTCAAACAAATTAATCAACTAAAGTACATACCCATTAATGATGTCATGAAGTATAACTGAATATGGTTCCATGGATAAAGCAGACCTGTTACTTATTGATCTGAAAAGAAATTAAATAGTGCATTAGCAATAATACCTTCCTTTTGTCTTTTTCTAGAAATTCTCAATGTGAGTTATCCTCGTACAGATCCAGTGGGAATTATGCTTGTTGTCTCTCATGATGGCACACAATGTTTGCTTGGTCGTAAAGCAAGCTTTCCTGTGGGAATGTATTCTTGTCTTGCAGGCTTTATGGAGCCTGGAGAAAGTATAGAAGATGCAGTAAGACGAGAGGTCATGGAGGAAAGCGGTATCAGTGTTGGTCCAGTTAAATATCACTCATCTCAGTTTTGGCCTTATCCTGCTCAGCTTATGATTGGCTGTATAGCGCATGCAAACACTAGTCATATTGTTATTGATAAGGAAGAACTGGATGATATACAATGGTTCAATCTAGACAGTGTGAGACAAGCTTGCTATAAAAAAATTGATATTTCAAACCCACCATCGCTATGGTTTCCTCCAAGGCAAGCTATTGCAAGACAGTTAATTGAACATTGGGTAGATACTTACTCAGATGTATTATAAATAAGTATTTAAATAAATGTGATAGTAAAATTTTATTTTGCGTGCTTATTTATGGATGAAATACACACCGAATAGTCGTTAATACTTGAAATGCTTAAATCATTTTCACTTCTTCATTGTACTTTGTGTTTTCATTCTTCAGTAGGTCTCTTTTTTCTACTATCTTTTCAATTTAATACTTAGTTTAAGCATGGACTAAACGTTGTTTATGTTTGTTTGGTTTTAAGTTGAAATACTGCTAAAAAAAACATTTGAATGAGAAAAAAAGAGACGAGAAACCATTCTTGCCGCTCAAACCTTAATCAGTAGGAAGTGTAAACCGTTCTGATTGGTCAGTATCATGAAAGCAATATCCAATCAAATGTTGCGTACTATATACATTTAATATAGTGTTGTTCTCGTTGCGACTGCTATGGCTACGTAGATTTTGCTCGAAGAATTCGAACTTTTTCTTACAGAATTGAAAAGCAAATTAACTATATCCTAAAGATTAACAATGGTGTGTGTATCGTGTTTTCTTCTGCCAATTGCGCTCTTCATTTGGCACAAGTTCATACAGCCGATAATCGATCTTTGGAGAGGTAAAAAACCGATCACCAACAACGCAGCAACGACTGACGTAAAATCAAATGAAAAGGTATTATGCTTAAAATTTTACTAGTATACTTCTTCGTCTTTATAAGATCATTCACGTATGAAATAGTTTCTTCTTATAATATTCACGAAATTGATGTATAAGATTTTAGCCTTCTGACTCATGGCTAAAGTTTATTACTGCGCTTTGAATGATGGGATTGACATGGCAGACGAAAATCAGTAAGGAAAGTTGGAAATTCGTGTGTATTTTCTTATATTTTAAATTTTTACGCGAAATCCAGCATTTCTTTATAAATAGCGCAAAAGGTTAGTGTGTGAAAAAATTTTCAGAAGGAAACATTTGAAATGTGTTCTCTGAATATGGCTACATTAAGATGAACTCGCCAATTAATCAATCTCAAAGTCAGTAATGTTACCCAGACCTTTAACTTTCTTTATTTGTTTTTCCTTTCTTCACCTTTTCATCACAAGAATATATGTATATAGACTGAAAAGGTGTTTGTGGTTGAATTGTCATTTATTTTGTTTGTGGTTGAATTGTGATTTTCATTGTGGTTGAATTGTGATTTTCATTTTCTATCATAATCATCATCACGTGTGCATGCATACCCACTATTCTTATGATCTCCACTAGTTAGTTTTGTCAAAGATGTTTACTGGTCTCCTACAAAATGAACTCCAACAGGGATACTTAATATTTTCATATTCCACCATTACATAAACATTGGCTTTATATTCTTTAAGAATATACATCATTGAACCATTTCCATGCCATGTTTTTCTGTCTACACAAAGGACACCAGATTTATTTTGAATCTAGAAATGCATATTTGCATGATGATTTTTGCCAAACACATAATGTTGTCAAGGCAAACTATTTCCATTTTTGCTATTGTGAAAAATGCTTCCCGCACTATAATGACTGTGGCTAATCATTAGTTTATACTACACATGTTTTACAATGACTCAACAATACTCCTTAGAAGTTTAGTCAAACCATCTTATCTCTTTGACTAGAACGGATCGATATTGACAGAAACAGAGGAGAAAAATGACAGCATTAACACAGATGCTGTGAAAAACACAGCAGAGGTTGAATTGCCAAAAGATAAATAAATTGCACATAGCAATGGAAAATTTGAAGCCTATATTTGTAAATTAGCATGTTTCATGTAATTCCCTAACTCCATCAATTAAATAACTTTACATGATTAATTACATTACTAAACAATGATTCTATATTATATTGTGTTGGTAAGTTAGATATACAATAGTAATTTCTTTATCAGTGGTCATCTACTTTTATAATATTCAATGGCTTAGCTAGCCAACATTTAACTTCTACTGTCCAAATATAACAGTGTTCATTGACTGTGTGATATAAACTAAAGTTCTGCAGAAAGGAATGATGGATTTAAAAAGAGCAAAATATACTTTATATAGAATGTTCCAGCTAATAGCTGACGGAACTAAGTAAGAGCTTACACTATACATGAAATGATCTGTTTTTTCAAAAATTATAATTCTTTATCTTTTCCTGAATTGAACCACTGTGGCTATATTACACAAACACTATGTTTTGCTTCACTGCATGTTTTAATAGAAAGACTGGTCATGCATTTAAGTCAGTACGCTTACCGCGTGGCTTTCATGTGCATCCACTCATTGTCATCAATGCGTCTTTACAAATACAAACTCAACCTGAAACATAGGAAACAAAGTTAACATTTTAATATTTGGTCAAGGGAATTGTTAGAGAGATGAGCAGGTAAGAAATTGATGTAGTATCACTCAAAACGATTCCGTCACACGAAACGTCCAAACGAGGGCAAAATTTTGAATAATGTTGAACGGGGGAATGTTTAAGTAGAAAACGCAGTTAAGTTTACAAATTCCGAGATATCTTTTAAGGTGATTTGCCTCTTGGTGAAAAATAACATTCGAAATTACTAAAAACTTCACTCGTAAAGATATCAACACCGCTGCCATGAACGTTTCTTCCATAATTAAACACAGTTTATTGGATTCTTAAACACCAATTGTTTTAGTTCCAAATTTCCTTCATTCCACTAATTGTTGAAATTAAGCACATCATGATACGTTTATTGAACGTACCATTAAAAATAGTGACAATTGTCTTTTTTTGACTCTAGTTGAGGATGGGGTAGGATATTAAGCGTCTATAAGTGTACAATGCCTCATCCAAAGCGTTAAGTATAATTGCATGATACGTGTAGGGCCATATAGCATACTGGTCATAACTAAATAACTTAACTGTTGTGCATATTCAAAACCGATTTGCAACAGGCAATACAACCATATATATACAACCCAGAATGCAATATCTCTAAGAATCCAAATCTTTATATGAGATGAAAATGTGGGTATCTGTTTCAAAATTCTTTCACAGCAGACATCGTTCTATAGATGAAAGCACCACACGCTCCTGACAATACATGTCTGGTATGAATATTTTTCATGCGATATCAGGCACATCAATTTTTTACAATGCTTCGAATGTTTTATCATATCTTAGTTTATTTATTTCAACACTAAATATTATAGCCGAACATGACAACAATTATGAATGAACACGCACTGTTTTCAAAAGTAAGATGCCAAAACTGTGTTCTTGAAGACGTAGGTGAAAACATGCATCTAAGAAATATTCACTCAATTGCTTCTCACGAGGAAAATAACTATGTCACGGATTTTTAATGAAAGAAACTTTTTTCTGGCAAAAAACCTTACATCTTGCACGTAAAAGAACTTTATCTGCATCTCTTTATGTTTAACTTTCAATTATATAGAAAGAATACCTTGATTTTATTCTCTACACGTTAATGTATATAGAAGTATATATAACTAGATGGAGTTATAATCACAAAATTATCTTACTAGCTGCTATAGTTTTAACATATTGATAGCATTCGACGTCGTAGAAACTAATTTTCAATGCATGACCGTTCAAGTGAGACACATTTGACACGGTGGAAGCGCAGAGACATCAACATTAATATCACTAACGAAGACCGACAGAAAAAAGCAGCGTAATACAAGTTCAGCTGATCAAGACGGATAGTGAAACTATGATATGTAATGCAAGACAAATCTTCTATTTTTAGTAGATAAGAAAGAGTTTTAGAGGTAAATAAAAACAAAGCGATAACGTCATGTATAGCCGACGTAGTATGTTCACAAGACAAGAACTAAACGACTACCTCCATGGAAAAAGGGAAGCCTTGCAAGTTAAAATAGACCAGGCAACTGAAGATTCGATGAGACAAAATGAAAACACGACATTGATAAATAAAGGTAGCTATAAAAATTTGACGATGAACGTATACGTTCGTGTATAGAAGCCAATGGACCCTCAACACATTGAGTAGGAGCTCAAATTTAATTGTTTTTTTTACTCTATGTAAACTCTTTAAAATCATGTTCTTATCAATAATATAAGGGAGATGGATTTGTACAAAGGATGGCCCTACGTTAATGCGTGAGAGCTTCTAGGAATATTTTATTTTTATTATTATCAGGGCAGAAAAACGTCAGCATTCTTCAACTACGCCACCAGCCGGGAGTGAAGAAAGAATTTTTTTCAAGAGAGGATTATAGGCAATTCTTGACCGTTATCAAACACATTCCACCTCAACTTCACTTGTGTTACTCCAGTTTGCCTGGAGCAGGATTTGGGATCATCGCCACTGAACTCATACCATCTGGTACTTGGATTGGTCCGTATGAAGGCAAACGCATTTCAGTAGAAGAGATTAGTAGGGCGACAGATACACGTTACATTTGGGAGGTGAGCTATTAAATGGGTAGGTTAGTGAGAGGTTAGGCTTACCTAGTCATTCAAGACAGTGTCATGCAAAACAATTTCAAATTGATTACATGGAAAAGTTAAGCCCAGTTGAACAGACTTAGTATCTCTAAAAGAAAGACAATTACTTTGTGAAATAAGTTCAGTCCTGATTAAACATAAATCCTTGATATATCAGCAGTAGGCATAAGACATAGTTACTACCAAAGTCAATGAGAAGAAATTTCAAAATGGAAACAAGTGTTTCTGATTATGCACCATTTCATTAAATCATCCCAGATTATCATCTTGCCAAAGAAGTCAAGTATACATCGCACAATTAGTTTGAATTACTAGTAACCGAATTTCCCCCTTTATTTTAATGTAAAGATGTGCTTTGCATCCCTGCTCGAAAACTATTTGTTTTTTTTTCTTCTTTTTAGCCTAGTACACCATCACGAGATGGCCTTAGAGGGTTTTAATATTTTATAATCGGTCGCTAATCAACACAAAAAATCAATTGTGACAGTGAATAAACCATACACTTAGATATAGAACGAAACATCGGCCAAACGATTGACATATGACTGACTGATCACGTAGAAACGTAGAGTGTAATGAGCAAAGAAAGTATTTTTTCTTATTACCCAGCAATGATATGTATGTTAATATGTGTGTTAGGTTTACAAGAATGGAGCATTGGTTTATGGGATTGATGGCAGTGATGTTAAGAATGGGTCTGCTAACTGCTGGATGAAATACATTCAATGTGCGAGGAATCCACGCGAGCAAAATGCAGTTGTATTTCAGTTTGGAGCGGAAATTTATTTCCAGACATTTAAACCAATCAAACATGGAGAGGAAATTCTAGTATGGTATGCTGATTATTACGAACAGTACTATGGTATACCAATTGGCGTTAGAAAGTTGGGAAAAAACAAGAACAACACATCATCAGGTATTCATCTTCCTCGAGTAATCGAAAAACTTCAGAACATGTCAACCAACAACATAACAGGCGTTGTAGTAAAAAGGTTGAACTTCATATATTTATTTCAGTAGCACAATCCATGACCAATATCTATACCAATATATACTCAATACGAAAACTATGTTGTACGTTGTAGTAAAAAGAATGAACTCTATATACTTATTTTACTAGCACACTCAATACCAATAGAGAAAAGTCAATTGTCGAAAGAAAATGAAGAAATTCAAGTTGTTGAATCTTTATTTCAAAATGGACCGAAGCTTACCAAAACCGAAGCTTACCTAAACCAATCGTTCCCAATAAATAACCACCAGTATAATCATTTTACCGAGACTTACCAAAACCAATCGTTCCCAATGAATAATCGCCAGTATAATAAATTTACAGAGAACGTAAGTGAAACCAAAAGAAATGATTTGGAGAGGTTTCCTGAATCAGACGAAAGTAACAATAGAAAAGTGAAAAACGTTTCTGGACGTGTCCACATTGTCTGTTGACATTCTCCCACTAAAGTAACACAGCTGTCTTTGTCCTTTGACAAACCTTTTTATGTAAATAGACAACACCTCCCCTAATAATTTGTTTAAGACTATAGTCTTCGTTTGTACAAAAATATTCATTAATGTATAATATGTAAGGGCCAATAATTTTGGGTACCTTTTGAAATGTGGTGTTGGCAAGACGTATGAACCTACACACGCGTGTACTGTCCAAAGTCATCATAAAACAGGAAATAAGTCGTTCAATGATTTGAATATGACCGGCAAACATATAATAGCGTCAACGGTCATAGCTTTCTTCTAAAATTGCCCGAAAAAGTTTTCCTATATTGCAGCAACGGCATTTAGTCAAATTTGAGTTGAGAACTAGGCTTAACAAATTCAGCTAAAGTCATTTCATTTTAAGATCTGTGAAATAATCAAAAAAGACATTTAAATGTGTAACAATCCAGCGCAAGGTAATAAAATACCCTGCAGCGAAAACAAACACGTTTCTGGCAGTCTTCAGTTTGACGATGATACTCACGTTTTAGGTTCGAGGAGCATTTAAATCTCAAGTGTTTCAAGTCGTAGATACATAGCTTGCACACACGAATGGCGATAGCATATCTGGGCAGAAATACTTTAGTGTACATCTAGACGAACAATAAGAAACGTAAAATGTCAAGGAAAACAGTAATTGTTGAAAACACAAGGTATTAGATAGTATCGTGGTCTATCAAAATATGTCGATGAATAATTTCATAAGTGATTTTCGGTTGTGACTCGTGACGTTGTCACAATGACTTGCAAGGTAAGAATCCACTGATCTACATAGGCCTCTCTAGGCATAAGACCTCGTCATTCATTGACTTTGTACAGAGCAAACATGCGTAGTACGATACCAACAAGACGATTTGGCAAAGATTAGAGGCCACAGGTTGAAATGACATAAAGGTAGGTGTCTTGATCTGCTGGTATTACGAACCAAATAGTTTCACTTATGGCACAAACTGACAATCATGAATCATGGTCAATGGAGTCTCGGGACTGAAATGGAGAGAGGAATAAAGAGAGAACGAATGAGAGAAAGAGATAGCAATTGAGTAGTGGTTTGGATAACAAACTAAATGCACACGATTTTTTTTTAAAAAGTGTAAATCTTAAAAATAAAGAGAGTTGCGGAAAGCTGACAAATCTACATCATCGAATTCATCATGAAACGATGCATTATCGTATAAACCTGGCCATTTGTATACAAAATAAAAATACTTTATAACAAAATTTTCAAAAGTGCACTGATTATATATTGTACTTTAACACATTCTAAATCAGAACAGCAATTTCAATATTACAACGGAAACAAGAAGACGTGACACAATAGCAGAGCACTAACGATACCCTGTGACATCTGTAAGTCATCAAAAAAATATATATTGACCTAGTACCAGCACGTCATTTGGTATACGGTGTCTTGATGATGTCACACGAGGTTCAAATGAAAATGAAGTATTTGCACAAGTGTTTTTGTAGACATAATGAATAATAGCAGAATAAATTTGAAGGACAGGAAGCTTCATTAACCTGATGTCACATAATGTTATCAGAGAAAATGTGTATGTAAGAGCGGGGGCAAAATAAACAGACACACTGACACACAAGATGGCGTTTCTATAGTATTAGGGGCACTTAATAGAAAAACCAGAAACCACCTGCAGGTCAATCGTGCATTTTTCAGTAATTTGCATTATCAAAATAAATGTTCAAAAAATACTTTAGTCTTAAATGAAAAATTTTGAAGCCTTCTTAAAAAAGCATTTGATTTGGACGCACTGACATTGACTTGTATTTCCAACAGGAATATATAACACTTAACATAACCGTAAGACAAGTGCATGTGCATGGTGACGAGAGTGTCTGAATACGTGTGAGTTTTTGTTCGTGGTTGTGTGTTCTTTAATCGGTGAGGAAAGGTGGCGGGTGGTCTCCCCAGTGTAACCGAAGAATACATGGGAATTCCAATTACTATATCCAACACATAGCCGACATAAATATCGCTAAACAGTTATGGGCAGCAAGCTTAAAAACACAAATACACAAGTAAAGCTAATATATACGTCTGTAATGTCTTTTCATTACAAATACAGAATGAATGTGAAGCATTATAGTTAACCTCTACATTCAAGATGTTCATTTATCATTTCACAGAATAATGACGTGTCCTTTAGACAAGGAAGTGTAGCAATGAGATTGGGACCAACCCTATACGAAGTGCTGATATGGACACACGACTTTAATGATCCAAAAAATGCAATCATTGCCATGCAAGTGCAAAGAAATAAATATTAAAAGGACACGCGTGTTCCAACTTTACTAAAAAAACCCTTTTTATACGACACATAGCTCTTTGTTTCACTTACGCAAGCGAATCATGACATCACGTCAAAAAGCACGCAAGCAAATATGGTGTTGTGGACGCAGGTCGTTGATGTAATCCTATAAAAATCACGTGACAAATAAGGTGAAAAACTCGCTTGCGTCAGCGTCAGCGATGAATGCCGGTAGAATAAGATCAATACTTAGAGACTAATTTAGAGATGAACTACCACAAAATAACCTATATTTAAATTTCAAATTAAAAGCGCAATCATGATATCGCACAAACACACCGAATTCAATAGCCACTCAATTATTCTGACCATAAAAAAGGTGAAACGTTGGATAATGACATCAATTATTCCAAACACAGGCAATATCTTTAGAAAAAGCTTTTTCATCAATGTAGAGAATTCAGGATGGGAAGAGAATAGGGACAAATAGTTGAAATAACCAAAACCTGTTAACCTTAAAATATAATCGATTATTTTATAAAACTTATAACTACATCAAAAACGAACGATTTTCAGATGTTGTCCATACATTGACAAAAAACCTTGAACATTAAAGGGAACCCATGGAAGAGTCATTTCAAGTTCCAATTTTGCTGAAGTTGTTCATTAAAATATCATTACCCAGGTTTCAAGCTTCTTAACAAAACAATAGAGAAATGAAGCATGACCATGGACGAAGCCAACATGTCTGTCAGACAAGTGTTGAGCACGGTTGGATAAATTTTCAATAAGTTTGTTGACGACCTGTTCTGGCCAAAAATTTTTTTACTAATTTGAGTTACGTCAAACACCAAGGGATAAGGTGCCTTAACTTTATGACTTATTTCCTCTAAAGCCTAAAAAATGATAGAATTTACAGAAATTACCAACATGACCAATATCACTAATTCAATCGTGCCAATTATGACACACAAAAGATATTGGACTTTATGAAGTCAAAAACTTTCAAGATGTTTCCATGCGATGTTTTAAAATTGAGGAAGAATATGATAAAAACTAAAATGAAACAAATGCAAAAAAAACACTTATAAAAATACATTTGAAGACATACAATCCAATCATCCCAGTGACGAATACAAAGGATAAGTATAAAAAACTCTATTATCTACTGATTGTTTTGTTTGGTATATTAACGGAAAATGTAATTATTTCATAATTCATATAACTAACATTGTTATGAATTCGACTTTAAAACGCTATGATTCCTGCTATGATTTATTTCCACTAACGGTGAATCATGCTCTTGTGTGATGTCATGCATTTACTCCTGCTTAGTCGACGCTCAATATCACATTGTAAAAGTTATTTTTGTATTTTTTGAATGAATAATGCACGTGTTAAACCAATTTCTAGTTGTTTTTAAAATAGTTTATTATTGCTTCGTTTGCATTTTTATTTGTGTAATTTGGTTTGGAATAAATCAACAAACTCTGTAAACACCTCACGTTCATTTGGAGTAAATATTTTTTGCATATTTAATTAGATCCGTTGAAAACAATTACAGAGTACAGATAAATCTGATTCGTTAGATGCACTGCTGTGCGAAGGAACAGGCCGAAATTGGATAGTTAATTAATCACGGAATATGCCCAGCAAGTAAACACGGTTTTTCTTCTAGACGGATGGGAAGGACTATGATGTGAACTAATTATTTTTTCAATTAAGAACAAGTTTGACAGCCTCAACATTTTGTTAGAATGCTTGCACAAGATAGCTGGTTTTATGTTGAAAAAATATTTCCCCTATCTTTAAAAGAATGAGACAAAATGAAAAGACACATGACATGAAGTCACTAGATAATAAACTTGTTTTGATGCCCAAAAGAGGCTGGTGTTGGTTTCTAACAGTTGAATATAAGAATTTTAATTATGACAGTCTAGACAAACACGGCAAACTGGAAAGAAAATTGTACTTCGAAGATACGTACATGCCAAAAAATATCCAAACTATTGTTTTGCTTTGGGATGTTAACAAATTTTGTACTTTCCAACGCTCTACTAACTCTGTTAGGATAAGACAAGAAAACATTCCTGACATAAAAACGACAGGCAATGACGAATAGCCATTAAGAAAGAAGACTTCGAAGCAGCAATTGCCACAAGAATTAATGAGGATACTACGATGGAATAAAGGTGTTCACAATAGGACTCTTAAGAGTTAACGATTACAAAGAACTAATTTATTCTGCTTCTTTAATGTGTACGAAAAGGTTGAGTGGTTTGCGGTACTAAGTGATATGAGCGTGTCTCATACCGATACAAACAGTGCGCACGCCCAAGACAAAAACACCTCCAACTGAATCGTATTAGAGAAGATGGCAATCACGGTAGAAAAGCATGTACCTTTGCTCGTCCAGATGTCAGCTAATAAAAAGGTCAGTTTCAATATTCTTCGCGCATTTGGCGAGTCGTAGCGTATACACAAAGCATAGACGCGACCTTTATAAATCGTGAGTAAATTTGATCAAGTGGGCATTGAAATGAACTGTCAATTTACAAATACACAGTATTATAAAATGATAGGCAGTATCGCATGAACGATCTCACTAAACATAATGTTTCATTGATGAAATCTTCAATATTCGTGTATCTGGTTTGGCGCCTAATTTGAGTAAAAAGCATCGTATGCAAATTGTACAATAGTAATACTAAAACATTTGCATTGTTGTGCATGGCATTGTCTTAATAAATATATGGGGAAGGTTGTGAAGGTGTGTTTCTTTCCATATCAAACAAATTCAAAATTCAAAAATACGAATATGCAGCGTCGTTATCAACGGCGTTTCGGTTTGTCATAATGACCTTTGTAAGTGCTAATGTTCATGATCATAAAGGGTTGAGCAAAATATCCAGGGGTTAACAGATTGCAAGCGGGAAAATAGAAGAGCGGGTGCACTTGAGCAGATTTTCCTTCTCAACTGATAAAAAAGCAGTCAAATGAACAGTAGAGGCAAAAATGTGCTGTTTTAAAACGCTATGTAAAAGGTGTACTAAACACTTTAAACGCTCCAAGGATTTCTTAATGATGCGTTTAGTGTCGAAACGTTTGCGATTTTTCTGAAACCGAACTTGATGGTATTTCATATTAAAAAGCCAGAACATACTATGTGCAATTCTAGTGCATCCTGACACCGCACTTTATTGTTCGTGTCCATAGAGGCAATGAAAAAGGAAATTGTGGAACATTCTAATACACAATCATAGTAATGTCAAACATATCTGGCGTCTGACGTCAAGGATAAATACAAAGAAGTACCATAAAGAGTAAAGAAAATTCGTAGTCACCCATACAACAAATGCTTCCCAATGATCTTAATTTCCTTGTTCATGGGGACAGACCGACAAAAGTGCCGGCAACATTCACTAAAAAACATATAGCTTACATTTTGACCATTGATATTTTGTAACGGTTCACTGACTGCTCTGAAGAGATATGCTAGAGTGTTTATTGACTTTGAGAAATGGAAAGTAGTAGGAAAGCACTGTCTCTGAGAAACTCCAGATTATCAATATTCTTTCAAAGATATTCTTCACAATGAAATGGGATTACATAGATCTGCGCGTGCAACGCAATCAAATCATGCTAAGTATACCTAACCAATATCTTTAGGAAAACGATGTCATCACGCGGACACCCACGTCGTTTACTCAAGTAGGACGAACGGCAATGAACAAAATTTGCTCAATTCCATCTTCACTCAGAGAAAATACGTTTGACTTCACCACGGATGATCTGGACAGACAACTTTATGGAAGAAAAAGAGTGAAACCTATTGATGTTGAAGAAATAGCAAGAAAGAGAGAACTGTTGGATAACGACCATCCTTCATACAAAAAAAGCAGTATGTAATTGCAATTTTCTTTTTTTTTCAAGACAAACTCCCTCATGATTGCAGATACATAGAAATAAAGAAATCGAATAATTGACAAAGAGTAGATTCAATATTACAAACGGACCAGAGGAATTCTTAAGTTACTCTGCGTTTATACAGATGAGTAATTCTTTTTTCCGGATGATCTGACCTCATGTATTTTAATCCCATAACAATATCTTTGAATATCATGCATTGACACAAGAAAGTTCAACCATTAACTCATAAAAATCTGTGGCAGGAATCCTTACTGAAGATGAAGAGCTCGATGATATTGAAATGACATATTCCATTATGTCTTTTCCCAATGACGTTCAACTTTGTTTGTCGAGTATTCCTGGACAAAAACTTGGGGTGTGTGCAAAAGACTTCATGCCTGTCGGCACATGGATCGGTCCATACGAAGGGAAACGAGTTGCCGAAGGACAATTAACAAGAGAGAAACGCGATTCTACCTTTTGTTGGGAGGTGAGTAACAATGAAATTTGAGAGATGTATTCAATAAACATTATTGAAAATTCGATATCAATTGCGAAAACACTTGTTGATTTCCTCTCTGCTTCTCTTCCTGCTGACCCGTGGAAACATTGTAACGAAACAAACTTTGCCTCATTGACACTGTATTCTATCGTTCTTCTAAATACTTCATGTTTTCCTGAGTGACTTTTGTCACAAATATTGCTTCCAAACGTTTTTATACTTTGGGAAACATCAGAATGTAGCATCGTTTAACCAACAATAGCTTCACAGGCTTAACATTCTACGTCACATGATTTTAAGATTTACAAAGATGGCAAGTTGGACCATTTCTTAGATGGTTCCGATGGCAACTCATCCAGTTGGATGCGCTATATAAGATGCGCACGAAATCGTTTCGAGCAAAACATGAACATGGTGCAGTATGGACCAAATATTTACTACCACTCGTTCAAAGATATTATGCCTGGAGAGGAGTTGCTAGTGTGGTACGAAAGTCAATACGAACAATATTTCGGAATCCCCATGTTCATTAAACTATCCAGTTTTGGGAAAAAACCAACAAATTTAGCCATTAATCGCGGTAAGTTGAGATATGTTCCCAAGCATGCACAGTTAGAAAATATACAACTTCCCCAAGGAATGAATACGAGCAGAAAAAGATGTGTTGTACGAGTTGACGTCTTCAAAACTCATAGATATGGAAATGTTTCTTGCATTCGTAATACGAAAATAATCTATATGTTATTCAACATCTTTAGTTTCAGGTGTACCGCAGAAAAAACAATCTGAGAAATTACACATACAGCAGATGTCACCAGTTCATAAAAAGAAGCATGATGATGTCGTGCCACATCACTTCCCATTCACAACAGTCGGGCAAGCCTTAACGTCGTCAATCCATTACAATGATTGGGAAAGACAGAACTCTACCGATTTATCGATGCCCTCGATATCTCCAAACGGTTCTCCAATGGACAACAATTCTCCAGTGAATATCGAAGAAGAAAAAGACATAGGAGTGTGGAAATGTGGTCAATGTGAACAACGGTTCACTCAACGCTCAGCCCTCCGACTTCATGTATGTGCAAGTGCAGCAAATAATCCTTTTCATTGTGGCCACTGTAATCTCTCTTTTGCTGACCCAACAAAACTACGGGCTCATGTGGTCACCCATAACAACGAAAGACCTTTTAAGTGTGGATTCTGTTCACGCACGTTTGCTGGTGCGACAACCCTCAACAATCACGTGCGCACCCATACAGGACAGAAGCCTTTCACGTGTGACAAGTGTGGCAAGAGTTTCTCTCAAGCCTCTCAAATGAGCCGTCATCAACGGCTCTCTGAAGAATGTCAATGATGTAAAGGAAGTTTGAAAAGTGAAATCAACGTACTATAAACTTAGAAAGGAACTTAAATACTGTCTATAGAGTTGTTAACACAAAATGAAGATATAATCAACAACTATGCTAGTGGTAGTCAGTTACAAATCTAGGGTGTTTAACCCTAGTGAAGTAGAAAAATAGAACAGAACAATATGGTGAAATCAGTAAATGTAAACTAGGTAAAATAAAATACAAACAGAATAAAAACAATTTTTATTTCATTTCCTATTATTAGTTGGCCAACTAATCAATGTTCTAGAACGATCCTCTTGGAAGTCATCGTTGAGTGGTAGGCAAATTACTAGGACACTCTCCTGGAACGCGCGTGTGTCTGGCAAGTTGCGTGGCAATCGCGAACATTTTCCCGCAAGCCCTACACACAAACGGTTTCTCACCCGTATGCATTCTCACGTGATTATTCAAAGTCGTAGCACCAGCGTATGTTCGTCCACAGAAACCGCATTTGAATGGTCGTTCACTTGTATGTATAACGACATGATTGCGAAGCTCTAGTGGTTCGTCAAAGCTCTCTGAACAATGTCCACATACATAAGGTTTGTACGGCTGTTTTGGACAGACGTGTATTTGAAGTTGAATCCTTTGGGCAAAAACACCATTACACTGTTTGCATTTTAACGAAAGACTTTCGTCGGATGGATAATCGTTCTTCTGTTGTGCTTCAACAACGTCATTTGTATTTCCTTTATTAAAGAGCAAGATATTACGATCTCCTTCATTTCTTAACATCAACTGGGAAAAACCTTTTTCACTTGATGGCTGAATTTTGTCATGCCGAACGGAATTCTGAAACAAACTTGTCCCAGATGAGAGGGGTTTTTCTTGAATGTCTGAAGTACGATCGTTCGAATGAGATACGTTGACTACAGAAAATAAGCAAGTCTTGCCAGCAAGTCCTAGCAAAATTGAGTTGACGTGAGAAATCTTTCAAAATTTATAGAGTCATCAATTTATGCTGAATACCGGACTCACATGCAAACAGCTACTACAAATGACGAATGCTTTTGTTAACAGATACATAAATAATGAGGGCTGCAACAATCAAAGACTTCATCTAGCCTTTTCAAAGAAATAATACCTTCCACTCTTTTCAAATTCACAGGAATTTCTAAGTATTTGTCATAACAATCACTGTACCAGACCAATAACTCTTCACCAATATTAATGTCACAAAATGCTTGATAATAAATACTTTCACCATGTTGATACGCTGTCATGTTCTGTTCATTCACACTGCGAGCAAATCGGATGAATCTCATCCAACTGGAGCAGTTTTCGTCGCTTCCATCAATGAAATAGGACAACTTACCATCTGCGTAAATCTGCTAGAAACAAGAATGGACTGTAGTTAAAATGATACAAAAAAAGTACTTTGTCAGCACTGATAAATTTAATGATATACAATTATCGTTTGTGAACATTCCATCTGATCAGTCGTGCATGCATGCTGATACAAACGTTGAAAAAACAGCCTCTACCTCCCATACGTATTCATGATTTTTCTCTCCTTCATGTAAGTGAAAAGTTCGTCGCCCTTCATATGGTCCAACAACTGTTCCACGAGGCAAAGGACGTTTGGCAGCTACTCCATACAAACATCCAGGAATACTGGATGTACAAAGTTCTACTTCGTCAGGAAATGACGTCATAGCATATGTCATCTTAAGACTGTCCTCATTTCTTTTTGGGTTTACTAACTTTTGCAGTGATTGCAGAGGAGTAAGGGTGGCATATTGCCTCTGTGAGACGACACATGCTTAAGAAATGAAATATGTAGTTTTAGCAGATTGTTTTTGGACCGGCAAACATGAATCACAACAATATTGATAACGACAACAAAAATTATCATACCTGTTGAAACAGAAGTTAGTTCCTCATTGTTGTCAATCTGCTCTATACTGCTCTTCTCTTTTTCATGAATATAGCGCATGTCAACTGAATTGACGACATTTTTTCCATACAAGTAATAATTTAAAATGGCCGTTGGAATAATATTCTTGCTATCAGCGGATCTTTCCATCTTTACAAGTTTATATAGTGATAGTTGTTTTGATATACGGCATTGTGCTATGTCATCGACATACTATTTGATAAAGAAATATTTTAGCGCGAATGTATGTAATGAAAAATTGAAAAAGCTGTTGCATTAGTATACATACGCAAACATCAAACATAGGCTACGATTCTCTGGACAGCATTTTCGTCCTTTGAATCAACCTTATATTTTTGATGGTAAAAACTTCGTTATCATTTAATCGTCGAATGAAGAAACTTTCTATCAAAAAGCTCATTCAATAAAGCTTATGTTGTTTATGCCAATCAAGACAAACAGTATTAAATGAGACGGCCAAGAAAAGTAGAATCGTTCCTGGAGAAAACTGTTTCGGATGTAAACAAAAATATCTATGTCTAAATTACAGCGACTAGGTACAAAGTCTTGTATTTTAATAATAACACAATAGTTTCTCGACAACTCACAATCAAGCCAGTGGTTAACTGTTACCAGAACTGGTGGGTCGCTCATCAAGATTACATGCCATTTCCTCTACCGAAATTATTATTTGTTTATAAGATATTCGCTCACTTCGTATCGCCATGAATTTTAAACAAATGAACTTTTTTCATCAATCTCACTCATCCTTAACGTCACGTGACGAGATAAAATCTCCCAAACAAAGATTTCATCTTCTGGCTGGCGGACACCATAAGGAAGATGTAAATATTTACATAATGACAGTGAAAGAAATCGCGAAAATTGTACATTTTATGGTCTACCGTCACAAATGGTTTTACAAGCTATCAAATGTAGAGATAATGCATGTGCGATAGGATAATGTTCGCTATAGTGAATGTACAAATAGTATGCATGACAGAAATTGTTAAACAATGTATTTCTTTAGTTTTGATGAATATGATAAAATTCCAAGCTTTTGATTGACGATGCACCGCCACATCACGATTCATGAAATGATCAGAACATGCAATACCAAAAAAAAACCGTTTCAATTTCTTTTAAACGATTTAAACGGCTTTTAACGGTTAATGATTTATTTTAAACGAACGTTCAATAGTGATCTTAAAGACAACAATCGTGGTCATAAACAAACATGACGTAATCTATAGGAATCAAGCTAAAAAATTCCACATTCTTCGATATTATAGAATGCGGCAGAAGATGACAAACGCATCATTGATTGAGGTGGCAAAATGCGCTCACGGACATGATTAATTTACCACAAATCTTCCTTGTTTTCACCACATCAAACATGGAAATAATTCATTAGCGAATGAAAGAAACTATGAAGGCAGCATTTTTTGCGTAAAATTTGAAATAAAAGCAAAAGCAGCGATGGCAGCAAAAGCAAAAAATGAAAACTGATTATTATCGCAAGCACGATCCCGCAAACAAAACATACCGTCTGAGCCTGCGATGGATAGACACGAACATTCAACATGGGTCCTAAATAAATAAATAAAAAAAAAATAAAAACGTGTTGCTGTTTGTAAAACAGTAGATGATTAAACTGAGAATATCGTTAAATTATGTCACATATCAATCACAATGAACAAGTTTTTCAGTTGTCGCGGGAGGCCCTGGCTAAATTACAAATTACGAATTAATCAAAATTAATTAATTGGAAAAATACGAAGGAATAGACACACATTATTGCTAATACTATAATAAGTTAACTTAATTATACTGTGATTAAACATTATAATAATCGGTATCTCATGTGGCCGCTTTGTGTTCGAGTCAACTTACGACTTCATACATTTGTGATTAACCAATCAAAATGCTTGTCAAAATAGTTTTTGACAAACAATGTATGAGACGGAACGACTGAATCGTTATAGAAAAATTTCGTTGTTACGTGGGAGGCACTTATATATTACGAATATATTTCAAACATCATTTGCCCGCCAGAAAACGTTTAGGTGCTAAGAGCACGATAACATTGTCACATATGTTTCTCGTTATTATTTAATGGCAAAGGATAAAACTCATTGAGGAGGAGTCGTCATTCCACCATGTCAGAGGTACGAAGTGAGTTGTGTCAGTTAGTAGACAAGACTGTTGTTTGCGACTTTCGCATAGTTTAGCGAATATACTCTTCTTAATTAGTAACATTTATAAAGTTAAAACGTTATACACAACAAACATGTTGATGTAATGAAAAAAATTAAATTAGACTCATCAGTAAAGGCGCGTAATTAGGAAATGACAGCATTACATTAGGAAATACATGCATGGTAGCATGAGGTGTACAAATATGGGAGAATACGTAGCTATTATTAATATAGGTTACCAAGGATTTGGTAACGCTTACATTGGTAATAAAGGAATTTCAACGAGAAATTGAATGGAAATTGAGCATCTCAAATGTAAAGAAGAAAAATGAAAAGCACGAGTTGCAAACGTGAGATGCTTATCATCATGTATATCTTGACAATGTTCAGTTCCTCTTCAGTAAAAATGTGTAAATATAGAAAGTACATTAAACGCATACTTATGCAAACTTTTTAACATTTTCAAAGAACTCTAGACAAACATTAAGTAGAACTGAATTCAAGGCAAGTCATACGTCAAGTCAAATGCTTTCATTAACTTGTACATAGAATCAATAGCGGCCTCTTGATTTTATCTGAGCAGAAATGGTATGGGAAATTCTAAAGCTGCGACATTATATAATTTGATAATCAATGCAAATTTTATTAAGAAAAAGCAGCAATCAGGAGAAAGAAACACAACAATTACACAGCATGGTTTTAGTCAAGAAACACTACAAGAATTCCTTTACGGAAAGAAAAAGACGACGATTGTGGATATTTATGTTATGGAAAGAAGAAAAAGAAAATTGGCTGATGTAAAGAATGATATTCCAGATAAACTGAAATATTCGGGTATGTTTTTTCTATTTACGAGCACTGAAACTGAACAACAGTTGTTTTACTATATTCTGATTGTGAAGTAATTAGACAGTATAATCACATTCTTAACACGTTTTCACAAGACTAGTATCGGTCTGTTGCCTCAAATTTGCATTCAAAAAGAAAGAGGTCTAATTCTGGGGCTTAAATGCATTTAGCACTTTCAATCAGTCACAAAAAATTAAATGTTTTTTTTTATAACAACAAAGAACTGAATTTGAAGTTGAAATATGACAAGACGAGAAGAATGCTATAAAACAGTTCGTGGCGTTGCTTCACAAATCTAAGCGGTTTAAAACATGGCTTAATTCTATTGGCTCAGACATCACAATAGAGAACAATACATGGCTAATTTATTAAATAAGCAAAACACCACAAGCTGAGAAGAAGAAAAATTGCTTTGTAAAACAAAATCAACCATTAGCTAGAAATCATACAAAACATTCTTTACAAAAAATATCTTATCTCGCGTTTTTGTGTAGTTATAATTAAAATGCCGCCACTAAGAAATCTTTAAACAATAAACCTCAGCTGTATCGAATGAAAATATTCACGGCATTTTTGTCTACGGCAGTAAATTTTTCCGGGATTCCAAAATTCAACATTAGCTATTTCGTTCTTTTTAAAAATAAATTGTTTCTTTAACTAAGACAAAAAGTCACACGACGGAGCCAATATATCGAAATATACACAGAGATCGAAAGCCAATATCACATAAGTTGTTGTAACTAAACACGTACACTGAGACGATAAAAGGAAATAGTGATGACTATGACAAAAGTAAATGTTTTTAGATGTAGATTGTCCAGGTTAGTAGAGTCCTGAGAAAGACTGTTTGTGTTCATATTGACTGACATTTTGACAACCTGACTATCATGACTCTGAAGATAACTACCGCTAAGGTTGTCGAAACCACAGCCAACATCAACAGTTCTTCTCATGACTCAACTAACCTGGACGATCTACATCTACAAACATCTAACGATACTGCCACGTTCAAACTATTCATATGACAAACATAAATAAAGCACATGTCAACGCTACGTGATAGTGTCACACTTCCATAAAAAATCTCGCCTACATGCCAGTAATAGTTCATATAAGAAATTCTTTTATATAGAAACATTTTCAATTTGTTGCTTAAGCCTATTTCCGTTTACGTTATTGCAGGGCGTGGATCTATGCCGGGAGAAGGTCAAAAGCACTCATTCGTACCGCAACCCAAGGTGACATATGCTGTGGGCTCATTTCCACCAGAAGTACGTCTATGCACATCAAGTATCCCAGAATACGATTATGGTGCATGCGCTGCACGATATATGCCAAGAGGCACCTGGATTGGTCCTTACGAAGGAAAAAGAGTATATTCGACGCAGCTGGCCCAAGACCAAGAAAACTCATTTATCTGGGAGGTAAGGTTTTTTTTGCAACTTAACGAAAGTTCAAGAGAACACGACAAAATCAAATAATTTGCTAGTGAAAGTTTGCTGAACATGAATACAGTACAGAGATTATCCCAATGCTAAGTTGTAGAACAGGATAATCTAGATTGAAGATAATGATTGTGGATTTGATTGCTTCAATAAATTTCTGTAAGTAGCAAGCGCAAGAAGAAAATATGAACTGAAGCCAGATTAAGATGAGGATAAATTACTTTTACTCACTTTAATCTTTAATGCTGCATTAGATTTACGAGAATGGTAAATTCTCCCATTTTCTTGATGGAAGTGACGAGAACAATTCGAGTTGGATGAGATTCATACGATGTGCTAGACACAAACAAGAGCAAAATATGTCAGCTATACAATATGGAAAAAACATCTATTACCATACAATAAAGGATATTAATGAGGGTGAAGAAATGTTAGTCTGGTACCATGAAAGTTATAATCAGTTTTGGGGAATACCTATTGCATTGCAACAGGAAACTAATGAAAGAAATGGTAAGTATGAAACCTCTGCTTAAGTGTGAAATGGAGTACATAAAAACTAACATATGCAAAAAAAAACAAAAAAAGGATTGGGTTTTGTATAATGCAGATTGTTCTTTATTCCTGCACATTTTAGAAAAACATAGCCAGTTCACTTTTTATGGATATTTTGAAGTTTTGCAATCCTGCATTTTAATGTAGATTAAAACTTAATCTTGTTGAAATTATTTCTGTATTTATCAGGTCCACCGATCCCTGTTCATATGATACCACCAGTGAATATGAGCACAAATCAATCCAAGTCGAACTTGTCCGGTGATAATGAATCAAGAAAATTTCAAAAATATGAACAAACAATAAAAAAGAATTGTTCACTGTCCTCACCACATTATGGATTTTACATCCAAGCACAGACAAATTTGCCTAATTTTCAACATTCAATCAACAGTTTACAGCAATCAGAAACAGAAACAACCAAAGGATGTGTGCCTAATTCATATATGGTACCAAGTAAAAACCATCAACATCAAAACACTATGCCTTTACATTACAATCAACTTGGAACATCACAATACCTCTACCCACATTACCATAAATATCACAATAAATTCACAGGTATCCAACCTCATCAATCAACAACAATTGAAGGAAGACAATATGCAGTGTTTCTACAAACTCCATCAAAGTTAGACAGGCATGCAAGTGTGCCAATTAATCTTGTATCACCTGTACAAAAATCCTTTGCATCACTAGCAAGCCCTGAAACATCTGGTGATCCCCATGTGCCAACCTTAACAGATCAACAGACACCACTAAGGGAACAGCCAGGATATCTCAAACCACAAGCAATTACGAACAGGGATGTCAAAGAAAACATGCCATTAATGGGAGAAAGACACGATGAAATAAATGGTATAATTTCATCACTATTTGTTTGACTTTGTCTTTGGCTAAATCTTTTTGTTATAACACATGCTCTTATTTTCCCTCAGATCATTACTTAAAAAACAACAAAAACCAATCAAAAACAACCCCATTTAAGAATCTCACACCATCAATCCACAATCAACAGCACATCACAGATGTAGTGGACAAAAAGCAAGATCAACCATTATCTACAATACAGCCTGCAAGAGAACAAGATGTGGCATGGACATGCGGTCAATGTGGGGAAATGTTTGCTCAGCAAGTGTCACTAAGAATGCATGTTTGTTCAAAAGCACCAAGTGAGCCCTTTCACTGTGGACATTGCTCTAGCACTTTCTCAACATCGTCTGAATTACGCGAACACGTAGTTTCCCACAGCAATGAGAGACCATTCAAATGTGGGTTTTGTGGACGATCTTTTGCCGGTGCAACAACACTTGGAAACCACATGAGAACCCATACTGGTCAGCGACCTTATGAGTGTAAAATTTGCGGACAGACATTTGCCATAGCCACACAGCTTAGCAGGCACCTCAAACCACCTGGAGAGTGTGGCTTCAAGCAAAAACACACAAATAAATGCAATGAAGATAATTGTATTTCAGCAGAACAGTAAAGTGTATGATGCAAATATTTTATATTTTGGTTATTTATAGATAAGCCTAAACAAAATATTACCACAGCTATGTGCTATAAATGATAAAACCCACTTCAAACAAAAATCATCTTGTAAACTCAAGATTCGAGTTATAACAGCGAGAGGCAAGATTGAAAGCAATATTTCGACTTTATTTCAAAGTCATTATCAAGTTAAGTCGAAATATTGCTTTCAATTTTGTCTCTTGCTGTTATAATTCGGATTTTGAGTTTACAAGATGATTTTTGTTTGAAGTGGGTTTTATTATTTATGAGTCTATCTGGCAGAGCATACATGGGTATTTAATTTATTGTGACAAGTGTATGCACGCACTATTATTGCTCCATATATTGTATTTTTCATTCTAACTTTTAACATTTTATTGCTAAATGTAAAAAAAAACAATGATGTATATAAATAGAAGGCTAAATTTTAACGGACTTACCTCGCACGTGTATAAACAGAAAAACAATTTTATATATAATCTTCATTTTGCTTTGTTGTTTAATTGCCTTTATGTCCCTTTCATCATTCAGAAACAAAAGCTTCAGAGAGTAAGTAGTTTGTGAGATTGTTTCGTTGAATTGTTTGCCGGAAATTGAATCTTCAAGCTCTTCATTTTTTCGAATTAATGCGAATTAACAATAAAAAAGGATCGAAAACATGAATTTGTACGAGCTTAACTTAGAAGAGGATCATTTTTTCCTGTAATTTGATTCGTTCAGTAAACATGTCTTCGTAGACGTCCGACCATATATTTCATCCAATAATATTGAAGATGGTCACCCCCATTACATAGTTTCAGGGGCTGTGCATATAAAACAACGGGTGCGGCAAGGACGAAAATTAGCATTTTTTTCAAATGACACAAGAGATTGTTTGCAGATTTTTTGGAAATTTTCACGCAAAAATGGTGACATTTGGTAGAAGAATGCGCGATATATCGTTGCCAAAGCAGCTGCTCAAGCTGAGGTAGAGTTTTGGATACGGATATGTTCGTTTTTTTTTTCAAAATTTTTTTCAAAATGTGGGTTGTAAAGTGCTTCATATTTTTTGCCGGTCTTTCGACCGTTCTTGAGCATGAAATACTGAAAAAATTTCATTTTTGAACATGCCTGCAATGTTTTAAAACTAATTTTCATCGAATTTTGTGTGTTTTAGGTGTGTGAAACTTGTCAAAGACGTGTATGGCAACTCGAACGACATTCAAGCGGCTGCCGAACGCCAACGGACCGCATGGACATGAAACGGACCAACACAAGAATTAACCAGAAAACATAACGGACGATGCAAGAATATTTCGTTTCTTATGCTGAGGTATCCCAACAAGATATTTCATTTAAGTTGAGGGTGTTTTTTTCCGTAATTTCAAACTAAGAAAAGACTTGGTAGGTCTTTCATAATTTTCAAGGCATAAACTGTACGGTTAAGATTTTCCCGCCTCCTTCGTGTCCGCGTTGAGAAATAGCAAACTAAGCACGACAAAGTAAATTTGTTATATTCATAATCGTGAAAGATGTGGTTGAATACAAGGTTCAAGGCTTAAAAAGCTTTTTTATCAATTTGTTTGCTCGAATTCTCGAAAAACATTAAGCAAACAAATACCTGTACAAATGGTAATGTAATTAACGATTTTTGAATGAATAAAATCTGATTTTGTGTACTTTCGCTCGCGTTATATTTCTGTAGGCAAGTCAATCCGACCGCATCCTTGTGGTTTTCAATTGTAAAAGGTTTATGCATTATTGTAAAAGTTATATGCATTATTTTCTCGAACATTGACATTAAATTATCGGCTAGTTTTAGTTTTGAAATCCTTCAAAGTGAGGTTAAAGTGTCATTTTCGTTATTTAATTTCATAGAACATGCCAAATGCGCTCGGTGACAAACACGTGTCAGAAGACAAATGTGAATTGCTCTCAGCTCACACGCAAAAGTAATGCAAGGCTTGTCTCCAAGAAACTTGGCAGAGAAGTAAAGAAAGGTGAGGTTTTTTACCTTGACTGGGACTTTTTGTTTCTATTATGTAAAAGATCAACTTGTCGTGTATTCGACGCTTTTGCCTGCCATATTTTGACACTGGTTTCAATGTTTATCTGTTTTGACGATGTTTAAGAAATTTTTTCGCAACATAAGACAACAATTTTGAGTTTTTAGCTCAGGCTCGGACTGCTCAGTATAAGAGGAACGTGGCACCAAAAAGCTTTAAATTTTTGAACTGCAAACTGCTGTATGCTATATGCCACTGAAATATATACTTCAATTTGATAGGAACAAAACACAAAGACTTGCCTTTATGTGATTTTTGTATGCACACATCCTATTTTTTGCTCATAAGCCTTAGCATAAAAGAAAAGCTTTTCAATTATAACAATCATACTTAACACTTGCTGTTAATTCTTAAAGTTAAGTGGTTAACTTCCATACGCTAGATATAGAATAGTTTAGTCATATAACAACATTTCATGAGTGGTTGAATGAATTTAATTGTCTGTCTCCACATCCTTTAGGATGATAGTAATCTTATAATCTTTATTTTAAGAATATGTTTATATGTCTTTGTGTGTAAATCTTTTGTAATTAAATTAAAATCCGAAAAAAGTAAAGGAAGAATAGTACAGATGTTACTAACAAATGGAAGAAACAAGCAAAGCCGGATGGAAGAGCCAAGAAGGATGAAAAGCCTTTGGAAAGATGGATGAGCCTTTGGGAGAAGCCTTTGGAAACAAGGATGGAAGAGCCAAGAAGGATGAAAATACTGGATACTCCATTACCTATCCAACCTTCTTTACCTATCCAACCTTCCTTACCTACCCAACCTCCTTAACCCTGCCACCTTTCCTTACCTATCCAACCTCCATTACCTATCCATCCTTCCTTACCTATCCAACCTTCCTTACCTATCCATCCTTCCTTACCTATCCATCCTTCCTTACCTATCCAACCTCCCTAACCCTATCCATCCTTCCTTACCTATCCATCCTTCCTTACCTATCCAACCTTCCTTACTTATCGATCTTTATTGATCGATTCCTTACCTATCGACCGGATGATCGATCTCCTTGATCGACCGGATTGATCGACCTTTACCTGATCGACTTTATTGATCGATCCTTGATGATCGATCCTTGACGACCGATGACCTGACTTGATCGATCTTTCCTTGACGACTTTCGATCCTGATCGACGCTTTATTGATTCAGACTTCCGGATTATCTGATTTCGACCCTGATCGATCTGATGATCGACGATTCCCGGATTGATCGACCGCTGATGATCGACGCGATTGATCGACTTGGATGATCGACGGATTGACCCGACCTGATCCATCTTTTCCGATATCGACCTTATTCGACCTATCGATTCCCTGATCCATCGACCCCTATCCATCGGACTTGATCCATCTATGATTTCGACCCTGATGACCATCCTTCGACCGATGATCGACCGATGATCGACCTTTCTCACCTGATCGACCTCCCATGACGACCCTATGACTCTTATCAACCCTTATCTATCAACCTATCCATTCCCCTTTATTTATTCCTACGCAATCCTTACCAAGCCTCCACTTTCCATACCATCCAACTTCCTAATCTACCCAACCTCCCTAACCCTATCCATCCTTCCTTACCTATCCTACCTCATGTAAAGAGAGGGAGACACTGGAACTCATGCTTGAGAGATGCAAAAAGAAGACCAAATTTGTAAATATCAGTGATGCTTTATAAATTTTAATGCTTCTATCACCTATCTTAGCTATCTTGCACTTCATCGCCCTATTCAAACATAATGCACGTGTTTAATAATTACATATATATTATCAGTAATAACTAGTAAGTGTCTGCCAATACATATTTAGCAGATTTTTCTTAAATATTGCTCATGTTTTGAGCAATGGTTGAGTGATGCAAACAGCTGTCTATACGACAACAATGCTCCAAAAGTATATGAGGGGTGATTCATATTCATTTTATTCGTATATCTTATAGATTTTTTACATTAACGAAAAACATATATGTATCAGTCTGATGTAAGTGACGTTTCGGTTTCCTAAACAGTAACCATAATCAAAGACAACCCAAATTCGAACTAATCATAGAAACGAATAATGATCTATATGTGTATCTAATAGATCTTTCATACTATTAAAGATCCAGTATACAGTAACTGGTACAATTAAATAAGGTAATACTAACCATCGTAGAAATGAAAAGCTTTTCCAAAATTATTGACGAACACCTGAATATAATTTTTGCGACTAAAGTGTGTTTACAAAAATCGTCACAAGCTCGTCGTTGTGCCAAATGTTACCGTGAAAGTTATCTGATTGCTGAAATTGAACGTTGAATAAGAACTTTGTGAAGTACCAAAAATTTGTACGATGCCGCAAATTATGGACATCACGAACAAGTATGTCACATGGTTTCCACACGTTATAAGTCAAATGAAAAGGACGGTGTCAGCTGAAAGTTAAAACTTCAGAGAGGAGTAACCACATTGAAACTGCCAGTCGTTTTGGAGAGGCAAACGTAATTTGGGTACGATTCCATCTCTTGCTGCATATTAGCTGGCGCTTGTTTTGCTAGTGAAATATTTTAAAATTAAGATGTGTTCAGTGGCAAAAAAAATTGCATTCTGATTATTTTATATCGCAGGAAAGACCCGATGGAATGTTCAGAAACTATGAGCGACGTCAACGTTACGTTTACTGTGGTCTACCAATACTGCGGGTTGCTTTGTATTAGGATGCTACGGGTAAGCGTTTACATCATAACTCACACGCACATGTGAAATGCAAGTGATAAAGATCTAACCAGGAATTATTCCATCGCAATTAGTCCTCAAAATCATCAACATTTCGTGCACTCGCATGGTCATAAGAATACGCTAGTCATTTCAAGCTAAATTTTGCAATCACTTTTGCTCACGTTCAGGTTACATAAACTTTTGACAATGGCAATTCTTGAAATATTTTT